CGAAACCCGCGAATTTCGGGTAACGTTTAAATCAAAGCTCTTTTTTAAGATTAATCGAGTATCTATTACATTCGTTAACAGTAAGCCCGAAATTCGCGAAACCCGCGAATTTCGGGTAACGTTTAAATTTAAGCTCTTCTTTACGATTACTCGAGTATTTGTTATATTCGTTAAAAGTAAGCCCGAAATTCGCGAAACTCGCGAATTTCGGGTAACGCTTAAAAAGAAACTTTCTCTTCTAGATATTCAAATATTCATTACATCCTTTAATGCGTTACTCGAAATTCGCGAAATCCGCGAATCTCGGGTAACGCTTATGTATAAAAGTGGCGTAAAACTTTTATAAGTATATAAAATATAGAAATGAAGGAGGAAGCTAAAAAGAGAGCTAGTAGTATAAGATTTAAATGTTCTTACTAGAGTAATAAGTAATTAAAGTAAAGAGAGTATAGTAACTAGTTATTATTATAGAGAAGTGTCTTTAAGTATAGGTACTTCTTATTCCGAAGTCATACGTATGTATTAATAATATCTACTCTATACCGATAGTAGAATTTCAGATTGTCGTCGTAGTACTAGCCGGAAATTACATGACTTCTCGCATACGTAATGTTAGCTCGGATCGTTAAGACCCTTACGACAGTACATTCCAGTGAGAATGGAATGTAATGATCTAGAATAAGGATAGGAATGTAAACATCGCGTAGCTAGTAGTTCTTATACGGTTCTTTGGCGCTGTTGAATACTAGTTTTCTTTCACATCTTAGCACTACTGGTCTACTTTCACATCTCAGTAATTCTCATACTACACTCTTTACTCAGTATGCGTTTCATTAGTGGCTCACTTCTATCCCTTGTTCTCTCATCGCCTATCCTAACACAAGCTGGTGAGTCTTATCAATTGCATCCTAGGAAACGGCTAACGAATTGTGTACAGTAGACGTACCGGTCGTTACGGTCATTGTGACACGGTGCTCCACGGTCTCCAATCTCCCGCCTTATGGATGGATCTCAACCAACGGTACCACCATTCCCTATACATTCCCACGCCATCACCACCACCACCACGTTCCAGATCACCGCCACACTCATATCGGGAATTACACCGGCTACCCCCACCACCACCACCATCACTACAACATCTCTTCTGGTTCATCGACGAATAGGCCATCGTCACAAGCAACTCTGCCCTCTGCCGATCTGACATCAGTTGTAACTTTCTCTCAAACCCTCGGGTACCAAGTCGTCACTGGCTCCAATGGCGCTGCTGTCACCCGGGCTGTCATCACGGCCGGAACCGCTCCAATCACTGTCTCTCAAGGCCAAGATGCCAGCACTGCTCTCGTTTCTGGCACCGTCCTCGCCGTTGGCGGCCCTCCTGTCACCATCAACGGGGAGGTCGTCAGCGCAGTTTCTGGAGGTGTCGTGATATTGTCCACGGTCAACACCAACATGACGACAACGATCGGACAGCCCTCGACTCTGCCCTTTGCAGTCAGCACAGCCGCAAATGGCGCTATCGTCACCCAAGCAGTGGTGACTGCGGCAAACGGAGTGCCTGTGACGGTTTCTGAAGGGAGTGATGGGAACACTATCACTGTCGATGGCACGGTCCTTTCCGTTGGGGGGCCGGCGGCTACGATCGACGGTCAAGTGGTCAGTGCGGTGCCCCACGGTGTGGCGATTCGAGCCGTCAAAGCGGAAGCTACGTTTGTTGGCCAAGATGGTCAGACAATCACGGTGGCTCAACCCGAGAGCGGCAGCACTGCAATCGTCGGAAACTCCACTCTCTTTGTTGGAGGGCATGCGGTCACCGTCGATGGCCAGACTCTGAGTCTAGCTCCCTCTGGACTTGTTGTCTCCAACAACAATACTACGAGCTCTGTCGCTTTCTCCCCCATCGCAGCAACCAGAGCGGCGCCCACAAGTACCCCATCCAATCCCGTCAGCGTCACAGCCACTGGAACAGATCCTGCCATCGCCACCGCCGTGATCGGTCGATGCCCAAGCCTCAACGGCAAGAACTTCTTCGATGCCGACCTCAACGTCACTTATGCCATCTCTTGTGGCGTGGTCTTGGACGGTACCGTGCTCAACACCTTCACCCGAAGATCGACCACCTTCAGGCTTTTCCGGCGTGCCAGCTCAGGTGACTGCGAGAGTGATTGTGCGATGATGTCGGGATGTGCGGGGTTTTCATACTCCAACAACACATGTACGTTTTATAGCTCGGTGAATGGCACCAGTCCATCCTCACAGCCAACGTACTCTGGACGGCGAACGGACAACGCAAATGACGATAGCATCGGCAGCAGCTCGTTATCTTTCTCATCCTCTACCAGCTCACGACTGATCTCATCCAGCTCACCGAATCCTTCAACGTCCTCTGCAGTTTATAACAGCTCCCCCATCTCGAGCAGTTCCTCAATACTATCCAGCTCTATCATTTCAACCTCGTCGACATCGAGCTCCCCGCCTTCATCGGTATCCACTTCATCGACTCCACCAACCCCATCGATGCCATCATCTTCATCTCCTCCATCGACTCCATCTTCGTTGATTCCAAGTCCAACATCAAGCGCGAGCTCAGTTGGTACCCCGTCCGGCGTATCGCTCCACGGCACTACCAGCCCAGTCACCAACAGTTCAACCGCACTATCTCCTCCGTCGACGTCATCATCAAGAAACATGAGCACCGAGACTCCAATGCCGCCACCGTCAAGCAGCACATCTACCACCTCAATCCCACCGAACACCTCTTCTTCTTCATCCTCCGCTGCTACGCCTACGCCTGGCGCCTGCCAAAACAACACCATGGTGACCGACGCAAATGGTGTGTCGTACATGGAGTACTGCCCATCAGATACCACCGGCGATCCTCTATACCAGGAGAGCTTCGCAACTGGCGGCTTGAACCAATGCGAAGCGCTCTGCGACTCGACCGCAGGCTGTGGCGCGTGGGTATGGAATGGAGGCAATGCCAACAACGGCGGATACTGCTATTTGAAGCAACTCCCTGCTGGCCCAATCTCCACTACCGACGACATGCTGATTGCTGGCATCGGGACGAAAGAGACTCAACTCTCCCCTGCTCAATGTGTCAATGGGACTACCAGCACGGATACTCAAGGCACCAACTACACTCTCTACTGCGGCTACGACACCAGCCTCGGCGCGTACTACCAAGAAACTTTCTCTTCTGGTACATATTCCCAATGCGAGGCCTTGTGTGATGGCTCCGGGACAAGCTCAGCTCTCGGATACGTCGCATGCAGCGCATGGACTTTCGCAGTCGCCGCAGGGACGAACGTGACAGGCGAGGGGGGCACATGCTACTTGAAATCTGACCGAAGCGCCATCGTTAAAAGCCATGCAAATTACATTGTTGGCCTCATACCATCGACAGTGACCCATTCGAAGAGTGCTCTCATAACATCAACTAGTCAAATCTCGGGTGGCACTCGGGCCCCTCCGACCAACCCAACATCCACTCCACCCTTTGCCATGACGAACGGGACAAGCGTCGTGCATGCGAGCGGCACGAGCGCAACCCCGACCAACCCAACACCCACTCCACCCTTTGCCATGACGAACGGGACAAGTGTCGTCCATGCGAGCGGCACTCGGGCCCCTCCGACCAACCCAACACCCACTCCACCCTTTGCCATGACGAACGGGACAAGTGTCGTCCATGCGAGCGGCACGAGCGCAACCCCGAACACGACGACGACCACTCCACCTTTTGCCATGACGAACGGGACAAGTGTCGTCCATGCGAGCGGCACGAGCGCAACCCCGAACACGACGACCTCACCCCCAACAAACGACAAGAACCCGACTCCGACTCAGACCACGTACATATGTCAAAACAATACCCGATACGCCGACAACAATGGGAGAATCTATACGCTGTATTGTGACGCGAATGCGGGTGGAGGCCTTGTATCACAACAAAACTTTGCTGCTGGTGGCTACAATCAATGCGAAGATTTTTGTGATGCCGAACCAGGTTGTGGAGCTTGGGTTTGGGCTGCGGGTACAAACAATATCGGTGGGGAATGCTATCTCGAGAATCTACCGGCAGCCCTCAGCTTTGGGTCTGCTTTCAACGGTCAGGCGGTTGGAATCGCCTCATCGGAAACCCAGTTCACCAACAGGACACAATGTCCCGCTGGACCCGAATCGGACTCAAAGGCATACGGTGGCATCGGTTACACCATATACTGCGGAAACGACACCAGTGCCGGTGGCTACGCTTCCTCGTCCGCCAAAGACTACATCTCTTGTCAGAATATGTGTGATGCCCAGGCAACGGGATCAAATCCGTGCACCGCCTTCACTTTTGCGGTCAACGAGAACCCCCCAAGCGACACCAACAATGGGACTTGTTATCTCAAGGGTGGGACGAGCACGCCATCGGCTGGTCATGGCAATTTCATTGCTGGTATTGCGAGGACGTCGTAATTGAGGATGGTTTATGTATGCCCCGTAAAATCACAAGGGAACTTCCCCGCCTTCTCCCCACAATAATGAAGCGGGGTTGGCTATGGGTCCATATTTTAAACTCCATGGTTCCACATTAGATTTCCAGATTTAGCATGGAAGTTTAACCTTAAAGCCCTGCTCGGGTGTGGCATGTTTGATTCTTGAAATGTAAGGTATACAGCACTCCTCTCCCCTCCCCCGCTCCCATCCGCTGTGCCGTCCAAATTGCGAATCGCCGGAGGGTTCTTTATCCACTGCAACGACTTCACCAATGTTTTGGCCCCAATTGCATCCACATACCAAGCAAACAACATGATGCATGAACACGACAGAGGCGTTTGGTGTCTGGGCTGATCCACCAACAGTTAACGGACAGGAAGCTCAAGATGTGCTCGTGACAGGACCGAGAATGACGGATTGGACACTTCGAGCCGAGTGCGTCTATCGAATGGATAGAAACGAGACATCTGGACTGTCGGCGCACCATGTCTCAGCACCACATGTCGCCGTTCCAAAGACCTATCTCCTATCGCGGAATGTCCGCGCTTCCCCAGAGCATCAATATGCCTTGCTGGAGAATCAAAAGAGTCGACACGTCATTCGACGAGTCAACTTGAGCATGAGAATCTCGATGTGGATCAGGCTGAATATGTCGAAGGTGCATCGAGGACGCATCCCCTCCCTTTTATTTGGCCGCCAGACAACCTACCAAGAGGACGTCGCGACGGCGGCATGCCAATGAGTTGCCGTGCTGCTCGCGTAAGACACACTACAGTCGTCGATTGTTGGACGCGCCGACTGCTACCAATCGTCCCACTTCCAACCTGACATATCGTATGCTGGAGAGATTACATTAGCACACGGGGTGAGAACCCGCCTTTATCTACACACTGGATGATCTGCCGCATGGTAAGTTGAATTGACATGCAAGAATGTCACACGTGCCAGGCCAGAGTGAGGCTTCTGCTAAACGGAAGTGACAACGGAAGTCGGGATGGCAGGCACGACACTACATCCATGTCATCCGCACATGCCCAGCCCCAATCGACTCGCACTGACCTCAGCGATCGTTCTTGGTCATAACTCCTCGGCATCTACCTCACACTCTTTGATCCTCACCATCACCCCTCCCCCGACTCTCTCTCATCAGTCCTGCTGCTCGCCATTGTACGCCGTGGTCACCATCATTGGTTCTGATCTGCAAGAAATCATCACCCTCGTTTCGTGGACGTGTGAGCTCGCTGTCCCCATCGGCGAATGCATTAAGAAGGCGTGTACTGATCATCTTTGAGCTGTAGCCCACCAGTCACCATGCCGACCTCCAACATCTCCTCGACCTCTAAGAGGTCCTCAACCTCGAACAGATCCTCGACCTCCAACAACCCCTCAACTCCCAACAACGCTCTCAGTTCCACCAACGCTCTCAGTTCCAACAACCCATACTCCCCGACTTCACTGGAGCGTGCGGTAAAGGCCGCATTGTCACGCATACCAATGCACGCCGTCCATACCGCGGTCTACACTCACATCATGGATGAGTCAATTGCTGGACTCCCCTCTCCCAACCGCACGATCCCCGCAACGTTCCTACCAACTCTGCCCTTGCAGGAGAAGGTGTGGTTTCTCCGCCGCTGCGACAACGGCCGCCCGGTGCAAATTGCCCAGAACATTGTGTACAATCCTTGGATTCCCGATGCACGCAAGAGCCACCTACTCAACAATTTGCTCTCTATACTCTCGTCTATTGAGCGCAGACTTCGGGACTCTCCTTTGGGTGGCCAGCAAGCAAACCCAGACATCCCACTGCTCGGCACTACTCCATCAGCGTCACCAGCCGCTCACCTCGCGTCGAACAACCAGACGCCCATTATCGATAATGAGTACGTTGTCATCGACAGTGACGATGATCCCAAGCCCGTGGCTCTCACCAAGAGAGAGCCTACCGCCCTGATCAACAGCCCCGCCTTGCCGTCTGCCATCGAGCAGGAGGCCAGTCCTGCTTTGCCGTCGGCCATCCGACGGAAAGTCAGTCCTGTTTTACCGCCTGCCGTCAAGCAGCAAGTCATCATCATCCAGAGCGACGATGATCCTATCATACCACCTCCTCATAGCAACCACGACGCCTCCCTGCCGCCTCATCCTAGTACTGTTGATGACGATGACCAGGACTATCAGCCTTTCTTTGACAGCGATGACCCCCCGGCTCAGAGGAAGTCTTCGCGCATCAGACGTGGCCAAGCAGATCCGGCCCAGCAAGATGTGCTGGATGACAACGAAGATGAAGACGAAGAAGATGCAAGCATGGCAGGAGCTACCAAACGTGTGGTGAATGTCTTCTCTTCTTTTGTTGTTTCTGTGCGCCCCCAGTGCAAGAGAGCGGCCTTCGACAACCCGACATCCAGGAAGCGGTGCCAGTGGCTTGTCTGGGAGCTATTGATGGTCCTTGGGCTGGCCGACGACTTGGAGACTCCATTCGAGCTTGGAGATCGCGAGTACGACCCAACCATGATGGGGAGGATTTGGAGTGGGGTGGGATGCATGGAGACATTCTGGAAGTCGACACTTCGACAAATTGTTGAATGCCTCCCTGGCCAATGGTTGCCTGGGTCTTCTGACGATGCCGTGAAGATCGGACGGCGCACAACAACGCGATCAGCACCACTGGACACCATGCCTTGCAAGCACTGCAGCAGAGTGCACACACCGGAGGCTTTTTACGTGCAGTGTCTTATGCTCGGCTCCAACCTGTTCACACGAAAGGAGTTTGATGCAATCGGCAACGGCGCAGAAATATCCCATATATGTGGGATGCAATGGTGTGCCAATCCGACACACATCACACACGAGTCTGGCGCTACTCGCCAGTCGAGGAAGATGTGTCATGAAGGTGGCGCCTGTGCTGGACATTCACCGCCTTGTGTGACAATGGACTTCGAGCGCCGCAACACTCCGGACTTCCTGGCCGATAATTTGGTCAAGCATCGCCAGCAATACAACGACTTCATCGGCGACGGTCACTTCTCGTGCCGTTCTTGCAGACAGCCCTTCAGCAACGGCAAAGCTATCATCCAGCACGTCATCTCAGAACATCGTACGTCCGTTGCAGAGGTCGATCCTGCGACTGCAGTCTGGTGCAAGGACAGGAAAGCGTGTTACAGCCTCGCACCGTACAAGGGATGGCATCACCACCAAAACAACCACGACAAGACCGGCGAATGTGGTTCGCTACGGGGTCCTTTAAGAGTGGCAGAGACATCACCACGCCCGGGGGAGACTATTCTGCGCCGCGATGTTATGAATATTGTGGACATCACATTCAACCTGGAGCTGAGTGTGGACAGACCCGACTTTATGAGAGAGCTGACTACTATGCCCAATAACAAGAGAAAACGAGGAGACTGAGACATGTCGAATGTCGAGTGTCGAGCGTGGTGTGCCGGTGCCGGTGGAGGGGGTAATAATCGTGGTGTTCGTGTCTTTGCAGCAGTACATATTCGATCCTCTATGACAATGCCCTCTACTCACGCATGCCACGCTTCACCTTCTGTGCCTAACGCCTATCTTCATCCTCTTCGTTTACCCACGGCCTGGTATAGAACGCCTCCAACTCCTCGCTCGTAGGGTGGAGCGTCATCCCGCAATCTTGCCGCATCACAATCGCGTCGGCGTCGTAGTGCCTGCCCTCTTCCATCCTCCACGTCCCCTTGACCGCGCGTTTGCCCGCCCGGCATCGGAGATACTGGCTGTCGGGGTAGCGATCCCAGTTGTTGTCGATCTCGAGCCAAATAAGCGCTGCTCTGACCAGCTGAATCTTCGACATGCCACGGTAGTTCTTGGAAACAACCTGTGCGTAGTGGCGGAGGTCGTTCAAGGCCACTTAGATGATTGTTGTATAGAATGCCACATAGGCCCAGGACTTGTTAGGGGTGTCCAAGCTTCTGGTGACGATGAATTTGAGCGTATCTTCCCCATCGACTTCCTTGAACCCGAAGTCTCTCACCAATTCGGGGATGATGGCGAGGGAGTTGAGGGTGGAGCGGCCGATGTTGTCGATGGTCACCGTCAAGCTGCTCCCGTTCTCCAAACACTCCGGGAATCTAGAGACGGCCTTCTTGAACGCCTGGACAGTGCAGGGCTCGTACTTCGGCCTGCGGCCAGTCATAGAGATGTCGAGTGTCGTATAGAAGCGGCGTGCTGCGTTCCCCCCATAAAACATCGGTTTGGCAATTGCGCGGATCTCCTTAGACGCTAGCAAGAGCCCCGGCTCGAGAATCCACTTCTTCTTCCTCCCTTCGCTACCTTCGAATTCGCCGATGTGGATCTCTGTATCCTTGACGCACAAGGTAAAGATCTGGTTGATGATCTCAGGGCAGAGGCGGGATAGTGGACCATGCTGGTCGCTGAGGCAGGCGCGAGCGGCAGGATCTTCGTCTGTCGTGGTCGAGGTGGTAGGGGAGGCGGCGAACGTGGTAGACTGGACGGATGTCGCTGCCATGGCTGCTAGTTGCTGATTGCTTATTGGAGATTTGATGGTGCCGTGTCTTTGTCTGGGTGAGGAGCGTGGACGAGGGTTTGGTGATGTAGTTGAATAGCAAGAAAAGAGTTGCTGGACGTGAATCGCAAGAGGTGAAGTGAAGAATTGGGATGTGAAGAACAGCCTTTGTTTGCCATGTGAACAAACGGCGCATGTGGCGCGGAGATGTGGCTTTGTCTGCAGTGAGGTTGTTGTGTCACACAAAGAACTTACAATTTGGTGACACCTCACATTCCTCTATTCCCACATTCTGCTGATCGCCAACATCATTGTTCAGCACGCACACCATTGCTACCTCTCTCCTTCATCCACCAACCCCGCAGCGAACAGCAAGATGGTGACAAGTGCTCACCCTGACGACGTCGTGCGATGCGGCTACAATCCACCAACCATTGAAGACATATCCGAGATCTGGGCGACATCGACGCTGAAGAGGAAGGAGGCGCAGTTCTGCATCTTCTTTGACATCGATTTCCAAACCTTCCGGAGCTGGCAGAAGTCAATCCGGCAGATCCTGCGACAAGACAGCGGCCAACGAGTGGAAGGACCGAGTGCTAAGAAACGCGGCACACTTGTATACGCGGAGCCAGGTGCACGACTGTGGTTCCAGCTAGAACCAAGCAAGGAGAATGAATACTTCTTCATTTCGAAAGGAATCCCGATCAAGGCCGCAAAAAGCGAACATCTCAAGGCATACTTCAAAGACCTCGTTGGATCCGAGAAAGAGGACGAAGAGGTCGAGGACCAGGCCATCAATGGCAAGCGGGCCAAGCGTGTTGTGCCGAGTGCGATGGCGAAAATGCACATGCTGAGCGAGCTTGTGCTATGGGAAGCGAACTGCATGAAAGCCGACGAGCGCCTGTGGAGCGAGGTCACCGAGAGGGATGTTCGGAAGATGGTGCCGATCAACCCAGAGTACATGAAGCTGCAGCGCAGGAACAAATTCGGCACACCGTCACAGCGCAAGGCGGCGAAAATCGCGATCAACTTCAAAGACTGCTACATCGTCATCCATGATGCAGAGCGGGACTTCGATGTCAAAAAGCTCAAGCCAAAGCAGCATATCATTGTTAACATCAATGATGTGGTTGCTGGGAAGCCTCGACGACAACCAGAGCCCGAGGATGTGTCGTGGACGAAATTCGAAAGCAAAATCGAAGCAAAGTGGACCGCCGGCGAGGGTCAGAAAAGGACAATCCTGTATGAGACAGAGATCGATGACGAGGAGAGCGGGGACAAAGAAGAAGGGACTATCAAGGATGACGAGACGTTCGTGTATGCCATGGAAGTGCTATTCGAGCGTGCGGAGCGGACGAGCGAGAAGAGAGTGTGCATGCGGTGTGTGATTGAGGATGTCGAAGCTCCGCCAGCCCCGCCAGCCCCGGCTCTCCAATCCGTGCAGGGTCCCGGGTCTGCTGCCACCAACACGGGATCCACCTAGACCCAATTTGGTTCGGGTATTGTTTCTATCAGTGACTGTAGATAACGATTCATCGACTGCAATGAGAGCCTTTCATCCCACACCCAACACTCGGGCAGTAGCAGATTCCACGAGCTCTCTTCTATCAAGGTCTGAAACGCGGCGTAAAGTAAGACGCATGTCGTAAGACCCCCGCAGCCGAACGCAACCTGCCACATGCACCCGACAGCACCTTACCTTACTCATCGCACCTTTGCGGCCAGACTCTTTCAATTAGCCTCGATATTCGATGTTTCCGTCGAGATGGTGTTCAAACAAATCACAAGTCTCGTTTTGCAGACATCTTCCTGGCTGCAGAACCAAAGTCCCCTTCGCAGCGCAATTCAGACTTCTTCGCACAGTTTCGAATGGGATAATGTCCGTTGGGTCTACTTCTATTGGCCAGGCCAGGCTAATGCATGTAATAGGCTGCGGCTCACTCCCACTTCGTCTGGCACGATTGTTATGATGACTTCAAGTGCGCTCGCCTGCAGGTGCCGATGGACTGGCTGTCAGTTGTGATCGGCGAGCAGACATTGACGCTGCTCTTCTCCCAAAGGCCTGACTGACAGAATGGCAGCGGGACCTCCAATGAACGCAACAAGACCGTTGAGATAGCTGTTATCAAAGTGGAAGCCACGGTTCCGGTGACGGACGAGACGTACGGAGGCGCCGTTGTACTGAATCCAGGTGACTGCGATTGATTCCGTGCCCCCTGCGCCCCGCTGACGTACTTCCTTGAGGCGGTCCCGGCAACTCTGGCATTTCTCAGGTGCTCAAAGGAGGAAAGGCCGTGAGGACAATCCTCTCGGCCGGTCCTGAAGCGAACAAGAGCTCTGAAAAGGTGCCATCACATCCTCCATTCTGTCGTGCCCCCGCGGTGCTGTGATATCTCTTCTAACGCATGCCCACAGCATTTCGATGTCATCGGTTTCGATCCTCGAGGCGTGAATCATTCACGACCAGCACTGACCTGTTTTGCCAATGAGAATGAAGCCACAGCGTGGAAGATCGAACAGATCGCAAATGGGCTGATTGGCACATCAGATACTGCCTACGATCGTGTCTGGGCGAGTCAGCGAGCAATGGCGGAAGGCTGCAGCAAACGAGCGGCGGCAAATGGGATCGCTCACCACATGGCAACGGCGTCAGTGGCCCGAGACATTGTGGAAATATTCGAGAGGCATGGCCAGTGGCGTGATGCAGAAGCGAGGCGCTTATTGAACCTAGAACGGCCGACGGGCCGCGAAAGGCGTAACACTCTCAAGCGTACTGCTTATGTCGCTGGGAAAGAGAAGGTGCAGTACTGGGGTTTCTCTTACGGTACCATTCTCGGCGCCACGCTCGCGGCTATGTACCCAGACCGAGTCCATCGGGTAGTTTTGGATGCTGTGGCAGACGCTCACGATTACATGCGCGCCGGGTGGACTTCAAATCTATTCGATACCGACCAGATTGCGGACAAACTGGCGAAATACTGTTTCGAGGCAGGCGCCGAACATTGTCCACTCTACGACTCTCGTGGACCCGCCGCTATCATGGACAAGCTGCCAGCCACAATGGCCAAGCTGGCTGCAAATCCCGTTGCCTTCGAGGGAAATGATCTTCATGGACCGGCGATGGTAACCATAATTGAGCTCCTACAGCTGATTTCGACAGTAGTGTACAACCCTTTGAGAGACTTTCCTAGATTGTACCAGGCTCTACACGAGTTGAATCAGGGCGAGTCTGGCACGCTCAGAGCATTCAAGACCGAGCTCATAGGACCTCTTGAACACTCTCCGAGCGCACACTGCGCGACAGCTGGCCCGTTCTCCCCAGCCTGCATCACCACCGCGAGAGAGATCGCCGGGATGGGTATCACGTGTTCGGACGGCACGTCGCGTCTCAACGACACCAAAGAGACTTTCCGCGAATATGCTGAGGAGATCATGGCGCAAAGTACGCTCATAGGGTCGGTGTGGGCTCAAATTACGCTCGTCTGCACTGCATGGCATGCTCGGCCATGCTGGAGGTATGAAGGCAACTTCACTGCGAAGACTGCACATCCGCTGCTCTTCGTTGGCAACACACTCGATCCTGGTAAGTCACTTCTGAACGCGGGCGACACTTAATTGGCCGGACTGATGCTCGCCAGTGACACCACTCAGACACGCATTCATGATGGCCGGGGGCTTTGAAGGAGCCGGTGTGTTACAACAGAATTGCGAAGGACACGGCACGTACGCTTCCCCCTCCATGTGTTCTGGGAGGGCGCTCCGACGGTATTTCCAGACGGGCCGATTGCCTGGGTCGCCGGGAGAGCTGGCGGATTGGGCTGGGCATGGTGCTTTGTGTGAGCCGGACAGGCGACCATTCGATGGATACGAGCCGGGAACAATGCCGGCTTTACCGCACGGCGAACATGATGAAGCGCTTTGGGAGGCGCTCGTGACGTTGAATCAAGTATGGCCGTGAAGGGCCAGGCGTGGTGCCGTAGGTCAAGATAAGGTACATGAGCAGATGAAGTACTCGAGTCTTCCGAGGCAAACGACGGGCCAAAAGTCGGGGGAGCCTCCTACGTCAACCTGGCCAGTCGCCTTTCCCCACATCTTCACTTGCCTCTTTTCTTCACTCGTCGCCTTCGGCAATGCATTCATAACCCTCAACATGTCTTTTCGATCCTCGTTATCCAACGCGTTCGACACCTTGTCGCCATGGACTTCCTCGAAGAAGTTCCGCATCCTCGAACTCCCCGACGAACTCATCACGTTGATCATCGAACATGTCCGCGAACGCAAAACGCTCCGCCGCCTGGCTCGGACATGCAGAAAGCTGCAACATCTGGCGGAGGAGATGTTGTATCGTTGCCTCTTAGTTCGATCAAGCTTGACTCTGAACGGACTGGAGCGCGCGTTGCGTGCGAAAGATGCGCGATTCAAAGCGGTTCAATCCCTCGACGTTCCCTGTGAGAGTGCGCGGCCACCGAGCTTCGCCTCTCTCGCCCACATTGCCAACGAAGCGACCAACATGCGTGAAATGATGTGGGAAAGTCCCGAGTGTAACCACAATGACTTCGAAAGCCTCGGCCCTTGGAAGGAAATGACAGATCCGCTGTTCGCGTTATTCGAGAGAGCAGCTACCGTTCCTGGCCATGGTTACATCCGCGATCCGCCTCTGCAGAGGCTCCAGAAGTGTGAGTTCTCACCCTCTTGATCTTACAATATTTCCCAGTCTCGCCGAGAATTGAGGCTAACGAGGTCGGCAGTGACTCTCCATCTCAACGGGCCCGATTCGCCATATTGGCAATTGGACCAAACCTCCATCCACATCTTCCTCCACCCAACACTCCGCCAGTTGCACATCTCATGTGTCAGCATTGTCAATGTCGAAGACTTCACGCGGCAGGGCCAACACTCCACTCCGCTTCAGCATCTGACACTGGAGGAATGCAACATCACGCATGAAGGCCTGGCTGGCATCTTATCCTTCCCCATGGCGTTGGAGACTCTCCATCTAGGTATCTTCGTTCCATCACCCCCTTTAACGCGCATGCCGCTCATCATCATTCGTTTCAATAGGCGAGAACTGCCACAACCTGATCCACTTCAGGCAAAATCCCCTGCCCGCATACAGCAACCATCTCTTCGAACGCGACTCGAAATCGGCCGTCGAAGCCCTCCAACAACAGAAACACTCCCTCCGATCTCTCACTTACATCACCGCGCCCATGTACTCCGAGCTCTCCGTATTCCACCCCACCACCGCCAACCCAATCGACGGCGCCTTCGCCGACTTTCACGCCCTCGAGAGCGTCAAACTCGTCGGCTTCTGCCCTTCCTTCGAACGCGCCCTCCTCGCCCTGCAATCCCCCCCAAACCTCACCCACCTCGCCTTCAAAGCGAAAAAGATGTTCCGCAAAGCCCAAAACGCCAAACCAGAAGACGTCTCCACCGTCACCGGCATCCCCTTCCTCCGCGCGCCTTCAGCCTCCGTTCCGAAAAGCCTGAAGACGCTGGAGCTGACGTATACCGCCGACTACGGACTCATGGTCGTTGATCTCGTCCACTCTGGATCGCGCGAGAGGTCATTTATCCGCGATGCGGCGAGGGCAACGGCGGGGATGGGGATTGCGCTTCGCGTGCTGGCGACGAGGATTGAAGGCGACAAGCATTTCTACCCTCCGTATCTGTATGGGGAAGCAGAAGCGGCAGAGGATGTCGTATTTGTTGATGACGATTTCACGGGGATTTACAAAGCGAGCGAGAGGAGGTTGAGTCGCGTTACCCGAGCTCTAATGATCTTGAGAAGGAATTCCGATGATGAATGAGGGATGTTTTATGAGGAATCATGTGAATGACATTCAATCATGTAAATGCACAGTACATTCTTGCCCTCACAAATGTGGCGCATGCGCGCTGGCCAACCCAAGATTCACTATGCTCACAATGCCTTCGCCGAGGATGAGCCCCGATGCCAACACAATCACCCTCGTCTCCTCTCTCTTGTACCAGCGAGTCCACACCCACGCAATCAACCCTCCAACCGTACGCGCCAGCGTGAACGAAGGCGTGTTGTACATGCCGACGGCCACGGCAATTCCCCCAGGCACATAAGCCACCCACGGCGCGCCCTTCGACCCATCCGCATTCCTCTTAGATTGCCCATAGATCCGAAGAGCAGTGAGCACAGACCAAATGGCGAAGGCCGCAACGGCGAATGCCCCAACTCGATCGGGCAGGCCTTCGCCAGTCACAAGTCGCGCGGTGAAGACCCAAACAAACCCCGTTGGCACTTGGAAGAGCCCGCCGGGGATGGTGTAGACTTTCGTGTACAGCTTGTACACCGCGGCGCTCACCACTGCACCAACGCCACTACCAATCAACTGCCCATAGAATTGCGCTTTCGGGCTGGCGCCGAGGAGATGGCCGCACTTGAGATCCTGAAGCAGGTCGCCGGCCTGCAAAGCACCAGCCTCCGAAATTCCACCAGCCAAAAGGTTGATGACCACGGCGTTTTTGCTTCCCTTGGGGGTCACGAGGGCGAAGATGAGTTGGGTCAATTTGGAGATGCCACTGACGGGGTTGAGGTCGGTCTCGCCTAGGGCTCGCACGGCCATGACGCTCAAGAACATGGCCAGGATGAGCGATAAGATGGTGAGCTTGATTGGGATGATACCAGCGAAGGAATACTGGACTGCAAAGATGCAGAAGCCCAGTGTTAGGACGAGGCCGATGAGTGTTCTTGTGACGCCGATTTGGTGCTCGGGAGGCGCGTCGTAGTTTTCTTCGTCGTCCTCGAAGGGGGATGACTTGCTCTTAGCTAAAGTCAGGTTGTCTTCTCCTACCCGGCTGTATGCATGGCGTGAAGGGCGAAAGAGGTCTGTGACGGCACGTCGTAGGCCCTTCCGACGAACTTTGTCGGCAACGAACGGCGCATACACCCAGGTGTACCCGATGAGTGGCCTGAGAACCAACCATCCAAGACTGACGATCGAGTCTGCCAGCATAATAGCCAAGCTGATCCAGACAATCCAACCTTTGGAGCCTCGCTCCCAGTCGCTCACATCGCCGCTCGCCCAGCCTTGGAATTTGGCCAATGGTGATAGGACAGCCCAGCCCAGTACGGCGCCAAGGAACATGTGGATGGTCGTCGCCGGGCCCATGATAATGCCCTGCCCCACGTATGCCGGGCTGGGGTTGAGATTCCAAAGCCACACCGAAGAGAGATACGAGCCCAGGATAGGAATGGAATGTAGCTGAGGGACGAAATACGACACCAATGTCTGTGATGTAGAGTCAGCACGACAGATGGACGAAGCCAGATCCTTGGGATGGTACTCACGTATATTCCGCTCACCAAGAAGGCATATAAGAGCAGACGGATTTGAGCCAGCCAGTCCTTTTTGTCGGCACTGTCCTCTCTGTGATGATCGTCATCTCGCGCATAGACATCATGTTCAGAACTCGGCGGTGAGGCGTTCGCAATCAAAGCGCGACTTTCTTCGTCGCCATCCCCGCCCGCCGCCCGTCGTTCGCGCGCCCACTGCTGCTCAATATTCCCTTCTTCACCAGTCTTTTCTCCTCCATGCAATACTCCAATCATCAAAGCCGTAGCAGTGCCAGATGGGAATCGGAGCTTTTCGCGCACAATGACCTGCTTTCGCAGAGGTACCGCAAGCACAACCCCGAAGAAGCACAAGCCCAGGGCCCATATGATCAGCTTGCCAAGAGGAAGTCGAACACCGCCCCTATCCTCTCCCAATGCAAGCGCGGAGATGATATCAGGGTCTGTGGAATTCGATTCTGGCGTCTCAGAGGGTTTCAATAGAAACTCGAGCGCCGGAATGACCCCCACAAATCCACATCCTAACGGCATTGTGCCCACGGAGCCGGCGACGGTCTGCACCAGCACATTCTCCACCTCACTGAATCCCTCACCGAGCCCGTATCTTTTGAAACCATCTCCAAGTCTTCCCATTGCACTTCTAAGGCCTCGGAAGTATGCAAAGCCGACCAAGGCACTCGGCATCGCCATCCCACTGATCCATCCCGTCTGAAGACCGAAGTAGGTGTTGGAAAAGGCGATGAGGACGCCGATTAGCAGGCCTAGCAGGAGAGCGCGGATGGTGAATTGAGGCTGCTCGCTCCTCTTTGCCAGGAAGGCGGAGGAAGGCTCTTGACCAACCGGCCTGTCAGTGATGTCTTCGGACGCCTCATGGTCGAGGCCGTTGACTTCGTCGTTGACGCCGTCGCCTCTGTCGGGAGCCATGGCGGGTAGCTGGTGCAGCTTAAGATGCTAGGTGGGAGGCGTGGTAAGATGGTGGCGGAATACATTTCGACGCAGAGCACGCCATTTAATCATCGTGACATATGGCGCTGTGAGTAACAGCCGATTGCGGGGCGGCTGGAGTGGGTGCAGGCGGATGCTGCCGAACCGCTCCCGCATTGATCTTCACCAAATTCATTCAATGTCTATGCCTTTCTTCCCACCGCTACACGAATCTCGCGCGCATTGCACCGCAGCGCTCGCTTTAGGCATGCCAGACTTGCCACCGGGATGGAGCTTCAGCAACAGTGAGGGCTCTCACGCAGCACCTCCTCCACGCCCTCAAGAAGACCTAGAGGACTCCGACGAAGATCTGGAATTGGCGGTGGACATTCAACCCGACAGTCCTGGCTGGGAAGATGTCGAGCCGGGCAACGACATTGAAACGACAAGCTACAAATGTCTCATTTGCCCGGAGAACTTTGACGACGCCGGCAAAATGCTAGACCACTGCCGCTCCGAGCATTCCTTTGACTTTTTGGAGATCCGCAGACTGCATGCCCTGGACTTTTACTCGACGATCAAACTCGTAAACTACATTCGTTCGGCAGTGGCAGATGGCAAGCCGCCTGATGTGCCGGATTTGGCGGATCCGGCGGTGTGGGCAGATGATCGGTTCATGAAGCCGGTGTTGGAGGACGACGCACTCTTGTACAGCTTGGATGAGGTGGTGGATTTCGGAGGCGATGGGCCCGTCCAGGATGTGGTGTCAGGCTGAACCTCTCGCTCCTCCCAGTCCGCACGCATGCAAGACTTCGTTCTACCCTGGGCAGTTGCGAATCGGATTACTGTCAGTTGATTGGCATTGCTCGAAGGCTTGGGCTAGCTGCAGGACAGATGGCAGATGTGAAAGCACAGCATTGGCCGAGGCAGTGGCCGATTCGAAGGAAAGATGACACCTCACACGGCCTGGAGTCAAGGCGAGCGACCTTGGTCCGAACAGAGCCGGGCAGACGGAAGGTGTGGTTGAGTCATCCTGCTACACCATAACCTCCGCCATTGGAAGATCAACACCTAATAAAATCACACCTTGTTCCAATGTGAGATCCACCGTATCCGCAGATCACCATTAGCTTTTCAAAGCAGTAATGCTGGGGACCAGACGGTAGTGTCCCACCACCTTAATTGACGCGAGACACGTCTTGTAAATCTCAAGACTCACCATTGGCCCGGCATGGTCACCCACAACATCTGTGGAATGTCTTGAGCAGCGTCGATTGGAGCAACAGATTGTGAAGTGAAGGGGCCGCTTACACGTGATAGCGCGATGTGCTCCGCGTCAGTCGGCGCGCATCCGAGCCAATCAGGGGGCGCGCGGGCAGGATTCAGGAGAAATAAGCGCAGCGAGCAACGGCATTCAGGGACCGACCACCGTTAAACTAGTGCCTGAACGAGGAGCGCCCTTTCGTGATGCCCTTCGTTTCAGATCTGGTCCTGGCCCGCGCAGTCTTCATTCCTTTGACTGTTCTCGCTCTTGCCCTCGTTTTGTGAACCTCCGTCCTTCGCGTGTGCAGCGTGAGATCGACCGCCTTGCTTCAGCGGTGCAAGAGAAGGACTTCACGCGTGCAGGTTTGGTCTGCTGGTTCAGACCCCCTGCTTCCCACGCAATGGATACGGAAACGTTGTCCACGCCGGCGGCCGGTGCAGAGGAGCATCCTTACACCAACGTGTACACCTCCACCGCCGTGCGAATGAGCTTATCATCACGCCCCTCTTCACAGCATTCTGGCTCCAACTACTCCTCCCATTCCACCCCGGACGCCTCCCGACCCTCCTCCTTGTCCGCCCAAAAGAGCTTGGCCCCCGATGATGCAATGTTCGAGGAGGTCTCCTTGAACTCAAGACCAAACTCCTACAATGCAAAGATTGCTCCCATCAAGACGTCCTTTACGGGCAAGGAGAACTCCCATCCGCTTATCGTCGATACGCCCCCTCGATCTCAATCCCCCTTGGGCTCGGACTACTCCGGCTCCCCGGGCAAAGGCGAGAGAAGTCCTACAACACCCACCATGCCCGTGTCACCCATCACCCCCTACGAGGCCCGCATGTCCATCAACAGCTTGAACTCCTTTGACCTTGCAGATGTCGACTATGGCTATGTCTCGCAAGCCAATCAGGATGCAGATACGAACGAGACGCCCAGGGGCAAGGTCAAGGCAAACAATGTGGAGCGCGCAGACAACGCGTGGGGCTCCTCATGGGCCCTGCCTCGACAGCGCCGACCGACTTTGACACGTCCTTCGCCTCCCGCTCGACAAAGTACCCTGTTTGACATGTCCAAGGATTTGCCTCTCACCCCGACAACTCCGACAACCGACACGAATACAAAGGCAGAGGACAGCACATCAGAAGAACATGGCAGAGAGGAAGACACCCATGCGTACGAAGAAGAGCAGTCATATGACGCATCGGCACCAGCCCTGAACGTGATTGATACATCCTCGGTCTGGAGAACGGAGAGATTCAGCAGTCTCGGTGCTCCTACAAGAGTGCCCACTTGGCCAGCAGACGATGAGCTGGCGGAGTTGGACTGGAGTACTCTTGACCGCAACGAGGAGCAGGAGAAGGAGGACAAAGATGTACCACAAGGTGCAGAGGACGAATCCACGCGTTTCCTGCTCGCGCGGCTGGAACAAGAGAACGCAAAGTTTGCTGCCGATCCGAAGGCATCAATCAGCAAAAGGACTGGTCGGCAGCGCAGCCAAACCCGACCACCCAGCATGGCACATCTGAAGAAGCTTGTTGCACAGGACGCCCCATCCATTCGCTACAGCCTCGTCTCTGACGTCGAAGTACCCGTACCCGATGAACCGCCTGCCATGACCGAGCTCGAGTTCTGGGCTGCACTGGTGCAAGACTACCCATCCACGGCATCGCGATTACCTACATTGACCGCCACCAAAATCCGGGCTGGAATCCCTCCTCCACTCCGAGGCGTGGTCTGGACATCGATGTCGGGAGCCCGGGACAAGGATTTGGAGGAAGCGTTCGAGACGCTACAGCACGAGGAGAGCCCCTACGATGGCATAATCAACAAAGACGTCGGCCGGTCCTTCCCCGGCGTCGAGCTGTTCCGGGACGCCGAAGGTGAAGGGCAGAAGATGTTAGGTCGAGTGCTCAGATGTTTCTCCTTGCACGATAAGGACATTGGATACTGTCAGGGGCTGGGCTTTCTCGTTGGTCCTCTGTTGATGAACATGGGCGAGAAGGATGCATTTTGTGTGCTCGTGAGGTAAGAAAACGATGAATGGGCAGGATGCAACACATTTGCTAATTCCACGCAGGCTCATGGACCACTACGCTCTTCGGCCATCCTTCTTGCCGTCGCTCTCCGGCCTCCACATGCGCATCTTCCAGTTCAGCAACCTGTTGAAGCAGCATATGCCCACCCTATCCGAGCATCTGAGCAGCTTAGGCGTCGAACCGGCATATCTTTCCCAATGGTTCCTCTCTTGCTTCGCAGTCACCTGCCCTCTGCCAATGCTGTTCAGGATCTACGATGTCATCTTCGCTGAGGGTGCGAATGAGACTGTCATGCGAGTCGCCCTCGCGCTTTTCCGACGGAACGAGGAAAAGATGATGGCCAGTCACGAGTTCGAAGACGTCATGCAGCTTTTGCTCGGCCGGGCCCTCTGGGACGTCTACGCATGCAACGCAGATGAATTGGTCGACGATTTCACCTCTCTGGGCAACATCATCACGTACGACAGGCTCGCAGAGCTTGAGAGGGAATTTGAGAGCAAGAGTAGCGACGCGGTTGGGCAATCTGCGGGATTCCTTCCCGATGTCCAAGCTGCCGCATCTCGATTTCTCGGTCGGCTTTGGACTCCGGGCCATACGCTTACGCCGAGCAAAGGCGTCAATGCTTCACTTTCTCCGCAAAACACAGAGAAGACCACTTCGACATATGGCTACCTTTCGCGCCCCAGCGCCTTTCTCAGAAGATCTCCGAGCAAGACGAGCTTGGGTGCCATCAACGACAGCAATTCGAGCGAGTCGTCGGGCGGGGGCAGTACGAGCACAGCACCCACAGATGCAGACATACACGATGCGGCGGCACGCGAAAGCCAAGCGGATTCCATGAGTATGAGATCAAAGTCAGAGTCGATGTTTACGATCTCTGGCTCGACATCGGCGCACGCTCAACAGCTGTCGAGTCCACCCGGTACCAAGGAAGAAGAGCTCCAATCAGAGATTGAAGACCTGCTGATGGCGCTCTCGGAGATGCAAAGAGAGCATGCTCAGATGGCTGCTATGCTGCAGCGAGAACGCGAAGAAAGGACTGACGATCAGAGAGTGGTGAAGAAACTCGTGAGCAAATTGAGCAACGACGAAGGAGAGCGAAAGACAACGGTGCGGCGAAGTATGCCGCCGCCTCCACGGCCCAGCAGCGAGGAGGTCACCAACGTGGCCGACAAGAGGAAGACTCTGCCTCCCGGATTTCTCACTGCGCCTGTGGACGAGGGCTTGAACACAGACAGGCCGTCAATCGTTGTTGGGGAGCATCAGAGCGAGGTGGAGGATCTTGTGCGGGAAGTACAATCAAGACTCGAAACCAGCGCTCGATTCTCAGCGAGTTTCGAGACGCGAGCGCAGTTGCGCAGTGCGTTGGCGCGAACACGCGAGCAATTGGCAACGGCCGAGACTCAGGTCAAAGATTTGAGTGAGAGGGTTGAATTTGCCGAACTCAGCTTGGCCGAACGTCAGGCCGAGGACGAGAGCTTACAGGCGGAGGTCGAAGAACTGCGGGCCAGGGTGAACGATGATTTCAAGGAAAAGAAGAAGCATGAGCTTCAGATTGAGAATCTCCAGATTCAGATCCGCATGGAGGCGAAAGCGGTCGAGAAGAAGCTGCGCGCGGCTGAACTGGCTCGCACGGAGAACTCGAGCGAGGTGCCGATCATTCGCAAGCCAACCTTGGAGTCACCGGCTCGATCGAGGACTGGCTCGGTTTCTAGCAACCCCGGGAGCAGTGCAGGTTTGCGGGAGCTCAAGTTGGGCAGGCGGGAGTCGGTCAGTAGTGTTGCCAGCATCCGTTCTATGAGGAGCCAACGCCAAACCGGAGACGAATGGCCTCGAGTCAGCCTTCCCCCAGCCGACACCCCAACCTCTCCGCCCAGAAGTCCGGAGCCCGATCTCACGCCCACCACACCCACAATCTTGCCCACACTACCCCAGACGCCAAACCTCGCTGTGCCCACGCCTAGCGGACCGTACTTTGCCCGACGAACGACGAGCTTGGCAGCCAAAGAAGTCTTCGCTACGCCCCAGCACGAACCCGTCCCAGAGGATGCTCTTCTCCTCGAGCTCGTGAACGCCAAGACGGCAGAAGCAACAGCGAGACAGGAGGTCGACGAGATGAAACGCAGCATGCAAATGCAGAAACGACGCGCAGACGAGACTCTCCTCGAACTGCAAGCCGCCGTTGCGAATGCGAAGCTAGAGGCCGAGAAGGCGCGCGAGGAAGCCGAAAAGGCACGGCAGGAGGCCAAGATGGCGAGAGCGGAAGTCTTTGATGCGTCGGAGCTGAGCACGCCCATGACGCCCGCAGCGAACTATCCCTTCTATCAAACTCGGACCGATTCTGCGGAAAAGAGCCCTTCGCCAGCTGCTGGAGTCGTCTATTCGGCTTCTCCCTCGCCGTCGCCGGTTGAGCCGACGGAGCAGAAGGATGCTGAGGCGGGGAGTGCGGGCTTTGCGGGTTGGTCATTCTGGAGTAGGCGGAATGCTAGCGCGACCAAGTCGCCTGGAACTTGAGGTGCATGGAGAGGCACTAGAAAGAGGGGCTTTGACAGGCGTAGCTGCTTTAATGTCTGATGGTGTTTTGTAGGATGTAGGGCATTAGAGCGAGTTTGGTGGTGTGGAAGAACGGCGAAGCCATTCAACACAGATTTCGAAACCCCAATTGGATCATTCATATTCGCTCTCCTGACCCTCTATCTGATTGCCTGCGACGATTTCACAGCTTCTCTTGTCGCACCGGGCGCACCACGAAAGCGAGTCGGGGGAAATGAATGCGCACATCTATCACGGCAGGGGGACCGAGTTTCTGCGGCTTGATCACGACTTCCTCCGGTGATAAAGCCACCAGCGTTCCAACAGTCGGACTACAGCAAATTGTGTCAGCGATGTCTCGTAAGGATGATTCACAAGCGAAGACATACTCATCTCTGCCCGTATCATCAGGCGCAATCGACACCAGCGCCCCATCCGTCAGCCCACACTTTCGATCCAGTTCCGCCTGCGCGGTATTCGGCGTCGGGAGCAGTAAGGATTTGGGGCCCAGGGTTGGGGAATCCTGGATCTCCTTCACCACCGCTTCTATGCTCTCCACTTTCTCCTCCACAGCTGGCAGGGCGTCGACGTAGTTTTTGAACATCTTGTACCACGCGGACAAGCCGGGGTAGCGTTGCGAGTTGAACACCGGCTTCACGCCCTCTGTATCTGTGTCCTTTGTTTCGCCGCCGGTGAGATTGCTTTGATTGCGGCCGGACGCCATGTCGGTGCCCCACTCGAGCTGGTAGTAGAGGGAAATATCCGCCAACGACGGCGAGCGCGTGGAGAAGACAAAAGCCCCGTTACCCCCGTTGCCGGCGAAGAGCGGCTCAAGCATAGAGAGATGCATATCCAGCCGCGACAAGTTCTCGGGCAGCTTCTTCTCCAATTTGTCCGGGTCGATTTTGTGCCCGATTAGGCCCTCTCGGTCCCGGCCGAAGGCGGAGCGCCAGATGCTTGCAGGCATGAGTCCAGTAGTCACGCGGAACAGCGGTCTGTCGGTCCAGTACGAGGCGAATCCGCGAATTAAAGGCCTATAATCTCTTCCATCCGCTGTTGGGGGATACAGCGATCTATACCCCTCCGAGGCCGGGAAGAAGTGCTCGAGCGCTTCGACGATGAGCGAGGTGTCGCAGTACAGGTCGCGGCCGATGGTCAGGACGGGGATTTTGCGGTAGGTGAGGTTGAAAGTGTTGCGCAGCGCCGGACGCGGCATCATGGATGGCACTGTCACGAATTTGTAAGGGATCTGCTTAATGCGCAGGGCCAGGCGGACTTTGAGGGTGAAGGTCGAGGATTCGTAGCCGTAGAGGACTATGCTGGGGGTTTTGGGGAGAGCCATGGTTGTCACAGAGCTTCTGGTGTGAGTGGATGATTCAGAGTCTTCTGCTCGTTCACTCTGGTGGAAATGTTGGAGTTGTGAACGTGTATGCAAGTCGGATGGAGTGTCGTTGGAACAGCCGAGGTGTCATTGGCTTAGCTGTCCGAAAAGGGCAGGAACGGCAACCCGGCTGAAGGGGAGAGCACTTCACGTCGCAGACAGTACATTTCAGCAGACATGACCGAAATAGGTTGGTAACAGCATCCGTTTCGTAGCACATCTCTACACTCGCCTAACCTTTGGCAATGCAAGGTCCTCAACAAGCCTACTCGACTCATCCGAGCCATCGTACTCCTCAGAAGTCACTCTCGCGCCTCGCCCATTCTGCACCCGCTTCATCTTCTGCTCCTTCTCAATGCGCAATTTCTCCTTTCTCGCCGTCTCGATATTGGCCCTTACGCAGTTCCCCACAGCCCTCACCACCCAGCCTCTCTCAATGCTCATCCCATCCTTTGGCTCTTTCACGCCCGCCGCGCTATTGTAAACCACCATATCACCGTGTCGCCCGGCCAGCAGGCCACGATGTGTCTTTGCTTCCTTGTCGCCCAGAAAATCCATCTCTCCGTCACGAATGGCATCGGCGATATGCACAGGCACAAGCGTCTGCATGAATGCATCGACAACGTGGGCGTGCTGCTCTGTAAACGCGGAAGAGAAGTCCGGCGTGATGGACACGATCGTCTGCCCGATCAGTTTCTCCAGCTGGTGAGGCAGTGGCCCAGACTTCGGCACGAGACTGTCAGACTTGCCGCTTGTGCAGGAATTCAGCAGACGGTGGAGGGTTCGCATATGTGCCATCGTCCAGGGGTGCTGATTGCTCAGGACGCCGTAGCGACTTCGGATATTGTGACGGAGGAGATGAGGGTAGATGGGTTCCGGAGGCTGTTGTTCCGAAGGCAAGATTGATGCAGGACCCGTGGGACGGACGACGGCAGACCAAAACGTTGTACTCAGGCGGGTGAATATGCCTGGCTGGCTTTCAGTGTCACGTTCAGCCGGACATTCCCCAGATTCGACGGAGGCAGAAGTGCGTGCAGAGGGTTCCACGTCGGCGGGCGGCTCAGCACCAAAGAGTGACGGGTAATTTCGCTTCGGAGCAATGAGCGACGACTTGCCATCGGAATCGTTGAAGTTGACTCTGATCTTCTGCGGTGAATCGAGGTTGAGGTGCTCCTCGTAGCTACGGCCTGGGTCCCGCGATGCATCTTCTTCATACTCTTCTTCGTGCTCTTCATCGAAGGTATAATCGCTGGGCTCAGTGGGATGGCTGGCGATCGACAACGAGCTTTCCGCGTTACTTTGGACTGCGCTGCTGCCGCCCGGAGTTGGAATTACGCCCATCTCGCTGAGAAGCTGGCGTTGATCGCTGGCTTTGCTCTGAAGACTGTCACACGTGCTGTCTTGCACACTGTCTTGATGCAAAGAGCTCGTATTGAACGACAGATGAGAGACCTGCGGTTGCCGTCCGCGCGACGACTCATCCTCCGTACGATCCGAATGTGTGGCGGACATTGCGTTGCCGCCAGACATTTTGCTACTCTTGAGTAGGCTTTTCCTGAGCGGACTGCTGACAGTGTTCTCCTTGATAGTTGTTTGCGAAGCGATCCGTGAGGTGCGAGGATTGGGCCCTCTACGCGGCGCAGAGTCCATTGTCGACCTCTCCAATTGGTGCATGGTGGGAGGAGCGACAGTCTGTTGCTTGGCCGGGGTAGGGTTACCATTCAAATCCAGAAGCTCACTCAAGTCCATAACACGCTGCCGCCGTTGGAACCTCGGTCGCGAGCGACGGGAATACACGTTTGGGAGATTACGCTGCCAGAACAGGCCGGTCTCTTGACCTTCGCTGTCTGGGCTCGTTGCGCTACTGCTGGAATTCGACAGTGGACTTGCGACTTCTGGCCGTTGAGTCACCCCATGCAGTTGCGTTGCTTCGCCATCGGGTTGAGTGAGCGACGTGTCGCCCTCCTCATAGGTGCTTTTGTCGGCACTGTCTTCGTCATCGGTGCTTGGTGGGGTGAGCACACCGCCGCTCCTGCCATCGACTGCCTCGGCCTCTGTTGACGTAGTAGAGGTCTTGCGCAAAGGGCCGGTCTGCGGAGAATCGACATAGCTGAACGGATTCCCTGACTCTCGACGCCATGTGCCTGGGATTTTGGATCGAGCCGGTCGCAGGGCATCGTTACTGAATAGATCGCTCATTCGCGGCGAGTGCTTTGAAAGCATGGATGGTGAGCGAACAGCCACTACATGTGGCACATCGACCTCCTCGTCCAGTGAACGTGAAGCCTCTTCGGCCCAGATATCATCATCCGCGGGCATAGCCTCAACTTCGGCCTGCTCTGCTCCCGCTTCTACGTTGTTCTCGGTGGCAGTCGGGGCTATCCGTCTCTCGCTCGATTGGTCTTTGTCCAACGTGAATGATTGAGGCGCCATCGCATGGTTGTGAACGGACGCTTCGCTGGAGATGTTGGGATACCGAACGGAGTAAGGAGTAGACTGCGCCATTGGAGGAGACGACGGCATATAAGATATGCTCGCGACACTTCTGTCCCTCAACGACAATGCTGAATCATCGAGCAGCTGAGAGGTGTTTTGCTTCATGCTTTGCAGCGTTTCGACCGATATCATCGTGAAATCCTCGTTCGCTACTGTCAGGTCACCAGGCTCGTCGTCAAACTCGTTTGCCATGTCTGCGTCGGAGTCGGAGTCTTGCTGTGTATCCGCGGGAGTTTGAAGTCGTGGGCCAACAGCCTCTTCCAGCGCCTGGTGCAACTCCTCTCTTGCCTTGCTCAGTCTCTTGGATCTCGTTGTATCCGCACTCACTCTCGATGATGTGCTGATCGCAGCTGTGCCAGCTCCTTGGTCTTCCTCGACTATGTCTGTTCCTTCCTGTGTTTTTATATTGCGTCTCCGCATGGGCGTAGCTCTTCGCTTCCTCTGCGGCCTGACTTTTCCTCCATCCTCTTCATCCGCATCTTCTCCGCCTCCATATCCCGCCCGAACCCTCCGAGCGCTGTTTCTCTTAGCAGGACTACTGCTTTCCAAGCCCTTGACAGGAATCTTTGTGGTTCGCGTGATCTTCTTCCCGGGACTACTTCCCTCCTTCGGCTCTGCTTCCACCGTGACCTTTATTCGCCAAGGACTGGCATCGCCCGACTTGCCCGTATCCATGACGAATGTTTTGGAGGGCGAAGAGGAGTGCATGGCATTCTTGAGCCGCGGCGTCGAGGGTTTCGGCGATCTGCGTGGAGCTGGAGAGGTCTGCGCATTCGCGGAGCGGATGGCGAGAGGGGACGAGGGAAGGGTGATCGGGTCGGGTGAGGTAGAGCGACTCGATGTAGACATTCCGACCGTGGACATTGCGCAGGATGGCGAGTCCGGCAGTCGTAGAACGAGTGGAGATGGGCTCCCTTGACCGTGTTTATCGATTGTTGACCGTGGTGTTGACGCAGGCGGTGACGAAGAGCGCGGGCTGGTCGCAATGCCTCACCACGCTATGGCAACATGACGGACTTGTTGTGTGGACAGTATTATCTGCAACTAGTAGTGATATTGACAAGTCGGCGACCGGGATGGCGTTCAAATGCTCCGAGCTTGACATGGCTGCCAAACACGTGAGGACGTTCGCGGGTCGCGTCGTTGCCATGGCGACCGTCGATGCCTGAAGTGCCGAAGCTTCACTTCCTCACTTACAGACGAACTCACAATCTTCCCTGCAACACCACAGGACTCTTGGACATTTGCAAGACAATGCTGCGGTAGACACGTCGGGAAAGAATGGGCGTTCATGGCCTTCTCTCCCAGATTGGACCCGGCCAGCGCATCTCCATCGCCAAACTCGCCGCCGACCACTACGCCACCCACAACCGCCCCTTACGCCTGGCCATCGACATCAGCATCTGGCTGTTCCAAATCCAGTCGGGGAAAGGAGGCTCCAACCCGGCACTGAGGACCTTCTATTATCGCCTCCTGCGTCTGCTTACATTGAACATCTGGCCGCTTTTTGTCTTCGATGGCCCGAACAAGCCACTGTTCAAGCGCAACAAGAAAGTCGGCGGACCGGGAGTGCGTGTGGCCAATGTGCCCGAATTTCTGGCAAAGCAACTACTCAAGCATTTTGGATTCCCTTGGCATGTCGCGCCTGGAGAAGCAGAGGCGGAGTGTGCTCTTCTGCAGCGCGAGGGCGTTGTGGACGCCGTGCTGAGTGAGGATGTCGACACGCTCATGTTCGGCTCGGGAGTCACTCTGCGCAACTGGACTTCCGAAAACACCACAAAAACTCCCACGCACGTCAACGTCTACCGCGCCGAGCAGACCAAGGAAACGAGCGGCATGGATCGAGAGGGCATGATCTTGGTCGCGTTGATGAGTGGGGGTGACTATCTACCCGAAGGAATTCCTGGCTGTGGACCAAAACTTGCATGTGCTGCCGCGCGTGCTGGTTACGGTCGCGACCTCTGTGCTCTCTCGCGAAGAGACGCAGCCGGCATCCGCGCTTGGAGGGAGAGCTTACGGCATCAAATCCACACAAACGAGGCCAAACACTTTTCGCGCAAGACTCCGAGCCTTACAATCCCCGACGACTTCCCGAATCTTGAAGTACTGGGCTACTATACCCACCCTTGTGTTTCTGCCCCAGACAAGCTCGCACGATTGAAAGCGGAGCTACGCTGGGACCAACAGATCGATTTCGCAGCCTTGAGAGATTTCACCGCGGATGCATTCGATTGGCGATGCATCGGTGGCGCAAAGAAGTTCATCAAAAACCTTGCCCCTGCTATGCTGGTCCGTGAGCTTCGATTACGAGGCGATGCGGATGAGCATCTTGACCAAGAAGCACAAGCACAAGTCGAGCAAGATTTCGTATCGGCCATCTTGGGCAAGCGGAACCACAACATCATGGATGGTGAATTGGAGTACAGGATTTGCTACATTCCAGCCAAGCTCGTCCCCATCGATCTGAGCATTGAGGAGGAAGATGATCAATTTGTCCCCGCGGGTGGCGTGGCAGAGGAGAGTGATGTCGAGAGTGAATACACGGGCCTCCCTCCAGGCACGCAAGATGATGGGGACTCTACAGCAGCGCCAACTTCTCCTTCTAAGAAGAGAAACTTCAAACCATTCGACCCGGACCAGCCCGAGAAACTATGGATCTCGAAGCCGTTCCTCCAAGTCGGCTGCCCGCTTCTGGTAGAAGACTACGAAGCGCCCTCCAAGGATCCTGAAAATTTTCTGAAGGCTAGAAGAAAAGCACAAGCGGCTGCGAAGAAGGACAAAGCCCCCAGAGCGAGGAAGGGAAAGGCGGCAAATCCTGAAGTTCGACCCGAAAACACCCTATTGGCTTATGCGACGGTGACAAAAGCTGTCGATCGAAGTTCCGCAAAAGACACCAGCCTTCCCTCGTCTCAGGCGAATGTGCCGACGAAGTCACAATCGGTGATTGGTCAAAAGGATCCAAAGGAAGCCGATGGCTCCAAGCCTTTCGGTTTCCAGTTGCCCGCAACGCAGATTCCGCCCGAATTGCTGCAAGACTCCATCACTGATTCAACGCCAGCCGTCGAAGTCCTGGACCTTGCTATGGATACACCTCATCCGACTTCACGACCACAAGCCGCTCCTTCCATGACGCTGAATACGTTCAAAGCTTTCGCACAGCCAAAGAAAGGGTCAGGTCGTCCGGCTAAGAGCGTACAGATGACACCCAAGCGCAGCAAGAAACGACCATCCCCCGAATTTTCCTCTCCAGCGAGCCAAAAGACCATCACCAGTTACTACTCGCCGTCGCCGCGAAAGACACAAAGTCGGATTGCTGGAGGACGGCCAGACGATATTGTAGATCTCACTCTGTCCTCCCCGATATCGCAGCCCCTCGCCCTGAGACCCAGCACTCCAACACCCATCAACGCACGATTCCAATTCATGCGAGAAGAGCGTACGAGATCTTCTGTATACTCGCCTGAACAATTACCGGATACCGTCACGAAGCGTCGGAGGAGAGAGCCGCTCAAGCGATGGCAGACGGAACCCGCGCTCGGTCTGGACGATGGTACGAGCGATGTTGCACGACCCTTTTCTAGGCCTCGGTCAAGCGACCAGACTTCACGGCCGCCTCTCGCAGATATGCCGGCAAACATTGAAGAGCCCGTGTTTCATGGCTTATCTGCTTGCATCACACCGATGCGACCGGCAGCCTCCCCTGCTGAGCACGTTGAAGATTGGCTACAAGACACCGCGGCATGCGTGCCGACAGCCATCAAACCCCACCATCGCTCTCCGGCGCACCTCGCTCCACCACCCCGTCGCTCACCACGACAGCATTCTCAATCGAACGTCGTAGTGAAGAAGCGCATCCAAGTGCGTGAGAGCCTTGAAGGCTGGTGGAAAGAGATCGACGTCGCCGAGACGGTCGATCTTTCTGGCGACGGAAGTGGATGGAAAAGGAGTGGAGGGCGAGCGAGGATTGTTGGAGACGACGCCAAAGAAGGGCTTGGGGCGAGGAACGGCAAGGGGTGGAGGAAGTCTGGAGTCGAGGTGTTGGACTTGACTGGTGCATGAGTAATATCTCTCAAGCGACGATGATTATGAAGTAACGAGCTCTCTACCATTCGTATCGATCTCTTGAACAGCGCGCATCTCATGCGCTGTATCTTGCCCTGTGGGTATCCTGCTCGCATCTCATTGCCTCAAACCCTTCTGATTCCACCAGTCCACGTTTCCCAGTTTTTGCTCCTTCACCATGTCAAGAGTGAGCCCAGCCCATTAAACGCAAGTAAGCCCTTCCCATTCCCACAAGCCTCCAGAAACTCCTTCGCAAACTTCGGATCAAGACCACGGCAACACACAATCGGCGCCCTCCCCTTGCCACCCAAGAACAGCGTCTCGAATGCTTTCGCTCCCTGTACATTTTGCAGCTGGGGCCGTGCAGACTTCTCTTGCTCCCTCACTTCCATTTTCGAGTCCGTGATGGCGCAGAATGGAAAAGCGAGCAGCCAGAACGGACACTCGCCTGATGCGCAAGGGATGAACGGCTTCTCCTCATCATCATCCATTGCCTCGCCCGGCAGGATCTCACCCCATTCTCGCACTCTGCCTTCCGCCGTGACTTGAGCGCGGGGAGGAATCGGTGCATGACGGACTTCGACGACAATCCAGTCCCGCGGTCTTTCAGTATTCGGCCCTGCGCTGGGACCCTCGAGTACGGATGAGGGAAGCTCGATGCGGGAAATTTTCAGCTTCGCGCAGCTTGTGGCGTCGATGCCGACGAACAGGCGGTTGGATTGCGCGTCGCGGAGTTCCACGCGGGCAGGGAGGAGTTGTTTGGAGCGCGTACTCGACTTGGCGAGCCATTTGTTGAGTTCGCGGGCGAGGCCGACGGAGTTGTAGCAGGGGATGTGATAGTGGTGGGAGATGTGGATTGGTGGTGCCCAGTCAGGGGGTGGAGAGGCTGGTGGGCAGGCTAGAGCGGAGAGTGGTCTCGCCGGTAGGGGGTGTTGTTGCTGGGCTGGCAGGGCAGCCGGCGGCTGGTATGGCCTCGGTGCGGACGCTGTTGCTGGCCGGCCGGGCGAATGGACCACGATCTCCGGGATCTGAGGAGTTCGCTGGTGAGATTGGCCAGGATGGCTGGCGTTGCCTGGTCGTGTTGTCAGATGCGAATTCGTCTGCTGAAGCAGTAACGTGAAAGCAGGGACGTGTTTCTCACCTGATGCCCCTGACATCACAACAGCAGGCGGACCATCAACCCCCTTCCCCTTCTTCAGGCTCTCCGCCATCTTCATCTGCGCGTGCTTCACGATGTCTTGCACGCTCTCCTTCGGCAGCTCCCACAGCTTCACCGGCGTCTCCCCAACCATCTTCGTGCCAGTTTCGAAGCCGCACACCGCTTGCAGAGACCGAGAGGCGCCCAGGACGACGGGCATATGCTTCAGCCTGGATTGTAGGCGCTGTTCGCGCTCGATGGCTCGACGGTTTTGGTTCATGGCTGCTGCTACTCCTGCTGGTGCCGTCGTCGTTTGATAGGATTCTGGAGGCGAGTCGTTGAAATTAGCATTCGACACGTCTGGTGTCTTGAAGACGAGCTTCTGGTTGAAGCTCTGGGAGAGGGACATGGTAGCGAGTGGGCAGGGAAGTGGTGTTGGTGGAAGTGAGGGATAGGGAAAAAGTGAGGACGTTGTTGCAGGCGGGTAATTACACTCATGCAAGACATCGTCACTCGACAAACGGCGAGGTGAACTTTCCTCACATCGCCTCGTTTGCGCTCGAACGATTCTCCTGCGATGATGTCAGCATCGTGTCTCATGTCTTTCACTGTCGAGGGAGAGACTGCGAGGAACGCTGCTTCATACACGACTTCGCTAACTATGCTACCCACGCCAATCGCGTTCACGCTGCGCGCTCGAGGCCATCTCAGCTCCTTCGCAATGCGGTCGTGTTTTTATCATGTCGTCGTTATCATATGCTGTGCCGTGATATATTCTTTTCGCCGTATCGTGTCATTTGCCACATGCGAGTGACTTCCTCTGTGCCCATTGCCGGGCAGAATTCGTATTGGTTTTTCCCTCTCACCGCCTATGCTTACCACACCTGCCCTCGCCACATCAATCTGACTTTCCGGGGAGAGCACTCTCATATGCCATCTCCTTGAAACCAGGTGGGATCTGCCACCCATGGGTGTTGCAAGCGCGAACGTAGCCATCAGCCGCCTCACCCGTTCCATACTCTCCGCGACTCCGCGTGTCCAACCGCGCAAACGGCTCCGACGCAATGGCCAGACGGACCTGCATGAGCACAGATTCCATGGACGACACGGATGACCAGCCGGTATTCGTCAGCAACTCCATGCACATCGCTCCACCCGCGACGATGTGTCCACCGCCTCCTTGAAGCATCGTGAGGAAGCGGGGACGGATGACGCGGACGTACGGCGGGGTGAAAGGGAAGTCCTTGTTGAAGCGAATCTCCAACACGATGCTCTTCACGTCTTGCTTCTTCATGTCGTCGGCGAGTGGCAATTTCTTCCCTTTGATCTCAAACGTGTGGAAAGAGTGCAGCTCCACGATCCATTGATAGACGTTTTCAATCTGCTCGACATCGATATACCAACCCAGGTCCCCAGCAGGTGTGAGTTCCTGGGCTTTCGCAACAGCCTGCAGTTCTTTCATCAGACGCTTCGTTGTTGCGGACGTGGCGTATGTAGGCATCGGCATGAGGGGAAGTTTGCTGAAATCGAGCGTGCCTGGGAGGAAATCTGTTGGTGTTCCTGGTGGCTTCTCGATCTTCTTGGGGGCTGCTGACGTTGCCGATGATGCATCTTCAAGCTCCGGGTCGTCTTCAAACATGATGATCAGGTCGCTGGTGGTCGTCACGACGCTCGCCGCGTCATCGTCATCTATCGGAATGGGGTCATCAAATCCACCCATGGCCTTGAGCCTCTTGGCTGGCGATGGAAGCTCCGGCCGACGCTCGTTCTTGAAAATCCTGCTAGATTTGATCGCAGAAGCGGGTATTCTAATTGGTCCACCATTTGCACCACGCGGGATGTGCTGAGGGTCTTGGATCAATGCGGTTTTTGGCATCTCGTCGGCCGCAAGCTTGATTATCTCGCCCATCTTCTGACCACACCGCACGAACAAGTAGCGTGTCTGAATCCAGTCGAGCTGCTTGACCACATAGTACGGCTTTTGGCTTTGGAACTCGGCCGGCGCATTCACAATCTCATTGAGTGCGAGAGCGGCGGACACCTCCAGCAGACTGTTTGGCCACGAGCCGCGGGCGTTGCCGTTCGCGTAGCCTCCGTGCATTCCCGAATATCCAGTGGATGTTTGAGCATCCAGGGCATGGTACACTCCATCTCCGTACGCACGGCCGTGGTCGACGTTTTTGTAATGCAAGCCTTCACGAATGATCGTGTGCCAGTTGTAGAGAGGACTGCCATGCCATGCAAAGAGAGTGGGATATGCGAGCTTCAGACGAGTCGCGGTCTTGCGCACCTCGTTGATGAAGCGCTGCTCTTTGTCCGGAGCGCCCATTGCGAAACGGAATTGCATGTAGTCTCTCATCCCGTAGAGGCGTTCCTCCTGCCGCGCAGAGCCGGCGCCGGAGTCATCGCCGTCGACTTGCATGATGCATGCGCGATTGCTGGCTATGATCCACCGCAGAATGCTGAGCGCCGGGGTTGAGATGCGCTCGTTCCAGTCCGCGAGATCGGGTGAAGCGCGCTTCTTGAGATACTCTTGCAAGGTCTTGACATTTGGCAGGGTGTCAAGGAGCCTGCAGATTGCAGCGGACTTTTCCTCTTTTGTGAGACTCTTGAAGTCTTGGCTATACACTTGGAAGCCGGCAGGTGCCCATTTTGGAGTTTGGGCGGGGGTCACAGTGTGGGGGGTGAGCGGTGTGTCGGTAACGACTCTGATGGAGGTGGTGGTGCCGCCGTCCGGGGCCCGATTTGCGCTCAGTCTACGGACCAAGACTGGTTCGTTGATGGAGATTGTGGGAAAGAAGGTAGCTTCGCGGATTCGACAATGAAGTTCGGAGCCTTCCAGAGTCCCCTTGGGCTGCAGGACGATCCAGTCGCCCTTTTTCACCGGACATTGCTCGGGTATGATGTGGAAGATGATTTCCAGGCGGGCTTGATCGAAACCGACCTCGTAATCGACTGCCGGTGGTCGCGGGCCCGCCTTATCAGCCTTCTCCTCCGGCTCTTCCTGTCGTCCACGATACTTTGGAGTCGCAGGGCCAAGCGGCATGAGGTCTTTCGGGTCCACTGGCGGAACGACGAGCGATAGACCGTCCGGAAACTCTCGCAGCCTATGACTTGCGGCGCTGTTGTAACAAAAAGACACCAGCAAGTCCACAACGTATGGCTGCGAAGATATCTCATGCTCGATGCTTGGACCAAAACCGATCGCCATGTATTGGTACAAGCAGAAGTCCGACTCGCAGACGTAGGGCTTGATCGCCTCGAGCTCCGTGTTCATCTTGCGGTGACACACCAGGCAGAACTCTGTGCAGCGGACGAAATGGCGGAGGAGGAACTGCATGGCGAGCAAGGGGAATGACATTTGCCCACCAGACTTCTCGGACCAGTGATCGGCGTTGACAATGTCAGGCAATGCATCGTTGGTCGGCTCCGGGAGAAAGTGGCTATCGTCCACGACATCAGTCTTTGTGGCTCCAGCACTTGTGCGGGATATGTATAGATCCTCGGCACCTGTCCAGCCCATTCCCATGCCACGAAAGCGAAGGATGGCTACGAGACGTTCTTTGAGTAGCCCGTTCAAAGGTTTGGAGATGAAGACGTCTCGGATGGAGCTCTCGGGGCTCTCACCGTCAGCGTTGGCGAGGAGAGAGTCGGCGATGCTATCGCGACCGTCCTTCTTCGCGGTGGTGAAAGCCTTGATAGCCTCCTGGAGTGTCGGTTTGTACATTTTGCCCGTGCATACTCGCATGCCGATGTTGGGTTCCAGGCGGAGAGAGTCGAATCCCTGAAGCTCTTCGCTTGTCTTGTAGCCATTTGGGTATTGGAGGACGAGGATGAGGTATTCAGACGCTTCGACCCGCCAAGCTTGCATGGCCTCGTCGGAGATGCCCAACTTTGACATGCGGATAGACATGGTGACGAAGGCGTTGTATCCATCCAGTAAATGGCCCAGCACGCCCACTTTGAAGCCAGCTTGCTTGGCAGCTCTCAAGTCCTGCCGAACACGCTGGCGAAAAGCTCTGCCAGCCGCAGCATTACGTACACCGCCGTTTGCTACCGTGAAAGACGCAGATGGGGCGGTGGATGTCTGGAAAGCTTCATGATCGCTGTCGTAGACATCGGCATCGTCATCGTCATCGTCTTCCTCTTCTGCCGCGTCGTCGATCTCGGAATCAGGCATGTGGACATCGCCATCTGTATCGACGAAGAGACGTGAAAGGGTGGTGGAAACAATTTCGAGAAGTTCGAAGACTGTCTTGCCACTCGTTCTTCGAATGCCATCCAGAGCATCGGCAACCTCTGTTGAAGCGCCATCCTCTGCGTAGATGATGTACTCGTGGGATCGCGGGTATTCACTGAGCTCGGGGATGAGGGCGTTCAATTTGACCGGCGTTGACGAGCGGCTTGGGGTATTGATGGCGAAGAGAAAGACGAGCTGGCCATCATCCTCGCCCCGTTGAAGGTCATGGATGCCAGGAGGGAGCTGGCCATCTTGGGTGGACTGGAGATCTGCGATGAATTGCCTCCGTGGCATGTTGGCGGCGTTGATAATTGGAGGGCGTTTTGAGTGGCGGAAGAAGCACTCGGTCGCCGAAAGGCCGGGCTTCAGCCTCGTTGAGCGGCCGGAGCGGGGGTTGACGAGGACGAGCCAGCAAATGCGAGTTGAAGAAGGAGTTGCAGGGGAAGGCAGAAGAGGGAGCAGAGTGCGCTGTCCGAAGGATCCAGTTTATGGTTTCCGATCATGTGTAGACAAACGTGGACGCAAGCTGCGAAACATGGTTTGTCGAAGAGTCGCAGGGAAGCTTCACGCAGGGGGAGTGAAGGTGGGAAGTGACCGCAGCCTGCCTAGTCTGTGTGAGGATCAGTCACGCACGAAGAACCGTGGTCTTGTCGACCATGTATGGGTGAAAAGGGGATTGTAGCGCAAGTGGAGGCGTGGAAAGGTGAAGAGCGCACGGTTTGAAAGGTGAATGTACGTAACAAGGCAGGCAAGCAGGCAGATCTGCAGGGCTGCGGAGAGTTCAGGCAGCCAACCCTAGCGCGAACCTAACCCTTCGCGGTCTGTCGACACGTCTCGCGCCTCACTTCTCCTCTCTTCTCTCCAACCCAACCATCACCCCGTGCGATCTCTGGTGTTGACGTAGCGATTGTACCGCGCCTGTGTCATCCTCCGACATTTCTTTCCCCAATACATCATCGGCAGAGTCAGCATCATGCATGCGAAACTGAGCACTCCGATGGTGATGTAGGTCTTGCGGCTCCCTTGCGACGTCTCCCACGACCCTGCAGCCGTGCTTGTTAGCTGCATATCTAATGACGGGGAGGGATTGCCGCTGCATTTCTCACCTGTCACTATCGAGAATATGGCGCCAATGGAATTGTTAATCACCGACACCCCGACCATCCCTTCCAGCACCATCTTCGGATACGCGTCTTGGAGGTAGGCCATGGACAGATCTCCACCACATCCCCATCCGAACCCGATCATCCCAAGCCCGACGTATGGCGCAGGCCACGCCCATCCCTCCCCTGTCCCAATCCCGAAAAGCATGAGCCCCGCAGGACTGATGACGGCGGCAGGTAGCACGAGCCACAGTCGATGTTCGGCCTCCGCCACTCCTCCATGCCTTCGCGCCATCCACAGCACAAAGTAGTCCGAGAACCAACCTCCCCACAGGCAGCCCACCATGGCTCCTATCAGCGTTGGTACGTTCATGATCGCCGCTGCATTGTTGGAGTAGTTCCATGGCGCACCCACCCACACATCCTCCTCGGTGTTCAAATAGAAGCTGAGCCACGCATCCTGCGCGCCCCATTGAAGACCCGAGTACCACACCGCCGGGAACAGAAAGACCTGTGCCACCAGCCAGAGCTCTTTGATGTATTGCTTGAATCCCGTCCCCCGCAGCACCGGCCCACGCGTGACCAGAGCAATTCGCTGAAAGTACGACTTTTCTTTCTCCACACTCTGCGTCGGCACAGTTTCTAAAATTTCAATCTGAACATCTGGAGCCTCCAGGACAACGTCTTTCTCGCTCTCTTTCTCTGTTGCTTTTTCGGGCGAGCGGTCCATCTGCCCACTATTCTGTCTTGGACCGATTTCGACGCTCTCTCCAGGTGTGATTTCAACACCCCGGAGCCGAACCACACTTCGATCAAAGCTTGTCTCTTCAAACCCGAAGTAGAAGACGACCAGCGCGACGGATGTGATGATGGCACTCGACCACCCAACCCAACGCCATCCAACCCCGTCGGCCACGAAGCCGCCAAGAAGCGGCCCCAAATAGGTTCCAACACTCGTGGAAAAGAGGTACAGGCCCATTGACGCTCCACGCTGATGCTGAAAGAAGATATCAGACAACGACAGCTGTGCAGTAGCCTCGCCCACAGCCTCGGAGGCACCAACGAATAGCTGGTTCCACAAAGCGTCTTGCGTTGTTTGCACGTTTGCCAGCCAGATGGTGCCGATCAGCGACCATATGAGACATATCAGATACACCAGTCTCCGTCCATACAACGAAGGTACGGGAGCAAGCAGCCAAGTGGCATATCCGATGCCGAGGAACAGTATCCCGGCAGCGAGATTCTGCGACGACCACGAAATGCCCAATTCAGCCTTCTCCCCATACTCCTCGCAGCCGTCAATGTTGGACGTCGCAGCGGTGAAGCCCACAATCCACAGCACGAGGAACGCGTGCCAGCTCTTGCGCCATACGTTCCAGTTGATCGGATCGTTCGGAGAGTCGGTGGGCTGGGGCTCGAAAATGATGTGATGGCTGTTCGACGAGAAATCGTCGGTATTGGAATAGATCCGCAGCGTGCCTTGCACGTCTTCTCCGTTGTCGGCCATGTGGAATGAGATGATGCTGTACCTTGGGTAGGAGGATGACACGATCGAGGAGAAGTGTTCGCTTTGTGATCTGCCAACCCGCCGTGGGCTTGCAACTCGCCATGAGAGCGGACATTCCGGCTACCCGTCCTTCCCCTCACCTTCATCGACGTTTACGACGCGAGCAAGGTTCTCGGATCCGGGCATAGACATTGATAGCCTTGCCATTGGTCGGCATTATCTCCCCTGATGCCCCGATCTGGAAAGTCCAGGCGGCTGTGGGCTAGCCTCCCATGCCTCCCCACAATCATGCACTGTGGACCTCCTCCAACACCCCAAATCCTGGAGAACTTTACGTGAGATGCAACGCTGCCGACTGACTCGGCCCACAGTCATCTGACTACGCGGCATAAGTACTCTCGTTCCTCGCCTGCCGAGTCCGTCAATTGCTTGAACTCCTTACTCTCATCTTCCACTACCAAATTTGCCCCATCAATGTCAACCTGCCAGCTAAGAATGTCTCAAAGTTTTCCATTCGTCTCCCGCATCCCGGGGGATAACGCCAACAGTCCGAGTATCAATGGCTTCGATCCATCTTCTGCCAAATCTTCAACGGTTGTGTCTGCTACGACAACACAAGTCGACGAAGATGCCCAGACGCAGTCTGGACCGAAGCCAAAGAACAAGGTCGTTGTCGTGGGCGCTGGAATCGCAGGACTCCGTGCGGCGTCTGTGCTCCATCGCCATGGTGTGGAAGTCGTCGTGCTGGAGGCTCGCGATCGAATTGGTGGTCGGATCTGGACCGTGCGAAGTGATGCTACTGGGAAGCCCGGCGTAGTCCGCGATATGGGTACGTCTTCACGCAAAGTTGTGGCTGATACTGAGCTGCAGACCTGCGTGGGCGGTTGATGGCTGAAATATGCTTCGGCACCTCCAGGGGAACTGTCTATTCGTGTTTGAAACCTTGTGATTGCGTTCCGTCGACTAACTGTTCAAGGCGCTGCTTGGTTGCATGAAACAGCGCACAATCCGCTGACCAGGCTGATCCGCGAGATTGGCCTGACCTACTACTATGACGACGGCACACCGCTGTACTACACCAAGTTCGGCCGGACATCTTCTCAATTCAAGGCGAAAAAGGTCGCCGAGGAGTTCGCCAGCTTTGCAGAGTGGTACTATCGGGTGAATCCGAACGCAAAAGACAAGTCGGTCGATGCGTTTATCCGGAAATTCGTCGAACGGCATGAATTGATCAGCGATGATGAGAAGCTGTGGGCTCCGCAGGCCATCAGAGACGTCGAGCACATGCTGGGCACCACCACGATGGAGTCGTCTGCGAAGCATCTGTGCTATTTTGGATGGCCGGAGCGCAATCTTTACGTCAAGGGTGGTTACGACGGAATCGTCGAATGGACTTCAAAGTCGCTCAAAGAAGACGGAGCTAATGTCCAGCTCAACCGCATCGTCAAGCACATTGACTGGAGCGATGATGGCTCTGTTAGCGTTGGGCATAAGAGTGTTTCGGGCGACGATACGGCCGTCATCTCTGGAGACGCCGTGGTCGTCGCTGTTCCACTGGGCTGTCTGCACCACAACATGCTGTCGTTCAATCCAGCCCTGCCGTCGGACGTTCAGAAAGGAATTTCGAAGATCAGCTACGGCGTCCTCGGAAAGGTCTTCTTCGAATTCAGCGAAGTGTTCTGGTCGAAGGAGAACGATCAACTCATCTACATCCCTTCGCCGTCCGAGTACGACGACGACGATGAAGCCTCATCAAGCTCAAGCGAAAAGCTCGGCCCAGCCGACAGCATCCTCAACTACCCGACCACGACCGTCAACCTTTCGCTGATCGCCGACAACAGCAAAGAACTGTGCATCCAGATCGTGGAACCTCTGGCCCAGCGTATCGAAGCAATGGGTAACGACCATGGTAGAATTTACAAGTTCTTCGTCCCGCTGTTCAAGCTGCTTCGGACGGAGAGTTCGAAGGCGCTGCCTGCGCTGGTCAACGTTGCGGTTACGGATTGGAGTTGTGATCCGCTTGCTGGTTTCGGCACATTCGCGACGGAGAAAGTGGGCGACGAGCCGGAAGTCCTACTGGAGGCACTGGAGAGACACTCTGGTAGCCACTTGCAATTTGCCGGCGATCATTGTGCTGATGTTGGCTGCGGTTGCGTGCACGGCGCCATCTCCTCGGGCGAGCTGGCGGCCAAGAACTTACTCAAGTCGTTTGGCATCGCGTATGATGGAGGAGATCTGGCGACGATTAGATGCGACATTGACTCCGATGATGAGTAGTTATATGACAGATATTCATACTAGATAGTGCAGAAGACACAGATTATTGAAGTTGTTTGACGCGTTTACATTCCATCAAACCAAGCTTTTGACAAGCCCGTTTTCGGAAGCGGAGGCGGGCCGCGTTGGCAATTGTTCACTTCATGCGTCTCCCCTCTATCAACTGCTCGATCTTTGCAGCTGTCGGTGAAGATTGAGCCCTACGATTCGTCATGGCGGTCACCGCTGCCCCTCATATCACGACTCAAAACACTACCAGCATTGCAGACGGCAATCTCGAGCCCTTCCTGCAGCCAGACTTCGACGCAGCCGACTATCTGAACAGCACTCTGCCCACCCTCTCCGTCTCATCGTCCTTCCGAAGCACCCAAAATGCTCGCGCGGTTCAGCTGCCGGAACTCTCGACGCAATTGCAAACTCTGCTGTCACAGCTGAACGCCCAGACTTCCCGCCTGTCCAACTCTCTAACTCAGCTCACCGATGAGATTGTACGAAGCGGGGGAAGGCTGGCGTACGAGGTGGAAGTGCTCAAAGGGGAGGCCATTGGGCTCACCGATGTGTTGGAAACGAGTTTAGAAGAAGATATTGGAGTTCTCACGACCGGCACAACTGCGGAGGGAGACACTGTGAAAGCGAGTGAGGGAGAGACTGCAGAAGCTGGGCATGGAGAGGTGCAGTCCGCGGACCACGAGCCGGAGTATCTAGGGCAGTTGAGAACACTGGCATCGGTCCGATCAAGACTGGACCAGGTGATAAAGGTCTTCGGCGAAGCAATGCAATGGCCCATCGCGCCATCCGAGGTCTCGGTGGCGTCGTCTCTGATCTCGGTGTCCGCGCCAAGTGCTGGCGAGGATGTCCAAAGTCGCGAAGAGAAGGGCAAGGCTTATGCCGAAAAGGTGCGCGGCGAGATCTCTGATCTCATTGGATCTGGCAACGATGCCGCGGATCTGGAGGCTGCGGCTGCCAGGGTCGAGGAGCTGAGACGGTTAGCGGAGGTGTGGAAGGGCACCAGCGAAGAGAAGGCACGCACGAAATTCGTCGAGAGCCTACAGAAGCTGGTCGAAGATAAGCAGAAGGCTATGGGCAGGACGAGTACGCAGAGGTCTACTGCACTACCTTCACGCGGCATGGACTATCGATACGGCGACACGAGCACCAGCAAACTACCAACTGAGGGTGGCTATGGCTTTCTGCAGAATCTGCGCAGCCTCAAGAACGATGTGTATCTCGAATGAAGTAGAGGTTCTGGCACCACGATCAGATTACTACACCACCATCCCGATACCCGTGCTTCAAGAACGCTTCTCGCTCAACCTCATGCACACCCTTGACCTTCGACGCAGCCACGAGGCTCGCTCCAGCCCATGCGCCCACTGTCTCAACACCCCGTACGGTACCCTTGATCACTTCCGCCTTCCCTTTCGCGGCCTCACGTTCAGCTTTGAGCGTAATACTGTCGTATTTGTCGTCGTGTATGCGATCCGCATGGCGTACGGACTCCTGGATGGGCTTTTTCGTTGGCGACAGCGGAACTTCAAGTTCCTCCTGTTGGCGATTCCCTGCAATATTGGCAGACCGCTCTTGCAGTTTTCGGGGGTGACGACCTGCAACGCTACCGTAATTGTCGACGGGATCCCAGCCCCTCTTTGCGATGATTTCTGACACCTCTTCTAGAAGACGTGGTTTGAGGCCAGGAAGAGCTGACACTCCACCTGTGACAATGATGCGAGACATGCAGATGGCTCGCAGGTCGACAGGCAGCGCAAGTAAGACTCGGTAGACCAAGGTGTGAATGGGAGTACTGTGGTCATCATCACCAGAGCTGTCCAGGGGAGCGAAGAAGGCATTCTCGGCTGGTTTTGACAGTCGTGTGAAAGGAAGATGGATGTGACCTCGTGGTCCAGAGGCGGATTCAGGGGCTGGTAGCTTTGTCATACCGCCTGCTTCAGCATTTGAAGCCTTGTGAGAGCGGGCACGACACCAGGCCATGCGTTGCGTGACTTCCTCGGCGTACTCGAAATCGATGCCGGTGTCCGAAGTTTCATCACCGGGGCTAGTCGTTCCATTCTTCACCTCCTCCTCAAGTAACCGCGACATCTCTGTGACCAGCGTTCTGCCAGCTCGTACACTTCGGCGTTGAAATACTTCTTTGTACTCGCCAACCGCAGTGACAACAGTCTCCTCCCAGCCCACGTCGACTACGATGGCATTTCTCAGTCCAGCCCCGACACAGGCCATCACAGGCGTAGTCAACAACACGATCGACGGAGGCTGGGTGGAGTAATTGAACAGGACTCGCATCGCAATATCCAGGAGTGGCGTCGGCAGCAGTGAAGGCACGACAAGAGCAGCCTTCCGCGCTTTTTGATCGAGTTGCAGGTGGTCAATCTGGATGGTCCGCACGGCTCGTTCTAGGCGATCTTCGACCAGTCCAAGATCGATGGACTTCAGGTCGACGCGGTACAATTCGTACTCTTTGCTCCACTCGTGGACATCGCCAATCTTCCGCCGTTTCCTGCGATAGCTGGAGTCGCATGCGCGATAGTCGCCCAATCGACGGTCACGCTCCGGATTGAAATATACCACGCATCGTGGCCGACTCTCGCCCGCGAAGCCGGCAGATATGTGCCTCGCGCCAAGCTCGTAGATGATGATGTCTTCTTGTTCGGAGCGAAAGGCACTCGGACTGCCATATTGGCTGGAGAGGCTGCGGGCGAGAAGTGGTGTCCTGGGCGATCCAGCAGCGTCTCTTTCGGCGCGGGCGATGACTTCGGCTTTCTTTGCCTCCAGTGCGAGCCGGGCCGGGCTCTTTACATAAGCAGACATTGCTTGATGTTGAATGCGCGAGCGACAACACAGTCGGGCATTTTAAGAGCGTGCAAACACCGCGCCGTGCAATGTCGTGGCGAGGTGAAGTTATCGGGCAAGTCTTAGCGTGAAGTTCGTCCACGCTCGTCCACGCGCGTTCCGTCGCTTACATAATAATTCTCTACAACTTGAACATCAAGATGAACCGACGAGACTTCATGCTTCATGTTGAAAGTCGGGGTTTTCTTTATGAAGTATAATACAACATTCGATCCGCTTAGAAATTGTACCAATCAACGGAGCTACTTGTGCCTTCAATGCTCTTGATCCAATCGGCCAAGTCAAAATCGTCCAGCATCGCATCAAGATCAGCCCCCTGAAAGTCATCATCGGCGACATTCGCAGCCCTTGCGGCAGTCGACGACCCCAACGTAGCAGTCATCAACGGCACATTTAACAAGTCATCTAGCGTGCGCGAGATGGCGCGTGAAGCTTGTCCGCAGGCCTCGGCGTTGGACTCTGCGCTCAAAGCCATGCTGTCGAGCTGCGACACGAAAACTGCGAGGTCGCGAATGATAGTAGATCGGGTGACGCCCTCTGGAAGGGTGTAATTCAATCCTGCTGGCTGGCTCAGCTTCTTTGATGCGGTGGCGAGCACGATAGCACATGGCAAGCCGTAGCCCAAAACCTGCATATTGGTCAGTCACACCCCGATTCGCCATGCTCTTCTCGGTTTGAACAGTACGTACAACAGATGAGAACTCGTGACGAATGTAGGGCGATCTTCCGCGAGCGTCGCTCAGGTGCGTGATAAGAGTCAGCGACTCATGTGCAACAACGAGCGAGGATGCTGTGGCCTGCGGGTCTATGCGCTCCATGGCCCGGAAGATCTCGCGGTCACTCTGTAGAAATCCAACCTTGATCATCAGTAGCGTCATGCATGTTATGGGCGGCAAGTCCAAGTCCCAGCAGCTCGGTGTGTATCTCATGTGTGGTGGAAGATCTTCCCAAGCTCTTCGACATCGAGCCGATAAATCGCTACAAGGCCGGTCAAACTCCATACCAAACGATTTCATTGCGTCCACTTACCTCAATTCCGCCAGTCTTTCCGGAGTCATGGGTCGATATTCGTACTCGAGCGCCTCCTCTCTGATCTGTAGAGCGATGCCCCTTGCACGCCGGAAAGACGCGGTAAAGTAGTGGCCGGCAGTGTTCCAGCCGTCGGCCGAGAGCCTTGCGCACGCCTGCTCTCGCTGCAAGGCATCTGCGACAATATCGTCATCCGCCAGGTCAAGGGGGAGCTTGGTGTCACTGTATCTCATCAACACGCGCGGTGGGCGGCCTCTGAGTGCTGAAAAGAGTATTTCCATATTGTATGCCTTGGCGAAGGTCCACCTGCGACACTCGGCAAGGAAGAATGGCGTGTTGGCTGTACTGATGGTCTCACGATGATAGCCCATGGCGAAGAGGTGGGAGGAAAGGTTTCCTAGATGCCGCTCCACAGTCTCACCTGTTCAGACACATTAGCGGAATGTTTGGATGGAGTGGAAGAAACGAAGAGCTCACTGTCATCTCCACACGCCACTGTGCATAAGACGCTGTTCTCGAGCGAAAGCCACACAATCGCATCAGTAATCGCAGGCGCTATCTCACTTGCCAGTTGCAGACAAGTATCACTGTGTCGAAACAACTTGTACACCAAGCGGTCGTCCGCCTGTCCTTGCTTTGGAAGCATGACTTCGCTGGCTCGGCCGGCGATGGAGTAGATAATGCCGAGATATTCCAGACGGAGATTCTCGCCAGTGTGCATAGCAAGAAACTCTTGCGCCGATAAGGCCTCTGTGACCACGATCGGTCTAGCCGTTGAGCGAATCACGGCTTCAGCCAGTGGACGCAATGAATGCTTTGCAATTTCTCCGCTCTTATTAACGAGGCCGAAAAGTGACTCGACGGCCGGCAAAACTAGCGGCGCCGGTATGTTGTTCGACTTGCTAACGGCGTAGTACTGATGTATAAGACTCCGCAAGAAAGGAAGTTGGCTTAGCTCGAGCAATACGCTTTCGACGAGGGCCACCTGTCGTTCGTGACCAGCAGCGAGAGAGTGAGTGGTAACGCCGTGCTGGGTACTGAGATCTTTCGGATCGGTGGAAATTGATGGACACTCAACCGACGAGACCTCGTCCTCCACAAGTTGAACGAATGAACCGGCAGCCTTGGTCAAGGGGGCAGGGTGATAGTGGCACTGCGATTGCAGTCCTCGTTGGCGGCATCTCTGACAAGGCGCTTTTCCATGATCACAGCGCAGTTTCCCTAATGCTTTGCAGTTAGCACCTCATTCCAACATGCGCAATTCAGCGCAGGGCCTCGTTGGATGGAAACATACGTTGGCGGCATGGCTCGCAGGAAGCTGCTAGACCATTTCGTCGGCGGCGCATCGTGTTCAACGATGCTGCTGATTGCGGAATGAGAACATAGTAGCAGGAGGAGCGTACACAGACGATCCATTCGCGAGAGATTGCCGCATTATAAGTATTTGTTCCAGTGCGGCGTGGCCAGCCCGTATGGAGCGGAGTGGTGGCGGAGTTCGATTGTAGATCATCGACGCAAGAGGCTACAACGCCGAGCTGTACGTGAGCGTCAGTCCAAATGGCGGCGTACTTCACCCTGTGGTGCGGATCTTGACTCCGCACTGCAAGACCGTGTAGTGTTTGCGATATAAAATGGAGCAGCCCGAGCCATTGAAAGAACAAGTTTTCCAAACTACTCAGAAGAAAACATTGCATTGTGCTTTAGGAGATTACCGGATTGTACCTCAACATGGTCGCTCGCCTCAAGTCTGGACAAGAAATTGTGGTTATCGGGTATAGTCGTCCTTCAAACAACCCCAGCCTTGAGATTGATTAATCCTGTTGACACGGCTCAGCGCTGGCGTCATTGGTCTTACGACGGCGCTATGCCTCCAAGAAGCAAAACATCAAGTCCTCATAGTCGCTGACGACTTCCCCTCACCGTCGGAAACGATTGACCCGCGCCGCCAGATCAACTACACCTCGCCATGGGCTGGAGCACACAACGGCTGGGGAGTAGACCTGCCCAACGCGAATAGCACGCCACAAGACTGCCGTGACCACGGGTTTGCCCTCAGGACCTTTGCCAAGATGCGTCACCTGCATAATGAGTATTCTGACGCGGGAGTGACGTTTATGAAGGGTGTTCAGCTGTATGAGGATCGGCCAGACGAGCTCAAAGACATTGGTCCCGAGCGGGCAGCGGAGCTCGGTATTGAGGACTTCTCGTTCATTCCTCCTGGTGAATTCCCCGAAGGCGTCACGTTTGGATATACTTTTCGAACCTGGTCTGTCAATCCCATGGTGTACTGCTCCTTCCTGCTCAGGCGATTCAGCATGTTGGGTGGGAAGATTCGCAAGCAGCACATCCGACGGCCAGAAGAGATCTTTGCCATGCATGGGTTGCCAGATGTCAACTTTGTCGTCAATGCATCCGGGATTGGATTTGGAGACCCGGACATGTTTATCATCAGAGGTAACCTCCAATGAAGGGCCCATTCTGGCGGCATATGTGCGTTACTGATCGATGTAGGACAAACGTGCCTCGTTGCAAACGACTGCGATGTCACCGTCAGCCGCCGCAACGCAGATGGCTCCGGCTCATATTGCATCCCGCGAAAGTACAGCGGCGGAACTATCATCGGTGGCACCTTCGAGCCTAACAACTGGGATTCAGAGCCAGCGCCAGGCAAGCGGGAACAAATGCTGCAGGGGCTGGCCAAGACGTACCCTCCCATTCTGGGTAAATCTGGTCGCTTCGCGCCGCTACAGGATATCGTGGGGAGACGGCCGGCGAGAAAGGGCGGCATGAGGATCGAGAAGGAAGATTTGGATCATGGAAGAGCGGTTATCCATGCGTACGGCGCAGGAGGGAGAGGCTACGAGCTCTCGTGGGGCGTGGCGCATGCTGTATGTGAGCTGGTTGCAAGGAAATGAGGCTATGGAATATCTCAAGATGAGGAAAATGCATCTCAGCTGATTCTGTAGTTGACAGACATCCAATATGTGCTTTGTTCGATAGCGTTTCAGCGGGGATGAAGAAGATGAAATGGATGAGATTGAAGGAGAGTTCTCCAGCTCTGAATGATTGGCTTAGCGGAGCCTGAAAGCTACCCGGCGAAAAGCGGACTAGCGTTGCTTATCTCAGCAACGACACGGCAAAGAAAAAATCGAAGCTGCTGGCTTGCAAAGCATCCGCATTGCCATCGCTCTCCGCCCTCCTGTGCATCCACCCATCCCCATCACATTGCTAGCAGTCGCAGTCTTGCGGCTATTTAGCCATCATGACCTTGTTCATCCTTACCGAGACGCCGGCGGGCTATGCGCTGCTCAAGGCAAAGGACAAGAAGCTCCTCAAGCGGGATGACCTGGCGAGCGAAGCAGCGACAGCAGAGGGCGTATGCAGTCTGCTCAAACTCAAGCAGTTCAAGAAGTTTGAGAGCGCGAGCAGTGCATTGGAGGAGGCCGCAGCGTTGACGGAGGGAAAGGTATGCTCCACAGCTTCCTAGCTGGCAAGCACTATTCCTTCCAGCAGACATTGACAAGCGCACTCAGGTCACCCCCATGCTGGCAAACTTGTTGAAGGACTTGAAAGAGGAGAAGAAGGTGTCGCTCGCTGTCGCCGACCCGAAACTGGGCAATGCCATCACCAAGATGCCCGGCCTCGAAATCTCGCCCGTGTCCGACTCGAGCACCGCAGACCTCTTCCGTTCCATTCGAGAGCACATGACCTCTCTCATCCCCGGCCTCCTCCCCGACGAGATCAACACCATGTCGCTCGGTCTGTCGCACAGCCTCTCCAGACATAAGCTCAAGTTCTCGCCAGACAAGGTCGATACCATGATCATTCAGGCCATCGCACTCCTCGATGACCTCGACAAAGAGTTGAACACCTACGCAATGAGAGTGAAGGAGTGGTATGGCTGGCATTTCCCCGAGATGGCACGCATCATCAACGACAACCTGGCCTACTCTCGCGTCATTCTTTCCGTGGGCATGCGGAGTAATTGCAGCAACACCGATCTGACCGACATCCTACCCGAGGAGATCGAGGGTGCCGTTAAGGCGGCTGCCGAAGTTTCCATGGGCACGGAGATCACCGAAGAAGATCTTGACAATATCCAGGCTCTTGCGGAGCAAGTCGTCGGCTTCACCGAGTATCGACAACAACTGGCATCCTACCTGTCGGCGCGTATGCAAGCTATCGCACCCAATCTTACCGCGCTTGTCGGCGACTTGGTTGGCGCACGACTGATCGCGCACTCGGGCTCCCTCCTGAACCTCGCCAAGTCGCCCGCCTCCACCGTGCAGATCCTTGGCGCTGAGAAGGCTCTCTTCCGTGCGCTAAAGACGAAACACGACACACCGAAATACGGACTCATCTACCACGCCAGCCTTATTGGTCAAGCAACCGGTAAGAACAAGGGCAAGATCGCACGCATGCTCGCCACGAAGGCAACGCTCGGCCTGAGGGTGGACGCGCTCAGCGACTGGGGTGCAGCTGGCGAGGGCAAAGGACAAGAGCCGACGGAAGAGGAGAAGGCAAGCGTTGGTGTACAAGGGCGCGCGCTGCTTGAGCGGAGACTTCGAGCGCTGGAGGGCAAGCCATTGCGACCGACTGGTGTTTCTATTGGCCCACAAGGCCAGCCGGCCAAGTTCGACATCAAAGAGGCCAGGAAGTACAATGCGGACGCCGATGGTCTCGAGCCTGACGCTGGGCCCGATCTGCTCAATGGCGAGCCGTCGAACAGCAAGAAGCGGAAGCTGGTGGAGGAAGTGGACGAGAGCGCTGCTTCCAAGCCCAGCTCCTCGAAGGTGGCCAAGCAAAAGATTGTCGCTGAGCCGGATTCCTCCTCTTCTGACGAGGACGATGATGCAGACGATATCGAAGAGCTCGAGGATGCAGCGAACGAGGGAGACGGCAAGCTGATCGCCAAGACCAAGGTCAACGGTACCGCAGAGCGAGTGCCCGCTACCAACGGCGAGCTGCGCGATCCAGAGCTGTCGACGTCGAGTGACAAGAAGAAGAAGAAGCTGGAGAAGGAGCAGAAGAAGGCTCTGAGGGCGGCGAAGAAGGCGGAGAAGAAGGCAAAGAAGCTGGACAAGGAATCTTCGTCGAAGAAGCGGAAGGCGGATGACGGAGAGGAGAGGAAGGAGAAGAAGAAGAAGGTCAAGACCTGAGCACATCATCGCTTTCGAAGGTTTACATTGTCTTGACGGTTGTGGGTTGGGTGTCGGAGCATAGGAGCTTGGTGTTGCGCCGCATGAGCGACTGGGTTTCTTTCGACGGCGAACGGGTGGGATCAAGGCGTGCTGCTCGGAGGCTGGCGGAGTTCAGCATACCGCCGATTTGACTTCGTTGTCGGCATCGAACTGTGCCTATTACCTGCTACACTGAGTGCATACTCTACATAATGTGTTCAGAAATGACATGGCCCGTGTGGATGACATTTGAATTTGCAGCTGTCAATCGATCCTACTTCTCAAAGTGCATTCATTTCTAGCGTGACGTGCTCGGGTGGGATTTGAAGATGGACGTTCTCGTTCGTCCATGGAGACGCGAGTGCAGCTCTTCAGGCGGAAGGCGGCACCAGGACGGTCAGTCTCTGGCTGCTGAGACTCTTGGCAAGCTGTTGTTGCGCCATGCAGCGAGTCACAGCGGTGGGCGTCGGGTCCATCATGTTGCGATGGGAGAGCTTGCCATCCTCAAGCCCGCTCCGTTCATTCTCTTCATTCTCTTCGTCCAGTAGCCTGCCCATCTCACCCAATGCTTTCGGCTCCTCCCTCGACCGAGACCTCCGCCGTGGGCTCCGTTCGCTTCGCCAACCTCGCCGCCTGGAGCTGGTCCACACGGAAGACTTTTAAGATGATGTCGAGGAGCACCTCGAGCTCCTGGGGGGTAAATCGATCATCCACGCTCTCAATCATCGGCTGCAGCTGCTCCGCACTCGTCGGAGCATGGTTGTGGATCATCAACAACTCCGCTTCCGTCAACTCCTTCTTCTCCTGCTCCATCTCGAGCTTCACCTGCGCCTCGCGCACACTGAGCTCCTTCTTCCGCACAGCGTCCTTGTACTTCGCCGCCAACGGCTCTTGGATCCGACTCATGTGTTCCGCCTGGAACTTGGCGATGCTCTTGTCCGAATTGTCGCCCTTGTATGCACTTGGATTCTGCTCGTACGGGTACGCGTCAGATGAGAGGTGGCGCTCGTGCTTCTCGAGAGATTTTAGAAAGTTGGGCGGGCGAGGAGTCGGTCGAGCCCCGGAGGCTTTGTCTTGGGCGTCTTCGCGGGCATGCTGGGCGCGCTTTTGACTGATCCAGTGGGCGACCTCGGCGTTGGACATCACATGCCCGGCATCTTTGACTTTCATGATTGCCGTGGGTGGCTGGGTGAGGGGAGGAGAGGGTGGTAGAGGCTCATGTTAAGCTTGCACTTTTCGTGCGCGTGGTTGTTGCAGGCGGGGCGCCGATGGAAATTTTAGTGGGGCCGCGCGCTGCTCTGCTCAAAGCGAACTAGCGGAGGTTTAATGATGCATGCAGACGGCAGGTACCCGCCGGCGGAACGTGAGTTCGACCGATCCCCTCGACATCACCACATGCGTCTGTGGAGACGCATGTTGGTACGTATACAATCCGATACAGCGCACACCGCCACTCTTGTGCTCCGAGCGGAGTTGGACGCAGTGAAAGCGGGCTGACAGTCCCTTCCCGTGCCCTGACGTGCCTCACCAGCTCTAATCCACACAAAGCCATGATCGGAAGGAAGTTGCGCGGTTCGCACTTGCGTCTGCGCAATTATTGTCGGAAGGCGCGAGACGAGTCGTCGCGTAGTAGCAAGGGCGGACGCTACACGCTGTCATTCGTCTCCTCCCTGGGCACGACATGATGTGAGACAGTCCCTATTGTCTCAAGGAGATTTGCACCACCTGCCCCGCCTGCCATGCTGCAGAGGCATTGTTCCCATGTGCCCACTCCACCTTCCTCAATGCGGCCAGGGCAGGCTGCAGCCTGCCGGAAAGGCGGACGTGGGGTGGGGCTCTTGTGCGACACCAAAGTCGATGACTTCTGACGTTTGTACATCCCTCGCCCGCACTTGTGCCACCCTTCTCACACTGCAAAGAGGCCGAGATGAACAGCCCTTGTCTGCTCTGCACTCCGCCACGTCTCTGCGAGCCCGTCGAGTAAGCGGGGCTCTCGCCTTTTTCCCCTCCCATCCTGGTTTCACTTCCCTCCTGTCACCCCACTGTTTACATCTTTATGACCTTCTCATTGACATCCACCAGCGAAGCTGCAACCGCTCTCATCGGAGAATCATTTCCAGATTGTACGCCATCCGCTGGAAGCAAGTCGAAACAACATGGGCACCCGGAGTCTCGCGCAAGTTGCGCCAACGCCATCCATCATGGCGATGAATGCGAACATGTATGGGTTCGCAGGGCATTCTCTCGTCACTCCGCATTTCGCCATCAAGCAGGCATGGTGGACGACCGAGCGCATCACCGCCAAAGTCACCCGTACCTTCGTGACGTCCAAACTGAGAGGAGAGGAGCGGGACTTCCTCGCCCAGCAGGTTCCCTTTGGCGAAGGTCTCACCGATAGCACTTACATGGACTGGATTCTTGACAAGTGCAAACGCCTCTTCCTGATCCTGGCCGAGGTCGGGGTGCCAGACCAGATCTTCGGATGTATAGACGATGCTTGGACCGACGATGACTTGCCCATCCCACTCCACAGCATCCCAAGTCTCGAGCTTTCCGTCGAGCCCGACGATGCGCTGAACCAAAGGTTCCACGACACACAATTCCGCTACCTCCTCCGCGAGCTTCAACCCGGCTCCCACATCTCCTACGGCCCCAGTGAGCATATCCCAATGGAGCATGTCAATACTGCCCCGCCTGCCGTCACCCTGCAGGTCTGCGACCGAGTCCACTTCCCGGGCAAACCCAACGAAGTCTTCATGCGCCGCAAGGTAAACCTGGTAGAAAAGGACACTGGCAAAGACCATCGCGAAAGCTTCATGCGGGACATTCAGGAGGCTCAAAGGCTGCAGCACCCACACATCGCCCCCGTCTGGGCATCTTACACCTCCGAAGATGCTGCTTACATTCTCTCGAATTTTGTCGGCGAACACACTCTGGGCACGTTCATTGACCACCGCGGGCCCACTCAATGGAAGCAACTCCCGCCGGCACGACAGTTGCCGCTGCTACTCGAGTGGATGCATTGCCTTGCAGATACCGTGGCCTTTCTACACCGCCGCGGAGTAGCGCACACTGCGATTCGGCCCTCAAACATCCTCATAAACCGCCAAAATCGCATAGCGTTTGCAGATGTTGGTGCCCTGCGAACCTTCCAGCGCGGAAAGAAGATAGACAAAATTGAAAGCTACGACTACGCTGCCTCTGAGTCGCATCTTGCATCGCGTTCAACACACGGTACAAGTCCGCCGGTCTCCCACCAGGGTACGCTGAAGAAGCTGCGGAAGTTGAGCATGGGCACCACCGCGACGAGTAGTTCCTCGGGAAGCTCCTCTCCCGGTCGCACCACTCGGAGCAACAGTGCTTCCACGACCGCTACGTCTTCGATCGCGCCGGCGTCGCCATTTCCATCGTCACCTCTTTCTCCCGTTCAGAAATCGACGGGAACATTGCGGAATTTCAGTCGCCACGCCCTTTCGATGTCTCAGAGCGGAGAAAGCCTCACTTCTCCCACGACGCCCACAAGAGCCGCACAAATCTCGCCCAGTCCAGCAGTCCTCCACCCTGGAACACTTCGCGATCTACCATCCACTACGCCGTTCATGTCAGACATCTACTCGCTGGCATGTGTCTTCCTTGACATCCTCACATTCATCCTCCGCGGCAAAACGACCGACTTTGTCAAGTTCCGCACCACCCGCCCAACCTCTGTTCCGGGATCACCACGGTCCCCGCGAGGCAAAAGCGACACCTCCTTCCACTCTGATCCGGAGAAGATACTCGAGTGGATCACGATGCTGAAGAATGAAAGCGAGCGTCGCAGCGAGCAGATCTTTCGTGGCTTCCCCGACTTGTTGCTCTTGATCCGAAGGATGCTGGCACAGAATCCAGCGCTGCGTCCGACGGCGATAGAAGTGCGGGAGCAGTTACAAAGTATCTTCGTGGATCTTTGCGGGCTGGAGAGCTTGTGTTGCGCGAACAGCGACTGGGATGTGCAGCTGATTCCCTCGATGTCATTTTCATCGGATCAGGGACTTCTCCCGGGATTCGTGGAGTAGGGCCGTGCCATGGCTGCTGAGAGGGCTTGAAGTGCTGCAGGCGTCAATGAAGAGTACAGTGATTACTCTAGAACGGGACCATTTGCTGGGAGCTGAGGTTATGGGAAGCGGAGCTGCAGTGATCAGCGGACCTCCTTGACAGCAAGAGGTTGCGAAGATCCTTCGTACATATAGGGAATTGTGACGTTACAAGGCAGTGCTGCTGAAGTCGCATGTTCGCTGATGTGCGAATTACAAATCGAAGTCATTTCCCGTGTCTTTTTTTACAGCATGCCTTGTACCCTGTGTATGCATGCTTCCACATGTATTCTCGTCAGCCGTGTCGCTGCCGATCATCAGCTGCTCCAAGCTGCTTGATCATTGGCAAGCGGCTTGCGATCGCGGCTTCTGGACCGCCACGGAGCTGTCGCAGCATATGCCGTGAACATGGACCAAAAAGCCCGTTGACAGCACGCTTAGCCTCGGAAAGGCAGACTCCTCGCACTCATCATCAGCACGTCAATCGTCTAGCAACTTCAAGCCATCCCCGCCGACCGCGACGAAGCCGACGCCAAACTCGTCGTCGATTTCGCCGGCGCCAGGCTGACAGCCACCGCCGGAACAACGCTCCCAGCGACCAAAGCACCGCCCTTGATCGAGTAGCCGCGGCGAGTGATCTCCGCTTCGTACGAGGCCATTTGCCGCCGGTAGTCCTTGAGGTAGACCTCGATGATGTCCTGTTTCATGAGCGCGTTGTTTTGCGCCGTCGTCCATTCGTTGAGATCGAGTTTGAGTTGGATTTGCGCTGCGGGCGTGTGAGCGTGCACGTAAAAACAGGGATCCAAACATACATGGAGTGATGATGACTGGGATGGGTAGGGAGACTTACATGGTTGGCCCGGCCCATACAATGACAGATGCTTTGCCGATTCCTTGTGGTTAACGAGCGCCTCGCACGCATCCTTCACCCGCTCAAGCAGACTCAACTCCTCCTCATATTGCGCAATAAACACCTGCATACGGCTGTGCTTGTGCAGTAGCGTCTGCACTTCTTCCGGGACCGCCATCTTCAGCCACGCGGGAATGGCGCAGAGTGCAGACAAGGATGGCTAGATGAGCGAACGAGGGAGAGCAACGAAAGAAAGAAAGGAAGGACGGATGGATGGATGGGAAGAATGGAAAGGGCCTACTGGTTGCACAGACGGCGGCGGGGTTCCCCCCGTGTCCAAAGGGGATGATACGTAGCCCCCTTGGGCATGGGTGGTGCCGTCAGAGTCTTGGAAGGGAACGGCAAAAGATGGCAGCGGCAGGAAAAGCAACCCCTCCATCCACGTCTCTCCGGCAGAAGGGCAGAGTGCCGCGGCGCGATTAATAAGGTTGAGACCTGGCAATGTGGCCGCTGTCCAATGAGTAACTGCCGTGCGCGTCGGAGGCGCTTCCGTGCTGCTCCGTGGTGAAGTCAGCAAATAGGAACGTCCAGTCTATGACAACGACGACTTGCCAGCCTGGCAGGCCATTGGAGTTGTGCATGTGGGGGGCACGCCCTGGTCGAGATCGCGCACTCGTAGATCGGCGCTTGGGCGGCAGGCATGCTGTGCATGCGCGAGATCCTCGTGTTTTTTTAGGGGGGAACAGGGGCCTTTAACCTTTTCCTCAGATCGACCATCCTTGCAAGCGTGGGAGTCTATCTGACGACTTGGTCTACATAGCCGACCGATTTCGGGCCATATGGCCTCGGACAAGGCGCTATCGGAGAGATGCCAAATCGAAGATCATGAAACAAGTTGGACGTCAAGCCATCAGCCTCCCTCGTCCTCTCCGCCCTGTCCCCGTGACTGCGGGTGCTACACTCTCCCCAATCTCACTCCCCCCACCAGCACTCGTTGTCCGGCTCATCGGCTCACCGCCCAATTTCCCTTGCAATGCCGCAGCCATCGACGCACCCGGCGGAGCAGCCTGCTGACGCATCTTCCGCTCAAAGCTCAGCAGAGGCGCAAAGCCCGTGGCGGGATTGCGCTCCACGCCTTTGCCGATCACCGCCGGACCTGTTTCCAACAAGGGTAGTCGGTAGGGTTGCGATGGCCCACTCTCGCCCAAAGCCTGGTCGAGGAGCTCACGGCGCATACGTGCCGCGATCTCTTCGTCTTCTTCGTCTATGTCGAGCTGCATCGCCGGTGCGTCTTCGGCGCCGTCAGCGGCAGGGTGCGCGCGGGAGGCGCTGTGTCGCATCATGGCGAAGTCGTTGTCCATGTCGAGGTGGCTGACTCCCGTCGGCGCCGGTGCGCCACTCTTCTCGGATCGCGTGACGGCGTGGTGCAAGGGGATGACGGGTGCGAAAGGGTCTTTGCTGTTTGTCAGTCCCATGCCGCCGGCTGCTGCTCGTTCAGATGTCGCCGCCGCGGCAAGGTCGTTCAGCGCGGCCAGTGGATTTGCCCGTGCGCCTCCACGAGTGAGCACTTGGTGGCTCGTCGATCTCTCCATCTCGGCCGCCGCGGGTTCGGAGGCGGGCGTTGCGACATCTCCCTCCTCTGTTGTCGGCGCAACGGCCACTGCATCCTCGTCCTCTGCCCCTTCCATCACCTCGTCGGTGATGGACGGCACAGCTGTGTCAACCCCGCCCGCTTCGTGCCCCTGCGGCTGGTTGAAGTAGCGCCAAGTAGCGAGCTTGGCCGTGTCTGTGGCCAATGCCAACTCTTTCTCTGTGAAGATGCGCTCCAGGCTGTACGCCGGTGCTTCGTATTGCGTGTACTTGTTGACATCCCGCGCCTCTCGGAAGGGACTTCGACCACCTAGCAAATCTGGACCAGCTCGCAAGTATGGCGCAGGGGACTCGTTCCCGTCGTCTTCCATTGCGCCAGCCTTGCGTTTCTTCTTCCCGTTGCCCTCCAAATCCCCTAGATTCGGACTACCCTGCCGATGTCGCAAGTGTCTTGTCTTCCTATTCATACCGCTCGGCGGTGAGCCAGGGTTGTTGATGCTGAAGTGATTCGGGTGTAGCAGAAGCGCGTTGCTATCTGCAATGTCGAGCGACTCCTTGTCGCGCAACAATTGTTGCCGCCTCTTGGTGATGCTCGCAATGAGGCGCTGGCGCACGGTGCTGGTGAGGGCCTTGTGCTCTTCTTCTGCCTGGCGAAGCTTGTGTTGGGTGAGCCGATCGAGCTCGGCAACGGAGGAGTGGTAGTGGTTCTGTAGGCGCGTTGTCAGCCAGGAGTTGAAAGTTTGTCTCAAGCGAGGTGGTGAGCGGCGCAACTTACGTGAAGACTAGTCAGATCTGCATCTCTTTGTTCAATGCAGTCGTTCACCTCCCGTACAAACTCGCGATACCGACTGCCGGCTATGGCAGCAAAGTCTCGCTGCGCCGCCTCATCGTTGGGGAGGGTGGCGCCGGTTTGCTCAATCAGATTTTTGATATCCTCGCCAGAGTCGTCGAGCAGTCCACTGTGGTCTCCAGCGCCGGAGGGATAAGGGTCGGCGCGCAAGACAAGGGTCATGTCGACCTGTAGCGCCTGTAGCTGGGCGCGATAGTGGGCATGCTGGTTGGAGGAGAAGCCGTCGATCATGCCTTGTAGCTTCTCCACGATGCGGTTGCGACGTATGTCCCTTTTGGTCGGTGGCATCGGCGCCGGGGAGGGCGACTGTTCGAAGGGAGAGACGTGTCGAGCCATGGTGGGTGAGGGTAGGTCGGAGTGATGGGGAGGTGAGGTAGAAGTGCGAGGTGCAGAGTGCGATCGATACCCGCGACTCGTTAGAGCGCCTACGCCGAGGCAATGACCTGACGTAGCAATCCCACGAGTGGTCGAAGTGCGGAATTGAAGTTGTGCGAGAAGTGTGAGCGAGGTGTCGGCGTGGATTGTGACGAGGGCGGAAAGTTAAAGTGGCCGGCGGGATGAGTTAGGGTTCGGGAGCGTCTGGGCCGGCCCGCCAGAGCGAACACGGCCAAACTCTAAAATATATGAGAGCGATGAAGTAGCAAGGCTGTCGAGGTCCATCATTTCTTACTACATTTCTGTGGTTCGTGGTCAATGGTGTTCCACTGCCTCCTATCTATTCTCATAACACTAAGCTCATCTCGTAAAGTCGTCGTTTACAAGTTTAAGATCTCATGGCTCCATTGTGTAGTTCGAGCGCTGCCTCCAGCGAGGACCGTAACGCATGACAAGTGCGGGAATCGGGGCGGTGGCCAGGAGTGTAGCGGCTATAATACTGAAGCCCCACCCGATTCCAACCAGATTGGTCAGGGGAGGCATGGCCAGAGGCAAGAAAGACCCTGCTAGACAGCGGAGAATCAACACGGCGGTCAGCGCACTGGCGGAGTAGAGGCCGAAGGCGTCGGTAATGTAAGTCATCATCGGCACGATGCTCGTCACCACGACCAGACCGACGAACACGACCGAGACCAGGAGTACCCAGACCGGCCAGTGCCGATCTGCACTCCATCCGTACAGGAACATGACCAGCGGGGTAAAGAAGGCTCCTAAGATGGACAGCGGCAGTCGGCCTTCGGGGTAAGAGCGCCCGCCGTGCTTCTTTTCAAGCTTGATGTACAGCCAATCGGAGACGAAATTGCAGATTGCAATGCCACATATCGACCCAGCGCCTGTTGGTTGTTAGCTCGCGTGCCCACAGCCCACCAGACGAGACACGTACTGAACGTCAAGAACGATACACCCGTCAACGCGGGGCTGAAGTCATATAGGTCTTGCAGCATGTCCGGTAGCGAAGTCGAAAAGACGTAGAACATCGCGAACACGAGAGCGCCCCAGATGGAGAGTATCTGCAACAGCGAAGAACTGTAGATGACCTTCGCAGGCCGCGCCATGGCTTTGAGGACCGTCATAGTCGAGCTGTCCGTGCCTTCTCTGTCGAATGCGGTCTTGTAGCCATCATCTCCAGTCTCCCGGCGTAACCGAGCGGCGCGACGTCGGAGGATGGTGGGCTTGTAGGTCTCGCGGAAGAAAAGGATGAAGGCAAGTTCGCAGACACCCGCCAGGCCGATGGCCAGCCATAGTACTTCCCGCCACCCCGTCGCTTGAGCCAGTCCACCAGCGACTGACAGACTTGATCAGCTGCATACGTCGCTGTACGGAGCACGTTCAGACATACCTGTTGGACCCATAGCTCCGCCGATAAGAGGCGCCAGCATCATAGCGGCCATGGCGGAGCCTCGGTTCTCAGAAGGGAACATGTCTCCGACGATCGCGGGGTTGAGGACGTTGGTGGCGACAGCGCAGCCGGTGAGAAAGCGCGAGAAGATGAGGAGGTCGATGCTTTGGCTGAACACCGAAATCAAGATTCCAACAACGAAGAGGGCGTTCGCCGCGTTGTATGTGGGCCATCGCCCGAATATTTCCGATAACGGGGCGATGAACAAAGGCCCAGCTGCTTCGCCGAGCTCCCATATGGTAACGAGTAGGACACTCGCAGATTTGTCTCTATGACCTTCGAGGTCTTTGACGACCGCACCGGCTACGGGCACGATGCCTATGCATGTGAAGGTTCTGTACGACGTTAGATTCAAAGGCGCAGTGAAGAATCTCGACTTGTGTGGCAACTTACACTGTCATGGCCATGAAAGCAAGCAGAAGCACAATGAACCATCGGTATCTCTTGGACCACTCCAGCGGATTGTCCTGGTCACCTTCAGGATCGAAATCAACGAAGTGGTCTTTGCCGTTGCTGTGGTCACGCCCATGTCGTTCATGTGGCGGGTCTAATAGAGGCTGGCGTTCATCCATCCTGGCGGAGGGCTGTAATCACAAAGGAATACTCGAGAACCATCTGTAATATTGAAAAGTCAACGACAGAGGATGAAAGGTACAAATCGTGACCACCCAGACAATGAAACTCCCGCAGCCAGAGAAGAGATGTAGGAAATGTTGAGCTCGATTGTCCTCACCAGAGGATTATGCCACGCAGAAGCAGTATGACGGGAATGGAGAGGTCTCCACAATTTCCCCATGCCGCGAGCTCGGAGATGGCCCTACAGATTGGGGGTTGATAAGCACGCCAAGTGAAGCCAAATGGACTCCTCGGTCAAGATGGTGTGTGGAGGCGCAGGGGATGCTGTGAAGGTCATTCGCCGTCGCCATCGTGAGGATGTGGAGTGCTGAGAGTGTCGGAGGCAGAAATTGGGCTCATTCTGCCCGACCCTCATGCACATTCGACTCCGAAGCTCGGGCCCACTCGTGGTTGACTCCAGCTGTTCACGTCCATGAACCAAGCACATCATCAGGCACTCGCAAACCTCGTCCTCGGTCCTAGCTTCTCGCCCGAAAATGGACGAAGACCGGTGGCACAGCCACATCACCATCGACTTGATCGCTCGCGTTCTCAACCGCAGCATCTTCCATCCCTTTGTGGCCTGGCTGGTCCCGCTCTGTCTTCGAGCAGTCGCCACGCCTTATGCCGCTCCAGAGTTCTCTGCTTCATGCTTTTGGGCTTCAATCGTCACACTAGCCACTGTCGCTGCATATCTCGATCGCAGGATAGCGTACGGGGTGCCGAGGCAGGTGGACTGGGACCATGAAGTCGTGGTGATTACCGGAGGCGCAAGCGGGCTGGGCAAAATCATGGCGGAGATGTATGGCATGCGAGGCGCCAGTGTGGCCATTCTTGACGTCCAGAAGCCCAGCAAGGAGAGTGAGGGCCTGTCCGGCGTCCACTTCTACCCCTGTGATGTCGGAGACGCGGGCGCGGTGGAAAAGGGCAGCGTGCAGATAGCCAAAGACGTACGTAGAACACTCACTACTTCCATCACCCCCGCCCCCTTATCCAGACCTATTTCATGCTAACGGTAAGTTCACCCCAGCTCGGCCAACCCACCATCCTCATCAACAATGCCGGCATCGTACACGGCAAGCCCCTCCTCGACCTCACCCCAGCCGAACTCCAACGCAACTTCAACATCAACCTACTATCCCACTTCCACACCATCCGCGCCTTCCTGCCCGGCATGCTGGAGTCGCAGCAAGGCAGAGGCGGCACCATCGTCACCGTCTCCTCCGTCCTGGGCAAACTGGGCGCCAGCCATCTATCAGATTACACGGCAGCCAAAGCCGGCCTGATCGCCATGCATGCCTCCTTGCGCGCCGAGTTGGCGTCGCGCAACGCCCCTCCAGGCGCACAGAACATTCGCACCATCCTCGTCACACCCGGGCAGCTCAACACGAGTCTGTTTGCGAAAGTCGTCCCGCCGAGTCCCTTCTTCGGCCCGGTCGTCGAGCCAGTCGAACTGGCGCGGGACATTGTGCGGATGGTGGATGCCGGGGAGAGCGGGGAGATTAGTTTACCTTTGTATGCGAGATGGATAGATTGGATGCAAATTCTGCCCGCGGGAATGCAGAGACTCGCGCGGTGGGTGAGTGGCGTGGACAGAGCGATGGAAGCCAGTGGCCGCTCCAGCAAAAACGTCTCGAAATCGGGGACGGGTTAATGGAAAGCGGATGGAACAGTAGCACACCGTGCCTGCCCGTCTGCACACAATCGATCGAGATTCGAGCTGCTTGCTTGCTTGCTTCACGCGTTTCTACAGAATCTCAAGTACGCTTCCACTATGCCATGCCGGACCGCCCTGCGCTGTTGCACTCGACCGCATTCTTTCCGGAAACTCGCCTCCATCACGAGACTGAATGCAGCCTCCACACGAATTCGCCAAACTCCCCGCTACCCGAAACCCACCACCTGAAGCAAAAAAAAATCTCATTCGCGCTCAGCCGAGCGAGGTCGTAAGAATCGAAGAGAAGAGAAGGACACTCGCTGCGTTAGAAGTTGTGAGGTATTGTCGTAACGTCGTCAAACCGAGGGATGTGCGTGCCGAAGGCACGACTGATGAACTCTCTGCCGCCGGCCAGGAATCAGAACACAGCGGCGAGTCCAGCCTTGCTGTGTCTCTTGGAGAAGCGGCGTCTCGCGCTCCTGTCTTCGCCAAGGCTCTCATCGGTATTGCGCCTCAGCGTCTGCCGAAGATGATGCCTTTTGTCTCCGGCGCTGGGCCCGCTCAGAGGCATCGCCGCGTCGCCCCCCTGATGTGCGGATGGACTGCTGGAGTCGACTGTGTGCAACAGACTGTCGCCAGAATAGGACCCGGTCAGTGATTGCGCCATGGCCATTTCCCGCGCATTCTCAAGGGCATCCAGCCATTCCTGGGTGCTGTACCTGCTGCCAGCGGGGTCCGAGGTTGTCGCTCGAGGGTCTTCGAAGGTAAGTTGTTTGTCTCGCTACACCGAATTAGTACAAGATGGAGGTGTAGCTGGCAAGAGCAGCACACTTACAGTTTCAATATGGAAGCCCGTCAGGCCCTTGCTGTCCACAAAGCTCTTCCACGAGCTGGCGCCGCCCACGCAACTGACTTCCAACTTTGCCTTCTTCTCATTCCCACCAGCGGCAGCAACTACCAATCGCGCGTTGCTCGTGATGAGCACCAGCCGTTCACGACGTTTGTTCGCATTGCCACTGAAGAAGCTGCGTAACTTGGTCTTCTCCGGAGCAGCAGCCGAGTCGCCGTTCTTTGCACTGAAGCTGTGTGTGCTGTGCGACACGGTGAGGATGAGGTTGCCGAGCTTCATAATGCGCTCGTTGTTTTGCAGAACAGGTGACCAGTCGATGTCTAGTTGGCTCGGTGGTGGAAGGTCCGTTACCCCTCGTAGATCGCGCAACTGATTCGAGCGCGGGATTTGGGGTGGCGAAGCCGCCTGCATGGCCGGGGGCAGACCAGAGCCCGCTCCATTCAGCTTGATTGGGTCTGACGGCGGTGGTACGTAGGAGCGCAGCTTGGGTGCGCTTTGCCGCCACAGACCCTTGCCCCATTGCACGCCTTCGAAGAAGGGGTGGTTTCGGATGTGCTCCACTGGTAGCCTGTTGGCGGGGTCTAGCACTAGCAGTCTCTCCACCAGGTCTCGAGCGAGGGGCGGGAATCCATCCGGAAAGGTATACTCGAGGTTCAATATCTTCTGAAACGTGAGGTATTCGTTCGCGGCTTTGAAAGGAGGCCTACCAGCTAGCAGTTGGTAGATGATGCACCCAAATGCCCATAGATCGGAGGCTTTGCAAGCATTCGCCCGCTGCAGAAGCTCTGGACTGACGTACTCCGCCGTGCCAACAAATGAATTGGCACGATCTTGGTCAGCGCCGTCCGTCGGATTGCCGGGTACCATGTCATTCCCTGCACCTTGGGGCTTTGGATCGGGCAGAATCTTTGCAGTGCCGAAATCAGTAATCTTCGTATGCATATCGCGATCCAAGAGGACGTTTTCCGGCTTCAAGTCGCGATGAATGACGCCCCGCGAATGCATGTACGCGATGCTGTCGAGTATCTGTGCGCCGTAGAAGCGCGTGCACTCCACGTCGAACGTCCCCATTTTCTTCAACGTACTGAGTAGCTCGCCGCCGCTCGCCAGATCCAGCACAAAGTACAGTGAGCGCTCATCCTGAAACGTGTAGTAGAGACGGACGATGCCAGGATGCTCGGTGAGTCGATTCAGCGTGTCGCGCTCAATGTTGACGTATTTGACCTTCTTTTCCTTGATGATATGTCGCTTGTCGAGGACTTTGACGGCGTACTCCTTCATGGTCTGTCGGTCGGTAGCAGCCAGCACGGTGGAATAGGAGCCATCGCCGAGTGTGCGGCCGAAGGAAAAGTCTTTGACGCCTTTCTTCACAGTTTTGGTGTGCGCCTTGCCCGACGCGTCCGTCTCTGTTCTCGTGCCGACGGCGGCCCCATGCTCACGCCACTCGTCCGCGTTGGACGGCTGTGGTGCCGATGCTGCATATGCTGCCGCAGCCGCATCGATGGCCGTGATGGAACTGGTGGACGGCCCTCGCGCTCGGTGGGAGGGCCTTTGCGGTGGCAACGCGCCACTGCCACCATCGATTGGTCGGCCGGTGGGTTTATATGTCCTACTGCCATTTCGCATGGGTATGCCTCCCGCCATGCCGTTGGGCGGTCTCACTCCAGGCCTCATCGAGTCATACGCGCCAACATCGGACTGTGTTTGTTCTTCGCGATATCTGTGCGAGCCGGTCGAGGTCGAGGAAACATTCGTTTGCTGGTAGACGTCGTTGGAGGGCTGCATCGAAGGATTTGGAGGGCCGACGTTGCGATACTGCTGAGCGTGTGCAGGGGGCTGTGATGAAGGCTGCCACTGCTGAGACGTCTGTTGGTTCAGCGGCAGGCTCTTGCGGTGGGATAAGCGGTGTTGGTGCAGCGGGAACTCGGTGCCAGGTGTGGCAGGAGACTGGGAGTGGAAGGGCGAGGCAGGTGACGCGTCGCCGTTCTGGAACGTGTAGCTGCTCGGACTCCATCCAAGGCTTCCCGAGCTCTCGCGAGACAAGGGAGGTAATCTGGACGGATTGGCCGCGGCGGGCGGCGCTTCGCCAGTCGAGTGCGACTGTTGTGAAGGAGGGTGTGGCGGAGGGGAGTTGAGGGGGGAGACGGTGGAGGCGGGGGAAATGGGAGAGCCGACGGCCTGCTCGTTGTCGGGATTGGCGATTCGCAGGCCGCCAAGGGCGTTGCTGAGTGAAAGATCGCCGCTCATCCTCGTGGCTTGGGGGAGGCAGCTCGACGGAGGTCGGAGATGGCAGAAGACGTGCCGAGCTCCCGACCAGCGGCCGTGTGCATCGGGGAGAGGATGTGGAGGGATGGAAGATGGGCTCGGAGGCGGTGGAGGGCGAGTGAAGGGGTGGTGTTCGCCTGGTGGACAGCAGGACGGCGTCGCGCAATCACTGCAAAAGCGGTACGTCGGCGGTGGGTGTGGCTTAAGTTTGGGGTTAGTCAGTTGGGAAACTTGGGACTGGATTGATACGATCCGAGCTGCCTAGCGTGCCCGCGCCTCGGAGATGAACTGACGCACCGTGCTAGTCATGTGCATGCAATGCTTCTACCCACGTACAATAATGTCGCCGTGCTTGGAAGAAAGCTCGCTCTATTGCATGGATGTCGCGCGACAAGTGTTCATCCAAAGCGGCGGTGGGCGGTTGTGTCTGCCGCTCCTTCCCCGGATAGATGTTGGACGACGCATGCTGCGCCTCACACCCACGCGACTTCGACCACTTGGAGCGGTCCTGGCCCCCTCACCCGTCCGTCATCTGCTGCCTAAGTAGACTGCACTGAAGCGTCGACGCGGCCTTTCTATTCTCAGCCTTGGACGCGGCGGCCGCGGACAATGCTCACGCGACCATGGCATCGATCGTACAGGTAGATCGAGTCAGCAACGCTCTTCCTCGTCCGCCACTCCGGCTGCTCCGATGCAAACAGCAGGAGATCTGCCCAGCTGCCCTCCCTGAACTCCAGACTTTCGCGATCGCTCCCAACGCCAATGGCTGCCTTGGCTCTGTTACTCACGCACTCATACAAAACCTCTGCGTCCTGCTGAGTTCCCGCGTGGTAGATGCCCACTCCGTGGCACGCGAGAGCGAGCGGATCGCAGCTCCCGTACGGCGTGAATGCATTGCCGATATTGTTGATCCCGAGACAGGCATTCAAGCCATGCTGTTGAATCAGCTCGGGGACATTCAGCGTGCCTCGTGCTTTCTCAGGCGTGCGCATCATGAAGAGATCACTGGTTGGTAGGCCGACAAACGAGATGGGAAGGTCTCCGATTTCCTCTCGCAGCCTCGTCCAGTCTTGTCCGTCGAAGCGAGTCAATCTGGTGCAATGTCCCAGTACCACCGTCTTGCCCTGGTTCTTTTCCTTCCATCCCATCTCCTTGAGTGTCTTGATCACATACCACACCACTGGCTCAACATTGGCATCAAGGTGGTAGTCTAGGTGGAAATCCACATGCTTCTTAGACTTGATGCTCAGCTCGACCAGCCATCTCACGTTCCGCTGCGTCTTTTTCCGGTCGCTCTCCACGTAAGGCGTGCTGCCCAACACGTCGACCTCCTCTCTTCCCGCCGCCTGCTCCATCAACCGCCTAATGATCGCTCCATCTTCATCACCATCCGAGGCGGAAAAGAGGGCGAGCTGCGCGAACGCACATAGTTGCACATGACACCGCCCTTCCGTTTCGGCCTTCCGCTTCAACTCAACACCAGCATCGAGGCAAGCATTGCCCACAACTGCATCGACCTCAACAAACGCCCGCATATGCGACACCCCGGCTTCCACACTCTCGTCAACCACACGCTGCCCGCGTTCCAGCAGGTCATCCGCGGTGAATTGGGCTTTGGCTTTGCCAGTCAAGACCATAGCTTCGTTGAAATCGCCGGATTGGATTTGCAAATCAGAATACTTGGGGTATGAGAGGAGGAATGCCTTGTCGATGTGGATGTGGGGGTGGCAGAGCGACGGAGCCAACAGGGCACCACGGCCGTGTATGATGGATGCGGTGGTGGGAAGGGTCCGCATGAGCTTGTCGGTGTGGAGGGTGATGCGGGCGATGCGGCCATGAGAGATGAAAACAGTCCAGCGTGTGCCGAGCCTTGTTTTGGGGAGGCTGACGTTACTGATCACCGTCTCCATATCTCGATCCCGGGTTGGGTCTGCGTTCCCTCCCTGCTGCATTCGCGCCAGCTCGGCGTCCAGATCGATGCCATGGGTTCGTAAAAATTCCGCAGCCATGTCTTGCTGGAGTGCCGTCCTTGATTAAGAATATATGGGTGCAGGGAAGTGGACTCTTGCTTGCTGCTACAAACAAGTCAGGCCGTGACGGGGACAAGCACAAACGACACTTTCGCAGCTCCCAAACACACACCACGGCACCAACAGGCGCGTTCAAAGGCTTGTAGAGGCAGACATAGTGCTTTAATTGTCCTCTAATTCCAACAGAGGATGAATTGTAAAAGTAAAGGGGGAGGAAGGATCAATTCGGCCGGGGAGGTGCTCCCTTACTGCCCCGCGGTCTGCGCTCGCTAGATGCCCGCAGCCCGCCCAGCCATTTTTAGACCGCGTTCCATGACTTATCCATCTTTATGCATCGCCCAGTTTTCAGTCACGTCCTCCCACCTCCCACGACTCCATCCTCATCCTTCCCCCCTCCATCTCGATCATCGACGACTCGCTGAATGTGCCTCTTACCGCTGCCAAGACCAGCTTAGTCTCCGAAGCGGCAACTAGCCACAATGAACCGCCAGCAGAATTACATGCAGCCGCGAAAGTCGGGTGAGTGTCTTGCCATCCCCTCACATCCCATCCCCCTTCCTCGACTAGAGACACGCCGTCGCGCTCTGATGCACCCTGCCTACCATGAACGCCCCGTCCTCCACTTCCCACAAGCGCAAAATCAGCCACAGTGATCTAATGCAGACCTTTCGACGCGCAGGCCCCGTCTACCAACAGCATCCCCACCCCGCGCAACAACAGGCGCATCTCTCGCAGCAAGCCGCACAGCAGCAACAGCAACAGCACAGTCAGCAGCGCCAGCAGCAGCAAGCCCGGCAGGCCGATGCCGCTCGTCGCGCAAAACAGCCCACCGATCGCACCATCCCCGATGAATTGACCGAGGTGGTGGTGGGCGATGGCGTGGAGCGCTACGACCAACTGCGCGCGGTGGAGAGGAGGTTGGACGCGACAATGATGCGGAAAAGACTGGACGTCAACGACAACGTCAATCGCCGCTACACGCGCAGAGACGGTCTTTTGCGGGTCTGGATCAGGAATACCGCGGAGGGCCAACCGTGGCAGGTCATGGAGGAGGGCATGGCACTGGGCGAGGATGGCACGATTGACTTTGGCGATTCGAGTGCCGCCACTTTCCGCGTCAAGATTGAAGGACGCTTCGAAGACGACGAGGCGCAAGATGGCGTCGACAAGGGGAAGAGTCGGGACGCGCAGGCAGCAGAAGATGACAGACCAGCGAGCACTGCAGAAGCAAAGGCCCCACCCGCTCGCCGGCCGAGATTCAGCCATTTCTTCAAGTCCATCACCATCGACTTTGACCGCAACCCTGCGCTGCAGCCGGATGGCTACAGTGCGATTGAGTGGCGCAAGCCGGGCACCGGGTCCAACGTCGACCCGGCCAACAGCGAAGCTAGCTTCGACACACTCGAGTTTGAGCGCAAAGGAGACGAAAACATCAACATCACCATCAGCCTCGTGCGCGATGAATGGCCGGAAAGATGCAAGCTGAGCCCGGCATTGGCGGAGATTCTGGACAGCGAAGAGGAAGATATGTTGACCGTGCTCCACGGGATCTGGGAATATGCGCGCGCCATGGGACTTCAGGAAGACGAGGACAAGAGGAACATTCGGTGTGACGAGCCTCTGCGACGAGTAAGTGCAGGATGTGCGCGACTGATGCCAGGATCAAATGACTAACTCCAGCCTACCACAGCTCTTCCACCGAGACTCCATCTTCTTCCCCGAGGTCCCGAGCCACCTGCATCCCCATCTCCAGCCGTTGCCGCCGATCAAACTCAACTACACCATCCGCGTGGATAAACCGTATATCGACGGCAGCGACGGCACCGGCCCCAGCGAACCCACCGTCTACGACCTGCGAGTTCCCCTGGCCAATCCGCTCACCTCACACATCGCCCGCTTCCAACGCACGCAACAAACCAACCCCGCGCACATTGCTGCCCTGCGGCAAATCACCTCGCTCGACACCGAATTGGCTCTCCTGGCGCAGAAGATTCACCAGACAAACGCAAAGCGGAAGTTCTACGAAAACCTAGCCAAGGATCCGGTGGGCTTTGTGAAGCGGTGGACGAGCAGCCAGCGGAGAGATCTGGAGGTGATTCTGGCGGAAGAGAGGAACGCGGGACTGGAGGGGACGGGCAGTGGGTTGATGACGGAGGAGTGGAGACGCGGGGGCGATGAGGGTGTCTGGGGCACGGGGGTGGCGAGGGAGAGTGTCGGGCTGTGGTTGGCGAGGATGGGTAAGGGGTATTGAGGGCATGGAAGATGGGTGGGAGACCAATGGCATTCTAAGCGCGGCGCTGGGGTTGCTTGCATCGGTAGACGATGTGTTGAAATGAAACGCGATTGCACAAGCTAATGCTCGGCCTCACTGATTGCCCTGATTGCTGTTCGCTGTTTGTCTCGTCCTTGCCTGTGCGAGATGATGCTGCGGTTCGTGTAACACGGGGCATGGATGCAGTGCACGTTTCCGTTCCTCACGCGTGCCTGCATTTGGACAACTTCACTCTACCCTGCACCTGTCATCTCTCGCCCATTCCACCTTCTGATCCCCCGTCACTGACTTTCACCCCTCTACCAGTCCATCATCATGGCCATGTCGGTGATGCTGCACGAGGAGTATTTCCCGCAACGCACAGACAACAGGGTGAACGCGTTCAACGAGCCAATCGCGGGAGCACGCCGCCATGCAGAACAGGTTAGCTCCCCTCCACCCCCCGTTTGCCGAGGAGGACCTTTTTTGTTTTCGGACAGCTTGCAAACCTAATCCATCCGTGCTATCCCCCTCCTAACAACCTCCTTCTGTCCTACACAGCATCCATCCTCGCTCCCCGAGTCTTCCACCTGGTCGCGTTGGTTCCGTTCCTCCTCGAACAACATGTCGGTCTCAGACAAGGTCGCTCCGGCCCTGCCCATCCCCTCCTTCGGCGACTTGGGCAAAGCTGCGAACGATGTATGTTTGGCCAGCTGGACCACCATAACCCGCTCCCTGCGCTCTAACAACATTGCTTACCTTTTGCCCAGATCATCAACAAGGATTTCTACCACGCCAGCCAAGGTCAGCAAATCCATATGCGCGTGGCAGTCACGGGGGAAGACTGAGGCTAATGCTCTCCACCAGCCCAGCTCGAGGTCAAGCTCAAGGCCCCCAGCGGCACCAATGTCACCATCAAGGGCAAGCAGGGCTTCGACAATGTCACTACTGCCTCCGTAAGCTCCTCTCCGCGCCTCTCGCAAACCCGCTGTGTCCCTCGCTAACTCGCCTCCCCTCTCCAGGTCGAGGGCAAGCACGTCCTGAAGCCGCAGGGTACGCAAACATCTCCTGATCTCTCACCCGACCCTCCCACCGCCCCTGCACCCACGAGAAACTCTGTGAACATGAGTTCCATCCGCTTCTTCGCCCCCCTACCTGCCCCCTTACGAACCAGCCTTTCTCTTTCTATCTTCGGCCTCGCGCGGAACAATGATACCTCCAAAAGATATGCATTGACCTTTCGCGCAAATTCAGGTGTCACCATCACCCAGGCCTGGACCACCGCCTCGCTCCTCGACAGCAAGGTCGAGCTCTCCGACGTCATTGCCCCCGGCGCAAAGGTCGATCTGCAGAACCTGTGGAACCCCAGCAAAGCCGCGTCCGCCGCGCAGAAGTTGATCTTTGCCTACAAGGCCCCCAACTTCCACGGCCGCACCTTCATCAACTACGCGCAGGCGAGCGGCAACATCGACGCCATCATCGACGTCGTCGCCGGCCACGATGGCTTCCTCGTGGGCGGTGAGGCCGGCTACGACCTCCAGAAAGCCGCCGTGACCAAGTACTCCGTCGGCCTGGGATACCAGACCCCCAGCTACGTCGCCAACCTGACCGCCACGCAAAACCTCGGCATAATCGCCGCATCCTACTACCAGAAGGTCAACGAGTCGACGGAAGTTGGCGCCAAGGTGGGCTACGACGTGAACGCTGCCAAGGCGAGCGGGCTCGAGCTGGCGTCCAAGTACAAGCTCGACCCTCTCAGCTTCGCCAAGGCTAAGGTCAACGACCGCGGTATTGCAGCTCTCGCCTACAACACCAAGCTGAACGCTGGCACCACTCTGGGCCTCGGTCTCTCGCTTGACCTCAACAAGCTCAACGAGGCCGGCCACAAGATCGGAACGCACCTCCAGTTTGAGGGTTAAGCTGTTTCCGAGAGCCCTGTGTCGTATCGAATGGGCACGCCTATTAGATGGCGGTAGGAGCGGAGGTGGATTATAGACAGCGGTGCAAAGAGCAGTGAAGCAGGCAGACAGAGCGGCTTGTATAATTGATTCCAGGCACCCAGGTGCTTTATTCTCTCAAACTTCCCATTCCCGCCCAAATCTCCGAAGCCTCGCTATGCAAAGCCATCATGTCAAGCAAGCCTGTCGTTATTCTTCCCGCCGTGCTTTTGTTTTTGGTGGTACAGACCACGTCCGAAGCACCCAGAGCAGGCCTACAAGCGTCCCACTGACCCACAGAAAGTTGAACAAGACACTCCCTCCACTCGACTCCGGGCTCGTATCGTCACTCCGCACTTCCCTTCTCCTTCTTGCCTTGTGCCGCGTCTGCTCGATATTGCTGTGCGTCTGCGTATGCGCCCTCTGATCAAAATGCCGCACATCGTTGTCCCAGCCGTGCGTGAACCCGCCCGGTCCCATGCCTCCTCCGACATTGTTGCTCGCCGCCTCCCCCTGCGCTTCATGGGTGTGTGATGCTTGCGACGCGGCGGATCCTCGCTTCTCGCTGTGCTGGCCCCAGCCGCCGCTGCTGTAGAAGGAGGGCGGCGGGCCGCGAAACTGCGTGCGGCGGCGACTGAGGCCGCTGGCGGGGCGGCCGCCGAAAGGGGTGGTGGAAGCGGAGGAGTAGGAGCCGGACGGGCGAGGGCCGGAGGAGGAGGGGGGCGAATGGGCGCGGTGGAAGTCGCGGTCGTAGCGAGAGCGCTTCTCGGGCGAGCCTAGGGTGGCATAGGCTTCGCTGATTTTGACGAAGCGTTGTGGTGCCGTGGGGTCGTTGGGGTGGAGGTCGGGATGGTGGGATTTGGAGAGTTTGTAGAATTGTCTGTTAGAAAAGTGGTTAGAGCGCTGCAGGATGTGTGGTTTGGGACGGAGTAGGATGTACTTTTTGACCTCTACCGGAGAGGCATTGGGTTGGATGTCGAGGGTTTCGTAGTGGTTAGGGATGCCATGGTCATCTTTCTGGGACGGCGAAGAGTGAAAGAAGCGTGGATGAGGAGCGGTGATGAGGCACGAGAAGTGGCGGAGAGGACGCCTGGCTCGACATGATTGCACAATCATGCCGTGGGGACATTGAGGAAGAGGCTAAGAACGACGTGAGAGGGAAGCATTGAAGTGCTGGCGGCGAGAACCAGGCTGACATCATTACCTCATCATGTCATCAACATGCGAGTCGGTTGAATGCCTGAGGCAAGCAAGACCTGACTCGACGGTTTTGCAGATTCACCAAGTCAGGCAGACGACTCGTCCCAACTCGACGACCTCGCAAGAATTCCGTCTGCCACGACAATCTGCACGACACGGAATTGAAGACGTCTTGCCCTCCACCCGCTATTCCCGGCATACCCTGCGGTGTGCCTTCGTGCTGCAACTGGCGCGGGATAAACGATGGGCGAACTCTAACCCGCCCGATCGATGCCGGATCTAAGCAGGTACTCTTGTACCCTCCACCGTTCATCACTCCTTTGCGCCGGCACGCAATACCCGGGGGCGTGCCCTCTTGCACATGGCCGCCCCTGGGGACATCCTCCCGCATGGCCACGAGAGATCGGCGTGCTTGAAGGTAATTGGTAAATGAACTGCATCATCATCATCTTCTCCTGCTCCCTTTCTGCTTCTTCTCTTCGCATTAATCCTTACATTCCTCTCCTCGAAAAAATATGTGACGTCGTTCCTGTTGCCGTATCTACAACCCCTGCCCGGCTCCCCCAGTTCTCGTCTTTCCGCAATGGCGGACAGCAAGTCCGATAGCAAGTCGGACGTCTCCCTTCGCGCATCCCTCGATTCCCTTGTCGACGAACGAATATCAAGATCGCCCATCTCTGCAGCCTTGGACGCCAAGAGCGACCAGTCTCTGTCCTCTGGTTTGGAACACCCTAACCCTCCCTCCAAGTCGAGACACCCCGATGTCGAAAAGCTGGAGAGTCCACCTTCGCCGGACGCGGTCTTCGCCAGCAGTCAAGACGAGCACGACCCGTCCATCGTTGACTGGGATGGCGACGAGGACCCGGAGAATCCCATGAACTGGCCCATTGGACGCAAAATATGGATGTCCACCGTCGCGGCCGGCACCACCTTCATCGTATCCATTGCCAGCAGCGTCTGGTCTGAGGACGTCGATGTTACCGCCAAAGAATTTGGTGTCAGTAGAGAAGTCACGATTCTGGGCGTGTCGTTATACGTGCTGGGTTTTGCCTGCGGTCAGTTGGATGACAATCTTCCTGCATATCCAAGAGCACCCTTCTAACTAGGTCTCAGGCCCACTAGTGTTTGGACCCATCTCTGAGCTGTATGGACGCTCGCGACCTCTAATCTTTGGCTTTTTCTGCTTCGCCATCTTCCAAATACCAATCGCGGTCGCAACGAACCTCGAGACCATCTTCATCTGCCGCTTCCTCTCCGCCGCTTTTGCCGCAGCTGCGATCGCTGTCAGTCCTGGCATCCTTGTCGACATGTGGGAGCCTTATGCTCGAGGGATTGCCAGCCTCGTCTGGTCGCTCACTGTGTTTGCCGGCCCAACCGTTGGTCCTCTGGTGGGTGCATTTACCGTGGAAAATCCCAATCTAGGGTGGAGATGGACTGCATGGTGAGTATCATCCAAGACTCTGTCATCCACAGGCACTGAACACCCATCTCAGGCTCATCCTCATCATCGCAATGGCCATGTGGGTAATCTGCGTCCCCACCGTCTCAGAGTCCTTCGCTCCCATTCTCCTCCAACGTCGAGCCGCCCGGCTCCGCCAGGAGACTCGCAACTGGGCTCTGCACTCCAAGCGCGACGAAGACCCCATCACATACGGCTACTTAGTGCGCAAATACGGGCTGAAACCGTTCAAAATGCTCGTGCAGGAGCCCATCCTGGCGTGCATGACGACATTCATGTCTCTCGTCTACGCCCTTATCTACCTCATGTTCGTCGCCTTCCCCTATGCCTTCCAGGTCGTGCGCGGTTGGGACTTGGGCATCGCGGCTCTACCTTTCATCGGGCTCTTCATCGGGTACCTTTTGGGATCCGTGATATGTATAACTGAGAGCACAGTCCGCTTCAGACGGCTCCTACGCCTCAACAACGGCTCCTTTGCACCGGAAGAGCGACTGCCCACCATGATTCTGGGCTCTTTTGTTCTGATCGCCGGTCTGTTTTGGTTTGCTTGGACCTCTTCCAGAAACATCACGTGGATCCCGCAAGTCATCTCCAGCATCCCCATCGGCGCCGGCATCTTCCTCGTTTTCGTGCCTGGTCAGGTATACCTTATGGATGTCTACACCATTCACGCGGCCTCTGCGCTCGCGGGCAATGCTTTTGTGCGAGCGGCGCTCGCTTGTGCTTTCCCTCTCATCGGCGATCCAATGTACGAGACCTTGGGGGTGGCATGGGGAATGAGTCTGTTAGGCTTTATTTGCCTGGCCTTGGCACCTTGTCCGATTGCATTCTATCTGTACGGCCATAAAGTGAGGGCGTGGAGCAAGTACGTCGCATGACGCACCAGAAGAATTAGACAGCCATGAATGAGAGTCTGTTACATCGTACAATAGCAAGTGAGGTGTGGGTATCTAAAGAGCATGCATAAGGAGAGCATCGCTCAAACGCTCATCAAACCCGGCCGTTTCAATGCTGCTGTGGTTCGTGCCTCCTGAACTCGAATTCTGCCGCGCTCTTCTCCCTGGTTCGTCAGTTATCCACCAACATGCCGCCAATGACCAGCTTCCTGATTCGGTCACGCATCTTCTCAAACCCCAGTACGGCAGTCTCGTGCTTCTCCCAAGCCAACATCCATGCCTCCCGCACCTTCGTATCCTCCTTGACCCCGCGCATGTAGGAGCCAAAGCCGGTTAGGGCTCTCAGCATCCCGCTGGTGTCGCCCGTGGCTTCCAGCCAACTCATCCCGGTCACCATCTGCGCTTGCACCTGTTTTTCGCGTTCCTGGAAGTGTTGCAGAAGCGCGGTATTGTAGGCATGAAATTCCTTGACGTACTCGCCGTACGCTGCGGCATAGCTATGCCAAGTTGCTCTGCTCAATCGTTGCGGCTCGGAGGGTGCTTTGGGCAAAGGCGGAACGGCGAGATTGCGGGGGACGATGGGCTCGCCAAACACAGTTGAAGAAGCCTGTGATGAGAAGGGCAGAGACGCACCAAGGTCGGCAAGCTTGATCGATTCCTCGGCAGTGCTTGCCTGGCCGAGGGGTTCCACGTTCCGCAGATCGTCGAGTCCCGCAGTGAATTTCGACGAGTCGGCACGCTGTGACTTCTTTGACGCGACAGATGACTTGCGGTGAGATCGTTGCTTTTGCTCCTGCTGTCTCCGCCACTGCGAAGGTGGCACGGAATATGCCCTGGCTCCGCTGGACTCGCTGTCCGGCTGTGTCTCGCTTTGCTCGGCAGGTGGGGGCGGATTGTCAATGTCCATGGCATCCACGTCGTGCAGTGGTGCCTCGTGTTCCGTTTGTGCAGCTTGGCCTGTTCCTGCTGCGGCATCGCCATCGTCATCGTCCACTATGTGCGGCTCCGTACTCGTACCGTTTCCCCTCCAACCACCACTCTTGCCCGCTTTCTTGCTCTGACTCTGCTTCCTCGCACTCGCGCCACCCTTTCCGGGACTTGTTGCACGCTGTGGCGGCGGGGCTTGAGTCCATGCAGGATCTTGAAACTTCCTTTGCCACTCATCCGGATCAAAGCCTCCTTCCCCGCTTGCCGCCATGCGCGGATACTCACTTGGGGTTCCATCCGAGCCCCACGCCCGTTGCGGGACCTCTTCGTTCGCTGTGCTCGTTCCTCCTGGCGTAGGGACATCCAATGTTGCGCTGCGCTGTTGGGAACTCGTTTTATGGTACGGGCTCGGCCGTCTCGCAGGTGACGGCTGCTTCCTCCCATTGCCATTGGGCGGAGCAAAGTAGCCCGGATCGCCCGTGAACGCGCCTCTCCAACCATCCGACGAGAACGATGTATTGATGTTCTCTTCGCTTCGGCTCTTTCCGTCGTTGAACGCGTACAGCTCGGGGTTGTGCGCATAATCGAAACTATTCTCACAGAGGTCTTGGTCAGCAACATTGGTCTGCGCAGGTCTCAACGAGTCAAAATGGGAAAGGACATCGCGCAAAATCTCGTCAAGCTCGGAGTCGCCGGACGATTCTCGCTTCCGTGCGCGGGCCACGAGTTTGAGAAAGATGTCCATATCCATGTTGTTTGGAACGGCGCCGAAATGCTTGCGGATTTCGCGTTGGAGGCTCAGGTACGCCTTCTTTTCATCATCAGAGGCGTTGATGAATAAAGGGTCGCCTCCTGTCGCATACTCCGTGTTTTTGCGGATGTGACCTCCTGTCTCAAGCTTGAGGAAGTGCAGGATTGGATTCACAGACGAAGGGATCGCCCAGTGGGGGATTTTGGGCGCTGAGCCGCGCTGTTGAGCTCTCGATGTTGAATGAGAGCCGAACATATGCGAAGCCCAAGCCTGCGAGCTGAAGGGACGAGACAACACGGGAGTAATGAAGGGGTCTGCGTACATGTTGGGTTTGGCTTTCTGCTGCTCGGTGTCCGACTGCGCGCTGGCGGAGGTTCCGTTTGCGTAACGTTTGCTGGGCCCAGTGGGCACGATTTTGGGCCGATCGGAAGATGACGCGGCATTGGGCGTGGAACTGGGTCGCTGCTGCTGTGCTCCAGAAGCGGTATTGTCCAGCTCTTCCGGGGTTCCCGTCAAATCAGCATCGCTGGCATCACTTGCATCACTAGAGCTGTTCAAGTCAAATGCTTTTCTGTGTCCTGATTTCTCAGGGGTCGCGTGGGGTGGAGAGGAACTTCGAGCCCTCGCCTTGCTCGTTTCAGCAGGTTCTGGGGGAGACAAGTTCGTCGTGGCCCGTGTACTGTGAGATCGCCGAAGCCCTTCGTTACGGAGGTCGGATTTCACGCCGGTGTAGATTTCAGCATACGGAGTGCTGACTCGATTGTGCTCCATGAACGGCACTTGGTCACCGCTGTACTGTCGTTGCGCATTGGGCGTCTTCGGCGAAGCAGTTGGCGCTGCGTTGCCAGGCTCACTCGTAGGTGGAGGGCCATGGACGTTGAAATGCATTCCAGTCAGGTTGTCGGAGCTATACGTGCGCGTGTAACGACTGCCGTCTGCGGGCTTCTCATCCGAAGTAGCGGTGCTTGGATTGAAGCCATGCCTAGGCGGCGTTCTGTACGTTTGATTCCTGGTCATGCCTGGCTTTCCCGAGTTGGTGGCATGAAAAGCAGCCCATGCCGACGACCGCTGATCAGCAGCGTCTGGGTGGAAGGGTGGAGGGACATTGTACTTCGGGCCGGGTTTCGGCTCTTCAGTCGGCATCCTAGGATCGGGCCTTGGCGGAGCAGTCGGCCTTACTTTGCTTGTTGGCGGACGAGGAGCAGACTGAGGTGGAGGCTGGGCGTAGGAGGCGGGTCGCTGGGGGCGCTCAGCATTGTTCATGTTCTGCCAAGCTCGAAAGACATTCGTGCGATCCTGTGCCGGGTCCTTCTTTGGGCCTGGCCGAGGAAAGTTGGAAAAGCGGTCTGCTCCATTTGCAGTGGGACCCGGGGGTGGGGGATAAAAGGAAGGGGGTCGCTGATATGATCCCGGCTGTGTGCGGCGTGGAGGCGGAGGGTAGGCAGAAGTCGCAGCGTATGGACTGTTGGGGGTTGGGGCACGCGGAGGCCCGGCACCGGCGAAGGAGGCGTATAGAGCAGCTTTACGCCGGTCACTGTCATATCTTTCCTTGGTGCCCGGGTCTAGCAAGACCTCACTGGCAGCTTGAATCGCCTGAAACTTGGCCACCACTTCACTTTCTCTTCCGCTGTTCCGATCGGGGTGGTATTGGAGGGCGAGTTTTCGGTAGGCTTTGCGAATGTCATCGCAAGTGGCATTGACGGGAAGCTCGAGGTCGGCATAGTAATCTGTGGGATCGAGGATGACATGGTCAGTGAGGGAAGCTGGCGGGGCGGGTGAGACAGAGGCGTACTGTGTTTGACGTCAGGTTTGACCATATCTGCGTACCACACCTCCAGACGGAGGTCAAGCAGAAGGCAACAGGACCGATGGTGATATCATGAGGGAGACCGAAAGCGGTATCACGACATCACTCAAGCCGGAACTCAAGGAACGAGGGGATGGGTGGTAAGAGAGCAGCCAGAGGGTGGAAGGGCCACATCCGAGCACGGAAGGCGTTGCGCGGTGGGAGAGTGAGTGTTTGCCCTGCAGGTCACATTCACCGCGCGCCTGAACGGGGGGGTGTGGTGGACGGAAGAGTCGACGGGATTGTGGATGGGTGTTTTGTGCAACTGCCACGAAAACGCGTGATGGCGCCGGATGACCACTCGAGTGCTGTCACGGGCGGAAGGGTGGTCGGCTGGATGACGTGGAGAAGTCTCGGGGACTGCAGATGAATTGCAACGGGCAGTGTGAGAGGCGTCTAGCGGTGCCACGGTAAGGTGCATGTACAGTAGGCAAGTCAACATCCCATCACCAATTGAGGATTCGAGGCGCGTGCATTACCTAATAATTGAGTTTACCCTCCGCCCCACCACCACCAAACGGCCCGCCAAACTCCCCGCAGCCACCAAAATCGAATTGAAATGGATAATAATTTTCCGAATCCGGAAGCTATCGGCAAGGAGACAACAAAGACATTGCATGTGATGCAGCAGGACAGTAGAAAATAAGGTAATGTAGTGCTACATGGTACTGCCGTGCAACATTTCCCTGGCAGCTCTTTCCAAACAGCGCCTCGCTCACATGATTCCGCCAAAGTGCATCATCTAGAGCCTCACTCAGCCTTGCCCCCTCAGCCACCCCTTACTTGCCTGTGCCCGCCTTGTACGCCGCGTCATGAGTAGCAATGGCTCTGCCGCTGGGATCACTCTGCTTGCTCCACGTAGGTGTCCACCTCATCACCGTGCTGGCGCAGTACGGCGGGAAATGCTCGTCAAACATGCACCGGTACCAATAGCTCTCCTTCGAATCTGGGATGTCGTTCCCCCATTGCGGCTTGTCCTTCCGGATGTTGGCCTCGAGCATCTGCTCGTCGGACACCGCCTTCGCCGATTCGTCCTTGAGCGCGTCGATCCATCCATATCCAACTCCGTCGGAAAATTGCTCCTTCTGCCGGTACAGAATGTGATCCGGCAGGAACGGCTTGGCACCCGGCTCACCGGTAGTATCGAAAGCCTTACGAAGAATGTACTTCTCTATCCGGTCCTTCGTAATCATCTTCTCCGCCGGGTCGATGTTCATGCAGAGCTGGAGGAAATCCTTGTCCAAGAATGGCACGCGAGCCTCGAGCCCCCACGCCGATGTAGACTTGTTGGCGCGCAGGCAGTCGGCGAGATGGAGGTTCTTCACCCGACGCACCGTTTCCTCGTGGAACTCCTCCTTGTTAGGCGCGGCGTGGAAGTAGAGATAACCGCCAAAGATCTCATCGGACCCTTCGCCCGACAGCACCATCTTGATGCCCATGGCTTTGATCTTGCGCGACAAGAGAAACATTGGCGTCGAAGCTCGGATGGTCGTGACATCGTACGTCTCGAGATGGTAGATCACGTCGGTCAGGGCGTCGAGGCCCTCCTGGATGGTGAATGTGAAGGTGTGATGCTTGGTTCCTAGGAAGCGTGCCACTTCTGCCGCGGCTTTGGAGTCAGGTGCGCCCGGGAGGCCGATGGAGAAGCTGTTGAGTTGGGAGAGGACGGGGACGGAGTGCAGCTTGTAGTCTTCGTCGATGCCGGCAAGGTCGTCTTCAACGACGTTTCCATTGGCGTCCGCAATGGGTAGCGGGCCGCCGAGGTCGCCATTCATCTGCGGGGTGTTGATGCCAGAGTTCAAAAAGGCTTGTTTCCGCGCATACTCCTTCTGCAGTCGTAGCGTTTCTCTTTGCGCGATGGATGCGACGAGTGAGCTGTCCAGACCGCCGGAAAGCAAGACTCCGAAAGGGACCTCGGCCATCATTCGCTTCCTCACCGACCGTTCCAGGCTTTCCCGCACCAAGCCCAGGTCCAGGGGCGTGGTGGGAATGTTGGAAGGCTCGATCAGCCATGTCGGTGCGAAGTACCTCGTGAACTTGTCGGTCTTGCTGTCGTATACATGGCCGGGCGGGAAGAACTCGATGTGATCGCAGACGGGGAACAGACACTTGAGCTCCGAGGCAAAGTACACAGCGCCCGGGGTGGAGGAGCTCCGTCCCATATAGAAGGTGGTGATGCCAATGGGGTCTCTCGCCGCAACCAAGCGGTCCATCTTCTTGTCATGCAACACCCAGCTGAACATGCCATCCAAATACTTGGGGGCATCGATGCCGTGCTCTTGATACAATGGCAGGATGATTTCGCAATCCGAGTGCGTTTTGAAGGGGTAGGGCGTCTTCAGACGCTTGCGCAGGATCTTGTGGTTGTAGATTTCGCCGTTGACGGCCAGGGCGATCGACTCATCTTCATTGAGCATCGGCTGCGCACCGGAGTCGACGCCGACGATGGAGAGGCGCTCGTGGACGAGGATGGTGGACTTGTCGAGATAGTTGCCGCTCCAGTCGGGGCCTCGGTGACGAACCTGTCGGCCCATGCGGATGGCGGTGGACTTGAACTTGGCCGCATCTGGGTGACTGCACAGCGGTGTGTTAGTGGCCTGGTACACGCGGGCATTTGGAGTCGTTGCAGGTGCGAGGGGGCAAAACGTACCAGTGGCATGCGAAGATGCCGCACATGGTTGCGATGTCTCGTCTCTTCTGCTCTGGAGCTGAGAAGAGTAGACGGAGGAGGAGGTTGGGAGAAGTCGTGGGAGGGCAATATCTTGGAATGAGTCAAGAAATGCCGTGGCTCTTGTAACGTATGGAGTATTGCGCTTGGGTAATTTTGCTTATCGTGCCGATCTCGGCGCCCATTGGCAGGCCGTGCGGCGGTGCGAGTGAGCGCATCGGCCCGACCCGGCCCGTCCAGCCCTGCATTAGCGCAACCCGTTTGGGATGCTGAGGCGTAGGAGCAAACGCAAGGTAGACGATGCGTGTGCCATACGTAACTGCACAACTTCCTGGTGATCATGGCCGTCATGCATCCATCCATAACTTACTGATCCAACCCGTCAAGCCGTTCATCCAACTCGCCTTGTTCATGTCCCCTTTGGACATTTCTTGCAAGCCCGTGTCTCCGGCCGTTTGCTTCAGGCTATTCTTAGCCAACGGTGTGGCCTGATCAGCCAACTATATAAGATAACCATGATCCTCCTCGAACGCTGAGCGTCTCACCTCTTCCTCCACCACCCACCACTTCGGGATGCGTTCCGCACTCGCGCACGCCGCCCACAGGCGAGCCGAACGGCGTCAGCGAGCCAGCTCCCTGTCCACCGTTCCGCCCGCCGTGACGTCCAGCGAGTACAGCCGCGAGCTTGCCTCCATCGCCGCCGCCGTCCTCTATCCCTCCCCGCTACCCGCCCAGTCCGGTCGACGCGTCTACATCCTCAACGCCGCCGCCTTTCCCGACGCCTTCGAGGCCGACTACGACAGCCTGCTGTCATATGTCCTGGCCAGACTCCCCAGCGAAGATGAGCTGCTGTCGGGCACCGAATACGAGATCATCTTCTTTGCCGGTGGCCAGCCCGACAATGTCTCGGTGGAGAAAAAGCAAGGACCCGGCATGGGTTGGTACCTCCAGGCCTACCATGTGCTTAGCCGCGCAACGAGAAAGAGATTACAACGCATCTACATTGTGCATCCGCGAACATGGGTGCGCGTGTTGCTCGGCGTCTTCGGGACGATAGTGTCGCCCAAGTTCCGCCGGAAGATTGTGCATGTCAACACCCTATCCGCGTTGGCCTTGCAGATTCCCGTGGAGAAGCTGTTGATCCCGCCGGCAGTCTACCTGCACGACCGGAAGCTGTCGCCGGACATCTATGTCCCGTACGTGACGGGCAAGCGTGCTTTCGGGGTCAAACATCCGCTGCCCAAGAACATCAGCACGGGAGAAACGAGGATTCCCCGCGTACTACGGGAAACGACGACGCTCTTGATCGATCCTTCGTGCATCCGCAGAGAGGGCCTATTCCGCATCCCTGCACACGCTACCTTGGCGGGTGTGCTGAAGGAAGCCTACGATCGCGGGCAGTACTTCCTAGTGTGGAAAGAACAGGGGGTCACGGTGGTGCAGCCCGGCATCGACCGGACTCTGGTGGACGAGGTGCGACTGGAAGAGGCGTACGGAGTCCATCTCGCTGCTTCTCTGATTAAGCAATGGTATCGCGATCTGCGAGAGCCCGTCTTTCCGGAATCGAGTTACCACTGGGTGAACGAGAAGTACAGCGATCCGGAGACCCCGGTGACTCCCGAGGGGCTTACCGACATCCTCTTGCCCATGTCGGACCTCTCCCCCCTTACACACACGGCGCGGCAGATCCTGACGAGACACCTGCTCCCGCTTCTGTCGGAAGTCGCTGCTCACCACGAAGAGAACAAGATGACTGCGGAGAATCTAGCCATTCTGTTTTCGATGTGCCTCGTCTGTGGTGGAGATCAGCTGCAGGATGCCAAGGTGGCCTCCATCATCAAACGGCTCCTGAAGGCTGCCATCGAAATCTGGCCCCAACTCCGCGATGGCATGGGGATGTCGGTTGACGCATTCCACACGGATATGCAGCCTCCGTCTGATCTCCGAGAATATGAGGATCCTTTGGAAGAGAACTTGCCTCCACCCAAGACTCAGCTCCAACACAAGGACGTTGAGTTTGAGCCGGACGAAGAGGAGGAGACTGAAGGACATCGCATTACACTGGAAGACGCGGAGACCAGTCCCCAAAAGAAAGCACCTCCCAAATTACCGCCGCGGATATTGGACAGATCGGTGCCGGAGCGGAATCCAACGCTGGCCCCACGGCCGCTCATTCTTTCCGTTGCTTCATCAACCTCATCGTCTACTTCAGCCGGCGACCCGACAGTCGTGCCAAAGAGAAAACCCGCGCCTCCAGTCGTCGATCCGCCTCGTTATTCGAGCATGTTCGATGCGGACGGCAACTCGATACATGTGGCAGACTCCCCTTCGAGCTACGTACCAGCTGATGGATTCGGCCCGCCGAAGCGCGGTGCGTGGAGTATCGACAGCCTCGACAAGAGGCGTGCAGTCAATGGAGAAGCAGAGCAATCGACCACTCCGCCGGCTGCTATCAACATGCCGAAGCGTAAAGCCGTCTCTGCCGAGCACAGGGTTGTTGAGCCGGTAGCGCCCTCTCAGGATGCGGACCAGAACAGTACTAGGAGCTCGTCTGACGGAAGCACACTTGCCAAGATGGCGGCGCAGAAGGCGGCGGTGATGATGGGACGAAGGGAAAGCGCCGCTTCCGAGACGTCCAATCCCACCACCATCGCCGGCCCAGCAAGCAATGTTGCAACAGAAGACGACGGGGTATTTCGGAAGCCTACATGGCCCGCATCCGCCCGTCCTCAGTCCCTTGCGAAACCGGTGCAGCCGATCAGAGCGGCTCAGACATTTCCAGTTTCGACGAACGGGTCTTACGGAGCAACACCAGGCGGGCCCAGACCACGCACGCCGTCTCCTGGTCTGCTGAGGAGGATGAGCGCAATGGAAGTGGGCAGTAATGGCACGGGCTCCACATCACGGCCAGTGGTGGAGGAGCCGAGAAGGCTCGACCTCAGGCGGCCATCGGTGGATGATTTGAAGCGGCTGTACGAGGAGCGTGCCAGCACGGTATTGGGGCTGGCGAAGGCGGCGGATGCTGCTAGGAGGGCATCGACGTCAAACTAGATGTTTGTAGTTTGGAAGCGAGGGTCGGCGCTGGTGGAGCGTTCTGCACGGCGTTTGGAATATGGAAGGGTGCATCACTTGGCGTCTTTGCTTACGGCAGAGCATTGGGACATTGAAGCATTGGGAAGCGGGTTGAAACCTAGGATAGATGGAAAGTTTTAATGTAGTCACACCTAATGCATGCTGCATGGAGCTGCATTGCTCTGTCCAACGCCACGCTAAGGTAGATGCAATACAGATCAGTCTCGTAGTCGAGTGGAATCAGCGAGCACCGTTCGTGAGGTCGTTGTTGGTCTCGGAAACCGGGATGGTGTTTCTCAACACGGGGAGCAAAGCTCGAGCGCTCTGCCTTGCCGACTGGGCCAACAACGCATCCATTACCACCAAGGCAGCCATGGCTTCAACGATGGGAACGGCTCGAGGAATCACACAAGGATCGTGTCTTCCCTTTGCTTCCAGCACGCCCTCTTCCTCGTCGTACGTGGTGGTGCTCTGCGCCTGGCCGATGGTGGCCGGCGGCTTGAAGGCAACGGTAAAGTAGATGTGCGCACCATTGGTGATGCCGCCTTGAATGCCGCCACTGTTGTTCGTCTTGGTCGTGAGTCGTGGCCGTGAGCGAGGAGGCTCTGCGGCACCCTCGGATGGTACGGCGGCGGGGGCTCTGATGAAGGGGTCGTTGTGGATCGAGCCGGGCATGTTGCAGCCTCCAAAGCCCGAGCCGATTTCGAAGCCTTTCGTTGCGGGCAAGCTCAGCATGGCGTGCGCCAACGTCGCTTCAAGCTTGTCGAAACATGGCTCGCCGAGCCCGCTCGGGCAATTGCGGATGACACATGTGACTGTGCCACCGATACTGTCTTGGCGATCGCGGAAGTCTGCTATGAGATTCTCCATGCGTTTGGAGGCGGCAGTGTCGGGGCATCGTACAGGAAGAAAGGAGTCGACGTCTTGCCGCGTGATTTTGTCGATCATCTGCAGAAAGGCGGGGTTCGAGGATGGAGACGGGTGCGTGTTGGTTGGTGGAAAGAGCTGCTCCGGTCCGACGGAGTTGGTGAAGGCGACAATCTCGACGCCGTGGGCAATGCGCAGATATTTCTCCGCCACGGCGCCGGCGGCGACTCGGCCGATGGTTTCCCGGGCACTACTCCTTCCGCCTCCACTCGATGCCTTGACTCCGTACTTCTCCAGATAGGTCCAGTCTGCATGGCTGGGGCGCGGGAAGTTGTCAATGTTCGCGCCGCCGCCTCCGTAGTCTTTGGGACGTTGGTCTTCGTTCATGACCTTCAGGCCAATGGGTGTGCCCAGGGTCACGCCGAACTCGGTGCCCGACTGAATCTCCACCCGATCTTTCTCGTTGCGCGGGGTGGTGAGGGCGGATTGACCGGGACGGCGGCGGGTCATCTGGGGTTGGATGTCATCTTCGGTGAGTTGCAGGCCCGGGGGACAACCATCGATGATGCAGCCCACGCTCTTGCCATGCGATTCGCCGTACGTTGACACGCGAAAGTACTGGCCGAAGGAGGACATGTTGTCGGGTCTCTCGCTGGCACTCTAGCCGTCAGTGCAGGAGGAGAGGGGGGAGAAGGGGATGCTGTGGTAGTTGATGGGGAGTTAAAGAGGGTGCTTGTGGAGGGTCAATGGCGAAATTTCAAAGTGACGATGACTCGTGAAGCTTGGGCTCTCGCGCCGCCAAGCCCCGCCGATCTGTGGAGCGCGCATCGCCTTCCCTCGTCGTTGCTCCTCCATCGTTCTTGCGACAGTCAAAGGCGTTGATCTTGCGCCGAGGGCAGTGTGGGCAGAATGGACGTGACGTCTTGTCGCCAGCTGATCCCACACGCGGTGGCGGATGACAAGCAGGCCCCGCACAAAAGGCTGAGGCCGGGCGGGCGATCAATCATGAAACAGCGTCGTATCATCCATCCACACAAGGACGGAAGCGAAACGTTGCGCAATCACAGCCAATGACGGATGCAGCGTGTCGCATTTGACTTTGAGAGGGAAGAGCTGCCTGTCCTGCCGCCGCCCGCCAAGTTTCAGGCGTGCCCCCCCGTTTCCGTCACGTTACGTTACCTAGCGCTACGTCAGTCATCGCGTGTTTATCATCCCATCCCAGCCAGCCAGCTTCACACCACCGCCCCCTCCTTTCCCCTTCTCTCTCACTCTTCTCTCCTTCCCCTTTGTCGCATCCCATCCCATCGCATCCACTTCCACATCCCCCCACAACTCAACTCCCCAGACATGGCCCGCACCAAGGCAGAGCCGCGCGCAGGCAACCCCGGCTTCCTGTCGCGCCTGCGCCAGCGCAAGCAGCCCACCTCCACCCACAACGTCGTCTCCCACGAACACTCCGTCAACCCCATCACCGGCACCCACACCGAGACCCACAAGACCAAGACGCACCCGCGCGGCCCCGCTGCCGGCGGTCATGGCGGCAAGGGCCCGCTGGCCAAGAAGCACAAGGGCACCACCGCCGCCGGCGGCGTGCCGCGTCGCAAGCCCACCCCCGCCGACAAGCTCTCCGGCGCCCTGCTCAAGGTCGAGGGCAGCTTGGAGAGGAAGCCCGGCAAGAAGGTGAGTCGATGCGCTGCGACATCTATGCAGCTGTGCTTGGCGTCGCCATACTGACTATACTTAGGCTGCGGGTGCCCGGCGCATGAACGGGACCGACGGGCGAGTCGTGTGATGCTCCATGCGAGACACGCGCGCGAAGCTACATGATGATATAGTGATTTTGATTTTGTGACGAATTGCGCTTTCGATTGCGATGCGAATGAGATGTTTTGATTGAGATATGACCAAGCGACCGTAGCATGTACCCAGACTTGCTTTCTTCACCCCGTCTCATGACCCTAACCCTTCCTCCCTTCTCCGTGCAGGACAAATCCTGACAGTAGATAGTAGCGACATGGACATGAGCAAACCACTCGTTCCAGAACAGTCCTGCGACCAGAAGCCTCCTGTGCCCACACGACAGTGCAAGCTGCAGATGGCCTCCTCTTGCGATGGACCTCGAAGGCACTCTCAGCCCCGTCCATCCCGAGCTCCCTCGAGCTCTCATCAGCCTTGTGCCCTCATGAAACATCCTCCCTTGAAGTGTAGCCTGTCCATACACTTTGTCGTGACCCTGATCCAGCCGTGTGCCCTTATTAAATGTCCTCCCTTGAAAGTGCAGCCTGTTCATACACTTTGCCATGACCGTGAGCCCGTCCTCCCTCCATCCCATGACCGTCACCCCTTCATCCATCCCATGAACGTGATCCCCCTCCCTCCACTTCTTGGCCCTGATCCCGTCCTCCCTCCGTCCCGTGACCCTGAATCCGTTCTCCCCCAATCCCGTCACCCTGAACCCTTCCAACACCCTCACCCTGTCCAAGCGACCGTCCAACACTTTCATCCGCTCAGCATTGCTGTGCAATCACGTCGTTGCGTCGCTGCTATACCTCGACAGGCGCCGTGATCCGGAGCGCGGCATTGCCTCGTCTTGGTAGCTGAAACAGCGGAGGCTCGGGCTGCTGCTGCTGATGGTGATGATGCTGCGGTGATGGACTCGAGGGTGGCGCAGCGAAGCAGTGCGCCGGCTCCTGCGGTGACTGAGCTATCCGCGGCGGCGACGGCTGACCGAAGCCTGTGCGCCTGTGCGCCACGACGTTCAGCGAGGCTGAGGGGGGCGAGACTGGACGACGGGACTGCCGTTCAGCTGATCGCCGCAGCTTCTCCTGCCCGCAGCTGCCATTTGTCCGTCGATGGTTCTCGGCGGACGCATACAGCTGTCGGACTTCGGACAGCGACTCCTCCCACAGCCTGCTTCGGCCTCTTGACGACAGGTTGACATGCTCGATCCAGAAGCCGAACTCGAGGTGCACATATGATTGCTTCGGCAATCTGTCGCCCCCACTGCTGATCGTTAGCAACACGCGTCTCGTGACAGGAAGATGATCACGTACTAGTCGAGTTCTCCGAGCTGATTGTGACGGACGTCGGCATCCTCCCGGAAGTTGACATACTCTGTGAACGACACGTCAGTCAGCGCCAAATCCAAAGTCAGAGTACAGGGAACAGAACACTCACCGTTGAAGATCTGCCTCTTGACGGACAGATCTCGGGCTCTTTCGTACTTGTCGTGGATGGAGCCGTCTCCGAACGAGGTCACTTGTGCGCAGAAGGCGAGGTGGCCACAAGCGCTGGTCTCCAACACCAGACAAGGATGGTCGAAGGCCGAGTCTGATCGGAGGTGCTCGTGAGCACACGATACGGACGGGACATGGGCGCGGCGTGGGAGCCAGGCGATGATGCCTGGCAGTCCCCGCTGATTGTCGTCCACGGCCGGACGACAGGATGATGGAGGATGACTGCCGTTGCACACGGAACAGTCAGGAGGGGTGAGGAGGTCGTTCAGAGTGCCTTTGTAGGCCTCGATGGGAAGGGGGGCGGCGACGAAAGCGGCTTGCATGATCGTGGCCGGCGATGCTTGTGATTGATTTGAATGAGGTTATGGCTGTGATTGATGTGCGATGAGGTAGTGCTTGTGATTGATGTGAGAGCAGTGTGATTGATGATGTTTGGAGTGGAAAGAAACACAGAAGGGAAACGGAATCATGATATATGGCGAGCGAGCGAGCGAAAATCACTCGGCGAGCGAATGTTCGTCGGCGAGAGAATAGAAACAGCTGCAAAAGAGTTTCCTCATCCCCTGACCGTGGTACGCATATGCATTGCTCGCCACTTACTCGGAGAAGGGTTACTGGATACCGTCCGACAGGCGAATCTCGGGGCTAACGGTACCGGCGACGAGGGCGTCTACTCCTTTACTGTTGGAGGACCCAGAGAGCAGTGGCAAGAGACGCCTTAAAAGAACGGCACACCCGCAAGATCGCGCCGCCAGAAACCAAAAATGCCTGCGTCTATCTGCTTCGAAGCAAGATAGAGCTAGTCGGACTGTCAGCCCCCGGTCCAGGACTTAGTATCTCTATGGCGTGGCTCCGCCGGACCAGGGATACGTGAAACCCAGATGATCACATAGACACCGACTTGGGCGCCCCGGACCTTGGGACGCTGCTCCATAGCGGGCATCTCCCGTGGAGTTTTCTTCGCTCCGGGTGCGGATGCCGCGTTGTCAGGGGTGGTCAGGGTTGGCTCCGTCCTGGGTGAGAGTATTTGATCCAGTGAACTTCATCGTGAATGGCGGGCTGCTCTGTGCGGTACTGACTGACGCTCATGGTAGCTGGCGGACGGACGTTGCCTGGCAACGGCGCGAACCCGGCTACTCGATGCATGTCAGCGTTTCTCGAGCGTTCGAAGCGGACCCATAATGGAAACTCAGCCACGTTATCGAATCAGATTTCTGTGATGACGCCGGGGCCGAGCTTGGGGAAGTAGAAGGCTTGGGACATCGTCATGGTGAAGACATACGTGAGCCGTGGCAGGAACTCCACGCTTGCCTCCAGCCCCTCAAATACTTTTTGCTGGTGCGACGGAGAACAGATGTAGAATTAGACGTCTTCGAGATTTGTAGCTCTCGCGAACGTGGGAAGTAAAAGTGTGAAGTTGAATTAAGGACCTGTCAAGGCTGGGAGACGATGGTTTGAGTTCGGGGCTTTCTTCCTCAAAGGGCGATGACAGGTGGGGCGCTGGAGACGACCACATGCAACCACCAGACCTTGCCACCTGCAGCCAGCTACCGCGGTACAGTACCTGCCCGATTATTACATCTCGATTTTGGCTTTCACGTTATCCGGTTCTTCCAGTTTCGAGTAACCAAACGATGTTCGATGTTCCTTTTCGATTACTGCGGCATCTGGAAATACTCATGACAAACGCAACAGTACCAGTAAACGCCAAGTATGGTGAACCAAATATCCTCGCATGCCCACCCATAACAACAAACGAAATGTGCAAGTCTCACTCACGTCGGCTCAACCGCTGCACATGATGCACGCCTCCTTGTTCTCTATGCTGCAGGCAAGGACAGCATCAGCGTAGATGTCTCCTTCCCGCTCCTTGCTGTCGTCCTCCTTGTCCTCGACTTGTTCGGGCTCTTTGGGCTCGCCCGGGAATGCGGGCTCGGGTAGCTGCTCGCTCTTTGGCACCGCAATGGCGCCGTCGGCAGCCAAGACTTCCGGGCTCTCGCCCTCGTCTTGGTCGGCTTGGAACGGCGGCTGGACAACAGCGGAAGATGCACGTCCGAGCTTCCTCTCTTTTCGCTCTGGCTCCGGTGGCGGGGTGGCGGCTGGCGTCACCACACCGTTAACAGCCTCGGTGGAGAGGTTGGGCGCCTTGTTCTCGTACATGGGCTTCGGGATCGGAGCAACAGGAGGCGAGCTGACGGCGTTGTAGGCTCCAGAGACATTACGCTTCTTGGCAACCGCTTTGGCAATGTTCGTGTCGACGACCTTGAGCTTCTCTTGGTCCACGGTGAATTGAATCGGCGCTGATGCGGCCATGGTGCGGAGGTAGTACATGCCGGTCTTGAGGCCAAGCTTCCAGCCGGTGAAATGCATGCTGGTGATCTTGCCCATCGTTGGCTCTTTCATGTGGATGTTCAATGACTGAGATTGATCGATGAATGCGCCGCGATCGGCCGACATCTGGACGATATGTCGCTGGCTGATCTCCCACACCGTCTTGTACAGAGCCTTGAGGTCATCGGGAATGTTTGGAACACGCTGGATGGAGCCGCCGTCGGCAATGATGCGATTCTTCATGTTGTCAGACCAGAGGCCGCGATCGACGAGGTCCTTGAGCAGCCAGGGATTGACAACTTGGAACTCTCCGGCAAGCACACGGCGAGAGTAGATGTTACTGGTGTACGGCTCGAAGCATTCATTGAAGCCCATGATCTGCGAGGTGGAGGCAGTAGGCATCGGCGCGACCAGCAAGGAGTTGCGGACACCATGCTGAGCGATTCTGGCCTTGAGAGCATCCCAGTCCCAGAGATCCGTGGGCGTGACACCCCACATGTCGTATTGTAGCTCGCCCTTCGACACGGGAGAGCCAGGGTAAGACTCATACGGGCCAAGCTTCTCAGCGAGTTCGCAAGAAGCGGTGAGGGCAGCGTGGTAGATTGTCTCAAAGATCTGAATGTTGAGCTGGCGAGCTTCGGGAGAGTCAAATGGCATGCGGAGCGCCAAAAATGCATCCGCAAGACCGCTGACACCTAGACCGACTGGGCGGTGACGCATGTTGCTGTTGCGGGCCTCCGGGACGGGATAGTAGTTGACGTCGATGACTTTGTTCAAGTTCCTCGTCACGACCTGAGTGACTTCGTGCAGTTTCTTGAAGTCGTAGCGTTCGTTCTGGATGTCCACAAACGTTGGGAGAGCGAGAGACGCCAGATTGCAGACGGCGACTTCGTCCGGCGCGGTGTACTCGATGATCTCAGTGCAGAGGTTGGAGCTGCGGATGGTGCCAAGGTTCTTCTGGTTGCTCTTGCGGTTGGCGGCGTCCTTGTAGAGCATGTAGGGGTTGCCGGTCTCGGTTTGTGCTTCGAGGATGGCGTACCAGAGCTTCTGGGCACGGATGGTCTCACGGCCGCGGCCTTCACGCTCGTACTTCTCGTAGAGCGCCTCGAACTCGTCTCCATACACATCTGCGAGGCCCGGGCATTCATGCGGGCACATCAGTGTCCAGGTGGTGTTGGCTTCAACGCGCTTCATGAAGAGGTCGGGGATCCACAAGGCGTAGAAGAGATCGCGGGCGCGAACCTCTTCTTTGCCGTGATTCTTGCGGAGATCCAAGAAGGCGTAGACATCAGCATGCCACGGCTCGAGGTAGATGGCGAAGGCGCCTGGCCGCTTGTTGCCGCCTTGGTCCACGTAGCGTGCAGTGTTGTTGAACACGCGCAGCATCGGCACGAGGCCATTGGATGTGCCGTTGGTACCACTGATATGTGATCCGGTGGCACGAATGCAGTGAGCGTTGACGCCGATGCCTCCCGCGCCTTTTGAAATCATGGCACACGTCTTCAAGGTGTCGTAGATGCCCTCGATACTGTCTTCCTTCATATCGATGAGGAAGCAGGATGCCAGCTGGGCTTGCGGAGTGCCCGCACTGAAGAGAGTAGGCGAGGCGTGGGTGAAGTACTTGTTGGACATCAGATTGTACGTCTCAATGGCACCTTCGATGTCTTCACCGTGAATGCCGATGGCAACGCGCATGATCATCTGCTGCGGTCGCTCGGCAATCTTGCCATCGATGCGGAAGAGATATGAGCGCTCGAGCGTCTTGAAGCCAAAGTATTGGTAGTTGAAGTCGCGGTCATACACGATGGCCGAATTGAGCTCATCCGCATGCTTCATGACGATGTTGTAGGTGTACTCAGAGATCATGGGTGCCGCCTTCTTGGTCTTGGGATTGAAGTAGTTGTAGAGGTCGGAGATGACGGCGGAGAATTGCTTCTTGGTCTGCTTGTGCAGGTTGGAGACTGCAATGCGAGCAGCGAGGACCGCGTAATCCGGGTGAGTGACGGTCATGTAGGCAGCGGTCTCGGCGGCCTGTCATGGATGATGGTTAGCACTGTGTATGGCACGACCTTGCGAGTGAAGGAGAAGTGGCTTACCAAATCATCCAGCTGGATGGTGGTGACGCCTTGGTACACGCCGGATATCACCTTCATGGTGATTGCGGTAGGGTCGACATGGTCCGGATCGAGGCCGTAGCAAAGCCTTGACACTCGGGCGGTGATCTTGTCGAATTGCACGCGTTCCTTGCGGCCATCTGTACGACGTGTTAGCGACGCGCTGGCTGGGCAATCGAGCGGATTTGCCACGTCTTGTCGATTACACGGCCAAGAGTAGGCCTGGCCATCTCCATGGCCGAGTCAAAGGTGATGGATGGTGTGCACTTACCTCGCTTATACACGAACATCTTGTGGTCGGTTCAAGAGGTTTCGTCTGATGATGCCGGAGTGGCCAGTTGGGAAGAGACGCAGCACGCGGAATAGCGTAGGCCGCAGTTGAAGATCAGAACCCAGTGGAAAATCTTGGGTCGTGGGAGTTGGAGAGCAAAGGAATGACTAGAGAGGGAGGAGATGCAATAAGGAGGAGAGGAAGAGGGCAGGCAGTCATGAGATATTGTTGTTGCCGAGAGACGCATCCCACTTATCTGGCACGCGTTCACGCGCTGGTACTTTAGCCGCATTTAGCTAGCGCGAAATCGGTCATCAATTTTCGAAAATTCCATCGCGCGATCCTCACGACACACGTCCCCTTCCAGACCGTCCTTCGCGTATGTAGCCTGCACCCGGACAGTGGGCACTCAGGGGACGGACTCCCTAAATCGCGAATGCACTAGCGATAAGCAAGGTAAGACAAGCAGCGTCCTCAGCTTGCAATCTGACACCTTCATAGCTGGAAAGCATCACTTGTCTTGAGCTTTCACTCTTCTATCAGAACCCGGTTATGATTCTCGGTCTACTGTGGACTTTCGTGCGTCTTGCAAGTCGATGACAATCATTGCACTGTGGCACCGTATCTTTATTGGCTCTTTCGAAGACTCACTGGCCTCGACTTATCCACAGCCAAGAGTTCAATATGCAGCCTAGATTGAGCCCAACGGTCTGCCAAAGACCATCTCACTTCGTGTTGCAGTGCCGAGCGTGGCTTTGACGACATTGCGTCAATCTGATGAGAGACATGAATTGGAAGAGTTCGCTTTTGCAAGTAGATAGGTCAATATTCAACGTTGCGGCGCTGACACGTCTACGGCGCTGCTTTCCCACCCAGCCTAGATTCCAGCTTGCATGACACCAATCTTCCCTGCAGGTCCTTCGTAGTTGGGAAGGTCGGGACATTCACTACGTTGGAGATATCTCAGCAGCGATGAACCCCATGCAGCCTTGCCGATCACTGGCCGGACGGCAATGCGATCATGATCTTCCGGTTTGGCTCGGCTGCGGCACATGGGGAGAGGCCCCCGAAATCTTGAGTTTCCTTACGTTGATGTTGTCGCCGCCCTGATCCATGGGAGGGTTCCGGGAAGCAAGCCTTCTTTCGATGCGAATCCAACAGTGACCAAACTTTGTGACGGGGGAAAAAGCTTTGGGCGAGTTGTCGATGACATGTCTGTTCAAGCGACCGCTCACTGTATGTTATCTCTTCTCGCCGAGTGTATGCTTTGTGAGGAGCGCAAGCGCAACGAGAATAAGACCCCCGCCCACGTAGGTCGCGATCGAGGGACTCAGTCCGAAGACAAACCAATCCGCCATCGCAACAGAGAATGCGCCCATTCTAAGCGTGTCAGCCATGGTAGATTGATTAGTATCTCCCACCAGAACTTACACATTTGCCATAGATCCGAATACTGGATCCGTCCAAATCACCAGGACGACGAGCAGGTTCAAGGATACTGTAGCAGGTTAGACGCGAGCGAAAATAGATCAAGCCTAAGACTCACTCGACAATGAGATGACCGCAATGAAGATCCACAAGCTCACCCACGCGCTGGGCACGACAAACTCCTCTATCCCCGTGAAATGCAGGATGATTATCCCAACCCAAAGAGTGGCAAATGTGTAGATTCCAGTCAGCGCCGATGCGGCAAATGTCAACGGAAGGGTCTCGGAAGGTTTCATTGGTCTGGAGGAGCAAGCCCACTTCTTGAACAACACCTCGTAAAGTCCAAATGCAACTGCACCGCCACAGGCAATGAGGTTGCCAAGAAGTCTTGCAGTCCCTATTGCCGATGATTCATGCTCAGCAGTGGTATCGCCATACGCGATAATGAAGGTGCCGGCGACGGATAGGGCCACGGCAATGATAGCGAGCCAGCCCAGTCTTTCTTTCAGAATCGGCACGGAGAACGCTGCGGCAAAGAAAGTCGAGGTGTTGTAGATGGCGGTGAGATCGGCGGGGGTAGTGAAAACCAGCGACACGAACCACGCTCCTCCGCTGACAGTCAGCACCACTGTAACGACGGCCATTGTGGATGCCAGAAAGTCAAGCGGGCCCGCCACTTGTCCCTTGCGTTTAAAGACGAGACTGGGTCCAGAGGTCGCATAGGCGTCAATCGTCGCGACGGCTTCCCGGATCTGGTTGTTGTACTCTCTGACCCATTTGACGTATGGCGTTTCGCGATTCTTCCAGCGTGAGTAGGCCAGTTGTCCAAGCCAAGGAAGACAGAGCGAGCTATGGGAGATGTACATGGTTGTGAACGGCTTCTTCCAGCCAAGCACGTCCTCGAAGTAAGCCGTGGCCTCGGTGTTGATGGTGAAGCCTGCGACAGTAACGACGAACACCGCCGCGATTGCGAGGTAGGACGATTTTGATCTTGGCACAGCTGGGATGGGAGTGTCGAAAGAAGTTAAAGGTGCAGAATCGCTCACAGATGACGGTCCGAAGCCATCGTGCAGCTCGTCCAACTCAATGTCGTCTTCCTGGCTTTGCCGGCCTTCGTTTTCTCGTTCATCAAGAAGAGGTTCATGGTGCTCGTGCTCAGATGTTCGGGCATGCTCCATCTCGGAGGTGCTTCGTCGCCTCATCTAATGGAATGCGCATCGAGCTCTCCAGTATCCAGGAGCACTGAGCTGGCGCTACAGTTCCGGGTCTACTTAACGCGGCCGTTGTAGATTCATGATATTTGGGAAGGACAATTCGGAGCTGCAACCACGGGTCGAAGAATCGAACGAAATGGCTTCACTTAATCCAGCGGCATCCAGGCTCATCCACTCCCCTATGTTGGATTGCAGGCGTTGGATGTATATCCGTTTCGATTCCTCCCGGTGCAGATGGGCGTAAAGGAGGTCTTGATGGTGAGGTGGCTGATGGAAGGTAGGGCACAGACCGTTTCGGGAGGCTAAGCCGAGACGCCACGCGCGGAAGCACCAATTAAGCTCGCGGCTGCCCGCTTCCCGCTCGCATAATGAACCGTACCTTATGCTTGAACCACCATTCATTGTTCTCTCCAGCATCGCCCACGCCTTTCCACACAGGTGCACGGCCACGGTCAGCACTCACTGCGAAGAAGCCCACTGCCGGAGGCTCCAGCAAGCGGTGTAGGTCCCTGCGGGCTGTGATTGCAGCGAGGATGAACAGTGTTATTCACAGCGATCCTCTCTCTGCACCGCATCTACTCGTGAACCGCCTCTCGCCTTCACGATCAGGTATGTCTTTTCCTCCCTCTATCTTGAGCTGCCCAGACATCCGACGCTGACATGTGGTCTTTCGTATCAGACACGGGCACCTCTCAAAGCATGTCCGGCCGCAAAAGGAAGGCCTCGGAAGAGCCCGCAGAGCATGACCGCATGTCAACGTCTCCATCCGCCTCGCCCTCCGTCTCCAATCGCCTCCTATCCCCATCGACATCAGGCCGAAGTGTGAAGAGAAGCCGCACCGGCAGCGCCGTAGGGCGGCCGCTCTCACTCCCACGCCTGCTCCAGACGCTCTCCGCCGAGGACATGAGACAACTCCTCCAAAACGTGTGCGATGAACACCCCGAGATACAGCAGGAGATTGTGGTGAAAGCACCGCGGCCCTCGATCGAATCTACACTCTCGGTGTTAAGCAAGTACGAGAATGAGTTTCAACGAGCCTTTCCACTAGGCAACCGCCCGACCTCAGACTACGCATACAATCGAGTGCGGCACCATCTCCTTCACATTATAGACGCCCTACGAGATTTCACCCCTCATTTCCTCCCTCCACACGAAATGCAAGCAACGCTGTCTCTCAACTACCTGGATGCCGCTACCACCATGATTCATCGGTTACCCGACTGGGATACTTTCCAACACCAACGTCACAAGAACGATGCGTACGACGAGGTCTCCAAGGCGTGGGCGCTGGTCATCAGAGAAGCGGCAAAAAGAGCCGGGGGCTTCCATCTGCAATTTGGTGGGTGGGACCAGAAGTTGATGGAGCACAATCAGAAGAGTGGCGGAAAGATGGAAGAGGCAATTAACGAGATGCGCGCGGCGCTAGGATTCATGCAGACGGGCCAAGCAGTGTCTCCAACTGCGGGAGTGTCGGAAGAGAGGCTGAACATACGCCAGCAGTTGTTTTCAGGGGCATATGGGCAACAAGGTGTATACGGCGTCTGAGCACTGTGGATACGGATCAGACTGGGGGGTCTGCAACAGAGCATCTACCTGAAGCAGGTGAGACGGTTCGGCAGCGAGCACTAGAGGTTGGTATGGGGTATACGACATGACTTTCAAATACAACCCGGCGAGCGTCAGACTCTTAGTATGAGTTGGTGGCTCTCCTCCAGTGAGTACATACCTCGTAATGTTTCGACGATTCTCCAACATCGCGCGATCAATAGCTAAAAGCTGATAAGCCAGCCCTTTCACGTGATAGCGCGAAACCGCGTTTGCAAAGGCACCAACTTCAGGCAGCAAGGCACGCGAGCTTGCCCATTCACCTCCTCACGCTCCTTCTTCAACAACCTCCAGCTACGTCACTTTGGTGGAAGGCTACAACTCCGAGTCGTCCTCGGCGGATTGTCCCTCCTCATCCCTTCGTGACCTCTCGTACACTTCCGCACCGGCACCTCAGCCCCCGACATGGCAATCCTCGATACCGTGCCCGGCCTCGTTGTCACCATTGACGTTGCCGGACTTGATCTGCCCGAATACGCCGATACGGATCAAGAAGACCCTCATCCGAATGCAAACAGTGCGTACGTTGTAGCCGAATCCGGTGCACAGTTTGGGATCGCCACTCGCTTCGATGCTGCACAGTTCCCTTATCAGGGCGGAGATGTCGAGATGCAACTGTCTCTCGACGGCAAGCCTATCGGTCTTTGGACGCAGAGGTGGTCGCGCGATATACAAACGGGAACACGGCGGGTTGTGAGCACGTTGACCTCCAAGCGTCAAGGCTATGATGTGGTTGAATCGTTCTCGTTTGCCGAGCTGCATATCAGTACGTATCCTGCGTTGCGCTAATGAACGTACACTACTGACTATCTCAGGCGAGGGCGAGGCGGACATGAAGCTGTGGGGCAAGCTCGGTGAACTGGGTACAGTGTGCGTAGACTTCTGGCGGATCCGTGAAGAAGTGAGCAACATACCCACGCCGGCGCAACCACTACCAACGCCCCGTTCCACTGGACGCAAGCACCGAGGGCGTGGCAATAAACAGCAAAAGTCATCGGGAAACCAGAACGCGAACATGAACCCGCCGGACGTGTCGACGCCCCTTCTCGCTGAGGATGAAGTACCGGAAAAGAATTTCAAAGGGCGTGCGATCTCCCACCAGGCCAAGTATATCTTTCCTTTTGCCACCTCTGTCCTTGGTCCGATCGCTGATCCCCATTAGACTCTCAATCACGAAGGCGACGTTACGGCAATCACGGTCTTCGAATTCAGCACCCAAAGTTCAAAGGTATTGGGTGCGCCTGGACACCAATCCCTTCGCCAGCTTTGTCTTCAAGTACCGATCTCGCCGTAAGTCCCAGCTCACTAGTTATCGGAAGGTTTGAATTGCTGCTAACTATTGAGTAGAAGCGCTTCAACAGCTTCACATCGTTCCACGCACGCCGACTCCCGTTCCTCTGGAAGAAAGGCCTATCGAAGAGCTCACGTCCGATGAAATGAGGGAGTTGCTCAAGAGGCAAAGGGTGAGTGACCTGCCAGCATCACGTCGAATCACGCCATTGACACGCTTTTAGGAGACCGATGCACGGAAAGCCAGCATGGCGAGAATCAAGAAGGAAAAGCGCGAGCGTCAGAGCGATGGCGAAGAGGAAGACGACGAAGGAGAGATCGAAATCAGCGAGGTCAGGGCCAGCAAAGCAGCAAAGCGCGAGGGACCTGGGCCGAATATCGAGATCGTCGACCTATCGTATGACGACTAGACGCTGTCGTCGCTAGCATACACGAGGAGGAGGCTCTATGAGAAGATGGCATGGTGTTGTTTGCTGCTCCATACTTTGCTAGTGACCGTCGTTTGGCAGGCTCTAGCCCTGCAACGACCATCCTGATCATATCGAACGTTGCTTTGACATCTCATCTCACCAAACGTCTTTTCTGTCGGTAAGACTTCCGTGATGCAATGGGCGTAAAAATTTAAACATTCGCAGACGACAAGGCTGCGAATTCAGAAAGACGAGCTTCCCCAACCTCTCCATGCAGCCGAGGCGCGCCACGCTTCCCCTTGGTGTCAACTTCGGAGCAGCGCTTCAACACAACCAGCTCGAACACAAGTACGCCCATCTTCACATAGGATTCCAGACATGACTTGGAAATGTTGACCGCTATGGCGAACCCTCCCACTCTGGATGCCATCGACCCTGAAGCCTTCAACAGCCTGCTCGAGCAGTATCCCAACATCGTTCCCGACAAACTTCACGCGCTGGACGAACAACGCTACGACACCATCCCTCAGGCCATTCGTGACCGCGATGGCCCCTCATGCCTCACGAAGGAAGAACTCGTCACTTTAGTTGAATGGAAGCTGTATGCGTTCTCTCTTTACGAATACCTTCACCTCTCAAAGTCCCACTCTAACGTAGCTCAGATCCCATGGAAAGTTTCGTCCAGCATTGAAAGGCCTAGCTCAACAAAACACTGAAGAGAGCGTGGCGAATACCACCAAAGAGGGTTACGAAGCCTTCACGGGCTCCACTGACTCCGTCAAACCCAGTCTCAACGCTCTGACCAAGCTGAGAGGCATTGGTCCAGCCACCGCCTCCCTGCTGCTGTCTGTGTTTGACCCATCCGTGGCACCATTTTTCTCGGATGAGCTGTTTCGCTGGAGCTTCTTCGAGTCAGGCAAGGGCAAAGGCTGGGATCGGGAGATCAAGTACAACATGAAGGAGTACCTTCAGCTCTTCGACAGAGTACAAGATTTACAAGGCCGTTTGCAGAAGCATGGTCGGCACGAGACGAGCGCTGTGGAGATTGAAAAGGTTGCATACGTACTTGGCAAGCAAGCTCTGCATGGAGTCGGTGATAAGACTCCACAAGAAACCACTCAGGGGAGTAAGCGAAAGGCATCTACCAAAGCTGCTGACCTCGATCCGGTGCTCGAAGACACTCCGATCAAGCCTAAGAAGACGAAAAGGGGTCGCTAAATTTGAAACGAGCATTTTGTTGAACTGGAAAGCCGCATGATTGACGGCACACAAGTGGCCTGCTTAACGTTTTCTTCTCTACAACGCACGTAATACCGACGCAACGTCGTCAGCCTCACCAATCCGCCAAGCAGCATCGCTTGCTGCTCTTGCGCCGTTCGGACCAAGAACGAGTGCAGCCTGGTCAACAAACTTCTCGGTCAGCTGGTTGTCGGTCATCGGTACTTCCAAGGAGCCAACAGCATGCTTGACATGCTTCTCGATCTTGCTCCCGTCCGCTAAGTGTACCGTCAGGTACGTCTCATCTGCACCTAAGCTCTCGTCGGAGGTTGCGTCGATCTTATCCCGCAGTTCTATCACCCGCGAGTCTGTCACGACTTTGTCATCGTACTCCGCTGGACCGGCTTTGCCACATAGCAAGCCGACCGCACCCCCATGAAATACAGAGAACTTTCCCTCAAGGCCGTCTTTCGGCGTGCGCTTCGAAGTCAATTCAATGACCAATGGATGCACTCGGGCTTCCACCTTTCGAATGTCTTGCGCCTTGCGGCCTCCGTCTGTCATGTCCTTGTGGAGCTGAATACAGCCGTCGATGGCGGGATGACACACGATGCCGCAGGGGAAGGGCTTGAAAGCGTTTGCCTCAATCTCCCATTTATGGCCAAGCTCGGAGACATAATGGTCCAGTTTGGGGGTTCCACCACCAGCAACTACATTTGCCCAGCCTCGCTTCGCCTCCAAAGCCTTGTCTGAGCTTGTGTAGCCCTTCTCGGCCAGAAGTGCAGCCAGAAACCCGCTCTGGGCCGCTCGACCAGGATGGAAAGACTTGGTGTCACTGCCGAACATCTCTCGTAGCCCCACCACCTGCACTGCGGCCGTGCCAATAGCTTGTTGCATTTGGTCTTGGGAGAGATTCATCAGCTTGCCTACAGCAACGGCTGCACCAACACTACCGGTGGTCGAGGTGATGTGCCAGCCGATGTCGTAATGCTCGGGCCAGACAGCCAGGCCAATCTTGCAGCTGGTCTCGATACCGGCGACCAGGGCGCAGAGAATGCTTTCGCCGGAGACGCCGCCTTGGTACTCGGCATAGGCCAACACGGCGGACGCGATGGGGCCTGTGGGATGGATGATGGTGGCCAGATGCGTGTCGTCGTAATCGTGGACGTGAGAAGCTATGCCGTTGAGGAGCGCTGCATGCTGCGCATCCGTTCGTGACTTTCCTTGATGGCCGAGAAGGGACGATGTCTCGCGACCGAAGAAGGGCGACAATGCTTCGTGAGCTTTGGTCACGGTCGGGTGCTTGCTCCCTCCGATGGTGCACCCGATGTAGTTGTAGAGCGAACGGATTGCCGCGCTCTTGACAGACGGCGGGATAGCTGAGGCATTCAGGCTGATTGCCCAAGATGCTAAAGCTTGAGTGGCCATTTAAAGGAGCCTTGGAGATTGGATCAAGCGAGGAAGACAATTGAATCGATAGGAATCCCAGGTGCGCTCATGACAGTCGGTCTGTTACAGCCACTCCAGACAACAAGAGTTGTTGCTCACGGAAGAAACATTACTCAAGTTCTTCCGTAAATTTCGAGCTGTGAAAAGCGTCACTCTACAGACGCGCCGATCTCGGAGCATCGACCGTGGATGAACCACCAGAATCCCATTCACAATTCGCGACGTCGACCTTGATCAACTCTCTTCACCGTTCGTCTTGTGCGGCTCCAACGCCGGGTACTTTGGGAGCTCCATCTCCTTGGACACCCACTCAGACACCGATCCGCCAACCTTCTTCAAGGCTGCCGCAAGCCATGAACTGGCCACCAAGCCCCCAACTCGCAAGAGATTGTCTCTGATTGTAAGGCCTCGCTCGGTTCTGAGTCCAACGAAATCAGTGTTGATTCGACGACGGGGATCGAGCGGGTACTTACTGCGGGTGGACGATCCACGGAATGCCCGGGGGTAGCTTCTGCGAGGCTTCTGCGAACGGGCGCATTTGTTTCTCGTACTGTGACAACGCTTCGGTGCCGGAGTACGTTGCAAGGCATCCTGCCAGAACGTAGGCGCCCGTGAAAGCCAGCGTCGTTCCTTCTCCAGACACCGGCGAGCCTGCGTATGCCGCATCACCCAGCAGCGCTACTCTGCCGTTGGAGAAGGATGTCGATTTCGTCTGCGCCACCTCGGCCATGTAGAAATTGTCGTCGTCGATCTGCTGCTGCATCTCCTTCAAGATACGCGGTGTCTCCCATCCCATCCCGCCGAATCTCTTGGTCAATTCTTGAAACTGTTCTTCTCGAGACATGGTCGCGAATTTTCCGCAGTCGTCGGTGACTTGGGTCCTGTCCGCAGTTCAGCATCTGTAAAACCTGGACATGCTCTGGATCGCCGCCCGGTCCAACTCACAAGTACGCTCCCGTCCGCTTGTGCTCTTTTCGTGGGCGTAACACCACGCATCGCCTTATTGCGAATTAGCATCCTGATATCTTAGAGCGAACATTGTAGGGGCTCTCACCCCTCAGTGTCATTCAATACTGCGGTCCATTGCTCATCTCCTTCCTGCCAGGGGATGTCGAAGAACGATACGTCTACTCCAAAGTCAACATCTCACTCGTTCGCCCGCGGACTGTCAAGAACAACTTACATTGTCCCAAACTGACAACTTTGGTATTGTCTGGGGCGAACGCGAGGTCCCTTGTCCGACTCCTCAAGCCATCTGCTGCCACCACGAAGTCGAATGTTTCTTCTTTCGGAGACGATTGGAACTTCACCGTCACCTTCGACTCATCCTGACGAATGGCGACAATCTGATCTCCGAATCTGTACTCCACCAAGTCCTTGGTCCTCTCGTACATGATCTCGGCAAGGTGTGCCCTTAGGATCTCCAGCTCTCTGACCCACTGCAGTGGGCCACTCGTAGACTTGCGAGGTAGCTCGGCCAAGATCTTGTCCGGGCTCTTTGTATCCATGAACCTGATTCCATTGTCGAAGATGACGCGTTGCCGAATCGCGTCCTCAATGCCCATGAACTGTGCGACCTGTAGTCCTCTGCCAGCCACGTCGATCTGCTGGCCCGTCTTGCGGAAGCTGGGCGCCCGCTCGACGATGGTGCACTTGTGACCAACGCGGGACAGAAGCAGGCCGAGAGCAGGGCCCGCGATGCCTCCGCCGGCAATGAGCACGTTCAGTTGATCGACCATTTCGCCGCAATGTTTTCAAGGAACGATGAGCTGACTTTAGGGAGCCTCGAGCCGATGGGAGCGTGCAGATGTGGACTTTGGGTCTGGCGGAATAATAATTGCAAGGCTGTGTGGAGGGCGCGGCTCTTTTAACCTCGACGTCATCCGGTGAATTTACGCCGTACGCGTCGAGGCGCGCCGATGAGGCTCGGCCTACAATCGCCGCACCGCATCTGAGAGCCGGATCCATCTAACACTATGTGCATTTCGCACGCTCCATCTGCCGGAATCCCGCCGTCTGCCTCGCCCGTCCAGCGACGCGCATCGGCCCTATAGACGCTTCACACTGATGACCTCGTGCTGCGTCTCCCCCCACCGTTCATAGCCGAACCGCTCATAGAATGCTCTTGCGTGGACCATCGATTTGCTCGTCCCCGCTCGAAGCGCCACCCATCCCTTCTCTCGCGCCGCCTGCTCCATTGCTTCCAAGATCATTCTTGCCACCGATCCTCCCGCGCCACGCACCGAAGGCACAACGTACATGCGCTTGATGTCCGCGTGGCCCTCTAGGCCCTCCTCAGTGAGCAATCTGAGGCCTCCGCACCCCACGGCTTCGTCGCCCTTGTACGCAACCACAAACACCGGCACATTCGCAGCTGTGGATGGAGCTCCGACCAGGGGCGGCTTGACATCGCCGATTTCTATTTGCTGTGCATCGCGAAGGCGTACCGCGTCCGGATGGTCCCAGGAGACAGACTTGACCATTATGGAAGCTGACATTGTGCATGTGGTGTTGGCCGCGTCTAACGAAGAGCAGTGGCAAGCGTGTAGGTCTGGGCTGTGACCACACCTTTGATACGTTGTAAGCGCTTTGCCCGGCTAGCGCGGTAAGGTAGCCACATCTTTCCCTTCTTGGAAAGCTGACCTATAGCGCGACAGTTCCTGGACGAAGCTCTTCTTTGCATCGAGTGACATTCCATTTCATTGGACGGTTCCGGATCGTCTCAAGAGCCTCGTTCGTGTACTGTGTGGTGTGAACGTGGCTGCACGCCATCGCACGCGGGTTGTGATTCGGGGAAGACAGAAATGGCCGCAGCGAAATATTGACCGATCATTGCTCTCTGTTCCTCAAGACTCAATGCCTTATGATTTCGCGAATGAAATATTTTGTTGAACACTTGATGATTATGTCGCGTGGCCACTGAATCATCTTCAAGTCTCCGCGTCCGGTGCTGGACATGTAACTCAGCATGACGCTTTCCAATGGTCGCCAGCAGCGATGAGCCACGACGGCACCCGAGGTGTATGTTCATACGACAAAGCAGCCGCTTGTCCCAATTACGGCAAATGCCAGTCGATGCTCAACATGCGACAGACTAGTCACTGTGGCTATCAATTGCTCGAGAACACGCGAAAATGAGCGATTGTGTATGTCAAGCCTAGTGCACTGAAGGGTACATCGTGTCTAGTGTCAAGCAGCGACGCTTCTCATTGGATGTGAGCAAAGTCTATCCACCCGCTGGACTTTCCTCAGCCTGACAACGTATTCTAAAGCCTCACTCAATTGCTGGTCTTTGGTAGTGTCTACCCATACCGGATGTCAAGTCGGTGTTGTACAAATTGAATTACTTGCGCCCTTTTCCGCCCGTCCACAGACTGGGGCTGCTGCATCACTCCCCGCGACCGCGACAGGTAGGAGGCCTTGTGCGCATGGAGCGCCACGACGATGCGAATGTCTATCTTCGTCCTGCGTCAGTCTACATGGCCGCGGCTTACGCATTCTGTTCTCTCTTAGTTAAAAAATCTTGACACCTGAGAACACTCGCAAGTTTGGACCATCACGTTTGGGTGACGAAAGGAAACGGGTGAAGGAAGGAAAGCATTGTACCTTGTTTCTAGCTAAAGCTCAGCAGAATCCGTCGACTCACAAACCGAAGCTGTCGAGCAGGCTACTCGCATCGGGCTCCTTGAACTGTGTCGGCTGCTTCTTCTCCTGATTGTTCGTGTTGGGCTGAGCCGTGCCGGCCTTCTTCGCCTTGATTTGTTTCAGCAGCTCGGCAGCCTTCGCCTCCCTCGCCGCCTTCTCGTCTTGCGCAGTAGTGACTTCAGGCAGGTCCACCGTTCCATCACGCTTTTCCGGTTCTGTGAATTCGTCCAGGATCGAGGGCGCTTCCTCAGTCATTCCATTGGGAGTATGATCTGCAAACGATGCTTTGGCGGCTTCTGGCCGCTTAAAGGTCCACTTGCTAACAAGCTCCAGTGCCACCAACCACAAGCCCATTCGTCGAAGTGTCCTTGCCGCTCGGAGCACCGCGTCAAATCCATACTCTGATTCAGACTGGCGGAGGTGTTGATACAGGTTGAGCAATGCCGGATCGTCCTGTTGCCAGTCTCGAACGCCTCTCAGAGGTCGCACAACGGCGTGAGTGGCCTGCTCCAGTTCACGGAGAAGAGAGTAGCTCCAACTCAGGAGCCATCGATCATTCTTCTGCTTTGCCTCAGGAATCAGTCGTTCTTCTAAGAGTCTCCGAATCGCAGGTGAGGTATCCCCGCTGTACAATCGGCCGACAGCGATGGCCAACATGACATCGCCGCACTGCCCTGCGAGAACGCTGACGGCGCTGGCTCCATCGTCGGCCAGCAAAAAGAATGCTGCAGCATATTCAAATCTCCGCTTTCCCATCAATGCATAAGCGTTCTTCTTTGCCGCTGTTTGATTCTCAGCCGCGTTGAAGTCTCGCCGCAGGAAATTGATCGTGGCTCGTTGTTCCTTATGCCACGTCGCTATCCGCCATAGTCCTAGCAGTGTCTGCTTTTTGTGCAAGGCGAGAAAGTACAGTGAGGCATTGATAGGATCTGGAGGCGATGCCGACCGGTAAGCCGTCTGTGCAAGAGCCTCAAAGATCCGATCCAAAGCCTCTCTGTCGGATAGCCAGGCAAACAGCCCAAGTCGCTTCGCGACATCCCACGTGATCTTGTTGTCGTAGTGTTCCATCAAGACGTCAAGCAGTGGTTGCTGGCTTGTGCTGTGGAATGCAAATGCTACCTCTCGCCAGTGCATAGATGGCGCGATGGCATGATCTGTACTTAAGCCATTGGGCACCAAGCCATGTGACGGATGTTTTGCTTCCGTCAGTAGCAGCTCCATTTTCCAGCTGAACAAATACCGAAGCGCCAAATTGTCAAGCCCATTGACATGCTCGGAACAGAATATCATCGCTTGTAAGACGCTCGCTAGGCGGCGCTGTTCCGATCGCGAGATTTGTGGAAGCTGTTTCTGGTTGAGTTGCTCCAAGATGTCGTCGACTGTCTCCCGATTCACAGGCTTCTCTTCTTGGACACCCTCGGCTCCATAAAGCTGCGAAGCGGGCACGTTCAGCAGTGCGGGTAAGAGGTCCCCTTCACTCCAGAACTTGACCTTTTCGAGCAGCCGGTTGACCAAGCTTGCCGCCAGCGCCCAATGGCCAAGACGAACAATGTGGGCAACAAAGGTTGGGTGCCATACCGGCAGAGGTTTCCGTAGACTCTTCGACACGGTCGACAGCCTCAGCGTTTGGGGACGAACAGCTTCGGCTCCAGTCGCCTCGCGAACATCAGCGTCCAGGCTGTCGACATCGACGACGTTGCTCGAGACAAAGATAACGCTGCTCGCAGCTATGGCCAAACTGCCATCTCCCAGCCAAGTCAGCGAGCTGATCGTCAGTCCGACGTTAGATATGCTGATTTGTTTGATGAGAACCCATGGCGGCATCTCCTCGCGATATCCGATTCGGCACTGTGCAAGAATGTCGATGGTGGTATCGTACCGAATTGCAACAAGACTATCGAGTTGGTTCGGCAGAATGCTTCGTATCTGCTTATCGGATTTCAAGCGGTATTCAACGTACCCATCAGTCAAATCGACGATAGTCAGTTCCAAGCCGTCAGAAGAAACAACGAAAGCAAAATCGTTATTCGATGCAAGTACACTTGCATTTCGGACGCCAGACTCAAAGACTGCAATCAATACAGGGTCCAGGGTGCCTTCGTTCGATGCTTGCAGGTGGTATAGCAGCAGATCACCAGTGGTCGACAGTGCCACCACACCAAATCTGTCGGGATCAATTGAGTCTATGATCGCAGTCAGGTGCAGGAGAGGATCGGAGCGACCATTCTCCGGTAATACGAGCTGGGTTGCATGCAAAAGAGTCCTCTTCGCGCTGTCAACGAGACAGCTAAACACTCTTCCGCTGGGGTGTAGGAGCGCGCATCGACTGTAGGGCGTCTGGGAACCATAGGGAACGAAAAGACGCCATTCCCGATCGTCCCAGTCCACTTCACCCTCTTGAGACAGTTTGGACAATTCCCGCCACTCTTGATCTCGCAGCAACAGCAGGACGCCTTTGGATTCCTGAGCAGACGCAAGTTGCAAGCTGAGGGATAGCTGAGCGGATGAGTCGTGTGCAAGGAGCGCGACATCAATTACTTGACCTCGGGTCCTGCAAGCTTGCGAAGCCTCAAGCACGCCTTCCTTACGCTGAGCCCAATGTAGCACATCGTCACCAGAAGCAACCGAAAGCAAGCTGCGACCAACTGAGAGGGCAGCGAGTAACCCGATCTCACCCTTCGCATGCCCAGACCAGTATGCAGCTTCATTGAGTTGAGTGGAGCCCGAGAATGACAGTGAAAAGAAGTCCTGCAGATTGCCTCGCCACCACTGCACCTTCCCATCCGAGCTGTGGCCAATCAGGTTAACATTTCTCCCTTCGCACCAGATGTGGAGCAATGCGTTGACGCCCTCGGGGAACCGAACCGGCAGTTTCTCTGCTTGAGTGATGTGAAACGGCGAACTTGGAGGCTGGGTTGGAGTTTCTGGTCGGCGCTTGTGACCGATACTTTGCAAGCCCCAGGCGGACATCCTTCCCTGCCCGTCAAAGCTAATGAGAACTTCAGGTTCTTTCGACGCGACCTCTTTGAGATGCTCAGAGGAATGGATTTGCGTCTCGTCCGTACCTATAGCGGCATTGACTGCAGCGCAGAATTGGTCGGACGACAGGATGCAGGTGAACCGAGCGTTCTGATTGCAAGTCGTTGGCAGGTCGGGTTTGTGTGTAGTTGTGGGTGACTCAGGAACGGCGGAAACCAAGTCGACGGTAGTATGCAAGGTCAATATGTCCAAATCGTGCACAGTGCCCGTCTTCCACACTCGCAGGATACCGTCATGAGCGATAGTATAAAGCACCTCGAGATCGTCGTCCTGCTTAGTGGCAATGTCGTCTTCGTCCACCGCGTAAATCGGCTCCGGCCTTGGCCGCCATTGCACAGAAGTGACTGGACATGGATGCGGGAGGTACATGTGGTCGAAGAGCCCTTCCTCGAATGAGAGCCGTCGCCATATCTTGACAAGTCGATCATAGACTCCACAAGTAGCAATCAATGTCCCACTCGGGCTGAACGCAGCGTGCTGCACTGGAGAAGGCAATCTCTTTGACCAAAGACTTCGGCGTTCCGCCACAATGTCCGGGTCGGTCAGCGACGACGCAGCACTTGTAGGCGACGCAGGTTGTGTAGAGAACAGGCATAGATTTTTGATTCCGCCGACCAGCACTTCCTCTTCCATCCCCCAACTGAGTGTGGAGATCTGGTCGCCGGGATCGTCGAGGCGCAAGTATAACGTCTTTTCCCATCGCACGCTCGTCCAACCCTCCAACACGGGTGTGATGATCCATAACCCTTGCCTTCCCGCCAGTGCAATCCTGCCAGTCCATGTTTCGGCCGTGACCGCTGTCAGATCATCACTGAACGATAGGCATTGCACCAGCACGTGAGGCCCCGAGAAGATATTAAGCTGCCGCCCCGAGATGTATACGACATAGCGCTTCTGACGGAGAGAGAAGCACGCGACTGTCTGTAAAGAGACGGAGGGTGCGCCAGGGAGGATTTGTTCGAATAGGGTCTGCGGAGGGGGAGCATTGCCCGGCGAGGTGGAAGGCATTGCCGGGGCTGCTATCGGGCGCGACAGTGCATAGTGAGTGCGCGATCGGAGCGAGATGTGGCTGCCAACGCGAGTGCAACCTAGAGACGAATGTGACAAAGACACCGACAGCGTGGGTTCTTAGATGACCAAGATCTGCATGAGAGGTGCAGCTGAGGAGGTGTGGTGTGCAGGTAATGAAGCATGAGGTGCTGTGGCTTGAAGTAATCATTTCGGCTGCAGCCGAAAGCTCAGCCACGACGTCCCGCCGGCCAAAAGAATAACGGTCATTCAGGCAGTTCAAAGATCAACCATTAAACACCGAGAGCCGATCGTGCCGACCAGGGCAGGCATAGCCAGCGAGTACGATACCGTAGCAAGCCTGTACAATGACTTCAAGGAGCTTCCCACATTTAAGATCGAGTGGCAGCTCGCCGCGCGGGGACTTGCGATTGCACAGGTTTGACAGTGCTAGACCTGGGAGGGGGCTCGGGGCTGCATGCTCGACAAGCAGTCGACCGGGGTGCTACGCACGTAGATATTGTCGACGTCTCGCCAGCTATGCTTGAAGAGGGTAAATCCACCTCTGCAAGACTTGGTCGCCCCGACCTCGGTTTCACCGACTACCAGGAAGTCGCACCAGAACAACTCGACCTGGTCAAGGCAGATTACAATTTCTGGGAGCTATATCTTGAGGATCCTTTCCTGACTTGCGTCACTGCGCGGAAGCAGGAATAGCACTCCGTTGTTACGGCGCTCCCGGATCATCTCGACGCCTCAACACAGTCGTCTGCTCCGCTCAAGGTGGTTGGGCAAGGTGAGCAGTACCGGCAAGCCCAGGAGTCGATGCCGAGGCATTATCGTAGAACGCAATGGTCCATATGGAAGTCGTGTTCGATGGATCCCAGCGCTGCTATTTATCGAATCTTGCCACTGGCACGCTGCAATCGATTGTCAGGGTCAAACAGATGCAAGGGTAGGCAGAACTCATACCAGGTAGCAATCCTTCAACATCATAAACTCTTTCGCACACATGTCTTTGGAGACATTCTGATAGTTTGAAGCAATACACTTCCCATACGCCGCGCCCTATGCAATTCGTCAGTTGCGTGGCTAACACAATGTCGATATTGACATACCTCGAGCGTGCACTTCGCTGTTGCCTCGGCAAACTTCTCAATAGGTCTCGTCCTGGCTGGCATTCTACCAGAAAGAGTAGCGCGAGATGAGAATGATGGGTTGAATGTGTGATAAATCAGAACGACATCCGGTGCTGGAGTAGGTGACGTGCATCAGTCAAACCCCCGAGGCGCTAACCGCTTCAAGCTTGGACGGAAAGCATAACACTTCACCAAATCAACACGTTCTTTCGCGCTTTCTCACTCCTCACGGTGACTTTTGCGCCAGTCGCATTTCACGCGACGCCTTTTCCTCATTGCTTCACAGTCAAGCTTATTTGGCATCCCACACTCTAGCGATCGACTTGCAGCAAGATATGGGACGGCGCATCCGATGAACAGGCCGTACTCCAAGCGCGTTCGGCTGAAACCAGCATCTACTCTCCTCACATGAACGAGCATGCCGATGGAAGCGAGCTACCAGAGCTGACGGATGACGGTGCGCTATCCAGCTCTTGTCGCTTTGACATCGCATCTCTGACACTTCATAGATGTCGAAATCCTTTATGCAATCTGCAAGCGCGCGTCCGACGCGGCGGGACCACCTTTCAAGGCGCTGTTCGCGGCCTACGACGAAGTCTTTGGCGAGCAACACATCTCGCAGCAGCACGATGGAGTGGTATTCAGATATCTCATGCGCGTCGGGGAGAGCACAAGAGGCGCGGATCGCGGACCTACGAGGGCCAACTTGGTTGAACAGTTGAGAAGTGTTCTCGAGGCCCACGGGATCTCGTTCGTCGCTCCCTTCGAGGATGATGTGGCGGACGGCACCCAATCGGTCAACGCTTCGAGTCCCTACAGAAACACCCATCTGCAGAGCCCGAGGCGACGAGTGTCCTTCGATGACGCACGCTTAAATGAAACCTGGCTCAGCCAGCACACCGAATCTCTGCAACCAGTAATCGAACCTCCTACATACTCTGGACTTCTCGGCCTACCTGCGAGACGTGTCAGAGACGGGACGGCCCCAAGACGTGCCAGGTCGACGAGTGCACAGCGTGGATTGCAACGGACTACCACAGCATTACCGCCCTCCCAACCAGTCCATTCCCACCAGGACGACTTCATTCGTGCAAATTTCTTCGTCAACCTTTCGGAGGGACAACTGGAAGAGAACGCCGAAGCATTCCTATCGACATCTGCACTGCGTTCCGCTCGGAAATCCCTGCACGCCTGGTACCGTAGCGCCATTCAAATGCACCAATTCCGCACACAAGCATCCTCCATTGCTATCGCGCACGATCGGCGCACACTCCTCAGCCAAGCGATCGATCAATGGCGTGCTGCTCTTGATATCCGGCGGCAGGAAAACCTCAGACTGAAGGTGCTCGAACACTTGGAAGAACGAGCGACACGCTATCGGGATCTTTATCTTCTCACCAAAGCTTTCACTCACTGGGCGATCTCCAGCAGCATAGAACGCATCCGCACTGCGGTGGCTCAGCGACATGTCCTCAAAGTCACTTACTTTAAGAAGTGGAGAGCAATTGCCCATCAAAATCAGCAGAAGGCGAAAAGCATTCTGACTCGAAAGTACGTGGCGGCCTGGCGGGAGAAAACGGCTCGAAGGCTGCTGCGGCAGGAGCAGGCTACCGCGCATTACGAGGACAGGTTGATGAGACGCTGCAAAACCTTGTGGTTCTGGCAATTCTGCAGCCGACGTGTAAGCAGTTGGCACGACGACAACATCCAAAGACGAACATTTAGACGTCTGCGAGAAAACTTCAACATTCGTCAAAGTCGAGAACATCACGCGGAGACCTTGAACACATCTGCGCTCGCTCGTCAAGCTTTGCACTGTTTCTCTGAGCGCTTGGAGGATCGACACCGGGACGGCTCGACCGCGGAGCGACACTTTCAGCAAATCGTTACCATCAAGACACTCCGCTTCGTGCAGGTTCAGACGAAGCTTGCACCCATTTCGCATTCTTTGCGAGCGAGCTTTGATGTTAATCTCAAACGCAAAACCTGCAAGATATGGAACCTGCGTGCATCACTATATCGCCAGGCTACCGAAATCGATCATCGGCGCATCCTTCAAGCAGCATGGACGAGGTGGAACGAAGCCCTTCGCTGCAGAGCGCTGGCGCTGAGGATGAATGAGAGGGTCCTGCTGGAAAATCTCTACCGATGGGTGCTGCAGGAACGATGCAAGTTGTTCAAGCGCATGAGCGATGACAGATTGCTCAATCGAGCCTTGGCGTGGTGGACCGTCCGAGTCCAAGAAGAGAAAGACCTGCTCTCCGAAGCAGCGAGGGTGTTTGAGGAGAGAGAGCGACGACGTCGATTAGCGACAGGCATGCTTCGCCTCCATTCCATGCTGCGGACGCGTGAGGACGCCGAACGAGCAGCCCTGGAGATGGCCAACGCACGCACCATGCCGAAGATACTCGACGCCTTGAAAGAGAGGGGAGACCATCTCAAGCGACTCGCAAAGTGGGCAGCAGACGCAAGGTTCTATTTCCTGTGCACTTCCACTCTACGCACGTGGCAAGCAAGATCTAGCGAGGCCAGGCATAGTCGCAAGCGCAATGCTTACATCGAGATTCGAGCTCGAGTCAAGATCCGGCTTGTTGGAGACTGTTTTGGTTATTGGCGAGCCCGGACCGGTGTGGTAGGTTCAATGCACGAAGAGGCAGAGCGTCGTGCATTGGGCAAGTCTGCAGATATCGGTCGGACAGCTTTCTATCGCATGCGAGAGAAGACCGCGCAGTACACAGATCTCGACATCCAAGCTGCAAACACGGACCATCTGAAGCTCTTCCGGGCAGCGCTTTCGGCCTTGTCTCAACGCCAGGCAGATTTAGGCGAGGTGGAAAGACGCGGGATTGAGTTCCGCGGCGAAACAGATCTGACTCTGATGACGGGCGCGCTAAAGAGAATGCAATGGGCGACCTTCACCGTCACGAGGAAGGTGGAGAGCGCGGACGCGCTATTGGCTCGATACCGAGATCAACACATCAAGCACATGATCCGGCATTGGGCCGCACAGGCTGCAGCAAAGAGGGCTGCTGTGACCTTCGATCCCACGACAGCCGAGCAGGATCCAGAGAGCCCCAGTCTCCGGCCCGCAAGTCGAGCAGCCTCGCACTCAGTACCGCCGAGCTCACCGTCGGAGGGTCGAATATTGCACTCTACCCCAGGATACCTGCGTACCCCCTCTCGTTCGAAGCGTGCAGCGAGATTCAAGCCTCTACCTGCCGTTGTACCATTCACGCCGATGGCCATTGAGCCCTCGTACTTCGTTACGACCCCAGCTCCGGCATTGAACCAGCAGGGCGCAGACGAGTCAATGCTCGGCCTTACTCCCCAGGTGACCCCTTTTGAGCGCAAGCTGAGAGCTGGCGGATTTGCGCCTCCTCCGCCATCTGCTCTGAGGGCTTCGGCGGTCTCCAGCTTCGTGAATCCAATAGCTGGCACGGCAAAGAGTGTGCGTTTTGCAGGAAGCAGCAGGTTTCGACGGACGAATGATGACGGCCATGAGAAAGATAGCTGATGACCTACATGAATGAAATGACACACCACTGACTCATGCTCCGTCCATCCCTTATTACTCCCATGTCGTGCTTTAATGAGCCGCTCTCCTGAGCTTTCCTGTGCACCAAGGCAACTCAAAACTTCTTAAGCCCACAATTACTGCTTTGCGACGCTGAGATGGCCCCAGGCAGGTCTCGAGCGAGAAGGGCGCAGAGGAGAAGAACGGTCGCGTCTCGCTAGCTGCTGCGGCGAGCACGGCGCTGATGGTTCGCATCTTGCCTGCCAGTCTTCTGGGCATCGATCCAGGGAGTCAGTCAGGTAGACAACAAGCCCGCTCTCCGGCCAGAGTGGTTCGCAGAAGACAATATGGCTCGAGCAACTCATCTCCGCTCTCCCCAGCTGGAGATTGGATCCCATGGAGTGGCACCAGGGCTCTGGAAGAACCGTTTGGGGCTCTGGGATGCAGCGACACATCTTTGAGGATAATGAATAGAGTTGTTCTCACCTCGCGGCCAACTATTGCGATATGTACCTTATCGTGCACAATTCGAAGTCCATTGCAAGCAACTTTACAAAAGAAAATCCCTAACGCCTGCTTCATGGTCATAATCCAGTCAATCCCTCATCCTTTGCAATGTTCAGGCGTCCACGGCAGTCAATACTACCTTCGCTCCACCGTAATTGACGCACGTCAGCGCCAGACTCTCCTGCCAGGGCTCTGCGTCGCGGCTCTCGATACCACTGAATGCTTGACAAAGACGGATGGTGGTATAGCTGGCCTCCGTCAGGGCGAATTGTTGTCCAAGACAGATTCGCGCCCCCCCGTTAAACGGAAGGTAATGCCAATCTGTTCTCAATCCCTTCCTGCCCGTTGTAGGATCATCCAACCAGCGCTCAGGTTTGAACTCTTCAGCGTCCTGTCCGTAGTAGTCCTTACGACGGTGCATGGTGTAAACGGACCAGCTCATGACGTCTCCCTTCTTGACAAACAGCGGGGATCGGCCATCCGGACCGCCACCGAGCGGCAGGGTGGTATCCTCTAGCGCTTCGCGACTGTTTCCGGGAACGACGGGATGAAGTCTGAGTGATTCGTTCAGCAGAGCTTTCAGATACTTGAGGTCCTTGAGCTGCTCGAAGGTGGGCAGCTCTCCGTTGAGCGTGGAGACTTCTTGTTGCAGCTTCTGCCAGATATCTGGACGTTTGCTGAGCATGTACCACACATTCGTCAACAAGGACGCAGTAGTGTCACGCCCGGCGAGCAGGATGTTCAGAAGCTCGCTTCGAATCTGGATGGGATCGGTGGTTTGCCGGACCAGTTCGTCGAGGAAGACATAACGACCAGATTTCTCGGCGGTCGACTTGTTGGCCAGAAGCTCGCTCCGCCTTGCCAAACCCTTCTGGACGTAGTAATCCACGAAGTCGTGGACGAGCTTCTGGTCGTAGGCAAACTGTTTGTTTGCTGGGAACAGTGCTGCCAGTCTGCCCCATCGTGAATTGTGCGCAATGTAGTCTTGCGCACGCATGAACGACTCAGCAAACCCTTCGGAGCTCCGTTTCGTCAAAGACTCGGTAGATTCGCCAAAGAGGAACTCGGTAGCCGAGTCCATTGTGAGCCGGAAGAACAAAACGGAAAGATCCACCATCGACCCGTCTCGGGGCACTTCGGCGATGAGGTGTTGGATATGGCGTTCAAAGGTCTGCAGATCGCCGATTTGAGAGCGGACGAAGTTGGGCCTCAGCATCTCGCGAGAGTGTTGCCACGCGGCGCCGTCGGTGGTGAAAATGCCTGCGGAAATGTCAATGGCTTCTTCACTGAGAGACGGCAAGAGAGACAAGGCTTACCGTCGCCGAGGAGTGGCCTGAAGGATATCTTGCGTCTTTCTCCCAGCCCCCACTTCTTGAAATCGACCGCCTGGATGGTCTTGAGGTTTTCTGGCTCGATGGTGGTATAGAGACGCCTTCCTAGAGCGACCAGCTGGTACGTGTTGACGCCCATCTCCCGAAACCTGTTGGCTGAGGACTCGAGGAATTTGCGCTGCTTCAACGAGCGCATATTCTGGCGAAACAGGCTCCATCCAAAAATCTGCTCTGGTTGCGGATAAAGGGGAGGTGGCAGACATCCTTTTTCACGAGCTAAGGCTCGACGCTTGCTCGCCAGATGGATGCGTGTAAGAATGTGAAAGACGGCCAAAGCAGCGAGCACGAGGCCAGCAAGTTTGGCAAGATGAAGGTCCACGAGTGCCATGGTCGCGTAGGTTGGATAGGGCAGGGTTACAGGGCTACTCCAGGGACGATTCAAAGGGAAGCGTCGAGCTTTATACCGGCCATGCAAGAATAGCTCATGCGCGCCGTCGCCAAGGGAGCGCCTGGTCTTACTGTGCGTACGAGGTGGCAAGGTGGGTGAGGCTGATTTGGTCAAACGAACCGACCACTCACGCGCCCTGGTCGAGTCCCTCTCGGCCGCAGACGTCGGCCGCGGACGGAGCTGCTGCTGCTAGACCCCGTCCGGCGCAAGCCGAGGCTGAATCGCAGGGTCACGCCATGTCGGCCTCCTCGTCACGCCGTCGGCACCTTTGGTCCATCCATCCTCCGACTCTGTCTGACGTGTTGTTTGTTTGGCCAGCGGTCTGCACGAAAGCATGTACCCGCCATCCATGCAAGGTCCCGCCAAGGATCGCAGCGAAGAGGTCGATACATCTCGACGCTTCAGCGAGGTCTACTTCGGCTATGCGTCAAACCTGGCCCCGTCCACCATGAAGGGTCGCTGTCCCGATAGTGTCTTCTGCGGCCTTGCCAAACTGAAAGGCTGGAGATGGCAGATCAACTCCACCCGCTACGCCAACATTGTGCCCTCGGAAGAGCACACCGTCTATGGCGCGCTCTTCTTCCTCTCCCCACGCGACGAGGCCGGGCTGGATCACAGCGAGGGAGTGCCTTGGCTCTACGAGAAGCAATGGCTTGAGTGTGAGCGCGTGCAGCCTGATGGCAACGGGACGGGGCAGACGGTACCTTGCATGACTTATGTGGACGTGCAAAGACCGGATGAGGGAGTCATCGAGCCGGATTATGTCGTCTGGATCAACAAGGTGCTTGAAGCTTGAGCAACCCTGTGTCGTCCGAAGCTGATGTAGTGCGTGCTGTCAAGGCGATTCGAGAAGCCAAACCGTATGGACTTCCAGCCGACTATGTAGAGAACAACATTCGCAAGTACATCCCGCCGACATCACCGGAAGAAGAGGCACGAGAGATCCAGGTATTCCTTCGTGCAGCCACACTACTGCCTCCGGCAACGGCCAGTTCGTCAGCTGATATTGGCTGCAGATGATCCGTGTCATGGCCCCAAGAGCAAGACCAGGAGGTGGAGGCGGTCCTGGCGGCTGAGTGGAACCCTCTCGATCCACGGCGCGGCTGTCCAGCGTGACATGGCCGCGACGAATCAGCTTCGAGCTTGGAAAGCATTACTGAGAGGTGCCAATGAAGGCCGTAACATGCGCGCCGCGAGGGCAAAGCTCTCATTTGTTGTATTGCACATTACGTAGCAGTTGACTAGACTGAAGCCGGCGTCCTGTCAGAGTGTCGCGGCTGCGCCCGCACGAAACACGCCGAAATCAGGAATGCCGTAGTCCCGTCCGCTATGCATCCGAGAGGACAGTAATCGTATCGGCGGTATATGTGCTTGACGAAAGTCCGTTGACACGTGCGACAATCACGTATTACGATCGCGACGTTCTGGACCCCGGACGAAGACGGACGTCATCGGAAACACATCGGATGAAATCGCTTGGGCGAGGAAACATATAAAGTACCTGGGCTGGCGAGTTGGCGAAATGCTCCGAACCCACTCCAATCCTCACTCCACAGCAAAAGAATTACGTTCAGCTACAGAAAACACTGCCAGCTACAACCGTCCGTCCCTTTGCTTTCCACAATGCTTCAAATCGTCATCACGCCCTCAAAAGGCGCAGCAACAGTCGCACCTCCTTCACCTCCGCCTCCTCCTCGGCAATAGCAGCTCCCTGGCCGTCCTGCGCTCTGACGACCCCCTTGTTGGCCGCCTTGGCGAACGCCGATTGCTGCTGCGCAAACATTTCCTCCACCACTCTCTCATGCTCCAGCCTCGACACTTCGGCGTTCGCGCCCTTCTCGCCAGCTGCCGCGCCGTCCACCCCCTCGATCGAGACCGGACTGAGCACTGCGTACGCTAACTGCATGTCGTCCGTGGGAACAAGCCCCGCCCGTTTCCGTAGTCGCTGCACGCGATTCAGCACTTCTCGCGCCAACCCTTCTTGCGCAAGCTCCGGATACGCAAAAGCGTCGAGCAGGATCATGACTTCGCCTTCTACCGTCACTTCGAGGTTCGCCGTCGCTGGACTCTGCTTGAGCCCTCTATTGACCCGCAGGTCCTCGGCGCTCAATTGATGGCCTTCGACGGTGATGGCGCCAGTCTCAAGGAAGGATTGAATCTCGGCAGTCGACAGCTTGGGAAGCGCTCCTTTGATCTTCACCGCGTCCTTCTTAAATTTCATGCCCAGGTTCTTCACGTCTGCTTGGATGCTGTATTCGACGCCATAACTCTTCTCGTCACTTGTCAGGACCAGGTCTCGTACATTCAGCTCGTCGGTCACATAACGCTCCAGCGTCCTGACATCATCCAAGAATTCTTGGTCTTGATGCAGCACGACTAGCGTTTTGAGTGGGGTCTTGAGGGTCAGTGTCCTCCGCTCGCGTGCAAGCCGGCCAAGCTCAATGACTTTTTGCATCCGAGCGACACGCCTCTCTACCACGGGATCGAACAGCTCTTCGCGTGCAGTGGGGAAGCGCAGAAAATGCACGCTTCGGACATCTTTGCCGTGCGTCACGGACTCGGGAAGGTGGGGCGCCAGTCTTTGGAAAATGTTGTCGGACAGGAATGGAATGAAGGGCGCCAGAGCTCGAACCATGGTGTACAGGACTTCGAACAGAGTGTTGAGCGCGTGGAGAGTATCCAGCGCTTCGTCGTCTGCACCATGCGCTGCGGACGCCGTACCGTTGGCTTGCACGCCGTTTGTCGCAGGCTTCGCTGCAACTTGTCCTTTCAGCCTACTACGGTTGAATCGAATGTACCAGTTGGTTGTGTCGTCAATCATCTTCAGCAGTCGTGTGACCACCGTGTACAGCCGGTAGGCTTCCATCTCCTGCTTGACGTACTGCAGTAGACTCTGTGTGGCCGCGAGAATCCATCGATCCATAACATTGTCGTTCGACCTTTGTATCTCCGGATCGAAGACAAACTCCGCCCCGGTGTTCTTTTTGAGCAGTACGGCTTGCTGCGCGAAGAAGTTGTACGAGTTCCATAAGGGGAGTAAAACTCCAGACACAATCTGCTTAACGCCTGCTTCCGAGAAGCGGAGCGATTCGGCCCGCACCACTGGAGAGTCGATGAGATAAAGTCGGAGAGCATCCGAGCCGTACCGATCGATGACCAGAGATGGATCCGGGAAGTTCTTCAGGGACTTTGACATCTTCTTTCCATCTTCTGCAAGAACGATGCCGTTCACGACGCAGTTCTTGTAGGGAAACGTGCCGAAGAGATGGGTTCCCAGGATGCTCAGCGTGTAGAACCAACCGCGAGTTTGGTCAAGGCCCTCGGCGATGAAGTCGCCAGGGAACTTTGTAAAGAGATGTTTCCCGGGGCCCTTGGTTGGGGATGCGCCGGATTCGGGGTCTGACGCATCGAATTCCGGATAGGAAAATGGGTAGTGGCTAGAGGCATACGGCATACTCCCCGACTCGAACCAACAGTCGAAGACTTCGGACACTCGATGCAGCGTACCCTTGCCCTGTTTGGACGGAATTGTGATGTGATCAACGCTGTCCGGATGCAAGTCGTTGATCTCGCCGGCATAGCCCGAGAGTTGCTTCAGTTCGGCAACCGATGAGACGCATACGACCTCCTTCATGTCCTCTGAAACCCACAGTGGGAGCGGTGTGCCCCAATACCGATTTCTGCTGACGTTCCAGTCTCTTGAAGCTGCCAACCAGTTGTGAAAGCGGCCCATGCCAACCTGTCGCGGCACCCAGTGTGTTTGCTGGAGGTTGTCCAACAGTTGTGGAACAATAGGTTCGACCTTGATGAACCAGCTCGGCACGGCTCGTTGAATGAGCGGCGTCTTCGAGCGCGGACAGTGCGGGTATCTGTGCGTGATTTGCGACTTGCGCACCAGCCGCCCATTCTTTTCAAGCCACTTCATGATATCCTTGTCCGCGGCCTTGACATGTTGCCCCTCGAACTCTGGTACCTCGCTGGTGAACTCGCCACCAGCTGTGAGCGGATTAGGAGGGGAACGCTCGGCACTGATTATTCCTTCCCGCCACGAGATGCGGTAGTCCTCCTCTCCGAATGCCGGTGCCTGGTGGACAATCCCGACACCTTCGTCCGCTTGTACGTACTCGTCCAGCAGGACTTTGAACGCAACCTCCTTGAACTGGTCGTAGAAGTAACCGAAAATGGGCTTGTAATGCCACCCGGCCAGGTCCCCACCTTTGACCTTGGTGAGGACTTTGTACTTTGCCTTTTTGGGATCTTTGTACAGAACTTTCAGTCCCGCTTCCAGCATGATCAAGTTTTTGTCGGAGTCGGTATCGTGAACGACAAGGTATTCGAATTCGGGGTGTGCGCAAAGGGCCAGGTTGCTGGGAAGCGTCCACGGCGTTGTTGTCCATGCCACAAAGTTGACGTCGCCTCCAGCGGCCTTGACCACTGCCTCAACTTTCGATCGCACCGCCTCCGGCTGCTCGTTTGTGGGAAGGACGGGAAACGAGACGGTGACGGCGGGGTCTTGGACGTCTCTGTACTCTTCCGTAGCCTCACTCTTGCTCAGTGGAGTGGTCAGAGCGGTGCTGTATGGCAAGACTCTTGCACCATGGTACACCAGGCCCTTTTTGTACAATTGCGCAAACACCCACCAACAAGTCTCCATGAATGTCGGATCCATGCTCTTGTAGTCTCGATCAAAGTCGATCCATCGTCCCAATCGACTGATGACCCGTCGCCAGACGTCTGCGTACGTGAGAACGACTTGTCGGCAGCGACGATTGTATTCCTTGATGCCGATCTTGTCCACCGCAGCCTTGCCGCGCAACCCAATCTCCTCGTGGAGTTGCTTGTCGATGATCTGTTCGATTGGCACTCCGTGCGTATCCCATCCAAATCGTCTCTCCACATGGCGACCAGTCATGCTCCAGTACCTGGGAATGATGTCCTTGATGGTGGAGGCGAGGAGGTGGCCATAATGCGGCGTACCGGTTGCAAATGGTGGGCCGTCGTAGAATACATATGGGGGATCATCTTTGGACAGCTCGAGCTGGCGGTGGAATGCATTGATCTCCTCCCAGTGTTTGAGAATGCGCTCTTCTTCGCCGGGGAAGTTGATGGAGCCCATGTTGGGCAGAGGAGATGGTTAAGGCGCCGCAAATGGTGAAGGATGTGTTGGGATGAAGTTGAGGAGGGTACGGACAGCTCACAACGCGAGTAGATTTATCTGGTGACCGGCCAGTGTGAGTCAAGCTATGGGCAGAAGTGTGCATGAGGTTCCCAATTTTAAAGTTTACATATTTCCCGCCAAGCTTCGCGCGTCGGGGTTCACGGGCGTGCCTGGCTGGCTCGACTTGCTCGACCACCCTCTACTTAACCTCGCATCTAGGCCTAATGCATGCACATTCGCATTTGAGGCCGCCCAGATCCGCCAGCTTGCCAGCTCTCACTAGCTGTGGCCTCGGTCTCAGCAACAACTACCGGTTCTCCGCTGCATCAATCGTGGTTGTCGCTGGAGAGACAGTACCATCGCAGGCTCTAGGCTCAAATCCCCTTGCTACGCTTCGCGAGCACGTTGAGTGCGCTGCCGGCAAGGATAAAGTCGCACTGGTCTTTCGAAAGGGTGTGCTTGACATCCACCCGGAACTCGCTTCCCCCTTTTGCCTCTTTGAAAACCAGCTTGATCTCTCCCCCTTTTCCACCTTGCCGGAGAACATCGTACAGCCCCTCCGTGGAGATCTCGTCACAGCCATGAATCCTGTCGTAGTCTTCCTCGTTGACAAACGTCAGAGGCACCACGCCTTGCTTCTTCAGGTTAGTCTCGTGAATCCGCGCAAAGGATTTGGCCAGCACAACCCTGCAGCCCAGATAGCGAGGCTGTAGCGCCGCGTGCTCTCTCGCCGACCCCTCGCCGTAGTTGTGTTCCGCGACCACAATCCACGGTTGATGCTCGTCCTTCCACTTGAACGCCAGCTCGGGAATGGTATGTGTCGAACCGTTGGTGTCGGTGACGGAGTTGACGGCGTTCGTATCCGCGCTGACCGCTCCAATGAGGGTGTTTAGAGAGATGTTGGGCAAGTGGCCCTTGTATTTGAGCCAGGGCCCTGCTGCGGATATGGTGTCGGTGGTGCATTGTCCTTTCACCTTCACAAGAACCCGCAGTCCGCTGAGCTCTCCATCGGGGAACTTGTCGAAAGGCTCCAGCAGAGCCAACCTGTCGGATGATGGATCAATCGCTACCGACACTGAGGAGTCTGGGAAAGGAGCAGTCGGCTCAAAATCCGGATTGCCCACTGCAAACCCCGCACTGGGAAGATCGATGCCCGTTGGTGGCGCAAATTTAAACTGGCCACCGTTGGGAAGAGGGATAGAGTCGGTCATGGGATTGAAGTCAGTGCGACCACTGTAACTCATCGCAGTCACCAACTCGGGAGATGCGAGGAAGTTCATCGTCTTCCTGTTGCCATCGTTGCGACCGGGGAAGTTACGGTTGTAGCTGCTGAAGATCGCGTTTGCCTCGTTCTTCTGCTTCAGGTCTGTTCGATTCCACTGGCCGATGCAGGGTCCGCAGGCATTCGCCAAGACCACGCCGCCCGCCTTCTCGAACGTTTCCATCGTTCCATCCCGAGAAACCGTAGCACGGATCTGTTCCGAGCCCGGTGTGATGAAGAAATCTGCCTTCGGTTTCAGGCCCGCGCTTGTTGCTTGCTGAACGAGTGACTCTGCGCGGGTCATGTCGGCGTACGAGGAATTGGTGCAAGATCCTATCAGGCCGGCACCAAAAGTCTCCGGCCAGTGATTCGCCACCACGGCGTCCTTGAATGCGGAGAGTGGAGTACTCAGATCAGGCGTGAAGGGGCCGTTGATGTGCGGCTCCAGCTTGTTCAGATCAATGACAACCTCGTCGTCGTACTCGGCACCAGCATCTGCAGCAAGAAGGTTCTGACTGCCAGACGCGGCTATTCTTGCTGCCTCCTCTGCAATCGCGCCTCGGTGCGTCGAACGTAGATATGGAGAATGCGAGGAGGGTGTAAAGGGAAAGATGGAAGTCGTTGCTCCGACTTCAGCTCCCATGTTGCCTGCATGTCAGATCAGTAAATCGTCCAGCGCAAAAAGTCATAGTCAAGAAAAGTAAACGAACAGATGGTGGCCATGCCAGTACAGCTGAGACTCTCCACACCCGGGCCATGGTATTCAATGATGTACCCAGTGCCTCCCCTCACAGTGAGTTTCCCTGCCAGATGAAGAATGATGTCTTTTGGACTTGCCCAGCCGCTCAGCTTGCCCTCTAATCGTACCCCTCGAACCTTGGGCGCCTTGAGCTCCCACGGTGCATCCACGAGGGCGTCCACGGCGTCTGCACCTCCAACACCGATCGCTATACAGCCCAGACCGCCGGCGTTCGGTGTGTGGCTGTCTGTTCCCAACAGCATGAGTCCAGGAGCAGCATAATTCTCCAAAACGGATTGGTGAATGATGCCAGCGCCGGGTGGCCAGAATTCAATGCCATAGCGCTTTCCCGCCGACTCGAGGAAGTCAAAGACCTCTTTGTTGCCTTTGATGCTGTTCGGGAGGTCGGTGTCCGCGCCCTTTTCGCCGACAATCATATGGTCACAGTGGATGGAAGCGGGGACTGCAGTAGAGGGCAATCCACAACTCATGAACTGCAACAAGGCCATTTGTGCTGATGCATCCTGCATTGCAACTCGGTCGGGCTTGAGTTTGAGAGTCGCCTTGCCACGGATGTCTTGCCCATTGCGCGTACCTTCGAAGAGAGACTCTTCGGCATTGTCAAGATGGGAGAACAGGATCTTCTCTGCAAGAGTCAGAGGGCGTCCAGGCAGCAGCTGTCGGATCTGCTGTAGTCTGGCAAGGAGTTTTGCGTATGGAGGAGTCCGCGAATTTACACTGCTGGCGAGCGGAGGTGCTGGTCGTTCAGTCGCGGTAGCAAGACTGCGAGTCTGGTCGTGGAGAAGTTGCAAAAGAGGCTGCGGTAGTGCAAAAACATCGCAGGCAGCCTGGCGTCGGCCGACTCCGCGTAATGAGCGCCTTGTGAGCATCATGTTGAGGATCAATGGCCGTCAGACGTGCCAAACAGTACGCCGCCAAATCTTTCAAATGAGGGTGATGTTTCGCAGATGATAGACGTCCGCATTTGGCTTAGCTCGCCGATGCCGGACCAATCTCGTGCTTAGGTAAGGTAACCTGGCGCATGTGCCGACAAGAGAGGCTACGTCAGACGGGAGCATCTCTTGATTCAAGCTTGGTGCCCACGGCTTGCGCAGGCCCTCAGGGTGGGGCTGAGGGGAAAGGTTTCTACAGAGAGAAGCCGCCTCGTCGCCTCCAGCCATCATACCTAGCTGCCTTCCTTTCTTCATCAGAATGGAGGAGCAAGTAACACGACTGGTGGACAAGACATGGGCGAAACTCCAAGGACTGCCACGCTCCAAGCGATGGCTGATCGCCGTCAGCGGCATCCCAGGCTCTGGTAGACACAGCCTTGTGAGCATCGATACAGGTCGCGTGCTCACCTAATATTCAGGCAAGACAACGTTGGCGGCAAAGGTGGCGCTGGCGCTCAACGAACGCTACAATGAAGGACATCTTGGGCTGCACTTGGACATTGCCACTTTCCTCCCCATGGACGGGTATCATTTGACTCGGGCTCAACTGTCGGCTATGCCAGATCCCCATACCGCTCATTTCCGGCGCGGAGCTGCATTCACCTTCGACGCGCCCGCCTTCCTCGAGCTGGTGCACAAGCTGCGAGAACCCTTGTGTCCGGAAAGTGGGACCATCTTTGCCCCCAGCTTCGATCACGCGGTGAAGGATCCCGTGGCGGACGACATCCCCATTCCGGCGACTTCTCGCATCATCGTGATGGAAGGCAACTACCTCTCTCTGGGCAATGGCGCGCCAGAATGGAAGGAAGCGGCGGCACTGATGGACGAGCTTTGGTTCGTGGAGGTGGATGAGAACGTAGCGCGGGAGCGATTATGGAAGCGGCACGTCGCGGCGGGTATGGTGGCCAATGAAGAAGAAGGCAGGAGACGAGCGGATGAGAACGACTTGGTCAATGGACGTGAAATCACAGAGGGGAGGCTGAAGGTAGATGAGGTGGTATACTCTCGCGAAGATGTGGCTTGGCAGGCGGAAGAGCAAGGCATGGACAAGCCAAGAGACGAATCGAAGGGTGCGTGAATGAAGAGTTGCCGGTCCACCTTTGTTGACATGCTGCTACGTATATGTGGATATCACGACTCCTTCAATATAAGCACAGCGAAGTTGGGAGTTGTGACCCGGTTTACAGGCATCGTGTTCCAAGGTGACGCTGAGCCCAGACTTCGATTCGCGCGCGTCATGACGACGCGGAGGAGATGGGGAGCTTGGGCCACCCAAACAATCAATGACATAACTGTGGCGTTCGCCAAATGACCTCCAGCCCGTTCGCTTCTCCTCTCTCCTCTGCAGCTGCTCCACACGTCACACCATTAACTCACCCTCATCAATCCTCACTCTTCCCTTACAACACCTTCATCAAACCTCAACCAAACTCATCCAACATCGCCGCCGTCAACATGGTTCTCGACTGTAAGCCCGCCCGTCCTATCGTCACCGCGCCAGCTTGCACGATGCATGACGTCGCAGCTCGCAGCGGCCTCGCCCATCAACTCGCTAAGCATTCCATCAGACCTCCCACCCGTCAAGCCTTCGGCCATCGCCCTCGGCACCGTCTTCAATCATGCCGCCAGCTTGGCTATAATGGGTCCATTGTTTGGCGACACCTACCGTCGCGCCCAAGAGGCCAACTCCAAGGAAGAGTTCTTCAAGTCCAAGGAAGCCGCCTCGGCCGGCGTCGCCTGGGGATCCTCTCTCGTCGGGTCTGCCGTTCAGTCCTACGGTGTTGGTGCTCTGATCAACTCCACCGGCACTCTCAGCTACAAGGGCGCCGCCTACCTCGGCAGCTTGATCTTCATGGCCAGCTCTGCCCCCTCCGTAAGCCACGCGCCTTGTCCGCTTCATTCTGCGTACTGACTGGTATAGTTCATTGCCCAAGTCTCGACTGAGAAGAGACCCTTGGATACAGTTGCCGTCGGTGCTTTGGCCCGTGTCTTCGAAACTGTCGGGCTGAGCTTGTTCTTGGTCTGGTGGGGCACTCGCACGAACCCCTTCGAGTAGAAGCCGAGTAGGGTCAGGTAGATTGCCTGGAGGAGAGGGGATGCAATGAGAAATAAGGGGCGTGGTGGAGCTGAGGAGCAAGGATGGAAGTATCTCCTATATTGATTCACTCCCCTTCTACACCGGTGAAATTGTTCCAATCTGGCCACGTCGGCGTTGAGAAAACTCTCCATATCTCTACTGAGGTTCGTCATGACGTGCGCAGTCCTGTTCGTCAATGGCCACGCACCCGTGCTTCATCCCTTTGCTCGCGGTCAGCAAACGCTCTACATGTATCGACGCACGGCAGCGGTTGGCAGGCGGATGTCCTAGTTGCCCTTCCGTCATCTCTCTGCTTTCATCGAACCTGTGGCTGTCCCTCATACGCTCAGTAGCTCTGCGGCTGCGAGAAACCTGAGGGAGAGGTGTAGACTGGCCAGGAACGACGAAATCTCCAAGAGCCCCGCGGTTTCCCAACAGCAGTCTCGTTAATTCACATCTCAGTGCTTTCAAGGAAAATGCAACCACCCCACATGTCCTCATCGACAGCTATAAACCTTTATCGAACTGCAGGAGAGCCGTCCACACAGGCAGGCAATGCCGGATCGTCTACCTCACTTGGTCGACATACGCAGGCACTGGCTGTACAGTAGTTCTGATCACGGCTTCAACTCCTCCACACCAGACACCAACGCATCCAATCGTTCTGAACTACATGTACATAAGTGATTGACAAACTCCTTGTCGGGAAAGACACGACGACCCAATGAACACGAAGGCGATTGTAAAGCGCTTGGAGGCATTCACGAGGTATGCATCACTCGAGCAGAGGCCAAGGTTGGAGTGTCTAACTCAACGGGGCACGAGATAGCTGTGATGTCGCCGACGCCCTCCTCAAGCTCAAAGTGCCTCACGGCGGCTTTCTGGCGGGCTTAACAATGTGGTCACCTCAACGACAAGAAGGGCCAACGAGGATCGTCGGGCCGGCATACACCGTGAAATATGTGCGCAAGAATTACGAGAACGAGCCGAAACCGGCTGGGCACTACGTACAAGCTCTCCGCAAGTTCATGAAGGTTGGCTCACTGACCTGGCCTCCAGATCGACAGCGTGCCCAGCGGCTCCGTGGTCTTCATTTCGGCTCCGCCTCGAATGATCAACGCGTGCTATGGCGGTCTGATGAGCAATCGGGCCAAGTATCTCGGGGCTGTGGGGACGGTAATTGACGGACGGCTGAGAGACTTGCAAGAACACCGCGATCTTCACTATCCGGTTCGACTTGAGTGAAATACGCCGACTCATGCTGCTACTGGCGATGCTGATGGTTGAAAGGTCTTTGCGCGCGATGTCGGAACTACAGCTCCTCAAGAAGTTGCGCGTGTGAGCGAGGTAAGGCTCGCATCGATGACAGTGGTCTGCAGCGCTTGTGCTTAACGAACATAGGTCAACGCCCCGGTGCGGCTCAACAGCGAGGAGCAGGATGCCGTGATCAACCCTGGTGATATATTGATTGGCGACATCAACGGCGTCGTTTGCTTACCCCAAGGCTTGGCCGAAAAGGCACTGGATCTGATGCAGTCGCAAGTGGATGGTAGGTACTCGTTACCTCCTGACGGTGGATGCAAACGCTGACTCCAACACAAGCCGATGTGAAAGTGGCCGCAGATATCAACAAGGGAAGGACGGCCGCTGAAGCAATGAAGGAGCATAGAGCGAATGTCAAACAGCCATAATGCACATCCACCGCGTAGTAACAGTCAGCGTCGGAGCGAGCTACTGATGGTCGAAGTTGATGCAGATGAAGTCTAGAAGCAGTGTCATTGATCATATCTCACTACTCTAGACTGAAATGCGGCCGCTCCACATACGCTCCTCGGAAGCTAAACACCGTCGAAACGCAAGAGAGCCGGCGGACAGGCGGGATCCTTGATGATCAACGCCCCATACTTCGAACAGACAGGTTATTAAGTCTACGACTCTACAACTTCGACGCGGATTTGACAGGCGTATGTTGCGAGCTCAACTGCTCCACAAACTTCTGGCCGGCCCGCGGATTGCTTTGAAACAGATGCTCCGCCACGTTTCTCTTGGGCGTTGCAGCAAGCCATTGTTCGAGACTGAAGTCCTCAAACTTGGGCGCCTTGAAGATCTCCAGCATCTCAACTTCGTCGTTTCCGATATTCTCCACGTAATGGCCCATGCTCTTCGGCACGATGCCGACATCTCCGGGCGAGTAGTTGAATGTGCGCGCTATGCCGGAGGAGGCGAAGATGGTGACTCGTGCGCGGCCACGGATGAAGAAACTCCATTCGTCTGCGTTCGGATGCCAGTGAAGCTCACGGATGGCTCCGGGCTTGATCGTCACATGGGCTGCAGACACCGTCTGACTGATTGGAAAGTTACGTGTATCCGTGATTCGCACTTCCCCTGCCTCCGTTTTGATCGGGTCTTGCGCAAGCATCTTATGCGTGAAACGAAGTTTGGACATCTTCACGCCAGGCGGATTCTCTCTCTCAATCTTGTCTGGAATGGAGCCCTGGAAGATATAACGCTCGCTTGGTGGGCAGTGCTCGAACAATTGGGGATGCAGCCGAAAGTTCTTCGACAGAACTGCCTTCGGGGTGTGCGCGATGAAGTCGGCGAGTAGGAACGTGCTGTCCTCACTGAAGTTGCCATCGTCGAAGATGAGCAGGAACTCGCACCCATTCTCGCCTGTGCCCTGCAAGCTATGCGGATGTCCAGCAGGAAAGTACCATAGATCGCCCTTCTCGACGTCGCCTAGATAGTTGCCACCTTCAGTATCGAGTGCCGTTACGCGCGCGGATCCCTCGAGCATGTATGCCCACTCGGCCTCTTTATGCCAGTGCAGTTCCCGGATCGCACCCGCCTCCAGCCTCATATTGACCCCGGCAAGCTCGATGCTAGTGGGCAACTCACGGACGGTGGTCTGGCGCGCCCAGCCCCCCTCTTCGATTTTCATATGCGAATCGGCGAAGCTCCACTTCATGTTTGCGAGCGTGCCCGAGTCGGTGGATGGGGGTCGCAGCATATCCGGATCCTGCATTTCGCGCTCCCAGTTACGAGGCCCCAAGATCGACGCGCCCTCTCCATTACGCCAGGGCTCGGGCTGAAGCTTTCGTCCCAGAGAGTCGACCGCATGGTCGTGGGGGTCGCGATGTTCTTTGACAAAGGGCTTCTGATCAGGCATGATTTCGTTGTTGCGTCCGCTCTTCAAGGCGTCGTGTTAAGGAAGAGATCAGACCCGTGCTGCCAAGCACGAGGTTCATGGGGGTCCGGATTCTGGCCACAGCCACCTCTTGTGGGAAGCCATTATTTCAAATCAACCATGTTGCCACTGCCGTCCTCGCATGCCATCCTCAATAGAGGAAGTGAGTCGTCATCAACCCACCCAACATCTCGCCATTGCCGGTTGTATTCGCCGTGGCCATGGTGAGAGGTGATGGAGACATGATGTCAAATGATTTACATGATGTCAAATTGATTGAAATGATCTGCATTGGCGGACCGGGGAGGCGGGCATTGAGAGGCGAAGCCTTGTCCAATGACAATTCGCTGACCTCGCCTCACGTCGTCTTTCTCCGGAGCCCCATGCCCGAGCCTCCTGTATTGCGTCTGAAGGGCCTGTCGCTGTCGTTATGGGGGATAATGAGAACTGCATTACGACCGGAAATGTTCATTAGGGTACCGATGACATGCCTTGGTTGTGGGTCTGGTTGAACTCACTCTCTAACGTTTATCGGCAGATGGTGCGATCTTCAGTGATCTAAGCTTTCTTTCCTTCCTTCTACATGTAGCCGTCATGACGATGCAAAGACGTCTGCCGCACCGCCCTTGCTTTGCGTGATCCAACGTTTTCGAGCGCCACAGCAAGATGAGTAAGTCGTGACCATTCTCATGTTCTTTCCTTGATTGTCTGCTTCATCGGTGAATTTAACGATTTGCCACTCCTATTCCCCATCTTTGCGGATAACGACTCGTGGGGGTACATCTGAACGAAAGAAGCTGGCAACAGTCACACAAACCATGGCAAGCCACGACGACGACAACAACAACAACATCAACGGCACCGGCCAGCCAAATGGCATCTCTCCGACTCGACGAAAACCGGTGTGGCGCAACGTGGTCGAGAACTTCAGTCCACTTTGGTTCACGCTGGCGATGAACACTGGCATCTTAGGCGTGCTGTTTCACCAGCAACCTTGGCAATTCGACGGCCTATACATCATCTCCACGATCATGTATGTCTTCACAATCATCTTGTTTGCCATATTCAGCATCATCACCGTCTTTCGCTGGACGGTCTTCCACCGAACCACAGTATCGAAGACACACGGAGACATCAATGAGATTTCCTTGCTCGGCACCGCCCCGATCGCCTGGTTTACAATTACTGCCCTGACTGCGCTGATTCCCAGCAATGCTTACTGGGGCCACCACGCCTTCACCATCCTTGCCGTGGTCATGTGGTGGTTCGGTAGTCTTTGGATGGTGGTCACATGCATTGGAGTGTGCATCGCCATCGCGCAACACGACGTGGTATACGACCGGACCATGTCGACGGCTTTGTTTCTGCCCGCCGTCGGCGTCGCGACCGATGCCGTGGTTGGTGGTCTGATCTGCAATTACGCATACGGTATGACCGCTCGCCTTGCGGTTCCCATCCTCATCACAAGCTACTTCTTGGATGGACTGGCCGTCTTCGTCTCTCTCGAGATCTACACCCTCTTCTTCCACCGACTCATGACGAGCGGGTGGCCCGAGCCTGCCAAACTACCAGGCCTGATCCTTCTGGTCGGCCCCTTTGGCCAGACAGCCGCTGCACTTCTGCTCGCGGGTTCTGCGGCCAGCACTGCCATGGATTTTCCCCATTACGATAAGGGGACATTCCTCACTATGATGGGCGCGGAGGGTGTTACTTCCGCAGGCACATTGATTGCGCTTCTCCTGCTCGGCCATGACTTCTTCTGGATCGTCGTCGCGTGTGGTGGTATTGGTGTGGGTGTCATGAATCGCACGTTGACTTATAGCCTCCTGTGGTGGGCAACGATCTTCCCCCTCGGTACGTGTGGCACTGAAGAGATGCAGGTCTGAATGGAAAGTGAGCTGACGTGTCTTAACAGCCACCGTTGCTACAGCCTTCATCTCGTTGTCAGTCAGTATGAACTCGCCTACATTCCGTGCGCTGGCTGCGATTATTACCGTCTTCTTGACCATTGACTACCTTATAGTAAGTGTGACGAGGCTTCGTGCAGCCACTCTGTGCTGACAACTCTCCTAGAACTGGGGTTTCACCATATGGTACACGATCAATGGTGACTTGCTCATCAAAAATGAAACCAAGGACGTGGAAGAGCAAAAGGTCGATTAAAGCTGTGATCCAAAGTATGCTCTTGCTAGTATATTCACTTCATGTTCATGATGAACACGTGAATCACTTCTACCTCACTTCTGCCTCACTTCTGCCTCACTTCTGCCTCACTTCTGCTTCACTTTAACTTCACCCTATTGTTCACGTGTCAGGCACATGCGGTGCAGCGCAGGCAGTCAGCAGCTATTGTGCGTTCCTCGTCACTACCAGGTACCTGAAAGAGTGGACGGCTCTCGAGTAGGTTTGCAGCAACTTCAAAACATCACGAACCCTCCTTCTTCACTAGCAGCTCTCCTTGTGGGCCGGTGTAGCAACTATCTCGCTCAATCTGCGAGCCTATCAAATCCCCGCCGTCAACTTCACGACCAGCATTACCACCGTCTGACACGTTGAGAACGCGCCAGGCCGCCTCGCCCATTGCTTACAGCTCCGTGACCGAGGTCGCTAACGAACGCTGCCCACCAGTCAGATCCCTGGCGAAGGCGCCAGCGAGGAGCAGTGGCGAGCGACCCCCCATTCCTCGCCAGCGGCGACGCGCTGTCGAGATGGCCACCAAACATCGAGTTCAAAGCGTTCGTCAATTTCATCTCGCAGCCCTAGTCCTCTTAAATGCAGCCAAAGGGGTATCTTTCCCGTTATGCACCTACGCCTAGCCTGACATTTCGTTATTTGTATCCGCCGTCACCTGAAATTACTTCACCCCGTTCCTTCTCTCGCTCTCGATCTGGTTTCCAAGATCCTGCTGCGCAAGTTGCCCGGGTTCATCAAAGTTCCCCTCATCCTCTTCATGGTCTGCGCGTGGCCAGTCGCTAGAGCGCCGACTCAACGTTCCACTGCCGCGCTTGACGCTTGCAGCCGACACGACACCTGGAATACTATCGTTTCGGCCGTGTCCAAGCGCGCCCGAACGTACACTGGCAACATCGGCAATGCTTTGATCGGCGTGCACCGAACGGGCGTCGGCATTGGCAAGGCTACGAAGGCTCTTGCCGTCGGCGACATCTTTGCCTGGTTTGTAGGAGTAGTAGCTGTTCCTCTCACTCGCCGGCCCGCCGCCCTGTGCACTGTAGATGCTGGCTCTCTCCGCCGATGCCAAGCCTCCGATGGACGGGCGAGACTGAGAGTGGAAGCCAGCAGGGGCAATGCCGGCGTCCACATTCCCCGACAGCACACTCAGTGGCAGTGATTCACGACTGCCTCCAAACATCGAGCCCGGGGGCAGGGCGCGGACGGAAGCGTCAGTGTCCATGCTACGCCTACGCCGTTTCGACGAGGATGCCAGGGTGAGGATGCTCGCGTTGTCGCTCAAGAGGCCGTTGGCAGTTGCGGACGAGTAGGTATTGGGGGTGTTGGGCATGGCGTCTGCCATGTGTCGCGGAATGGCGGAAACGGCGGTGCCAGTGACGGGATATTGGTGGGAGAACATGACGGGATTGGGGTTGTTCAGGCTGCCGTGGTGATGGACATGCACATTTCCAGTGCCGGCATGCGAGGAGTTGGGCGCACCTGTCGATTGGATGGTAGTCAGAGTGGTGGCCAAGGAGTGCTGGCTTTGCTGGGGGGAGCTGAAGGTGCTGTCCGCGCGGGCTCCGTCGATGCTGCTCAGTGCGCCACCACGAGTGGTAGAGGTGGCGGCCTTGCTATGGCCGGCATCGCTGTGTATGGTCTCGGGGTTGGTTGCTACCGTTGGTGCGCCACTTCGGTGGCTTGTACCCCTGCCCTCGCGCTCTTGTGTGGTATAGGCATTGCTGGTGGGTAAGGAGCCATAGCTGCTGACAGGGCCGAGAGAAGAGGGCCCGTTGGCACTGCTGGTCTGGGAGTGGCGACGCTCTTGTCGGTGTAGATGTCCTGACTCGGGATAGGGGTGATTGTTCTTGCGAAAGGTGTCGTTGAATGTCTGACTGCGCTTGGAGATGAAGTTGCCGTTCTTTCTGTTGCCGCTGGATTGCTCGCTACTTCGGCCCTTGAGGCTGGCGAGATTTCTCATCCATTGTGTGAACTTGCGGCTGGAGCGCTCTGGAGAGGGGAGGTGAGCAGGGAGTTCCCTAGGATGGCACTCAAATGAGCTCTGTTTGGCTTACCTTGTGGACGGGATGCGACTTCCGCCATTGCCAGACTGCCGTTCGTATCTCGGTAGCAAGTACGGGTAGTAAACGAGTGTGGTGAGGTCGAACGGTGCCGCCGAGCGCGTAACGAACGACGAACGTGAGATGACCTCAGAGGTTGGAAGTAGGAGGCTGGCGATGCTCTCGGCGTGGGTAGTGGAGGGGCGAGGGTGAAGGTTGAAAGGAGCGAGGCGTAGCGAACTCAAAGACCCTGAGCAAGGTAGTAGCTGGTATGATGAGCGAACGTCGGCGTGAGGGAAAGGTGGTGTCGTGGTGTACAAAGAAGAGGAGGGGAGGGGACGGTTTGGAAGGTGAAGGGGTCGAGCGGGATGCGCCACGTGCACCCGCCCGCCTGCACCAACCAGACCCTGCTCCAGGTCCAGCACCTCACCTACACGCACCGCAATACAATGTGAACCCAAGCGGCCGATGGTGCTCTCCCGAAAGAACATTTGGACTCGCTGGCCTCTCCGGGTCGATCGGCTAGCTGCCTTGCCCTGTGCCAGAGTGGCAGAGAGGTGCCTTACGGCCACGGACGTTTGCACATGGCTTCAGCCTTGACTTCAACCCGTGACTTCAACCCGCCTCATCCTCCTGCCTCACGCTCTCAACGACCATGCCACGCATCCTCCCGTTGGCCCACGACACCATCTCTCAAATCCAATCTTCAAGACAAATCACCAGTCTAGAGGGCGTGGTATTGGCGCTGGTGGAAAATAGCCTCGATGCTGGCTCCACCAAGCTTACCATCACCGTCGATTTCCGCCGTGGTGCCTGTATCGTCGATGACAATGGATCTGGCATCCGTTCCGATGAATTTGCGGAGGATGGCGGTCTGGGACGAATGCATCACACCTCCAAACACAGCTCCGAATCTGATGGTCGACTACACGGAAGCAGCGGTACCTATCTCGCCTCGCTCGCCGCGCTCTCTTTCCTGAGCATCTCCTCCCGACATCTCGACACCCAGCAGCATGCGAACATCACGTTTCACCAAGGCCGAGTGATCAAACGGCAAGCTTCCGTCACCAGTGATGCCGACATTCCCTCATCAGGGCGTCATGGAACTCGGGTAGAGGTCCGCAATCTTTTTGGAAACATGCCGGTGCGTGTCAAGCAGCGTACTCTCGCTGCACAAGATGGCAAAGAAGACGACAAAGCCTGGGCTGTGCTCAAGCACGGCATCGTTGCTCTCTTACTTGCGTGGAAGGAACCATGCTCCGTTACCATCTCTCCCGAGTCCAGCCCAGCCAGGACTCTCCGTCTTTCTGCTTTACACCCCGCCGTGACCGCCGCCCTAACGGAGAAGAGCCTTCATACGCTCCGTGGAGCGACGGTTAAATACGAACTCAAAGACGCCTTACCCCTGCTGTTCCAAGCTGGACTCGCACCGCACGATACGAGAGATCGATGGGTTCCTGTATCCGCCTCCACCCGCCAGGTCTCCATACGTGGACTCATTTGTCTTGATGCTGCTCCCACGAGGCACTGTCAGTTCATCAGTCTTGGGGTGCGTCCGTGCTCTGAACTCTTTAGCAACAGCGACGTTAGCCGAACGGTCAACACAATCTTCGAGCATAGCAACTTTGGCGCCATGGAGGATGACCTGGACGTCGAACAGCTGGAAAAGCATCGCCGCAAGGGCAAAGAACTTCAAAAGGGGAATGGTCTTACTCAAAGGCATTTGCGCGGACGTAAACCCATAGATCGCTGGCCGATGTTCGTGTTGAAGATCGAGGTTGCCAGCGGGACCCATCAGCATCTTGAATCGCAAAAACTCGTCGACTCACGTGCCAAAGCGATCGACGAGGTCATGGAGACCATGATTACTCAGTGGCTTGTAGCCCATCATTTTCGCCCTCGGAAACAGAGGCAGTCCGGTCACAAGCGGAAATATGTCGATGCTTTGGGGAACGCTCACGATGTAGGGCAGCACGATCTGCTCCGACCTGCAACTTCCAGCGACCATTTCAGTTCGTGGAGTCGCATCAAGTCCGGAAGGCCGGCTTTTTATGACGAAATGTGGCTGTCCCGAAAGCCAGCGACGGCTCCTGCGGAACAAATGGGGACGAGAGGCGACGAGATCGAGACGCCCAACAAGAGCGCCTTCGAGCTCCCGGTGTTAGAAGCGGGTTCGCTCAATGTAAAGAGCGGCGAACTATTGGCTGCCGTCGAAACGACGGAGCACAGTGGCCAACCCCCTGAAACTGGGGCAGGTCACTCACCCGCAGACAATCCCGAAGGTGGCGACGTCCTGGTGGACTGGCAGGATCCCATATCCAAGCAAACATTCAAAGTCAACAGTAGGACTGGGGTCGCTCTCCTCCCTGCCAACCCTATTCGAGCAGCAGCTGGAGTCAGACAGCCTGCTGCCGTTCAGAGGGCCGCCTCGCTGAGAGGGTTACCATTGCTTCCGGCTCGGCGATCGGAAGGCGCGTCTCTGCCCGGTTGGCTTCCCACATTCTTGGAAGAATGGAGGAATCCGGTTTTTGCGCCTCAGCAGGAGGAGAAGATACCTACTGCGTCTCTGACTCCGCTTGGAGAGGACTCTGTGGATGTGGCAGTTGGGCAACGCACGCACGCCTCGACGCCCGCAGCACTCACGAAGATCAGTGCTACAATTCTCAGCAAGCTGTCCAAAGGCGCGTTGAAGCAAGCTACGGTGATCCAGCAAGTAGACCGAAAGTACATCTTGTGCAAGATGAGGTCAAACGACATTGCGGACCATGTGGAGGCTCTCGTGCTGGTTGATCAGCACGCCGCGTCCGAGCGAGCCACTCTGGAGGGGCTGCTCGCTGAGTTGTGCGAGCCGGGAGACATACGGGAGAACTCTCGCAAGGTGAAGACTATGTCCCTCGAGAAGACTCTTCGATTCGAAGTGTCCGAGGTGGAATGGCACCATTTTCGGGCGCACAAGCAACGTTTCGTGGACTGGGGTATCGTTTATGAGTTGACTGCGAAAGCTGAAGACCTCTCGGCATCTCAAGTTGGAGCGCCTAGACGGTGCTACATGATCAGAGTCCAAAGCCTCCCTCCAGGCATCGCAGAACGGTGCATCTCCCTCCCCAAGCTACTGATTGACCTGCTGCGCTCCGAGATCTGGAGCATTGTCGATTCTGGCAGCAGCCCGGAGACGTCCCTCGATGTTGCGGCGGACGCGCACGCGGATGGTACGCACGGATGGTTGAGTCGCATCGGCTCCTGCCCGAAGGGCATTATCGAACTATTGAACTCGCGAGCCTGCCGGTCCGCCATCATGTTCAATGACGAACTGTCTCTCGACCAGTGCAAAGCGTTGATGATGGAGTTGGGCGATTGCGCATTCCCGTTCATGTGTGCGCACGGCAGAGTGAGCATGGTGCCCGTCGCCGAGATCCGATGCGACTTCGAGGATAGCGAAGGTGACGTTCCAAGCTGGGAGAAGCCAGATGTGACTGGTAGTTTTGTCGAGGCCTTCCGGAACTGGTCGAATAGCAGTAGTGATCTCCGTACGGCATCAACCGATTAAAGGCGCTGCTTCCAAGCTGTTCATCCTGTTGGTACCGAGCGCGTTGCCCTCCGCTTCTGACACCTCTCCATCCACCGCGTCAGACTTGCCGTAGTCTTGTCATCCGTTTCGCATAGGTGTTCCACGCGCTCGCAGAGACTGATGACCTTGGCGTATTGATTGTCATAGTACAGCTGCGCCACCGCATAGCCCAGGAGTTGGACATCTTTCTTCGTCAGCTTGGATTTGGCATGGCCATTCGTGCGGATGCAGTCATGTGCAGGGTCAAGAACAGGCACAGCGACCATGAGATCTTTGTAGGCCTTGCCGCCATCGACCTTTGCAGCGTAGGCCGCTTTTTGGCGCTCGAAATCTGTCTCGCTTTGGAACGTGCGGGATTCCACGGGAGCATCTCCAGATTCCGCATCATCTGTATCAACCTCAATGGCCAGCAGTCCGTCCTCGATCTCGCTCATCGTGATTCTCTCCCTCCTTCTTGCCCGAACGAACCGCGACGAGAGAAGGCGAGAAGCACTGGTTGAAGCGGAGTAATAAAACGTCTTACTCCACATTTTCATGCAGGTACAGAACGGGCCGCCCGCAAGATCTCCACCAGGGTTCATCCGCGTGGAAGAGAGCAGACGTCATGACTTTAAGATTGATGAAGTTGGCCCGACTTTCAAGTTGTTAACGTAAACCCATCTCTCTTCAAAACAACCAAATCAAGTCCATCACAATGTCTCGCGTTTCCTTGTCACGACGCCTGCTGCTCAACAACACGGTCTTTCGATCGCAACGCCGGTCTTTCGCAGAGAAGAGTGCCCAGGAAAGTAGCAATCCCGACCACAACGACCCGACCAACGGCCCGGCCTACAAGGCGGAAGGAAGAAGGCACCGAACGGACAATGAGACGCAGCGGGAACAGGCAGTACGCGGTACTCCCGAGGAGGTGTGCTCGTGGTTTTGAACAACAATACTTGTGACGGCTAACGTTTGAGTGCTCCAGCAGAATGTTACCCCCGCCGCCCAACATGCCAAAGTGTCGAAAGCAACGGAGAACAAGGATATGAACAAGATCCAGACTGGCCCCACAGCGGCCAAGGACAAATGAGAGCCGGGACTTCCTGATTGAGCGTGGAGTTTGGTTGACAGCGTTGGAGGAAAACGGGATGTGGGAAACGTGCAGTCTTGGGGTATGTCGTTGCGAGTATCAAGTATCGATCATATCAGGACGCCATACCGATTGCCTCAAAATGAGCCTCGGGTTCATCTGTTTGTGCTCCATCGTTATTGCCGTCGACAGCATTCATCTCTTCATCTCGTGCAACTTCATCGTCTTCTTTTCCTTCCCCGGCGTCACCAGCATCTCTTTGGCCTGCTCCAAAAGAGTTGTCGCTCGCAGTGCTCGACTTTCGCATGAATCGCTGCGGATTGCGCAAAATCTCCCACCACCCGCGGAAGATGGAGCCACGGATTAGGAGGAGGAACACAATGATTCCAACGCACTGTCAACGCATTAGCAATGTCACACCGCGTCCCATTTTCAAGTACTAACTGGAGCCATGACCAGCGTCGCAATTGCATATGGTTCCGTCAACCCGTTGTAGAAATGCAAACATGGCTCTTTGATCCCTCTGTTTGCGATGAGACATTTGACGAATTCAAGGTCGTTTGGCGGCAAGCCTCGAGGACCCGACATGGCCAGCGCGGCGAAGGTCTGTGCCATGAACGCCTGACCAAAGAAGACGCACAAGTTGACGATGATGAATGATAAGATGATTGTGCGCCATTGGAGGAGAACGATGTTCCGAATCTTCCGCCACGCGACCCGCCTCTTCCGTTTGGGGGTCAGACTGGATCTGGACAGTCGTTTCTTCGCCGTACTCGTCCCTGGATCTGCTTCCGTCGGTGACGTCGGCTGTACTTGGGTGGCCGTTGGCGCTGCGTCTCCTTCGTGTGCTTTCTCCGTCATGTCTTCGCTCCTGATTGTGCTGCTCTGTGACGTGTTCGATGTGTGCCCGGATGCCCCAGCAATGGAGCTGGCGGCAAACTTCCACAGACAGTACAGAATAGTGGCGACTTGGACGATCCAGCTGATGCCGGCAAAGAACAAAACCCACGCAAACCAGGTGATGAGCGCGGTGGGACCATTCGGAACGCAAACGCCGCCCAGCCGATATGACACGCCCGTGATGGGGAGGGAGATGGCCAGGAAGACTAGTGGGAGGCCGACACCCAACGTCGTGGCAATGATGGCGAACAGTCTTGTACGCTTGAAGTTGGCCATGATTCGGAGCGCCACTGTTTGGAGGTTAGTCGTGAGTATAACGCGGTAACGCGAACGGCAAAGAGCTGATAACACCCAAAGATACAGAAGACTTACTCCAGATCGAGCGTAAGAGGACTGCAATATGTTAGCAAAGTGTCGACAGCAATTTGGCCAATGCACCTACTCCATACGACCACACCCATAGCACCAATCTCCACCAAGCTTCCAGTGAATCCACAAGCAACACTGGACTGTAGATCATTGGGCGTGATTCGATCGTAGCACTGATCCGAATCCGATCCCAGTGGAATGATGAAGGCTATCGCGATGACGACCAACGATACCACGAGACCAGTGCTCAAGTAGTGCCGATGGCTCTGTGCCTTTGGGAGTACAGCGAACGACAGTAGCAGGAAGAGATTGAGGATCAGCATCACAATGGCGACATAGTTCGAATCACGAGCGCGCGTCGGGAAGTTGTCGGAATAGACCCAGTCGGCAAGAGGACATGGCAGACAGCAGCTGACGTTCGAACCCCCTTGAGGGAGAGTTGCGCAGAAGCGACCAAAGACGTCTGTTTCCCGGGTTAGCTGCCCACAGTGATGCACCCGGGGCGTCAGTAAGACTAACCTCCACCATGGAAGGGAAAAGCGGCCTCGGGAAGGAATGGCGCATCACATATCGGGAGAGCGTGCGTTGTCATGATTTGCAAGGGTTTTACCGGTGTGAATGATGTATGTATTCGTTTTGCAGAGGCTTGATAAAGCAGCGGAAGAGTACATGTAGAGTTGACCGTTGTTGTTGATTCATTGATGTTCTGCGACAACAATGAATCGCAGCCTAGTCGACGCAAACGGAAGCGGTGTCCGGGCAAAGCCACTGGAATGCACTCGGCCGCACGGCTTGGACCTCGCGGCCGGAATGTCGATGCCGCGCTCCCGGCCGTGACGGCTTGGTGAATGTTGCTAAAGAATATCGCGAGATCCAGCATAGCTTTCGTCCCAATGGGCATATCTCGCGTTGACTCTATTGCTGCGCGCGTGGATGCTGGTCATGGATTTCCCAATGTCACACGATCGACCCCTTGGCGTTTCACAGCAAGTCTAGAATCCCTTTGTCGGCATCCCTCGCCAATAACGCTAGCATGCCCTGGAGTCCCGCAACAAGTCAGTGACGATGCGAGGATGCAGTGCTGTGTAATGTGCTTTTCATACCTCAGGCATGACTGGTGCACCGTCTTGACCCTTCACATATTTGAATGGCATGCTCACGCTCTCGGAGGCGTTTGTCGCGTCCTCTCCTTTCGTTGCGGAGAGGTTGAGTTCTGGTCTGTTGACATACTGGATGTCCTGCAAACGCACTGCGTGAAGACGGACAGTTTTAGCACACATGATTGAGGTGACGGCAAAGGTTGCTGATAGCATCAGGCAAGACAGAAAAGCTCCTTACCTTTATCCTGGATGACCATCCTTGTGACTCTCGCGGCGGTATCTGTAGTCATTTGCTCGGGGCCGAGTTTCCGGCCTGGAAAGCCGATTCGTCGAAGCTCGCCTGTCCTATCTTGCCGGGTGTGAGTTGGAGGAGTACACTTTGCAAGAACACGGACGTACCTCGTGGAGGGTCGTCGCCAAGGATTCCGCCGAACAAGAACACTTTGAACTTCTCGCCATCCTCCGGAGCCAAGTCCTGCGATCCTCGGGGATCCAAAAGGCAGACTTGCTGTCGTTCTTCGGCCGTTGAGAACAGAGACTCGACTCCTTGTTGGGTTAGAGAGGTCGCAGGGAGTCCAAGTTGCTGCTTCGTCTCCGCCGGGGAAGACAGTCCGGACAGCACAAACGACCAACCATTAGCAGAACACTCTCGGGCGATGCATTTGTATTCGAGTGCCTGCCAGTCCTCGAGCTCGGAGTCTAGGTGTTCCACAATGATGCGATACCGCTGGTCTACCCCGTTGACCGAGCCCATATTCTCGAGTTGGATGGTTTAGTACAGAGGATGTCCAGCGTGTGATTGGGCAAGATACACATATCTCGAGGTTTCTTCGACAGCTCAAAGACCAGCAATTCTGACACCTCCATGTCACGACTTTTGCCGCGCTTGCGAGGGGCAAGCGAGCTCTTGAAACCCTGCTTTGCCTGCCCGCAAAGGGTGTTTGGGTGGAGGCGTTCACGTGAGACAATGAAAGTCGGATGCATGTTGACTTCACCCACACACACACTCTCCCTTTCTCTCTCCATCTTCTGCCGCAGACTTCCCTTCCTTTGACATCGGCACCACCAACAAACAACCGCCGCCATGGCCCTTAATCCCCACCAACGAAACAAAGTTGACATCACCGTGAGTCGCTCTCCTGCCCATTGAACCGCCCACCCAAACTCCGCTAACCCCTCCCGTCGCTTGGTTCAGAAGCTGTCTGAAGAGGAGCAGAAGCTCTTTCGACTCTACGGCAAGCTGCCCAACAAGAAGGACCTGCTGCAGAACAAGCTCAAGGAACGCAAGTACTTCGACAGCGGCGACTATGCCATGTCCAAGGCCGGCAAATCCGACGCCGGTCTGGTAGGCGGGCTGGGTCGAGAGCATCCCTCGTACGTCTCGTCAACATCCCCTTCTCAACACCCGACTGACCGAATGCGCAAGACCAGAAACCATCCCGCACCTCGCACAACAGCAGAACAGCTCACAAAACCCCGCCTCTGGCTCCCTCGGCCCCGGCACCCCGGGCCTCTACCCCACCGCCAGCCAAGGGCAGTCCGGCTCGCCTGTCAAAGAACCGAGCATATTGCAGCGCGGCATGAGCATGGATGATCAGGGCAATGTGGAAGACATTGGGGCCAAGGCTTCCGAGAAGGCGACACCCACGGAAGAGGTGGGCATTCCTATCCGGAAGTCATAGGGGCGGCGAGTCGGGCCACCGGGAGGGCTGTGCCCATTGGGGGGCAATTGTAACGATAACGACCAAGGCTTACTTGCGGCCTGCTTGTGATGATACCGCATCAGTTACTGGAGACAAGGGCGTTTATTGAGCTGCCACTGACGCTTTTCGAATCGCAATGATCTCGACTAGCCATACGGCCCCAACAACATTTCAAGCCACACTGTCCACTGCCCTATCACTTTCCAATCGCCTTTCCTTTCCCACGTTCCCTTTGGACTGTTTCACCGCACAAAAAAGTCAAGAAAGGTAATGTAGTTGCCTAATACATACATCGACATCGAAGCTCACGATTGATGCTGACGGCCGGGCCACGAAATGACTTTTTTGAGAAAACACAGCTGGTAGGGAGGCCCTCCTAGAGACGAGACGTCTGGTTGCCGCGTTCAACTCTTCCGCTTCTCACTCGCCCGGGCTCGGTCGAGAGCAAACGGGGACGCGTGCGCCGGAGGTGGCGCGCGAGTCCGACACTCGTCCACCAATCGTCCGGTATGTCCTCCCTCTGCGCCAGCCTTTCCACAATGCGACGCACTCCGTCCAAATCTTGCAGTTCATCGTCGAAGAGCATGGCTCCAATGCCACGCTGCCCCCGCGAGCTTGGTCGGGATACCGGATGCGGCTCAGGTTCGTCGAGAGAGGTGAATGCCTCGCCATCTGGGAGGGAAGCAGGTGCCTCATAGCGTGGAGGAGGCGATCTCCAGCGCCTCGCAGAAAGACTCGACGGCTCTCCAGCGACCGATCGGGCAAGGTAGTGTTCCAAGATCTCCGTTCCTTCCCGTAAGCTATTGAGATCAGCCCGCGTCGTGCTGCGAGCGCCGTCTCTTCTGTCCGCAGATATCCACGCCTCCAGACCGGCCTCGTCCGGTACCGATCTCCGTCGGCTTTCGCTCAATTGCAATAGACGCCGATGGCCCTCGGGAGAGTCTAGGGCTTCGTTGATCAGGCGAAACCCAATCTCGATCTGCTCACCTTCGCCAGAGAGCACAAAGCGGTCGCCCTCGAGGCTATGCGCCGCTCGGTGCTCAGCAATGCGCCGCGTACCTTGTTCGGTGAGAGATGCACCCGTGTAGAAATCCAAGGCAAAGGCCGCCGTAGCCTCGCGTTCTTCCTCGCTGCATACGAGGTCATCCGCATCCACGGAAGATACAGAGTCTCCTGCGTTCGCTTCTTCTTCGGAACTTCGACGACTCGTCTCTGAAGTCGAAGAGCGCTCGTGCTCCCCAGCATTGGTGGTGCCCGCACTGAAGACGCCGCTGGCAACAGCACTTGCAAAACTGCTCTCCGCACTTGGTAGGTTTGTGTCTGGGGTGATGGTTGAGCGCATAACCTCCCAGCCACCAGCAGAGAGTGGGCTGCGATCACGATCTCCAAGTCCTCCTATCGGAGACTCAGCTCGCCGAGAGCGGGCCATGGGGTGTACACGGCGGACATGCTGCTCGGCTAGACCGTCCAGGTCATTCGAAGCCGCGTGAGCGCGCGGGCCCTCCGACGTGTTCCGAATGAATGCTGCAATGGCATCGTTTCGCCCACGGCGTTCCGCATGCGAATCTAGTCGAGTGGAACGTGGCGCCGACGGTGATTCTCTCCCAGACGGGCGTGGAGCGATGGGCGATGGAGACCGCGTCAAGCGTCCAAATGCGCGATGAATAGTGGCATCTCTTTCCTCGCCGTCCTGCTCCGCTAAATGAGAGCTCGCCGCGTAGGTGCGGTTGGCAGCAGGTCTTGCCGAAGCACCATGCAGCAAGCCTCCGTCGTACACGTTATAGAAATGCGTGATCTCGCGGCTGAGATCCCGACGCTGTGCTCGTAGCTCTTCCAATTCTGTCAGGTGTGCATCCAGACCAGGCGAGGAAAGCGGACGCGGTGTAGACGCGATGTCCGCGGACTCCAGCAGCGTTGAGATTGGGGGCACACCACGGCGATCTAGGCGGCGCAACTCGGTGGTCCCAGTGCGAGAGGAGGGCAGGCGTGGAGAGCGATCGGGGGTATGCGAAGAGCGCCGGGAGGGTTCAAGAGGGAGTCGAGGCCTTGTGGCCCTCCGACCATGAACTGACGCTCGCCTGCGTATGGATGAGCGACCTGCAGCAGTCGGATCGTTCCTGATCGCGTCTTTGTACGGCACATCCTCTTCCGGGTCGCGCCAAATGCTTTTGAAATAGGTATATCAGCATGAGCCGACCACCTGCCCGGGCGGCGCAAAGACAGTGTCTCCGCGCCAGTACGCGCCCAGGAATGCCTGTCTTTGGGGTGAGACTTACGGGAGACCCATGACGTCTGTCGAGGTGCTGAGTCAATTGGGTGAATCGCTCTGGCTATGCGAGCAAGGAAAGTGTGAATTGGGGATGGACGGCCATTCGAAGCCTCCCTTCGTTCTCGATTGTCTTTGACAATTCCCTCCACAGTCTCTCCAGGTGGAGCGAAGACAGATGCGCCGGCGAACGGCCCGTCCCGACAACGGCCCGCCGCTAATGCACCGCACGCCACAAGGGCCACAAGGTAATGCACAGTCGGGGCAACATTGAACCTTATGCGCCTTTTTGACACCGCACTTCTCCCAATCGCAAACCGCACGACGATGATGTGGTGAGAGGGTTGATTCCTTTCAGCATTCCGACCAGCTAGGACTGTCTCATCTGCGTCACGGCATGGTAATGGAGAGTGTCGCGTGAAATGGCGATGCTCAGGCGCCACGACAGTGCATCACACAGCCTTCAACCTCAACGAATCACGAGTTTCGTCTGATCCGGCATGATCGAACTTGGCCTGCAACGCATCTCTCGCTTACTGGCAGCGACACCGCTCCCATGGCGAGCTGTTCATGTGGCTGGGACGAACGGCAAAGGCTCCATCTGCGCATATGTCTCCGCCATGCTTGACGTGTACAACAAGTCGACTTGGAGGAGCCGTCGCGGCGACCCTCCCATCAACTTTGGCATGTTCAACAGTCCACATCTCGTCGATCGGTGGGATTGCATCTCCATCAACCAGAAGACCATCCCAGCTTCGGCCTTCCATGACATCGAGGCCAACGTGCTGCGGCGGAACGCGGAGGAATCGGTCGGAGCTTCGGAATTCGAGTTGCTGACAGCCACTGCCTTCGAGGCTTTCACGACGAAATGTGTCGACGTTGCCGTCGTTGAGGTTGGCTTGGGTGGGCGCTTGGATGCAACAAACGTCATCGGCCAAACCGAGCAACGACCCCCAGAGGCGCAACGCTTCAGACCTCCGCCGCTCGTCACCGCGTTCGCGAGCATAGGGCTTGACCATCAGGAATTTCTTGGTCATACTTTGGAGGCGATTGCGGCTGAGAAAGCAGGCATCCTGAAACCGGGCGTTCCTGTCGTCTACGATTGGTCGAATCCAGCGAATGTAAATGAAGTGATTCATGCCATGGCAGAAAGATTGCGCTGTCCCACGATGCTCTGGATGTCGGAAGGCGCTGCCGATGGCCAGCGCTACGATGTTGGCCAGCGAGCTAAGCATCTGGGCCTAACCTCTCTCCTCGACGCGCCTTCGCATGTACGCCACAACTCCGCCGTAGCACTTCAAGCGACTTGGTGTGCTCTCGAAAGACTAGGACGCATGCCCACCTCAGATACAAAGAAGGCATCAGCGTTAGACGACCTCGAGCGCGACATGCTGAAAGTGGTTGAAACTGTCCGCTTCCCCGGACGCCAACAGACAATCAGTATACGACAGCTCACCGGACGTCAACATCACGTCCTACTCGATGGCGCCCACAACCATCAATCAGCCCTCGCACTCGCTCAAGCCGTCGGTAAACTACGTGGCGGTGCCGGCGGTCGAGCTTCCGTGACATGGGTCTTGGCTGCTTCGGGTTCGAAAGATGTAAAAGAAATCTTGTCGCCTTTGATCAAAAATGGCGACTCTGTCTTTGCCGTTGAATTTGGACCCGTTGATGGGATGCCTTGGGTGAAGCCTCTACCGACTGCTAAGCTATTGGATATGTCAAAGGCTCTGGCACCAGAATCGCTGTGTCTCCACGATCATGGGAACGATTTGCGATCCGCCATCCAAGCAGCAAGCGATCGAGCTGGCGAAGGTCCGCTGGTCATCGCTGGAAGCCTGTATCTCGTTGGAGATGTATTGCGGCTGCTTCGAGGTGATTGAGTCCGCGGCCTGACACTCCCGTACGATGGGGAGACCCGAGGAGTACTTGATGGGCCATCCCACATCTGATTAAGGCGTTTCTGTCATGCTTGCCAGCCTTGACGAACAGTCCGACGTAGCCAGCTTACAAGCTTTTCGGACTCTGCAGAAGCCAAGCCTTGCCACAAAGGCATCAATGCATCTTCCCAGGACTCACTGCCCTCGTCGGCACTGGGGTCTAACAGTTCCATCTCGTGTAGCTTTGGGCCGTGCGAGTTCGGGAAGTCCACCTCCATAATCTGCTTGGGCTCTGATCCACGTCGGTACACGGAGGCATGTGCAAATCTGCCCTCTCGTATGGTGAAATCGACGACGGTGGTCGCTAGCTCATCGGACTCATTTGATAGCACGAATCGGGGTGTCTGCTCGTACGTGTGCTTCAGTGACTATGCGGGCGTTAGAGCTTGCACCAATTGACATGGGAACATGTTGTTACCCTGAGTTCGTCGTAACCTGCAGCCACCGTGCCAAACTTCAACAAGTCCTCACCAATTGCCCTTAGCGGAGTCTTCTCGCCCGGAGAGTACATGCGGGCAAACTCGTTGCGCACCGCAGTGCAAAACTCGTCAGAGTCGAGTAGGATGTTGCCGACTGGGGAGCTAACGCTTTCCACGCCGCGGGCTTCCTTGATGAAAGGTCTGAGGGGGGAGTGCAGGTAGTCGGGGATGATGCGCAAGTTTGGACTGGAGAGCAAACAAGTGCCGTGATGCAGCGCCCGACGTGTACCGGTAATCTTGTAGGCGGAGCCAGAGACTTTGAGCGGCGTAGGCCCATCTCCCCCGGGCATCGTATACGGGGTGGAGTGGGTGTCTTCTGGATCGGGATGGCCGGCTACCTGGCCTTGGTCGAGCACGACATCGTGTCGCTCATTGACCCGCGCTCTATCAATGCCACAGCTTCGCAACGCGCGTACAACCATTTCCGCGTGCTTGTCGCGGGTGAATTGATCTCGTGGACAAATGACGGTCCAGTTGACATTGCCCTCATCGTGGAAGACAGTGCCACCTCCACTGCGACGACGGACAAGATCTACGGCTCCAAGGCCAGCCGGATCGATCTCTGCCTGCTCTCGCTTTGGATTGAGCAGAGGGAGATTGACCTCCAACCATGGATTTTGATTCCGGCCGATGATGACGCTGGGCCGGTTGACGTAGAGGAACAAGACCAGCGAGTCACTAGCGGAACGGGTGAGGATGTCGTGTTCGATGGACAGGTTGAGATAGGGGTCACGCGATGTTGATGTATAGGCCTGCACCGGCTTGGCCAATTCTTCTGTCCACTGAGCGCTTGACATCCATCTTCGCGTGAATGACGGAGTAAACGCCCTTCGCAAGCCGACCCCAGACCGACACCAGCAGAAATTCATCGAGCCATTGGGCGGAGAGGGTGATGGGTTTCAAGAGGAGCGCAAAGTTTAAGGGTGACGGAGGAACGCCACACGCTCCAGCGCGCAGAGGAACTTCCCCGACTGGCAGACAAGCGCATCGAATGGATTTAATTACTTATCTAGCTAATGAACCACGCTGGGCTCAGAACAACCTGGCAGCACTGATTGCCAGTGGAGGGCGTCATAAGGGATAAGGAAAATGGTCAAAAACATTCACGAGCTTCTGATTCGCTATTGTACACTTGACAGGGTGTGTGGCGGTGAACCTGTCCCTCAAGGCTGCCCGACCAACCACAACGGATTGTGTAGACACACGACGCCGTCATGCCTCACCTTTCGCCCGGACATCAACAGGCGGTCGTAAACTCCAGCAGCAGACACGCAGAAGTTGCAATAATAGTTCACTCGAGAGTGGACGCGCGAAGGGTTCCGTGCATGGTAGTTTGTGCCTGGGCTAACCGCATGCGGCAACGGCCTGTGTTTCATCACTCGTCCCTTCCCTTCTGCGACTTCTGGGGTCCACGCTCGGCCGGCTACTTCTACCCACTCACACTGCCTTCAATACACCCTTCGCCTCCTCACCCTCCCAAGCACCATGTCGACATGGCTACCGCCCTCGTCAGCCAACTCGACAAGCAATCAAAGAACATTGCAGATCTGCTAGCCTTCATCAAGCAAGAGTTGGACGCGGATGCAGAACGCCATGCCTCGCTGCAAGCCTCCGCCGCCGTGGCGGGAGACGTGCTACAGCAAGACTCGCAGACTGGGGCAACGCTCGATCTCAGCAAGAAGAAATTGAGCGCTTTGCCGGTGGAGGCCATTGGATTGATGAAGCACAAGGTGGAACGGTGGGTGCACGACAATGCCAATGGCGCGCCGCGACGCCATTGCACTCGCTGATCGACCGACAGACTCGCCGTTTCTCACAACCCACAAATCTCCCTTCCCCCCCAGATTATACAATGCGAGCGCCTACGCTACCTCAACATTCGGTGGAACCAGCTCACGCACTTCCCCGACGTGGTGTGTCGTCTCTGCCCTCCCCCGTACAACCCCCCGATCTGACTTGCCATAGGTGCTGCAACTGTCCAAACTCGAGATCCTCGACCTCAGCGGAAACAAAATCACCGCTCTCCCGGAAGACATCAAGAAACTGTCCTCGCTCAAGTTTTTGGCCGTCGCGAAGAATCGCATTACGAGACTACCCCTCGCGCTGGGCGAAATGAGCAGCCTGGGCAAGCTCAAGTTCGAGGAGAATCCTCTTGTCTTCCCCCCTCCCGATGCAATCAAACTCTCGCCAGACCGCCTGGCAGCGGCACACGACGTGGAGCGAGAAAAAGAGATGTGCCAAAAGGTAAAGCGTTTCTTGAGAGCCGCAGCGGTGAAGGAGAAGTTAAGAATCGTGACCGAGGATGACCAAAGGTAGCGTCTATGGCACTCCGAATCTACAGCCGGGTTTTCTCTGACCTTTCCATTCAGCGAGGACCACGTCGAAACGCCGCGACCGCCGAAAAGGACCGCAATTGCCGGCCGCTTCCCCATTCGACCAAGCATCAGCGGCCTTGACAGCATGATCGAGTCCAAGCCTGACTCCTCTCTTGGCGAGCCTGGAATCGTCCCGCCAATCCCACACAAGTCCCATGCACGCGTGGAGTCGTCAAATGCTTCGGGCATGAAGCGGCCAGGAGCTGCTCCCCTTCTCAACAGCGGGAACGATGGCAATCGCAGTCGGAGCGAAACAGTGTCGTCTTGGAGCAATCTCCGCCAACGACGCCAAGGCTACGTCCCTACACGGAGGCCCACCGGAGATCTTGAGGCACTGAATGAGGATATGGACCGACTTACTCAGACTTCAATGGCCAGGCCAACACACGTGCGAGCTTCGAGCTCTATCTCCACTACGCAGAGCACCACTGGCCCCAGTAGTGGTGACACATCTGGTGCCGTCAGCCCCGTGGAAGCACAGTCGAAAGCCTATCATATCGGTCCTGCCTACAAAGCACGCAAGAGGCTCAACACACCCAATGCCGTCATTGGGATTTGCCGGCGGCTGAACTTCATCTTGCCCCAACTTAACACCTCGATATCCAGCGTGGCTATGTCAATGAGGATGGGTCCGCCCCATGCATCCCCCCTGGGACGTCAGCTTGTCGCCGCAAGTGCAGAAGTGAAAGATCTGAATCGTCGTTTGGAGGAACTGGAGAGCGGCCCACATCCTCGATCAAAGACTCCACAGCAGATCTCAGCGCTGGGTGCCCACGCTGCCATCCACGCAATAAAGTGTTACGAAGTGTTGCTCGTCGAGCTCAAACGCAGATCGCGAGCGAGTCCGCGAGATGTCGGCGGACCCCAAGCGCGTGCTGCACTGTTTCAAAGCCATTTCTGCATGTTGGAGCTACAGAACATGTGCACCACCCTCGGTCTGAAGATTAAGCATCGGCCAGATCCGTCTTCCCACGACCAATCGCGCGTATCGCAAGCATGGAGCAGCAAATCCGTGACACCGACCCAGCCCAAAGCACCCAGCAATCGCAGAATGGCTCGCCCAGCCATGTTGCAGGGCCTCAGTAGCCAGCCGGCGCAATCGGGACTGCCGCCGCCACCGATGCGCCTACAGCCGGATTGGGGCACTATGCAGCCTATGGGATCGCCAATCTCCATGGGTACACTACGGCCTGCTGAACCCTACTCACGACCATCTACCAGCCAGTCGAGCTTCTCTCGCACGAACCCGACCCGCAGCCCCTTAGATGGCAACGAAGGCGACGAATCTTTCGAAGGGGTCTTCATGAAATTGGAGGCGGTGTGCAATCTGGCCGGGCAAATATTGCCGCAGTGCCGTAAAGAGTTTCAGATGCGCAAAGAAACGGCGAGAAAGGCAGAACAGCTTGGTCTGTCCGCACAGTGGACGGCCATGGTCAACAAGTGCGACGAAGTCCTCGCACACAATTGGTCAATGAAGAAACGTTTAGAGGCGGTAAAGGTCGGCGACCATGGCTTACGCTATCAGCGAGATTTCTGGGTTCTGTGCGACACCTTTGTCCATGTAAGTGTCCTCCGCTTCTACCACGCGACCTCGCTGACCCTGGAGTGAAGTCTTGGACAGCGTTTGCAACCGATGTCAAAGATCTCAGCCACAGACGTATCGACATTACCGCCATCAAGCCGCTGATGCGCACTCTGCAGAGACAGGTGACTGATGTATACAAGGCGATCAATCGGTCGCCCATGTATAGTCACGCGCGCTCCGGCAGCAAAGGTCCGGACAATGTCATTCCCACAAGCCTCGCATCGCCATTGCCCTTGGGATGGAAGCCGGTATATGCATCGCAGGACGTCAATCCCCGGCTCACCTCTCCACTCACCGCGAGCCCTCTCTCTGCCGCACTTGGGCCGGCCGTCCTTGCCACCGTTGCCACGACGCCCACCCCTCCCGCAAGTGCACCGCGGGAGAATTTGAACGAGTTATTGACCGCAAAGCTCACGCGTGATCGAAATGATACGCCAATGCAGCAGCCTCACTATCCCAGGAGGATTTAGGCTGTTGCTTCAGGTAGCACCGGCACGTCCCCAGATTTTCATTGGGAACGAGCGAGCTTGGAGAGGATGCGGCATCGTGGGAAGGGCGAAATTACGAAAGGGACACGCCGATCTGGCGGGCACAGGCTTGACACGCCCCAGAGCACTGCAACTCGCTTGTACTTCACTGGTAACAGCCGTGTTACGTTGGACGCAACAGCTATGACGGAGAGCTGCTCGCAGAACGCTATGTACTCCGCAAAATATCATGGCGACTTCGTAAACGTTGCGTTTTCAGATCATCTTCACAGAATATTAACAGGCGTAAGGACGATGCGTAGGGAGAAGCGACGGAAGACAGGTGTATGAGAGGATGACTGTGTGATTGAGAATGACATGAGGCGGATGTTGGCCGCTCGCCATGACGAGTTGTCGTAGCTAGGAAGGGGAATCGGTGCACTCCGGTCTGAGCCACGCGAAAGCAAACCCGCAAACTCTTCCCTATTTGTTCCCAACACACACTTAGTCGAAGAGACCGAAGCCCATGTCCTCGTCTGACTCCTCCTTCTCTGCGCGCTTGTTAGCATGCCATTGATGAGGCGTGTATGGGCGGGCGACAACTCACCCTCTTCCTTCGCCTCTTCCTTGGGGGCCTCATCCGCGGCAGCGCCACCAGCAGCAGCACCTGCACCTCCAGCAGCAGGCGCCGCAGCAGCACCACCACCCGAGCCAACGTTCAGCAGAAGCTCCTTGACATCCTTGCCCTCGAGGGCTTTGGCGAAGAGGGTGCACCAAATCGGCTCGACATCGGGGACCTTGGCAGCGGTGATGATGGATTGAAGTTTGTCGGCCTGTGAATACGGGAGAAAGAGTCAGTCTCCGGGTCTTCCTTTAATCGCGTTGTACAGGCATGGAGAAGGGCGCACCGTGATCTCCACACCATCATCCGCGAGGATGAGAGCGGCGTAGGAAGTGGCGAGCTCAGAGGTGGACATTTTTGCAGTGTATCGCGGTTGGATATGTCGAGGGTAGGTGTGTGTGCAATGAGATGCCTATCACGTTTCTGGAGCGTACGTGGAGGACTTCTTCTCAATTGTTCTTGGTGATGGGAAGAAGCTCGATGAAAGCCGCCGCGGGAGAATTTGTGCGGTCGAATTCAAATCTTGGCACGCCAAGGCTGATCGTGCAGCCTCAGGCATTCACATCGGCGCTCCCCACGTGCCTTATGTCATCATGCGGGACAGTCGGAGGCGCAACCCCACAATTTCCCAATTCGCCGGCTTGGTCTCGCCAGAACATCCTCTGCGCTCGTGACACTCTTCGTGCTCGACTACAACCGCCACGACTCCGGCATACCAAGCAGGCGCCGCAGGAGAAGTCTCAAGCTACTCCCACACCTCTCTCTTCCTGGCTGTCGACGATGACCGATTCACCCGCCCCTCGAATCCCTCTCGATCCGGCCGAACAACCCATTCTCGACAAACTCCTCACCATCCGCGACAACCTCTCCATCTTGAAGTCCGATCGGTCCACGTATGTCAAGAGCCACGATGTCGTCAAGTACTACGATCAAGTTATCGTGCAGGTGGAGGCGCTGAACAAGCTTCGCATCAACAAACGCGACGAGCAGAACCGGGTGGACACCGTGCTCGACGATTGCTTCCAACTCATCAGCCTCTTCTTCCTCACCATCGGACGCAATCAGGAAGCACCGGCGGTGTACAGTGCGATCAGCACCGTGAAAAGGCTGCTCGACCACCTGAAGGAGGCCGGCTTCTACTCGCTCAAAGACTTGCAGGGCATCGACCGCAAGCTGGGCGAGTGGCAGGCGTCGGTGGACCGGGGCGAAGACTCGCATTCCGAGCAGCTCATCACCCTACTGCACGCACGCATCGATGTGTGCAGGAAGACGCTCAAGGAGTTGCAGGACAGTCTCAGCCGCGTGGGTCCGGACATGATGCACAAACACGAAAAGCTCGTCAGCATTTTGAGGTCGCTCTCCGCGTGTAATACTCGATCAAAGGTTAGTTTGCGGGTGGCATACACACATCGATGGCTAAACACTGACCCTCCCTAGTTCCCCACCAAGGAGGTCGACGATTTGGAGCGCGAGATGCTGAAGATACAAGACGAGGTGCACGCTGAGAGGCTCACTCACGAAGGGCAGAACCCCGAGGAAGCATATGCCGCGCGCCTCTCCCTCCTCAGCTTGACCGAAGGGGAAGTGCCCGACGGTCGTACCGTGATCCAAGCCCTCCTCGCACGCTGCACACTCTGGATCGAAATCATACGGCAAAAGTACATTTCTCCAACCCCCATGGCTGGCCTCCCACTAATCTGTGTACTATAGGCAAGGCAAAATTGACGATCGCTTCTCCGACCTCTACGACAAACTGCTTAAGATCCGAAACCAGCTGGAGCAAATGCACTTGACCCAGGCGTGGTCCTTGCGAGAAACCGATCTCTACTCCTACCAACGCCAGCTCGACAGGGTAGACGAGTCAAGGGTCGACGGCAACTTCCTCGACGGCGCAGGGCGTCCGGCGGATCTGCACGCGCAGCGAACCCTGCTCTACCTCCTTCGCCGAAGCTATGCGTTCATCTTCCAATACATTGTCCAATCCGAACCCGTCTCCGAAGCTCTGCTCCCAATCTACAACCAACTGCTCACACTCAAGCGGTGTCTACTCGAGGTGCAACGGTCCGGCGGAGTCGACAGTCCGAGAGAGCTGTATCCATACTCGATGAAGCTGAACAGCATCGACAACATGAAGAAGGACGGCAAGTTCATGGTGGGCGGCGACATTCCGGAAGGCCAGGCGAGCGTGATGAATCTGCTCAGCGAGTGCTTCGAATTGGCGTACGAGCTGCGGACGGAGGCGGAGGAGAAGAAGGATGCTGGCGAGGAGCCGGACGCAAGCCAGAGCAACGGTGTTGGCAACCGGACCACGCAAGCCTGATTCGGCGTACGGCGAGTCGCCGCGTTTCTTCTGTGGCCGCGTTGGCGCGCATTCTTTCACTTGTCGAGGCGTTCGTGCGATTGGGGAAAGCAAGCCAGCAGCATCTGCAGATGTCTTCGTGGGATGTTTGCTGCAACTGCAACGATAGAGGTACCGCTCAAAATATGTCTTCCAACGTGCGCCCTTTCACGCATCGAGCTGTATTCGACTCAGAACGTCGGATTCACTTTCTTCTCCCTCCCCATCTGCCCCCTCCGACTCCGAGTCGGCATCGACGAACGTCAAACGGCTTCCATATGAAATGCACAGTTCCTCCCCCTGGTCAATGTCGCGCAACGCACGATAAATGATCACCTCGTTCTCCAGATCTCGTGTCCAGCCAATGTTTTGCCGGCGAGTTGAATGATTGAACATCGACCCTAAGCCGAGCACGACGGCCTGCGTTTTGAGCATCTTCTGGCTCAACCTGTCCGGGAGCGGCCAGTTGTAGGTGTAGTGGTAAAGGACCGTCTTCTCGATGTACGCTGCATTCTCCTTGGGGTCCAAGACCAGGACGGGGCTTGTGTCTATGACCGTTCCCGAAGGTATCTTGCGGCTGGCAAAGATGCCGCGTCCTTTGGCGGTCCCTGCTCGGAGATGCAGGAACGGAGATTGGTGTAGGGGGATATTGTTCGTTGTTCCGGCAGACTTTACGACCATTCTGCGGCGTATAATGGAATCAGGGTATTCGACGGAAGGTGTTCATTTGGATGTGCCGCGAAGCTCCCAAAAGATTTTTAATGTATAATAAAATCGGGGGCTTGTGGAGGCCAAGCTCCACGACTCGGGAGCGTCTCATATGTCGAGCTTGTTGCCGGATTCCCCCAAGCTAACAACACCCTCGACCCTTTGACACACTACCGGGTCTAGGACATTTATCAGTCCGCTCGTCCTAAGCATGGCATGGCCCATCATCGCGCCACGTCAAGCATCTCCGGCGCAGGGGCTCATGCGGTGAGTCTAAAGGTGCTCCGCCTTTCTCGCCCTCAACTCGCCATTCAGACTCCTCTCCCGCGCACGCACTTCGGCCACGAGCTCGACATCCCCGCGGTTGCTTCGCTCGCACACCCATCCAGCGGCGTGGACTCGGACTTCCCCCTCACTCCGCTACTCACTTTGCCGGCGGCATTCGGCGCGGCCTATGTGGGTCAGACATTCACATGCACGCTGTGCGCGAACAATGAGCTCCGAGATGGCGACAACAGGAGTGTGAGCGGGGTGAGGATTGCTGCGGAACTGCAACGGCCCAACAGTGCGGCTCCGTTGGCTCTGCAGCTGGAGAGCGCAGGCGAGGATGATGGGGCGGTGGATGTGACACCGGGCGGCACACTGCAGAAGACGCTACAGCATGAGCTGAAAGAGGAGGGGCAGCACGTGTTGGCGGTCAGCGTCACGTATACGGAGACGCTGCACGGCGAAGGCGGGGGAGATATTGGGGGAAGGGCGCGGACGTTCCGCAAGCTCTATCAATTCGTGGCACAGCCATTGCTCACGGTGCGGAGTAAAGTGACGGAGCGCAAGAGGAGCGGGGGCAAGGGGGAAAGACAATGGGTGTTGGAAGCGCAGCTGGAGAATGTTGGGGATGCATCGGTGGTGCTGGAGAAGGTGGGTTTGCAAGAGCGAGCGTGTATTGGGAGTCGGAGGATGAATGGCGAGGGAAGAGTGGTGCTCAAGGCGCAGGATATCGAGCAAGTCATGTTTCTCCTCAGCGAGAAGGGGGAGCACATGGAGGAGCAGAAGGAGGCGGAGGAGGCAGAAGCAGCGGGGCCAGGCCGTGTTTCTTTGGCACAGATCCATGTCGAGTGGAGGTCGGCGATGGGCGAGCGTGGCGTGACGACGGGCTGGCTGACAAGCAGAGCGCGATGAGCAGCAGCAAGCAGAGGGCGATGAGCAGCAAATGCAGGCAGCAGGCAGGCCGATGCGGGCAATGCAGGCAATGCAGGTGGGGCACGGAAATCAGGGTCCAATTGATGGTTTCAGGTGGAGCAAATTGATGGCTCGAGGGGAAAAGGGGAATTTTGGGAAAGTCAAATCACACCAGGGATGGACGGGATCGACGGCCGCTTGTGCCTGCTTGCGGTGCCTGCGGCCTACAAATTCAAAGTCACTTTCAGCTACAGTATACATCTACGCAAGCAACAAAGGCACCTACATCTATCTTCCAGCCCCGCTCCTCTCCCCTCTCCTTCCTTCTGTCTGAGACTCTCCTTCACTGCCACACTGTCCCTCTTGGATCCAGGGTGCGTGCATTCACGTGCAGCTAATGCAGCCTTGATGCGCCTGCGCTAGTCACCTCTTAGCCAACCCAACCCTCCCACTCCCAACATTTGCTACCGTTTCACCCGACACCCACCTGGTCGACACCACGACTGCAACACACACACACACCTCCCTCCTCTTGCCAGGCACCGCTTTGCCTTGCCCTCTGCGCCCCGTTTGGATACCTGGTTTGGGCACGGCAAGCCGCATGAACTCCCTCCTCCCACCCTTCGTGCCCTGCAGTGTCACCCGGCCGGACCATCCACCTTCCGCGCCGCCAACATCTTTCCCGATGCATCTGCTCTCGACAGCTTCGGTCCCCTTTCCCCGCTAGCAGTGCTGTATTGCACGTCCACTCCCTCAACCCCATGGCTCCAGCCGTTCCCAAGCCTGACCGACCTCGCCCCACCGACACCTCCGCCCCTCTCGCCGACTACTTCTTCATCTGCGGCATCGAATCCTCCCAGGTCTACGATGCACGTCTCAGTCTCTCCTCTCCCGTCCCACCAGTCGAAGACACGATCGAGGAAGATGCCGCATTGGAAGTCAACGGGGAAGGTCGGCCCCCTACCCCCGGCTCCCCGGTGGACAATGTCAAGAGACGCTCACGATACAGCTTCGAAGCTCGGCAGAGCATCGAGGGCTTAATCAATGGGGTTGAACATCTGACCACCGCCAGCAACAGGAGCAGCACAACCATCCGACCCCATAAGCCCCCCGGCCCCTCGGGCATGAGCGATGATGCCTTCGAAGACGCCCTTAGGAAGTTTGCGTCGGAGAGGGACAGCTTTCTCGAGGACATCCACGTCTCCGCCGGCGCCGTGACCACCCCGACCCCGCGCAAGCCCCGGCCGAAGACGGTGCGCATCACCCAGGATGAGAGTAATGTGACCGCCGGCCTGCGAGGCTCGGTAGGCAGCCTGCAACGACGTCTCTCCACCATGAAGAGCTCCAAGCGACACTCTTCGGGCATGAGCCGGCAAGCATCGGTCCGCACGTCCAAACGGTTGAGTGGCTACAACTCCGTCATCCCCGCTCCTCGCCCCTTCCAGCTCAGCCCTGATATGCACCCGCTCAAGCGCCGCTACGAACCCGTCCTGCTTGACCGCTACCCCACCAAACTCATGACGGACGAGTCCAAACGTCGCACCCCCTTTCCCGACTACGTTCCCATGTTCACCTTCCCCAACGACATCAGCGTCGTGTCTTCGGACGAGCGTCCGCGGTCAACGTGGCATGGCTTCGCGATGACCAGCTCCGACAACAGCAAGCTCTACGGCATCTGCGTCATTGTCTGGGTGCCTCTCAACGAAACTGCCGCTGCCGGCCTCGAGCGACAGTGCGAGGAATGGAGGCGGGCGAATATGAGCAATGAGGAGCGCGAGTTGGCGAGCAGTCTAGGCGAGCGGCTTTCGGCAGAGCGTGCGAAGCTTAGTAGGCTTCTCGCTGACTTGCCCAACAGCTCATCGGGATCGGCCCCGCGCGAGAAGTTGGAAGACGACATCAGTGCGGTGGAGGAGAAGATCGGGCTGATGACAGACTTGCTACGCCCCGTCCGCCACGCGGCGGCGTCGAAGATCGAAGGTCTCACGGAAGGCGACACCGGCTTCTGGATTCCACGAGCCTACGGCATTCTGGGACAGGATGGCAGCTTGACGAGCTTCTGGAAGGAGTGGCTCAAGGCCATCGTCGTGCCCATGACTTCCGGTGGTGTCTTACGCGTGCCCCCGAGCTCTCCAAAGGTCGGTTTGTGGCAGCCGCTGGAGCGGTATGTCGTGAATCTCTGCATGGAAGCTCTTTGCCCCATAGCCTCCGCCACGCAGGTGGAAGTCGCGGTGCGGGACTTGCGGCTGTATGCTCGCAGAGAGGCCATCAACGAGCTTCCCGGTTCGCGAAACACCGACTTGTACGCCCTGTTTCGTTGCCTAACGATTCCAAACGTCATCACGCTCTTCGAATATGCCCTCTCCGAATCGAGGATCATCTTGCTCTCCTCGCACACCGCCATGCTGCACCTCGCCGCCGCCGCTTTGACCAGTATCTTGTATCCGCTCAAATGGTGCGGCATTCTCATTCCAGTCCTACCGCAACGTTTGATCCAAGCACTCGAGGCACCGTGCCCTTACATTGCAGGTGTTGAACGCCGCTACGAGATGCCCGAGCTCCCCGACGACGACTTCTGCATTGTGGACCTTGACGAGAACACGATTGAGAGTGTTGCGCCACCCATTACATTGCCACGCCCGCAGCGAAGAAAGCTCCAGTCGTTGCTTCAAGCGGCCGCCCAACACCACAACAGGTATGGGGTGCCGACAGGACCTCCGCGGTACGCAGTGGAAACGTTTCCAAATGATGCTTTTGCCTCGGAAAGCCCGCAGGTGTTCAAGTCCAAGCCGGCTGCGTCGACGCTTGCAACGTACGTCAGTGAGAGCTCGACGACTTTTGGGGACGCTTCAGGGGCCCAGCAGCCGCTCTCTCCCATCTACAATGCTTTCCTACAGTCTCGCCCGACTGCTGGCAAGAGCAGCGACCGGCCGTCGACCAGCTCGACCGGCACTGCCCATAGCCATTCCTCTTCTCAGTCGCCGCCATCTCCGGTCGCGCAGTCGCCTATATCGTCTACCTTCTCCAAACCGGTTTCGCGCAGTGATTCTGGTATGGCCCTTCAGGCTTCTCTTCAAGAGAAGCGATCTGCGGGTCGGATTCCAGAGAGCGACATGCTACGGCGCAATTCAGCCGTCCACTCGCTCTTCGAGGCGCGCGGCGGGCAACAACAGGCGAGTCGATTTGGTGCTGGGCGTCGTCCTAGCCAGCCGATAACTGGACACCATGCTTCCCCGTCGACGTCTAGTCTCGGCTACGGGTCTGGATCGAATTATGCACCTAGCGTATACGCTCAGAGCACTCTCGCCGCCAGCACCGTCATGCCGCAGATGCTGGTGCAGCCCGTGAAAGACGATGAGCGGATGAAGTGGATCGAGGGGCACTGCTTGCAAAGGCAGAATCGAGACGGTGCGTCGATTTGTACGATATGCGACGAACGGTGCCAGGAGGAGTCGTTCAAGTGTCTTGGTAAGCTATCGGACATTTCATGCATACCTCAGTGGAGACTTGACTAATAAAACTGCAGGATGTGGCATCATCGTACACTATGGGTGCCTCGACTCGGTTTGCCTCGTATGCCCCGTGGCCTTCCGCCCCGACCAAGTTCGAGCGGCGTTTGTGCGCTGCTTCGCCTCCCTCTTCTACACCTACCGACGCTTTCTTCGTCCTGCGTCCGGAGATCGTCGAAAGGCCGGTATGCTCTACCACTTCAACATGGATCAATTCCTCAAGAGCGTGCCGCACGGAGATGGCGAGTACATGCACATGTTGCGCGACACGCAAGCCTTTAACGAATTCATCCACGAGCGCGAGGCCACTCGTGCCGAAGATCCTTCCATCAAGCTCTTCGACGAGATCATCCTTTCCAAACGCAACCGTGGCCGAACCTCGCTTTTCTCAAAGGCAAACACCTCCTTTCTCACCGACACATCGGATCACCTCTGGCGCTCGGCGTCCGCAACTCCACCCAACTCCCGCTACCCGGGCGATCCGCAGGCCATGTCGGGGAGAATGCCGGCCAAGCTCGATCCGGCGTACATGCAGGAGCCGCGGGCGATACAGGGGGCGCCGAGGTTGATGCCGGCGACGAAGACGAAGAGGAAGCCGGTTGCTAGCACTTTGCTTGTGAATTCCCAGAGCGTTGATGATGCTTAAAGCGCGGGCAGCGAATGCGACGATGATGATGGTCTTGCTTGATGAGCACTTCTTGCATTTTCAGCGACGGCGGGTATGCAACGTGATACGATGAGATGGATAAAAGTTCTTGGATGTTTCTGATTCCGGTTGGGCAGAGATGGTGGGGCGCGGGAAGATGCATCACAGCAGGACTGTGCGTGCTGAAACTCTTGGGATAGAGAGTAGCATGTTAGAGTCGATCCCCTTCTCTACCACATTCAATTCGTCATACTCTTACTCGTGTATTCACTTCATGTTGCGTTGCCTTTTCTAATTGTTGGTCTGAATTCACTGGTGCCTCACTTTGACTTCACTTCAATTCACTTTGAACGCACTCTATCACTTGCCAGGCACATGCGTTCTACCGCAAACCATAAACTTCGCTCAGAGTTGAATGAATGCATGCTGCTATACGTTACGTCGTTTTATCATCTATCTATATGCTCTCCAGCGTCATCATCACTTCTTGTCAGCGCTAGACATCTTCTCTAGCTCCTCCCCGTGGTCTTCGTTCCCGTCAACTTCATGTAACCGGCGGTCCGACTCGACTTGTGCCTCGAGATCCGCCTGAGCGGCAGCAGCCACCTTTTCCGCCTCTTTCTCCTTCTTCGCTGCAGCCTCGGTTCGCCACTGCTGTCCCTTTTTCATGATGAGGAAACACCCCGAGATGGACAAAGCATACACCCCCGTCAACAGGGTGAAGGCCCAGCCGGGGGTGATTGCATTACAGAGGGGAATGATGAAAGCTGCGCCGGCAGCGGTCATGAGACAGCGGACAAAGTTCACCGCCGCGGTGGCTGTAGCCGGCGTGTCTCGATGGAGGTCGAGCAGGAGGGTATTGGTGAGGTTGAAGACCGTGGACACGCCGAATCCGAGGAAGAAGATTGCGATTTCTGGCCCGGCGAGGGGCGTTGCGAAATCGATCGTCCATCCGAAGGCCAGGGTGGCCAGGGTTCCGATGATGTGACCGGGGATGACAATCTCACACCTCACAACTTCGATAGGAAAGTCCCTGAGGTCCTGTTGCCTTCCCTTTGTGATGACGTAGTTCAACCGGCGAGCATGCCGCCTATACGGATCAAATCAGAATTGGCGCTCGGATATGTCCAGAGGGGCATGCTTGTACTCACCTAAAGTTCCAATCCACGACGTGGCCCATGGTCAGTGTGGAGGCGAGACTGCCGCATCCCAATGCGATGTAACACAGCCCGATGTCTAGGGTGTCCAGGCCGTAGGTGGTGAACAACAAGTGAGGCAGAGAAGCGGTGGTGATCATCATGCTCGTGAAGAAGAGGCCGTTGTAAAGAAGGATGATGCCACTTTCTTTCTGGATAATAATTCTGGCCACGGCCAGGGGATTGGGGAAGGTCACTTTTCGTTTCCTGTTCAGCTTGAACGAAGCTTGATCCGCGTGGATGGATTCGTTCTCACGGGCATGCCGTCGCTGTTGCAGGTATCCGAGCAGCGAGAGATTGACCCCCTTGGCTGGAATGCTGCCATTTCCCACCACGTTCCGACAGGTCTCGGGGAAGAGGATGACGAAGATGACGAGCAGAACGCCAGTGAAGATGACGAGGAACCAAAAGACGGCGCGCCAGCCCAAGTACTGCGCGAGTAGTCCGCCAATAGTCGGGCCAAAGGCCGGGCCAAAGAGCAGTCCGCTGGTGGCATAGCCCATGTATTTGCCTCTTTCCGCGGACGTGGCGACGTCCGCGACTACTGCGTTCGAAAGGGCGATGGCGGCACTGCAGCCGGTGGCTTGGACCATGCGCAAGACGAGGAGGGCGGCGTAGTCGGTCTGCAATGCGAGGCCAATGTTGGCGCCGATGTAAATGATGAAGCAGATGATGAATGACAGACGCCGGCCGCTATTGTCAGACATGCCGGCAATGATCGAGGGAGCAATGGCCTGGGCGATCATGTACGTTGTCAGGCTGAGATTGATCAGGCTTGGAGTCACGTGCAGGTCCCGTGCCAGCACATTCAAGACAGGATAGAAAGTGACGGCACCAAATGGGCTGATCAAGCCAGACACGGACACGGCCATGACGATGAAGAGCTTCGCCCTCGAGGTGAAGATGGAGTACGGGGGCCCGGAGGAGACGGTGCGGGTGAGTTGTGGCGGGTGGCCGACATCGTGAGAGTCGTCCTCAACAGACGCCCGGCTCACACTCCATGTCTCGGACTCCTGGGTAACGAGTGGCGGCTGAGGTTTTGCGGCGTCTTTCTCCATTGTGTACGAGGGCGGCGAGTGGGCAGAAAAGTGTCGTCGAATGTGAGAGTCGCATCTCGCGAGGAGTTGCGTTGCGCTGGATGGAGCCAAAGGAGGGCAAGACGTTTAATAACTCACGCCGAATCCTCGCAGGCATGGGGACCGTTTACGGCGAATGGCCATGGTTTGTTAGTGGCCTAAAACTCTCATCGGGTCGTTGGATGGAACATCGGAGCGTGACGTGGGTCGTTTTGCGCCGACTTCGCTGCACGGCAGAGTGAATGCCTGAGGCACTCATCCGGCCTGAACGGGTTAGAGTGATGGGTTTAGAGTTTGCAGGGATGCCAGCAGCAGTCGGCATCATGACTGCACGACACGCTAATTCTCAGGCCGAGCCCATGTCCCAACGCCGCCAACCCGCCCTTTGCACCCTCTTACACGCGCGGGTGACGGAACAGGCTCGAGAGACGAAGCAAAGCACGCCTTGGCTTCCGTGGGATTGGTGGTGCGTTGCATTGCAGCAGCACTCGTTGCAGGCAAAGTGGAGGGTTGAGAACCCACCGACACGCGACCTACCTTGACCTCACCGCACCAGCAGCGCCGGAAAAAGACACCACGGAACATTCGCCAGACCTTGCACCCCCGCTGCACTCCTGATCGCTTTGCACCACGTCAACATTGGTGTCCAAAAGTCACGAAGAAGAGCAGGCAGAAGTGAAGACTGAACGCAACAACACAATCCCCGCGCGTGTTTTCCACGCGACTCCTCCATCTGCAAAGCAGCATCGACGCCTGGAGCTGGCCTCTCTCAACGCGCAGGCGCATATGCGCCTTCAACGATAGCCCGACGTCCTCGACCGTGCTCAACCCCCGCATCTCCTCCCAGCATGCTCCTCCGCTTCCTCTCGAGCTGCGCCTTCCTTTTCAGCATCGTCTTCACCATCCCTCTCGCTTTCGACGTCGGCGGTCGAGCGTGCGGACTCGCTTTCAGCTTGAGTCTCGCCACATACTACTTCCTCCTCTCCTGCCTCCGCATCGCCACGCCTGCACACTCCCGAACGCGAAGATGGGCAGTCAATGGTTTCGCGGCATTGCAGACCGTTCTCATCCCGGGACTGCTGATATGGTGTCTCAACAAGTTCAGTGTGGATGGCGGCGATGACGTGAACTGGGTTGCGCGTGCGTTCTACAACGCCACAAAGCCTCTGCACCACAGCCCGAGCTTCTTCGGCAAGGAAGGACTGTTGCAATCCTTCCTCATCGGCGGCTGGGACAAGCTGCTTCGCTACTCCACCCCGGTTTTCCAGCTGACCGAAGGCTTCTGCAGCTTGCTCGTCATCCAAGCCTGCGGCCAAGTCACACGCTATCTCGTCAACTCTTCCGACGGAGGCGATGGGTGGATGATTGGCTTGCTGGTGTTCAGCAGCAGCGTCATCACGAGCTCCGTCTACTTCCTCTGGCGCATCACCACCTTTCCGGGCATTGACAGCCAGGATGCCATCCTCATCGGTGTGGCCATCACTTGCGCCGTCTTCCTGTGCGCTTGGGGCATCGGCAGCGGTCGTGGCAACGTGGTTGAAAGCAGCCTCCTCTTTGCCTACATTACTCTATGCATCTACCAGATCTTCACCGACTACCAGCCTAACCATCCCCCGCCCCAAGTGGCGGGTATGGCGGTGGACGAAGAATTTCCTCCCCTTCCACCCATCCTCATGGCAAGCTACACAACAGTCCTACACGCCTTGTCCACCCTTCCGAGCACGTTGCACTCCGCCTTCGGATTCATGTATGCCGCCGTCAAAACAATCACACCCTCCGTCATCGTCTCGCTGGCGTACCGCCTGACCGTTCTCTACGCCGCGGCGCGCATCATCCCAGCTGTGCGCGAGTCTGGAGCTCGTGCACTCTCTGATGGCCCGGCCGCACTGGAAGACGGCGAAGGCGTTAGCACGCTGATGGGACTACTGTCCTACTTCAGCCCTAGTGTGCTGATCGCCGTGTACACAAGTTTACTGATGCAGCATTTTGCATCGGCATCAACCGATCACCCGGACGAGTGGTGGACGAGTCAGGGTGGGCAGGGAGGCCCGAACATCAGTCGTTGGATCAATCTTGCGGGGACCATGGCTTTGTACGCAGTCGAACTGTATCTAAGCCGGGAATATGGGGACGAAATGAACGGTCACTGGAAGATGGACTGAGAACCCGCGCTCCAGGTCGAAGTCGAAAGCTAGAGTGAAGAAAGGGTTCGCTTCATGGCAGCTTAGTATGGTTTCTGCCTTCGCCAGCGGCGCGATACACCATTGGTCTCGAAGGGAGAGACACCGGCTGATCTGGCCGTCAAGGGAAGCTAGAATGCGAGAGGACGCGAGGCCGCTTAGCTGTCACCGTCTCGAGGTTTGAGACCTCCTATGGGCCGGACAAGAAGTGTGTTACCTGGTCCTGAGTGCGCTGAGAGGAGAGAGATATAGCGCGTTGAGCGGACGCAGCGTTTTGCCCGAATTGTTGCAAGGGCTTTCTTTTCCTGAGATAGCATAACACAGTGCAATTAATCGAAGCGCGAATGCATGTGCCGGATGAGTCTGGTGGTTCTGTCAGCCTTGGGCAATGTTGTCTCTCAGGGAAGTCTTGTCATTGCGTATGACTTCAGGGGATTGATTTGTCTATCTGATTATGCACGTATGCGCGACCAGCCTATCAGCTGCTTTTAGCCATTCACGGCTGACGGCGTCGAGTGCACTTTCGTTCGGACGCCATCTAGTGATTGTCTCGAGGGTTTGGGTGAGTCTGCGCCACACGCTGAAAATCCACAGCACGCCGAAACACCATGCCCTCGCTCAACGGCCCAACCTCCCTTCTAAAAATGTCCTGGTAAGGCGTATGGCTCTCTGGATACTTGTACCCCCCATTCGCCAGCAACTCCTCTCCTCGCTGTTGGATTTCCGCTTCGGAGATTAGGACGTCGACTCTTCTCTTGGTCAAGTCAACGCGGAGCATATCGCCATCGCGTAGGATGGCGAGATTGCCATTTTCTGCTGCCTCCGGGCTAGCATTTAGGATGCTGGGGGAGCCGGATGTGCCGGATTGTCGGCCATCACCTGCGAAATAGGACGAACGGTCAGCAAAGGCGCAAAAATGTAGGTACATGGACAGCTCACCTATACACGGCAGGGAGTACTTCAACCCTTTCTTAATCAAGTGCGCCGGAGCAGTCATGTTGACAACCTCGGCCGCCCCTGGATAGCCCAACGGTCCAGTACCGCGCATGACCAGGACTGTCCGCTCATCCACATCTGCCGTCTCAATTCGAGCATTGTAGTCCTCGGGACCGTCGAAAATGATTGCTTTTGCTTCAAAAGCGTTAGGATCTTTGGGATTCTCCAGGAAAGCTGCCCTGAACGCTGGCGAGATGACGCTGGTCTTCATGATCGCCGAGTCGAATACATTCCCTTTCATGTGAAGAAACCCTGCTTCCTTCTTCAAAGGCTCGGTGTACTTCTTGATGGATCGACGATCCCAGGAATGCTGTCCCTGGACGTTTTCCTTCATGGTCTTGCCGTTGACGGTCAGGCAATCGGGATGGAGTTTCCCTTGATCCAGCAACTCGGCCATTACGGCCGGCAAGCCGCCAGCACGAAAATACTCCTCTCCCAGCACTTCGCCGGCGGGCATCATGTTGACAAGCAATGGCAGATCATACCCAATATGGTCCCAGTCATCGAGGTCGAGCTTCACTCCAATATGCTTGGCGATGGCGTTCAGGTGGATGGGAGCATTCGTGCTGCCTCCAATGGCCGTGTTGGCGGCAATGGCGTTTTCGAAGGCTTCCCTCGTCATGATGTCCGACGGCTTCCGATCTGCGAGCACCATTTCCACAATCTGCAATCCCGTCTTGTACGCGCATTGGGCTCGCTCTTTGTAGGGAGCAGGAATCGCTGCACTGCCGGGCAAGGCCATTCCAAGTGCTTCGCTCAATGCGTTCATAGTAGACGCTGTTCCCATAGTGTTGCAATGGCCGGCGCTGGGGCTGCCTTTGGAGACGAGATCGAGCAAGCCATCGTCATCAATCTCGCCGACAGCGTGCATTTCACGCGCCTTCCACACGATCGTTCCGGCACCTACCAGCTGACCGTTGTTATAGCCGTTCAACATGGGGCCAACATTCATGCAGATGGCGGGGATGTTGATTGTCGCGGCAGCCATCAGACAGGCGGGGGTGGTCTTGTCGCAACCAGTCAGAAGCACGACTCCGTCGAAAGGATAGGCGTATAGTAATTCGACGAGGGTGAGATAGCTTAGATTCCGATCCAATGTGGCCGTTGGACGGCGCGAGGTCTCCTGAATAGGATGCGTGGGAAACTCCATAGCAATCCCGCCCGCGCTTCTGATACCCTCGCGTACCCGTTTTGCGAGGGTCAAATGGTAGCGGTTGCAAGGCGCCAGGTCCGACCCGGAATTGGCGATGCCGATGATGGGCTTCCCGCTTTTCAGCTCCTCTCTCGTAAGGCCGTAGGTCAAGTAGCGTTCTATGTAGAGGGAGCTGATTGCGGAGTCGTCCGTCCGGTTCAGCCATTTGGTCGATCTCAGTGGTGTCTTGGACGTAGACAGGTTGGCAATCTTGTCTTCGAGCTCCTTTGTCCGGGCTTTCAGAGCGGAGAGCTCGGTCTTGTAGTCTTCAATGTCTTCGACTCCTCCGTTGGAAGCGTGTTGGCAGTTCTCCGCCTTTGTGCAGTCTTCCGCTTGGGGACAGGATGCCATGGTATGCGAATGCTATACCATCGACGAAGGTGTCAAAGAGAACGTCGAGGCCAACTGCAATTCCGAGGCTAATGTAAGATGTGAGAGGATCTGGAGGGAACAACACTTAGCTTGGTCGAGTCTACATGTCGTCAATGGTTGGCGTGTGTCGGGAAGTGGATGGGCAAAGCGCGAATGCCGATGACGGAGAAGGTCAAATTTAGGTGGATGCAGCGGCAGTGCGGCATCTCTCCCTTACACTACAGAAAGGTGATGTGCCCAGGAGCATCTCTCGTCCCGACTTTTCATGAATGGTTGAGTAGAGAGAACGCATGTCGGCCGGGCAATCCGCCCCATCTACATCTATGCCTCTAGCCAAGTCAAAGGCGCCTATGTCTATGCATTGGATTGTTCTAATCTCCGTTCATCGGCCAGGAACAACATTCAGGACGCCCCCATCAACGGCGATGATCTCACCGTTGACGTACTCGTTCCTGGCAAGGTACAGGACCGTCATGCCCATCTCCTCCTCGCGGCCAGGCCTTTCGTTGGGAACATGGTTGTATTGCTGAATTTTCTTCTGAGGAAAATTTGACTTCTGTCTGTCGTCCGACTCGTGCGTGGGATCTGTGAGTTCGGAGGGAAAATATCCTAGAAGGGGGGTTAGCTTTCAGGCCATGGCCGGCGTGTGTGGAGTTGGTGAACCTGGTGCGATGGAGTTGACGCGAATGGAAGCACGCAAGAACTCGGAAGACATGAGCTTGGTCAGATGGACTGTTGCTCCTTTTGCAGCTGGACAACGATTTGCATTAGTGGCGGAGACAAGGGGGGGATGTCTGCAGAGGTATCTCACTGTTGTATGCAAAATGACCTTGGGCGTCTCTCATGATGCCACTCATGGAAGAGGTGGTGATGACACTGGCGCCGAACTTCTCCTGTGGCCCTTTCGGCTGAATTGCGGCCTGGAGAAGGGGCAGGAAGGCGACGGTGGTGAAGTAAACGCCGGTGACGAGCGTCTCAAAGGCTTCCTGCCAATCTGCCACACTCTCATTCTCCCAGAGTTTCTTCTTCAGATCGTCGGCGTCGTCTTCATCCGGCTTGGTCTTGGGGCCAGTGATGCCGGCGTTGACCATCAACAGCGTGATGTACTTTTCCTTCTTCTGGATGTCCGCGACCAGTGTTTCGAGGTCGTCCTTTTTGGTGACATCGCAGGGGCCAATTGGGATGATCTCGCCGCCGGTCCCATCCTTGGGCTGATGCTTTTTGGCTGCATTCTCCAGCGCGTCCATGCGTCGACCAGTAATGTAGACTTTCGCGCCGTTCTGCGAGAGGGCCTGGGTGGCCATTAGACCAATTCCCGTACCGCCGCCGGTGATGACAGCGACATGGCCTTTCATGGAGAATAGGCTGGCCGCGTCGAAGTGGTGTGTCTCAGCCATGCCTGCGATGTTGCAGGGCAATGGGTTGGATCGGTGAGCAGGTCAGCTGCACTGGAGTGTGGAGAAGGAGGGGTTCTTGAGCAAGAGAAGCTCCCGATGTGAGAGAGACAGGCCAATCAATCACGGACTGAAGTGATAAGATGAGAACAACTTATTCTCTTGAAGGCATGTGCAGTAGTTCTCGCCTGACTGATGAACACCACGATGGGAAAGGGCAAGTGAATGTTTGAGACGTGACGTAATGTGGAGAGGCGTGCTTTGAACGCGAGCCGCGCGCGGTCTCCATCCCGTCCCTTTGGCAACAACCACGCGCATCTGACGATCCCGACGTTCAAATGTCAGCATTTTGGACAGGGAGCAGGTGAAGTGGCCGTGAAGAAGTATCGCGTCACATGTGTAGCTCGTGTTGGAGACGAGTGGAGGGATCAAGATCAATCCCATGCAGGCAACACGGACCACGCGCGGCTGAGAGGGAAGGCGGTACGGTGCGGTGCGAGACGCGGTCGGTGGCTTGCCGAAACATTGCACCACCACCTCCACCCACTCCCACACCTCGTGCCTGTACCTTGCCCTCGACACTCGGTGACTGCAGGTCTAGTACCTCCCCCTCCACCGTACATCCTTGACACGAAGGGTTCGCAATTGATTCGGTGCTGTGCGTCGGTATAAGAGGGTGGAGGAGAGCCTTGTACTGGATCATCACCTCGACCTACCTCACCCTCCCTTACGATCTCCTCTCCCTCCCTCGCGTGGCTCGAGTGTAGCTGGACTACCATGAACCTCTTCGCCTCCCACTCAACATCCGCTCTCCCATGCTGCGCCATACCCTCGGTGGCTAAACAACGGCGGCGCTAAGTGACCATGCCTGTCATGCCATCTCCCACCCCCTCCTCCACTTCCTCCAAGTCCCAGAGACTCCCCAATGCCGCTCGAGCCCCGACTGCCGCCAGCCAAGCAAGATCTGGCACTCCCAAGAGTCAGCCAAACACAAATGCCGCCTCGACAAGGACTGCCAAAGCCAGGCCAGCGTCGGACAAGGAGTCCAGCGTTGGCCGCTCCTCCAGGACAAGCTTCCGTAGAGAATCAATCGCAAACCTGGTCGCGAGAGAAAAGCCGCCAAGCAAAGATGGCACGGTGCAGAAAAGCGCGAAGGAGGTGGAGGGCCTGAAAGACTTTGTATACCACCCCCCCGCTCCTCCTCTCCTACCCTTATGTCTTCATGCTAACTGCCAACAGCAACTTGGCGACTGTCTTGGGAGAGGCGCTTTTGGAAGCGTCTACCGCGCCCTCAACTGGAGCACCGGCGAATTCGTCGCCATCAAACAAGTTCGCCTTGTCGATCTGCCCAGGACGGAACTCACCACCATCATGCAAGAGATTGACCTGCTGAAAAACCTCAACCACTCCAACATCGTCAAGTATCACGGCTCGGTCCGCGGGCAGGACAGCCTCTACATCATCCTGGAGTACTGCGAGAATGGCAGCCTGCACTCCATCTGCAAGAACTTTGGCAAATTCCCCGAAAACCTGGTCAGCATGTACACCGCGCAGGTCCTGCAAGGCCTGCTGTTCTTGCACGAGCAGGGTGTCATCCACAGAGACATCAAAGGCGCAAACATCCTCTTGACCAAGCAAGGCTTGGTGAAGCTGGCTGACTTTGGCGTCGCCACCAAACAGCAGGGATTGGCAGAGGGAAGCGTGGTCGGCACGCCCTACTGGATGGCCCCTGAAGTCATCGAACTCTCCGGTGCCACCACTGCCAGCGACATCTGGTCTCTCGGCTGCACCGTCATCGAGCTCTTGGACGGCAGACCTCCGTATCACAAATTGGCTCCCATGCCGGCACTGTTTCGCATCGTGAACGACGACCATCCACCGCTGCCCGACGGCGTCAGCCCCCTCGTTCGAGACTTCCTGATGCAATGCTTTCAAAAGGACCCCAATCTTCGCGTGACGGCGAAGAAGCTGCTCAAGCACCCGTGGATTGTTTCGAGCAAGAAAGGGGAGATGAAGAAGCCCACGGAGTATGACGAAACGGTCAAGAGCGTACAAGAGTGGAACAAGGCGTTGAGAGCGTCGCCGCAAAACACACACACCGGAGATGCTGCAAACGGCAGGACGTCTGCTCGCCCGGGCTCGCGACCAGATTCAAGAGGCCCTCCAAAGCCCATTCCGAACCGTTCTGTTGCCCCACCCCCGGCCGCCAAGCCCTCATCGCGCCCCTCCGTCCAAGCCGCAAAGGTGCATCATTTACCGGAGGATGAAGGCGATGATGTGTGGGACGATGATTTTGAATCGCTGTCCACCGGGCTTGCCGCTCTGCAGCTTCCCGAGCACCGGCGGCCGCAAGACAACTTTGCCGGTCTCCTCAGTTCAGACAAGCTGAAGCAGTATGCCAGCGTTGATATTATTCCCGACATGGACGGCAAGGTGGAGCAATGGGATGAAGTGTTCGAGGGAGATCTCACAGTACGCTCTCCACTTCAATTGACGAAAGGCAACGCAATTGAAACCGCTCGGCCCTTCTATCCCCCGCACACGACCTCTGAAGAAATCAAACACCATCCACCATCCGGCTTGGCCATCACAATGCCTCCATACGGAACCCAGCCGAGGAGATCGAGCAGGGATTCGCAGCCCAGAACACAGATTCTTCGACCCATGAAACCCGAGGTTGTCCCACCTCCTAAGACGAAGCCTCAGACCAATGGACAGCGGAATGCACAGCCCTCGTCAGTTCAGAATGAGAAATACCGCGAAGGAGACGACGACGAGGACTACTCAGATCTTGTGCCCGAGGATGATGCCGCTTTCAGAAAAAAGCTGGCTTCCCTGTCGCCCAGCAGGCCGTTCAATCCCGCCGATATCCGTAACATCCAAAGCAAGATCGGAGGTAGTGTGCGCCGGAGAACAAAGACGCCAAATGGACTTGTACATGATGCAGCAGCCATCCGAAGGACCCGGAGCTCGCTTGAGATCCAAAAGTACGCCGAGGATGAGGAGGAAGATTTCAATGATTGTTTCGAGGACGAAGAAGGAGCGCCGATGAACCTGCATTCCGTGAAGACCCGCTCGCCCAAGTCCATCTCTGCGAGCAGCGACTCCGCTAGCGACTCCCAGCGAGGAACTCTCAAATTTAGTGGAGGCGCACCGTGGCTTCAAGACGAAGAGGATGACGATGATGATCCTTTCGCTGCTATGGAGGAAGAACTGGATTCGGTCGATTTGGAGGAGAATGTGGCACGCGACAAACACGCACGATTGTGTACTCTGGTCGAAGGCTTAGTCTCGGATCTCAAACTCGACCAGCCGGAGGATGTTCTTGGCGAGATTGTCGAGCAGCTTCTCGAGGTCATCACCGAGTCCCCGGACATGAAATCGGTCGTTGTGAGCAGCCACGGCATGCTCCCAATCTTGGAGATATTGGACTCATCCACTGGCCGCCAAACCATTCTGCACTTGCTTAAGATTGTCAATGCCATCATCAGCCCCACGAATGTCGAGGTCCAGGAGAATCTGTGCTTCGTTGGTGGCATACCAATCATCTCGAAGTTTGTGCACAAGAAACATGCCGCTGAGATTCGACTCGAGGCGGCGGCTTTTGTGCGGATGATGTACTCGACGTCAACACTAACCTTGCAAATGTTCATCTCGTGTGGCGGGCTGAATGTCTTGGTCGAGTTCCTTGAAGAGGACTACTATGAGAGCGAAGTCGGACGAGAGCTCGTGCTTGCGGGCGTCAATGGCGTCTGGAGTGTGTTTGAATTGCAAGGCCCGACACCCAAGAACGACTTCTGCCGCATCTTCAGTCGCAGCTCCGTCCTACAGCCGTTGAGCTTGGTGCTCAATCGTGTTTTGGACGACGAGGGAGAGGCCGCCGAAGAAGTGGAAGGTCGCATTGTGAACATCTTCCTCCTCTTCAGCCAAGCCGAGAACCACGTGAAAGAAACCGTGGCGGATCGCATGGTGCTAAAGACGGTGCTGAAAGACTTGCGGCGCATGCGACCGCAACACCAGATCACGATGCTGAAGTTTATCAAGAACCTGAGCATGCTCGCATCCACGCTGGACGCGCTCGAAAACAGCAATGCGATTGAAGTGCTCACCGACCTCCTGAGCGTGAGTATGAACGCACCACTCTTCCTCGAGATCAGCAACCAGATTCTAAACACCATGTACAACCTCTGCCGTCTGAACACCGACCGACAAGTCGACGCTGCATTGAACGGCGTCATCCCACTGCTGCAGCGCATCGTCCAGACTGAGCGGCCTCTCAAAGAATTCGCGCTACCCATTCTGTGCGACATGGCGCACAGCGGCAAGCTTGGCCGCAAAGTGCTCTGGCAGAACAGAGGATTGCAATTCTATGTATCGCTCCTTGCAGAGCCCTACTGGGCTGTAACGGCGCTGGACGCGATTTTCATCTGGCTGCAAGAGGAGACGGCGAAAGTGGAAGAGCAGCTCTTACGCACGGAGTTGGGCTTCAGCAGCGCCGTGCTGCAGTGCTTCAATGAAACCCGAGCGGATGCGTTTGAAAACCTGCTGGAGCCGTTACAGAAGCTGCTTCGCTTGTCACAGCCGCTCGCCGCGAGCCTGGCACATCGCAGCTTGTTCGAACGGAGTGCCGTCAAGCTTCATGCGAAGAAGCCGCTGGTTCGACTAAACTTGCTGCGCGTGATCCGTAGCATCTGCGATGCGAGCAGAGATCAAGGGGCGCTCATAAGCCAGTACGGACTGTTGGAGAGTGTGCAGAATCTGGCGAATCACGATGCCGCCATATTGGTGCGTGAAATGGCCGGCGATCTGGTGAGAAGCTGTGAAATGGGGAGTACGCCAGCCGCGCGATACGCTGGGATGCGGCGGCGGTCAAGTAGCACTATGATGTCCCCCGCACCCCCGTTTACATCGTCGGGTGCCACAACGCCCATCGAGCGGGGGGTAGGGGCAAGGGCTGGATACTTCGACGCCGGCATGGAGCTTGCACGATCGCGAGCCATGGCTTCTTCGCCGCTCCGGCCCGGCAGTCGGGACTCGAGTATGTCTACAACAGGGGCGTCGAGTAGCGATTGGAGCAGCAAGAACCTCGCTGCCGCACGGGATCCGCGAGCGCAGGCGAAGTCGTATCTGCCGCGTTCGGGGAGTCGACTCGGTTTGAGCCCAAGCACCGGCACGGTCAGTGGGAAGGTGCGCGAGAACATGACGCCGACTCACGCGCCGCCGGTGAGTGCGAACACGCGGAGCAGCACTGCGGCAGCTGCGGCGAATGGACGGCGAAAACGATAGACGAGCGGTGCGGAGGTGCATAGCGCGGCGTTGAGCTTGATATGGACGGCTCTGGCGAACTCTGCTTCTTGATCTTCTATTTTGAGTGCAGCATTTATTTACTCGCCATTGCTTCTGCATGGCTCGGGGTTGATCGCGCGAGCAGCATCAAAGGTACCCATACTGAATGACAAACCCGTACCGTCCAGAGCTGAGCGGTGACGCAACATCTGCTGCTATCAAAATTTGAGTGGCTTGCCGGCTTCCGGTGGTTACGATGGCCCACATGGCCTCGGAGAATGCGCGCACATTTGAGCGCAACCAGGAGGATTCGAGTACCCACGTGATCATCTTGCCCAGTAACAGAGAGTTGGAAAGAGCGACAGCCTTGTACCTAGGTATCGGGCTCCAGCAGCTCCGCCTCTCTCGTCGCCGCTGATGACACCCCCGTCGATGCAGTGAGGTACAGATGTACCCGAGTACCTTCCGCCGCCACTCCGAAATCCATTGGACACTGGGCGCCCGGGTCGAACTCTAAAAAGCTCCGGGGGCCAAATGTGCGTTGCCTTGAAATGGGGCCTTGTTGGCCGCGCCGAGAACACCGATGATGAGTGTGGCAGCTCCAGACGTGCCGGTTCTGCTCAAGCATTTTGTCTGGACGCGAATTTGTTCACTGGACGTCCTCGGAGCCCCGTGCTTTCTCCAATGACACCCAACGATGTCGCCGCCGCCCCGGAACTCGCGTGGTTCGGGCATGGCTCGAGGTAAAGCACGGACCGCGCCAGCGAAGGCGCCAAATCCCTCGGGCTGCCTTCTGCTGCATCCGATCGTCATCGGCGCAGGATGGCGGCGGCGGCGGCGGGCAGGCTGGCGGGTCTTTCAGTCAGCACCCTCGTCCACGCGCTGAAATACAAAACCCTCCTCGGAGCCAGGTCGCGTGAGGTGGAGCCTGTTCAGCCTTTCCCTTGCCGCCTTTTCAGGCGTTTCGTTTTCGACTTCGCATGACCGACCATGCCGTCTTCTTCTCCTCCGCCTCCGGCCGACGCTGCTGGATTCTTCCAAAATGTCAATCCTTTCGAGTCCGCCGACAATCCCGCGGCTGATCCTCCGGCCGATGATGAAGAGGCTCTCCGGCTTGCGGGCGTCAGAAGTGTAGACCCGTGGGCAAGCGGGCGAGACGGCTCGCGCGACGATGCTGCAGTCTCGCGTGAGGACCATGCACAGAATATCCATCCCCAGGAGCCTGTGAGCCCAGGGCCAGATGCGCCGGGGGCTAGCGACCTCGACCGCACCCTCACCGCCAACACCGACACGAACGCGAGCGTCCCCACCAGCGCCATCAGTCCCGGCGCTGCTGGTTCGTCCCATCCCGACTACTTCGACCAGTCTGCGAAGCAGGCGCTCGAGAGCACCCCGGAAACCGACACAGACCTCCACCCGGCCAACAGCAATGTCAACGGAGACAGAGCGGAGCGGGGCACGGATATCTACGCGATCACTGACCCTCTCGTCCACGAAGCCCACGAAGCTCAGGAAGCTCAAGAAGCTAACGACGACGCCAGTCCCAGCGGCAAAGACACCGACAGTGAAAGTGGCCACCAGGATGCCAAGCCCCGCGTCGCCTTTGCCGGCGACGACACAATCGACAAGGCTCCCACACATCGCGACTCTTCGCCCGCCTTTATGGACAAGGTCAAGAATGTCGTGTCGGACGCCAAAGACAAGATCCACCTGTCGAGTGTCAAGGCCTCTGGCCCACTAAAGAAAATGAATCCCACCAGTGTGAAGATGAATGTTCGCTTTGGCGATGATCCCAACGACGTCGGCATCATTTGGCGTTCTCGTGACAATCGCAAGGGTCGCAATTCCGTCGTCGTCCCGCGAGCGTCCATGGCCTACCCGAATCTGCCCCCCAAGAATCGTCCCGTCTACTCCTCCAGCTTTAGGGGTGTCGGTCGGAATTTCTATCGCATGGTCTTCACGTTCCCATATTGGGATATGGCCTTCTGGAGCGGATGGAGTTATACGTGGGGATCTGTATTGTTCACCATCGACAGCGCTTGGGGCTGGATCCCGACCGGCTGGGGCCTCGACCTGGGAGGGATCACAACGTACGGCGTGGGCATCCTCTTTTTCATCGGTGCTCTATTCTACCAGGTCGGTGCTACCATGGCCTATCTCGAGGCCGTCAATGATGGCTCGTTCCACGGCTCCGCCATGAAGCGATTCCTCGAAGGCCACGAGGAGGACAAGAAGAAGTTGCTTGACGAGAAAATTCACAACTTTCTTGGGCATCTCCATCCCTTGCATTCCAGACGGCATCGGGCCGAGGAAGAGGCCGAAACCGAGAAATTACGCACGGTCGATCCAGAAGCAGGCTGGAAAACATTGCATCGGCGCGAACGCCCAGGCTCGATATACCCCGGCGGCAAGCTGCCCGCTCCTCGCCGAGGCGGTGTCGACCTAGGCGAAGCGGAAGAAGGCGAAAGCCATGAATATCTGACATGGCGCTGGTGGCCGACCTGGGAAGCGCTCCGCAACCACCATATATACGAGATTGGGTACATCGCGTGCTCGGTGCAGCTGTTTGGCGCCACCCTCTACACCTGGTGTGGTGTTGTCTCGATTCCCGGCATTTCCTCACAATTCAACGCGCCGCAAGAGTACGGCGCCTATTATTTCCCCGAAATTCTCGGGTCATGTTGCTTCTTGACCGCCAGTCTGATGTTTCTGCTCGAGACGCAAGAACGCTGGTGGCAGATCCAGCCAAACGTCGTGGGCTGGTGGATTGGGGTTTGGGCCATGGTGGGATCCGTGGGATTCTTGTACGTCGACGCCCTTGATTGAACTGATGTAGTGCAGTATGCTAACTGTGAATCGCAGGTTGATTGGTGTCTTTGGTGTCATCAATGAGGCCACGGGCGCGCACTGGGCACTCTACCAGAGTGGATTATCGGGCACATGGGGTTCTTTCGCGTACCTGCTCAGCTCTTTATGTCAATGGTACGAAGCGGTCAACAAACATCCCGTGGAAGAGGTGAGTGTCAATCATTAGACTCGAGGTGACATCCACGTCTCCAGCTAACTGAGGGACACAGCTGCTCAATGAACCTGGCAATATCAAGTCTTTCCAGGTCCACCTGCCATAGGGACTACCAAGCGTGCAATCATTTTTTGAAACGTTTAAGCGATAATGGTTTCTTGGATACCCAAAATGCAATACTTGATTGGTGATGGTTTGACTTCGGTTGAGAACGATTCAGAATCAAGCTCTCAAATCGACCATCGATCGTCCAGCCACACGCTTCCATCCCCTTTCATTCTCGATTGGCGTCCGAGGGCTCGCTCGACCGCAGGTTCAGGCGGATTTCCGATTAGCTGTAGAAGACGCTCAAAATCGCGAACATGATCTGCCTTTCAATCACTCGCTGCAGAACCTCATCCCTGGTGAAGCAGCGCATGACTCCGAAGAGATATGGGAAAGGAGAGGCGACGGGGCAGGGACATTTGACACAAGCTGAAAATACGATCATTCTAATCTCATGTATGCGCACATCTTGCCGATAGAGCACGCAAACTCCGTCGCTTTCGTCGCACAACAGCAATGGAGCTCCATACATGAGGGAAACAAGACGAGGAAAAATGACTTCATTCCTTCTTCACTGCAACTAAACACTTTCTCGCTGTAGTCGTCGGTTCCATGTCGCCACGCGCCGCCAAAATAAGTCCTGCTCCTGCGGATCCTGGATTAGAGGTGGGCCGGGTGGTAGGATGTCGTCGGAGTGTGTTCGCTGCCGCCGCCGCTGCTGTTGTTGAGGATGAGGGTGTTGCTGCTAGCCTTGACTAGGAAAGACACGACTGTGGGACGGTGTGTTCTTCACCGCGGCTGAGGGCCTTGTATCCAATCAGAGTCAGTGCAGGACAAACAACGCGAGACGAGAGAAGGAGGTAGAGTCAGGGAGGGTGGGGGACGATAGTATAGAGAATGCAGTGCAGTGTGCAGACGAGAACAAAGCAGAGCATTCTAATACCCATTCATCGTCGCCCTCTGGCTCTGCCTGCTCAGCTCGCGCTCGGCGCTGGGGCTGATTGGTCGGGAACCGGTGCCGTGGCCGGCGGCGCTGCTCTCCTTGAGCGCGAGCAGCTGTTTGGCGCGGAAGCTCTCGTAGTGAATCTGGCTGGTGGTCTCGATCAAGTCCTGCAAGTGGGTGCGGGTGAGGAAGTCGCGCAGGTAGACGAACTCGCAGTGGCGTTCGTCCTCGATGTTGATGGTGCCCCAGCGATTCTGACGGGCGCGCACGGTCTTGCCGTTGAGGGTCATGCTGTTCTCGCTTCCGACCACGGCGAAGGGAATAATGGACTGCATCGGCGGTTAGTGAGAGCCCGGGGGAGGAGATGACATGGCGAAACCAACCTTGATCTGCGAATTCATCGCCGCCTCTTCGCTGTCATACTCCTCGTTCTCATAAGGATACATGCGGATGTTGTGGAAAGCAAACTCCTCCTTGATCCGATCCTTGAATGCCTGCCTCTCCTCGAGCGTCAGGCTGTCGGACTTGGCGATGACGGGAACGACGTTGACCGTCTCGCTCAGCTTCTTCAACACGACGATGTCGATGGGCTTGAGGGCATGGCCGGTGGGGGCGATGAAGTAGAGGCAGCAGTGGATGCGGGTGTCTTGGATGTATCGCTCGCGTTGCGCGGTCAGTTCCTTGCGCAAGTAGGCGGAGTGCTGGTCCTTGATGTATTTGATAATGGGGTCCCAGCAGCGATCGTTGTTGACGAGATCGCCGTAGCCGGGGGTGTCGACGATGTTGAGGCGGAGGCGCACGCCGTTCTCCTCGATGATGTGGGCGACGGGGTGGATCTCGGTGGTGCTGCGGATGGGCTCGTGGGGGCTCAAACGGCCCTTGCTGTCGACGAGATGCGAGGCGAAGATGGTGTTGATGAGCGTGCTCTTGCCCAGGCCGGTCTGGCCAACGCAGATGACGTTGAACTGGAAGCCCCGCTTCAACAACTTCTTCTCGATCTGGGTGGTGATGCTGTCGAAGCCGACATGGCTCTTGGGGTAGACGGAGGGGCCGTATTGCGCGCTCATGGTCGCCATTGATGTCCCGGGGGGGTTTCTCGGTTGGGGGGGTGCGCACGTGGTCTCGCGAGGACTGGATCGCTGGCCGAGCTGGATGAGCGGACAGGAGGGAGGAATGAGGGTCGGGGTGCTGTGAAGCAGGGGGAACAATGGGTGAGGAAGATGGAGAGGGACGATCGCGGCGCTCTCACTCCATCAATTTTCATCGGAAAGGGGAAACGGCGGCGGCGCTCGGGCCATGTGAAGCGAAACGGGCGCCACGGGCACTCCCGTAACTCTATCTGAGGAGTGTCGCCGACATTATTTGCAGGTGCGTGCGGCTTTCAATCCAACTCACAAGAGACATCCTTCCCCCACTCCAAGGCAGGACCGTTGCGAGGACAAGGCACTGTGACCGCAATGGCTGCCATACGAGGGCCATCAGCCCACTTCCTCGCCGCCTTCCTTCCAGTCGCCCGAGCGTCGCTCTTCCCACAATCGCAACCCATCACCAAGCGCATTCCTCTCCGACAACGACTTCGCACATCCCTACTGCCCGCCGTGCTCCTGCCCATTCCGAGCCTGCTGGGCGACATCTGGAATGGCATTCTCAATGCTGTTCCGAAGAAGAAGACTTCGCACATGAAGAAGCGACATCGGCAACTGGCGTCAGGAAAGCACCTGAAAGACGTCACGGCGTTGAACAAGTGCAGCTCGTGCGGGAGGACGAAGCGAGCGCATGTATTGTGTCCTTATTGTGTGGCCAGTATGTACCATGACAATGCTTCTGGCGTGACGATTTGCAACGGAGGGCTAACAAGGTCGTCATAGGCATACGAAGGTGGTTCGGCAACGGCTTCAGATCGCAGAAGCAGGTTGAGGAGGATGAGGTATCAGCCCTCGAGGCGCGGATTGAGGAGCGAAGGGCGCAAGGCAAGAAGCCATTGGAGACGGTGCCCAAAAAGAAGAAGGGGGGAGATGGGGAAGAAGGGGACGAGCTCTGACCCAATCGACGGCGAGCCGGTGTATTGTTTGAGCATGGCATAGCGACGGTGTGCGCAGTGCGTTTGTATAGCGGCGTACCTCTCATATAGAGACACTGCGTTTGTATGATAAAATCATCGCGGTTGAATCAACCCTCGCTGCCCAGCCCGAGCATGTGACCACGCGCCATGGACGTGAGAGGCATGGGGGAAAATCTTCGCCCCACCTTCCACTTCTCTCCATCACCGCACCGTTTCCTGTCTCCGACATATCACTTCACTCCTTCAGCCCTGGTCTCTTGAAGAATGCGGTAGCACGATGGTATGCCTGCGTCAGCTTCAACCTCACACCTACTCTCACGACTAACCGCCGTGACAGTCCAAACTCTACCTCCAGACTCACACAGTCTCCGATGCGCATCCCACCGATATCTTCTCTCTGGCGGTGACGCCCACCCATCTGCTCTCTGCTTCCGGCTCGTCAAGCATCAAGGTTCACGATTCGAACAGCGAAGTCCCGGCACAGACACTGGAGAAGGCGCATGCGCTAGGTTGCCATCATGTCTGTGCCAGCAAGGACGGCAAAGTCGCCGCCAGCGCCGGGTTTGGCGGCGAGGTCAAACTCTGGGTAAGCGACGGCGACGGGGAGGCCGCCTGGGTGGAGAAAGGGAGCATCCTCGAGCCCGCCAAAGCCGGTGAGCAATGGGCTCTGGCCCTGAACGAAAATGGACAGTATCTCGCTTGCACCACGCACGACGGCCGCATCAATGTCTACGACACCGCCACCATCTCCGACTCCACCGCTTCCAAGATTGCGCGATTTGAAACGAAAGGTGTCTTCGCCCTCTGCGTCGACCTCTCCCCCGACAGCCCATGCACAATGACGGCCTCGGGCCATCAAAACGGCACAATCTTCATCTTCAGCAACACCACGCAGCGACTTGTCCACGCCCTCACTGGTCTCATCAAACCCGTCCGAAGCGTCAAATTCTCCCCCGCCTGCAAGTACCTCGCTGCGGCCGGCGACGCGAGGATAATTGCTCTGTACGACACTCAGTCCGGAGAGCAAGTGGCGAACCTCACCGGCCATGCGAGCTGGGTGATGAGTCTGGATTGGAACTGGAGCGGCGAGTATCTGCTGAGTGGCTGCTACGACGGTAAGGCCAAAGTGTGGAGTCTGGAGCGCAGAGAGTGCGTCGCCACGCAGACCGAGAGCGACAAGTGTCTATGGGCCGTGAAGTGGTTGCCGCTCGTGAAGGGGGCGAGGAGTGAGATGTTTGTGACTGCGGGTGCGGGCAAGACGTTGAGCTTCTACCGCGAGGCTACTGGAAGCTAGACCCGTGAGGGCAAGAACATCGCCGGCGCGCAGCGTAGCCCATTGCGCGGCAATGATATAGATGACATGATGCGGAATGACTGCAATAAACAATCATCAGCTGCTTCAGATTGAACGTCGCGAAGATGCAATGCTCGCAGGAGATTCGCTCAACGCATGCTACATCTATCTCGGCCCTCCGTTACGGCCTTCAGGTCTCGTTCCCTCATCTTCGTCCTCCTCTGCGAGGCTGAACTTGTCTCGCCCACCGCGATTGGAGTGGCCATTGGCGGTAAGGTCATCCAGCTCGCTTTCGTCAAAAGCCGCCGCAGCCTCGATGTCGCGCGTTTCCTTTCGTCTTCCTCCGTCAAGGCCCATGCCACCGCCAGCTCCATCATCGTAAGGGTCGGAGCTGAAGACCCCCCGATACCCCTTTCGCCGGCGTCGATCGCGAAGCACAAAGAAGCCCCATGCGCTTGTGGCGGTTAGCACAACGACAAGCGCCGCTTCACCAGAGCGTCGATACGCCAACCACGTTGCCGCCTCCAATTTCGCGTCCTCTTCCTCGCTCTTCGCGGAGCCGGGCGCAGACACATCGCCGACCGACGTCTCCGGGCCCTTCTCTCCATCCAGTCGACTATCCGCCGGCGTCCCGCCAATGCTCGAGATGTCAACGCCCATGAATCGGTCCAGCATGTCTCTTGTCCTTCGCGGGTAGTCGAAAGGCACCATGTGGGAGGAATTGTAGAAGCGGATATATGTTAGATTCCTGGCGGTCTGCCATTGCCCAGCCGGTTCGCCTTCAAACGTCCAGTCTTGCTTTGGAGCAGTCATGCCCGGTGACATCTCCATGCCCTTTCCACCATTCCACTCAAGGTTATTGATTAGATTCTCGATTCCGACGTGGTTACAAATAAGGTCTTTGTCGCCCGCGAAGAGAATGATGGGGAGTTGCTCGAGCAACCCAGGCAGCAATTTGACAGATGGCTGGTCGTTCTTTGCGTTGAAAGCACTGCCCACCTGGCCGTTGCATTCTGTCCAGCCTGTTTTCTTGTCGGGATTGATGTGAAGCGCCTGAAGCACATCGTCGCGACGGAGGTAGGGGGTCAGTTGCTTCAAGTCGGGCGGCCAATTCATCCCACACGATGGGTAAGAGTCCTTCTTGCGAACATCGTAGACGTTGAAGCACTCCCGGGCGCCGGCAAGATCACGGTTGAGGCCGTGCATGATCAGCTCGCAGGCATAGTGGTCCACGTGATCTTTGGCGCCTGCCGCAAGCTCTTTCAGACATGTCTTTTCCTGCCGTTGTGCATTCTGGTCTGCCTGGCTGCCCTTTTGCAGGATGCCGGTCTCGTAGGCGAAAGGAATATAAGAGATGTACTGATCGGGGCCCGAGATCCATCCGTTGCCAATCAATAGTCCATGAAGATTCCACGCGTCGTGAGCTGGTTTTTTCTTATTCCGCTCCAGGATCGCTTGAGCGATGTAAGGAATATACTGCCCCGCATATGACTCCCCACCAATGTACAAGTCGTCGTGCATGTACTCCGGGAAAAGCACAAACCACTTCTCCAAAAATGTGATCATGTGCTCAGCCATCTGAGGCAGATCGTGTGTCATCGAATCTCCGTCCACGTAGCTAAACCCCGTTCCCAGCGGCTGGTCCACAAACAGAAGATTGGCAAACTCATCCCAGCTGCCATCGTTGTAGCGCAATGTCCCATCTTCGTTTACTCTGTATGGCCCAATTTCCATCAATGCGCCATCCATGCTACTACAGCCTGGTCCTCCGTTCAGCCATATGACGGTTCGAGGTCGATTGGCGAGATTCCGGTTTTTGTAGAGCCAGAAGAAGATGTTGCCATGGTGCTCGGGAGTGATTGCGACGTGGCCGGACCACATTTTGAGGAGAGGTTCGGGCGCACCAGGGAGGGAGTGGATGAAGTAGTCGGCGGCAGACTTTTCCTGCTCTTGCGCCAGCGCTGGCCATATCAAAGAAGATAGGACAGAGAGGAGGAGCAGGGGTAAGCAGGCTATCCGTCGCGAAGACGGCGCACTGCGGGTGTGAGACATGGTGTTCCAGTCGTGGCTCTGTTGTCACTACTGGCTCGGCATGGTACTCGTCCGCTGATGATGGTGCTGACAGGTGCGGCACCGGCGCCGTAGTGCGAAAGCGGTGGTGGAATGTCGAGGAGAGAGTGGAGGTGCACGCCTGAGCGGGAGAGATGGCGCAAGGTTGCGCACGTGTGTGTGAAAGTTAAACTCGACTCCTGAGGGTGGGATGCTTTGGGCCACTTCACACCTCCTTCGGCTCTTCCATGCTGGCTCAAGGGTCTCGTCTGCCTGTAGTCCTCTTCGATGTCCAGGACTCCAATCTTATTGAGGAACACGAGATAAACAGAGTGGTTGAAGTCACGTGAACAGGCGACATGATCGGGGACATGATTACTAAGCATCGCGGTCCGTGTCGCGTTGTCCCAGGCGCGGACTTCATCTGACTGGCGCAGGGTAACAACATCCCACCTCCGCCAGCACTCTCCCCCCAACGACTTCTCTGCATGCGCAGACGAAACCTTCAACATGCCTATGTGAGTGACTCTTCATACTCAATGTCATCGGTAACGGTGAACTGACACTCAAATAGGCCGGGCGACCAGTACCGTGACAATGCAGCCACAACAAACCCCTTCGCCGAGATCAAACCTCACGTCACCGAGTACACAGCACGAGAGATTGCAACTCTGCAGAGCCGACTAGACAAACAACTCGGCCCCGAATATATCTCCACGCGGCCGGGCCAGGGCGGTGGCAAGGTTCACTATTTGGCGGCGGAAAAGGTGATCAACCTTGCGAATGAAGTCTTTGGCTTCAACGGCTGGAGCTCCGCGATCAAGAATGTCCAGATTGATTTTGTGGATGAGAACACCACAAACGGCAAGATCACCCTCGGCATCTCGACCATCGTTCGAGTGACGCTGCGCGATGGCACTTATCACGAAGATATCGGCTACGGCCACATCGAGAACTGCAAGGGCAAGGCCGCTGCCTTTGAAAAGGCCAAGAAGGAAGCGGCGACAGATGCAATGAAGCGAGCTCTGCGGAACTTTGGAAACGTCCTCGGAAACTGTCTCTACGATAAAGACTACCTACAGAAGGTCACCAAAGTCAAGATTGCGCCATCGAAATGGGATGCCGAAAATCTGCATCGCCATCCCGATTACGCGCCAATCAAAAGGGAGGCCATCGCCGACAGTGAGCAGCGACGTGACACCGACAAAGCCTCGGTGGCACGGCGAACCATTAGCGCACAATCTGGCGCCTCATACGGCTCGGTGGAGTTTGAGGAAGATTTCGGCGGTGACCCATTCGATGAGACCGGACCCGATGAAGTACGAATCGAAGGGACCGGGGGTGGCATCGACTCTCCTGCAACAAACGCGAGAACCCCGGTATCGCATGCTGGTCAGCAAAGACCAGGGCAGCCACAAACACATTCCATGCCAGCGACACGACCCCAGAGTGTAGCCCAAGGACAAGCACCCCCCAGGCCCCCTGGCCCTCCAAGAGCACCGAACAACGCAGCACACTTGCAGCCGGTAAAGCAGTTTCAGGGCCATGAGACGAGCAACGCCTCCATGCCCGCGCAAGACGCAGCCCAGAAGCAGCCTGACACGCCCGATGCGAGAACCAACTCTTCCTCCAACACCACAACGGAACTGCCTCCCCCGCGCGAACCGCCCCCGGGAATCCCTGAAGGCTTTGTCACGGGCAGGGGTGCGGAGATGCTCAATCAGCCTCCGAGCTCGCGACCACCGAACTCTGCCATTGCCTTCAATCCACATGTCGAGGCTTCGTCGATACGAAGAACGCACGGCGTGAATCCGGGAAAATCGGTCCCAATCATGAGGTCGGCTTTGAACATCAGCAGTGCCGCGAGTGACACGCAGCAAACGCCGGGGGCGCCACCAGGGCAGCTTGCCCATCCCCAGCCGCTCCCGAGCAATGGCTTGAATGGTGCTGCCGTGTCAGGACGTGTCAACTTCGTCAATCCCTCGGCCGACACGACCCGCCGCGTGGGCATGCCGCCATCAGCAGCTTCGCACACCATGCAGAACCGTTCTGCGTACAGGCCGCCGACTCCAGTGAAGAGAGCTCCGTTGTCCGATGTGAGCAATCTCCAGCAGATGGATGGGGCGGGAGAAGCAAAGAAGGCCAAGCTTGAGCACGCTGATGTGCCGGCCGAGGCGATGCAGGATGGTACAACAACCGCGGACGCGGCCTCGACATGATACCACATTAGATGAAACCGACCAGCGACGAGCCATAGTGGATGAGCCTTCCATATTCTCCGTTAGCCGAGAGGAAATGGTGACGGGTTCGATGGGCACGGCCATACCGGCTCGACGATAATGATAGCGACCATGAAATATTCAATCTCACGTCGTCTCCTTTCTCACGCGAGGCAGTCCGGCAAAGTCCTCCATCTCGCCCATAGGCTTGCCTGTTTCGTCCCTTCTCACCCGCAAGGCTTTGTGTGGAGCCTTCGCAGGCCCGTTTTTCTCTGAGACGTCGGAGGAAGCGCTTCCACTTTCCCCCGCCATTCTGGAGATCAGTGTAGCTTTGGCCTGCGCGTCCTTGAGTCTGTCATCGAAATCGGTAACCGCGTCTTCGTTGTTCTCTGTGGGCAGAGTCTCGACATCAGTCAGATCTTTCAAGCGCTTCACATGTTTCTGCATCCGGGCATTCTCAGACAACGCCAGCGCAGAAGAAGTGCTTTGAGACGATGGGCTGGGAGAGATGCGCGCATTCCAGACTGCTGCTCTGCCGGCGAGTTGGCCCATTGCGATGTACTTTTCAAAGCCCTTTTCGAGCCCGAAGATCCGTCCTTCGATTCGCCCAGCGCGTGAGCCATCTGCGATACCGAGATCGTAGCCTTCTTGGTAGTACTGTTCTTCGAGATTGAGGAGATTATCGAACGGGTCCATTGTGCCTGTTTCGCATCGGTTGTCTGTCGACCAAGATGATTGATTGATTGCGGTGGAGCGTGCACTCTTGTAACGTGACAACGTGAAGGCGCCGATGCGTCCGTGCGCGACAGTCGAAGATCCGACGCCGAATACCACCTCACCCATCACACATCAGCGCCGAGATGCGCCATTGTAACTACTGTTCCCCCCACACATATTAATGCCTGTTACTCTTACTGATGAGCTGTCTCCTCTTCTGGATGCTCAAAGCGCGTCTCCCAATGTAGCACTTCGCGAGCAGATTCGCCGATGTTACATTCTTTGCGTCGTTCGTCTCGCGCTCATATGGCTCCAATCCTTTGAGAGGAGGTATAAGTACGAATCTACGGTAGGGCTGCTTTCACCAGATCCCTGTTTTCGCTTTCACTCGTATCTATCACTACAAAATCATCCTCTTCAGCGCCATATCTCGTGAAGCACGAACAACATGTCTGTGACCAGCCCTGCTCCCAATTCAGCACAGCCATTGAAGTATCTCACCCCCTCTTGTCAGCAAGTCGCGCATGAAGACCTCTCCGGCACTACAGCTGGCCGCTGGGTTATTCGGACTTGCCTCGCCGACCCCGCCATTTTGCCGGCAATCTCTCAGCATGTCTGTCACGGCGTGGCCTTGACGCCAGCTGGATTATACACCGACATGGCAGCCGTTGCTGCTCGACATATCTGGCGATCCGACCGCGGTCACGACGCGGTCACTCCAGCAATCAAGGTCTGCAATCTGTCGGTGACAAAAACCTACATCATCGCCATACCTCCCAAGCCCACTGGACAGTGGCTCGAAATGGAAGTCGTGCCAGAGATATCGCCATTCAGTTCGGGAGATCTCCTGGATGCTACTGTTCACTGTCAATTCCGAAGCATCACACCCGACGGCGTCAAGATCAACGACTTGGCGAGTTGTAGCGTCGTGTACGAACTCGATCATGCATGGCTGATGTCCTGGTCGCATTTCGCCCCCACCATCCTTGCTAGGATATCGAAGCTGCACGTTCGTGCAGCGACGGAGACTTCCGGCGACGTGATGCACATGCATCGTGGCAAAGCTTACGAGCTATTCCAAAGCTTCGTCGACTATGGTCCAAAGTATCAGAATATGGCCGAAGTCTACGTCGACACACAAACGCTCGAGGCTACTGCGACGCATGCTTTCCAGCCGGATCCAGCCACCGATTACACAACACCTTTCTATATGGATGGCTCGTGTCATATATCCGGATTCGTCGTCAACGCCATCGTAGACACGGAAAAGAACGCATATATCTCGCAAGGCATTGAGTCAATGAAGCTCTCGTCGAAGTTTGATCCGGAGGACCACCACGCGGAGATCAAAACGTACGTGCACATGGAGACGATGCCAAACGACAAGACCGTGATGCGCGGAGATGTCTACGTCTTGCAGAACGAGGAAATCGTGGGTGTTTGGGAGGGGATTAAATTCAAGCGAATCCCAAGAAAGGCGCTGAACGTCTTCTTGCCACGGCCGAAGGTGTAGTAAAGGGGCATTGTGCTGTTTGCAGGCGACGATGACGCTTGTAATCAGAGACAATCGATCACGATAAGTAAGTATATGAGGTGGATGTTAATGTACGAGAGGGTGTAAAGCGCACACATGCCATGATGACAAGTGCGCAGATGAGACAAGGGCTGTCTATCACAGTGTCTAATATTCTCGATCAACCAAGTTTTTCTGGCTATTGACTGAATCCTCCACAAGTCGAGCGGCATTCTTCGTACCAAGGACGGGTCGGAGGAAGAGCTGCCTCCAAATTGATCTTGCCTGTTTTCGTAGCGGTGGAGGCTCGCCGCTCGTTGCGCGTCGCCGAACGCCACGCTGGACCCAAAACAAGTCATTGTGCCGAGTTTGAAAATCTCTCTAGCCAGTCGCTGCGCTCATCTCTTTTGATTCTTGGGCCGGGGCTTGCATTCGTCCCCTTGGACGGGATGGAGCATGATCTTGGTCGGGTACTGCGGGTTGTTGAAGGAATAGCCTTTGCTCCAGTCATAGCTGACAGCGTACGCGAAAATGTTGCCCGTTCGGTTGAAATCGGTAGCGGTCAAGCTTCCGCCTACTTCAGGGTAGCCCTTCAAGCGATGTTTGGCGTCCTTGTCCCAGAAGTGAAATGTGCCATCCGAGCCTGCAGTGCTGAACGTGCCGTGCTGCGGATGGAAGGAGATGGCGTTGACCGCGTAGACGTTACTAGGGGCGTTTGCGCTGGTTGTTGTCGTACCTGTTGTGGAAGGGGGAGTCTGTCGATGGCATTTGAAGCTGAAATTGTTGCTTTGGTCCTTGTCGTCGACGTATTGGATGGCGCAGCGGCCCTCGATGCTGCCGACTGCGAAGCCGGAGCCGTCGGTGAAGGTACTCACCACTCTCGTCTGCCATTTGAGCGGTGATTGAATGGTCTTGAAGAAGGCGGTGGGGTTCTTGAGGTCGACGATGTGAATCCAGCGCTCTGCGGTGCCGATGACGAGCATCTCGTTCCCCCGCACGTCCATGCTATACACACGGTCCTTGCACTCCAGGCTTGCGACTGGCTGTTGCTGCCGTAGATCCCAGTACTTCACCATCTTGTCCCAGGAGCCGGTGATGAGCATGGGCGAATTCTGCACGGTGATGGCGTCGACACAGCGGATGGGTTGGTCGTGGGCAGCGACTTGCTGGGCTTGTGATGCGCCGGCACCGAGGTCCAGCATGCGGGCTGCTTTATCTGCGCCACCGCCAAACACTTTCTGTCCGTCCTGTTTCCTCGTCAGCGCATGATATTGCCCGCTCGGGGGGATGATGGACGCATACACTGCTCCAGCAACAGCTCAAGACCGGTCCTTCGTGATCGAACAATGCCTTCCCTTGGGTATTTCCATTTTGATCCACTTCATATATCCGCACCTTCTTGTCCCAGCTTGCCACGGCGAGGTAGTCTGCGACAGGGCTGAATCGGATGGCGGATATGCTGTCCTCTGGCGGGCTGGTGACTGCGATGTCTTTGGATAGATCGCCCTGGGTTGGATTCGACGAGGAAGCTGCTGATGCCTGGTTGCTACCGAAGAGCGACATCTTGCTGGACGGTGAAGGACGAGAGGGTTTTCGCGGAAGAAGACGTAGGGGGTGTTGCTGCGCTTTATTCACGAAGGAACTTGAAGTTGCAGCTCCGGTCTACGCGCCGAATAAGGTTGGCGCTATGCCGCTAGTGCCCGCGCGCTAGCGGCCGCACCTAGAAAATCGTGCAGCGCTCACGCCTCACTTTCTTTGTGCAACTCCCTCGCTCGAACAATCGCATTACAAGCTTCACACGGACACGCTTGATCTCAGGCATCGTCAAGATATATGGCTTGTGGGAAAGTCCCCGGACGTCCTGTCCTTGGTGGCGGGAGTGCTGTAAAGCGCCGCCATAGGTAGGTCACTTTGCATCTGCCTCCTGCTGTGTACTAATCAATTGCAGAAGCATTTGCGGCTCATCTCACTCCAACCTCCATCCGCTGCGGACACCGTCTCACCGTCTGCACTCCGACTCGGATGCTTCGCTGCTCGGACTGGTGTGAGTCTGCGGGCCCGATCACTTCGGTGGTCGTCTCGAAAGAGAAGACGAGGATAAGAGTCTGCGCTCCTTGCTCTTCCAGTCTCTGCTGCAGCGTCGTGGACGAGCTGTGAGGAGGTGGGCGGAATCTGTCCGATAGCCAAGTTGGGCTCGGGTCGCTGTGAGAGCATTTCGTCGCGGTCGAATAGATATGCGATTGCTCGTCTGTTGGCTGGTGCCGTCATTGCTCGCGCATCACTCGATTTGCTTGCAAAAGCGGCTTCAGCACGACGGCGGGTAACTCGATGGGGCTCATTCTTGATGCGAGGGGGTTCGCACCATCTTTTCGGGTCCGCTGGGTGAGATTCAGGCTCACGCCTACGCTGTGTCGAAGCAGCCGGACTCAATCACGTTTCAAGCGGCGTTCAGGTGATGATGACAGCAATAGAGTCAAGCACTGACGCTACTCTCTTACGAGGTGGTGGTTGATGCTACAATTTGCCTACGACGGTATCTGATGAACGTTGCCCCAAGAAACTTTGATAGAGCAAGAGACATGTCGCCTTGAGCACATATATTTCCGTTTGATGGCATGAGTCCATCATCGAAGAGACGCTCCCTCATTGCTTCACGTTCCTTGCTCGACTTCCCTTGCCTTGCTCTCACTTCCCTTGCTCACTTCCCTGACTTCACTCAGTAGCAGCGACCTTCATAGCTTCTTAAGAGCTCTGGCCTTCTTCCACCTCGGTCTCGTCCGCCATGATCCCCTCGTCCTCCACGAACCCTTCATCCTCCTCGACATCCATGAATTCGAGCTCGCCCTGGGCATTCTTGATGAGGTAGCCACCGCTGGTTTTGTTCCACTGATCGCTGTTACGGCTTAGCATGCATTCGATCCGTTAGGCAGCATATGAGACTTACCGAATCTCCTCACCGCTTACTTTGGCGTCCGTCAACCCGTCGCACATTTCGTTGAACCTGGCTGCGATGTTCTCCCACTGCTCATCGCTGATGATCTCTGGTGCGAAGTGATTGGCAATGATGACCATCGCGAAGAGCTCGACATCTTGGGTCCAGCGAAAGCCATTCTCGTCACAGGTAAGATCCATGTTGTGCCGATGGACCGAATTGATTGCTTGTTGAGGAAGATTGTGTGTAATCCGAGTGTTGGTAGGTAATGTGGAGGTTGTTGTAAAAGAGAAGGAGAAGAATAGAAGAAAGAAGAATATATACAGCTGCGGTCACATGCCACGCACGCGCTTCAGTTCATTCAGTTCATTCCTGCGCTTCACTTCAATGCCATATATTCTCAATGAGACAATCTTCATCTTCCCACAGATCATCGTCCTCGAGAAGACATTCTTCGTGGCTCCAGGAACTCGCCCCGTCTGTCAGATATTCTTCAGTCTGCTCTTGCCAGTCCGCCGTGGCATGGTCTTCGAGATCGTAGAAGTCTAGAATGTCTTCCTCGTCTTCTCGGTCTTCCATCAAATCAAAGTCTTCAATGAGCTCTGCCTCGTACCTTACGTCTGTCCAACTGTCTTGGCTTGAGTCAAGGAGTTCATAACCGAGATCATGATCGGTGCCTGTGTCTCCTCTGCCATCGCTCAGCGGCTCGAGCCTCCTTGCCGCGTGTGGACGGTAGCTACCACTGGCCAGCATCCGCCATAGAAGTACGGAAGGCGTATCTGGTGAGACGTAGCGTCTCTTTGCAGCAACGTTGGGATCGAGTGAGCTGTCAAATCTGCTATCCTGCATGCTGCAGACCATCCCCAGTGCACACCGGATGGTGGGCAGAAAGACAGCACGGGTTGCCACATTCGAGAGAAAGCCGGGGGACCACAGCGCTGGCGCCACTTCAGATAGCTGGCGGAACGATTGTAGAGCTGTGATGGCCACCCCATTGCCCAGGGCTCGCGGGGATTCTGTGATTGCAACTCGGATTGCAGCGTCAATGAGGTGCATAGCTGCGTCGCTCTTCGCTACGGCTGACGATGAAGAGTCGAACCCGCCACCGGCGTCGTCCTCCATGTAGTCTGGAGTCAACAACATGATGTCGTCCATTGGCTCTGCTAGCTCGCCATCATCGTACAACATCCAATCATTCCACACCGACAAGTGCGCAGGAGGTTCGTCTTCGTCCGGCCGACAGTAAGAAACAGCTCCGCGCTCAAGGTTTGCAGCGGAAAGTGTCATTTGTGAGTCCCCAACAGCTTGGGCATTCGTGGGTATACCTGCCGGTCGGGCATCCTTCCTCCGCTTCCATTGACGACTCTGCTCGAATTCAAAAGTCAGATGGACAGATTCCAGGATAAGATGACGGACACCTTCGGGCGGATGGATATCGAGATGAGGCACATCAACGCCCAGCTTGTGCATTCTGGGCGTGGCAGGGTGAGTTGAGCTGGTGTCTGGAGCCAGATGGATGGTGATGAGCTGGGCATCCTTGGTCGACTCTTGGTGCTCGATCGTCGTGGTCGCCAAACATAATTGTTGCCATAGCTAGAACCTAGATCAGCCATTGCCATCGAGCATAAAGGACCTCTGTCACCTCTGCGTTCTTCAGCCTTGCAGCCAAGGTCTCGATCAGAGCCGGTTGAGACTCCACATCGAGGACGTGTGAGGCGGGCAACTCCAGCCGCAACTGGAAATCAGAGGCCCATGTCGTCCACAAGGGCGGATTGCTGGAAATGTTTAGAGAACGGGAGGTCAGCTCAGAGCGAACACGATCGACGTCATCCTCTTCGGATGCAACAAAGGTGGCACGACTAGACAGACGAAGGCGCAGTCCGGAATCTTTGGACGCAAGCTCAACGCTGCCCAGGTCGGCTTCTACACGAGACATCATGATATTGAGAAGTCGCTTAGTGGCATGCCATGACGGTGAAGAGATTGTCTCGATCGAGCAGAGAAAGTGGCGAGTGCTGGAACTAGATGTAGGGAATGTTGCGAGGAGAGGTGCGGTGCAGCCTGAGGCCACAACCGCGAGTCTTGTCCGAGCTTTAAGTCGGCGACATCTCTCCCACGACCACCTACCTTCTCAAGCCTCTAGACGGCCCGGTCGACATGGCACAAAGACTATGCGCCCCCGTACGAGTCTCAAATCTGGCAGTCTGGTATTTGGACGCGATTTGCGCGCTCGGGCAAGATGGGAAGATGCTCCTCGGCGCGAGCATCATGGCCTGTGATGGCAGGACGCTGCAGTCTCCTCGCATATATGGGGTGGTAAGGCTGAGGACGCCTTGCCATGGGTGGCGTTAAAAGTAGGTCAACACTGGAGGAAAGAAGTACAGCACTGCCTGCAGGTGCACCACAAGTTGGACGACTCTTGCGACGCGCAAAGTCGATCGCTCATCTGGGACCTCCTCTTGATTCGCCATACACGCCAATCAGTCACTTGGATCACCCTAGCCCCCTTTCTTTCGTGTCTATAAGACCTGCATATCTTCTGTCAACAGCATTGTCATGAACCCCTGCGGCAAGAGTTGAACCGGTGTCTGGAGTCAACGACGCCTGGTAGTGCTTGCTCCTGATACATCCGACCCCCGGCGTGCTATGCATACTCGCCTTTATTACCCTTGGACGCTCTTTGGTGCTGCTGCGGGCCTCCAGTGTGATCTTGGGTGAGATTGCTGATACACTTCCCTTCGCACTCTTCCCACAGCCGCCGGGCCTCCACTCACTCCGAGCATCGCTCTAGGCAAGATGGAATACAAGATCGGTGATGTTGTCCCGAGCCATTTCGAACCCGGCATCGTCGCCGGAGCCTACATCGCCAGCATTTGCGGATGCCTACTCACCGTGGAGTGGCTGCACAGACGCGTTACCGGCCTGCAGAACATCAGAAGCTGGTGTGATTGTCGCAGTGAGATATGCGCAAACAACAGGAGCTGACTGGATCCCCAGGCTTGATACCTTCGCATGCGCCACGGCCTTGGGCGTTGGCGGCGTCTGGGCAATGCACTTCATTGGCAACAGAGCAATCATCATGGACAGCGGCGACGCCACGCTTCAACTCGTCTACGACCCTCGCTTCAGCATCCTCTCCGTCTTCCTACCCATCATCGGCTTGTCCGTCGCCTTCACCGTCGCGGAGTATCCCTTGCATTCAAAGACACTGGAGCGGGCTGCTCTGGCCGCTACTGGTATCTTTGCGGGCTTGTCAGTAGTGGGGATGCACTACACGGGTAACTTTGGCATCTACAATTACCACCTCCACTACCGAGCCCGTTTTTTCGCAGTGTCCATCATCATCGCAATCGGCGCCTGCCTGGCCGTGCTCACCCTGTTCTACACCGTCAGAGAGAAGTGGATCAATTCTTGGGAGAAAAGAGGCTTCTGCGCCGTATTCTTGGCTGCCGGCGTCACGTCCATGCACTTCACCGCAGCGACGAAGTGCATCTACAGGCTGAAAGCCTTCCATGGGCCTGCTGCACTCCACTCGAGAAATGTACAAGTGATTGTTGCAGGGGTCATCTGCGGAAGTGCAGGTCTAGGTGCCTTGTGCTTTCTGTTAATCACGCGCCGCCGCACCGCCGTCCTCAAGAGATGCTCTCAGAAGGTCATGACATCGTGTGCCATCTTCGACGCTGCTGGCCGCATCCTGGTGACCACGGACGGCGTCCTGCCTTCACGAGAAGTGGCGGATCAATTCTACATGAAGCCGTTCGATGACGACTTCGACACCACGCACCCGGTGTTTCAATGGATCTTCCGCGTATCCCGCAACTGGTCTGCTATGAGCGACTTGATCCCCAAGATGAGAGGCCATTTACAGCTGCACAAAAGTGACAGGGGAATGTGGGATACTGGAGTTGATCCCCACGAGGTCAGCGAGCATAGCCCCGCCCCGGACTACTCGATCATCTTTCGCGAGAGGTTCTGCATCGCTGCCGCCTCACTTGCGTCCGCCCTTCATGTGCCCCTCGAGAACGTGGGTGTCCTCTACGACACGATCGTGGACACTGGGACTCTCAAGAGCGAGCAGCCGTTTTGGCGGCGCCGTAGCATTGCGAACGCCGAGGAGAATGCATCGGATGTGGAGATGGCTGTCGGAGTCGGGGGCTTTGGCAAAGGCCATTTGCTCTTTCTCACCAGACGCGTGGAAGAAGCGGACGTTGACAAGTTTCTCAACGCTGGCTTCAAGTTTGCAACACTTCCAAGGATTGGCCCCACCATCGCGGACACTCTGCAAATCACTCTACCCGCACTGGAAATGCACATGGCTTCTCTCGTGCGCTTCAACGACAAGTTTTGGGATCTCCACAAGCCCGGAACGTGGCTCAGCTGCTTCGCACTCATCCCCAAGTGTGGAACAAAGGGGTTTGATGTTGCCGTGAGGAGCGACTATCGCGATCAACTGCCCGACGTTCAACTGCTACCATACGAGCCGCTTTCATGGCAGATGGAGCTTCTGGGAGCCATACACGAGGCTACTCCCAGCCACGCCGTGAAACACCTCAAAGGAATTCGGACCAGCGGCCTTCGAACCGACGAGCAGCGCTTTAGTATGATAGTCGCGGACGCAATTGAACAACTCCTCAAGCAACTCCCGGCGCAATGCATGAGCAATGCGAGGTTCTACGGACAGCCTGTCAACGTGCACTATTCTCGTGGCCACCAAGCAACGGCGACGACCGTTTTCTCCTTTGTGGCCGTCGCTGACCTTCACACCTCATTCGACGCATACCTCAACATCACCCGCACGCCGTTGTCTTTCTTCAACGTTCGCCACCAAACCTATGCGGGCTCGCCGCACCATGCCGCTCTGGCCCGCGACATCCATCGTGAATTCGGCCCGCCCCTTCCCCGTCCCTCACTCAATCGCCGCTGGACAAGGGACAGCAAAGCCACGGGTTCATCGCTTCATACTGCCAGGGAGACCCCCAACAAAGTCAGGAAAGAGCAGTCGACGACGTACACCATCCAGAGCGCAGACGATGCTTCAAGCGACCACACCGCCTCATTCGAAACCTATGATCTCGCCGACTACCCCCGCTCCCCGCGTAGCCGCAAGTCCACCGGGCTCAGCCCGTTCATCGATCGCGACAAGAAACTGGGCGGCATTCTCGTGGACAGCGAGACGCTTGTCAGGTCCGACAGCAAGAGCGACTGCGACCGGTCTCTCAGCCTCGACATGGGGTTTGGCTTGGGCACGACCGTTGCGATCAGCTCGGGTAACTCGGAGGAGACTTTTGTTGATCAGCTCCTTGCATTTGCTCGGGCTACGATCTTGAAATCACACGACTTATGAATACGACGATCATGACTTTGAACGATGCATGAACACTGCGATATTACTCTGCGTGCGGGCTCTCTTGGGTGCTGAATGCGAGAGCTTCGTGTGCAAACCTATGAATGTGTCAAGCAGATTGCGGTTCACGGAATGAGCATCAAGATGATCGCGTATCGAGCCAATGTAGGCATTCCTCCCTCTAAACCCACGATCGCCATCCCACACTCAGGTCGGCTTCGCTTCGGCCTCCTCGATGCTCTTGACGACGCGCCTAACCCGCCTCCTGGCATCAATGTACATCATGAATTCGGAGTAGGTCCTCGGCATGACCTTGATATCCTTGTCGACAGTGAAGGTGTAATTGAACTGGCCCGTTGGTTTGGTCTCTCCATGCTCGACATTCCGTACTTTGCTGTCCACCCGGACCTGCACACGAGTTCGATGGCCAGCTGCTCCACTCTCGCCGGAATCATTGTGATCTGATGCTCCTTGTACTACGGGAGGGTCTGTGTAGACGACTGTAGCGGTGAGGTAGAGTACGCTACCAACAGGCACGGGATTTTGAAAGGTGCTGGGGTCGAGGGACAAGAAGGATGGCCTTGTCCTGGAAAAGCTGGCGGCGCAGCAAAAAGCCAGCTCTAACGATGCCGTCAGCATACGGTCCACAGAAGAGGCGTGTGTTGAGACTTACCGAATGTCTGTTTCAATAGATAGCCTCCGAACACCATGAATTGATGCCGGTTGCGGTATTGGGGCTGCATGATGCTCGCGGTATTGAGTCGGGTGCTTTCCATGGAATGCACGCTCTCGGGCTTGCGTAAGGCATCGTTTGGGTCGTGATATCGCAGCTGCCTCTGCCAGATGGAATGGATCAAGTCGCTTTCTTCGTCGTCGGGTGTCTGCCGGAGCAGCGACCTTTTGGCCAGTGCTTTCCGCTCATGGCTGTTCTTCTCGCCTTGCGCAAAGATGCGCTTCTCCTCGGCCGTTTCGAGCAGTAGGTGGGGGATTTCGACGGGTTTCTTGGTGGCGGGGTCGAGCGAGACCATGGTGCACTGGCAGGTGATCATGATGTCTTCAGGCTTGACTGCCTCGCCTTCCTTCGGGGCTTTGGCGACCTGCAAGCTGATTTCCATGCTGCTCTTGCCGGTGTGCGTGACCATGCCGCTCAGCTCGAGATCACAAGTGTCGTTCAAGGCGTGGTTGATGGTGATACGATCAAAGGCGGCGGTGACGGTGGTGACGGAATCGCCGGTGTGTTTGTACGCTACTACTCCACTCAACGCATCCAAGTCCATGAACAGCGTGCCCAAGCGTATATGGCCGGAAGAGTTGGCATAGGTGTCGAGCAGCCAAGGATCTCGGCCGAGGGGAATCACCTAAGTCCCGCAGATCAGCCAGTGGACTGACGGAGTGTGGTGTTGAGGGGGAGGGCACGCACAACGCTGTGATAGCTGTCCTTCATCCTCTTTGGCGCCAGATCCCGCTCTTTCGGAGGGGGCGAGACGGCAGCGGCGCCGCTCTGCCCGCTCGGGTCATTTTGTTGCGCTCGCAAAGCTTCGATCCACGGCTGGCCAACGCGTTGGGCAGTCAGTTCCCGGAAGACACCATCGGTTCTGTGTGGTGGGGAAAGGGAAAAGGGTCGGCGGCTGACGGCGACAAGTCTAGGTCGTATACATCGGCGGAGGTGGGAGATGGTACGACGTGTTATCGCAGGGGACGGCGGCATTATAGATACCTATGGAGGCAATCGTTCATGGCGTGTTGGACAGGCCGCGGCGACGAGGTGAGGTCGGGTTCGCCGTCCCACCACTTTTGCCTGGGCAGCTGCAGCCTCATCGACCGTCGCCTCCTTCCCACCTCGAGGCAACACGTGAGAGGGAAAAGGGCAGGGGCAAGATATGCTTCATCCATGCCCTCCCAAGCTGCGGCGAAATGGGGCAGATGGAATACCTCTTCGACGGCGGGAAAGGGCCGGTGACGACGTGATGCGGTGCCTTGAGGCGCTCCGGAGTCTATTCCATGACTTGCGATGACCTCACATCGACTTCATCGCCCCAGCATTGGAGATGAAATGAACTAGAAATCATCCCAGACTCGTTCTATTCTCGTTACTTCAATCTCCACACACCTCATCTTGTCTCTGCCATTCAACGTTGTGCCGTCATGGACCCCAACAGCGAGAATAAGAAGCATCGAACAACGCCAGAATGGGCTCAATATCAGCGCGAGAATCTCTGGGCGGCGAATGAAGGCAAAGTCCCTCCGTTCAATACTGGTATTCCAATCCCATCCTATCACTTTCTTCATCAACGCTGATGCGTCGTCAGATCCCGGCAAACTCGAGGAGCGAGCGCAAGAAAAGTTGACCGAAGGCGGCTGGTTCTACGCCTCTTCCAATGCCGGCCAATCCGAAACCCATCTCGCCAATCGCCAGGCCTTCTACCGACACAAAATCGTCCCGCGCATGCTCGTCGACACCAACAAGCGCGACACCGCCGCCGAAATCTGGGGCCACAAAGTCAGCGCCCCCATCGGCTTCGCCCCCATCGGCATCAACAAAATCTACAACAAAGACGGCGAACTGCCCGTCGCCAAGGTCGCAGCCGAGCTGAACCTGCCATACGCCCTCTCCACCGCCGGCTCTCAGCCGATCGAGGCGGTGGGCAAGGCCAATGGCAACGGCCCGCGTTTCTTCCAGCTGTACATGCCGCACGATGACGAGCTGACCATCTCGCTCCTCCAACGCGCCCACGACTCGGGTTTCACCGCTTGCATCCTCACCGTCGACACTTGGCAACTAGGCTGGCGGCACAATGATGTGGCCACTTCCGACTACGCCTTCTATTACGGCGTTGGCGCTGATCTCGGCCTGTCCGACCCAGTGTTCAAGAAGAGATTGGCGGCCGCTGGCATCGATCCAGTCAAGAACCCCAATGAAGCCGGGGCTTTCTGGATTGACCAGGTGTGGCATGGACGTGCTTGGTCGTGGGAAAAGATCCCCTGGCTCATCCGCACGTGGAAGGAGATCAGTGGTGGCAAGCCCTTTGCCATCAAGGGCGTTCAGAGCGTGCTCGATGCCAAAAAATGCGTGGAACTAGGCTGCGATGGCATTGTCGTCTCGAATCACGCGGGTAGACAGGTGGACGGGGCTATTGCAAGCCTGGATGCACTGGAGAACATTGCCAATGGTAAGATGCATCATTGTCGTGTACTTTGTGCATGCTGACCATCACAGCTGTCGGTGACAAGATCTACATCATGTACGACTCGGGAATCCGAGGAGCCGCCGACATCTTCAAAGCCCTGGCATTAGGCGCTAAATTTGTGTTCGTGGGACGTTTATGGGTCTATGGTCTCTCGTGAGTACAGCTTCAGTTGATGGAGTAAGATGACAGCACGGTCTAATCTTGACGACAGCATCATGGGCGAGACCGGCGTTCGACACGTCATGAAGGGGCTCTTAGCGGACCTTGACATTATGTTTAATGTAAGTACCGAAGACAATTGGCCATGCTGACCAGTAACTGACGCTTCGCCAGGTCGCTGGATGCCAAAATGTCGGCCAAATCGACCGGACTTGGCTTGAGAGTCATCCCAAGGGAGGCTCGCTTCTTCGAGAGCGAAGTAAGATCTGACGATCCATTGATCATCGGCTGCATTGGAGACAATCGTTCATTCGGGGCCAGCATGGCGGTCGCATAGATACATAGGCATTGGGGACACGAGTAGACGTCGTCTCAAGGATCGAAAGTCCAAGCTCTGACCTCCCCATCATCGCCCGTCGATACCAGGATCTCTTCTCCTTCGTATCTCCTGCCCTTGTCCGCCCGTGGTGCCCAGCAGACATGATTGATCTCAAACACATCGTGAGAGTTGTCGATGTCGGCAACAACCACCCATTCGGTGAGCGATCTGTCCTCTACTCCAGTAGAGACGCCATTTTCCCCGTCCGACATGACAGTGTCCCCGTTTGACTCCGCTTTGGCGGTGGATCTCAAGCGCTCTTCGTACACCACGATTCTTCCATCGCTGCCAGCACTCACAATTCTCCCCGTCTTCTTGCTCCAGCTTACTGCGTATACAGCTGAGTCGTGGACAGCCGGTAGCCGTGTCTCCTCCACCCACTCTTCCTCGAAATCGCGGTTCTTCCATATGCTCGGGGTCCCCGCTTGTGCACTGGCAGACGTGGACTTCTCCTTCGGTATGCGGCGCCAGATTCGTATTGAGCGATCTTCGGAGCAAGAGAGCAGTCGCGGACCGGTCTCCTCTCGCTCAGCAAGCAGCTTTTTCTGCTCCTCTGAGATTCCCTCCGTCCCCAGTCTCTGCACTCCACCGACTCCCTCAAACTCCACCCACCACACCGTCCCCTTGTGGCCCTTCAAAAGCGAACAACACGCCCAATCGTCCAGGTCTTCCCTCCACAACCGGATGGTATCATCATAACTCCCACTCGCCAACAGCGCCTCGCTAGGATGCCAAGCAACACATTTGACATCGCCCTCGTGGTCCTGCAACACCGCCACCGTCTCGAAATTGTCATCGTCCAGCTCCTCCCAGATCCACACCGACTTGTCGCGCGACGATGTAGCAAGCAAAGGCGCAACGGGAGAGAAAGCCAGGCTTTTGATCTCCGACTCGTGCCCGTCTAATATGACTGCAAACCTCCACTCATCGTCCTCCTCTTCCTCATCCGCTGCGCCGCCGCCAGCCAGTCCACTGGTGAAGTCCACTTCTTTAGGCCGGCCCGCATTCTCCTCCCATCGTTTCCAAATGCCGGCGCTGGCGTCGAAGCTTCCCGTCGCCAACACGCTCTCGCCCACACTATTCGGCTTCCATGCGCAGCTGCGTATTGATCGCTTGTGCCCGCCCGAAATCACAGACTGCTGCTGGAAGGTTTGCAGCGAGTACACGCGGGCGCTGCGGTCGGAGCATGCGGTCGCGATGATGGGGAGGTGGGGATGGGGCGCGCTGAGCCAGGTGCGCGCGGTACATGGCGGTTGGAAGGTGGCGAGGGGTGTGATGGCGGGCATGGCAGCTCGAGCAGACGGAACTGCTTGGGGCGGTGGAAGGGAGTGTCTTCGTCTCGCTCCTGGGCTCTTGTTGATCGCTCGGCTTTTGAAATCGAAGGTGTTTGACCTAACGTCAGTGCGGGATATGCATTGATTGACGAGTGTATTTACAGGCGCAAGTATGGTGCAGTTGGAAGTTTCGAATCTCAAGGTGCAATGTTGAAGCACGTGCCAAAGGCGAAATTTCCCCGAGCCATGTCCCGAAGTGAATGAGGACAGCAACAAGTTTGAACGCTTTATAGACATATCATTGAACACTAGTTATGTTGTAGCTATCGCTCGCGTACTGCATGCCTGGCTTTCCGATTAAGAAGAGGGGGTATCAATGAGCAGACCGTTAAAGAGCACCCAGCAGAACTCCTGATGACCCTTTTGAAACACCGTGCCCGTTTCCATGAGAAGATGCAGTATCGCAAAAGTATCGAATACCCAGCCCGCCATGCTCCTTGCCCGTCGCTATGCTTGTGAGAAAAAACCAGGGTGATTAATGTGATGCTTGCAGGATGTTGAAACCGAGGATTGATACCGCAGTGGACCGTGCCGTGAAGACACTATGCGTCGCGTGTATATCCTGGTCGATGAAGTGCGGCAGTGGACCGTGTCAGAAGTGTGACACTATGCGTCGCCGGAAGATGATGTTCGAGTAACGGCAGTGGACCGTGTCATAAAGACACTATGCGTCGCCGTGCATGAAGAATGAAGATGAGTGGAAGAGAACACGCTCAAGCCGCCTGCGGGCGGTCGAATGGGTTCTGCTCCGAGATGTCGCCTTGCTCGTGGCTGGCCTTGGCTTGCGCCTCCAGAGATGGGGAAGCTGCCGGGGTGGGAAGGCCGGTCGGGACGTCCCTGATCGTGACCCCAATCGGCAGAAAGCGACGGCCTGGGGCGTAGACGGCCTCCGCCATGGGCATTGTAGGAGAGCCGGGGCCGGAAGGCGGGGTGCGGCAGCCGCCGTAGGACGAAGAGCCTTGGTCCTCATCGGGCGTGCCGGTGTACACCAGATCATGCCAGATCTGCCAGTGCAGCACGATGATGTGGGTGAAGCGACGCAGGATGTCGTCGAGGGGATCTGCTGAGCGGCTGGCTGGCGGCGGAGCGAGCACAGCGCCGAAGCCGAAGGGCTGCGCTGGGGCCGGCGGAGCCGCTGACAGCATGAGGCTCTGCAACTGAACGGGATCGCAGTCGATGTACCGAGCAACGTTGGCTTGCAGTCTAGGCAGAAGCTGCTCAAAGAGCCCAAGGGCGTACTTCTCGAACAACACCGAGCCGGGCTGGAGCTCCAGCTGAAGACGATTCTCGACGAACTGGAGCAGGAAGGGGTCGTATTGAACTTTGTCGCCTTCCATCCTCAACACCATGCGCATGATCTCCGCGGCAATGTGCTCAACACGGTCATCAAATTTCCCCGAAGGTCCGGCGATGGCGCTTGCATTCGTACGCAGAAGCGCGGCAGCCCTGATCAACTCGTCCGCAGGCGGAGAGCAGGAGGACGCTGCCTCGAAGAGGATGTCGCGGCAAACCTCCTGGTAGACCTTGGTGTGCATTTCCACGCGCAGGCTGCGGAGACGGTCCGTATCGAGGTGGAACGTCTGCGGGTACATGGTCGTAGTGTCGTAGAAGAGCATACCGCGGAGCAGGGCAGACGTGAGAGCTTCGAGATGGGTGGGCGTCTCATCATCCGTGGTGAGCTGTGCAATCTCACAATCCAGCCAGAGACGCGAGCGGGTAACATCGAACCTGTTGTTGTCGATCCTGTAGGCGTAGAATCGACGCTGATAGTTGACCGCATCCGCCACCAGACACGTGCGCAAGTGACGAATTTGATGGTTGGCCACGTCGAGCTTCATCATCTCGAGGATGGCGAGAAGCTGGCGGATGCCGTGCACCAGCACGTCGCATTTGCCTTCGTAGGCGCCGCGCTTGATCTCGCCTTCCATGCGATCCACCAAGTGATCGCGCATGGGCGCACAGTGATGCTTCAAGATGCGGCCCATCCAGCTCGCCAGGTCGACCAGATCGCACACCCCATTCTTGATCTCTTGCATCAACAGCTCGGCGTCGAGGCGGTTCTTGACGACGTCCTGATCGTAGTCGGGCACCAGGGTGATGAGGATTTCGCGGATGGCGTGGAAGATGCTGGGCAAGCGCTTCTCGGTCTCGGCGCGCATCGTATACCAGTATGCCTGACTCTCCGGGGTGTTGGCCTTGGATAGCTCTTGCTGCACATACGCATACATGTAGAACTCTCCCTCGAGCGCCTTCCAGTACTCCTCGGCCTGACGCAGCTTCTCCTTGCCCTTGGAGCCCTCGAGGTTGGGTCGGAAGTGCAATTCACGGTCGAAGTTGACATCTTGGCGCAGCTTGGGGTTGTTGATGATGCGGGAGATGTCGAGCTCGGCGAGAGACATTGCGGTGACGGGAGGATGGTTGGGGGCGTGGGAGAAGCACTCGGCAATTTGCGGGCCGTCAAAAGCAAGGCCGCCTGCGATGCATTGCTGGATGTCGTGAGCGGCGTCGCGCATCGGGGCCAGCTGTGGAGATGTTGATGCCGATGAAGCCGGCGATGTGGCGGATGTGGTGTAGGGAGCGGGCATGCCGAGCTCCGGGATGGGGTTGATGTTGTTTCCCGACATCTCTTCCTCCTGGCCTGCAGCGTTGACTGTCACGGTGCGGACCTGGGCCGGGCTGGCGGTGCTGTCTTCATGCGCAACAGCGGAACTCTGACTACCAGGTGATTTGGAGGCACGGCGCGCGTGCTTGAGGTTGTTGTTCTCGTGATTCATGATTCCGTGCAGTCTGGCAGCATGCCACGAGTTCGAAGTGGCCTGGGGGAATGCTTCTGTTCAGAATTGCCAGCGATCGGCAAAGAGTTTGCTCGACGATCTGTCAAGTGTGTCAGCGAAACGTCGTTGTGCGCGATGGACGTGCAGTTCTCGGGCTCAGTGGTGGAATGTGTCACTGCAAGCCAGCCTTGCTTCACCAGGGCTTGCCGAGATTCGTGCACTGCAGGTGGATGCACGGTGGGCAGAGGGGAAGACTTACGGTATCTTGCACGATTGCTCGCAGGTATGTTGTGTCCAGGTTGGTCGAGGGGAGGTGAAGTGTGGTGAGGTTGAGTCTCTTGGCGGGGATTCTTCACGTAAGCTGTTTCGACAGGGCGAAAACGAAGAAGTAAGACAAGCTGGGAGAAGACTGAGGGGGGATTAATAAGAGTCAATAAACAAATGCTCGGCGGAAAGAGGGTGTGGGCAACACTGCTAAACGAGTGTGTGTGTGTGTTGCGAGCGAGCGGCAATAGCAATGGAATCGAGCAGTAGAGACAGTAGAACAGCATCCACACTGGCAGGCAGTGAGAAGACGGAATGCAAGAAGGAAAGAAGGAAGAGAAATGGGGAGGTAGACCACGGCCAAGCAGAAAGCAGAGGCGGAGGAGTGGAGGGATCCTCTCAATCACCGCATGCATAACAAGGCGAGCAGGCGCGGGAGTGCCTGCCCTGCGTGTGTCTGGAGATACTTCGGTTCGTGGGAGAGCCGTCGCAGCATCCGCAACAGTCGTGCAGGAGGAATGACTGGGGCGCGCGGTGGTGCGTGGAGCAACGGCAAGGAAGGCGCGCAGGGCGCAAGTCATCGCTCCTTGCAGCGCGCAGGGTGCATATGGGGGGGGAGGAGTAGCGCAAGCCTAGCGGCTGCCGATGGAAATTGAAAGATGCAGCAGTAGTGCAGGAGGGGCAGGGCGAGGACGCGCCGGGCGCGCGAATCGGGCTCGAGAGCAGACACGCTGTCCCACAGTAGCACTGGGAGAAGCAGTGTGATGGCAGCCAAAAGCCCCGACGCTAGTCAGTACCCAATCCTCCACGGCCCTGGGCCTGTCCACCTTCCCCTGGACGTTGCAGCCGCCGCCGCCGCCAGCTCCGCCGCCGTGCTCGCTCGAAACAGCTTTAATTGTCACGTACCTTTGAGTGATTGCGCGCCTCCAGTGTGGTGGCGAGCCGGGCGAGCTCGAGTGGTGACTGGAGGCCGATAGTGAGGCCAAGTGTCTTCTTGCAGCTTGTGGATTGGATGTTTGGTGGTGGTGTTGGAGAGTTGTGAGAGAGACAATCCGACACGGTGATGTGAACCTTGTGTGCCAAAGCTGACTGCGGAGACGGCCAGCCTGCTCGAGCTGCTCGAGCCGCTAGCCAATCACGGCCCGGCCCGCCGCCAGAATGGAGGGCGGCGTTTGCGCGGTGAAGTGGTGGCACGCGTTTGTTGTGAACGATGCCCTTCACCACTGCAATCTAGACCCTGCACATGTCTTCTCGCCCTTATAGGTAGGAGATGTGCATCTTCTTTCGGGGAATTAATGCATCGCATACGTGTGGTCGAACGGGCCGGTCTGCATTGGTGTGGGCAAGCGAGTATAAACAAATCCTCCCCAATCTCGTCAGGATATTTCTCCAGCACTGCTCATTTCACGCTTCACGGCCTTTATTTCTCTCCCCCCGCCTCGTGCCTGCAAGGCGAGATTATTGCTCGAAAGGTCCAGATTGGGGAATGATATGGCTGCCATGAATTACAATTGCTCAATATGGATCAAAACAAATAGGCACCAGCGTTGGCGAAGACCTCGGCCTACATCGTGCCTTGCCATGAAACGCCGCATCGCAGCATGACAGTCTTGTGCTGGTGCTGGTGCTGAAGAAGGAACGGCATGCCCATCTCACTCCTCCGTCTCCATCTCCCCAGCCCTGGCTTCAATCTCGTCGACATCTCCCCGCGACCGTCCTCGTCTCGAGCTGCCCTCTTCCGGATTACTGTCATAGCTGTCCTCGTCGTCTCCGTTGGGGCTCGGGGCCCGACTGCCCGACAAATTCACCCTCTTGCTACCCTCCATCCAACTCCGCACGCCACCGATCAAGCCCATGGCATAGCCCGCCGCGAAGTCCTGGTTGTGCTTATCTCCCCGCTCGATCCAGCTCAGCGGACTCTTCGCACCGCTGCGGCCAGGCGTGTAGTTGAAGTATGAGCCAGGGGCAGGGCTGTTGGACCTGCTCGAGTGCCAGAATTGCTTCAAGTCGCGGCTGAGCTCGCGGCCGGTGGTGGTCCAGTTGGAGCGGATGTTATCGCGCAGCTCCGCCACGTGCCGCTTGATGTCCAGCTCGTTCTTCTTCAGCCAGGAAATGTTGAGCTCTTGCCGCGACGTGCCGCGCTTCAGCTGCCGCGAGATGTACTGCTCGTAGTCGCGCACAATCTTGGTGATGATGCCGGTCGTGCTGACGCCCTCGGTGCGCTGCGTCACCAAGAACATGCCCTTTTCCTTGATCGGCTTGTAGATGTCGTCACCCTCGCTCGCCCCGTACGGGATGTCGTCGTGCGCCACGTAGTCGATCTGGTGCTTCTCCAGAAAGTCAACCGTCAGCACCCACGGGCAGTCTTCCACCACCTCGTCGATCCATCTGCAATGTCGGACCGACTCCGCCCTCTCCTTCGCAGACATGACCGTCAATCCCTTCCTCTTGTGAGTCTCGGCGTCGCCGGTCACGCCGACAATGAGGTAGGTGTTGGGGAAGGCCATCTTGGCCTGCTGTAGCTGCCGCATGTGTCCGAGGTGGAACAGGTCGAAGACGCCATCCGCATACACGCGCACCGGCCTGCCCTTGGGTGGGGGATTGGTGTGGTACCCCACTGGATCAACGGAGCCCGCAGGTGGTGGTGCCGGCATCCTCATCGTCCCCGCTTCCCCATTCTCCCCTCCTCCCTCTTCAAAGCGGTTTGCGGGCATCTGGGCAGAACTGGCGGTGCCGTTGGGTGCTGCCGCCTTCTGCGCGTTTGATTGTGACCGGGTGCCACGCGTTCGCTTTGCTGGCGGGTCGACGGAATCACCCTCCTCGGTCTCTACCTTGGCCGGACCGACGTCTTGCTCCTCTGCATCGTGTGCGCTGGACTGCGTTGCATCGCCCGATGAGACGGGCGCTGCTCGTTTCCGCTTTACTGGCATGTTGTGAATGTTTGCCGTAGTTTCGAAGACACACAGCAGGAAGAGGCGAGGTATGAATGGAAAGTGAGACGGATGACGGGGGGAGGGTGGTGGTTAGTGTTGGAGGTGCGATCGAGACAAAGCGCAAGACCAGCACACGTGGGCCAACTTTCTGGGGAGTCCGTGCGCAAGGAGAATAGGAGGTCTGCAACGGCGATGACGGGCGATGAAATGAAAACGGAAACGTCAGTGATCACAAAGTGCTGCGAGTGATGGCCAATGCTGGTTGGGAAGATGACATAAGGGTGATGAGATTCAAGTTAGGACGTGGGTGGTCCGGCAGCCTGTTCTCAGGACTGGCAGCAACGCGTCACCGCATGGAAAATACGCCACTGCCAGCTCCACACTTCACCTTTCCCCGGAGATCCGACATGTCGTCTCGATTACCACACCATAGCACATGGTCGGCAGATTGTCAAGCTACGGACAGTCGGGCCCTTCTCCGCCCCTCAAGCAGCTCGATAGTTTATTGGGCGAGCTCCTGCAGCGCCATCACTGCTGTTACTGCGCCTGGGAGCCGCCAAACAGCCAGAGCACCTTTGCGCCCAAACATGTACGAAATGAATCAGGGTAGACGCCGGTGAGCCTGCTCTCCGGTGGCATTTGCCAGCCTCCGTGGCATGCAGTGGAGACGCACAACGCCATCGCGCCTCATATTTCGCCCGGGACGTGACATGTGGTCGGGAGGAGAGATTAAGGTACCCCGCGAGCAGAATATTAAGGTACATGGCGATCAGCCTCATCTCTAGCATTTGTGAGACTCTGCTATATTCCGTGAGCGCACTCACGACGCCATCACTCCTCACCGTTTGGCCGAGATGCGCCAGACGGCCTTGAATATCCTGTGTCGATGGTGAGTCGAGCATTGATAAGACGAGCGGCCGTGAGGCATCGTCTCCGACCGTTGCGAAACTCCGCAACATCATCTGGAAGAAGTCTCGACGCCTTCGCCCCCCACCTTCTGCCCGAGATGCGCCACACGGCCATGAGCACTCGAGATTGGCAAGGATAGATCACTAGCCAGGTATCCGGCAATCTGTGTCTTCTCCGGCCCTGCGGCCATTTGTAGCAGACCCCGTCAATCCACCACTAGCAGCTCCACCTCTCGCCTTTCGCCGGGGATCTGACGTACGGTCATGGACAAATGTGGTAAATGGTGGATGAAGGCCATGTACCTATGTAACTACCGCAACCCAGCATCGTATACTCGCTGCCACCCAGAAACAATGCAGCTGGTACACTAGCACAGACACCACCGGGAGATGTAAGTAGAAGAAGTAGAAGAACGATGACGCGAAAACGCATCGCCCACGACGCCAACCCAATGCAATAACGTGAAAACACATAAGCCGAGCAGCGGGAGTGAGGGTCGCAGCTATACAGTTTGCTCCCGTTCCTCGCCGGCCAAGGCTTCTGCACTCGCGGGTGAGGGATGAACAGAAAGTTGCTCGCGCTGGCATCGGTTTCGATTCGAGATCGGGGGGTGGAGAGTGCTGGAGTGGGTATCAAAATGGCGGCGTCCTGGCTAAGAAGCTTCCGTCGTCTTGCCTATTGCTTTGGATGATGTATCGCTTTTTTGTCCTTCCGAGCTCTGGCTGGTCGTTGTTGAGGCTGCGGACGACGGTGCAGGCGTCTCGCCTCGTTTTGAATCCTGTGCATCGCTTTGCACCTGCTCCTCTAGATCGCCGTCCTCCACTTCTTCCGCTACGCCGCGATCTTCCATATCTACATCGCCGTCATCGTCGTGGGGCTGGCCGAGGGAAATGCTTGTTCCGTCACCAAGCAGTATGACGCGGCCTGCGCGGCTGCCGAACAGTCTCCGCGAGTCCATGTCCATCTCATAGTCGTCGGGCGAGTCGTCGAAGCGGTCGTGCGCACCGGGTCCTCTAAACTCGGCTGCTCAGGTAATTAGCACTTGGGCGTGTGGCAGGGCTCGAGGCCAGACGGGACTCAAGACTTGCCGTACTCGGGAGGCGCACAAGGCCCATCTCCATTCGCAACGCGGTCCCCAATCATCTTGTACCATTCCTCCTTCGTCTTGCCTTGCAGGAGACCAATCACGACCATGGTCATGTTGTCGCATCCGACACCTCCAGTCTCCGAGTTCGATGCCAGACAGTTGTCCATCATGTTCTCGCAGATGGCGTGGAGCTCTTGCTTCGCAGCAATACCTCGGCGAACGAACTCAACGACAGCTTGGCTCGATTGGCAGTCCCAGATTCCGTCGCAGGCAATGACCAAGAACTCGTCATCCTCGCCAATCTCGTGGACCATCACGTCCGGAAAGGCCGTGACAATCTGCTGTTCAGGGGGCAGGTCCGCGCTCTTCTTGAACTCAAAGTCGCCAATAGCTCGGCTCAGTGCGAGGTTGCCATTCACCCGGCCGAAGTCGACGAAGCCACCCGCCGCGCATATTCTTGCCTTCTCGCCCTCGTTGGTCGGCTTGTGGTCATACGATAAAGGTTTCGCCCGGCCCTTGATACCGAGCACGGATCGCGAGTCGCCGGCATTGCCCTGTATAGATCAGTCACCGCACATCTCACGCATCGTGTTCGCAGAAGCTCGTACAACATAGATTTTCTCGTGCGTCACAATGCCAACTGAAGCCGTACATCCTGACACTTCTTCCTCGTACTTTGGATCTGATGAGATGCAGTCGTCAGCACAGTGCAAGCTAAGGAAGCATGTTCCGCTCCGCATGCAAACTCACCACTCAGGATAGCCCGGTCGATAGCCAGAAAGCCATCCTTGAGCGCCTGCTCAAAGTCCTTCTTCTTGAAAGCCTCCTGTTTCGCGATGATCTGGTGCAGTTTCTCTCCTGTAAAAATTGCTACCCGTTCCCCACTTATAGACGATGTAGGAGTCAGCATGGATTCATCCCAAGACAGTGAGTGTAAGAGTAAGAGGTTTCGGCTTCGCCAGATCGAGGAAGGAAAGGATGGTTCGCGGTATCTTACCCATGCCCATCATAAACACCGAAGAAGGATATTCGCACGTCGATGGCCGCGGGCTTGAGCTCTTCATCACCCTCCAAGGCCTGGAGGTCGAGGATGGTGGCATGCGCGTCTTCCATGCTAATTCGCCAGCCCTGCATGGCGCTGACCCCGAAGCAGACACGATCATCTTGGCCCTCGTCGGAATGCTATGCGAGGCCCGTGGTATCAGCGACTGTCGCGCTCTGCCAGCGTGGCAGGAGTGTCAAACCTTCTCCGTGACCGGCTCGGACAGAGTCTGACCCATGCTTGCCAATTCTAGCCTCTTGTCTCCGTAGCCCTCGATCGATCAGTCTTCGCCGGCGGTGTAGATCGCGGCTGTCGAGCGCGAGGATTGGCGGGGTAAGGGGCGGAGCGGAGGGGTCGGTGGCAAGGATGGATGGAGGGGAGATTGATTATCGCGTGTGGGCGGGCAGGGCAGAGGGGGAGTCTGGAGTGTAGTGATGAATTGCGGCAGGATTGGCTTTGAGCTACTTCTCTTTCGAGCGGTGGGGCTAGGCCGAAAGCGGACGCCGTTTCACGTGCTGAGGGGCTGCCGGGACTCGACGACATCACATGAACCCATGTCTTTGTTCACTTTTGCTTCACTCCATTCACTGCTCTGCTGTTATGTACATGTCATCTTCAGCTCTGAATCTCCGCACTACTCGTTGCACGCGCGCCTCATCCTGCGCGCTCATCTCCGGCCATCTGTGCTGAATCTGCTCCCAGACCTGCAACATTCGTTTCGCTCCTGCACAACGGTAGAAGGCGGAGAGAATGGCAATGGCCATGCGCGGCGTGAAGTATGGCGGCAGATGCTCGTTGGACACATCCGCGGCTTCGGCATCCCACTCCTCTTCACCGCCCTCATCCGCCTCGAGGTCGGATGCGTGCAGGCTGTATTTGGGATTGGGCGGCGCTTGGACAATGCCTAGGAACTCCTCCCAGAGGGCCTCGAGCCGCTTTCTGCTCCAAGTCGCTTCCACATACCCGCCGTGGTGCCAAAAGCCATACCAGATGGCGACGTAGATCTTTCCGTGCACGTGCCATCCCTCCTCGCGCATCTCTGCCATCAGTTGGCATACCCTCTCCCAGTCGCCAGTTCGATGCGCATGGTGTTGGATCAAGATCTGATAGCTCCGGTCATTTGGATGGATAGGCGCGGCACGCTGCGCCTCCTCTTTCTTCAACTCTGTCGAGAATGTAGAGCCAAAGAAGGAAGCCTCGTGCTCCTCTCTCTCCATTTGCAATTCATAAGCAACCTTTTCGAGATGCTTGCCCAACAACCTCCTCTCCCGCCAGTTGCGAGGTCCCTCGACCCCGAATTTGGTGTGATGTAGAAGCTTCATCTTGTCGAACACATCTTCCGCGCTCGCCATTTCTCCGCAGAGGATGAGTGATCGCATGACGCAGTTCATCACCGCCGTGTCGACAATCTCCCCGGCATTGACGAGGTCCCGAAAAGCCTGGCGCACAGCGTCACCATCCCCACGGATGCCAGCATAAAAAATCAGGCCCGTTCGGAGGTATCGGTCTTCCCGAAGTCCTCGTGCCGCCAATTCTTTGTAAATGGTATCCGCAAGTGCGAAGCGTCCTGCGCGAACAGCAACGTCGAAAAGGATGTTGAATGTCGCTTTGTTCGGGATGGCCCCTTGTTTCTCCATCCTCATCCAAGTCTCCACCGCCGTGCGCAGTTCGTGGTTGGAAGACCTTCGGACCCATCGGCCTGCGAAGCTAATGGCTTTGTTCCACTCCTTCACCGTCAGCGGCACGCCTTCCGCGAGCCACTCGTCTACGACGGAGAAATAGCGTTCATAATTCACGAGGGTCTTGAACTCCACCAAGCCCAAAATGTAAAGTAATTTGCGCAAGAACTTGTCTTCGAGATATCGAGGCCGAGGAGAGGGCAAAGCTTGGTATAGTATCCAGCATCTTCTCCGGTCAGTATACGACCTTCCTGCTACGCGTAGTTTGGTCCACAGCTCTTCGATTTGCTGAGCGTGCTGCGCATCGATGGGAGGAAGGATATCTCGCGGCGCATGGTCAGGGCGAGCCTCCTGTTCGGGAGTTAAGACCAAGCGAGGGGCGAGAGGGAAGTAGGTGGAAGTCGAAGTCGAAGTGGACGGCGGGTGGGCAGAGTAGTGGTGGGTATCAAAAGACTGGCCGTAGGTGGTCCCAACATCGCGGTATGCTGCTCGAGGTATCCACGCCCCGACTGGCGAGTGCTCTTCCATATCTTCGGGGCGGTCTTCTTGCCGTAAGGCTGCAAGCTTGGCTTGCTGCTTGGTGGTGTGCGTGGAGGAAAAGCGGCGGATAGGGGTGGATGGAGAAGCTCGGCGGTGCTGTGAGAATGGGGTTGCGCATGCGATGCCGGGTGCGCTAGGGCGAGAGGGAAGATGCAGGCACCGCTTGCTTGAGCCGGCGCGGACCAAAGCAGCAACGAAGCAGTCTTGGAGCGTCGGAGCACTTTGCTGCCTTCGTCTTCGCTCGAGACAGGGCGCAGTGTCACCGCGATGCCTGAGGGATGGTGAATGAGAGCGGGCTCCTCGAGGGAATAGATGTGGGATGGCGCAGGTCCATGGTGCTAACTTGGTCGTGACAGCGTGCTTCGGGGCGCCGAGAAGGGACATGAAGTGTCGAACATGTTGTCAATGGGCGCGCTAGCATGACAAGGACATCTTGCAGCGCAATGACTATCGCAGGGGCGGTGGTAGGTGTCGAGGTGGAAGAGTGGTTGTCGACAGACGGGATGCTGTTCCTCTCTTCCGCGGGGAAATTTACTTTGAGCCGTCCATCGTTTTGTCCGGACTTCACCTCATCTCTCTCCGCCTTTTCTCTATCCACCTTCAGCAACAAAACTTCCCAACATCACGCCTTTGGCTGGCCATCATCCCGCAGATGGGCCGTTACAATCTCGACGCCCATCGCGTTCAGCGCCACGCCACTTCCCTCCTCCGAACCTACGGCAACCAGCACTCCCTTCCTTCTCCCTGGTTCGCCGCAGTTTCGCAGAACCCTCCGCCTCAAATCCTCACCCGACCGCCCCTTCGACGACCCCAAAGAGCCGGCAAAAGGCCATCTCAACTCTTCAAACCCGTCAAACTCTCATACGAAGAAGACAAGCTGCGGTGGGAATACTTCAATGACCACCCGTGGGAGCTAGCGCGGCCGAGGATCGTGCTGGAGGACGATGGCAGGGACGTGGAGAAGTGGGACTGGAGTATCGAGCTCGACTTTGCATCCAACCGGCCCAAGAGAGGCACCAAGGACGAGGAGGGCAGGACGCCCGCCATGTGGGACTGGATATGGCAGAGACAAAGCGCCCGGCCGTTGAATGGAGAGAGTGTCATCCAACGCCAGGCCTGGTTGCTGAGAAATACCCCGCTCACCCCCGCGGCTGCTTACGACAAGGCGCGGAAAGAGTTATATCGTGTGCGCCACGCACAGGAAACGGAGCGCAGGATCGCAAAGGAAGAGGCCCAGGCGACCGGGGCCTTCTTCGGCAAGGGTCCATTGGAGGTGGGCATGCATCTGGAAAACTCCGCCTTCGAGGACTGGAAGGCTTGGGCCATCAAGGAGTCAATGGCGTTGAAACAGATGCAGAGCGCGGCGTATACGGGCAATGAGGTCGAGGAGGCGGATGCGGGCCCGAGTGAGCAGAATCTGCAGGAGGAGCTGCAAGTGAAAGAAATAGCAGACGCGGTGCCGGGGAGCAAGAGAGGGCAGGAAGTGAAAGGCGGAGCAGCTATACACCCATGATATGCTACGTCTCATTCCCAGCGTTGACCCATCTCATTCTGACTTTCATGCTCACTCTCATGCTCTCTCTCATGCTCACATGGCTCACTTTCAATCTCAATCTTATCCTCATCCCCTCCTCACTCTCCATCCTGCTGCGCGCGTTCAAGAAGCTGTCGACCGCGGGAACGGGCTATGGGTCGCAGTGCAAATCTCAATGATCTTGTCCTCCGTCAACTCCACTTCCGATGCTTGATACACTCCTTCCTCTGTCCGTTCAGTCAGCAGATAGTACAAAATCCGTGTCCAGGGAACCAGAACTTACCATCGTACGGAGGCGTGTGCGGCTTCGCGATCTGAAAGTTGACCTCCACGTTGGCGCCTCTGCATGTCACGGTCAATCTCCAGTAGATCTCGAACACCTTGCCCTTGGTGGACGATTCCTTCTCCTCAAACCCAAGGGCCTTGAGATCGGGAAGGGGAATTTCCAGCTCATCACCCCAGCATTCGATTCCCTTCTTCAGCGGTGTCGTGCCATCTTTCCCAACGCGGATGGACTCATGATCCTTGATATCTCTCTCCGTCCAATAGACTTGCACCAGCACGGTCTTGTCTCCGACGCTTGGGTAGTGTTGCTGCCAGGTTTCGGTTGAGATGGCCTTGCCCGGAGCTTTCCAGCGCCCCTAAGATGGATCAGTACGACTCGTAACAATAGACGGACTTTACTTGCCTTCTGAAGGATTGGACACCAGCGCTCATACACAACAAAGACATCCTCGTCGAAGGGACACTCTTCCACCACTTCCCTGTCCATCACGTATTCCGCGCGACACGTTTTGCCGCTTGGTAACTTGTCGCCTTTGTAGTATGTGGCATCCGAGTGGCACAGCGGATCCCACGTCTCCACTTGAGCGATGCCGAATGACTCGCTCGCTGGCATGCCACGCTCAATGATCGAGTCGTAGCGGAGAAGTGCCCCCCGAGACACAGGTTGGTACGCGCCGACGGCAGCTGTGGCTTGCCCGAGAATCTGCACCCGGTGAGAGTATCGTTCTTGAAGCTTGTCAAGAAGATACTGAGATCGGCCAAAGCCGCCAGGTACAATCAAGGTCTGCCGCGATGTTAGCAATCCGTAGGAACCTTAGGAGAAGGGAACTTGCGTACCGTTGTTCGATCTCGAAGCTGCGCATCAATTCGGTCGATGATAGTTGAAACCACTGGGTCGAAAAAGCTTCGTATCACCTTCCTAAGCTAGGGTTAGGTCCGTAGAAGAGACTGACAGTATTTTCAGAACTCACGGTGTCAATTTGATTTGCCAGGTCTCGGTGTTGGCATCTTGAGATCCGCTGATCACAAAGAATGCCGGATCTTCATCGAGCGAGGAGAAGTTTTGCTTGACCGCCTCGAACATCTCAGAGGCTTTCTGAAGACAAGCGGTAGTACTGAGATGCAGCCCCTCGCATTTCGCAGCGAAGTTGGAGACTTGGCTTTGAAGCCAGTAGAGGAAGTTTTGGTTGACGAGCTCGGAACCACACAAAGCTCCTGCGATTTCTGTTAGTGCAAGCCCAAGAGAAGTAGAATGGCGTCTAGTCACCTTTTGCATCAATGAGCGCAAGCCCAATGCTAGCTCCCTGAGCGCTGTCTTCGCAGGCTTCGTAGGAGACAAAGTCCCCGGTGCCGCCGCCGACGTCCGCAATCAGGAGAATGTCTCCGACGGCGATCTGTTTGGGTAGATGACCCTGGACTTTGTGTGTGTAGTATGCCGCGGCACACTGTGGCTCATAGACGAGCTCTACATGCTCGACGCCGGCTTCTTTGGCTGCTCGTGTCATCACGAGGTTCGAGGGAGCCTATTAGTTGGTCAGGATGTACAAGCATATGATAGAAGCTAGTGGACAGGAAGGTACCTTCCACATTTGAGGAACGCTCAGAAAGAGTTGGATGGGGAGGGCATCGATTTCCTGAAAACGGATTAGCCAGATCTGTGCGATGTTTGGGTAATGGCCAAAGCAAACCTCGGGGGCGTAATCCAACGACGAAGACCGTTTGATGTAGGCCTTGGCCTCTTCAATCACTGCTCGGAGGTGGATGGCGATGAATTCGCCGACCGACCGATCCTTCAGCTGCTTTTCACTCCTCTGCGCAAGCCCGGACAGCTCGTGGTCCTTGTACAAGAGCAGTTTCCAGAGCTCAATCACGTCCTCTGCAGCGATTTTCTTCTTCTTGAGCGCCTCTTCAACCCCATAGCCCCAGTAAAATTCTCCTGATTTGTCGAAAGCGGCCTTCTGCGGAGCCCAATACTCCCTCTTTGAGAAGTGGACGTCCATCACATTCGACGGCGCTGGGGCTTCTTCGGGCTTTGCAATGCGAAACGCAAGGGAGAGGGTTTTTGTTCCGTAGTCAAAAGAGAGCAGTAGCTTCGTCTGCCCAGCCTCGCCGTCCTGGTTGACCGCAGGAGGCGCTGCTTTCGGCGTCTGGCGAGGGAAGCGCCTGGGGGAAGATCTGGGGGTCTTCTGCACGCGAGCTGGTCGGCCCATCTTGGAGAGTTTGATGTCTCGTTGTGCCTTTTTTGCGGATGGATGGGTTCGACGGACAGAAAGCGGATGGATGACCTTTTGAGCAGACAGAAAGCGTGAGAATCCAAAGTCGGTGTAGAAGGGCAGACAAGCCAACAGCGAATGTGTTGTTGTAAATGAAACACGGGAGCGGTGGCAAATGAGGGTGACGGAATAGGAAGGAAGGCAAGGGAAGGTGCAAACGGGAAGGAAGCTGTTTGCTCGGGGTGCAAACGCGCATCCCAAACATCTCCGAGACACTGGCTGCGCCGTCACCTGCCTCTCACTCACTTCCGTCACTTTTGACACTCACTCAACACTCACTTACCACTCAGTCTCTCACCCTGCGTCGTCCTTCACTTGTACCCTCGCCCTTGGCCTCAACCTTGGCCTGCCTTCTGACCTCACCTTTGGCATCGCTTTTCCCCTCCAGTTCCAGCCTCATCCACGCCCCCTCCCCTTCGACAATCACATTCTGTGCGCACACGCCGCAATCAGGTCATCTGCTATCCAATCGAAAATGGCGGCATCGGAAAGCGACTCTCAGAGAACGATTCGAATCGCTTTGCGTCACATTGACCAGCACCGCGGAGAATACAACACCACGGCAACGCAAGATTTGATGCTTGGGCGACTGATCCGCCAACACACCTTTGAATATCGCCCACGCGGAGGAACAAGGGATGAACGACTCGCCATCAATGCCTACCGATCACGCCTCTACCACACTGTCTCCCGTGACGGACTTCAGGGCGTGTCTCTTCATGACCTCTTCATGAAAGGCACGAAGGTGTTGCGCGCAACAGCCCGGGAAAAGTACACAATGGATGAAGCGTCGCCCATCCAGGATAGCGAGGATGAGCTTAGCGCCGGTGCACTTGACCAAGCAAATGATATCCAAGGGACCGCGCAGATCGACGCTCCCAAAAAGAGGTCCACAGCCTCGACGTCGGCATTTGAATCTGGTGGCGATGACGGTAAGGACCTACCGCAGCCCACCTGGTCCCCACTCACTCCCGCTGATCTGACTGTCCCTGAAGGCCAGAAGCGAAAGTGGATGGATGAAGAGGATGCGGAGTACGGCGCAACGACGGTAACCAGGAGAGGGACCTACGTCGACTTGCGCTCTCCAGCTCCTGCCTCGTCCTCGAATGTGATTGTCAATCAAGCCCCAAAGAAACGGCTGGCAACGTCAGAATTGCAAGATGCGCCGAATGATGCGTCAAGGAAGAGTTCCGCGGGCCCCGGGCAAGCAGCAGAGTCCGACGCGAGCCGTGGACTGGTCAAACTCAGTGAACAGACCATTCGCCAAGAGCTGAGCACGATCTGGATGAACATTCAATCCTTTACTTGCGAGCTGTTTGAAGGGCTAGGGATTGACGCTGACGGCCGGGCTGAGTTGGTCACCAAGCCGCACCCAGAGCTCGAGGAGTTATACAAGAAGATGTTCGGGAAGGAATGGCTTGAGCGCGCCAGCAGCCTCCTCACCGCTGGAGTCATGGGGTCTCGTAGGCTGGTAGATGCCTGCACTGCGACAGCCGTGCATCTCATGGTGTTCCTCGAGCCCCTACCGTGGGACGGACCGGCAGAGCTAATGAGCTCGCTGTCGGAGGCAAGGCCGCAAGTCGATCGTGTGCTGCATATGACTGGTAAGTCTGGTTGTCGCCGAGATCACCGGCCGTTCCTGACCTCTCCTCTTAGCGTTCCATCTCCACCTCCATACTGTGATATGGCAAGCTGCGACCAACCAAGTGCAGGATCCGGTGTTTCACCAGCGCACCATCCGTCCACGTGCGGTAGGCCTGGCCAACAGATACCTGGCGATCATGAACACGCAATTGGAGTATCTCGGAGCGAGCAAGGCGAAGGGGGACTCGGACGTGGGCAGGAAGAAGCGAGCAGAGCATCTCACCGCCATCTTCTCTCGGGCTCTCGTGCTAAAGGGCCTGCTGCGAGCGGCGCCAGACTACTACATGATAACGTGGCCTAAGAGTGGTGCGGGGGTGAATCGCGATCGGGTGGAAGAGCTGCACCCTGGTCCAGGCGAGCAAGAGATCGTGTGGGGCTTGTCACAACTTGTGCAAAAGCGCGCAAAGCCGAATGAAGAATGGGAGGTGGTAGCCCAGGGCAAGGTGCTGTCCAGGCCAATGCCAGTGCCCGAACCTACGGCGAAACTTGGTCTCGAGAGGGTGTTGGGAGCGTCAAGGTAGTCGGGCTTCTTCGGTCGCACCTGCATGGGTACCGAGAGAGGCGGCACATATCAAGGCCTATCCTCCACAGGTTTTGCGGTGGTGAAATGGGGCAGGCAGGCAAGGCAGGTTCTTTGAAGCTGATGAGGTGAGGTGAGGGAGGGGCAGGAGTTCAGGCGCTGCCAAGCTCTGGGGAACGAAAGTCAATTGGAGTTTAAATAACGAACCCAATCATTGCACAGAATAAAGACGCCGAGAAAGTGCCACCATGCCTTGAATGCACCGCTTCCCTCGTCAAATCGCGCCTCTACGCTTCGTCCGCTTCCTCATGGCTCCGACAGGTACTGTTCGTTCTTCCGCGTCGCCGACATCCAGCTAACGAAAGGGAAGCAGCGGCAACGAGCCAACCGATCGTGGTCTCAGGCCCGTCCGGCAGTGGGAAGTCCACTCTGTTGAAACGACTCTTCGACGCCTATCCCGGCAAGTTCGGCCTTTCGGTCTCGCACACGACGCGCGCGCCGCGACAGGGAGAGCAGGATGGGCGCGAATACAACTTCACCACGAAAGAGAAGTTCTTGAAACTTGTGCACGAGGGGGGATTCATTGAACACGCCCAATTCGGAAGCAACCTCTACGGCACCAGCGTGCAGACGGTGAAGGATGTGGCGGAGGAGGGACGGATCTGCGTGTTGGACATCGAGATGGAGGTGCGTATCTCATACCCGGTCGTGTCCAACGCAAGTTGAGATCGTGGGCTAACGGTGACATTGGCATCCAGGGCGTGAAATCGGTCAAGAAGACAGATCTCAACCCTCGATTCGTCTTTCTTCAACCCCCGTCCGTGGAGATTCTGGAACAGCGGTTACGAGGACGAGGCACAGACAAGGAGGAAGCAATCCAGGAGCGGCTGAAGCAAGCGAAGCATGAGATTGAATACGCCAAGCAGCCCGGTGCGCACGACAAGATTATCGTGAATGATGATCTCGAGACGGCGTGGCGGGAGTTCCGCGAGTTTTGCGTGCCGAATGAAGGCTGAACTTCTGTGAAGGCAGAATAGATCTTGGTACTTGCAATTCGCCTCACTGAGGAGCGGCACGTGAATGAGCACGTGCAAGACCCACTTTTCCGAATCGTTCACTACCTCACGGCTTCACTGATGCTTGCTCACTTCCTTCACTCGTCCACCCTCTCCACGCAACGTTGACAACTCGAAATCCATCATTCTTTTCAGCCTGGAGACTACGACAACGCGAAAGGTGACATTGACGGAAGTCCCGGGGACGCCAGCTTGGACCTCAGCGACGATAAAGAGAGCAACGGTGAACAGAGGATCATTCGCAGTGAGGGCAGCTACCACCCTGCACGCACGTCCGCCAACGGAAAATCGTCGGAAAACCCCAAACCCCAAGACTTCTCCCACCCCAGCCAACACAACAACACAAACGTCAACTCGGCACGCGAAGAGGCCCTGTGGCTTGCCGCCAATCCCATGCTCAACGTATTACAAGCAAACCCCAAACAGCGATACACCGACGAGAACGTGACGACCGCCGACAGCATGGAAACGTCATCTCCACCCGCTCAAGTCCCAAAGCAAACGGAGCCCGCAGCCCCTCAAACACCAGAGGGAACATTGACCGAAATCCTCAAAAAGGCAGAACGTCAACGTGGCGAGATCGCTGCGAGTTTCGCCAGTACTCTCACCCGCGGGATGGCGCTCGTTAGCGAGCTCAACGCCCTTGAAAAAGACACCGCCGAGCTGCGTCAATACCGCGACAGCCGCATGGATGATTTCAATGCCTGGAAAGCAGAGAAAGACGCCAAACAGAAGGCGGAGGAGGCCGCCAAAAAGGAGGTGGAGGACGCCAAGAAGAAGGAGGAAGCCGCCAGGAAAAAAGAGCAGTACGCCAAGATGACGGAAGAGCAAAAGATGATGATGGATGAGTTGGAAGCTCTGAGGAAGGAGGAATGGGAACTCATGAATAAAAAATATGACTTCGAGTAACCGGATGATACGTGCGCGCACAACTCACACCTCACCATAGCGACAGCTCGACAGAGGCATCCGTCCGGCATGATTTGGCAGGACTCATCGACTCAAAGGCAAAGATAGCGTAGCATAGCAGCAGAGCATGAAACATTGAAGCATTCTCTATGTAAGATCTCCTCTGTTATCACCTCAACGTGGGAAGCAGATATCACTGGCCGTCGGCACACTCTCCTCTACACTGTATTTCGTTAGCAGGCACGGAAAAATGACCAGCACACCCCTCACACCACTTTCCCCCTTCGAGAAGCGGCAAACCTGGCCAAGATGTCGAAGGCAAAGCACGATTTTCAGATGGACGGGCGGCGTCCAAAGTGCTCGATCTCAGCGCATCTAATAACCACGACGGCCACCTCATTCTGACCAGCTCTATCATACCCCAGCTACGAGGCACCGAGAATGTCCAGGAAAGCTCGCAGAGTCGACTGGGAAACATGGATGCTGGAGGATCTCCTCGAATCTCTCCTCAACATGGCGCGCAAACATCAGCGGCCGTCAACAGGTTCTCCTCTACACTCCATTTCGTTAGCAGGCAGGGAAATGGCCAGCACACCCTCTCACCATTCTTTCCCTCCGAGAGGCGGCAAGCCTGGCTAAGGTATTGAGGGCAATACACTCCTTGACAGTTTTATAGTCTGGAGACCACTCGGCCGCATCTCATCGCGCGGAGGTCCGATAACGGTGTTGCTAACGGAGACAGTGTGTGAAAGGAATAGTAGGCGGTCCGGGGAAGGCGCTGATGGCCGAGCTCAGTAGAGATTGAAGGCTGAGATCGCATTCGCTCCTGCGGGCTGGCCTGGACGTTCTCAGTGTCTCGTAGCCCAGGCTATGACAGAGCCCGGAAGTACTAGCCAGCCGTCGTAGTCAGTAATTGCGCTGGGATCAAGCACTTCAGGCGCCATAAGATATTCGGCGCTTGCATACAGCTAGTCAACGTCCTCGCCCTCCTCCTCCTCATCGTCCTCTTCCTCCTCGTCCGCATCATCTTCACTGACCGCTCCGCCCAGAGCCTTGACCTGCTCTCTATACGCGTCCCTCTTGGCCTCGATATCGCCCATGACCAGCAACATGCTATCCAGCTCCTCCTTGGCGCTCTTCTCGCTCTCCCTCGCCTCTCGCAACTCCTGCTGCAGCTCGGCCACCTTCTCCCCGCTGTCGTTCGGCAGAGTAGAGCTGCTTGCGCCCTTCTTAGCAGCCTCCAGCTCCCGTTCAAGCTCGGAGAAGCCCGCTCGTTCGACCGCAAGCTCTTGATCTCGGCTCTTGAGCTCTTCTTGAAGATCTTTCAGTTGAGCATCAAGGCGCTCTGCGCGGCTGCGCACTTGCTCCAACTCGCCTTTGATGCGTTCGAGCTCACCCGTGGACTGCGATGAAGAGTTTCCGAGCTGCTCATGCTCCCGACTCAGGCGAGAGTGCCGCTGATTCAGGTCCGCAAACTGATCTTTCAAGCTCTGTTCCCTAGCAGCAACCGCGTCGTGATTTGCCGTCATCCGCTCGAGCTGCTGTCGGGTATTATTATGCCCACTCTGCTCTGCTCGGTAGGTGTTGCCCAGCTCGACCAATCGCCGCTCATACTCTTGTATCTTCTCCGCATATGAGGCATCTCGCTCGCGAATGGAGTTCTGGACCTGAACAGTCGTAGCCTGCGTTGCGGCATCTAACGAGCGCTGATGCTTCGTCAGCAGCTCTTGTTGTTGTCGCTGATGATTCGCATTCAATTTCTCGAGTTCCGATTCATGGCCCTGTTGCATAGACTGATTGATACGCTGAAGCCGTTCAACTTCCGCTCTCACAGACTGCAGCTCTTTCCCCAAGGCCATTCGTTCTTGTTCATGCTTCTGGGTCGCAGCCCTGCCCGCATCCTGTGCCTGCGTCAAAGCATCTTTACCCGTCTGTAACTGCTGTCGCAGGTCATCCAGGACGTCCCTATCGACACCCGCTTCGGCAGCCGATGGGGGCAGGACTTCCATGCCAGGATCTTTGTCGATGGCTTTGCGCAGCCTCGAGTACTCGACGGTGAAAAGGTTGACAAACGATTCGCAGAATACCACGTCTTCCTCGTCTGCCTCCCGCAGCTCGAAGTCCCGGATTGCAGGAGTGCTTCGAAGCGCAGCAAGGGCATCTAGATACTTGCTTCGTGAGAGATTCTGCGTTAATAGTGGGGCTATCTGCCGCCGCGGTATCGGGCTGTCCTTGGTGCTAAACTCGTAGATCGTGCCCAGCAAGGCTGCAGCTAGCCCTCTCCTGATTGCACTGGATTGTGCTGCCTTCGCCAGCTGCGTAAGAGCTTGTACGAGGCTAGAGCATTCGGTTAGGAAGTTGTCGATCCCGCTGGCAAAGTTCCAGAGATATGTGGTGAGTAAGCTGGCATACGCTGCGACAGCGACATCATCCGTGGAATGAAGGAGAGCACTCTCAAGCTCGGACCCCAGAGTCTGGATGAAGGACAGGACGTCTTCGCCTTCACTTTTGTTGCCTTCTTTGACGCTTTCAAGCGCAGCCTTGGCGTTGAAATCGTCCAACGTGAGATCTTGAACGATCCACGACGCGAACAAAGCACTGACTGCATCGTCACCAACACTGGTCAGTGCGTTCAATGCATTCGCGGCCGACTCATTTTGAGCATGTCCGGATATGGCCCGGTGGAGGAAGTGAGCTTTGATTCGATCATGGCCTGCGAGATATGCCTGTACCAGTGCGCAAGCTGTCGATCGTAATCCGAAGCCAGGCTGCGGGCTACTGAGAGTCAACTCTAGGAGTGCCTCGATAATGTATGTTCTTTGCCGCTCTGCACTTGGCTTTTTGCCCCCTCGTTCTGACGGCCCGGCGGAGCGCGTTCCGTTGACTTGCGGCGCTGGCGAAGCAGATGATTCGCTTTCATCCGCACTGGCAACGGTCAACCCGGCGAAATTCTCTTGCAACGTCGGATTGTTGGCAATGAGTTCAGCTGCGCATCGCAGCGATGCCATTCGGATGCGAACAGGGAGGTCGGACGAGAAGCCGATATCAATCAGGGTCTGCGCAATGCCCGTGCGGAAGAAAGCCACTTGGTTTTGCGGCGTACTCGGTTCTCCAGCAGCGAAAAAGAAGCGCAAAACTTGAAGTAGTCCAAACGCAGATTTTTCGCGACTTTGAGTGGTGTAGGCCGGCTCTGAAATCGAAGCCGGAAACACCTGCGCAAGCAATTCCGCCAGCTGGGACACGCATCCTGATTCCCGGAACATTGTCTGGTTGCTGCCCGAGCCGGTAATCAAGTTTGCGAGCAGACTCAGGCAGTCTTGTGCAGTGATGCCGGCTTCGGCCAACCCTCCTTCCATCCTGATCAACGCAAAGATTTTCGCAAAGACCTCCTCAAACGCCACGATCTTTCGAAGTTCTTCATTGGCACCGCTTGTCAAGTCTACCAATAAGAGTAGCGCGGCATTCCTCACAGCATCCCGAACATCGTCTAGCATGCCCACTAATCTTGATATGCCGAGGGGTGCGGAGAGAATGCACTCTTGCAAGCGATCGGGTCGAGCGGCGCATATGGCGGAGAGGATTTGGAGGGTGTAGAGTCGGGAGTAGTAGTCGGCATACGGACTCGCAGGGTCGAGAAGGCTCAGGAGTAAGGTGATATTGTCTTGACGCTGTGGAATTAGCTTAGCTCTAGACTCTCCTCACAATCGAGTGGCATGTGAGGGAACTTACCATGGAGAACTCATCGGCCATGAAAAAGGCAATCTCATCACCCGCTTCTGGGCTTCCGGAGTCGGGGTTGAACAGCATGAGCAGCGTCTCCAAGACGAGACGGATGGTATCCACGTCCCCGCTCCCATCCTCCCTCCTCCGCCCGCCCTCGTCCTTCCCGGACTGCTGACCCAGGCCATCTCGGCGCAGAGTGGTGATCAATTCGCGCAGGGAGCCAGACGCGACCGAGGCGGGATACTGCTTGGCGAAGCTTCGTAGGCCGAGGATCGCGGCTCTTCGATCTTCAAGGAGAGCTGCGGATTGTAAACGTCCGCAAAGAGTGTCAATGGTGGCTGTCGCCGTCTGCAGAGGGGGTGATTTGAGCATCGTCCTGCTTGGGGTGCCCGCAGGCGGGGCTCGGGTTATCTCATGTCGCGGAGACGGGTGGACTGGATGCGCCAAAATTCAAGGCTTTGTGTGAGGTTGGCGTCCGAGAGCACGAGAATTGGAAGACGCAACGTGTGTGAGGTTGCAATGAAGCCCCCGACTGCCTAAGAAATGTTGGTCTATAAAAAAGACCTGGGACAGGACACCAAGCCTTGTCCAAAAGCAGCCTAGCTCCAAGCGGAGGCGGAAGTACCCGAGACATCCAAATCTTCGAGTGATGAGAGACGGAGTGACGGGTTTTCTCTCGTGCCGCACTCACTCCGTCCAGCCAGCAGCGCGTCAAGTTACATCTGCTCGGTGACTCGCATCCTTGCAGAGTCTTATCACGGTTGTGCACCTCAAAGAGTGTGGAGAATCGTTAATCTCTAGTTCACCAACCTGGCCGCAACAGCAACGCCCTCACTCCCTACTATTCGCCTCGCCCAACCCCTCGCCCTCGCTCGTCTGACCGCTCAAACCTCACCTCACCTCGCCCTTGTGTTGCGTTTGACCTCATTTACACCAAAGATTTGAACTCTGCATCTTCGCCGCCAACATGGGTGTTCCAGCGCTTTTCCGCTGGCTCAGCAAAAAGTACCCCAAGATCATCAGTCCTGTCATAGAAGAGCAGGCGCAAGAGATTGACAACGGTGATGGCACCAAAACCAAACTCCATGTCGACATGTCGCGTCCGAATCCCAACGGCGAGGAGTTCGACAACCTCTACCTCGACATGAACGGCATTGTCCATCCCTGCTCTCACCCCGAAGACCGCCCAGCACCCGCCAACGAAGAAGAGATGATGATTGCCATCTTCGAGGTCACTGACCGCGTGGTGACGATGGCGCGTCCTCGCAAGCTACTGTACATCGCTGTCGATGGTGTCGCACCTAGAGCAAAGATGAACCAGCAACGGAGCCGACGCTTCCGCACCGCTCAAGAGGCCGCCGAGAAAGACAAGCAGGTCGAAGAATTTCACGCACTCCTCCGTCAGAATGGCCAAAGTCAAGAGGATGGTGATGGGGAGGCACCGAAGAAGACATGGGACTCGAACTCGATCACCCCCGGCACTCCCTTCATGGACCTCCTTGCTCAGAGTTTGAAGTACTGGGTCAAGTACAAGGCCACAACCGACCCCGCATGGAAGAATCTGAAGATCATCATCTCTGATGCTTCGGTACCTGGGGAAGGTGAGCACAAGATCATGAACTTCATCCGTTCCCAGCGTAGTTCGAGCGCGCACGATCCGAATACCCGGTAAGTCATTCCATCCTCCTTTCCTTGCGGCTTCTGCGTTCCATTGCTCTTCCACTCTTTCCGAATCCGAGCCACACAGGACGGTCGAGCTCTGCTAACACTGCCCAGACATGTTTTCGTGGGCTTGGACGCCGATCTGATCATGCTTGGCATTGCAACCCATGAGCCGCATTTCCGCGTACTGCGCGAGGATGTCTTTGCCAACGACACAAAGCCCGGTCATTGTCGTAAATGCGGGCAGCCTGGACACCGAGCCGACGAGTGTATTGGTGCCGCCAAACCGAAGCCTGGACAAGAGCTTGTAGAGAAGGCACCCAAACCCTACATTTGGCTGGACGTGCGCACGCTGCGAGAGTATCTGGCCGTGGAAATGTACGTCACGGGTCAGCCGTTCCAATTCGACCTGGAGCGCGCGCTAGACGATTGGGTCTTTATGTGCTTCTTTGTGGGGAACGACTTCCTGCCGCACCTGCCCTCTCTCGACATCAGGGAGGATGGGATCGACACTTTGATCGCCATTTGGCGCGACAATCTCTCCGTGATGGGAGGATACGTCACCAAGGATGGGATTGTGGACCTCCAGCGCGTACAAATCATCTTGGAGGGATTGGCAAAGCAAGAGGATGCGATTTTCAAGCGTAGACGGGCGACGGAAGTGAAGAGGGCGGAGCAAGACAAACGCCGAGCGGAGCAGCTGCAGAGGCGACAAGGCGGGAAGCGGATGCGATTCAGCGACGGAGCGCCGACTGGCTTTGACGAGACGGTCATCCGACGCGGGGCGCGCGGAGGTATCATCAGAGGTGAAGCCGCGCCGGACATGAACGCGCTGCCGCTATTTGCCCCCGGAGATGCGCAGACGAAGAATGACCCGCGCTACACTGCGGCATTGACGCATGCAGACGTTGTGGGGGGGAGATCGGCGGCGCAAGCCAATGCAGACAACCGCTCCGCTGCGGCGGTGTTGAGGGAGAAGCTCATGCAGGGCAAGAAACCTGCGAATAGCCAAAAGGCCGAGGTCGATGCACTGTTCGCCAATGCCAATGGCGCACCGACGAACGGCAGCAGTGCGCAGGCTCCAGTGCTGGGCAAGCGCAGCAGGGAGATGATTGACGAAGCCAACGACGATGCTGCGAACTCTGATCCGTCGACTCCAGGCCGTACCACACCCATCAAAGATAATTCAGGAACATCTGGCGCTCTGGGTGGAAACTCGCAAGAGGACAATGGCTTGCCAGAGGACACCGTCATGCTCTGGGAAGAAGGATACCAAGACCGATACTACGAGCAGAAGTTCCACGTCGCGCCCACGGACATTGAATTCCGCAGGAAGGTGGCAAGAGACTACGTGGAAGGTTTGTGCTGGGTCCTGTTATACTACCTGCAGGGCTGTCCGTCCTGGACATGGTACTTCCCGTATCACTACGCGCCGTTCGCCGCCGACTTCCACGAGATCGACAAGATGGTGGTGGACTTTGAGAAGGGCACTCCATTCCACCCGTACGAACAGTTGATGGGTGTGATGCCGGCGGCATCCTGTCACGTTCTCCCTGCCGTCTTCCACCCCTTGATGACGGAGGAAGACTCGCCCATCAAGGAGTTCTATCCCGAGGATTTCGTCGTCGATCTTAATGGCAAGAAGATGGCGTGGCAAGGCATCGCGCTGCTCCCGTTCATCGACGAAAAGAAATTGCTCGCGGCCATGAGTGTCAAGTACCCGCTCCTCACTGCGGAGGAGCGCAGGCGCAATGAATTTGGCGACGAGATCCTGGTAATGAGCACCAATCATGACCTCTACAATGATGTCATCCGGAGTTTCTACAGCAAGAAGCCCATCAGCTCCAAGACGTTCAAACTGGACGGCTGGAAATCTCAAGGGCTGGCGGGCAAGGTGGGCAAGGATCTGGACTATCTGCCAGGGTCGCAGCTCCTCTTTCCGCTCGAGGGCGGCGCACAAGACACGTTCACCTCGCTGGACCAAGACTTGAGCGCAAGCGTGACATACGAAATGCCTCACCTACAAGAGAGACACAAGAGTATGCTATTGGCTGGGGTCAAGTTCCCATCACCCGTGCTCGATCCCGACGACATTCAGACCACGATGGAGCGAGCCGGTAAGACGGGGCGGAGCCATGGTGGCGTGCGGCTCAGTCAGCACGGCGGCCGGAGTGATGGGAGGCAAATCAACTATGCTGCGCGCAGCCAGGGGAACGGCGGTGGTGGTTACAATGGTTACAATGCCGGGCCTCCCCCTGGCTTCCCTCAGCCTCCGCCGGGTGTTCGTGCCATGCCGCCAGTTCCAGCAGGACCACCACCAATGCATGGGCAACAAAATGGGTACGGGCAGCACGGCGGGCGACAGAACGGGTACTCGGGTTCGCAGCAAGGGTATAATGCACCTCGTGGCTACGCACCGCAGCAGCAAGGGCATGGCTATGGACAGGGTGGACGAGGTCGAGGACACGACAACCGATATGGGGGCCGCGAGGACAGGAACGGCTACGGCTACGGGCAGGGAGGAGGCTATCAGGGAGGTTATGGTGGTGGGTATGGCGGCGGATACGGCGGATATGGTGGCGGGAGGAGGTAGAAAGTAGCCGCGATCGTCTGGGAGAGCTTCTGATGTCCCCTTCGACGATGTACTGTATGTCCTGTCGTTCACGCACAAACAGACGTGTCCCATGCATCGTTCGTTGGATAAATGCGCAACTGTGGTTCCGGCGGTTGGACCCCCAAACCAGCCCATGTGGGGCGGCAAAATGCTCCTAGCGAATACTGCAAAGGCAGGAAAAAAGGGAAGCTCGGCGCTATAGGAAACAGCTGAATACAGTGAGCAAATAAATGGCCTCAGGAGAAGATGGCGGTGAGAGCACGCAACTTCCGAGGTGGAGGCGCGGAAACTCTGCAGTCCAGTGTCATCATGAGGTGAGATGACACGGGAGAGGCGGTGGGGAAATGGGGTTGTTGGTGAGGACCTCGATCTTCTCAAAGCGGCAGGTGCGGTTTTCGCGGCGATCACTTGGACACATCCTTGGTTCGCGTCGTGTGGCATATAAGCGGAAAAGAAAAGAAAGGGTGCCGTCCCGTCGCTACCTATTGCTGCACGACGATGTAATACGAGTGGGCGGGCCCCGATGAGCAAACTCAATTACAGACGGTGTCAAGGTGTATCTACTGTATAGCGTCACAACCGGTTTGCAGCTGAAGGTCTGACGCCTCCCCACCGGTAGTAGGCCAAGCCGATGCATGCAAGCATGTGAAGACGAGGGATGTACAGTATGTAGGATCGCAATCACATGCATGTAAGCATGCACAAGGCGTTCGACGCGGCGCAAAGGATGGCCGATGTTTGCATGCTAGACGGCCAGACGGGCTACTTGGCATATGTTGGATGCCGGCCACTACAGAAACCACCCACCATAGGGGAAGGATTGGCAGTCGGGGATGGAGACGATAACGAGGGAGGATCGGGGCCAGGAAGGAGAGTCGCTTGGCAAATGAAAGCCTCGGGATGGAGCGAGGATGGGGAGTGGAGAGGCGTGGGCCAGGCGGGGCGGAGATTGGTGGGATTAGAAATCGACCGCGGAAGCGACTGACGGTGCTTGCCGTGTTGAGCGCGCCGTGGCGTCGCTAGCGTGCTGCCCAGCGGCAGAATTCTCGCTTGCAGGGAACGAGCAGCGCTCCGACGCTCCCCTACCCGCTGCGCGCACCGTCCATTCCACAACCAGGCGAGTGCGAGTGGCACCAGCATCCATCGTCCACACCCTTTCTATATCCACCTCCATCTTCACCCTCACCCTCACCCTCACCTCTTCCCCTCCTCTCCCGCCGCGACACTCTCTTGCGTTGTGCGACAACGTCCTTCCACGGGCCAGGGGAAACAAAGGGCCACACACCTACCCCCGCCGGATCCTTCCCCGTCGCGTGCGATCACCTCTCCCACCACACCGGCATCAGTACCTCCCCCGACACTCGACCGCGACACCCCTCTTCACATTGCCAGTCATGGCCTCTGGCTACGCGGGGCGCCGTGCCCCCAACGTCTCTCAATACCTCGCCAACCTCAACACCGTCCCCTCCACCCACGAGCAGCTCGCCAGCGAGATCAACCTCGGCGAAGGCGACCTCGACTTCCTCACCAATGCCGAATTCTTCGACTTCGACTCCTTCCACCCCGGAGGCGCGCCGGTTGATGGTCACCACCCACCACAACCCTACCCCGCCTCTGCCCACTCTCGTAGTCCTGCAAATGGTGAGTCTCCCATGCGCCCGCCCGCTTATGCGACGGCGTCTTGCCGTCGCAATCGCATCCGTGAGCAGTCCCACTGACCTGTCCCCAGGCGCTGCTCCCTACCAATACGGCGAATACCAACCCTACCCCACCCCTGTCACCTCCTCCTCGGGCCACAACGCTCTCCACGGCCCATACCCTCCCCCTTCTGCCCACCGCCTGCCCTACAGCAGCCCGCCTTCTGCTAGCGACAAGCGCAAAGCGAGCGTAGCCGCCACCGTCCCGTCCCCGCAGGATTACATCTCTTCCCCGCAGGATTTGGAGGACCAGTCGCGCCTCGCCGCCGAGGAGGACAAGCGTCGCCGCAACACCGCCGCCAGCGCGCGCTTCCGCGTCAAGAAGAAGCAGCGCGAGCAGGCTCTGGAAAAGCAGGCCAAGGAAATGACCGACAAGGTGCAGCAATTGGAGGGCAAGGTGCAGCAGCTCGAGATGGAGAACAAGTGGCTCAAAGGCCTCATCACAGACAAGAACGACGGCAAGAGCCTCGAGCTAGCCATGAGCGAGAAGGAGGCCGCCGACCGGACTCCGGGCGACCACACCACCGGCGTGGGAACCGCGGAATCCATCATGGATGAAGATGACGACGATGAAGATGAAGAAGCGGAAGCTGATATCTAGACATGACATCACTGCGCGCGGTCCATGATGTCCATACCATGTTGACTATTATCTTAGAGAGGGGTTCTTGTCGATTGTTTTGTTCAATGCACACTTGGCACGCGGCACTCGCCCGGCCTTCTTGTCGCCGTCCTTCCGCATTTCGTTTGATTCGCCGCGTGGAGCTGCCGCCTGATCTCTCTTATTGCTGAAGCCGCCCGCAGACGTTAACAGAGTATTGCCCCTTCCTCTGTCGCCTACATGATCGAGCTGGGATGGGCCACGAATTCCGCAACATCCTACCCCCCATTTGGCCAGTCGTATTCCGGTATTCCATACTTATCCTCCCCCAAAGAGCTCGCAAACAGTCCACCAACCCACGCGAAGTGCTTGCCCAAGGCCGTGATCCAGGCAAAGACAATCAAAAACATGTCTCGCAGCTGAATACCCCATGCAGTCTGCGGAGCGATGATGGCCGGAACGCCGGGGGCCAGTTGCTGGAAATCTTTGATCATCGGCGCCATTCGCTCCTCGTACGCTTGCAAGCCGGCGGGGATATCGCCCCTGTGTCTGAAAATCTCGCCAGCTAGCAGATATCCTCCGGCCAGTGCCAGACTGGTGCCCGCGCCGCTGAAGTTGCAAGGGCTGTAGCCTGCATCGCCGACCATGACGAAGCGACCCTTGGACAGGCTCGGCGCTTTGACCTGCACAATCTCGGAGGCGTAGAAGTCTTCTGCCTCCATCATGGCGGCGATGATTTCCTCGCTGCGCCAGCCCGAGCCTGCAAAATACCGGGCCATGTAATTTTTGAGCGCTTCCGGGCCTTGTCTTTGAGCTTCCCGGAATGCTTGCGTGGCATCGACCTGGCTGGTACCAATACCCATGAGCCCAGCTCGAGTCGCACCGTTGGGATCGGGCCCGAGGGCAAGGAAGCGTCCGCCAGGCGCGCTGTACAATTGAGATAGCTTGCTGCCCTTCAGTAGGTCCTCCTCGATGGTGAAGTATGCTGCCCAGCTGTTGGTGGACTTGATGTGATCCCTGACGCCGCATTCCAGCCCCATGGCCCGAGTTCGCGAGGTTGCTCCGTCACAGGCGACAACAAGATCGTAGTCCGCAGTGGGCAATTTATTGTTGGCGAAGCGCACTGCGATCGGTCCATTCCCCGTTTGTGCCATCGAAGCAACTTGCTCGCCAAAGACATACTTGATCCTGTCGTCGTTTTTCGTCAAGTCGAAAAGTACCTGAGCCAGGTCGCCGCGCAGAATCTCGAATTCCGACACGAGGGTCTGACTCTTGGAATCCTTGGAAGCAGTCATCGTTGCGAAGGCCTTGCCATCGCCTCGGACGAAGCTGATGCCATCCATGTGCATACATCTTGCCCTGACGGCGGCTTCCATGCCGGGCATCTTGCGCATGACCGTGATGCCTACCGAGCGGATGTCAATGCCTTGGCCAGCTGTCCGTAGCTGTGGGAAGCGTTCGATGATGGTCACCTGCGCTCCCGCCCTGGCAAACCAGTAGGCTGCAGTTGGACCGGCGATGGAGGCGCCAACGATCAGAACCTTGAGGTTTGACATTGTGGATGAATGACAAGGTTGAAGGAGCGGTCACGAGTTTTCAGTGCGCCTTATGACGAGCGCGTGGTTCAGATGGCATGTGAAGAGAGAATGTAGAAGATGATCAAACCATACTTACGTGTGAAGGGGCGAACGACCGCGATACATAAATACATGGAGCGGCGCACTTGTTAGTGGTCCCCGGGTGGTGGTCGATGTCGTTGGTCGGGTCTACGAGTGTGGTGACCGGCCGAAGCGGGTGGACGGCCTGCGTAGCTCTCATACTCACCGCTGTACACATAAGAACTGCGAACTTCACTTCATGTTCATCCCTTCGACGCTGACATCGATTCATCCTTCCTCCCCGCGGTATTCTCTCGGATCACAGCAGGAATGGAGTTCCCTATTGTGGACATTGAGCACTTGGACGATCCCCAATGCCAATTGGACATCGCCAACCACATCGCTCGCGCGAGTCAAACCTGGGGCTTCCTTCTACTCAAGAACCATCCCATCCCGCAGCAAGATGTCGGAGACATGTTCAGCCTTGCTCGTCAGTTTTTCCTCGACGAGAGCGAAGCCGCTAAGTCCCCGTGGCCCGTCAATACGGACTCGATAGGGTATAGCCGAGCTTTGTCAGATAGATACAAAGACGACAAGGCCAGCATGTGGTTTGCGGGAAAAGCAGGGTTTTTGGCGCACAATCTGCCTGCCTTGCCGCCCTTCTGGCACACTTACACTGCACAAATCGACGATTTCAAACAAAAGTGCCACCAGCTAATCATGAAGCTGCTGGTGTGCTTCGCCATTGCAATGGACCTGCCCGACCGCGACTTCTTCGCCAAAGCCCACTCCGAGGACATCGGCAACGGTAACGTGTTGCGGAGTACGCCATGAATCATCTCACCCACAGGTCCTTGCCGGCATGAGCTAAGTGGTTCTTGACAATCTAGTGATCTGCTACCCAGCCCGGACGCAAGCCCCGTTGGACACAACGACTCGAATGTCTTCTCACTCCGATTCCGGCTCGGTCACACTGCTGTTCCAGACATGTGCAGGCTTGGAGGTGGAGTCGCCGTCCGGGGCGTGGGTACCAGCACCATGCTTACCGGGCCACATTCTGGTCAATCTTGGCGACGCCCTCGCCTTCTGGTCTGGTCGCCGCTTGAAGGCGACGAGGCACCGCGTCTCATTTGCCACCGTCCCACATGACCGGGAAAGGCTTTCGATGGCGTACTTTGCCAAAGCCGCACCGGAAACCGTCCTTCAACCCCTGCGGAGCGGAGCAGACGATGAGCCCATGCGCGAGTACAAAGCGAACGGCTTGACAATACAGCCCGGCATCACGGTAGGAGAGTACTCCCGGTTGATCATGGAAAGTATCTACGGGGCGCCAGTGGAGCCCAATGCTCAAGAACCCAGATCGCCGACTGCTGCATCTGCAGCATGATTAGATACCCCACGACGGGCAATGATACATGATTACATATCCACTGCGTCCCAACATGGTGGACACCACGTCCAGATGTTGCGGTCAGCCGGGGCTCCCGAAGGAGAGGGTGTGCGAACTGGTCGTGTGGGAGGCGGAGAGGAGATGGGGCCAAGGCTGTCCACTCGACAGCAACGATGGCCTTGTAAGGCGATTGCCGCGAAATTTCCCGGTGGGGGAGGATGTGATGTCCAATGATGCGCAAGACGCGATCATATCGAACGCAGGGATCGAGGAGAGGGATGGGGATGCGCGGCAAGCGCCGTACAATCGGCGCCTGCTGTTCGCCGGCGTTTGTCGCGGTAGGGGCTAATTGGTGGATTGAAGCCGTCTGGTCGCTGTCGAGAGATGGAATGGCACCCTCATACTGCCTGTTCGGGCATGTATTGTGTGCAGACGCCATTTCTTCGTAAGCACATGGCGAATTGCCAGGGGTAGATCTGGACGCTGCACGATTACAGATGCCGTGACATCATGCGGTCGGCACCCTTCGCCTCCCCCACTGGACAAGAGCGGATCGACAAGTGCGCAGTGGGGAAGAGGTCACAGGCGGTCGCGGGCGGTGGATAAGGCGATATTGAGCGCCCGACGATCAGTGGACTGGGAGACTGGCCATCGACCAAGCTGTTGTAGAGGGGAGCAGCAGCCGACTAGCCCAGCAACCTGGCTGCCTTACCTCCCTCCCCGGCGCTAGCACGAGCTCGACGGTGTAATAATAAACACAAAGTCTTGCCATGCCGGGCGTTTTACTCATTCTGACCTATTAGCCACGCGGGCCCCGGCCCACAGACGTCTGGGTAGGGCACAAGGCTTGTTCAGCAAGGCGATGCTGGACCATTGGCTTTACCTCGGGCCCGTGACGAAGGCCACCTGCTGTGCCCTACTTCCCTCCACCCCGGATGTCAGGATTGAGTTCTCAGCAGCAGAGCGACATGGGCGGATGGAGTCGCCCGGCTTGGCACGCACTCCTGTCTCGCCTCCATCGCACCCCGAGTCCAGGCCAACCCGCCGCCTATCAACGCCCAAAGGTCCCTCAAATTTAGCACGCGGATGGCCATGGTTTGCCACGAGTCTGCCGTGCGTAGGACTCGTGCCTGTTCTACTTATTCTCCCCCTCTGCCCTCTGCCTCACCCCATCCCTCTTGTGTTTGTCCTCCCCTGCCGCCCGACGTACGTTACGACACTCGCATTCGCGTGGGCTCACGCATGCGCAATCGCCCTTCGCCTCTCCCGCCTCGTATACCCTCGACGATAAGCCATAGGCACCACTGGTGCACGCGGCGTGTGTTCTCCCCATCCAACACGCTCATGCACACCCACCATCTGACACGAGCCAAGCAGCAGCAAAAACAGCCGATCGTGTGGGCTTCTAATCCGGGTCGGGTGCATTTCAGCTCAGCCCATCGTCAGCTCATCAGCAGCAGCAGCGCAAAGAAGCAGCATCCATCAGACGCGCTACGCCCCGCACGGCTGCGGCCACGCCACCATCTTACCCGTCCCTCGCCCCATGTAGGGCTGAGCGCCACCCGCGTGCTTTGCCGTATCCGGCGAAGAGCTGGCCGCCAGCCTGATCCCACTCGTCCATCCCCCCCCGTCCCACCCGTCCGTCTTCCCTCCATTGCTGCCCAGCTCTCTGCTCCATCACCCGCCCGTGTCGCCTCTCGACACTTCTTGCATATCTCTTTGCCGACTCGGCCTTTTTCCTGGCAGCGATCAGTCCACGTTGCGACGCTCGTCGCCCCCTCCCTCGCCACCGCCCTCGTGGCAAATTGGTCCATCGATCGAGATACGGGTGGAGCAGTGGAGCGTGCCCGCGTCCCTGATGCTGCCTCCGCCCTCTTTCTACCATGCCCTCAAGCACGGGGCGTCGTGACTATTCGGGAAGGCACACGACCACCCCTTCGCCTCATCTTGGCTCTCTCCCGCCTTCCGCCGCGCTCATGCCAATCCCGCAGGCGCGCGAATCGGCGTCGCCGCCTCCGCCTCCGCCTTTGCCACCGCCATCCCATCTGCCCGAAATCTCTGCCGGCCGTGATCCCGGCTGGCAATGGGGCAACGATCCTAACGCCAATGACTTTGGCCGCCCTGCCATCGTCAGACCGGGCTCGAGTCTGCTAGGCCCTCGTCTTCGTCTATGCCCCGAGCTTGACCTCACCTCTATCCGCCATCTTCGTGACCCATATTGCACCTCAATCCCCACCGCAGATGTTGCCATGGACCAGCATGATGCCTCGCGGAGCCACGACCGAGGCTCTCTGCCTGGCAATACTGAGTACGTCTTCCTCGACACCGCTCTCTCGCCTGCCTCCAGGCGTATCTCCGCACGCGCGATGTGGCATGCAAATACTAACCACCGTTTACACCACAGACTGGTCGGAGAGAGGGACTTGAGGCGTAGAGAGATGGAGCTTTCCTCGCACTCGTACGACAAACTTCTCGTCAATCGCATTGGTGGGCCAAGCACACCGAAGCGTCAATCCCTATCCTACACACCAACCGGGGCTCCAGAGAGTGGAGCTTGGGAGCCAAACAGTGCAGAGCGACGCAAAAGCTCGGTGTGGTCTGCGTCCATGCCAGAAAGACGGCACCTGTCGGTCGACTCGAATGCAACCCACAGGCGTACCTCCTCAGGAGGCGCTTCTCCGAGGGCCACGATTGCATGGACAGAGTACGGCCTCGCGGACCGCAGCCGATTACACGAGTCTCGCCCTGGAAGTCTCGCTGGGAGCAGCTACGATCACTTCATGGTCACTAACAATGTCCCACATGGTGCCGAGGCCGTTCACGCAAGCGTTCTGCACCTTCAGGAATACAGTCCAGGATCTCCGAAAGCTGGCACGAAACGTCGAGCTTCTTCTCCTCCCCGGGACAGCGAGGACCGACTTTTGCTCGGTGGAGGGTCGGGTGTTCACGATGTATCCCGGATCCCGCCGCAACCTCCCTCGCCTAAACCCTGTCCAAGATCAAGACTCCATCCAAACAATTCCTCCTGCTCCTCCGCTTCCTCGGTCGGGCCACGCCATGGTTCTTTGGGCTCCTCGCTGGGTATGGCAAGTGGCGCAAGCAGCGCGACTAGTTACGCCTCAGCCGGCCGGTTTTCACCGCCTTTGCTGCTGGTCGACACTCATCCGGCCACGCAGCATCACCGAACGCATTCAGACACCACGCCCGACACCGCGCTTCCATCATCGGCTGAAAGCCTATCACACTCTCCGGGCGACGGCTTGTCCCAGACGCTCGGCACATATATGTGTGACTGTTGTCCTAAGAAGCCCAAGAAGTTCAAGACCGAAGATGAATTGAGGTGAGTCGAAGTCATCTTGGTCTCCGTGTACCGCGTATATCGCAGCTCCTAATTTCCCGCAGGCTCCACGAGAACGAGAAACAATACACGTGTACGTACTGCAGCAAACGGTTCAAGAACAAGAATGAGGCGGAGCGCCATCAGAACTCCCTCCACTTGCGCCTACACTCGTGGTCTTGTGCTGCGCTGTCCGGCCCAGAGGCCGCGTTTCACACGTCCTCCCCCACCGACAACACCGACGCTTGCGGATATTGTGGGCAGGAATTCTCCAATCCACCGCGCTGGGACATTCGTGCCGAGCATCTCAACCACGTTCACAAGTTCGGCGAGTGCAACCAGTCGAAAAAGTTTTTCCGAGCAGATCACTTCCGCCAGCATCTGAAGCATAGCCATCGCGGCACAGGAGGGAAATGGACGAATATTTTGGAAAGTGCGTGCATGATGGATGAGCCGATGCCGGATAAACGGAGAGCTACCAGTGTCACTTCTACCCCTGCTGGAAATCCTCCTCCTGCCCTCGTGGTGGCAGCTCCCGATCTTCTTTCGGGGCCGGGACCACCAGCAGCCTCTGCGACACTTGGTCAGTCGCATCACCACTGAAGCTCGCGAAGAGATTTGTCCGGCGGCCGCCTAGGGAAACAATTGGGGCAATGGGTGCGGCGGGGGTGATTTTAGGGCACGATGCTACGACAGCGCTGGTCAATCAGCCCTAACGATGAAGAGCAGCGGGTGAGGGCCGACATTACGAAATTCACGACTGCATACCGAGCGATTTGGCGCGTTCTGAGGCAACGTACATTGTCACCCATGCATCGCATTTGCAGGAGTCTGTCTGTATCATTCCATGGGGAGGGCTTACATGTAGATGCGGGTTGCCGAAGAAGCTCTGCTTGCCTGGATGCTGCATCTCACAAGCCTGCGAGGTGCGGGGAGCACTTCAAGGAGCGAGCAGGATCATCGTTCCCGGTCTAGGGATGTGGAGGAGACCAGGGCAAGCGAGTCACTCGTATGGGCGGGTAGCCTTCCCGACTGCGACTACATAACAATCGCAGCATTACTCTATCTGAGCGAATTCGCGGGTTACAGCTCGCTGCTCGGCCCAGGCACGATGCTTCTCCCCTTTCCTCCTCCATTCCCACCTTGTGCAATGCACCCTCGAGAGGCCACCAGCCCAGGACCGTAAGGCGCCCAGGACGGGGAATGAGATCAGCTGATGCCGAGATCCCCAGGGCGTGGTAAGTTTGCACATCGCTCGCCAAGTGCATGAGCTCGAGGTCCAGGTCGCGCATCGGCCGTGAAAATTTATGCTCGCAAATGCAGGCCTGGTCGGCCAACGCCGTGGATCCTTGCCCATGTGGGTGAGACCTTAGCCGCTCACCTACGAATCCTGCATGCCGGCCCTCATTAGTCGTATCGGCGCGGCCGCGCAGGACGGAGGCTCCGTGTTCCTTCGTATATGTGTCGGTCAACGAGGTGTGCCGAAAGGGCGAGAGATCCTGGCCGTCTTACATCTAATGACGTCTGTAGCGTGTGCAAAGCTTTGTCGAGGTCCTCTCGCGTGGAGTTCACACCGGCTGAAGGATCAAGAGGGTTCTGACGCCGACGGCGGCGCCAACGCCGATGGTGGCTTTGGAAAGTGATTTAGAGGAGTCCAGATGCGATGACAGACTGATATATAGGGTTCCTTGACTGCAAACATCCTGTAGTGGCAATGGAATGCGGACGAAAGGGTTAAGCGTATGAAGTCATATACCGGCGTAGGACCAGTAATTGTGAAGTGCGTGACATCTAGTCTCGCTGCAGGGTGTCGTTGTCACAAACACAGCTCAAATTTCAGGGCGACATCTAGTCACCGGGCGGTCCCGCTCGTCATCCCAATCAAACGGGATCGAACATGATCTCGAAGATGTTGAGTCTAGCGAATATACTGCTAGTCCAACACAAGTCGTGCCGGTCATGACTGAAGTGAAGCAACCTAGGAAGAAGACCGCGAGAGATTGTGGTACAGGTCGCACATGCAATATGTACAGATAGAGTGTCTTCTGGCTGTATCTTTGGGTTGGTACAACAACAGTCTGTGCTGCTGCGGGCAAAGTCAGAAAGACTGACCAACGATGAGGCATCTCTCAGTATCCAAAAGGGGAGGCCTGAGTCGTGGAGGGATTCAGGAAGTAGCCCATGGCTTCATCTGAGGAGCCAGTACCAGGCAGGCGGCCATCTGCGATCAGGTTGGTGGTCCGGTTGTTCTGGCCCTGGCGGAGCTCTCACCAACCGCGAATGGGATGTATAATCCGTGGGGCTGTTGGGAGGGAACGAGACCAGACAGGCGCCCAAATGCCAGGGCGGCGAAGCATATCTCATCATCCAGAGGCGGAGGGAATCCACTGGGGAAACGTTTGGTCTGTGAGCTTATTGGAAGGGATGAGGCCGGATGATTCATGTCAAGGGTTCCCCGTCGGGACAGACGGAAACGCGCCAGCACTCTTCAGCGTGTCGAGGTTTTTGCGCGTGATTTCGGCATTGCGCCTCTTCTGCTCGGCCTCGCGCCTCTTTTGCGCGCGCATGAGTTGGAAGTCCTTGTGTAGTTCGAAGATCTTCGGCGCGTGAGCTGCACTCGTATCTTCTTCCTTCTTCTTCTCCAGTTCCTTGAGCTTGTCCTCCTTTTCTTTCTCCTCCTGCTCATCCTCCTTCTTCTCTTCCTTCTTCGCATCCTTCTTGTCCTCCTTCTCATCCTCGCCCTTCTTCTTCTTGCGCTTCTCCATCTTCTTGCGCATCCGTTCCGCATACTCCTTCTTCACGACCTCGATCTCCTTGTCCAACTCCTCCTTGCGCTTCTTCTCCGCGAGATCCTCTTCATCTTGGGCCGTGGCGAACTTGCGGTCTTTCAGATGGCTCGCGCACACGTGGAACCAGTCGTCCTTGTCCGCGGTAATCAGGACCGTGGAGGAAGGGCGGAAGCATATCCAGCAGGACTTCGCGTCCGACTCTGCCACTTGGCGGCGGTAGTAGAATTTCTTGGAAGACATGTGTATTCAAGGGACAGCATGTACCATGACGGCACGGCCGCTGTAAAGGTGTGATCAAAGGGAAGTCGGCAGCAGGTGGAGGTGGCATGCGTATGCAGCCGCGGAGGTGGGAGCGGCCGACGCGCCAGGGTCCAATAAAGTGGGCCGCCGGTCTCGACTGAGAAATATCCCCCAACCTCACCCTACACGACCTTGCATCCATCTTCCACAATTGTATTTGCAATTACCCTCGACGTCACGCAGAACCACCTCATTCGTCAGATGAGTGGACGTGACCATGTCTCCCTCGATCACAACCACGCTTTCCGCGTCTCCTGGGGCGGAGGTGGCGACAGGGGGCAAGGACGATTTCTTCTGGGCGTACACTGAAGAGCCGCACAAGACGAGAAGACTCGAGATCATCAAAGCCCATCCCGAGGTATGGAGTAACCGCGAATGAAGTGCCCGCTCGCCTCTAACTTTGCACAGGTCCTGAAACTTTGCGGCCCCGAGCCCTTGACCATCCCTCTCGTTCTCGCCGTCGTCGGCCTCCAGATCTTCTGCGCCTACCTCCTCCGCCACACCGCATTCCTCTCCTGGCCCTTCATTCTCACCGCTTACATCATCGGCGCAACTGCCAACCAAAACCTCTTCCTCGCCATCCACGAAATCTCGCACAACCTGGCCTTCAAGTCCCCGCTGGCCAACCGACTCTTCGCCATCATTGCCAACCTCCCCATCGGCATCCCCTACTCTGCCTCATTCCGCCCCTATCATCTCACCCATCACAAGTCTCTTGGAGTCGATGGCCTTGACACCGACGTGCCTACCACCGTCGAGGCCTGGCTGCTGGACTCCGTTGCCGGCAAGGCATTCTTCTGCACCTTTCAGATTCTATTCTACGCCATCCGTCCGATGATGGTATACAAGCTGCCTCTGACATGGATCCACGCGCTGAACATTGCCTCGCAGCTGGCTTTTGACTTTGCCGTTGTGCGAGCATTTGGTGGCCGGGCCCTCGCCTACTTCATCCTCAGCTCATTCCTCGCCGGCTCTCTGCATCCATGTGCGGGACATTTCATCGCCGAGCATTACGTCTTCAATCAATTGGCGGCCTCGTCGGCTGTCAAGACTTCAGTGCCAACAGAGACCTACTCCTACTACGGAGTATTGAACCTGCTGACCTACAACGTTGGCCTGCATAATGAACATCACGACTTCCCTGCGATACCATGGACGAGGTTATGGAAATTGAACGAGGTTGCAAACGAATTCTACCGCGATCTTCCGTGCCACCACAGCTGGGTCGGGGTGATGTGGCAATTTGTCACCGACAAGGACGTTGGGCTGTGGTGTCGAGTGAAGAGGAAAGAAGGGGGTCGGAAGGTCGGAGGGAATGGGAAGCAACATCGACAGCCATTGGATGCCACGCTCTAGATGATAGATGATAGAATAGAATGATCAACCTGCGGTCTTTCCGCAGCCTGCTTCGAGTGCCAGTTGAGTCACGGCCCAACTTGTGCGGCCAAGCAAGGCGTACTGCTCACTCTGGAGCGTAGATGCCACCTCTGTGGGTGGTATGAAGATGATGCCAGCGGTCGTCGCAGGCGGCGCATCATCTCTTGATGACACGCAATGGAAGACACATGCGCCCGGGCGTTGGCGGGAGCGTGTGCTAGACTGCAATCCACATGACGCTGATCACGATATCCATCCCCTTTGCCTCACCTCCCGCCCACTTGAAACTCCACATCCCATCCTTCTCGTTATTCCAGTATGCGCCACTCGCGGAGTGCATGCCTCTTCTCCCCACCGTCTTGGAGGTCGTCGCTTCGCTGCCAGCATCGGACTGCGCGGTGGAGGGGGGGTCGGAGAGGTGCTGGATGATGGTGCTGTTGACTGCAAACTTGTATTTACTTTGTTGGTCGGGCGAGGCGGTGGCGGTCTCGGAGATGAGGGCTTTCAGGATGCTGTTGATGATGGCGTCGTTCCATCTTTGCGTCTCGCTGTGGTCGTAGAAGGTGACGGTGGAGAGGGCGGACTCGCAGGCGTCCTGGCAGATTTGTTTCAGGCGAGTATTGGGCACGGGCTATGGAGGGAGGGGCTTGTTCAGTATTCGATCTTATGGGAGATAGGGTTTGTAAGGACTCGTACCGAGTTTGTGGCCATGATGTGGAGGGTCAGGGTGTGTTGAGGCTGGTGAGGATGGCGGTATCTGTGAGAATGAGTTTACGCGGGCAGCACTCGACGTTGCTTCGGCACACGACAGCATCTCTTATCGATAAGCAGCTGATTGGTCCATTGACGGAGCACGTGGTGGGGCTTGTCCTCGCTCGAGCACCCAAGCATCTCATCCACGGGCTCGAGAGCACAATCTTTTCCTCACGGGCAGAAACAACAGCACGCTGCTATAGAGATCAGCAAGTCCCGCTGCTGACCGGATACCAAGTCGTCGAGAACATCCTGCGCCGAGAGCATCACTCCGTCATCCGACCCTCCCTCGTCCCTTACCTCGAGCTCATAGCCTCCACTTCACCAGCACCATGTCGAGTCAGCCTCTTCTTCAGACTGCGCCTGGTAAGAGCCATGTCCTGCCCGACACTTCATAGCCCACACATGCTAACTCCAGCACCCAAGGCAAGCGCATTGCCCTCCCCACGCGAGTCGAGCCGAAAGTCTTCTTCGCCAACGAACGAACCTTCCTCTCCTGGCTCAACTTCACCGTCATCCTCGGCGGCCTCGCCATTGGCCTCCTGAACTTCGGCGACAAAGTCGGGCAGATCAGCGCCGGCCTGTTCACCCTCGTTGCCCTCGCCGCCATGCTGTATGCGCTCGTCACCTTCCATTGGCGCGCCAAGAGTATACGAATGCGAGGGCAGGGTGGTTTCGACGATCGATACGGCCCGACCGTCTTGGCCGTCGCCCTGTTGGCTGCGGTCGTCGTGAACTTTGTGCTGAGGGTTACTGGGGACAAGGCATGAGGTGGTGCTATTCGACCTGGGACGGCAGGACTGGACTACTATACTGCTTCCCTTCAGAATGCCGATTGGATGCTTCTGCTTTGCGACAAAAGCTGCCTAACATTCGAGTCGGGAGCTCTAGCCGGCGAATTTCACATTCTTTGTTTTTGGGATCTGTTGAAAGGCGAGTATGGCGCACGAATCGCGGACTGGACAGTGTATAGATACATACTACTCGGAAATCTTGCCAACAGTATCTTCTTTTCAAAAGCCGCCATTGTCAAGTGCTGAGACGCTACAGCACGGCAACGTAAGGGAAAGTCAAGTGAGCTGGAGAACTGGAGAACTGTGGCTCTTACATAGATACCAGTTCTCCTCTCGTGTGCGGCAAGAAGACAACTGACAGACTCCGCACGCCATGCTTCTCACCCACTCCATAAACCAGGCCGATCATCAAGAAATCTCATTCCCACATGCTCCCCGAATAAACATCTAGCTGGTCTGCAATGCCGCCTGCCGCACCCCCTCCGTCACCTCTTCCAATGCATCCCCAGCCTGTGGATTGCTCTGAGCCCCATCCTTCTCGAAATCCTCCACGCCCTTCTTGCTCTTCGACGCGGCCTTCTTTCTCTCCTTCTCCGCTTTCTTGGCTGCCTTCTTCGCCGCCTCGGCCTCCTTGACCTTCTGCAGCTCCTGCCCACCGTACTGCTCCCGCCACTCGACCTCCTTCTCTGGCTTGATGATCTTGAACAAGTGCTGTGCCTTTCCGATCTTATGCCCGGCGGGAATCGACTCTGCTTTCCACTCGTCGGGGATGATGAGCAGCTCGGCGTTGAGCTGCTTCAGAATGCTGCGCGTTGTTGCGGGCAGATAAGGAGCCAGTACGGACGCCAGGAGGTGGACGTGGTTGACGGCCAGGTTCACCACGGCGTCGCAGAGAGGCCGGTCGTTCTGGAAGAGCGCATTGTCCAGCCGGTTGTCTTGGAGGAGTTTGTTGCCAAGCGAGGAGAGCTCGCGAGCGGTGACGAGGCCGGCTTTCAGGTGCACACCATCCATCTGTTCGCGATACGTAGCTAGCAGGGTGTTGGTCTCCTCCAGGTGCTGCTGGTGCTTGCTCGAGATTGCTGCAGTGTCGTCGTTGCCAGGGGTTGGCAGAGCCGGAATGATCGAGTCGTATGTCTTGTCCGAGTTGACGAATTTGAGGATGCGGTTGACAAAGTTGCCAAAGTTGTTGACCAGTTCGTTGTTGTTGGCCGAGATGAAGCCGTCCCATTCGAACTCGGTATCGCTGGTCTCCGGTCTTCGCAGGAGCAGGAAATACCGCCACACATCTGCTGCAACGCCGGTATCTTTGGCAGAATTACCAAACACCCCAATGCCTCTGCTCTTGGAAAATTTGCCCTTTTCGTAGTTGAGGTATTCGGTGGTGCTGATGTGGTTCAGCATGGTCCATTTGTCCCCGGTGCCCAATTGCGAGCTTGGAAAGACGACGGTGTGGAAGGGGACGTTGTCTTTGCCCATGAACTGATAGAGCTGCACCTGCTCTGGATTCCTCCACCACTTCTCCCACTGCTTCGTGTAGGTGGCGGTGATGGATACATAGCCAATGCAGGCATCAAACCACACATACATGACCTTGTTTTCGTAGCCCGGCAAGGGGACGGCGGTGCCCCATTTCAGATCTCGGGTGATACCTCGCGGTTTGAGACCTTCTTTCAGCCAGCCGTTGGTGATGTTGACGCCGTTCTCGCTCCACGCACCCTTCTCGTTGCTCTCCTTCGCCCACGCGGCTACTTTGTCTTGCAATTTGTCCAGCCGAATGAAGACGTGCTTCGTATCTCTCGCCTGTGGGGTAGCACCGTCAAGCTTGCACTTGGGATTGATCAGGTCGAAGGGATCGAGGAGGTGACCGCACTTGTCGCACTGGTCCCCTCGCGCATCCTTGTATGCGCAAAGCGGACACTCGCCTTCTACAAATCGGTCTGCCAGGAAGCCTTGATGCTGTTCGCAGTATGGTTGTTTGGTGGTCTCCTCATCCAAGTATCCATTCTTGTGCAGCTTCAGAAAGATGTCCTGCGCGATGTCTGTTTGCTCTTGCGTGGGCGTGCGGCCGAAGTGGTCAAAGGCAATCTCAAACCAGTCGTAGACCTCCTTGTGTAATCGGTAGTATTTGTCGCATAGCTGTTGAGGTGTCACACCCTCTTCTATCGCCTTTGTCTCCGTCGCCGTGCCGTATTCGTCCGTGCCGCAGACGAAGAGGGTGGGATGGCCGCGCGCTTTGCAGTATCGCGAGAAAACGTCGGCGGACAACACACTCCCGATGATGTTGCCGAGATGCGGGACGTTGTTCACATACGGCAACGCGGAAGTAATGAGGATGTTCTTCTTGCCATCCTCGGGCAAGATCTCGTGGGTGACGCCGTTCATGATGGGTCGTGTGCTTGATCTGAGGAGGGAGGGTCGCTTCGCCGCGAAAGCTGTCCGGCGACCAACCGAAGAAAACGTTCTCGCGGCGCAGTATCTGGCGGCGTGTGTGGAGATGAGGGCGGCCAGATTCACGATGGGGAGTGCAGATGGCTGGGGCAGTTGAGCAAGGGCGACGGTGGTGGTTGGTGGTTCGACTCATCACAGAGCTCGCTCCAGCATTGACTTGAATTTCTGTTTCCAAGGGTCTCGCCCGGCTGGCCTTGCCGAGCCCTAACCCGATCCATTCCCATTTGGGCATCAATGAGCTCAGGGCAGGTCTGCTTGCACTCGACTCCAGCACACTCATTTGCCCCGTCCTGCGATCTTTCTCTTCAATTCCTTCAACATCCAGCATGGCAGAAGCAGCAGCTGGCGTCGTGGCCTACGAAGCCGTCGAGACTGTGGCTCAAATTGGCGTGGGCGCCTACTTCCTCGCCAAACCTACAATGCCGGTGAAGGCAAGGCTCATTCAGATAGCAGCATCAAAGGATGACGACACCAAGTTAGCCAGCTCTTACTCACAACTCCAATAATGCTGTACTGATGCGCTTTGAAGGTTATCTCTTGCACGATCTGGTCATAGTCTCACCGTCGTGGGAAGCAAAGCCTACATTTTCGGTGGCGAAACCACCTCCAACAAGCTCGCCGGGAACGAAGTGCATGCCGTCTCTCTAGAGCCCACGGAGAAACTGGAGCCCGAGTATTCTGTTTTCCCAGCCGGCACCAAAGATGATGAAGGTGCGAAGGTGCCCTCTGCCCGAACGAGGCATTCGGCGTGCGCCTTCGATGAACGTGTGGCCGTCTACGGTGGTGTCGATCAGTCCGGCCAGCTCATTGGCGATGCGCCGACAATATGGCTGTTCAATCCCGCCTATCACTCGTGGGAAGCTCTGGACTCCTTGAACCCCGAGACCCAACCGCAGCCCCGGAGCTCTGCCGGGCTATTTGCACATCAGAACAACTTGATATTGTATGGCGGGGTGGACACGCAGGGCACTCTTTTGAAGGACACATGGCACTTTGACGTTACCAACCGCCAATGGACGCCTCTTCCCGACGCTCCAGTATCTAGCCAACACGCCGCTCTCTCCGACGGCGTGCTCTATCTGATCTCCGGCTCCGACATGGTCGGCGGCGATCTACACTTCTTGCAACTCAACGCCAAGTCAGACGAAGGACAGGGCTGGCATACTGTGCCATTCCCGACAACGCCCCTCACACCTGGACCCCTACCGAGGGCCGGAGCGGGATTGCTTCCAGTGTCGACAGGCTATGGGAGGCAGTACCTGCTCTACCTCTTTGGCGCACACACCGCCGGCGAATCGGCGCAAGCCAGCGAAACGGCAGGGGAGGCTGGAAGCGCACAGCCCGCGTACTGGAGCGACATCTGGACCTACCAACTCCCCTCGAGCGACCCCGAACTCAAAGCGACCACGCAGATTTACGAAGCAATGAAGCCGGCGCGGATCAAGGACGCCATCCGGGGCGCTTTGGGTGTGGGATCGGGCAAACATTCATGGGGCGAGGTGGAAGTTTTGCCACCGGGGGAGCTAGTGCCGGCGGCTGGCAAGGTGCATCCCGGACCGCGCAGCTCGTTTGCATGTGATGTCATGAAGGACAAGCGGAGTGTGGCAGTTTGGGGCGGGATCAATCCAAAGGGCGAGCGGGAAGGGGATGGGTGGGTGATCAGGTTGGAGTAGGGTGGCCGCATTGAAGAGTGAAGATGATGATTGCGCGGCTTCGGCTGGAAAGGGCGGCAAGGTAGTACAATCTCGGTTTGAGCGACAGCGGTGCAGCACGGACAAGAGACAAGCTTTGCCGTGGCTGCCGACAGGGGCATGTCTCCGAACGATGAAAGGAAAGGCCACGCGGGGTTCAGGCAGATGATATGGGCACGCGCATGGGTGAAGGTCAGTTGCGCAGTAGGCGACGTGTCGTGCAGTTCCCAGGCGTACCGAGGGAGCATATGTCATAGGCGTGCGACCTCTAACTCTGGTACCTGCATTAGCCCGGATGTGATGCTTCTGGAAACGGCCACGGCTGGCAGCCTCCCAGCCTCTGCACTGTTTCCTCTGCAAGCACCCTCGCTCATCATCAAGTGGTCACCAATACCGATACAGGGCATGTTCGCTTGGCGTTCGTCAATACTTGCGTGCAAGAGTGTACTATTGAGTGGCGGCTTGCGCGACCAACGACGCGCGGGTAGTTGCATGTGTGCAGTGTAACGGCCTCCCAGCCGTACACCGCAATGCCGCTGCATCCGGTGACGTCGGTGCATCGCTACGGCGCACGGGACACGACACGACACGACACGAGCCCGTTTTCTCCGCGATTCCGTGGAGGAGAGGGCGGGTAGAGCATCGACGGTCGGGGTGTGGAGATTCATCCTGCCTATACGGGAAGATGCAGGCGACCGGGATTGGCTGGGCGTGGCGAGCTTAATTAAAATTGGCGGGTGCAAAGCTTGTCTTGTTGACCATCTCCGAGATTCTGATCGCCCACCCGCGCAGTCGTGATGTCAGGCAGCAAATTAAAATAGAAGGCGCTCACTGATCCGTGGAGAAGCTGGTGAAACGGCGTCGGGATTCAACGGAAATGCTGTGTTTGCAGCGCATTGGTGCGAGGAACGGAAGGTGCTTGGATGGGGAGGCGTCGTGGATTAGACCGCCAGGGCGCGCCAGCCTAGTCCCGGCCTAGCGCCCAGCCTAACCCCGGCGTCGCGCCGCCCTTCCCACCTCCCCCTGAAACGGGCTCGCGAGGTGAATGCGCGCGACTCTGTGATGAGAGAGAGAGAGTGACGGGCAAACGTCTCGCGCCCGTTTGCCGGTGCGTGAGTGCAGCGGATACGAATGGGGGCAGTGCTGTGCTAGTGCCACCCTGATTTGACTGGCCTGTAGCCCCGTGAGCCTCTCATCTGCCACAACCCTTCTCTTTCTTACCTCACCCTTCTCTCCTTCACGCTCTCTCTTCACCGTTACACCACCCTCTTTCGTTTTCTGTATATCCCTTGCGCGCGTCCATCACTCCTTCTGGACGCTGTTCACTTCATCCTCTCCCTTCATCCTTTCCCTTAGTCACTCTTTCTCGCGCTCGCCAACATGAAGCTCCCCACCACGCTTCCATCCGTCCTCCTGGGATTGTCACTCTTTGGACAGGCCGTCCTCGCCCATCCCCTCGATGCCGACTCTCTGACCAGCTCCCTCACCGGCACTCTCGACTCCCTTGCCGGCGAGCTCTCCTCTGACTTGTCCGACTCGTCCACCACCACGCCCGCGCCCGCGACCGATGCTTCCACCGAGCAGGCCTCGTCCAGCAAGGCTCACAAGGGCCACAAGCACCACAAGCACAAGAAGTCTCAGAACAAGTCCTCTTCCGGCGACAAAGATCGCAAGAAGAGGCGCCAGAGTGGCATCATCGACACCACCGGCATCTCCGGCGCCATCCACCCCCGCCTCGAAGTGCGCCAGATGCACTCCGAGCAGCCCAACCAATTCTCCCTCCTCGTCCTCGGCTTCCAGAAGTGGTACTTGCAGACCGACTCTGCTACCAGCTACCATGCCATCGCGGGGATTCATGGTGTGCCTTTGGTGAACTACAACAACGTCGAGCAGTGCTCAACATGCCAGGCCGCGTATGGGTACTGTAACCGTAAGCAATTCTAACCCCCTCGAAGTCAGACAAAAGCACTTGCTAACCCGAATAATCTAGATGACATGGTCACCTTCCCCGGCTGGCATCGCTCTTTGATGGCCCTGTTCGAGCAGGAATTCGTGGCCGTCGTTGAGGAGATCGCCAACAACTGGAACTCAACCGGATCGGGCCCAACCCGCGCTGAAATGCAGTCTGCCGCAAGCACCTTCCGTTTCCCCTACTGGGACTGGGCTGCCAAGCCTCCCAATGGCGGCAACAACTTCCCCGGTGTCTTCAGCAGCCCCAGCGTCGTCATCAACGGCCCCAACGGCCAGGAGACGATCTCCAATCCCCTCTACCAGTACCACTTCCCGAGCACCGCCGATCTCGTCTACCCCGACTTCACTTCCTGGCCAAACACCCTGCGCTATCCCACCTCCGACGCAGCTTCGGCGACCAGCCAGGACAATCTCGCCGTCACCGCCTTCAACAGCATTCGCCCGTCTCTGCAGGACCAGGTGTACAAGCTTCTCACCTCCTGCAACGAGTACCTCCCATTCTCCAATGACGACGCCAACTTGGCCTCCACCGGCTGCTCGAACAGCATTGAGGGAATTCACAACACCATCCATACCACGTCGGGTGGTGTGCCATCGGCCGAGGGCGGCACCGCCGGCCACATGTACTACCTGACTGTGGCCGCTTTCGATCCGCTCTTCTGGTTCCACCATGCCATGGTCGACCGCCTGTTCGCCATGTGGCAAACCATCAACCCAACTGCGTATGGCGCATCCCAATCGGCCCCCCATGTAACTTGGACCATCGCCAGCGGCTCCCAGTTGAACGCCGACACCCCCTTGACTCCTTTCTACCATTCCAGCGGCGAGTTTTTGACCCTCAACGCGGTGAGGGAATGGACGCAATTCGGCTACACATATCCCGAGTTCGCCGACAGTGATGGAAGCAAGGCTGCGATCGCCAGCTATGTCAACAAGCTCTACGGCCCAAGTGCCACCGCCACCGCCGGCTCGTCCAAGCGCACAGCTGCCCCTGAGCCCGTCAAGAAGGCCGCTCTCGAAGTCGTCGAGGAGCAAGCAAACGCTGAGAAACGCCAAATCTTCCAGCTCCCCCAGGGAGCCGTGTCGCAGAACGGCAGTGCGTTTGAGTACGTCGCCAACATCGTCACTCCTCGCTACGCCCTCGGCGGCTCATACTACGTCTTCGTGTTCTTGGGCGAGCCAGCCAGCGAGGACCCGTCCACGTGGATCAACGACGCCAACATGGTCGGGCCGATGGGCGTTCTTGCTCAGCAAGGCATGGAGGACTCGACCCTCCTCATCGCCGGCTCCGTCCCCTTGACTCGCTCTCTGACCGCCCAGCTGGGATCCAGCGCGCTCGCCGAGCTGACGGAGGAGCTGGTCGGCCCGTACTTGCAGAACCTGCTGCAGTGGAGGATCCTGGGGCCCAACGGCCAGGCCGTCGACCCCACCTCCCTCAACGGCTTCCTGGTGTCGGTCTACTCTTCCACCGCCTCCGTGCCGCAGGCGGACGAGGAGTTGCCGCAGTACTCGCAATACTTCCCGCTGCCCATCGCGACGCATGGCAAGTCGGGCGGGCTGTTGGGCAATCTGGGTCTGTAGATTGGGGTTTTCGTTTGCAAGCTTGGGTACCGTGCTCTTTTGATTATGGCATGACTTACACCCCATTCAACTCGACGGTAGCGGTATAGTTCTATTCACCAAAGGAGAGACCATAGTCAATTTGAATTCCTCGTTCATCACGTTCATCCATCTCCACTCTCTCGTCCCTTGCGTGTCCGCGTAGATGGGCAGGGCTGCGCTGATGAACGGAACATTCACGAGGAGGCCCCACAAAGTCTTCACGGAAAAATGCACGGGGTTTGTATGATTCATCAACTACCTCAAGCTCTCATGCATCGCGTGTGTCGCTAAAACCACCACCTCCGCCAATCTACGCCGTGTCCATCTTCGCCTCCCTCTCCGCCAGCTTCGCTGCCTTGCGCTCCGCCTTCCACGCTTCAATTTTGGCCTTCATCTCGACGTCGGGAATGACCTGGTCGATCTTCAAAGGCGCCCGGTTGAACGGATCCGTGGGATCGCTCAACAAGTGACTTCGGATTGTGCTTCGGTCCATGACCGCTTTTGAAGAGGGCAGGATGACGGGGTCCTTCATCAGATCCGCCATCAGCGGGTCTAGGAATTCGTCTGGTGGATCGCCAAGGTCCTCTTCTTCCTCGTCGTCAGCTGCCTTGGCCGCGGCGATGTTCGCCACCATCACGTCCCACAGCTCGAGGTCTTGCGGGGATTTGAGTACTTCGCGCTGCATGAAATCTATGTTATCATCAAGTTAGTAGAGTGTACCTTGGAGCGATGAAGAGCGACGACCTACACTTTGCCTGCTCGAAATTCGCTGGTTTGTAGCTTCTGCCGTCCCTTGCAATGGCCTGAAGGAAAGTCTGCTGTTCAGCGAGATTTAGGTAGACCGTCGCAATGTTACTCAATAGTTCTTTCGGCCGGAAATCGTACTCCTTCGGGTTGCCGACCTTGAGGTTGACTTGCTTCGGACCGACCATGATGCCAAGATTGTAATCCAGCATGTCCGCCAGCCTCGTCACGATTTCCGGCATAGTGAAGGCTTCCGCCAGCGACTCGGAGAAGAGGATGAGCATCTGGATGGTCTCGTTGGTGAGGCCCATGTAGCTTTTGGCCTTGCCTTGATTGTCCTCCAGCAGGTCTTGTTTCTCTTTCCTTTGTTCTTCACTTAAGCTCTGCATCAATGCCTCATTTGCCAGTTCTGTCTCCAATTCACGGATTCTAGCAAACGAAGAGAGACTCTCGTCGAGCACGAAAGTCACATCGTTGACAAGCATGTTGACGAACTGTACAAAGAAGTCGCGGTTGATCTTCGCTTCTTTGGCAAGCGTTTCGCGGTACAAGGTGTTTGGCCAGATGGTCTGAACAACCTTGAAGATTTCGTATCGAATGTTGAACTTGTCAAAGAATTGGGTGTGGCTGCCCGTCGACTCCGCTTCGATGTAGAACTTCATCAGAGCGTGGAGAAGATGTTTGTTCGCAAAATCCGATCCCATCAAGAGATCTCCCAACACTCCATTCGGCCTGGTGATGGGCCGCGAGCCATAGTAAAGGATGGTGACCAGCCCGGACTTGATTCCGGGATTCTTGACATACTCGCCGTTGCGCAAGAACGTCACGCAAATCTGAACGATTTCCTCGCATTGCTGGGGTGTCAGAATGTTCATGTTGCCCGTGATGAATTTGAAATTGTCGGTGAGGCCCTCGAGGAAGTACTCTGGCAAGCAACTGAACACATTCGGCTGCTCTTCCGAAAGTGGAAGGTTCAGACGCTCCTTTGGCAATTGTTGTCGAGAGGCCAGGCGCAACAACCAGACGATCACGTAGCGCATGAACTGCATGCTACGAGCTTGCGTAAGATCATCTATTAGGACGCCCCAAGTGGCGTGATAGATGCTCCACTGATCATCAATGTGCTTCTTGAACCGCGCCACGTGCGCTTCGAAGCGTTGCATGTAGCGAGGGTCCTACGGCGACGGATTAGTAATAATCATCATCGAGTGAAGGAGATTACGAACGTTGACATATTTATGCCTCTCCGCCTCAAATTGTTCGAGGTCTTTCTCCGTCCGCTGAATCGACTTCTTCATCATGCCCATCCTTGTCTGTGCCGCTTCGGTACCGTAGTGATGCGCTGCGACCGTTAGGAAGAACACTTCGGAAATGAAGTTGCTTGTGCCGTCCGCCTTGTTGGAATAGAAGTCGTCCGCAGTCTTCTGGTCTGCGTTGATCTTCGTCTCATCCGAAATGTCGACTCGCGGGTCTCGGCGGAGGTAATCAACATCGATCCGATCAATCTTTCCGAATTGCGCATCCATGAACGGTTCACACAGCTGGTCCAGAATGCTGGTGACATTGACCATGAAGCCGTCGCTAGACACAGTCTTGTAAACCACACGCATTGCCCGTTTCTTGTGGTTCTTGTTGACACACAGAGCAAACCAGTTGAGGATCGCCTCGCGCTGCGCCGAGCCAGATCGTACCACATCGTTTGCGACGCGGAACAGCTCGTCCTGGTGTGTCCTGAGCACCGTACGCACAGCACTCTGAGCTTGTGCGATGAAACCCCGGTCTCTTGTCTTTGGAGCGGAGAAATAGTTGCTCGCGACCTCAAGATGCATAGGCGAAAGCCGGAAGAAGGGGCCGAGGAAGGTCTTGGTCTCGACATCTTGCGGCTCTACGTCCTGAGGCAGCCACGTCGACGACTGCGTGAGAGCTTCTACGATCTTCGGGAAGCGGGTCAGGTTCCGTAGGGCGCGCATGTAACTTTGGTAGTCTTCAAGCATGCTCTTCGCAGATAGTTGACGACTCAGGTCTTCGGCAGCTGCCACAATTGCCTCTTTGATACTCTCGTCTTCCTCGAAGCGGCTGCTCGCCTCGGTCAGGAAATCAGTGCAGATCCCCAGGTCGTTCTCCGGATCCGCAAGCAAATGCTCAGCCAGCTTGTTTGACGTTGACGGGGCCATTTCTTCCCCAAACATCTCGGGCATGGTGACAGAGAAGATGCAGTAGCTCATGCATAGCCGGCGCGTCTCGAGTAATACGGCGTGCTTCGAGTCATCTGGTCCGCTGTATTTCGTTTGTCGAACTGCCCGGGACGCTCTCTTGAAGCATTGTAGAAGATACTCAAATGGCTTGCCCTTGGTGCTGCTCGCTGCCTCTGTGATTGCGCCTTCAAGAACGTCCATGTTTAGCTGCGGGGATCCACTTTCGGTCACATCCTCCCTTGTACTAGCGAGGAAGATAAGGTGGTTGCCATGGAAGTCTCTCGTCTCTTCGGGCTTCAATGTGACTCGGAAGATTTGCCTCAGGCTCCTATCCTGCCAGATTTCCAGACTCTCCGGCGCCTTCTCGTGCGTACGAGACCTTGCGCGCTCTGAGCCGTCTCTTTCTCGCTTCGCCGGCGAAGCTGGTCTGGGCTGCACTTTCGATTGTGATGTGGTGTCTTCGGCCTTAGCACCTAGCTTGGAGAAAGGGTTCTCGGATGTTGGTACGGATGTTGCGGGCTTGGTGGGGACTGGGGCGGTGGCGGAGGGGTCAGAGGGGGTGGAGGAGACAGCGCCATTCGCCGCAGGTGCTGAATCGGCAGCATTACTACTTTGATTTCCTCCCAGTTTTGCCAGACGTTTTGCACGGATCTGAGCCACGTTAGCCAGGCGGTCTGCGCAGATTCGTCATCAAAATAAGATACCTTGTCGGCATCCGACATGTTAGAGTCGGCCATTTTCGCGGAGGCAGAAAGACTCAGGATCGGAGTGAGGGTGTAATCATGGATGAACACCAGCAGTGGGCTGCACTACCATGCATGAAACAAGCTGCGAGCGATGATGGTGGCAGTGTTGCTGTATGCAGACGAGTGTTGACTCTTGTGAATTGAAGGTGTGGAGAGAAGCCGTGGGACGTCATGTCAATTCACCGCCGCCAAACCTTATCTCACTCGGCTTCTTCCGATTTCCAGGCGCGGGTCCAATTACTAAGCAGATATTCCATGCCTCCAATGTCCTACCACGAGCAGTCCGCGCTGCTCTACGGGACGAGATGTGTAAGAAGCAATACAACGAGGGTGGGATATACAAGTCGTTTCATTCAGGCCAAACGAAAAGTACTCTACAGCCATCCAACTCCCGCTAAAACGTTCTCAAGCCCAAACGCGATGCCCCGTCAACTCCTGCAGCTTCTTACAGCTTGACATGTCCATCCTCCTCGCTTGATCCAGCTTAGCCTGATCCGTAAAGAAGAAGCCATGCGCCTCGTTGATCAGTCGCGTCCGGGTGTTCTGCTCGATCTCGCACTCTGTGTTCAAAGTGCCCACGTAATGCCCTTCCGCCAGCTTGTCCAGATCCTTCCACTTTCGATCTGTATAGTCGGAGACGTCGGCGGGATTTACCCAGTAGGGAACGTGTAGTCGGTTCGAGGTGCGTCCGAGAGTGTGTGGTGGGAGCGCGGCGTCGAAGCGCAAGGTCGGCCCCGTGTAGGAAGAAGAGCCGCCGCCAAAGAACGAAGAGAGAAGCGGGATGACGAACAGGAGCAGGAGCGGCAGTAAGGACCGCAAGGCTTCCAGCGGGGAATGATTCCGGGGTGCGTCTTGATGATTGTGCGGTCGCCGTCGAGGATGCCCTCCTCCAAATTGGTGTACTCTGATTCCCGGCCCCCCTCCCATGTTGAACATGAAGCCAGGGCCCCCGAATCCTCCTCCCATGCCGCCGCCAAATGGTCCAAAGGGGCCGCCGCCCATGCCGCCACCGAAGAACTGTCGGAAGAGATCCTCGGGGGATATCTCCTCTTCGAACATGGGGCCACCTGCTCGTGCACCTCCACGTCGGGAGGCAAAGCCAGAGAAGGGGGAAGATGCGGAGGCAGCGGAGAAACGCGAATCGGGGTCGGTGCCGTAGCGATCGAAAGCCGCCTTCTTGTCCGCATCCGAGAGGATTTGAAAAGCACGGCTAACCACTGTGGATAGACGTGTCAGTATGAGTCTCATGTTACCCCAGACTCAAAGCCGTAGGGCTGATGCTAAACTGACTCTTGAAGGCCTCGTCTGCGCCCTGATACCCATTCTTATCCGGATGCGTCAACAAGCTCAACTTTCGGTATGCCTTCTTGATTTCGCCATCCGAGCACGTCGCCTTGACCTCTTCCAGCCCTAGTATGTCGTAGAATGCAGTGGGCTTGCACTTCTTCACCCGTATCACCGCCGCTTTTTGCTCGACAGTGAACGCGCGGCTTTCACTCCCATCGTTGTGAGTGCGGCTTTTGGCAGATCCATTGGGCGCGCCGTTGGGTTCTGCGCCCGACGCTTTGGCCGACATGGTGTGGAGGCGCACGCACTGAGGCGCTCGAGGGTGGAGTGGGAGATGTCAGGTGGTGTCGCGCGGAATGGCGGAAGAAAAATGGGGCTAGGCGGACAGTCTCCTCGCCCTGCAATGTGTGAGGGTCTGCACAATGGAGGGATCCTGGTATGTGATCAGTGACTCGATCCGCAGGGAATCGTGTTCTTCGCCGACATGTCTTCAGATTCTGAGGAAACGTGATAAGGTTGAGCGTGGAGATGTGGTGGCGGCAGATGCCACATTGCCAATTGCGGCAAGTCCGCGGCTGGACCCTGCACCGCCAACCACACCACTCTTGCAATCGTCTCCGTCACTCTGCCCTTCCGATCTCAAGGACTCTTATTGTGCTCATCAGTCGTTGATGATACGGTAATTGGGACCATACATCATCGCAATGCCCGGAATGCCGTCCAAGGCGCCTGCACCCGAAGAGGTCAAGCAGGGCTTTCTCCAATACGCTTCGGCATGGGGTGGTATGTTCTCCGCTCTCTTGCCTCCCTCACCTTCTATCAGCCTGCTAAGACGACACAGAACACTCTCTTCCTCCAACCTTGACAGCAACGCTCATCGCTGGCCAACATTTGCGCCCATTCCAAACGATCCCCATGCTCTTCCCTCCCATCCTCCTCTTCAGCAGCTACCTCAACCTCCAAGGCTTCCAAAAGGACGCCGCAGGCATCACATCGGCCTGGAGTGCAGCCTACTTGGTGCTGGCGAGGCGGCGGAAACAAGCCTTCAAGCAGAAATGGAGTGCACCGGGCTTGCTCCGTGGCGCAACACTGGCATTGTGCTTGATGAATGTCGTCAGTGGAGGGTTGGTCTTTGCCTTTAGCAAGAGAAAGGAGAGCGACGGGGAGGCAACATAAGGAGGAAAGGAGGCGTTATGGAAGGTTTGCGAATCACGACATATGGGTCTATACAAGGATGGTGAATCTGGCCATCAATTGCACCCTGATTGAAAGGCTGCATTGACTCGGCCAAAAAGCATCTCCCATCCGCGCTGCCAGCTCGTCTGCCACTTGAAAGCGATGTGCGACGCCCAGCCTCCCCTATCCCGCCGAGACGAGTCCGTGTAGCGATGCTCAAAGACGAAAGCTGTATGACGGATCTCCAGCCGAAGAAATAAGCCTCGCAGCGATGAGCGCCTTTCATTTCTTTGCAGACACCTCTTCGTTAATGAACAAACTCTACTCTCAATCCCTCCATTCCTCCCTTGGCCCTCCATTGCTCAACAATTTCCAAGAACGGGGTCATCCCTCTAGCCCACGTTCCCCCTGCAGCCATCTTCATGGCCTCTTCGGGCTTCAGCTTGTCCGTCTCGCCTTCTTGGTTCATATAGCTTGGGGTACAACCACCCAGACCAGCTAACGCCATGGCCCCGGCCAGGATCTCGTTGGCCCATGCTTCTTGGGCCTCCGCGGTCGGCTCGATGACTGGTCTCGCTTTCGCCTCACCGTTTGTGGCACCGCCGGATGATGAAGCCTTAGCAGCGTCAGCGACAGCAGTAGAGAGAATATACGCCACATGCGTGGCCGAAGTGTCCATGACGAAGTTGTAATTCGCCGTTACGCTGTTTTGTATCGCGCTGAGATAGAACATGTTCGGGAAGCCCGTCGCGCAGGTACTGTGGAGCGTGCGGAATTCCTTCTTGTCGGCCAGTTCTTCCATGTCAATGTTGTCGCGGCCTATGACCCGCACGTCCGCCTTGCCAGCGGGCGAGCCAAAGATAGGAGAGCGGAAACCCGTGCTCCAGATGATGGCATCGACGGGATATTCTTGGCCGTTGGCCGCGAAACCCCTCTCTGTCACGCGATCTAGCCCTTTGCCATCCGTGTCGATCAGGTGCACGTGCGAGTGATTGAAGGTGGGAAGGTATTCGTCGTGAAAGCATGGCCGCTTGCACCAACCAGGATACCACGCTTTCAGCTTTGCCGCTGTGCCCTTGTCATGCACTTCATGGTCAACTCGTTGGCGTATAGCCTCCTGTCGGGGGTAATCCATGGTATGGAGCTCGGCAATATGTTGTTGCACGTTGTCCATAGTCACCTGCTTCGGCGTCCCAATCAACGCGCTGTACGATGGCATCGACGTCCAGCCGTCACTGACAAAGTCGTTCGAAGGAGGATCCGGATGGTTCTGCACGAATGCATTAAAGTTGGCGTTTCGCGCGCGCCACCAGCCCTTTTCCTTCGCGATCTGGGACTTCCAAGTTGCTGGGTCGGTTTGGCGATTCCCTCGAACATCAACGGCCGCAGGCGTGCGCTGAACCACGTAGAGCTGATCGGCGTATCGTGCTAGATAGGGGATGGCTTGCACCGCCGTGGCTCCGGTGCCGATGATAGCCACCGTTTTGCCCTTGAGTCCGTGGAGTTCTGGATTCTCCTGAGTGCCTCCGGTGTACTGATAATCCCACCGAGCCGTGTGGAACATCTCCCCGTGGAAGTCTACCATGCCGGGTAGATCTGCAAGCTTGGGATTGTTGAGGACTCCGGAAGCAATGACGACAAAATCCGCAAAGACCTTGTGCTCGCTTTGTTGGCCTCCCTTCGGCTTCTTTGAAATTGTCGTATCCCATTGCTTCTTGTTTTCGTCCCACACGGTCTTCACGACGCTTGATTGAAACATGGCTCGTTCGTGCAGGCCGTACTTGGAGCATATCACATCAGCGTACTTTCTGATTTCCAGCCCAGATGCATATCGGTCTTTAGGCATGTACTCCATCTCCTCGAGGAAAGGGAGGTACACGTAAGATTCCACGTCGCACATCAGACCTGAGTAATGCTTAGCTGCATTTCATCGCCGACGTCGAGTCGCATTCTTACCCGGGTATCGGTTCCACCACCATGTGCCACCGAAACCACCGGCGGGATCGACGAGGAGTAGGTCGGCAGTAGTGAATCCAGCTTGCAGCAGTTTCACAGCGGCCTGAATTCCCCCCCATCCAGCGCCGACGATCAGGATCTTGGTGTGTCCACCGGTTTTGATTGGTGTATTGATTGGAGATCCTGATTCTATCCAAGGATCCTCTGATGGAAAGAACAGAGGCGTCAGTCACATGCGTTCTAAGTCCAACACAAGCAGGCCCATACCAATGAAGCGGCGATGCTGCTCGGACTGGTGTAGATCGATGTACTGCTGGTAACCCTCGGGCCTGAGTCGTTTACTGCGCTCCTTTTCGTATTTCGCTTGGAAATCGACAGAATTGGCCACAGCAGGCCCATTGAGGTCAGGAGCAGGCACATTTGCCTCTACGGCTGGTGATGCCATCTCTCGAGATTATCGGAGACGAAGAGCACAGTCAACAAAGGACAAAGGACTCGTCAAAGAAGAATGAAGGTGTGTGGGAGATGCGGCAAAGCGCTGCGAAAGCGTCGGAGCGGAAGTGTACAGGAATCGCGCCGCCTAGCTCATGTAGTTATATGTCTGTTTTGGGGGCGAAAGGCACTCAGCCTCAAGTGGAGACGATTGTCACGCCGAAGGACCGTGAGAGTCAGAAGTGAAACGTGCATAAGTTGCATAACCTGCAAGTTGGCCGGCGAGGACACCATAGGCTCGTGATTGTGTGGATCCGAGGCGCAACACTAACCCGGTTGCGTATCACAGCTGTACATTTAATTCGTATTCGGGCAGCATCAATCCTCAGCTGAAAGCTGGATCGGGGAGCTGAGATCATACCAGAGCTGATGCGGGTGTGCGCAGCTGAGAAGCGGAGACACGACGTGGTATAGTTGCCGATGCGTGAGTTGGGACGTCAGAGTGCATCCCGCCGGAGTCTGTCAGGTGAGATCCGGCGCAGTGTCGACGAGGAGGGCAAAGATCTTTGATTAATAGATATCTGTAGCTATCTGAGCGGACGCGGGCCATGAGCTTTTGGGTCGGCACATCGTGTACAGGATGTCGTCCATTTAGGCTTGTTCATGCAGCACCTCTTACCTCAGCCATGTGTAAGCACATGGCGTCGAGAAGGTCCCATCCTACGGCCACGCCATAAATGTCTGTCGCAAATGCATGTTACGATGCATCAGTGCCCGCATTGCGCCTTGTCGTCATGGCTGCCTGTAGAAGAGGCGGCATATTGGCCCTTCCCCCTACATGCAGCCCTGGAGGTGGGCTGAGGAACCACACCCTTACCCGCACGCACAGTTTGGCGACCAAGATGCTCCGCGACATCAGTCGGTGACCCCAATTTATTTCCCGCTCAACAATGCCTCCTTCTTCTCCCTCTCACTATCTTTCAAAGTATTCATCTCCTCCTTGCTCATGTTGAAACTTCCGCTGACCTGGTTGAACGGGTTCTGATCGCTCTTCTTGAATTCTTCGTAGATGAGCTCGATCTTCTGCTGCCGTCTCAACCCCGTATCACTTTTCATCTCCTCTAGTCGCTGTTCTTCGTAGGCCTTGTAGGCTGCTTTGAACCGTCTCTCCGGATGTCGGTCTAGCTTGTCGGTGTTGTTCGAGGTCAAGGAGAGTGCATCAAGGGCATTGTCGATGCCGGTGGCGTTGAGTGCGGCGAGCTCCTTCTTCGACGACGGCGCATCGAGCCCGGAGAGATCGAGGCCCTTTGCCTTCTTTACCGGCGGCTTCTTGCCCCCTGCTTTGCTGGGCAAAGCCGCCTCTTCCTCTTTCAGAAGAGCGTCCTTCTCCGCCTTCTTGCGCGCTGCCTCCTCCGCTTTAGCTGCCGCGGCTTCTCTGTGTCGCTGTCAGACAGTCTCTTCACTGCAAGGCAATCATTTCATGGCCATCCTCACGCTTTGCTGGTGTCTTTCGCACCCTTCTCCCACTGCTTCGACTCGTCTGCTGCCTTCTTCGCGTTGGCCACCGCGTCCTTCTGCGCCGCGGCTTCGGCCTTCTTTGCGTTGCCCGCCGCCTTTTTCGTGTTCTCGCCTTTGCTCTTGGGAGCCATGGCGTCGGTGTTCGAGGTGGTCGGGGCAAGTTCGTGACGGGATGCAAGTGAAAATGTCGGGCTCGATTCGCGCATGTGCGCCTCGACCCCACCAACCCCATTCCCAGACGCCACCGTGCGCTAAACGTCACCTCACCTTCCATTTCCTCACTCTCCTCTCTGCAATCCATCCATATGAGAGATACTTCTTAGTAGGATTCACAATATTCCTCTGTGAAACCCTCCATCAGATGCTAGCCACTGCGGTTGGCCACCGTTGCACGTGGATGCCCAGGTAAGGTATACCGAGCACGGTTACTTCACATGTGAACCTTCAGGCCTGCGGACAGCCATCTTGCCCTCGCTCGGTCTGTCAGATGTCCTGTATTGCATCACACGATCAATGTGTCACGTTACCCCAAGCGGAAAGTCCGCGAATTCGAAGTCGCACACGTCGCAGTCACCGAGTCTTGCCCGGCTCCTGGTCAATGTGGACAACTCCAAATGTTGCCCATATTTCTTGGGCATCATCCCTTTCAAGGTGCCCAAGAGAGCGAGTACAACAAGTCGAAATCGCTCGAGACAGAACATCATGTGCCTCTGGATCCAACGGGAATACTGTTGCGGTCACAAGTCTCCGCCAGAATTCCAGAAATGCCAGGCATCAGGACTTCACCCCAGCTGCCAGTCCTTCGACTCTGCAGATCCACCGACAATCTCACGCAAGTCTCATTGCTGTGGTCGGCGTTGCTGTAGCCGGGCGGTGTGGGACAGCATACGCAAGTGCTTCAACGCTTGCCAAGCTGTCCAAACATCCGACGTGGCCTTCCCCGCTGTCCTTAGCGGGAACTGGATGCTGGTCGATACGGTGATACGATGGCATCGTCTTTGCACTCCAGCCTCGGATGAGGAAGTCCTGGAAGCGCTGGATCTCTGGGCCACATCCTGAATGCTAGCAATAACGTACGGAACAATCTCAGAAAGCTTACGGGACCGTTGCATTCATACTCCGAGATCAAACGCTTCGCCGCTCTGCTGCTTCTTGAGATCATGCCCATGCTTACATCCACTCTCATATCGACAAGCAGGCTCCCGGCCTCGGTACAATGCAGCTGCGTCAGACAACGGGCGTCGTGAGACCCCACGCTGTGACACCTTTGCTCTTGGCAGCATTCCCTCTCGCAGGCTGTAAGGCATGCCGCCAACTTCGGAGTATCTTCCTCATATATGCAGCTAGAAGCACTGCGTGCCTTCTACAGCAAATCAACGAAGATCAGCAGCAAATGTTCTAAACATTCATCGTTCTGATCATCGCCACGTATCTTGCGGGAAACATGTGTCGCCCGGTAATGGTAACAGGTGAGGAGCCTTGCAGCTCTTGCAAGCGAGCTGTCGACAGGCACTTTGACTCCAGGCTTACAACTACGCGACACAGGCATATGTGGGCAGGTTTGTCTCTCGCTGCGACAAGTCGTATGGGAGGTCGACCACTGCCCACATCGCACTGGAATTCAGCCGCTCCAGAACCTGCCATGTTCGCAACTCGTGGAAACCGCAGTCAACATCGACGTCGACCTCTGCTGCTGCGACCTCTGCTGTTCAAAGATGTACCAGATTTTGTATGGTTCGTGTCGTCTGTACTCACTGGCATCGTCCATTCCTTGTCGCCGTTTGCTGATTGACACTTCCCGGCACAGATGTGTGCATGCTTCGGAAACAGCTTCTCACCAAGGCTGAGGGAACTGGGCAGCGGGATACTATCTTTTGGGCCGAAAGGGCAAATGACGAAGCCTGTATCGAGCTTGAAAAGCACCTACATTGCCACTCCCGCCGAGCGAGATGGCTAGCAGGGCTGCAGGGGATCCGGCTGGTCACCTCAGGCAGCCAGTCCTACCCTCCAGAAGACCTCGCCACACGACTTTGTCGGCGTATCTATACGCGGTGGTATAACCAGAGACTCCACGAGTTGCCTTAGTAGGTAGTCTCGCGAGGGTCAGTAGCATCGACATGCATGACAAGCAGGTAGATCATGGTATAGGTACGGACAGCAACGAAAGTGCATGCCCAAGTTCGCTCTAAGAGCATTTCCAATCCATATTGCAATGGTCAGGATGTATACCTCTATGCGCCTTCAAACTCCGGGGCACGGAGAAGGCCCCGCTGGCGGGACGAATAAGGTGCAGTAGCCGCGGTCGCTTGCGTCGCGGGCAATTTCCCCTGTCTATCAATTTGACGCACGCTTGCATGGGGCTGTCAAACGGCTGTCAAACGGCTCTGCCCTTGCTCAGCGTGCGTTTCTGCAAGGAGTGATCAGGTACTTCTACTGCATGTACATGGCGTTGTGATTGAACACATTTGGGCCGACGAAGGATGCGCAGTGATGCCATTGTGTGGCGTGGATCATCTCGTCACATGTTGAATACAATCCGCCGCCGTGGTATTCGTTTGACCGGAACGCTCTGCTCCGCCAGCCGGGGTGAAAGCACCACCATCCCGTCGGGCATGGAGCAGGTCTCTTGTGAAGACCGTGATATCCATGCCGTACCTGACGGCGAGTTTGCTGGCTGCGCGGCGACTGTTCCACGGATCCCTCGCCCCCACCCAGGTCTAGGCCGAAACAACGACCAAGCCACGCTGCTGGGCTATATGTGCCTGGAGGCGACTGGGTGGGTTTGGCGGAAAATCTTCAATCAAACCTGTGCCTGGATAGGGGAATTTTTCGGACAATAGCGTGTCGGGACCTGCATTGACTTTCCAACACCCCGGCGGAACCCTGGTCCGCCCGCCGCCTAAACGGCGCTAGGGTAGACTGTCCAGCCAAGTGCATGCGAGCATATGCCGTGGCCGACTTCGACATGGCTGCTTTTGCGAAGATGAATACAGCGGGGATAGGCTTCTTCGCGGTATGGGAAGGGAGCAGGGGAGAAGTTCATATCAACGAATTCATGCGAACCCACTAATTCCTGGAGAACCATCGCGCAACTCGATATTCATGCGGAAGCCACCATTGGAGCCTCACCCGCACCCCGGTCGACGCACGGCCCACACTCCATACCTCAGTCCGTGGTCCCTTCAGGAGTTCGACTTTGAGACGGCGGCGGGCACGACGATCACAAACGCAGCACCTCCCACTTCTCCTCCTTATTCCCTTCCGTGTGCATATCATATCTCCATATGTCCCGCCATCCCACCACCCCCTCTCTCCCTTCTCCCGTGCATCCTCCACTGCGGCATCCCATAGTACATGTTTCTGACTGAAGCCCTTAACCCTGGAGAATCCACCGCGGCGCAAGGCCGCTTTGTGGCGCCTGTCTGGTCCGCCCAGCATGGAGCCCGAAGCGCAGTATCACGACGAAGACGAGACCACCGAATCGGAGGGCGATGGTGAGCCTTCAATCGAATGCGAAGATGATCGATGTCGCGGCTCCGAGCCTCCCATCTGGCATTGTGTTGACTGCGACAGCTCATATTGCAGGTGCGCCTACTCCTTTCGCGATCCAACTTTCTCGTGATCTATACGTGTGGTGACTGACACTTATCGCAGCGAATGCTGGCCCCTTCAAGGCCCTCACAAGCCAAAGAAGAAAGGACGAGATGGTGTTCCCCATGAACAGACCAACCCGCAGATCGTTCGTGGACTGAAAGCAATCTTGCATCCCACGAGGAAGCCCGACCAGATCCAGAAGCTGCACGAAGAAGACGAATCGACCAAATGGTTCGGCGTCGCCCGCGACCATACCGGCCGACCAAACTTCGAAGACTATGGCCGTTATGCGAACCTCATGACGAGTATCTCGTCGCTTGAGGATCTCAACTCGCGCTACCCGCAGCTGGTTTCCTTCATTGGAGTGACGAACGCCGGGAAATCCACTTTGATCAAGATGCTGGTCCATCACGATGAAAAAGGCGACGGCGCCGCGAACTCCGCCATGTTCCCTTCGCCGGTCGTGGGAAGCGTGGTGAACGATGCCTTGCCGACCTCCGGGGATGTCCACCTGTACGCAGATCCCGCCACCCACGCCGACCAGCTTCCCATCCTCTATGCCGACTGTGAGGGATTCGAAGGGGGCGAAAGGACGCCACTCGGCGCCCGCTCACGAATGAGAGCCCGCTCGGACATCGCAAAGGACCGCAACGATCCCACCGTGCACTCCCGTCCGATCCATTGGGCCAACACAGAGGAATCACGACAACGAGAATTTGCCGTGACTGCCCTCTACCCGAGACTGCTCTACACCTTCTCGGACTGCGTGGTCTTTGTCCTTCGAAATCCCAAAACCTTCCAATCGGCTGTGCTCACGAAACTCCTGGAGTGGGGCGTGTCGGCGCTGGAGAAGTCTATCAACCAGCCTGCGCTTCCTCACTGTATCGTAGCCGTCAACGGCACCGATCCGGCTGTCGATGAGCGGGAATGGGATGTCAACTATGCCACGCAAAGCCTCCTCTCCACGGTACGAACCGCCCTGGATCCCATCGAAGGCGTCCCACGCTTCAGGGAGCTCGCCGAGCACTGGCGAGCCCTGGGCAAGCACATCTACACCGTGGAAGACCTCATCCTACACTACTACAGTTCCTTCAAGGTTGTCCGAATCCCCGCTCGGCCGCGATACATGACGATCCACGAGCAAATTGGAAAACTGCACGACACAATCAAGAAGAACTGCGAGGATTCTTTCCGCTCCAAACGTCGCGCGCGCATGCTCACCAATGCCGACGAGCTGAACACGTACCTCCAGACCGGGTTCGACCACTTCACCACTCATCTCGACATACCATTCAACTTCATGCAAGTTTCCCTCCTCCGCAACCCCATCCCAAATGACTTCGGCGGGCATATCCTTCAGCTTTGCACCACCATAAGCTCTCAACAACCAGTTCACCAGCCGGGCCGGGTGTCTTGGATGTTTGAGAAGCTGAGTGTCATGCTCGCCTCTTGCGTCCTCCTCGACTGTGCGCGTTTCCGGAAGGGTCGGGTGGACGAGCTGTTTGGGAATTACGAAAAGTTCTTCGATTATGCCATGGGCGAATACCTGGAACTCCATTATCCTTGTTCATACGTCAGCCCCGATGGTTCTCGTCACTGTCAGCTGGTCAAGGCTCGCCATCTGCCCAAGGGGCATCAAGACGAGCTCGGGATCATCGCGGCTGGCGACTACGAGGCTGCGTTTGATGCAACGTTTCTCCCACAGTGGAAGGCGCAATTACGAACGGCCATTGACGGCCTGCATCGGGATTTTTCGTACGAGCTCGAGCAAGCGTCGCACCTTGACGACATCAATGCCATGCCGGAAGAGAGAATCGCGTTGGATCTGCATGCAGAGTACCTGAACCAATTCTTCGAGGCGGTGGGGCCCGCAGCTTCGGTATGCAGTCATGCCACTTGCTTCTGCTGTCTGATGGATGTTCCGGAGCACCCCTTGCCCTGCGGCCATGTTTTGTGCACCGCATGTGCAAAAGCATACGGCAAACAACACAAATCAACACTGTACCTCAGCTGCTGTCCGCTACATTTGGAATCCACGAAATGGGCCAAGCCTGCGGTCATCAGATTCCGACCGGAAGGAGCTGGGGTGCGCGTCTTGTCTCTGGACGGCGGCGGAGTACGTGGAATCGTCCAGCTCGAGGTCTTGCACGCTGTCGAGCAATGCCTTGGAGGGCACATTCAAGTCCAATCTTTCTTCGATCTGATGGTCGGAACCGGCACAGGAGCATTGATCGCCATGTCACTTTCGGTGAAGGATCGCACCGTCGACAGCTGCTTGGACATGTTCATTGCCATGTGCGACCATGCGTTCACACCCCGCCTGAAAGGCATACCGTTCTTGAGCCAATTGATGCACGCCATTGGAAGCGGTCGCAAGTACAAGACGAAGCCACTTCATGCTGCTCTGAAGACTGCTTTTGGGGAAGAGGAGGACTTGTTCGGTTTCTCGAACCAGTTCCGCAGCGGCGCTCGAGTTGCCGTCACCTCCTCAAGCGCAACCGCAAGAGAATCGATGCTTCTTGCCAACTACCGTAGGCCCGACGATCCCAGTCCATCTTATGCATTTGAACGGCCGCACGAGCCAGATCTGGAGTTGAAGGTCTGGGAAAGTGTTGCGGCATCACTGGCCAACCCGGTCTACTTCCGGCCCTTCATCTTTCACGGCAAAACCTATCTAGACAACGGGTTGCGATCGCCAAACCCCGCGTCACTTGCCGACAACGAACGCAAGCTAATCTGGCCGGATGCGGGAGAGCCAGACCTCTTCCTGTCCCTGGGTACTGGTCAGAACCGAATCAGTATTTTGGAGAAGCTTGCACATCGGAAGGAGAACGGGTCTAGCGCAAGCATCGTTGACGCTGCACCGATGGACGACTCTCGCAAAGCGACCAAGAAACGATTCCGCCGAGCCGATGAAATTCTGGACGCCGAGCTCGCGTGGCAGGAATTCCGTGCGTCCGCGGTGGGAGTGAAGTCGGAGTCCAAAGGCAGGCGCTTCATCAGATTCAACCCGGACCTCGATAAGGAGCCTCCTGCACCTGACAGTAAGACCGATCTCGAGAATCTGCAACTCACCGTACGCAAACGATTGCAGACCGCGCACAGAGTGGCAGCCTTGCGAAACGTTGCGCATCGCCTCGTTGCCTCGTCGTTCTATCTTGAGATACACTCGAAGACCACGCTGGACAAGAACGAGCAAATGATCAACGGCACGATTGTGTGTCGATTTCAGGATAGGAGCCCCGAACTCCGCGCTCTGGGCAAAATCCTTGAGGAGCGACGGAGTGATGGGTTTGACCCTTACTTCCTCATCCGCCCCAGTGCAAACTCGCTAGACCTAGCCAGCAAACTGACGATCAAGCCGGAGATTACGCGTGAAATGAGCGAGAGTGGAGTCTTCGACCTGCCGACGATCTCCCTGCCTCTGCATGACGATGGAAAGATGTCGACGATCAATGTGTTCCTGTCGAGCCACGATGGCCTTGAGCCAGATGGGTTTCCCATCTCTGGCTTCCCTCGCGTTCTGAGCGGAGAGACTCCTTCGAAACAAAAGTCTCGACGGCCTATGCTCGACCGTCTCAGTTCTGACCAGGGCAGCATTCGGCACACGCTGACCTCGAGACATCTGAAACACGCCTCGACCGTTGACTCCGCCTCGATGAGCGGTGTTACGCTGACCAATCCGCGAGAGGACGCGTACGCAGAGACGATGAGCAAGTTCTCCTACGTGCCGAAGAATGGGCAGCTGAAGATGTCCCTGGCGGACCTCATCGCCCAGCACCAGAACACCACCGCCAATGGCCGACAGAGGACCAACCGCTTCTGGACGTACATCGCCCCCAACCACATGGCGCAGCATCCCGAACTGTACACGGAGGAGGACATCGAGAAATTCGCAGCCGCCTCCGACAACGCGACTACGTCCCAGACATCCCTTCAGACCACCTCGGTATCGACTCCAGGAACAGAGGGCCAGTCGTACGAGCTCGCGGCCGAAGACCCCCTAGCCACTCCGGACACGGAATCAGAGGCGCCGCGGCCGAGCACCAAGGAATCCATCCCCCCGATCCCCGACCAGCATCCCTTGCGTCAATCCTCTCTCCGAATGGACCCCCTCTCACAACCCCGACCCGACTCGCAACCGCGCGATTCCATCCCAAGCCACTGCGACACGCTCTTCGAAGAAGAAGACGACGAGGAAGAGGAGCACGCCGATCTCTCCAGCCGCTACTCGGCGTACAGCGGGCAAGAAGCGCTCGCAAAAGCAAGCCCCATGGTGCAGGTACGCCAGCGCAATACCATCGACTCGTTGATGGCCCTCTACAAATCCCGGGGGACAAATTAGTTGATCTTTTCTTTTGCTTGTGAGTTAGATGCCGACCGGGCCACTGCCGCTCCCCGAAACACACCCTTCGATCTCCTCCACCTCCTCCTCCATCTACCCCGACCCGCTGCCCGAAGCGCCCAGGATTGTCCCTTTGCCTTTTGAGGGCGCGGTGAAGACTGCGCTGCCGGATGCTAGGTGAGTTGTTCTCGTGGCGGGATGATACACCTCTCTTCCTCAGCTGACCATACGCCCATAGTACCCGGACGGCTCTCGACCGCTGGTTGACAGGGAGAAAGGCTGCGAACGTGGACAAGAAGAACGTGGTGAGCCCGATAAAGAGGAGGCCTGTGAGCACAGGAAAGAGGGACGGCAAGTTGAACGGGGTCCGAGAGGAATGAATGAGTAAATGAGGCCTTGTTTCTTTCTCTTCTTATAACGATGATGGAATCTTGACTTCCGCTTGGACTGTACATGGTTTTGTGTGTCGCGGGGCTTGATATACCACGGGATAGGACCCCGAATCTACCGATTTTGGATTGCATTGTCGCTGAATATGCAAGAGTGGCTCATATGCAAATTTCGTCGTGAGCATTGCTATCGACCTGGATCTATCGAGGTCCATGCAAAGTATGGTACTCCTGCAGAATGCTACTTACTCCTTTTTCTCTTTTGCTTCCCCATCCGACTTTGGCCCATCCTTACTGCTTGCCTGATCGTCGGTCGTCTTCGCCCCTGAACTCTCCTTTGACCGCTTCCTCTTGTCTTTGTAATACCTCCACGCGCGGCCCACGCCGGCAGTGAAAAAGCTCTTGATCGTTTGGCTGGTCGCCGGCCACTGCACGGTGCCCTGCACACACTTGGCCATGACACTGCTCAAATCATCCTGATCCGCAATTCGCTGCTCAAACTCCCCGCCTTCTCGGCGATTCAAGGGCTCCGACGTACTACCCACGGAATTGGCCTGCTCGACAATCTCATCAAACGCCGAGCCGGGGATCTGGAATTTCTTTCGGTATTGGTAGTAGAGCTTCATGCGGAAGGCTTTGGGCAAGCGGCGCACCATGTTGCCCCGCATGACCGGCGACATGGATTGGGTGAGAGAGAGGCCATCCTTGCCGCCTAGCACGTCTTCGTCGAGCTCGACGTTGGAGCCGGTGTGGCGAATGGCATCGTCCTTCTCCCACCCTGAGCCGGTGGGAGTGCGAGAGTCGGTGAAGTCGATGTTGGGTAAGTTTTCAATGAGCGGCACATATAATTGGCGGAAGCCTGGTAGCTGGGCGCCGACAATATTGTGCACCTTGGACATGTTTTCACTGGCGCCCAAACCAGGCACATAGACCATTCGCGGATCACCCATATAGGACAGACCAGCGATCTTCTCATAGAGTTGGCGCTCGGTGAATTTTTCGGGAAGCATTAAGAGGGCGGTGCGCAAGGCGGAGAGGAGGTTAATTTGATTGGCGAGTCGGATTCGGGGATCGTCGCGGAGGATTTTGACGGGTTTCTGTAGCCGTCCAGCAAGGTAGAGGGTGTTCCAGTCGCTGAGATCGTGGGCGAGAGTGTCGAGATTCACAACACCGTACTTGATCATCACGCCGTTGACGGTAATGTACGGGTTGAAATAGACGCCGGCGCCGAGTCGGTCTTGAACCCATGAAATGGCGGCGGAGCTGTAGGGAAGGTATTGTAGAGCCGAGTAGTGGTCGGGATGTTGAGTGAGGTTCAGACTGTGCCAATGCTGCGTGTGGCTGACGCCAAAGATAAAGTCCAACACCTTTGCGCCGCCCTTCTGCCACTCTTCCACTGCTTTGGGAGGGTTGGGGTGGGGACTGAGCAGTTTTGGATCGAGGCCTGCGCTGCCTTGTCCACTCCCTCCAACTTGCCCAAAAACACCGGAGCCGTAGGCAAAAGCATAGCGGATAGGAGCACGAAACTGCCAGAGGACTTGTCGTAGAGACTCTTTGAAGTCCTCGTTGATTTTGATGTGTTGGTTGTAGCCGAAGTATCGATGAGGGAGGTCGGAGAATTGTTTGACGTTGGTCAATTGCGGGTCATCTTCCCAGCCGGCGGGGAGGGAAAAGTTGGAGTCGTCGGCGGAGCCAGTGGTTGGTTCGGGGGAGGATTGGCTGGAGGAGGAGGGTGAGGTGGAAGAGGAACTTGATGACGAAGTGGTCGATGGTTGTGACTGCTGTGGTTGTTGCTGTTGAGCGGTCTGCGCACTTGTTTTCTGCTCATTCATCCGCGGAGTTGTGGACAGCAGGCGTAGAGAAGGAGTGTAGGCGGGCCGGTAATGCCAAGCTATCTGCCCGAGCATGAACGAGCCAGCGCCGACATGCGCGAGAGAGCGATGGGCCACCGAGTAGGTCTGTGGGAGAGATCAATCAGCCGTTGGACCGCAATGCGGTATTGATGGCATGCTTACGGCCAGCTTCGGAAGAGCCATGAAGGCGAGGAAGGGAAAGTGGATGCTACCGGCGCATGTTCAGGGTGGGGAAGAAGGGGAGGGTCAGAGGCAATGCGAGAGGAAGGGGGAAGAGTGCGGGAAGAGTGAAGTAGATTGCGAAGAAGAGAGCGAGAGAGGGTGAAGTTGTTGCAAACCGGCGGAGGACACGTGAAGCAGCTGCGGTCTCCATGCGCGTGCGTTTCAGGGTCGAAGCTGCGCCATGTCACGTGGAACGCGTGGGTACATCTCGGGCCAGCGTTCTCACAACTCCGCACGTTGCTCCCATCCTCGCGACTTTTGTTTACTTCGCGTCATCCCATCACACCCATCGGTCTGCCCTTTCACCACCCTCCTCCCCCGACCAGCACTGTCATCCGCCGGCGAAATGGCGGAGCCGAACACAATGCAGTCCTTCAACGCCCGGCTGGAGACGTTCGAAATCTCCCATCAGCTCACCAAGCGACGGGCGTCCAATGCGAAGAAGAAGGGCGGCAGCAACAGCATCGAATGGCCCCATACACAGCCTGCTCCGAAAGAGGTACGTTTCTGATGCATTCATCCATCTCACAATAAATTCCTGCTAAAACACTTCTCCCAGCTTGCGCGCGCAGGCTTCTTCTACCACCCCAGCCAAGCCAGCCCCGACAACGTCCAATGCTTCCTATGCGCCGTTAAGCTCGACGGATGGGAGGCCGATGACGATCCTGTGAAAGAGCACTTGGCGCATTCTCAGAGTTGTGCATGGGCACAGGCCCTTAATGCTGGCTTACAAGCCCGACACGAGGAGTCGCAACAAAATCCAGTGTCGGAGGAACTCGTCGCAGTCCGCAAAGCCACCTTTGACGTCGGCGCCGGCTGGCCCCACGAAAGCAAGCGCGGGTGGAAATGCAAGGTCAGCAAAATGGTGGAAGCTGGATGGTGTATGGATCTCGCTTCGCCTAGTGAGGATGAAGGCGCCGACGGTGTCACTTGCTTCTACTGCGACCTGTCCCTGGATGGTTGGGAGCCAAAGGATGACCCAATGGCTGAGCACCGCAGGCGCAGGCCCGAATGCCCCTTTCTTGCCCTCCTCGAGAAATACGGCGCTGGTGCAGAGGCGAGTGATAGCAAGAAAGCCAAGGGAAAGGGACGAGGCAAGGCTGGTGCGCGGACGAGTGCGGCCGGCCATGCCAGACTGAGCTTGCAGAGTGTCCAGTCGACTTTCTCCGAAGCGCCCAGTCTGGCCAGTATCGCCACCGATGATGCAGACTCTCAAGCCGGTGTGGATGATAGTATCATGTCTACCGCGTCTCAAGCCACCATCACCGGCCCCACGAAGACCAAGAAGAAAGCTAGCCGAGCAAAAGCTGCTGCAAAGGGCACCAAGGGAAGGAAGAGGGCCAACACGGTGGAGTCTGAGGCTGACAATGCACCCCTATATCCGGAGTTGGCGGCGGACGTTGACCTACAGGGCACTGCAGAGACGATGCAGGCTCAAATCCAGCCTGAACCCCAAGTGGCATCTACCAAACCATCACGCAAAGGAGGCAGACAGTCCAAGCAGCCCCTCGACTCTTCCGTAGTTGAGATCAGCGCACTCGAAGCAGCCCCTCCCAAAAAGGCCACCAGGGGGAAGAAAGCAAAGGCTCAACCAGAACCGGAGGCACTCGCAGAACTCGACGCAGACCGCACTGAAGTGTCTACCCAGCTCCAGGAAGAGCTCGAGAGGTCCATGGATATGGACGCAATGGAAGCCGTGCCTTCGCCTGCACCGACGAAACGCGGAGTGAAGCGCACATCTGACGGACTGGCGAAGAAGCCAGAAGAGACCGTCACGGCTTCTGTCAATGATTTCCCGGCTCCACCCGTCGCAGCACCCGTGGCGAAGGCTAAGAAGACTCGGAAAGCGAGTGCACAGATTGTATCAGAGCCGGTGCATGAGGACGGTGAGGATATCAAAGATGATCCACCCGTCCTGGAGGCCGAAGCCGAGTCTGCAAAGCCGACCAAAGGCAAGAAAGCCGCACCAAAGAAAGGCACGAAAGGACGGAAAGCATCGTCGACTCGATCCTCGCGCGCGTCTAAAGCTACTGTACTCGCGGACTCCGAACCAGCCCAAGACGATGAAGCGGAAGACATGGAACGCGACGAGCGAGAGATTGAGGCAGAGCTACAGCGGATAGCTGCGGAGCAAGCAATACAGCTCGAACAAGACCAGGAGGCGGAATTCGAGCCCTCTCCTTCCCACGCCCAAAGACGCTCCGATGGCATCCGCCAGCTCGAAGCAGAGATCGAAGCCGAAGCGCAACACAACTCGCCTGTAGACACTAAGCACGCGAGTGGAAAATCAGACGCGTCAAGCAGTCCCACCAGCAGCGACAAGGAGAACCACCCTTCCTCCACGACCCGGCAATCACCCAAACTCCACCCCATCGCACCCACCCCCGTCTTCCTCTCCCCGACCAAAACCACGCGCATCCCACTCGCCCCCGGCACACCAAACCGCTTGCTCTCCCCCACCAAAGCACACCCACTCCACCGCTCTCCATCCAAGCAGCAAATCGCAGGCCTCGCGACCTCCCACCCCTGGGAAGCAGCGGATCTCGACGCCATCTTCGCTGCGTCGCCCCAGCCTACCCCCGGCACATTGACGCAGCGCCTGGCGGGCGCGGCGGCGGGCGTGTTGACGAGTCCGGAGAAGGGGATGACGGTGGAGGAGTGGATGCGCAGTCAGGCGGAGAAGGGCGAGGCGGAGCTGCGGCGGCGGTGCGAGGAGGTGGTGGGCATGTTTGAGAGGGAGGGGTTGCGGGCGTTGAGATCTTTGGAGGGGGTGGAGGTGGTGTCTGCGTAGGGGTATGATGTGCAATGACTTGGACTGGAATTTGGACCGTGGAATAGATTTCGAGTATGAAAGTCTTCCATTTCATACGATACATGGTGTTAATTTCTGACGCGCGATCCGTTTGACGGGTTGTGCATGCGCCATTCTCCCCCTTGCGTGCCGCCCGATGGTCCAGACTTTTGATCGTCGTGTGGTACCCTGTCATGCTAATGTACAGTCGCTGAAAACGCCCAGAGATAATTTTCGAAATCAGAAGTCTCCGCTCCACGCTTCGCTTTGTGCTGCTCCTCTAGGCCGTCGCCGTACGCACGGAGGCGCGTTGCACAGTGGTGAGGAAACACGGTTGTCGCTGCGTCGCGATACTACCGGTTGTGGATGTCGTGGGTATGAGATCGCTCGTCGAACCAATGCGTCGAGTCGTGAACAAATCAAAGATGTAGGTTGTCGCAATGGCACAGAGAACAGTGGTATAGGCCGTCTCAATGCCAGCTGAAAGCCACAATGACATCCTCCTCATCGCATTCCATGTTGAGTCTAGAACATCGCACGTTAGCCCTGGTACCCCACTTCCGGAATGCAAGCAACCTCACCTAAACGGCACGAATCGATCGTCAGTCCACTGCCAGCCCGGGTCGTTGTTGGGGTTCTGCTCGCGGATGTTGCGCGGGTAGCAGGTGTGGGTGACGGGCAGGTTCTCGGGCAGCAGACTCAGCACGTCGGGCAGGCGCATGCCGACGATTTCGATTTCCTTGATGCTCTCGCGCGCCTGGCGGATGAGGTCGTTGAGGTCGCGCGTGCACTGCGAGAGGTTGTAGGAGGCGAGTTGGCGCACGCAGGTGTTGGGCGTGTTCCAGTTGTGGGCTTGTGGCGGGGAGGGGAGGGCGGTGGTGAGAGTGAGGAGGGTGAGGAGGAGATGCAGGAGCGAGGGGAGGAGGGAGCGTGGACGGGCCATTGGAGGGAGAGTGAGGGATGTGGGGTTGGTTTGAGGGAGTGGTGGACGTGCTGCGTTGTGGCACCACAGGTTTCAGTTGGTGTGGAAAGAAGCAGGGTGTCTTAGGTGGATGAAAGAGGGAAAGAAGTGAAGAAAGGGATGGTGGAAGAAGGCAAGGGCCGAGGGAAAGTGATAAAGAGAGGTGTGAGTAGAAGAAGAGAAGCAGAGTTCACGCAAGGGCAGCGGTGCATCCACACCTTATTCCCTTATTGTTATGTGGTTGCCTGTTCGTGATATGGAGAAGCGAGCACGTCAACCGCCGAATGGGGAAAAGCCGAAGAGCGGCGGATTGGCATTTTCTCTGGTGCCAATGGGTAGGCACCCCCACCACGCATGTCCGTCCGCCGCTCGTTTCTAGCCTCGTTGCAGCCCGTTCGTTCTGCAAAGGAATGTGCGCGAACGTGTCGACGAGGCGGTGCAGGCGAGGAATTCGCGGGGCGTTGAGGTACGAGCGCAGGCAGGTCATTGGCCCCGTCGTATGCTGCGACGTGATTGGTGGATGAAACAGGAGAGATGCTTCTGGCTGTACGACGGAAGGAACGAACGTACATGATACTGTACTACATGCAACACCTCCCTCGTCTCCCGCCACCGTGTATGTACGTACAAATGACGAGCCGACGAGGGACAAACGCGACACCGGGCGTGAATGATTGTGCCATCCCGCCCTGCCCTTGGCGGCTGGTTGGCGTGATTTGGGCAATGCAAGTCGAAATTCCCGCGCGGCACTTTGCTTGCTGGTCGGGATCGACATCCACCTCCCCGCACTCCGGGACGATTACCTACAGACCTGTCCCAAGCACAGCAATCAAAATCCTCCGTGCCAAGCGACTGCCGCTGTCACCCTCGCGTGCTTACCATACGTAACAAGATCCCGGCATCGTACACTCGTACACGAGCCCTGGAAATAGGAGAACCGCGCGCCTTTACGCACCGAGCCTCTCCTGTGGTCCATGAACCCGACGAGAGCTACAAGCGATCTGCATGACAAACCTTTAGGCTTTGTCGTTTTAGCCTATACATCATGTTCCCTGTCGTCGCGCTATTTTTACGAAGCCATCATTGATGCACGTGTTTATTTGATCACTGCACGATATGTCTGGCCTCAGGCATGAATACGTCCACCTCAGGCATCTTTCAAAGACAAGTGAACGACCTCAGGCAGCAGCAAACCTCGCTTTCAGGAACGGCGACATAGCTAGTAAACCCATGCAAACCCATTCTCCACGCCATGCATCCCAGAAATGACCCGCCATCAACACATTACAGACGTCAGGAATCCACCTCCCCCCTCCTCCGTCATCCCCTACCCAACCACACTCTTGAGTGACAGTGCCTCCAGAAACCCCGCCAAGTCCTCCTTCTTCACCTCCACAACGCTATGCTCAAACGAATCAATGCGCACCCGCGCCCCCGTCTCCTCCACCACCTCCTGGAACGCCTGCCCAAAGCGATTCGCCCCATATCCCCTCCGTTTCCTCGCATCCGCAAGCTCATCGTCCGACTCCGAGTCAGAGCCATCACTCGACGCCGAGCTGGCAGACTCGGTCGAGTCGCTGTCGCTGCCGTCCTCGTCATCGCTGTCAATCAGCCCGTTGGCTTCCTGAATCTCCCGTCGAATGCGCCGGCGCTCCTCCCGCTTCCTCGCTCTCTCCGCTTGCTTCGCCGCTCGTGCCGCTTGCTTTCGCTTTCTCTTCTCCTCCCTCTCCTTGATCTCCGCCTTGCTGCGTATCTTCTTCTTCCCGCCTGCCCCTCCCCCGCCCAGCCCGACGACCACGTACACCCCTCGCGCCTCGTCCATGCATCCCAGGACGAGAGCCTGGTCTGCGGCCGCCTTGCGACTGCTGCCCTTTTCCGCATCGAGCACGGCAACTGCCTCCGAAACCCAACCTGCGAGCTGCGTAAGGGCGCCCGGGTGAGTGAACGTGGGCACGTCGGGCCCCTCCTTGACCACGCCCATTCGGAAGGCTCGCAGGTGGCGGATCTGTTTCTTAGCGATCAACGCCGAGCCCGTGCGCAGAATGGCACGGTGCAGATTCTGCGCCGTCGGGATGTAATTGAGCAGCACGCTCAATCCTTGCGTAGACGAAGTCGTGATCGGGCTTAGGGCATCGTAGGCAGCGAAGAATCGAAACGTCGTCCAGTCGGGCGCGTCGGCCGCGCCGGACGCTTGGCCTTCCATCTGAGAGCTTCCATCCTCGGAATGCGGTGGCGTTGGCAAGGCCCGCATTCTGCTGTTGTAAGTCGCAGGGCCACGGCCTGAATCGAACTTCATGTCCCATCCGCTGCCTATACTTCCCGTCCCCACTTCCAAGATGGCGCTGACGGTCATCGCCACATCGACAGCCGACAGCGTGGCCTTCCATCCCCAGCTGCGCACGAAGCCCCAGCCCTCTTTGCCAGATCTCCCATCATCCCCCGGCACGAGACCCTCGAGATTGTACATCTCGGCAAACTTCAAAATGCGCTGGCGCAGGGAGCGTTTGATCTCCATGTCCATGTGCACATAGCCCTTGCCCGCTTCCTGCAGACTGACACCCATCTTCGCAAGGAGCTTGTTCAATCGCTTCCGGCCCGCATCGCTCCACACGTGTAGACGAGTGGACAGGAAGGGACTGTGCAGCATGCTGTCATACAAGCTCCAATGTCGGATGAGTAGAAACTTGGGCTCCGGCGACAGGCGGATGGCAGTGTCGGTGGCAGACCTCGCGTGCGTGGGGATGATGTTCTCGCCCGCACTCTGGCTTCGCCGAAGCTCAATCTCGGGTATGGGATTGAGACGGCGCACTTCATCGCGGAGCACTTCCCGTATCTGCTCAGCGCGATCCATGGTCCGTTGGCCCTTGCTATCTCTGGTGGAGGATGTGGGCTGTGACAGGGGCGAGAGGTCGATGGAGGAGATACCGACGATAGCCAGCCACAGCAAATCGTTGTCTTCTCGTCCCAGTTCAGATGCAAGTGAGTACAAGATACTGCTGACCGGTTCCGCGTACGATGTGCCAAGATTGTGATAGGCTTCCAGCGTGGCCTCATGCTTGCGTCGGAATTTGAGCAATTGGCGTTTCAGCTGTCGCTGCGAAGGCTGCTTCGGTGGAGATGAGGGCATCGTAGCAGGTGATTGGGGCTGCGAGGATGTTGGCGGTGTCGATGATCTTAGCACCTGAGCCGAAAAGGGATTGCCTCCAGGCGACGACGGGATCGGTGTGCTACTGTTGCTTCGACGTCGTTGACGCGGTCGCTCTTCGTCACTGTCCTCAGCCTCGTCGTCGCTTTCCTGGCTAGAGGCTTTCCGTTTACGAGAGTCACTGCCGCTAGAGTCCGGGGGTTCATCTTGGTCTTCGCGTTGACTATCCCGCTCCTCAAGCATTAGGTCGTCCTCGGTGATCTCCGGCATCTTCTGCAATTCCATGAATGCCTCCTTCTCTACAGCCAGCTCGGCTTCGATATCGCCATCATCCCAGACGATCACTCCGCCTCTGCCCGGCCGGTATGTAGGCAGGAGCTGCCCCGCATCGACCCCTCGTTTCGCCGCAACTGCACCTTCTTCATTCGCAGGGTCGAGCGAGGCTCCCGAGCCAAAAACATTCTGCAAGTTCCACGGCCGTCTGGCGTCAATGAGCCAGACCTCAACTCCATGATCTCGCACGTGGCCTCCATCTTCAGCATTAGGATCGTCGAGGCCGAGAACTTCTTCCACGTCCACGAGCCCGCCGACACCGAGGCACACCACCACGCCTCCCTCACCCCCGCGTTGTCGCGTGAGAGGCAACACCAGCTCTTGCCCTACTCGCTGCACGTCATTGTAGCCAGCGACCGGCTGCACTTTGTGCGGGATGTAGTCTCGCCTCAAGAGAGCCGTCAAAATGCGTGTGGCGCATAAGCTATCGACCGTGAGAGCCGTCAAGATCAGGACGGGCGGGGAGAGCGGGTGGGTGGTTTGGAGTAGGGCGGTGTATAATTGCGAGATTTGGGCACGCCGGAGATACATGGTCGCTGTGGTCGAACGGGAGCTCGCAAAGCAGGCTCGTGATTCTCGGAGTCGATCGTGACATTGATTGTCGTTGGCGAGTAGGCGTATGGTAGGTGGGAGATCAGGTTTGTTGCATTCGAGGGGAAGAGTCGCGTTCTGTAAAGCAAGGACTGATCCGCGAGCTTCGCAATGTTGACCGCTACAGCAGGGCGTGCAGCATTCTCCGGAAACCGCAAAGAAAAAGGAGGTGGTATTGGGCGTGGTGGAGAGACGAGGTCGAGGCTCGCTGTATTTTGGAGAGACGCGCTGGACGACGCGATGATTGGAGATTAGCATTAACCTTTAGCTAGCGCCCGTGGTTCGGCCCGCGCGACGTCCACTCAGCCTCGACGCCGCAGGATTTTGATGCGTTCGGTCAAATATAATGATGATGTGGGTATTCGTTGGCATAACTGTCGTAGGTAAAACGAAAATAAGCAGCTGTCTCGACCTTACCGGTAATAACACAAGTAATCATGCCCGATATCGCATGGGGCTCCGATAATGTCCTTCCCTCCCGAAACGCCTGGACTCCAACATTGCGCCATGAACGCAACATTGCCTCAATCGTACTGGAACAACACGCTGATACTTTCACCGTGATGAACCCGTCGAATCGCCTCCGCGAAGACATTGCCCACCTCCAGCACCTCCAACTTCTCGCAACGGGCAAGGTGTTGGTCTTGTGGCACGCTGTTCGTCACAACCACCTTGTCCAAGTGAGAGGCATTGATGCGATCGATAGCATCGCCAGAGAAGACGCCATGGGTGACGAGAGCGTATACACAGCTTGCACCACTTCTCTTCAGAAGTTTGGCCGCTCGCGTGATGGTGTTGGATGTGTCGGCCAAGTCATCGATCAGAACCGCACACCGATTGTTCACGTGGCCCACGAGAAGGAGAGATGCGTTTTGTCGGTCGGAGAGTTGAGTAGGGCGGCGTTCCTATGTGACAGCATTAGCGTTGAGATGAAGCTTTACGTAGCAGGGGCGTTGCGTACCTTGTGGATGAGCGCGAAGTCCATGCCGAGAGAATCCGCAATGTTCGTCGCACGCTTCGCTCCACCAGCATCTGGACTCACAATCACGCATCCCTCAATACCCCCGTGCGCCGGCAGAATTTGGTGCTGGATGTACTTGCGCAGCAGGTGTCGGCCGTAGAGGTTGTCAACGGGAATGTCGAAGAAGCCCTGGTACTGCGGATCGTGGAGGTCCATGGTGATAACATGGTCCGCGCCGGCGCATGTCAGGAGATCGGCGACAAGTGTGCCCGCCTGAGCCACCCATTGGCGGTATCCGCGCTGTGGTTTGAAGTCGGGGGGGTTGGAGTTGTGCAATGCCGCGCCGTTGCTCGTATGGGTGCGCCCGGAGTTTTGCTCGTGTTCGTCAAAGTAGGCGCCGCCGGTCATGGTCGTGGCTGAGACGTCAGACTGGACACTATCCAGCGTGTCTTTCCGCCGCGGCGTCTTCGGCTCTCCATTGTTCCCTTTTGACGGGCTGAGGCCATTCAGCTTCTTGTGCAGATGCTGCGGGGTATTGCTGTTCTGGTTGGCATTTCCGGGAGAGTCGGAAGCAGGAGTGGGCGTGCCGGGCACGGTGTCAAAGGTGTAGTTCTCGCCGTTCACTGCGATCTTTGCAGGCATACGTGCGAGTGGGGCTCCGACCTTGTTGTAGGGCAGGTCAGGTTGTCTGCTGTAGGGGAAGAGGGGGAGAATTGCAGTGACCCTCCTGGCGCTAGCCGTCTTGCACGCCTGGATGGTGATGAGAAGCTCCATCAGGTGGTCGTTCACCATTCCTCCCCCACTCTGCACGATAAAGACATCTTTCTCCCGCACGCTCTCGCCGATCTCCACCCGAGTCTCCCCGACGCTGAATTTGGAGAGATGTATCCGTGCCGGCGGAATACCGAGGTGTGTGCAGATTGTTTCGGTGAGGCCAGGGTGGGAGGAGCCGGAGAAAACGACGATGTTGCGCACCATCTTGAGTGAGGTGGGCGGAGGTTTGGGAGGAGGAGAGTAGGACTAGGAACGCGATGGGGATGGAGCGTCTTCGCGTGAGGTAGTGCTACGGCGGTCCTGAAACGCGCATGGTCGATTTGCGGGATTGAAAAGACCACGGAAGGGGAAGAGCATGGTCATGTCGGAAGCGAGGAGAGCGCGTGCAAATGACGCTTCACGACATTTTTCGCTGCCGCGCTTTGGCGGGGTGTTCTCCGGCAGGTGGGCCGAGCATGTGAAAGCCGTATCTGACCGGGATCCATCCCATCCTACGTCTCTCTTCTTCCTCACCGACACAATCACAAGCCCATCGCCCATCCAAGCGGACGATATTGCACATTGTGCACCTTTGCCGCTGAACGATGGACTGAAGATTCCGCCACGCGCGGATGCGCAGACGAAATGGCAAACGACTCTCAACCCATCCCCAAAGTCCCCATTCTGCTTCTGGGAGATGCAGGCACGGGAAAATCGACCTTTCTCAGCCGCCTGATGCTCGGCTCGAGTACTCTTAATGGATCGGAGAAGAACCTCCCTACTCCCCGAGACATGGACCAACCGTTTTGCTTGGACATCCGCATGTACAACCGGCCGTACCGCTTTGAATTCTACGACACCGCTTCCCCGACCAACTACTCTCTCCTACACCCCGAGGTCATCATTCTGTGCTACTCCATCGCCGATCCGGATTCCCTGAAAAGCGTCCACACTCGCTGGAAGAGCATTGTAGAAACTCACTTCAACTACGATGAGCAGCTTCCGGTCATCCTTGTCGGCCTGATGAGAGACCATCGGCGGAAGGAGGACTATGAAGGGCGTGTCAAGCCGCTTGACAAGGGGGGCGACGATGAAGAGGACGCCTTGGTAGGCCGGCGAGTAGTCTACCCCCAGGAAGCCCTTAGGATTGCCCAGGAGATGCGCCTTGACAAATACTGCGAGTGCAGTGCAGTGACGGGAGAGGTGCGTGCCAAGCGTGAAACCTTCGACATCAAGACTCTGCTAACATTCGAACCAGCTGTTCCGCGAGTGTTTCGAGGACATTGCGAAGACGGCTGCGCTAACAACGACGCCAAAGGGCGGCAAGTCATCTGCTGAGTACTGCACTGTGATGTAAACGACTACTCTCGTGCTCTATATCCAATGGCATGACGCAGCCTGGAAGATGTACGACTGGCCAAAGAGAGAACTCCCGAGCATTGCACCCAATGGCGTGAAAGGGACAGGGAGTGTGGGAAGCATATTTTGATGATGCATATCCATTCGTCCGTTGCGCCATTTGTGCCTTGAATTATGGTCGGTAGGGTTGTTGGATGCAAAGTGGATGAGCGGAAAATGTAGAAATTCTCGTGTGAGACGCAGAGGGATGAGGTGGGCTCGGGGGCATACACTCCAATGTATTGGGGATCTTCGCCGAAGGAGGCCACTGGAGAAGGCATCGTGATCGCCTTCGCCAGGTTGCATATGCTTTCGGCGTGCGTCGGCAGTTTGCCTTGCTCCAACCTGGTTGTGGCCAATCACACAGGAATCTCAATCACTCCACTCTTCGCAAGGCGTCTTTTTTGAACCCTAGTTTGCATGCACGAGTTAGTAGCGTCGGATCACCAAGAACTGTCCCTGTCGGCTCCAATCAGCATCTCTACGTGCTTGGGACTGCGCCATTTCTGGGCGCTCTCGGGCACATGGAGCGGAGCAAAGTCGAGCATGCCTCTCTCCACACTTCGCCGAGATCCACCTTGAAAGGCTGCACGTCTGCTCCAGCACTCCCTCTCTCTTCTTCTCCTCCGCCATTCTCCCACGTTTCTCGCATCTCTTAGACGAAGATTGCACCAGGCACATGCAATTCAACGCAAGTTTCTTCTGCCTCCTTCTCAAAGGCTTGTTCATCTGAAAAGCCTCGCCCGACAAGCTTCACCAACCATGTCCATCCCATTGAATTCGCTGGTGCAAGTGGTGCACGGCAACGGCGACTTCTCCAGCAAACTCGTCTCCCTCGTCGACCGCGGCCCCGGCACGCTGCTCACCAAAATCGAAGGCGCCCAGCCCGCCTCCGCTCGGGCCTACACTTCCGTCCAAGTCAGCGAGGACGCCGACATCGAGCTGCACAGCGATCTAGTGTACTGCAACCACTCGTGCGACCCGAGCGTCGTCTTCGACATGGCCAATTTGGAGATTCGCGTCGCCTCGGACCGCGAGGTGAAGAAAGGCGACGACTTGACCTTCTTTTATCCAAGCACGGAATGGGATATGGATCAGCCTTTTCAGTGCCAGTGTGGCACGAAGCGTTGTCTGGGACTCATTCGCGGCGCGAGGTATCTTGACTCCGCTGTTTTGAGCCAGTATGAGCTTAACCCGCACATTGAACGCTTGTTGGCGAGGAAGGCCAAGGAGGAGAGTGACCGGGTGGACAGCGCGCACGACAGTACCTGACTGCGGAGCCAAGGGATTGTATCGACAATCTGTGTTGGCCGGATGGGAGGCTTCAACAGCCTTGCGACGTTTTCGAAATTGAAATCGCCTTGACAAAAGAACCTGTGCTACTCCTATAGCTATCATGACATTCATTCTCTCCATGCACATGCTCACAGATCAATTCTGAGCCTGATTGAGGATATCCGCAAGGGCTCCCACATCTCCAGCAGCGGTCTCAGACATCTCACGCGCCGTCCCATGTCGCCACGGCTTCACCATCCCCGCTCTGAATTCTGTATGGCCGTGGTGGTGCCCGAGACTCACCTTCCGCCTCTTGCTCTCCGACCGCATCTCCTTCACCGTGTCGAGTTTGATAAAGTCCTCCCGGGCGACGCCACCGAAGGAATGGAACAGGATGGGGAGAATGGATGATTTCCAGCTCTCGTCCCGCCGGGTGATCCAGATCGTGATGGCCAGAAAGATCAGCGAAATGACGACGATGGCGATCGGATATGCGAGCCATCCCCATCGGACGTGGAACTTTGGCTCGGTTTGCGTGCCATTGCTGTAACTGTACTCTGCCCCGCCATCGGCCGTCGCCATGCTGCGGATGTTGACGGTCATCTGCTCCGCCATTTGCGTGAAGCCGTACTTGATACTGCCCAATACACTTGAGGGGATTGCGGACGTGGAGAGCAGGCCACCTGCCAGTAGCGAGGAGTAGTTGTACGTTCTATCGTCCCCCTGGCCAGAGAAGGTGGTGAAGCCGCTGAGGAAGGCTGGAAAGGGTAGAGAAGCGTTTGGCGCGGCGAGAAAGTTCTGCAGAGCGGCTTGCGTGTAGGCACCGGCCCAGTAGGAACAGTACGAGGAGTTCGATGGTGTTGTGTTGTTGATCCAGCATTCTGGCGGCTGCAGATAAATCGCATCCGGGGAATCGTAAGACGTTTTCGCGCCAGCAGAGGTGTCGGTGTAACTGTGGAGCACCGTCTCTTGTAGCGTGTTATTGATCATCTGGCTTTGGTAAGTCTTAACACACCACCACGCCGCGCATTCCGTCGCTTGGGCACCCGTGGCATTACTTTTGGCAGTATTGGCCACCATGGCCAGCGTTCGGACAATCAACGGCCCTGGAGAGAGATCCGAGCTCATAGGGTACTTGGTGTCGGAGGTGATGTTAAGAATGCCAGAGTTTGCGAGAAGAGATAGCGTTCCATTTGGCAGGGTGTAGTAGTCAGTGGCAGCGCAGTTTCCATCTGGGCATGGATTTGAGACGTTCTGCGTGACATCCACACAGGCGCTGCAAACTGCAATCGATTGATACTTGCCAAAGTCGCAGGAGTCACCGTTGCATGATGACCAAGTACTCACTGTTGGTAAGAGCTGGTTGGAAGAGAAGGAATAGAAGCCGTTTTGGATGGCGGCAACCATATTCGGGATAGGCTGTTGGGTGCCTACATTTCGAGTCGAACCTTGGTCATACCAGGTGTAATTGGTATTGATCGGGACTGAGCCCGCCCCAAAGCCGAGTGCGAAGTGCCCGGTGACTTCTGTGATTACTTGTTGGGTGAAAGTGTTCACGCCGAGCAAGCAGAGCACGATGATGGCACCGACCACGGCGAATTGTCTTTGGATGAAGCCGTCAGCAACGTGCGGACCACATGTATTTCGCTCAGACATACCGATGTGATCCGGGCCTGAATAGCAGCTTCATGGCACCCGAAGGCCTTTGAGCGTCGCTCATAATCTCCAGCCAGTCCAGTCGGTGTTGTTTCTTCCGAAACCAGTGCCAGCGCAGCTGGCCCATACACGCTGCAACGTAGAACATGACTCCAGCCTCCAAAAAGGTGGTGAGGAAGGCAAAAACGGAGTTGATGCTCCATGTGTGCGACCAATGTTCGAACAGGTATTTGCCGTCGTAGTGTACGAGCACGACAATCTGGCAAACAAGGAGGCCGATGACGAACAGCGCCGCGAGGAGCTCGTACTTCCAGCTCAACAAGACTTCTGTGAGTGACGGAGGTTTCTTGTTTGCAGCGCGGTGCACCTCGTCATCAATGACCAGCTGAATCGTGGACTGTTTCTGATTGAGTGACGGAACGGCTGCACTTGTAGCAGAGAGGGGGTCTTTTGTAGTCGAACCAGTCCTCGAGCCGTCTGCACTATTCGATTGGGTGGTTGGCTGCGCGGTACCCTCGTCGTCTTGGTTGTGCTTTGTGCCCGGTACAATCGGCTGCTGGGAGGAGAGACTGGCGGTGCTATTCGCATTTGGGAGCGCCGTGCCATGTGAGTGTTGTGTGGAGGATGTAGTGTCGGTACTGTTCTGCAAGGAGTGGGAGTGGCGGTTTGAACTAGGAGCTGCCATCGTGGTCTAGGAGCGACTGCAGCGCAAGCCGCAGTAGGTTCGGAGGCAGCGCAGTGCGGTGTGTGACTGACAGCTTCACGGTCGTTGGGAGGCAGAGCCCCTACATATAACCCACGCGCCCGGGGGTGCTGAGTGCAGATCATCATGGCCGGACCAATCCACGAAGATGCGGGACATCCGTAAAGAGGATAGCGACGGGGCGTAGACGATGAAACGCAGCACACCCGCGACAACAGACGCCACGAGGGCCCTTTGCATTATTCGCGCCAACGGTTTTTGGCCCCAAATTGCTCAGGGCTGAGGACAGATATGGCCATGCGCGACACCCCGGCTTTACTCTTGCTTTCCCCATATTGATTCACGAATCCAAGGTCGCCCATGAGAGTATTGTATTGAGATAAACGAAGCCATAGACAACAGTGAGAAGAAATGACCAACCTACATCGTGTGAGACAGAGCTGAGAGACTTGTTCTGGCCAGTGGCCGCATGAAGAGTAGCCAGCCGGATTCGGGAACCGCTGCGCGAGCTGCTGATCTCCCCGGCATATTAGGTGTAGCACATAGCGTGCCAATTCGATAGTTTGATTTCACGGCCGTCTGCATATGCAATGAAACCCTGCCCGACGAAAAGACGACTGTCAAGGTGTAAGGCGTGCCATGCGCTGTCACCCTTCGGGCGCTAGCGGGCAGCCATCCGGCGCACGGGCCGAGCCATGCCCGTGCGATGCCAAGCCCAGCTTGCGGTCTGCTCGGGCTCGGGTTCTCATCTGCGCGCTGCAGCTTGCCAACAGAAGCACGACCCCTCCATCCATCGAAGCGTGTATCATCGTCTCACGACCGCAAAGGTATGGTTGAAGAAGTATACGCAGCACGCGCTGTCGCCACTGACCTCCCTTCCCCACAGATGCTCGCCCGACCAGCAACCCGCGTCCCCTTCGCCGCCGTCGCCCGCCGTGGCTTCCACTCCACCCGACCTCGATTCGCCTCGCCCTACCACTACCCCGAGGGCCCACGCAACAACATTCCCTTCAACCCGCTCACACGCTTCTTCTACGTGAGGTATTGGGGATCAATGGGTACGTGAATTGGCGTGGGGGTTCAAGAGCTACGGCGAGGAGGCCACACACCATACTGACTGATATCCACTCCAGCCTTCGCCTTTTCCATTCCCTTCCTTGTCGCAGGTAAGCTATGGCAGTGTCACTCCGTCGACAAGCTTCATCTAATCCTCCTGCAGTCTGGCAAACCAAGAAGGCTCACTAAGCTGGGCACTCGGCGTATGCTGCGAAGATGCTGGGGGCCAGCGGGGTGAAGAAAGGCGCGGGATCAGAGGGCATCATAGGGCTTGCTGGAATACATTATAGAGGGCAGCGAGCGAACGCGGTGGAGCAGATGGTGTATGAGGCTGCAATGGCATCACATATGTCTCTGAGGCCGTATGCTCCAAGCTGTTTGTGAGTTCATTGGCTGGTTGGCCCGCGCTAGCCACTTCTGTATATAAATCTTCAAGAAAAGTCCTCCCACCTCACGTGTTCCCGCTGTCTGCCTGTTGGACAGAATGTAGTCGACACCTCCCAAAGACATCATGCACAATCTTCGGAACACAAGGCATGACAAGCTGGAATTTCAAGATGCCACCCTCAGCGCCACTGCTTGGGATGTGAACGATGATTCCACCATTCTGGCTTTCGGGCCAACCGCCGACAGTCCAGTCATTACTCTCAAACGACTACTGAACGATGCGCAGCATCCGGCCGATGCCTCGACCATTGCTTCGTGGGACGCTCCATCTCCCAATCCAGACCTCGCTGTGGATCACATTCTGAACTTGCACTACTTCCCGGATTCGAAAGCGATATCCCTGGTTCTCGCTGGAGGCGACATCGTTGTCGTTCGCGAAGATCCACAACCCGGCGAGGACCTGATCGAGATTGTTGGCTCGGTCGACGCGGGCATCACCGCTGCAGCATGGAGTTCAGACGAGGAACTCTTGGCCGTGACGACCCAAGCGCAGACACTATTGTTGATGACGAGATCGTTCGAGAGCGCCGCCAATATTGCTCTTACACCCGAGGATGTAAACGTGTCCAATCATGTTTCGGTCGGCTGGGGTAAGAAGGAAACGCAGTTTAAGGGGCGCGGGGTGGCCAAGACTTTGCGAGATCCAACTATGCCGGAGCATGTGGACGAAGGAACACTCAGTTCGCTTGACGACGGCAATGTCTCGATCAGCTGGAGAGGCGATGGCCAGTACTTCGCCATCAACAGCATTCTGGATGTTCAGCCAAAACGACGAATCATCCGTGTCTACTCGAGGGATGGTGTCTTGGAAAGTGTCAGTGAGCCGGTCAACTGCCTTGAAGGGCCGCTAAGCTGGAAGCCAAATGGACAACTGATCGCTGGAGTTCAACGCCTGGATGACGTTGTCCGGGTTGTATTCTTCGAGCGCAATGGTCTTCGCCATGGAGAGTTCGATCTTCGCCCGGACAGCCATTCGACTCCTTCCCACATTAGTCTGGAGTGGAATATAGACTCCACTGTCCTTGCAGTATCTATGCGAGACCGAGTACAGCTTTGGATCATGAGTAACTACCATTACTATCTCAAACAAGAGACAAGGCTTGGCGATAGCAGCAGCTCTTATCCCTGGATATCGTGGCATCCCGAAAAGCCGCTTCATCTATCAGCGGCAAACAATGGCAAGCTTCGGAGTCTGTCGTACAGAGGTGAAGTGTGCCGAGGATCAGTCACTCCGCCAAACGATCTTGGAACGGTGGCGGTGATCGATGGTCAAGTCTTGAAAATCACCCCTCTTCGTCGTACCAACATTCCACCGCCCATGGCATATGAGGAGATTGCACTTCCAGCAAACGCTCTGGATGTTGCCATTCATGAGGCGGGCCATGAAATTGCAGTGCTTCACCACGACTCTATAACACTCTGGACTTGCGATTACTTTGCAAAGCCAGCCAAGAAGGCCACTTTGACATCGACCTTGATACGACACGATCACGTCTACACAGACAATGACGATGTTGAGGCTTCTCGTTGGGCCAGAGTAGTGGACTCAGAGCATCTACACATCCGGACGGACCATGACAGAATATCTTACTTCGAGCAGAACACCCACGCAACGTCCGACCCTTGCGAAGTCTCATGGAGAGCGCCGGGAGGAGTTCAGCTATCCTGCAGGATCAAGGAAAGTGGCCTGCTCCGCGTCCAGCAGAATGAGCAGCCACTGCAAATTACTGGTTGCACGTCCTACATCATCACTGCATCGCATCTAATATACACCACAAATCAGCACAGGCTTAAGTTCATCCATTTGCACCCAGGTCGATTGGAAATCGCCGGCGATGAGCCGGAGAAAGACGAGAGATGCCGCAGTATTGAACGAGGAGCGAAGATCATCACTGCCATACCCAGTGCGTACTCTGTCATCCTCCAAATGCCACGCGGAAACCTGGAAACAATCTATCCTCGAGCTCTCGTTCTCGCTGGTGTTCGTCAAAGCGTTCGAGACAGGGACTACAAGAAGGCTTTCCTGACGTGCAGAACGCAGCGGGTGGACATGAACATCCTGCACGATTACCTGCCGGATCAATTCATGCAGGATGTGGGACTGTTTGTGAAGCAAGTGAAGAAGACGGAGTACATCGATCTCTTCCTCAGCTCCCTATCAGAGGAGAATGTGTCCGAAACGATGTATCGCGACACCATTGCCCCTGTTGAAGAGCCGACTGTCAACGGCACCGCCGAGCTCAGCCAGGCTTCAATTCCTTCCAAGATCAACAAGATCTGCGATGCTTTCCTGAAGGTGTTGCGCACTCAGGATACCGAAAACCTGCAAAACATTGTAACGGCGCATGTCTGCAAGAAACCCCCAGATCTGGAGTCCGGATTGAAGCTCGTCTCGGAACTCAGATCGAAGGCAGGCGAGGCTGGGCTGGAGGAGGCAGTGGAGCATATCTGCTTCCTTGCGGACGTGAATCGGCTCTACGACACTGCCCTCGGCCTCTACGATCTTGAAGTCGCACTCCTGGTGGCACAGCAAGCTCAGAAAGACCCACGCGAATACATCCCCTACCTCGAAGCTCTTCACAACATGCCGCAACTACGCAAGCAATTCACCATCGACAACGACCTCAAGCGATACAACAAAGCCATTACCCATCTACATGCGCTCGATGTTTTCGATGAATTAAAACACTACATGACGAAGCATGAGCTCTTCTCTGCCACGATCGACCTCTATCGCTACGACAATGCTCGCCTTAGTGAGCTCATGCGGCTCTATGCAGACTTCCTAAGCAACCGGAATCGGTTCCCAGAAGCAGGCGTTGCTTACGAGTCCATCTCCGACTACCGCTCAGCGTACGAGGCGTATGCCTCAGCGAACTTGTGGCAAGAGTGCTTGTCCAGTGCATCGTTGGTCCCACTCTCTACATCCGATCTTTCCAACCTAGCCAGCTCCCTTGCAGATGGCATGGAGGAGATCAAGAACTTCACAGCCGCCGCTGCAATCCACCTGGACTACCTGAACGATCTGGACACTTCAGCCAGATTGCTCTGCAAAGGGTACCTCTTCGCGGAGGCTATCCGGCAAATCACCCTCCATCGAAAGCCGGAACTGCTCTCAAGCATCATCGATCCCGGGCTCGTGGATGCTTCCGCATCTCTGACTGAAATGCTGTCCGAGATGAAATCTCAGCTAGGCGCTCAAGTCCCTCGGCTCCGCGAATTGCGACAGAAGAAAGCGGAGGACCCCATGGCATTCCTCGACGGCGCAGAAGGTGGCGGTGGCGACACAGACATCCCCGACAACCTTTCACTAGCTGGCACGGATGCATCCACAACGGGAGGCACGTTTATGACACGGTATACCAATCAGACAGACGGCACTCTGGCCACGAATGCCACTCGCAAGACATCGAAGAACAGACGGCGAGAGGAGCGGAAGCGGGCGAGGGGAAAGAAGGGGACAGTCTACGAGGAGGAGTATCTGGAGAACTCCATTGCTCGCTTGATCGAGCGATTGAATGATACGAACGGCGATATTATCGAATTGATACGTTGCTTGATGCGACGGGGAATGAGGGAGCGGGCATCGGCCGTACAAGTTGCGATGGCAGACGTAATGGAGATCTGCAGAACGTGCATGGACGAGGTATTCGCGCCCAACGCCATGGTGGGCAACGTGGATGGAGACCAACAGCAGACGGAGACCAACGGTGTTTCAAGGCCTTGGGGCGGAGAGGGGGTTCTATGGGAAGCGATGAGGACACAGCGAAAGGAGGCGCCGGTGTTGAAGTCCTTTGATACCCTCACGCTATGCTAAATACTCATCATGTCAAATCAAAACGCCAGCCGAATCGTTCATTCTCTGTACAAATATACAACCCCATGAGCTCGCTCTCGCTCTCACTGGTACCCCATCAGAGCCAACCAACTCTGGAATTGCTCCAATTGGCCGGCGATATCGTCGGCAGATGGCAGCCCATGAGCAGCCATCCATGCCTGAAACTCCCAGAAATGCGGCACATTCCCTTCTGAGCTTGGCGGTGGTGTAGTCAGAGCTGTAGGCCTGTTAGTCACATCTCGAAGCGAAAGCCGGCGATGAGGCGGAGAACGGGATCAAGAGAGTGATGGGGGATGGACTCACGGTGGTCGGGAGATGGTGACATTTGGGCAAGCACCATAGGCTGCGGAGGTGTTTGCGACACCGAGGCCGCGAAAACGGGTGTTTGCGAGCCGGGGGCTTGTTCTGTCCCCGTAATCGATATTAGCGGACAATCTCATGGGTTCACAAAGACGTCGAGGGCAGTGGGGAGAGTTCGATGGCAGCAAGAAACGATAGTTCCTCCTGAGAAGAGGCATTTGGGCAAAGAGCTCGCGTTTGATCATGTTGACTTAGCAAGGCAAGAGCATTGCCCAAATGGCACCTCTCGAAAGAGCAAACCAAAGAGAGGAAGGGGTGAGGGCTGTCAAAGGGTCAGGATGCTTACGCTCTGGAGAGGGAGTCGGCAGCACGGTCGCTGCCGCCCGGGCGTCGTTCAGCTGCTTCCTTGCGCGAAGCATCCGCTGATTGGCGAGCTTGGACGTACGCCGAGCCCCGACGTACTCGGGGGTGCCTATGGTAGCATTTGTCCGACGCCGCGCGACGTCGAACTCCGCCTCGAATCTCTGCAGTCTGGCTTCCAGAAAGGCGATTGTCGACATTGCAGATGATTGCTGCGTTGGTGGTGTGCTGCTTGATTGATGTGCGAGGATTTGGGGGCTGAAGGAAGATGTGTAGAATGAGGTTATGGGGTGATAGAGCAGATGTGTTGAATGCGATTGCGGTGTAATTGAATAGACGAACAGCGAGAGAGGAACACCTACAGCAGCTGACGATTTCTTTATAGCACGGAGCGTCGAGAATTCGCTCGCGGTGACCGAGCTTATCACGATCCCGTATCGGGATGGCGAGTCAAACAAGGCCAGCCAGAACGCTCGCCGGCCACTGAGTGTCAGCAATAGCGTTTAGTTAAGCAAAGCTTGCAGGAGTGGCGAACATGACATGAGTTATGCAGCAAATCCTGATCCTCGAGTAAGGGGTGCCGAGCATCGTGATGTTGATCGCCACCCGTAAGATGGTTCGAAACTGTGTCGCAATGAAACGATGTCGCGAAGTTGTTTCTGCAGACATCACTTACTGACCGAGGCGAGGCATGCAAGGTAGAACTCTCACGCATCGCTGCCCAGCAGGCGCCGCTGCCTGCCAAGCATGTTGCTTGACAACCCGCACGTGGGACCTGCGAGGACCCGTCTCTGGGCGACAGGGTGTTCCCGAAAGTTTGGGTTGACAGGCAGAAGCGCATGCCGAGAGCGAGATCTCGGCACAATCTGGGCGCAAGGAAGCTTTTGGTGCAGGTACTCGAGGAGGCATAGTTTTTGTCGAATGAGAGCCGTTGTATATGATATACTCAGCGTGGTACGTGCGCGTGCGCATATCTGGGGCCGGTAAGCTTTCGGCGGCAGCCACAGCAGCCATCTAACCCTAAAAGGGCCTCGGCGGCAGAGTAGGTGCATGCAGTTTGAATACGAAAGTGTCACTGTTGGTAAGTCCGGCCGACCAGTGTCAAGGGTTTCGGAAGGCGCTTGCCAAAGTGCGTTGATGAAGGCTGATCCGATCCATCTGGTCTGGGGAAGAACAACTGACCATGGTCAGTCACCTGCATATGGCACCGTATCCGCTCACGCAGGCGTTGACTTCTTGATCGATGCAAGTTTCCACGCAGGCACAGACGTCTCGATTATCGCAGAGGTTGTAGGTGATCGGCGTGTGTTCATAGCTGTGGTGCTGCTGCTCGTTTCTCTGATTGCGTTGTAGTAAATACAACCCTTGATAGAGGGATGTTGCGACACATTTCCGCAGAGGTGACGAGACCACGACATGTGAGAAGAGTTGGAGTTTAAGATAAGCGAAGCGCTCTGCGGCTCTTGGAATACACTCTCGAGTCGAAACCGAAACGACATCGCCGAATCAGCGGCGAGTGCTTTGAGCCTTGAGTGAGTCCACGTGGACTTTCCGCCTCGCCCAAGCTGCAAGCACCGTGGCGAGTCTGGGCAGCGGCTTGCGATGAGAGATGGGTGTGCCAGATGTGTCCCAAGACTTGGGCTGACTCGACCGTATCTCAGGGCCAGGCTAGATCGTTGGCCTCCACGGCCTATCCAAGACCCGACTTTTCGGACCAGGCTTATACGTATACCCGTCGTGAGTGTTGAGGATCGAGTGCGCCCAAGTAACGATGGCAAGGCCCAGAGCATATGCGCAGGGTTGACCTGACAAGGTACCCGATGTGCTGGCGATGACTTCTGAACGCGATAGCGCGATCACAGAGCCAGCTGATATCGCTTTACACAACAACAGCGTGTCAAGACAGACTCGGGCATGAGCGAGAATGCAGTATTTCTACCCCACCGCCGGCGGAGTGGTGGAGGAGGGGAGGGCGGGGCGGAAGGGTGATGTCCGAATAAGCACACGGCCCGGAGGATCCCGAGGTGCATGGAGAAAGCCAAAGCATCTGCACGTGTGGCACGGCACCTCAACTCTCGTGGCCGCAACCACATGAGCTGCAGACAAACGTCCACCCGTCTCTCCATTCTTTACTGCCTGCGGTTGTGTGGAAGGCGGTGGGATCACAGTAGCTGCTCGACGACCGCGCCTTCCTTGTCGATCAAAGCTGCCTCCACTGCTCGACGAGTACTTCCTTGCGACGCTGCAACCTTACCCGACTATCGCGCCTGCGACACACCTCCCCGATAGACCGACCAGACCGACATACGCATCATGAGTGTCATTCTTTGTACCGGTAAGTGTTCCACACGTGCTCCATATCCTGACTCGACTGCTGATCAATTTTCAGCCGGATACGATCACACGATCAGGTCAGTGCTTTCCTCTGTGTGCTTTGAAGTGCCAGTGCGCTTTCTGCACTGCTGCGTCGGTGGTTCATGGGAAGGAGTTCATCATGATGAGAGCGACAGCATGTCAACCTGGCGAGGACAGCGAAATTGATGGTCGGATGGTGGGGTGGGATGCCACGCCCAGGTCGAGCCACAGCGCACTGCCGAATGGTCATACGCACTTCACTCACTCCACCATGGATCGAAGGTGGCGCGCAGTTCAAGATTTCAATCACTTCAGGTTACAGGTCTTCCTAAGCTGCCCTTTCGCTGACTATATCTTGCGGCAGATTCTGGGAAGCGCTCAGCGGCATTTGCTCCCGCACCATCCCCCACCCAGACTCCCAAGTCAATCGACTGTGCATTTCCCCCGACAAGAGATTCCTCGCCGCGGCTGGCCGTTACTCGGTCAAGCTCTACGACATCAAATCCACCAATCCAGCCGCTGTGCTGACGTTCGAGGGCCATACCGCAAACATCACTGGAGTTGCGTTCCACTGCGAAGGCAAATGGATGGTCACCAGTTCTGAAGATGGTGTGTCGTTCTGCTCTAGTTTTCGACCTCTCAAATCACTAACATGCTGTCGCAGGAACGGTCAAGATCTGGGACACCCGCAGCGGACATGTGCAACGGAATTACTCCCACGGCGTCCCCGTCAATGATGTAGTCATCCATCCCAACCAAGGCGAACTCATCTCCTGCGACCGCGGCGGCAACGTGCGCATCTGGGATCTGGCGGAGAACAAGTGCAGTCACCAACTCGTGCCCGAGGAGGAAAAGAGCGTCGCATCCGTCACCGTGGCCACCGATGGCTCCCTGCTATGCGCCGCCGTCTCCAACAGCATCCACGGCTCCGTGTACGTCTGGCGTCTCGTCAACGTGCGAGACATGACGAGCCTCGTGCCCGTGACCAAGTTCCGCGCACACAACACCTACATCACGCGCGTGCTCCTCTCCCCCGACGTTCGACACCTCGCGACCTGCTCTGCAGACCACACCGCTCGCATCTGGGGTGTGGATCTCGACAAGATCGCAGAGAAGGCGGGAGCGCCGGAGAGCGTGACGCAAGAGGGAGACGAGGCCGGCCCGGATCCCGATGCCTTCGAACTCGAGCAGGAACTAGACGGCCATCAGCGCTGGGTGTGGGATTGCGCCTTCTCCGCCGATTCTGCGTATTTGGTGACGGCTTGCAGCGACCACTATGCGCGGTTGTGGGAGCTACAGTCCAAGCAGATCATTCGGCAGTATAACGGCCACCATCGCGGCGCTGTGTGTGTTGCGCTCAATGATTACTCGGAAACGAGATGATTATGCAACGAGTGCTTCCTGAATTACCAAGCGAGGCGCATGGAGTATTGAGGCAGGGTTTGCAATTCACCGAGATGGCCGAAGAAGTAATATTCGATGGGGTGAGGTCAAAAAGGAGTTGAGTGGGTAGAAGGCCAAGCAAACCGCACAACTTCAATAAGCCGATCCAATCTACGTGTATCGAACTGTCATTCCCCATCCCTGACTCGTCAGCCCCCTCCCGTTGTCCCTTGGCTTCCCTGCCTCTTGATCTCCGGGACTTCTCTTCCCCCAGGCCCGCGAACAGGGCTCGTGACGGCGCTCAAACTCGGCGTGCGTCCCGTAGACCCCTTGACAACACTGCTGCTCCTGCTCGACGACGAAGTCCCCGCTTCCGCCTCGCGTTCCAAGAACTCCGACCACAGCTCCGCCAAACTCTCCCTGCCCGTTCCGGACGGCGACTCCACCATGAAATCGGTCGTCAACGCAGGAGTAGACGGCGTGCGTCTGAACGGCGACATCGGGATCTTCAGACTGTCAATATTGGAGCCCTGCCGCAACAACCCCGCCTGTTCTCTCTGCTCCTCGGTCCAACCCAGCAGCGCAGCGATGAGCTGCAGGATCTGGAACTTCTTCGGATCGCTGCGGTCGAGCGCGAGGAACTGCAGGAAGTGGTTCGTGACGAGCTGGCGATCGACGTTGTCCTCCGGCTTGCCGCGCTTGAGGAAGCGCAGCGCTTTGATGAGATGCTCGTTGAGGATGACGCCTTCGTGCCGCAGCTTGCCGATGAGGAGGTTCTTTTCTTTGACTTCCTTTTCGAAGGGCAGGGCGCGCTCGAGGTCCTGCTGCGTGTCGGCGAGTTGTTGGCGGAGCGCCGTCGCGGCGTCTTCGGAGGCTTTGCTTTGCTTGCGTAGATCTTCTAGCTGTGCATCGGACTGCTCGACCAATTCGCGCAGCTCGGTTTTTCGCTGCTCTTGCACTTCGCGGAGTGCTCGCTGTAGCCCGTCTACCGTCCCACTCTGCATTTCCGTCTCGTTCCTGACCCGCTCGTATGCCTCCTTCTGGGTGCTCAACTGCTCTTCTAGTTCTTGCGCTCGCTCTTCCAACGCTTCTCGCCGTGACCGCTCCTCCGTAGCCAAAATCTCCCAGTCCTGCATCGCCTGCTTTGCCATTTCGTACTCCTCCCGAACATACGCCTCTTGCGCCACAAGATCATCCCGTTCTCTTGCCCAATTGCTCGTAGACACTGACGTGCGACTGCGGAGACCTTCAATCTCGGAAGACTGAGACTCCACCTGCGTGCTCAGGCGTGAGACCTCTTCGCGAAGCTTCTCCTCCTCCTCGCCAGCTTCGCCATTGCTCTTCTCCAACTCCTCAATCCTCGCTCGCGCTTGCTCCAGCTCTTCTGCATCCTGCTTCAACCGCTCGCCGAGCTGCGAACGGATTTGATTCACCTTGCCCAGCAAGTTACGATGCTGTGTCAACGCCGACTCTTTGCTCTGATTCGAGGTTTCCAGCTCATCTTTCAGGCCCGAGACTTCTTGTGTATGGCGCTCTTGTAGCGATTCGAGCGACTGCCGCAGTTGCGTGACTTCGGCGCGTAGATTGTCCCTTTCGAGCTGTAGGGCGTCTAGACGAGATGCTGCATCACTCGATTCGGTGGAAGTGCTGGTTAGGCGGTCATGTTCGGGGATGTCTGCGGCCGCGTCTGGCTGGGGTGTGGAAGAGTCCACGGCGGCCGGCGCTGCTGCTTCCGGAGGGGGCCCATTTCGCGCGGGTGCCTCATTGTCGTTTCGAGCGCTCTCGGGCGGGGAGGAGGGCATATGGAGGGAGTCCTCGGTCGGGAGAGCGGGTTTGGTGCTCACAGTGGGAGTGGGGGGTTCATCGTCATCCTCCTCTTCCTCGGCATCGTCTGCTTTCACGCCATTGACTTCTGCCGGCTTTCCCCCATCTTCCGCTTTGCCATTGGCCTTCTTCTTGTTCTTCTTTTTCTTCTTGGAAGCTGTACTGAGGCGTTAGTGTACGTGCACAGCCCACGAATTAATCGCGGGGGAGAGGGGATTCGTAGGGATGTACCTGATTTGGCAGGATCCGAGCTAGACACGGCCGACATTCTGCACAGGCATGAGGGTGGGATGAAGGGCGGAGACGACAGGCGAGTCGCTGTACAGGGTGGGGTGGGTGTAGTGGAGAGAAACAGCCTCGAAATGCCCGATACTTTTTGATGCCACGTTGGACGCGCCAGGCTGCTACGCACCGCCGTTGGCACGACGGAGATTTGGCCGCATGGCCGGCGTGCAACCAGGCAATCTACTTCATCACGACATACACGTTTCTTCAGTATCTATATAGACGAAACGTGCTCAATCAACGCTCTACAGATTCCGACACCAAGCGGAGATGTTTGCCATAAAGCGAACCCATCACTCTACACTGGAAAAGTGCCAGGATTTAGAAAGGCAATTTGCTATGCCGGGCCTGGAATATTTGCTGATCGAAAGGGACAATAGCAATCGCAAATGGGTATGAAGGTCACCGATACTTTCGATGAAGAAGAGAAAGAAGAGGAGATGGACTGGAAATGTGGGATTTTGAGGTGCATGGGCCCGCCTCAACCACTGCACGTGACTGCGTGCCACATTTAGAGTTTTGCCTGCCGCCTTCTGGCCGTTCATTTCCCACGTATCACTTTTATATTCAAGCCGCGTGGACGAACCGTATTCAAAGGTCGGGCAGTGGTGCATTGGAAGAGAATGTTCACCACTCCCTGAGCATCTCGGTATATCCAACTAATTGCGGCCATGTGGGCGCGCCATTCGCGTTCGCTGCTACGCGCCGTGTCGCCCCGCAAGGCTCGATCCTCGCGAAGCCTTAATGGCCAGGCTCAGATACCACACACAACTTACTTCAACCCACCCCCCAAACCGCCTCGGAGAGTGTGGAGGTCGCTGCTACTGGGCACCACGCTTGTCGCCGCCGGTGCCTATACCCATGCTTGGCTCTTTGACCTACCCCTCCTTCCAGAAGACTTCCTAGGGGAAGGTCTGGGAGAGGATGCTGCCGAGGACGAACTCATGGAGGCCATGAACAACCCGGTCGTCGGCAAGGAAATGCTCTTTGCATTGACGAATAAAATCGCAGCCGAGTCGGTCCTGCCCGTAGACCTGCCGACTGCGGAAGTCTTTCTGAATGAGATGGCCGGCTGTGCCTTCTCTCCTCGAGCAGTAGCGCATATCTGCCAACTGCCGTCAGTTCGCAACCCTCTTCTTCGATTTCTAATTGCTGACTCTACCTCTCAGATCGAATCTGCCATGCGAAGACAAAGTCGCATCGAGCCTCTTCGCCGTCGGCCCAGACCCACTGGCCTCCTGGCCAACCTGGTCGATTCTGGACGGTCATGCCGGGCCTCGCACTGCGAATTTCCTCGATCGTCACCTATCAGATGCTGTGGCCGCCGAACTCGTGAATCGAAATTGCTTGGGACGGCCATCTACCCCCAATGATCCCTCTGTCTTCGAGGCAATCAAAGCCGCCTTTCTGTGGCTCGATGATCAGCTTATCACCGTAGCTCAACAGCCCCCCTTCTCTGCATGCAGCTGGACGGAGAAAATTGCTGCACTGGCTCCGGCTCAGTCTGGATCTTGCGCACTCATGGCTGTGTTCGAGTAAGTTGATATTTGCATCATTTCTCTTCTCGGACAGCGCTGTCAAAGCCGGTCCAAGATCTTTTGCGCCCACTGAACGCCACAAAAGTGGACAAAGGCTCTTTCGCTCGGCTACCACTCGTCCCTGTCCCGTATGCAATCGATGCTGACCCCACACTCTTAGTCCGGCAACGTCGTTGCTACGTGTTGCAAACGTCGGTGACTCCCGGGCTGTCCTCGGCCGATGGGATGCCCAAGCTGGAAAGTACGTAGCACTGCCTATGTCTCATGATCACACGGGATTCAATCCGGGCGAAGTGGAACGACTGAATCGCGAGCACCCGGGCGAGAATCCGATCGACCCGAAGACGGGCAGAGTCCATGGAATCGCAGTGAGCCGCGCGTTTGGTGACGGGCGATGGAAGTGGTCGCAGAAGTTCACGGAATACATACACAGCCACTTCTGGGGATTGTCCCCGCGACCCGAAGGCATGATCCAGACACCGCCGTATCTCACCGCCGAGCCGGAAATCATCGAACAGCAAGTGCAGTATGGAGAGCACTCCGACTTCTTGATCATGGCCAGCGATGGGCTGTGGGATGTCATGTCGTCGGAGGATGCGGTTGTTTGCGTCGAAGAATGGCTAAAGAAGTTCAAACCGAGCGATCCCATGGATCGCATGATCAAGAGCTGGACATCCGTGGAGCAGTCCGGAAGGCCCGAGATGGAAGAAGATTTCCCCGATTTCGCCGCTGCACATTCCGACGACCTGGACACGTACTATGACGAAGATGAGAAGGTCCTGAAGTGGCGCGTGAGCCCGAAACACTTTGTGGTGGAAAATGAGAACTGTGGGGCGCATATGAGTGAGAGCCTCGTCTTCTTGCCGTGCCGTTCTCTTCGTCGTACTGATCGTCCAACAGTCAAGAACGCCCTGGGAGGGCGTAGACGCGAACTCTTCCGCGGGCTCATGACGCTACAGCCTCCACACAGCAGAAGCGTCCGTGATGACATCTCCGTGCAGGTCATCTTCTTTGGCGACTTCGAGCGGGCCGCAATGGATCCACAGTATCGGAAGGCCATGCAATGGGAGCCTGATGCTCCGTCGAGTAAGAGGCCGGTGCCGCGTCTCTTACCTTGACGTGTTGACGCCGGTGGTTTCGGTATGTCAGGCTGGAGAAGGTCGCTAGCCATCTAAGGGCCATCTCTCCATCCACATTCGGGATGAAGCTGATGCGTGCGATTCGCGCTGCTTGGCTGGGCTATTGGTCCATCAGAAGCGTCTTTCGGCTATCTTATACACCGTTGGACGCACGCTTTGATTGGAGAGCGTGGAGCATTCTGAGAGCGCTATTGCATCGTACGCGATATTTCTAGCCCCAGCATGCAGCTCGTGCGATCAAGCACTAATCGTGAGAAGAAAGAACCGACTCCATCGTGTTCGCCGACGTCCAACGAGAGTACACCTACTAATACAATCTTTCCTCCTGATCAAGCATAACGTAGTCGAAGCCAGGTCCTTCGGCTTCACTTCTGAGAGCCGTCGGCCGGCTTCTGGTACCCCTTGAACGTCTGGTTGAACCAGCCCGACACGATGCCGCCGCTGGATCCCATCATCTCTTGTTGGCTGGTTCGACGGTCGCCGTAGTCTTGACTTCCCCGCTTCATGTTGGTAAGGTTGTTGAACATGCCGCCCGAGCTGGCGGAAGACTGCGGAAGAGTCGAGTCAGTCGATCAATCTACTACACACGAAATCGAGCGAGACATTCGTACCCTTCTGCGACCTGCTGTGCTAGTGGCAGCGGCAGCGGCGACGTCAGGCTTCGTCTCGCCGCTGTTGCTCAGCCTCCTCGCTTCGGCCGACACGGCTGGTGTGTCGGAGAACTTGCGGCCGGTGGGACTGACGGGTTCGTGGAGCTCTTTCCCCTTCTGGAAGAGTGCTCGACGGTCCGCCCAGGTCTGGTTGGATGACATGATGATTGAGACGATTGTGAGTGATGGGTTTGCTGCAGTGGTTATTGTTTGCAAGAGAGAGGAGCGGGACTGGAAACAGGAACAGGGCCGATTACGTTTTGAAAGGAGCACGCGAGCTCTGCTGATCGTGTGTGAGGACGAGCTCGCCTTACATTATGCAAGGCAGGCGCCTGATTGGGGAGGAGCGAGCTCGGGGTCCGATTGTCACATGCTTCGACCATTTTGCGGGGGCGGGGTAAGCCAATCGACTCGGCTTGATTACCCCAGATTGCTCTTGATGCAGTACTTCAGGAGTCTTGGAGAACTCGAAAGACCATGGCTGGAAGCGAGAGCAATCCGTGTGTTGCAATGCACTCTATTCCCAAGGAATCTGACCTTCATCACATGTTCCCGCAACCAACATACTGATCCCTGTTGGCCTTGGCTGCAATATTTCATCTCTGGATACCAATCCGCGAGGCATGCAAGCTCCCAACCCCCTTCTGCGAGATCAGTCGCTACCGCCGGGCAAGATCCACGGTCGCTCAGCGTTTCACACCTCATGCTCGATATCTCGCACCCTTGGAACTCTCGTCAGCTGCAGTCCGCAGAATGTAGCAACTTTTTCGATCTGGATGGTACAGCTTGGTCAACGATATCCTTGGCGTGTGAACGAGGGTTGAATGCGGTACTCACACACTGCTGAATCAGCTCAACGTCGTCAAAGCTCACGCCGATTCTTCGCGTGCCTCGCAAATGCCAACCCGTTTCGGTCTTGAGATTCTGGATCATGATGCCTCAAGGGTTGGAACTTTAGTGAAGGTCCGCCATAGGTATGTCTCTTGGATGGGCTTACCAGATAGCACAACGAGCTCGGTGTCCACGGCATCCAGGATTGAATGGTCACTGAGATACAAGCCGTATGTAATCTCGATCGACAGCCATCCTGCAGCCTTGGTCAGCACGGCGACGTATTGACTGAAGGACGCTCGTCCGTACGAAAGTCCTTGTGTGCTGCCATGCGTGCCGCAGTAGAAGCCTGTTCATGCGTCAAGTCTCGTTCTTTGCGGCAGCCTGATCAACCTACATCGTTGTGCTTGTAGATTTGGGCCAGCCAGTCCGCTCCTCGCTTTGCATTCTCCTCTCCCGACTGCCACTTCTCCCTGTATCACAACGATCAGCAATCCATCGCGACTTGCGAATGATGCACTAGGATACCTCGAAAATGAGTAATCTTTGTCCTCGTCTCGTTCAATGTCCGCAATGCTGAAGATGGCCTCCAAGGGTTTCGGGACTCCCACGACCGACACGAGCTTCACCAATGCTTCCCGAAGTCGACGGATGAGAGCCTTGCGCTGCTCGGGCTCACGATATTGCGGCTGCGAGATCAGGTACTTGTACAGGTCGGCCGCGCACGCTGGGTGGCCTCCTCCGGCAACGGATGCGATCTGTTACCGTTCAGTCTGAGCAGCGAAGGACATTTAGACGCTAGCTGTTACCGCGAGTATCTGCCATTTGTCTTCGCCGAGAGTCTTTGACGGAAAGTGTTGCTCAATGTCTTGGAACAGCTTGAGTGTTTGCTCCGGCGTGGGCTCTGTGAGCGCCATTACGATATATCGTTTGATGGCAACACCTTTAGCAAATCTTGCTGTCGACGTTGTGCGCGGCCTCAACGGAGTTGGTCCGAAATGTCAAGAAGTTCCCTTCAGCGTCATCGTTGATGGGTCTCGATAGCCGGGCTTCGTCTTCCCCACCTCACCTCGTCAACCTTCATCCGCTTACATATGGGAGGTGGAATACCGTCGTCAGCAAAATCATTACCATGTAGACATCAGTCTCGAAGATTACCTTGCGATTTTCTAAACATATCAATTCGTTGACTATCATCTGGTGAAGTTACGCTCGAATTGATCTGCATTGGACAACGACTTAGGAATGGCTATCACGGAAGAGGATCGGTAACCAAGTCTTTCCCCTTGCCAGAGCCACGAACGCTGACGAGATGTGATCGCACAGTAAACGAATGGGCACTGTGGATCCGGAGCTGGCAGAGGTGATTCCCTCCCACCTCGACTTCAGTGTGGACACGGCTCTAAACCTCCACATAGGCTTTGAAAACCCAGCCATTCCCCGACCTCACCGGCGGCGACCCCAACGCCACTCGAGGGGTAGCAATTCGACAGAACAGGGCAGCGCATCTCGCGAAGTTGCGACACCTCTACCCCATCCCTGGACCAATTCCAGAGCAGGTCTCTGAAAGTCTACACCAGGTGCCCGCGCGTGATGGTGCAGGCATTCCTGTGCGCATATATGTGCCGGTGAACAGGCCTGCCAGCGGAAGTCCGCTGATACTCATGTTCCATGAAGTGAGTGGGTGTACTGCATAGACATGCTGGAACCCCGCTGACATGATCTAAAGGGCGGGTGGAGCATGGGCGATCTCAGTGATGAAGATCAGAATTGCAGGCTATTCACTCGGGACCTGGGTGCAGTCTGTGTCAACGTCGACTATCGTCTGGCTCCAGAGCATCCGTTCCCTGCATGTGTGAATGATGCATGGGACGTCGTAAAGTGGTGTGCGCAGAACGCCTCTCCAGGCTCCTCTATCTTACCGGCCGATCCTAAACAGGGCTTCGTCGTAGGGGGTGCATCGGCTGGCGGCAATCTATCGGCGGTGGTGTGCCAGCTCGGCCGGGATGAAGGCCTCAGCCCTCCACTAACGGGACAGTATCTCTGCGTACCTTCCCTTCTATGGGCCAGCTCCGCCGACGCCGTTCCTGAAAAGTACAGGGCCGAGTTTCGAAGTCGCTTTGAGTCCGCTTCCGACCCCATCGTCAAGCCGTACAATGAAGCGAGCAACGCTCGAATGATGCAAACCCTGGCTCCTGACCTGAACTCGCCGTTGTTCAGCCCTCTGCTGCATCCGAACCTGGGCGACCTTCCACCTGCCTTCTTTCAGCTGGGCGGATTGGACCCGCTCAGGGATGAAGCGTTGATCTACGAGCGAGAGCTGAAGGAGAACGGGGTGTTGACGAAGAGCATTGTGTACTCCGGATTCGGGCATATGTTCTGGTAGGTCACCACGCCGGATTGGACATGCGATCCGCACTGACCAGCCGCCTACAACAGGACAAATTGGCCAACAATGCAGCGAAGCAAAGAGTTCGTGCAAGACACTGCACAAGGAGTTCGATGGTTGTTGGAGGTTGGGAAAGCGAGGTGAGCAGAGGCATGTGCAGGAGGCGAGAGGCAGGCGCGAGCGCAAAGGGAAAACGTGGGCAGGATTCGCCTCACTTCTGGAGTTTGTACGCGATTTCAGAAGCCATCAAGATCCCACCACTCCTGAGCGCTCGTGGGAGAGCGTGGCTGCGAACCACGACAGCAGCATGGCGAAGACGTTGGTAGGATGCATTTGCATATCTGAAGTCTGCACGCGAGTTTGACAGCAATGAGCAGCATACCAGCCCCTTTCGTGATAGATCGTCCCCGCGAACGTCGAAGTTGCATGGCAGGAGTTTGGGTTAGGATTGCGTGCGCGCATGAGCCTCGCTTGAGCATTGCAGCATCTTGTAGTAGTATGTACCGTCCCTTGCGACCATCCATCCCTGCAACCCCTGAAAGGCACCTGGTGGGTGGCAAGAGGGGTTGGCGGCGTCTGTCGCGACGCCGTGGCTGGACGAGGTAACGCGTGGTTCATGATGTGGTTGCTTCAATAGCGAGTTCCGCTGCAGCATCAAGCGAGCATCTACACAATATATTGACTGTGTGGCACCATCTGGTGCACGGGCGAGTCTTGTTACCTATCGAGAGAGGTGCTGACTGCAGTCTCGGGCCTCCGCCCGGTATATAAGATTGAAAAGCATTAGCGAAGCTCCACTGCAGCGTTTTCCCCTCAGCAAGAGATATTGCAAAGCTTCATACCAAGCGGCTTGTCCATCTCCAGCCCATTTAATATTGGATCCTTCTTGGCCGTGGAATTGGCAGCAATCACGCAAGGCTGTCGAGTAGACGATTTGCATTCCCCCGACGCAGGAGGCTTCAAGCGAAACTCCCCAATTTGTTTAAGCGACGTGTTGCGACGCGCCCCTTCTTCGTTCCTGCCGCCGAATTTAAGATTGTACTTTAAGCATCCCCGGATTCAGGAGCTAGCGCGAACCTTCGCGCAGCTTAGCAGCAACTTCTCCTTTCCACCCTTCGCCACCGCAATAATGTGACAGCTGCGGCTCTGCTGCACGTCGTCTCGCCATCGCGCCATCCAGCACGCTGCGTTTTCATCTCGTTTTGCGCCGTCGGATCGGTAGCTTCCGACCAGCCCGTGGGCCTGTCCCGCGCTTGCACGATGATGACCCTCATGCCTTCGCAGCACGGCCGGCGCTCCGGGATGCGCTCCATCCGAGAGTCATCCGACTAGTGATAGTGGTTTTGGAGGCAAAGACCCGCTCCCTTTCGTTGCTATTTTCGCCCACCAAGTAGCATTTGCTGGCGTGGCACGCCGCCGTCCGCCTTTTGCCCGCTCGTCGTCATCCTCCCTTTGCCCTTCGGACCAGCTGATTCCGAGAATGGCGTCGACCGATGCCGCGTTTGATGCCGCGCCGCGATGATGCGCAAAATGGCGTGGTTTGCTAGTGGGCCCGCCTCTCTACCCGCCGTTCAGCAGCCTGGGAAATGAAGGATGCCAAATCAGGATCCCTCCGACCTCCGGATTCAGCCTTGCATGCTGCCGACCCGACCGTTCTAGCAGGATCAACGGCGTGCCATGGATGCGCGGCGAGGGCGATCCTGGAAGGCTAGGCCTTGAAATGTCTGCTCGACATACGGAACCTCCCTACCCGCCACAAGCGCGTGATTGTCGCCGTGGAGTACAAATACCTGCGTCGTCGCCGTGCAGAGGAAAATTTCTTCCACCATCGCCTTCCACTCCTTCACACTCGCTCCAATATCCACGTTCGTTTAACAACTTACACTCTTCATCCGCAATCATGGTCCGTATTGAACTCGCTGTGGCGGCCCTCGGCCTTGCCAGCGCTGCCTTGGCCGTCCCTGCCAAGGGCAAGACCACCTCTTCCACCGCCACGGCCACGAAGACCAAGGGTGGCAAGACTACGTCGACCAGCTCCGCGACGTCGACTGCCACCGCTGGCGCCGGCGGCAACCTGGACCTCACCGTCCTCCAGTTCGCCTTGACTCTCGAGCACCTCGAGGACGTCTTCTACCAGGGCGCGCTCCAAAACTTCACCCTCCAGGACTTCAACAACGCCGGCTACTCTCAGGACTACTACCACAACCTGAAGTACATTGCGTACGACGAGCAGACCCACGTCCAGGTCCTCGAGACGCTCATCAAAGCCGCCGGCGGCACCCCCAACGCCCCGTGCACTTACGACTTCCCCTACACCAACGTGAAGAGCTTCATCACGCTCTCCGGCATCCTGGAGAACGTTGGCACCAGCGCCTACCTCGGCGCCGCCCCCTTGATCACCGGTGCTGACTACCTCACCGACGCCGGCGCCATCCTTGCCGTCGAGGCCCTCCACACCTCTTACCAGAGAGCCGCCATTGGCGAAGTCCCCAACGCCAACCCCTTCCAGACCCCCCTGGACCCCACCTCGGCCTACACCCTTGCTTCCATGTTCATCGTCAGCTGCCCCAAGGGTAACACCAAGCTCCCGTTCACCCCCTTCCCTTACTTGACCCTCAACGGCACCTACGGCACCTGCGAGCAGCCCAACTGCGGCACCCCGTCGCAGTACATCAAGCGTGACGGTGCCTACAACTGGCCCAGCGGCGGATGGCCCAACCCGGGCAACAACAACGCCGCCGCCCCCGTCCAGCAAGGCGCTACCATCACCCTGACCTCCGCCGCCAAGATCCCCGCCGGCTCCTACGTCACCTTCATCAGCGGCCTCACCGTCACCTCCGTCAAGGGCAACGTCAACGGCAAGTCCATCTCCGTCAAGATCCCCACCGGTCTCTCCGGCCAGAGCTACGCCTTCGTGACCAACCAGGATGTCGAGGGCACCTTCAACGACAAGGCCGTCATCGCCGGCCCGGCCGTCGTTGAGGTCGACCCCCCGAAGCCCGCCCTCAACTACACCCCCGCATAAGCGGATCGTGTGCAGAGTATGAGCCCGGAGTAGATAATGCACGTCCATGCATTCCTTGATGGTTATGCATGCCAGGGACGTTTTTGTTTTGGGGAGATTGGATGCAAAGGCTTTGCTATCTCGTATACAGTACATTTCTGAATGCTAGGGATTGTCTCTATTTGGAATTTGCAGTGCTTTGCACTCGATGCCTTTTGATTAAGATTCGCATCTCAACGTTTCATCCCCCTCGTCACATTCGCCTACTTCTTAGCGCCTCTGGCCAATTTGGCGGAACTTGGGACTGGAAATGTCTCGGTACAGGGGAAATGAGTGAGCGGGACTTGTTCTCTGGCGCCGACAATCCCTTGTGTCTGAGTTTGTTATTTGGAGACGCGTCCTTGCGGCGCGCGATTCCGTAGGAGCGGTGTATTTTCAACTAAGCAATCAAATCTCCACGCGCGATCTGCAGCGTGTCTCGGTACTTTGCTATGGCACATCATGTCGATCATCACTAACCGAAGCGGGCCAAGCTCCTTATACAGTACCTCTTAGGTACCTAGCGCGCGCTACAGCGCCGCGCCATCTCGTCATCATCACATCTAGACGCAGCACAGGCTCTCACATTCTAGATGAGGTCCTCCGCTCTGCGCCTCGCGCGTCCCTTGATCCGCCCATCGAACAAGTCCTTTCCCGCGCCGTTTGTGCCGCTCGCTTTCAACGGGAACAATTCCTTGACTAGCGGGTTCTGCACCCTCTCGCGACTAGCGCCGAGGATGCTGAAGCCGCTGTTGTCGCTGCTGCGTCCCGCCCCTTTGAAGCTGAAGCCATCACTGCCGTTCTCGGTCTCCTGCGCGGGATCTCGGAGCCGTCCATACGACGATTCCCCTTTCGGACCACCGCTGATGCGCGAGAAGAGATCTCCCTTTCCTTGTGTCGTGTCCTCTGATCTTCGACCTGCTCTGCTGTAAGTAAATGCTTCGCCTGTGCCGTCGTAGAACGAATACTTGCCGATGGCGTCCGCGACCTCGTTGGCTGTGATGTCTTTGGCGGATTGACGTCTGTGGCTGGTTCCGTTGAGCCGCTCGGGGAAGAGTTCACGAGCTGGCTTGGAGGGGACGGGGCGATTGGCGAACAAGTCGGCCGAGTTGCCGTTTGTACGGTCATTGCTCAATGATGTTGCCGCGCGCTTGTCGGGGAACAGCTCTTTACGCAAGTCATCGCGAGCGCGCGAATTGTCTCTGCCAGGACGGATGCCGGAGGGCCTGGGGGATCGCGGCCTTGCTGTGTTGCGGGGTGGATGAACATCTGCAAACCCATACCTGCCGTCACCGTCGCGCCCCGGAGAAGCGCTGCGGTCTCGAAGTCTTCCTTTGGCGGTGTTTCGTACGAGGTCGTCGTTGTATCGACCTCTGCGTCTGCCATGCTCGCTTTCGGATGAGTAGCTGGGCTTTCTGGCAGCAACTACAGGCTTCGGGTCATCATCGTACATGCTTTCGTGGAACTGGTTGCGCTCCGGGGAGCTCCGCCTGCTGCCATAATCTCGACGTCGGTACTTTCGATCGCGCCGATCATCGTCCTGCCATCGTCGCTTGCGGTTGTCGGGTCTGATGTTGTCCGGGTTGTCGGGATCCCACTCTTGGTTGAACAGGTAGAACTTGCTGCGATCTTTGGCGCGAGGAGCTTTCACATCAGCCAGAATGGCCTGCCGTATGTACAGCTCTTGATCCGGGTGAGAGGTCAATCTCTTTGCCGCGCGGAGCTGCAGAGGATCCGCGACCTGTTCCGCAGACAATGTGTTTAGCGCTTCGGCAGCCGCGAGCTCGGTGTCATAGATGAGGTTGGCGGAGGTATCGTCGATCCATTCCACCCTCTTGAACAGATCGTTGGAGTGATGCACTTCCACCCATCCCTCGATGTCGTAGGTGTTGAGGTTGTCCAGCCCGCGCACGTGAACTTTGTCCGACGCTGGGGCTTTGTCTGTCACTTCTCCTTCTTCTGGGGCCTCTTCCACCCCGTTCATCGCCTCGGTGGCGGCAGCTGCGGCCTCAGCTTCAGCGCGCTGCTCTGGGGTGTCAGTTATTTGTCAAGGGTTGTTGATGTTTTTGACCTTCATCGAGACGCACCGCATTGATCGCATCTGCTTCTGCTTGTAGTCTTACAATCTCGGGGTCGAGATCGAAGTCAATATCGATGTCGTCCATCGCTACGTCGGCCGCCATGTCGACGAGCGATGAGGATGGGTCTCGAGGAAGGTGTGAGGTGAGAGGGAGGTAGTGTTGTGGAGGAGTCTCGGATCAGACTACTAATGCCTGGACGGCCACTGAAGAAGGGAGGAGTGTTAGCACAGTCATCGGCCGCGGCAGTGTGCGAGCGAGTGGGTGCGGTGGAATAGGTGGTGGTGGGTGGTTTGCGGAGCTGAAGTTAAGAAGTTCAAGACCGAGTCCGCGAGCGCGGGCTGACTTTAGCGCGATGGCGCAAACCTTATTCTGGAGCCTATCTCTTCCTCACTGCTTCATCACGAGCATATTCTCTATACATCACCACACGATACAATGAGGACATTCACTTCACATTCGCATCCCTACTCTGTCTCAGTCCTTACAATCTCCGTGTACACATGACATTTTGATGACAATGGACATCACCGCAATGCACCCCCTCATTTGCAGCCTCACCAAAGTGATGTTTTGCTCTTTCATTCAAGTGAACTATCTTCGAGCGCTGGGCTTTGCTCGGTCTTGATAATCACAAGCCTAAGTGATGTTTCTCGTTTCTTTACTGTTCAACAAAGGCCCGCAAACACGGGTTCTTCTGCCATGTTCTCGCATTCGCTGGCCCATCTCATTACTTCTGTTTGTTCTAGAGCTCTTTGGAACAAGAAAAGGCTTGCTGGCCGCCTCTGTGATCTCTGAGACCGTCACTCATCGTGTCACAGGCATTTCCAACTCATTGCTCTTGTGCCCACCGGACGAGCATGCCGAGATCTTGACAGTGTTCAATCAGAATCTGAGTCATGGACACCAACAGCAAGCCAACCACCGAATGCGCAGCACAGGTGAATCCTCAATCAACCCTTGACCGATTGAAAGCATGGATTGATGGCGAGCGCCTGTTCTATCCAAGCAAAACAAGCGAGTCGCCGTTCCTGTGGAAGCCGTGCTTCACTCAAGCTGATCTCCGTGAAGCCCTCATCTACGCAGACAATCGGTGTAATGATGTAGTGGCTGAGTGTGCCTTCTACGATCAGCTGGCGCGCCAGCAGTACCGAAGCCAGATTTGGACCCTGGGCTTTCAGGAGAAGCTCGAATCTGGTGAGATTGACTCACCACTTGACACCTGCCTCCCGATCGAAGACTTGACTCATGGTCGGATTCGAAGGATAAAAGTGGCGCGCGAGCCTGACTTCCGTCGATCGATTGCGTCACTTGCAAGATACACTTATCTGATCAAACAGCATATCCTGGCGAGAAGGGCGGAGATTGGAAGGGCTCAATCGCCTGAAGCATACGGAAGCGATTGATCACGGGCCTACATTTGGGGCTGACGGTCCTTTTGACCGCTGACAGAAAGGATCAGTACACATGTCTCAGTCAGAGGGGGATGGCAAGGCTCTCACTCAAGGAACGTTCCGCAACCGTCGATGCACATGGGCGACCAAAAGGATTCTTCATGACCAGATTCCATATCGGCCATCATCAAGAGAAGTGGCATACGGCCGGGTCGCTAAGGTTCAACTGGCTATCGCGCATCTAACGTCATGAATCTCCACCAGTCTTCGACTCATCGCCTTCGTCCACCTTTTCCTTCGCCTCCGTGGACGCCTCTTTCTTCACCCCGGCTTCTTCATCTTTACTGTTGTCCATGTCTTTCCACAAGCTCTGGAACTGCTTCTCCAAAATCTGCATGAGAGGATTCGACTTCAGATGCTCCGGGATTTCCACCTTGGGCGGCACCAAATCCGACTGCGCAGTCCCTTCCGCACCCTGAACGCCTTCGGTCTTTTCCTCGCCAACCTTCTTGGTGGTGTCGGTGATTTCTGGCGCTTCTTCCACTGGCCGCCCACGACCGTTGACGATGGCGAGAAGAGTCTGCACAAACAACTCCTTCAGATATGCGAAGCTGAACCCGTCCGTAATTTGAGCCACGACGTCGCAAATGGCAGGATCGAAATCGACAGTGTTGTTGCGCTCGAGCTTCTTCTTCCAGTACTCGCAGTACAACATCCTTTCACGGCGTCCTGGAACGCGGTAGTGGTACTTTCGGTCGAAGCGACTCGGCCTCTTGCTGATGCCTGGATCCAATCTGTCCAGATGGTTTGTGCTGCCAATCATGAGAATGCCGTTGTTGTCCTCCAGGCCATCGACCTCGTTGAGAAAGTAAGACCGCACTTCGTCTACAACCAAGGAATCGAGATCCTCGAACACCAGCAAACACGGCGCCATCACGCGCGCTTGACTGAAGATCTGGTGGATGTTCCATTGCTGCGTGCCGCAACCACTCTTGAGCGACTTGACGTACAGACTGGCGACGGGTTGCTGGCGTTTGTCGAGCGTGTTCATCAGCGCTTTGATGCTGATCGTCTTGCCGCACCCTGGCGTGCCGTGCAGGATGATCCCCCGCTTCCACGGCACAGCGTATTCCTCATACACCTCGCGGGAATCGAAAAAGTTTTGCACGTCGGAGATGAGGAGCTGCTTCATTTCGGGGTCGAGGATGACATCTTCCCAAGCCGACTTTTGCACCGCCTGCCACAGCTTGTCGTCCTTCTCCCAATCGCCGTCATCGAAGACGTAGATTTCGTCGTGCAGCTCCGAACTCCACTTGCAGGCTGCAAGCAATAGACTGTCGACGGGGGTGGCAGAGGTTTTGGGCGAGAGGAAGTACCAATATCGTTGGGTGCCACGATAGTTTTCCACCCACTCAACGGCATACGCTTGCCATTCCTGCCCTTGCCATGTGATGTTGTACAGGGCGAATTTGGGCTTGTCACAGAGTTTGCCGAGCCCTTCCGCAAGGCGGCTGGTGGGCTCGGTGTACTCGCGATGAAGATGGAACTGGTCGTCGTCACGGATCATGCGGAGGGTAGCGTGTCCGGCCGCCGCATAGCCAATTAGGTCGCAGTCGTCTCGGTCAATGGTGATGACATCGTAATCGGGGTGGATGGCACGGATGGTCTCGGCCAGGATGAAGTCGGTGTTGCTGCGAGGCGCGGAGGAGTGATCTTTGTAGAGGGAGAAGACGTTGGATTGCCGCCCGTTGGAGGCGAGGCGGGATCCGTCGACATTCGCACCAGTCACACTGGCTCTTCCATAGTCCCCCATGACGAGTGGAGTGAATATGGAGTGCTTGGTGAGGAACGAAGAGAAGTGGAAGAGGAAGGATGAGTGGAGAGGACGTCGGGAATGGATGATGTGAGTTGAAGATGGACAACAGCAAGCACAAAGGACCGGCCGATACAACATATTTATACCTCACCCTCTACTCCCCCTACTTCAGCATCACAGGCAGCACTCTCCACTCCAAGCTTCGCAATTGACTCACATGCACCGTCATGTAGACTGGATGGGATGCGCAGCCTCCACTTCGCGTCAGGGCGGCTTGGGCGGGTAAGGCAGCTCAGCCTTGCCCCACCAATCGCCCGTACTCGCCAGCTCGTACCCTGGGCCGGGAGGAGGGCAGTGGGGGGCTGCACCTTTGGGCTGGGCCACCCGTCCCTGCACCCTTTTCGCCACCACCCGCCAACCTGCCCTGCCCGCCATGCTCAAAGCGGAAGCGGCGTTACACATTCCCGGCCGGTGTCTCGAATTGTCGGCGGGCTGGCATTGAAAGGCTTTGCGCTCGTGATCATGCCTTTACGGTGTGGGAGGAATGGTCGGGCTATAAAGAATTTCTTTGGGTGCCTGCTCATCCACATTTCGGACTCATCAGCAGATCAGGCCTAGAGTAGTCGCCGTAGAACTTTAGTCATCGACATCTGTCAACGGTGGCGAGAAATGATCTCGTTGCTAGAAAGGCTGAGTGATATGCCTTCTTCTTCTTCTCACTTCTGACAGTGAGTTGCAATTAAAGGCGTTGAAGTTCGTAGCGTAAAGAGCATATGTACATGATGTCAAACACCCGCAAATCTATACATGAAGTTGCATCAACCCCGTCACACGCTTGCTTTTGCATGTCAACGAAGATCAAGCCACCACGACCGCCAGAATGACCACAACGAGCACAATCGCCAAGATGATCAGTAAACAGCATGCCTTGCCGCGCGCGCTTCTTTGATGCCGGCTCGCCGTGCGAAGCTGCTGGTCCGCATTCCTCGTATCGTCTCGGGTTTGCGTGACGTTGGCATCGATCACGTCAAGTGTCTGACCCTGGTCGTGAACCATATGCGCGACATCGCGGAAAAGCTCGTTCAACTCGCCCACCGACTGCTCAATGTTCCTAATTTCCGATTCCCGTTCGATGATTAGCGTTTCTTGAAAGTCCACCTCGCCCTGGTCCGCCAGCCGCGCTTGCTGCTGCTGTAACAGTTGTTGCCGCTCGCCTCCTTCCTGTTGTCCTGTGGCGGAGGATGCGGTACCGTCCTGCTCTAATGCCGCGCGTTCCGCCGATGCGCTCGCCCTCTGCTTCTCCAGCGCCGAGCGCTGCAGCCCTTGAAACTCCGTGAGAGACGCCTTGAACTCCTGGTTCAGCTTGCCCTGCGTGTACTTCTGGCTCGGGCCCAAGTCGGGCCAGGCCTGCACCTTCTTCAAGCCCTCGCCAATCTCTTTGAACTCGTTCCCGGTCTCGGTGAGGAGGTCTTGGACTCGTTCGCGCACCCGCTCCGTCTCTCGCTTTGTGCCGAGCAGGCCTAGTTGTGAGGAGAGGCGGGAGATGTTGGAGGTCAGGGTGAAGAGTTTGTCGGATAGTTCGGTGGTGAAGGTCTGGAACTCGGGATCGTCGGCGTATTGGGGGTCATCACGGCGGCGGAAGGTGGTGGGTTGAGCTTCGAGGTTGGGGTTGTCTTGGAACGACATGGTGGCGGTGTAGGCGGGCACTCGACAGCCGCGATCGCGATCCTGTTCCTGCACCCAGTTGGTTGTACACGGATTGTTTCCAGTGTTGCGGCGTAAGAGGCGGCAACCTGGACGACGATGGAGTGATGCCTGCCAGAGCCGTCACCGGGAGCAGCCGAGCCAATCAGCGCGAGGCGAGGCCGCCGCCTGTTTACGGGTGGCTTTGCATGTGACAACGCGAAGCTTTCGTACCTCGACATTCACATTTCCAACGCCCTTCACATCCGCCACACCTTTCGCGACAGCTTCGCAAAAAAGCTCGCGCTGATCAGCCTGATTCCCGAGAGTGACATGACCGCGTAGGTTGTCGTCAGGTCCCTGACCTATCACGTCCTCGCAAAGCCATGGCGACCACTCAGACGAGCACTGCCCTCCAAGCAGGCAATGTCTTTGCTACGAGGCCAAGCTTGAACACCACCACCAGCACGACCGCGACAGCGACCGCGACATCTCCGACCAAACCGACAGAGCAGCGCACACGCCCGTACAAAGACTTCCTCACCCCCGCCCTGCACCGCCGCTTCACCCGCGCCGCCCTCCTGACCCTTGCCGCTTGTTACCTCACCTCCATCCTCATCCGCCGACCAAGTCTCCTCTGGATATGGAATCCCTTCTCCCTCACCGGTATCCGTGCACTGCTGCTCTTCCTACCATGCCTCGCAGTCTTCATCGTGCGCGTCTCGAATATGCACATTGGCCCTGTGACCACGGGAAGCAAGATCGATACCGTGTGGCAGACTATCACAAGCTGGAAGAGCGCGCACACCCTGGCATGGTTCATGTGGAGCGCGTGGTTCTTTGGCGAGGTCTATCTGTGGAGTCAGGGACCGGATGCTCACCTCGAATGGGTGGACCGCGGGAGGAAGTTCGAGGAAGACGTGTGGGAATGGCCCATCCTGAACGAGAGCCCGCTCTTTCTCCGCTTTGTGTGGTTGTGGCTGGCTCTCTTGCAAACAAGCGCGCATCTCCTGAGGGATGAGGATGGCCTGTCAATTCCCCAGAAGGACGAAGACTGGACGAAGAAGGCAGCATCGAAACTCCCTGAGCCTCTTCAAGAGCTTCGGGAGCGCATGCCCAGAATCCTCATCCACACCTTTCAGCTCCTCTGTGGCTTGGTCGTGGCGGTCCCTATCTACTGGCTCTTCATCCGCAAGAGCATATGGCCTTGGTTCTCCGTCTTCGCCGGTCTCTTCTTCTCCGGGCTATCTTCGGACTCGTCGCCTCCGGGCCCCAAACACCAGGGGTCGCTGTCCATCCACACCTTCGCATCCTCGATTCTTTTGATTACCCTGTGGAACATTTCCAACGCCGTCTTTACAATCTTTGTGATTCAACCGCCATTGAGGAGGGAGCAGCCTCTGACGACGGAAATGAAAGACGCGCAGGGCAACATATCGACGAGGAGTCGAGATCCGAACGGCAGCTTGCTGAATGGGCTCAAAAGTAAAAAGGAAGTTACAAAGGCTTTCGCATTTTGGGAGCTGTGTGTAATCTGCGAGAAGTTCGAGGCCAGAAGAAAGACCATCTACACTGATGTAGATCGAAAAGAGGGCAGTACATGGGCACAGATTTCCAAGTACTGTCTCGGCGAGCTGGACACGATACAGGCACGAATCGACAAAGCGCAAGCACCATCTGCAGCATCAGCGGCGCAACACGAAGGCACCAGCACAGCACGAGAAGAGCCACGCGGCCTGCCAAAGATTGCCAACCGGGGTGTAGTGGAGAATGGAAACGTGCTTCAGAAGCCGGCCAAGGCAGACTTTGCGCAGCACATCGGCAATGCAGCCAAATCGATTGGCCAGAGTCCCGATACGACGCACGTAGTGCAAGCCCGCGCACGCAAAGCAATCGAGTGGGGCGCCGACCGCCTCCTCTCCAAAAGCGAGCAGCAACAGCTCACTCGACAGAATCTCGCAAGCGAAGCCAACAGCACCATCACCCGAGTCTTACAGAGTCCGGTTGGCGAGCCTTTCCGGAAAACCTTTGACCGCAAAGTCAGTCTGGTGGTTTTGGGGACCGCACCGCATGGCAACCGCGCCAATATTGTGCACGCTTCTCGCGCGCTCAGCGCCCTCTGCGTCAACAGTCTGAAAGAGGATGACTACGGCCAAGTCGCTCGCAGTATTCCAATTGTACTGCGCACGTACACCGCCGCCATCACCGCCGTGTCGACTTTCGTGGCTGGAGTGGCGCCGCATTGGACGGACGTGGAGTTTCGGCAGCGGGATCGAAGAGTGAAGGACGTGGACGAGGTGGTGCTTGTGTTGAAAGCGGGACTTGAAGGCATTCTCCTGGCCTTTGGGGAGTACGCCGATGCTGTTGGGGTTACGAAACGGGAGTTGAGAGAAGCGAGGGAGGCGGTTGGACGAGGAGCGGAGATGAGGAAGGTGTGATGTGTTGGATGTAGACTACTGTATCAAAAGCACAGCGCGTCACTCTCCTCCCATACATCTACATGTTTCCACAGTTCAGACCGGAATCTGTTGATTGCAGGTTAGCATGGGCATCCACGAAATGTAAGGCATCATTCGGATGCAACATACCAACAGTCACGTCCGCGCCGGTCATCGAAGTGTTCTGCGCAATCGCCACAAACATCTCCGCGCACTCCTCAACCACAGTCTACGTTCCATTGTCAGCAGCGCTTCATCACCATCCCAGGGCTAAATAAAACTCACCTCCTTCTTCAACGCCGCCGCATCCTTCAGCGTCCTCAACCGCTCATCCCCAAACTTATTCCCCCAATCCGTCAGCAGCAGCCCGGGCAGCACAGCATTAATCCGCAACTTCGGCCCCTGCGTCTTGGCCACGCACTTCATAAAGTGCACCTGTGCGCACTTGGTCACGCTGTACGGCATGCTGCTGCCGCCAATACTCTGCGCGGCAATGCTGGAGGTAATAATCATGAAGCCGCCCTCGGCATTCGCCTTCCACGTCGGCAGCGCCGTTTGGATCAGGCGTTTAGGCCCCAGGACTTGTGCTGCAAAGCACTTGTTCCACTCGTCGTCTTTCATCGAGTCCAGGTCGGCGAAGTCGGAGAAGCGCGTCCAGCCTGCGTTGGCGATGATGCCGTCTAGTCCGCCGAAGGCGGCGATGGTCTCTTTCACGCAGCGCGCGCAGTCGTCCATTACCGTTGCGTCGCCTTGGATGACGGCTGTTTTGACGCCGTGTGCGGATTCCAACTCTGAGGCGAGCGCTTTGGCTGGCCCTTCGGCGTTGGCGTAGTTGATGGCGATGTTGGAGCCTTGGGCGGCGAACTTGCGCGCGATTTCGGCGCCGAGGCCTCTGTGGTTGGAGTGAGTTTGGGTCATATGGTAGGGAGGAAGAGTATAGTTCTTCGTTTCTTTCTGCTCATATGGGAGGGAGGGGTAAGACGAACCGTGAGCCACCGGTGATGAGGATGTTACGTCCTTTGAGTAGATAAACCATGATGGAGGATTGGATGGGGAATTGAGAGTTGGACGGGTGTATCTGAACAAGTGCTTCTGAGTATTCGAATATATTCAAGATTCTTCCAAACGCAAGCAGTGCTTAGAATATTAGCAGCAACAAAGGTTACCCCGCGAGGCATTGGTGCTGAGTGCCCGAGCTTTCGGAAAAAGCGCAGGACGGAAAAGCTCCGACATCGTCAAATCTCTATTGCCTCGGATACCGCTCTCTAGCGCAGGCCCGAGGCATCGCAGTTAGCCCTCCGAGCCATAGGCATCCCCGTCCTACGAGAAGCCAAAGTCGAGGTTGTTCATGTCTAGCTCTGCAAAAATGTCGTCCTCTGCATTCTGCTCGCCCTGGTTGCTGCCACCCGCGCCACCGCCATCGGCAGTCGCCATCTCCGCCGCCAGCGAGTCCAAATTGTCCATTCCCAAGTCGCCGAAAATGTCTTGTGTTTGCGTCGATGGAAGCGCGCCGACGTCCGCGGACATGTTCGCCAGACTCTGCACCGCTTCGTCGCTCAGAGGCTGTTCGAGCACCGTTGCCAAGTCTGCGTTGTCAAAGGCGTCTCCGCCCGCTACTGTGATGGATGCGTCTTGCGCAGTCATGTTTGCGTCTGTCAGGCCGAGATCCGCCATGATCTGATCGGCAGCTTCTTTGTGCAATGGCAGGGGCAGGCCAATCTGCGGCATGTGCGTGATGGTGAGTTGTGCTTCGACTTTTCTAAACAAGCGCACAAGACTTTCGGCGCTTGCAGCCTGCTCTTGCAGGAGTTGTTGTGGTCGACTGCATCTCAGACGCAATGCTTCTCGCACTGGCGAAGAGCCCATCATCGCTTGCGTGGAAGGTGTGGGGAGCTGAGTGAGCATTGCTAGCGATTCTCGCGTTGGAGCACATATCATCGCTGCGCAAATGTCCATTGCAAAGGCTCCGTTGTTCTCCTTGGTCTGATGCGTGAGTTCGGCAACGATGGCGTCTAAGGTCGCGCCAGGCCCCACCATCTCGCACGCCGTGACAAAGAGCTTGTGGGTGTATTTCGGTGGAGGGTTCGGTCCTGTAGTTGTGACCCAGGTGACAAGCTCTCGGATGGTATTCTGTAAGCATCTCGCAATGCCCCCATGCGGAGGTTCTGTCCACACGTCCAATTCATCTCGGTTGGCTTTCAAGATGCGCGATTGGTTCAGGAATGGTCGTAGTGTCTCCAGGAGGCTATCGGTCTCCTTCTTTTCCGGCTTTCTTTGCTGTAGGGTTTGTAATGCAGAGTACAACGGATCAGCGACGATGCCGAGAATCGCATGGTGCATCGCCTTCGTCTCTGGCGACGAACTCGACGGCTTGATCAGCTTCTCCAGTAATTGCAAAAGCACATCTGCATCCTCATGATCTTCCCACGAATGCTTGACCAACCACCTTAACCCAGGTACGAGCGACGGAAGCAAGAATGGCTCGACAAGCAGCTCTAACCCTCCCTTAAAGGCCTTTACTGACAGCACACCCGATCTTCGTGCGATGACACTTTGTTCGAAGAGTGTCGGGACGAGAGGGAAGAAGGCTTGCGGCGGACAAGGTCGCATCACCTCGTCACCTATCCCCCCAGTTTCCCCATGTTCGTCGGTGGTGTAGAGTCCTTCGATCCATTTGCCAAGCTGTGCGCTCTGCTCGTCGGAGAGGTCGTTGGGCGAGAAGCTCGTGGCATTGTCACCGAGCAGTTTCGAGACAAACGCATCCTCGTTTGTGAGGCCGAGATCTGCGGTGGTAAGATCATATCGATGCACCACCGCCAGAACGAAGAGAAGAATTGAGGAAAATTCCTCGTAGGAGGGCGTAAACTCCATCTGGTCCTGGTCATGGTTCCACGTGTCTAGTTGATTGCATAGCGGGGAGAGGAGCTGGATGGGAGAGGTGTATTGGAGGATAATGTCGACCGCCGCAATTCTGCGAGTCAAAATGTTGCACAGCATCTTGAGGGAAATGGTGTCTCTGTTGATGCAGAGGTTGCCGATGGTATCGATCACGAACCCGGCAATTGCATCTGCATTTCCTTGCATGCCTTGCAGCTCGTTGATCAGACCATCTACTGCTCCTGTGTTGTTGGAAAACTTGGCCAGCAGCCCGCTTTTGCTGTATCTTGTGGCTTTCGAAGGCGGAAGAGGCTCACGGATGATTGCAAGCACAGCACCTTCCGACATGATGCCATGCAGCATGCAGGCTTGTAGGAATTCAAGCCTTGTGGTTTTGAGCTTCTCTCTGATTTCCGTGGCACCGGCAGTGATTGGAGGAAGGACGTCTATCGTGATGGAAGGGAAGGCGTCTCGGACAGCGGCTTCAACGGGGACACCATGCGTCATGCTTCCTGCAATGATTGCTAGCAGAGCCGGGAGCTTGTTGCAGATGAAAGACCGTACCACACGTATGCTCGACTCGGTCTCCTTTTGGCGCAGATGATTCGTGAGAAGATCGAAGCTCGCCAGGAGCAACTGCCCGATGAGAGTGTGAATGTCGCCTGAAAAGCGAGTCTGCAGATATCCCAGCATGTTCGCATCGTCGGTAAATGGGCGCGAAAAGAGACAAGCGCTTAGCCAGATGTAGAGTCCTGCTCGCGAATTCACCGTCTGTAAATCCTGGATGGAACCCAGAATTTGCGAGTCCGAAAAGACGGGCATGCCTTTATCGTCGGTTTCGAGGAAAGGCGGAAGAGTTACCAGAGCTTGCAGTCGGCCGGCCAACGATGATTGAATCCATTGCAGGACTTGCATGTCGAATTCGCGCGCGTCCTTGACGAGCGTCGGCCTTCTCTTCTTCCACCATGGTAGCTTGTCGACTTTGCGTAGAGCTGGATGACTGAGGACAGTGATGGCCAGCGAAGCCAACGCCTCGTACAAGTTGAACGTGTAGACGTCTGCAGGTTGAAGCGCTGCGTCTCGTAGCTGTCTGGCCAATTCATATTCTTTCACGGCATGCAGCCAGCGGGTGAAAGCCCAGAGGAGGGGATGGAAATTGCGCGGCTCGATGGGCAAGACGCCGGCCAAGTATTTTTGCGTGAGCATGTTGAACATGCGTTCCTCGCACGTCGGCATGCCCGTGGACGGCGGGTCGTCTGACTTGACACCATCCTTCCATTTAGCGAAGCGTGAAGTGTTTAAGAGGGCTGATAGTAAGCTTTCGGCGGTTATGAGTCGGTCTTGTAGCAGTGTATCAGCATAGGTGAATAATAAAGGGTCGTCTGTGGCGGTGTTATGAGCACGAAAGCCGAGGAGAAGTCCTGCGATTTCATCGGGTGACAGTGGATACTGCGAATGAAGCGTTCGCAAGGGTACCGTTAACTGGTCTGCTGGAACGCGTCTAAGGAGGGCATTTTTGAGGACGGCGTGGAAAGTTCGTGACCCTGGGCTGTCGGCGGTCGCTTCATTGACCCAAGGCATGTTGGGATGGTGTGTTGAGTGGACGTTAAAGGCGTAGAGGGTGCTTGTCGGCTAGAAAACTCGGGCCCATAGCGGGCGCCGCACGACTGGACGGGCGTATGGTCTCAGGTATGAGACCCTCCTCCGAGTATCGTTCTATTTGGCGAGTGTATCTTCAACGGAAAGCCGGTGAATGCTGAATGGCAATAGCAGGCTGGGAAGGAAGTTCACGAGTGATGTTGACCGCCGCGACATTTGACACGGAGTCTCATCGCGTTGACTAAAGTCGTGGCACAAGGCAGGAAAGCAACCACGCCCGAGTATGAAATGCAACATTGAAGTCAACTACATATTCATGAGCAGCATGCGAAGGTCCAGTTTGCGAGTAGATACGGACTACACTGCTTCCATCTACGGCGCGTCGAGAGGATCCCAATCTGGCACAAAACATTAGTACAGCAGCGCAGCAATGCCTCGCACAACGTTCACTCACCAGTAACGAGATACTCGTCCAGACCATCCATAGTCTTCATATCCGCGGCGTCAATGTTGAAGCCAGCGACATCGGCATTCTGCTGGATGCGCTCCTTCTTGACGCTCTTGGGCAGCGGGACAAAGCCATGCTGCAGACTCCATCTCACCAGCAACTGCCCAGGATTGCAGCGGTACTTGGAGGCGAGCTCGACGATCTTGGGATGCTTCATGCGCAGTGCTCGGGCCAAGGGTGCGTAGGCTTCGACCACAATGTCGTTTGCTTGACAGTGGTCGGTGACTTTGGTGCGAGTGTTGAAGGGGTGGACCTCGATTTGGTTGACGGCGGGCTTTATACGAGGCCTGCTCGCGAGCAGTTCGTCGATCTGAGGTTTGAGGATCAACGAAATGCTCTCAGGAGGGACCGGTGGGTGGTGAACGAACGTGCTTGATACCAAAGTTACTAACACCGCCAATCCTCACTTCGCCATCCTGAATGGCATCTTCGACGGCTCGCCAACTCTCGAGTCGCTTCTGCTTCCCGCCATATGGAGAATGTAACAGGAACAGGTCAATATACCCCAGCCCGCACTCCTTGACACTCCTCGAGATGCTCTTGCGGGCAGTGTCGTAGTCGCTATTACTGGCCAATTTGCTGGTATAATGGATGTCTTCTCGCTTCAGGTCCTTGTGAGACGAGAGGTAGCCGAGAATGGCATCGCCCACGTCCATCTCATTGTGGTACATTTGCGCCGAGTCAAAGGCGCGGTAGCCGGCATCCAGGGCATGGGAGACGGCGGTGTTGGCCTCCCTGCCCGACATCAGGTACACGCCCAGGTGGATGCGCGGCATGGACAGGCCATTGTTCAATGTGATACGCGAGGCCAGGGACAGGGTTTGCTCGGCCATGATGTTGACGGGGTTGGATTGTGATACGGTGAAAGACATCTACTTGAAACACGGCGGAGAAGGGACAGTATGAGAGAGACATGACGTACAACACTAATGATCTGCACTTTAGACAACGAAAGCGACTCGGCTCGACATGCTTCTGGTCCCCCATGAAGAGCAAACGTGTTGCCGCATGCGTGCATCCATCGCATCGTACAAGATCCCAGAGATTGCGGGGGATTTGGGGGATTTGGGGGATTTTAAATACATCCCGGTGCAGGCGCCTCGCTTGTCTGCATAAAATACGGCAGATCTGCGGCGATCGGGTTGCAGCCAGTCAGAGGAGGCGCAAGCCTTGCCCTCGGCGGCCCCGAAGCAGCAAACGATCACCGCAATGCAGCTGGGGAATTTGTCATGGACGGCCAAGTGGTCGGCGACAACGAGCGCCAGGATTGTTTGATGAGTGATATTTGCAATTCCCTTGCATTGGCCTCTGCACCGGATGCCTTCAAAAGAGCGGCCATGTGTCCTTCGCGTGGAGGGTGGGCATTCATCTGCTTTCACCACAATCCCCGTACTGCACTGCACTGCACCGCGGAGTGTATGACGATTGCATGCCCTGTAAGCTTCAGGGAATCGGAAGGAGCATGCACTCCATCCAGCACTCCTTTTCCGCCGCCAAAAAGCGCGTGATCCAATATGACCATTACAACCGCTATCACTCCGCCTCGTTTGAACCCCGCCCAGCCGTCTCCTCCTCCTCTTCCTCTTACCCCCACATCCACCGCCCCATAGCTACTCCCTCCTCCTCTTCTACTTCCCGCCATTTACCACCCAGAATGCCCGCCTACGACGACATGGAGCTCTCCCCACCTCCACCCCTCACCAGCGACCCCACCTTCGACATCCTCGACTGGCACCCCGCCTACCAATCCTGCCAGCGCTTCTTCCTCGACCACGCGCAACACGAACACGCCACCCAAGCGCTCTGCGCCCTCATCAACATCCGGCTCCCCTTCCAATACTTCAGCAATCCCATTGACTCTTCCGCCGGGTTGGCCTACCCCTTCACCTTCCCCCGCCCAGGCACAAGCCCACCCAACAACCGTCCCCGCCCTACACCCGACCAAGGCGCTCCTCCACCCTCCACTTTCGTCTCGCTCATTCCGTACGTCAAACGCCTCGTCGTCACCGGCTTCGACAAGCCCGCCATCCTGCATGGTCTATTCGGCGACGACTACAAGCGCGGCATCCTGCCGCATCTCGACTGCGAGCGCAGAAACTACCTCTTCGCCGCCAAGCACCAAGGCTGGGGGTGCAAGAGGGGCTACGACAATGGCAGCGGGACTGGAGGCGACGAGAGCGTGCCGTTCATGAAGCCCCTATGCGAGGCGCAGGTGGATGAATTGACTGCGGCCGAGAAGGCGTGGAGTGGGTGGTTGGCGATGGAGGATTGGATGATTGGGCCGCGCGCGCCCAAGGATGACGAGGAGCATGAGCATGGGCAGCCGTCGGCCTCTCATCATCACGGTCGACATGATGATCGGCATGTGGTGAATGGCGCGGATAATCTTCCCGACGCCGTGCCTGAGGCTTTTCAAGAGGAGGGCAATGCGGCGCACTTGTCGAATGAGGAAGTCGCGTCGACGAAGCCTGCGGACGAAGCCAATGGGGAGGCGAGTGCTGCTGTGCCGGTGGACTGAAGGGCACTACTCGCGAGATGTCTCTCATGTTACGCCGCTGGCCGGCGAAGGGACTCTGCGGCAGCTGTGCAGGGATGAGCGAGACGAGTCGTCGTCGTCGACGTCAGATGCAAGGAAGCGAATGGCTATCACAGTACGGCTTTCTGCGACCGTTCTTACAACTACAGCTGGAGCATGGGCGAGACCGTGGACCAATCGAGTTGCTTGGTACGAATGGGATGCCAGTAGAGGAGAGACCGACACGCGGAAAGCGACTGGGAAATGGAAAGGTTACGACATGGACAGATCTAACGAAATGAAATGACGAACGAAGGACACGTGATTATAATCATTCAAAAGCGATTCATCAGATGGAAACAAAGCACAGCTATCAACAATCACATTGAAGCAAAACCCTTTTCACCCTCCAAACACCATTCGCTGCGCTATTGGAAGGACGCGACGGGTAGCTCTCCAACCAAAAACCACAATTCTGCCTCCCATACATACAATAAATCTCTCCGCCCAAATCGACAAGCATGAACAACATCAAGCCTCCATCTCTCGCTCATCACATCTTCTCCCTCCCATCCCCCTCCTCCTCCTCAGTAGATGGCAAGCGCACACTCCCCTTCCTCAACAAGCCCAATCCGCCGGTTCCAAAATCCCTCGCCCTCAAACTCCCACTCCGACTAATCGCGCCATCGCTCGCACTCCTTAGACTTGCGCGATCCATATCGTCATTCACAACGCGCAGCCGCGCCTTGGGCACACTAAACATGACCTGGAAATCGCGGCTCTTGGCCGCGCCCTCGACGTCCCAGTCCTCCTCTGCCAATTGGCGGATTTCCGCCGAGCTGCGTGCAGGCGGCGCCGGCTCGCCCCAATCTGCTGCGGCCGGGTCGTCGCGGTACGGAGGCCACTCCTTCTCATCCCAGTCTTGCTGGCCGCGCTTGGAGCGCAGGAGAGTCCCGCCGTCGGAGACTGCGCGGCGGGGACCGGCGGCGCCCCCGCGGGTGGAAGAAGGGTGGTGTTTGGTGGGCGAGGAGGAGGTGCTGCGCATGCCTTCGTCGTAGGTGCCGGAGGTGAGGGAGAAGGAGCGATCGGAGAGGGAGACGACGTTGAGCGCGCGGCGGAGGGAGCCTAGAAGTCCTGGGCGGCGGCGGGGAGCGGGGATGGGGTGCCGGGTGCGGATGAGGGGTTGGGCGGCGATGGCGCGCTGGTAGGGGCCGTCGAGGCCTAGGAAGGAGGTGCCTGCGCCGCCTCCTGGGCCGGAGAGCAGGGCGTCGTTTTCGGCGTGGCCGGCGGGGTAGAAGTTCGATTTGACGGTAATGAAGGAGGCGTCGTCTTCGCCTGGGCTGAGGGGGAGGGAGCCATTGGTGGAGGAGCGGGTGCGCGTTTTGAAGTAGGACATTTTGGAGCCGCTGCGGTTGGGCGTGGTGCTGCTTCGTTCGCGCGTGGGCGAGCCATGCGGTGTGCCGCCTTGCGGTCGTTGGGATCCTACCGGCTTCCGTGGGATGCGGTAGGCCGAGATGATGGAGCCCTCACTCAGGGTGGAAGAGGTGCGGTCGTCGCCGTGGGATGTTGTAAAGCCCACGCCATCCTCTTCCATGCCGTCCTCCTCCTCTTCGGCGATCCAATTGGTCGCATTCAAGCCTCGCGAGCCAGGCCGGCTGGGGGAAGATGGTATACGGCTGGCATTTGTGGGGACACGTCGGACGGTGTCGCCCGTCTCTGGCTGGTTGTCTCTGAATGGATCGCCGCCCGCCAACACCTGCTCGATCTCCCAGAGCGTCCTTTCCGGATCACCGCCGCCAATGGCACCGCTCATATACCTCTGATCGTCCTCGTTTTCGTCTTCTGCTATGGGGTGAATGGCGCCAGTGCCGCGGACCAAACCCTTGTCGTCGAATTGCGGCGGTGCATGATACTGATAATTCCTCGACCCAGATCCTTTTCTCAACCCGCGCGTAGGACTGGGTACATTGACGAACGCGCCGGTAGAATGCTGCAACGGCGGCAGGCGGGGATAGTTGGACTGAGTCATTTCCCGATTCGACCACAGTCTATCTGCGCCGACCTCGTCAGAAGTCCTGCCCTCCACTCCGCCGTACAAGAAAGACGGGTCGGTGTGCTCAAGAGCCGAGCCGTCGGAGGAGTAAGCCAGGAGGGTGCGTTGGCGCTGCTCGCGCTGCCTTTCGAGTCGCTTGCCGTACCAGAGGTAGAAGACGACGACCGTCACCAGTAGAGCTGCACCAACGCCTAGTCCAGTTCCTAGCCCGACCTTCTGAGAAGTATTGCTTAATGCGCCGCCTCCGTTGCGACCCAGCTGTGTCAGGCTTGCGGGCGGGTCCCAAGATGTTAAGAACGCGCCTGACGTGGTGTTGTAAAGATACGCCCGGGTGTTGGCCGCCTCGGTCCCCCTTTTTCTCCATTTCGAAGAAGTCGTAGTGATTTCATAACCCCCAAGCACCAACATGACTCCGCCGGGGAGCATCGTCGCTCCGTGACCGTAAATACCTGCGGCAGCGAAACTCGATTGGTCAGGGATCGTCCACCTCCAGTCTCCAGTCCCGCCATATCCTGCGCCAAGTTCGAGAATCGCAAGCTGAGGCTGAGCGGGCGTGTTGACATTCCCCACCCAGCCGCCGAGGAGGATGATGCTGTTGGTGCTTTCCGAGTAGATGGCTGTGTGACCGGATCGCGGCGTGACTTGTTGGACGGAGCGCTTGACAGCCAAGTCCGCCTTTCCTCCACTCGCCGGCTGCGAGACTTCGATGAACGACCAGGTCTGCTGTGGGAGGGAGAAGAGCGCGACCTGGGACATGTTGATAAAGGCCGATTGGGTGTTGCCGCCGAGGAGCACAAAGTTCTGCTGTTGAGTCTGCGCGACGCCGGCCGAGTTTACGCTGTAGGCGGCGGGGAGAGGCGTAATGGAGAAGCCAGCCTGACTGATCGGCGACTCGCGGCTGGCGATTTCTCCTAGATCGTAATTGGAGGCGCCGGGGGAGATGGTCAGGAGGGCGTCGGAGTAATCCGCCCTCGAAACCCAAGTGTCCGCCGTCGAATTGTCGAACGGACACATGCCTCCGAAGAGGTAGATGCTCGAGTCCGCATCCGTGCCATTGATGATGGTAGAGTATGTGATGCTGTTTCCCAGGTAGCCGGGAGAAGCGTAGTCCGCGCTATTGCCCGCCACTTGATACACCGTCTTGTACTGCGTCCAGGTGCCCTGCGCACTCGAGCTGCCCAGATTGGGCTGAAACTGCCAAATGTTTGTATCTTTCGGGCCGGCGTCGCACTTGCCTCCAATCACCGTGATGTTGCCACTCGGGTCCATGGTCGGGGTGTAAGGGATGCTGTCGTCGCCATTTTGAAGCAAGGGCAAGGTCTGAGTGATGGTGGAGAGGTGCGGTGATGTCGAGTCAAAGGAAGCGGCGAGGTTGAGCGCCGACAGTCCAGCGGCATTAGATGAGGGTCCGACGACGTAGACGTAGGTGGAGTTTTTGGGGAAGAAGAGTCGGGTGGGATTGTAGGGGAGGGTTTGGGCGTATGCGGCGGCGGGAGCCAGAGCCAGCAGGCTCAAGGAGAGTCGTCGCTCCTTCATAAGGATACTGTGCGCCGGCGGGAGAGAGCGGAGGGGCGTGGGTGATCACAGCATGTCGTGTCGTGAGCAGGCTTCTCCGTGCGCCAGTGCAAGTCCACCTTCCAAAAAGAATAGACAACACACAGTGGGGGATCCTGAATGAGGGGGAGGGGGAGTGGAATACAATAGAGTGTCGCTGTGGAGAAAGTAGGGTGGTCGGAGACACGAGGCCCAGCAAAGCCAAATCTCCCGTCAACAAAGGCGGGCGGGGATGCAGCCCGGAGGGAAGCCCTAGCACTGCCTGGCTAGATGCATTGCGCAACCACCGACAAACCCGTTGTGCAGATAGTAGGGACGGAGTAGCCGGGATGGTGTGGATGTGGGGGGTGGTGAAGGGCTGGGAATGGGTGGATGGCGGCCGCGGGCGCAAACACTTGGCGCGGCTGGACGGTTGTCATGGCAATGCGGAATCCCTGTTCGCTGTGAATGGCCAGCCCCGCGCCATCGCCTCCACATGCCACGAGAAGACGAACAGGCGGGGGAACAATCAATCAATCAAAGGCTTTCTTGCTTTCATCGCATTTCATTCGTATCTCACGTGTCCCCGCCCAGTGCTTGCTATGCTCCTGATCTTGGCTTCCCTGCCATGCACCATGCGTGAAAGCTCATGAATCCAGCCATCCGTGATCCGGTGGCACGTGCTATCAACACGCCATCCTGAAAACTCCATCCCTCATTCAATCACCAGCGCCTGTCCCCAACCCCAAAGTAGGCCTGTCGCTATCAAATGTAACCCTCATCCCTCCAACGCGTTGATCCGCTTCTTAAGAAACTCGAAGTTGCTGAAAAACACCGCGTTGATAATGCATGACCGTAACACCGAAACAAACAGCCCTGCGGACGGTCAGTCAGATGGGCTTCAAGACCGTCGACACATATGAACATACCACGATACGACCCGGGGCCGAAGAAGTTAATCCTCGGCCGCTTGGCCACTCCCGACCCCGCCGAAAGCAAGGACTTCTGATACAGCGTCTTCGCCACGTCGATGGGGTAGATCTGGCAAAAGTCAGTCAAGTCAAGGCTTGGAAGCTGCGGAAGAAGTCATCCACTCACGCATGCCCAGCTCACTATACCACACATGCCTCCCGCCACCACGACGGCGTAGGGACTGGTCGGACTCCTGCCGCGCGCATTCGACATGAGCTGCTTCGTGCTTTCGTACGTCATGAAGTAGATCGATGTGCCGATGGTGTCGCGCAGGAGATGTAAGCGATAGCCGGAGTAGAGTCCTGAGAATCCGCGATCCTTGACCAGACGCTTGGCCGTAGCCCACGAGCCTGCACGTAATGTGGAAGACTTGCCCGACCCGAGACTGTTTCGCGCCTCCTTCCCCGCCAACTGCTCGTTGAGCTTCGTCAATTCAAAGGGACATGAGAGAGTGGTGATGACTGCCCCGGCCGTAGCCCCGGCCGCACCAAAGCACGAAATCGTCAAGAGCGACGGATAGCTCCCCGGCGCATTCGCCAGCACCAACGGACTCTGCCCCGTCATGTTGGTGATTGTGCGATCGTAGGCATACTTGGCCCGCTGGTATACACTGAAGCTGATGGTGCGAACGAGCGTGACGCTGATGACGGGTGGGGTGACGCCGCGCCAGAACGCACGCAGTCCCTCGGCTCTGTACGCATCCTTGACCGTATGCAGGAAGCCCGTCTCGTAGCTTTGCATGCGGGATTTGGTGAAGTCGAGGGGAAAGGCGAAGAAGGTCGACAGGACGGAGGAGGTGGAGGCGGCGATTTCGGTGCGGTACTTTTTGGCAAAGCGCTTGACTTTGTGACTGGGTTGGAAGAAGAAGATGGTGTCTGCGGGGGAGGGTTGGGGCTTCTCGCTCTTCGCATCGTTCGAGTCGTTCTTGTCGTCGGACGACGGCATGGTGAGAGGTGTGTTCACGCGAGGGTAGGGAGGAGTGGCTTGTGAGGGAGCTCCATGAATCTTGCGGTGCTTTTGTCCTGCTCACTGCTCTTCTTCTTCGTGGTGACCGAGTCGGCAGTGGGCTTCAATGCAAACGCCGGCTTCAGGGAATGTTGGGCGTGCGAGGTGGGACAGCACGTCTCAAGGACGGCGTGGAATACTGTGTGTTGTGATTCACTGCGGGAAACGGTTAGCATTACCCAATGGTATGCTGAACGAGTGGGCGGTGTGGTGTGGTGGGTGGTTGAAGCTAGGTTGAACGTCCAGGTCGAGGATAGAGTTGCTGCCCCGCCAAAAGTTCGAGGGGTCCACCCGCGTCAACCTGCCCGCGCGCCGCGTTTGAGGATCGGCATGTGAAATGACGATGCAATCATACAGTGTCAAGTCATGAAAGTCGTATTCACATTCACTCTATATGCAGTGGGTATCGAAGGTCGTCAGTCTACATCTACAGCCATAGCAACCCAACCACGGCAGCCATTGACCCCACCATCATGCTCCAAACCAACCTGACGTCTGTACCACCACTCCCATACGACTTCCCCGTGGCCACAATGAGTCCATTCCTCGACTCCGAGCAGCTCGCGGTGCCACAGTTGTACCCACTCGGGCAGCAGCCACCAGACTCGGCAGCGGGGCAAGAAGACCACCCGCCCATGCACTGCCCTCGAACGCTCGTTGGCGCGCTTTGAATAATGGTCGCGCCAGAAGTCATCGTAATGGTCGATGGAGTCGCTGGCGGACAGCTCGTTGTATCGCAGTTCCTTCCAATCTGACAGCATCCGCCAATGAAGTGCGCCGAGCATTGGTAGTACTGAGATGGACAGTTCGAGTACGTAGTCGTCGTAGTGCTTGTCGAAGAAGTCGATGCCGACACACTGGTCGGACGGATCGGCTGACTTGGGGAGATGGTGGTCGTGGTGGCGGAGTTTGGACAGCCATTGCTTCCACACGACTGTCCACTTCGACAGCACCCACCGCCCAGCGAAGCAGGACACGAGTGAAAGCCCGATTTGCAGATGCTCCCCGTCTCCACGGTCACCGTTTTGGTCGTGGTATAGCCGCTGCCGCTAATGATGATTGTCTCGGTGACGGTCCGTTGCTGGTCCGTCGTCTCGCTGCTGCTTGAACTCGTTGTCTTCCCCGAAGATCCACTCGTGACTGTGACGGTGGGTAGGGTAGTCGTAACCGTTGAAGTTCCATAGACGATACATCCGGTGCCGTCGCAGCTGGCGCCAGGAATGCAACAACCTCCATTCGAGCTGTTCGGGCAACTGGTATATCCATCCTTGCAAGCGCCAATATCGTCGCCGCAGGTCTCCCCGTCCGGACAACAGCCGTACCCATTCTTCGTCGAAATGCAGCTCTCGCCCGTATTGCAGCACAAGTCCGAACCAATGGAACTGCAAGAGTGCGTGCCAGTGGGACACTTGAACTCGCGCGCAAGCAGACCGCGCTTCAACGTGGACGGTCCAAAGTGATGCTCATCTCCATGCGGCGCAATCGGCGCCAACAACGGAAGCGCCATCGACGCATTCCCCTCATACCTCCGACTCCCACCCTCCTCTTCAAAAGCCCAGTACTGCAAAAAGAACTTCTCCCCCTCATCGCCGCTCATCTTCCTCACTGCAGTGGGCCGCCGCCACGCCAGCTTCTCCTGCGCCGCCCATTCCTTGCTCGCGAACGCTTCATGCTCGGGGTAGTATTTGGCGGTTCGCGGAAGATTGTACGGCCATGCCACCTCGGCTGCGGATGTGCAGCAGCTTGCGAGGATGGCGAGGAGGAGGCTCGCGGGCAAGGCGAGGAGGGCGGCGGCTTCCCGCATTGGACTCGGAGGGTTTTTGGATGTCGGGGATTTCTTTAACTACGGGCGGGAGGCGTCGCGTTCCATCGTTGCGTAATTCTCCGTGGAGCGAGCTATCGAGAGAGAGGAGAAAACTCACTCGAGTTTGCTAGTTCACCTCGTGAGGTGGCTGGGATGCGCAGCCTTGGTGACGTGCGCGAACAATGAAGTGGAGTGAGGTGGCTGGACAAATCGGAAGGCGCGGGGCAATCTTTGCCATCTCCGACCTACACACACACAATGCAAAAGCATGGCGACAATCAGCATGACACCTCCGCCGGCATTATATGCACCAAGAACAGCATAATGACTTCACTATCTCATGCGCCACATCTCTCTTTGATCTTTGAGCGAGAACCCCTTCGCAGAACTACTATGCCAATAACAGCCCGCCCAGACGCCGGGAGTGCAGCCAACTCGCCAATACCAGTACATATCCGTAGGCCCCTAAACCCAAGCGTACGCTGGCCATGAGGAGCATCCCCAAGGAAGCCACCGGCGCCTTTGAGCGGCCCAGCATCTCCCATACCCCCTTCCAACCCCGCGTAACTCCCGAAATCCTGCCAAACCGCCAACAACAGCTGGTATTCGCACAGCTGCAAATTCCAGCGTAGTCAGGTTATGAGGACAGTCTCAAGGGAAGTTCAGGCTCCTCAAGGAGTTTGATACCATCTAAGAAGGCTTTCTCTACTTGCTAGCACCTACTGAAACACCGCCGAACCGCCACCCCCAGCTCATCTCCAAAACCCCCCAAATCCAAGCCCTCCCTGCCCCTTTGCCGCGTGTCCGCACGCTCATCCCGCCATCTAAACCGCCCTGATTGCCCGCCTTCCGCCGACGGGCTCGCACGTCGTGCTGTGATACAGCCGCGAGTACCACGAGATCAGAAGGACGAGCGACGGGCTCGGCTTCACGAACTTCAGCAAGTCGAACAGGCACGGGTAAGCGGCCTTGCGGTCGCTTCCCAGCAGCCCTGAACGAAATTTTGCGTGTCCGATCCGGGCCGGAAGGGTGCCGGCTGAGAGCATTGCTCTGAAAGCTGCCTCGTCGATGCTGTCTTCGGTGGGGAGAGTGAGGTCGCAGTCTGGGTTGGCGCATCGGGGGTTCAGGTTGCGCAGGAGGGGATACCAGTCCTACAGAGTCGGTTAGCGAATGTCTCCTCTCCGTCCGTCAAGGTGAACGTACCAGCACAGAGTGATCCGCGTCGCCGGACTCATCTATCTCGCAACGGAGAAAGAACCCGATGATCATCATACCGTATGCAAAAGCCGTGAGCTCTTCGAACAGCATCCGGAGGAACAACGTGGATGGGACCTTGGACCGTACATCTCTCCACAGCTCCCTGAGGATGAAGTCCAGCAGGATGACACTCGGTGATGGCTCCTTCAATCCCCAACGGGCGGCAGCGAGGATTACCAAGAGGTCTTCTTCGTGTTAATGCGACAGCCCTCCCGGGAACTGCCCAGCTACGCGGTATCGTAAGGCCTGGAAGTATTTGCGTACATGCCACCAGTTGTCGGCGTACTGTGCTGAGGAAAAGATTGTGGAACGAAATTTATCCCCTTCCATAGCTTTTCTTGTCCGCTTGATCCAGGTAGCGAGCTCGTAGCCGCCGGTGGTGTAGTCCGAGAATCGAGTGTCGTCGTCCAATAACTGAGCGAGCGATGTTAGCTGAGTGCTCACAAAAGCTAATGATGCGCGTCCTGTGCTTGGACAACGCTGACTGACCAATTCGCGATGAAGCTCTTTCAGACTCGCCTCCATCACTTCAGCCGTTGTGAGCAATGCGTTGCCATTCGTCTTCCATGCTCGTCGGGATATTTGGCGGCCTTCAAGCAAGCTTGAGGAGCGTCGAATGACCTCAGACACTAAGAGAACAAAAGAAGTTAGCAGGCGCGCATTCTCATTCATTCAACAGTGGAAGGAAGCTCACCGTCGTTTCTAGCTGGCTCAGGCTGGGATCCGTCTGAAGTATCGGCGGCTTTGCTGTTGATCGGACCGTCGATTTGGAAGGCCCCCGAGGCTGGCATGTTCCAGAACGGACAGAATATGACCTTTTCTGGGATGCTGGCACACACCATCGTAGTCGCTTGGCTGAACAGCTTCTCCAGGGGTGTCGACTCAGAACGGCTTAGGATGTTGCGGGCAGGAGAAACATGCGTTACGTCCATGTCCCCATCATCACTGTGGTCGTCGGTGACTTCTTTTTTGTCTTCATCCGCAGTTTCATCGACATCTCCACCAGTGTCGCCATCCACGACTTCATCACTGTTTTTCTCTTTGCTTGTCGCTTTTGAGATCCGATTGCGCAGTTTCTGATCATCGGGCAGAGGCACGGCGGGGTTGGGCGGGATTGGATATCTCATGGGGCCAGATTCTCGCAGCATTGCAAACGCCTTCTTCCCAAACAGATCGACCAATGTCTCTTGCAGGGAGCCGGATCCCGTCGCCCAATGTGTCTCGAGAGCTTCCCGCCCATCGGGCGTGGCCAACTGTGAGTGCAAATCCCAGAGTAATTCAGCGGCGCTGGATTCAGAATGGTTGATTGCGTTCTCCATTTGCGCCAGGCTAAGTAGCGATGCCGTCGCCAGGGTGGTCCTCCGCGATCCATTTCGTCTCGGGCCACCGCTTGTGTAGATAAGACTGCTGGCCATGTAATGGCTGAATCCTTCGTTCAAAACCTTCAAAAGTAAGACCTTGGCTCCCCTCACGCAGCTTGCAAGTTCGCGACGTTGCTCCAGGTCCTCAACAAACTCACCGACGCTGTCGTATAGCTGGAACAGACCTGGAAAGTAGATGCCGTGCAGCCATTCTTCGCGCACTCGAAATGTGTCAAAGTCGTAGCGCGTTGGATCGCGCCAGTTGTTCAGAATAACGCGCTGGAATTGAGGACATTCGGCCAGGGCGCGATAGAGGATCATGAACCACAGCTTGCGGTGATGCTCGTCGTTCCGAAGGTGTCGCTTCGCCAGTTCGGTCGTTGCTTCCAGGCTGTTCTCGATTGAGGAGTGCAATTGCGCATCGAATGCATACGCGTCGTACATCAGCTGGGCCACTTGTTCCGAAAAGGCTTCTTCGATCTCCGTGGAGCTGAAGATGAAGTCACTGTCGTCGGAGCGGTCGAGCTCTGTGAAGTCGAAACCGGCCGCGCGAAGGCTGGGGTAGTCGCGAAGGCGGTAGAACGGGTCTTCATCCATGAGTGTGTCGTTGTGCTCGCTGGTCACTGTATCTGCGTGCGCTGTTGATGATGGGGGATGAGGAGACATCTTGAAATTACCTGCGTCGCGTCGAGTTTGCATGGTGTGAAGGGTGCAAAGGGAAAAGGAAGAGCGTGGCGAAAGGTGGGTAAAAAGAAGGGGGCTGGGCCGAAATACCTGACGCGTCATTACACAAACGTGCAGTCGCTGTTTCTTAAGGCAGGAGCGACCGCGACTGTCTTCCAGCTGCACGTCACCCCATTGGTTGGACAACGCGACAAACGACGTGATCAAGAGCCACAAACGTCGTCGTAGATATGCTGATTTGCGTTAGCAAATCGGCACGCTTGTTGCTTGCTCTGGAACCATTCTTGCTTCCAACCACGTTATTCGTGCAGGGACACGCAGGGCACTCAAGAAACGAAGGCCGGATAGGACTGCTGACCGGGCATCATACAGGGCGTGGGGGCGATTCTAGACTTCTGGACGATCTGGTGCCGTCGCTGGGCCAGAGACAGCCTAGGGGAGCAGTGAGCTCCGTCACCATGACAGCTTTCGCCCAGAAACGACGGACGAGAGGGAGCGGGACGGCAGCAAAGCCACGGCGCAGTTGATGATAGCCCGGCAACGCGAGGAATCACCATTGGGAAGAGTTTGTCCGCGGATATCCACGAGTTTGCCGGTGAGAGTCCGGTGGGCCAAACGTCGACCGGCACAAAAGGCCGGTCGATCGGAAGGGGAAGGAGAGAGAGTGAGCAGACATTCCGCGAACTCACTCCTTGCCCTTTCATGCCTTCTGTCCGCGAGGATCGCCGCTTCGTTCTCCTACGCGTCATGGGCAGTATTGCTTCCACTAGTGGGTTCAGCCAGTCGCCGCGTCAGGTTCAAATAACGAAGAAAGGCTATTACACTTGCCCTTTTCTTACCTGGCTCGACACATTGGTCCTCCGCACTGCAAGCCCGCCAGCCTGTCGGAAGCTTGACCTTGTGGAGTATTGATCTCATCTCTAGTAGGTTGGTGGCAAGATGGGTGTACTTCCGCATATGGTGGGTGGCTGGGGTCGGGAAGGTGCGGTTGGTGGGTTGAGCAACGGCGGAGGGAGGTTCTTCGTTGGATGGCGGTATTCAGCGGAGTGACTGCAGCCGGGAGGGCGGCGAGGCGGAGGTAAGCGGAGAAGCCAGGGCGAGCCAGGGTTCGCGGAGTGCAAATGGAAGGTTTAGTCTAGACGAAGCGTCTGCAGTTCCACAATGTGGCCCCTCCTGGAGAAGAGGCGCACCGTGTGCGCCTCTCAGTCAGATGGCTCGCTGGTTGTCATGAAGCGGATTGCTGCTTCGCGAGTTCGAGCACGAGGTACCCGAGAGCGAAGATATTCTGCGCCGCGTGGTTGAGTGCTGCGGCGTGTCCGCAGCGGCTGGGTCTCAGGATTCGTCTAGTTGCGCTTGGTGGTCCGCTGTCTGGGCTTCGTGGGGGGATCGGAGGGGAGTAGGAGGTAGAGCAAGCAGAGGAGAAAGAGGAGACAAGCATCGACCAGGTCTTGATATTCATGTGGATGTCCCACCATATGCGGAAGTACACCCATCTTGCCACCAACCTACTAGAGATGAGATCAATACTCCACAAGGTCAAGCTTCCGACAGGCTGGCGATTTACGGCGGACCATGGTGTCGAGGTGGATGAGATACTGTGAGAGTCAGCTTTAGCATCGAGAACCATGATGTTGCTTGTGAGGTCGTCGAGAGATGGAATCTACGCTTCTGTATGTTGGCGTTGCAAGGGAAATGCGGATGTCTTTTTGTGGAGAGGCTGCTGGGGAATGGAAGTCGGCACTCGATTAGATAGCTTATTAAAGCGAAGAATCAACAGGTTATCACGTTGTCCTGCATGAATGAGTCGATGGCGTTGCAAGGAGCAGGGACCTCACATGGGCTGTGTGCTGACGGCTGGCGTCAGCAGCCATCCGTGATTCGGCACATTCAAGCGATGCATAGTACTCGGGATCTGCGTGGCGACTGTGAGGTTCTGCGAGGGCTCCGGCGGCCGGCGAGATGCTGGTTGCAGTTGAGATGTGTGCCAGGGTCGAGTGCAGTAGAGTGCAGTCGACCTCACTCGGCCATGGCTGTATCGCCGCCCACTATGGAATGCGTATACCGCAATGGTATATCTCAATGTCGTATCTGCATAGCAGGAGTCTTCTTTTCATCGTAGACCAACGTCGCTCGACGTGCTGGGCGTTTTGCGTGCCTTCCCCGAAAGTCGACAACTTCCGCATTGGGCAGTTGTGAGCTTCTCAGCAGCATTTGGCATCCCAGAGCCGCCGAAAAATCTGTGCTCGTGCACAATGATAGAGCAGACTCTCCTGAATATTTCGCAACGTCAAGTTTGACGTTTCGGGTGCGGGATGCATGTGTGTGGGGCCAAACTCTCCCCAGATACCCGGCTCGGGAATTCGGTCATAAAAAAGTCGTCAGAGCACCAAAAATCATGAAAATATGCGGAATCGACGCGGAAATGGCAGGAGATTGATATGGAGCCCGTTCGACCACAATACGAAGCCAGAATCGTCCAAAAATGTTGATGAGAGTGGGATTCGAACCCACGCCCTTTCGGACCAGCGTGAGTCTTCCTGGAGGCCAGGAATACCTTAAGCTGGCGCCTTAGACCGCTCGGCCATCTCACCAATGATAGGAGAGCAGCGGAGGCGATTTGATAATGTAGTTTACAAATTTTGCAGGATTTGAGCCGAAGTGGCTTTTGTGGGGCGAAGTCACGTGTGCAGCGTGCTGCATCAAATTTCTCGGTAATACCGGCGTTCTCCTGCTTCCGCTCTACATCCCTGTATTTTTTCTGGAATTTTTGGGGCCCGGGGGAACGTCAGAAATCATCGGATAGTTGAAATTCGACGACCATATGGGTGGAGGCAGGGAATGTTTTTTCTACAACCAGATTCTGGTCACAGCGACTCAAAAACTCGATATTCACGCGTACGGGAGTCTAATAGCGCTATGTACCCATTTTCAGAACCTTCCAAACGTTCTGCGTTATATTGTGGTCGATGTGCGGCGAGGTGAGGTAGCACGTGATCAGGCTGAGAATTTCTTGGCGTGGGTGGAGATGCGGGGAATGGGGAAGGCGACATTTCCCACGCGACGACACGCTCTGAATGAATGAAACAATGTAATACAATGCGGGGATGGGTTCAATGAACTGTATGGGATTTGGAATTGTCGAGAGTGTTGTGTGTATTGATTCTCAGCGGCTGTTTGGGCGTTCTAAATGAACTTCACTAGAGTGAAGTTCACTTGTCGATGGCTCATGAATTATTTTCGAGCACACGTATGATCATTCTTGTTCACTGCGAAGCACAGTGAAGAAAATGAAGACGACGTGCCTGGGAACTAAGATAAGGTACATGGATTGTACAAGTTTCACATTGATTCCTATCGCCAACTGTCCGCTCTCCACCGCAACGCCAATAATCTGCGAACTGTACTATCCTCGCGGTGACCTCCAAACTCGATTGTATAAAGGAGAGCACATAATACATCTTCCACAAGATCCATCACCAGCCCTACAACTTGCTCTTCAGCCCATCGCTCTCATTCTTCCGGAACAGCGTCGCGCTGTCCGGGTAAGGGTCAATGTCCACCCTGTTCAACGGATTGAGATCATTCGCGCGGTAGAACATGTCCTCATAGACTTTGCCATCGTAGCGTCCCAAGCTCGAATCCAGCTGCCAATCCGGGAAGTCCCAGCTGTCCACCAAGCGCACGGCGTGCGGGCGAATCTCCTCCATGAGCGTCATCACCGCCTTCGAGCGGGCCAGCTGGATTTGACGCACCGTCGCCGCGGCGGAGGTGAAGAACTCCGCGCTCTCGGTCTCGAGCGTGTGCAGGGCGTAGAGGCGGAAGAGCTTGTGCAGGAGCGACAGCGTCTCCGGGTCGAGGTTGTTGTTGGTGGCGATGGTTTCGTGGAAGTTCTTCACTACCATGTACTGGCTGTGTGCCTTGCTGAGGCGGTAAAAGTCCACGAGCAGCGAGTTCCAGGTGCGCTTCTGCTCCTCACGGTGCTTGAGCGCTTCAAAGGTGAGGTAGGCGCTGCGCCAGGCAAAGGCGGAGACAATGTCTTCGTCCTTGCCGAGGATGTCGAAAGCGGCGCCTTGATCTTGGCGTTTGTGGTACCAAGAGAGAACGGCCGTGGTGTCGTTCGAGGGCTCTTGGCCTTGGAGTACGGAGCGTGCGGACTTCAACATGTAGCGTGCGACTTGCTGCGTGAGCATGTAGTTGTCGCCCTCCCAGGTAGCGGTGGGCAGGTAATCGGCGTACCAGGCGCCGATACCCCCAAAGGAGGAATATCCGTGACCGCCGCAGGCTCGGCGGCAGACCTCGAGACCTTCGGCTGCGACGGAAGATGCGAGCGACTTCAAACCACAAGACGTGGCGTGCAGATCGGCGAGGAGGTCAGACGAGCTTTGAGTCTCCTCGGGGCCGGTGCCGCGGGTGGTGTTGGAGTCAGAGGTCTTCTGGGCCATCTTCTTGTGATTTGCCTCATAAAGAGCTTGCATTCCTTTTCCGGTGAAGTGCAACGCGAATGTGGCCGCGAGGAGGGGCAGGAGGCGGATTTGAACCATGGTATAGTTGAGCACTTGATTCTCGCCCTTCTCCCACTCGGGGGCATCGCGATCTTGGAATTGCCTTCGCACAGCACAGTAGCGCGTGGCGATGGTGACACCGCGCGCCAGCACGCTACCAGCTTGCATGACAATGGTGCTTCGGATCCAAGTCAAGGTACCGTAGACCAGCGATGGCGATGAAGGACGCACATACTTGTTCGTCTTTGCGTCTACGGAGCTGAAGCGCGCCAACATGCTGATATGCGGGATTTTGACCTTGTTGAAGAGCAGATATCCGTTATCCATGGTATTGTAGCCAAATTTTGGACCTGTTTGGCATCAACAAAAAGTCATAATGTCAGGATGCGGTCGGTACTCACCAATGTCGCCCACGTGAACGCCCTCCAATGCTTGATGAGTCTTGAGGTCACGGATTTGCACCACAAATGGATGCGGACCGTAGCCCTTGCCATCAATGACGAGCTGTGCCATGACCACAGCATGATTCGCCGTTCGTCCGAGAGACCCAATCCACCATTTCGACGCGGTCAAGTGTGGAGAGTGCAGGGTAAAAGTTTTGTCGTCGCTGTTCCAGGTAGCGGTGGTCTCCAGGCCGCGCACGTTGCTTCCATGGCCAAGCTCTGTCTGGGCATAACATCCAATGATCTTGTAGGCCTGCGCAGGCTTGAAGAACTTTTCACGCTGCTCTTCACTACCTTGGTCTCTCAACGTGACCAAGAACATGTGCTCGTGCAGTCCATATGGCCCGGGCTCGGAGATCAAGAGCTCCGCAATCTTCTTCTCATCATCATCCAAGCCGTGTTTTACCGCGAGCTTTTGCAGAGCTTTTGCCCTTGCCAGAGCAGTCTCGAAACGGTCAATGCGGCCGGCGAAGTAGTTCTGGGACTTGTCGAAGACTTTGTCGTCTTGGAGTAGCTTCAAGATCTTCCTCTTCTTCTCCCGGGCCTCTTTGGTGAAGAGGAAGTTGGCAAGTTGATCCACGTTGACATTGCTGCTCTTGCGTTCTTGCTCCAAGAGCTCCGGACCGGTCGGAGAGGCGGGCTTAAGGTCCCGGACCCATTGAGGAGCGTTCTTCACAGCAGCCATGTTCGTATGGTTTGAATGATGGAGGTATGCAGGGGACAATGAACACTGCAGAGAGTTCGCCGAGCTATAAGAGGGCTGGAGGGAGTCGTTAGGTCATGGATGCGTGGAGTGACATCCTCGGTGCCTCGGTACTACTGCATCAGGTTAGGTTGATATTCGCGATGCGGCTCTGCGGGAGCTGCCGAGCGATCGGTACGTCACTTTGCAGACGGTGAGTGCTTTGGGATCGCCGACACTTTTCGTTGCGAGCCATGAGTGATGGATGACAGTTGCATTTCTCGACATTCTCTTCTTACGACATCTCCTCACGTCGCTGAATGACCGGCAGCTCCCTTCTCCATGTCGTCGCGAGCTTTACGCAAGGCCCAGCGAGAGCGCGAAGAGCAGGAACGGGCTCAGAAGCTGGAAGCAGAGGAGCAAGAGGAGAGCGAAGAAGAGAATAATGTCGCTACGCCAGCTGTGAGGAAAAGTGCGTTTGCACTGTTGGGAGAAGAGGAAGAAGAAGAGGAAGAGGATGGCGAGGACGGCGAAGTTTCAATAAGAGACAGTCACGTCTCTGACCAAAGTACAACCACCACCCACGAGGTGTCAAACTCCAAAAAGAAGAAAAAGAAAAAGAAGAAACCCAAGGCGACGAATACAATACCTCCGCCATCACAGGATGAAGAACTCGACGAAATCGACAAGGCTCTCAAACAACTCTCCACCAATGGCAACAGCTCCTTATCTGGATCCACGCATGCTGGCATTGATGCATCTACCGAAGAAACTGGCCAGCTTCTCGCCATCGACACCAACCATCTCCACTCCCAAAACGAAATGCGACATCTCTTTGGACGCACAGCCCTCGAGAATCAGGATGACGACGCACCTGCCCCTGAAGCGGCAAATGTAGGTGGCAACAGGCGGCAGCAGAGGAGAGTGCAACAGCTGGGTCTCGCCGAAGCTTTACGCAGACAACCAGGACAAGGGGGTCGGTCGAGCGGTCTCACGGCAGCTGCTTTACGCAGGAATATCTTCATCCAAGGCAAAGAAGAGTGGCCTGTCGCCCCTGGCGGCGGACTGGTGATGGAAATTGAGGAAAAGAGAGCCGATGGCACCATCCTCTACCGCTTCACACACAACCGCTTCTACCAGGACGTTCAAGCGCAGTTCCAAATGGCCGTTGAATCCATGGATCCCCAACGTCTCGTGACTTTGCTCCAACATAACCCATTCCACATCTCTACGCTCCTCCAGGTCTCCGAAATTGCAAAGCAAGAAGGCGATCACGCCACATCTGGCGACCTCCTCTCCCGTGCTCTCTTCTCATTCGGCAGATCTGTGCACAGCACCTTTGCGAAGACATTAGCAGCCGGCAAAGCTCGACTGGACTTTCGACGGATGGAGAACAGAGAGTTCTGGCTTGCGAGTTGGCGATATATGCAGAATCTGTCTAGACGTGCTTTGTGGCGGACGGTCTACGAGTGGAGTAGACTCCTACTGTCCCTCGCACCGGAAGATGATCCCTACGGAATGCTGTGGGTATGGGATCAGTACGCTTTACGAGCCAGAGAGGATCTAGATTTCCTGAATACTGCTCGCAGCTCAGTTTTCAAGGAGCGAGTGAAGACCCTTCCGAACGTTCAAATCAGCCAAGGGCTTGCCGAATATCGTGCAGGGAATAAAGGCAAAGGGCAGCAGGCACTTTTCAGCGCCTTTGGTCGATTTCCCTGGGTTGTGGCGAGGTTGATGCACGAGCTGGATATACAGCCACCGCCTGGCATATGGGGCAAAGAACCAAGGACGGACAAGGAGAAGCTGGATTGCGAACTCTACGCGACTAGAGCCAAGGATATCTGGAAGACACCGGAAAACTCCGCTCTCCTGCTTGAGATCGCTTCAGCTTTACCTCCTGATACTCCACCGGCGAAGATCGATGACACGCCAATCGAGGAAAACCTAGCGAGGCATGTACTTCTCTCGGACACGCCTGCGTTGATTGCGTTGATTCCCAGACGCTACACCACTGCACTGCAGTCGTCTTCCGACCCTCTCCCTCCGCAAGATTCGTACCCGTCATATCTGTCCAACAGTCTCAACCGTGGCTCCTCATCTAGAGCTGCCGGAGCAGATACCGCGGCTGACAGCCTTCGTGAGCTGCACGGGTTGTACGGCTACTTTGCCAGCTTGTTTCCATGGTTCAATCGTGATGGAACCGGCGGTCAAGTCCCCGACATGAACGAGGAGGAGATTGCCCGTCGTATCCAGGAGAGCGGGGTCGACGGGGCTGTGATTGCGCAGCGGACACAGCGTATGATGGAGCTGCAGAATCAATTGCGAGGCGGTTTCGGCCTCGATGCGTTTGATTACGAAGCCGGCGAGGAAATGCGAGATGGTGTGGATGAGGACCTGGAGGATGGTGGCGTGCATGCCCGAGTTGAAGACGCCGAAGATGCCGGTGACTGATTGCATAGTCCAGCGATACCCGCGAATGCAATGCGATCATTCGCCGTGGTATCCGAGCGGCCGCAATCCGATATAAGCGGGCACAAATCTGTTCGCCGTTCCGTCTGTTCGCCCGACTCTGAAGTTCACTGCAACGCCGTTCCAGATCTTGCGGTCGTGAAAAGACCACCACTGCCAGCTGCAATTGTGCCCGGCGAAGCTTTGCATAATTTGCTTCCCACCGGGGTGCTGATTGATGTAGTCGGTGCAGTCGAGAACAATCTCGTCAACCACAATGACTGTCGGGGCTGATATCAGCTCTGTTGCGTGTAGACCGTTCAGCGAGCCGACGCGTGGTCATGCTGTTGAAGGTGCGTACAGAGTCTGTTTCCTTCCTTGCCATCGTGTTTCTTCACCTCGGTCGCGGAGATGTACGTCAAGTCCTTGTCTGCAGTCTTCTTGGGAGCGATGGGATAGACAGCTGGTTTGTGGCCTTCAGCGTTTGAGGATGAGTCTCTTCGAGACGTCGCGGTCTGGTGGACTGAGCCCCTACGCTCGACTTCGACTCGGCTGGCAACCTTGTGCAGCTCATTTGCTGCGCAGTCGCGGTGTAGCCAGGGCATATTTGAGACCATGAAGACAACCCTGCGGTCAAATCCTGGTTCCCTCGCGTGTTCAATACCACCTACGGCGAATGTTTGAAGGAGATAGATATTGTATCGAGTGTCTCTAATCGAGCGAAACCAATACTTTGGCGCTCAAACCGGTGAGAGTCGTTATCGCTTTATAGCGATCAGCCGCTTCTGCGAATGCTACAGTACTACATCACAGGGATCGTCCCCAGCATTCGCCAAGAGCATCAGCTGCTTCAATGTCCGTCCAAGACCCCGAAACTACGGCTCCGAATTCGCCGGAAGGCCCCGGAGCTTCGGTGCGCGCTGATCCCGCATCTACGGGCGCTGGTGTTGATCTATCGTCTATACGTCTCCCGTTCACAGTCATTCTCCGATGTTGTATGGCAATGTTTGAATGCAAGAGGATCCATGCCAGTATCTGGGCATCTACTACAACCCCAGCATGACAGCGCGGTGATTGTACGAAATATCCTCCTCGCAAGGCTGCACGAGGAGGGAAGCAAGTAAGCTCCCACTTTGGGTAATGAAAGCGACCGCCGCGACTCCCCGACGCCGACTTTGGGTGACATCAAGCGACGAGCCGGCGTCTTTGCGGGCCGCAAAGTTCCGCCTTATCTCAGCGACTGCGGAGGGCTGATGAGCCTGGAGAGTGTCGCGACAGGCCGTCTTTCTCACCAATCACATGATCAGTGTTCGTTGCGATGAACACGAGCGTCAGCGTCCAGCAGTCCGACGACACAATTTCACTCTTCGCCCTGACTTGACGCTCCGCAACGGCCGGTAGTTCGCCGCGTCAACGTTCCCCAACTCCTGCCGCCCCCGTACGGATTTCAACGTTCTAGCCACATTGTCTTGTGAAGACTTCAAGTCAAGCCCGCACTCGCCTGAGCTTGAAGACCCAATCATTCGTGGAACTACGGCCGGGCCTACTTAATCAATGGCGATTGGTACGCTCAATCGCAGGTCATTTGGCCGTCCCACCACATCACGTCATCCAAGCTCATGGACGGTGTTGTTTGGAAGCTCCAAGGGCCTGCCTCGCCCCTCAAGCTCCGGCCGCAACTGGTCGTTCTCTAGTTCTGCCGTACGTTGATCATGACTCCGCCAATTCTCCTGCTCTTCTGGAGTATCCTGATATAGTTTGGCAGTCGTGGAGCGTTGGCTCCGGGCATGTTTGTTCGTCCTGCGCAGGCGGATGAACCAAATGGTGGCCGCTACTACAAGAATCACGACAACCTGACAACAGAGAAGCAGTCAGCTGTTTATGTTGATGGCTTGCATGATGTGAAAACGACACTTACAGGGACAGCCACGCCGACCCCAATCTTAGCCGAATCCGACAGGCCTGATTGCGATGGGGGAGCATTCGGATCTGTTGCTGGATTGGTTGAGATTGTCCCAACGCTGGAAGTGCTCGACGTCGCTGAAGTCGCCGAGGACGTACCACCTGTCGTAGTCGATGACGTGGGTGCAGCGCTCGACGGGATAAGTGCAACAGGAGATGCGAGTTGGAATCGTGTCGCGGCGGAACAGCAATCGCGCTGGCTGAGGCTCACGGTGTTGTTGTGACAGCAGTAGTTGAGAAGATTGTCCGTGCAAGCCCAGATGTATGCAAAGGTGGTTGCGTCGGCTTTGGCATTGCATGAGCGTGGTGAATGGAGGCATCGCAGGCGCAAGAGGACGAAGGAGACTTACATGCGGTGCACTCTTCGTCGCACCCTTGGAAGGCCGCGTTGTTGCATGTGGGAGTCTGATACAGGCCGGTGAAGTTGTACGGCCCCGGATCAGCCTTGCCGGGAAAGTAGGTGACGGAGCCATTCGCGTGGTTGTTTTTGTCGCGGCAGAGTCCGTTGCTCTCGCAGTACTGGGTCTCATCGCAGCAGAAGTTGACTCCCGGGCACGGGACGTACGTCGTGGCTACGGCGCCTGAGCGGTAGTAGCAAGTCGCATTTGCTAGGGGCATGCTAGATGATAACAAGCAAAGGAGCGCAAGGACGCAAAGACGCTGGGGACGATTATCTGCCCTGGACCGCATTTTGATGACGAGGGATGGAGACCAAGACCAAGAGAAGCATTCATTACTTTTCTATGCCGTGAAGGGGGTCCTCAGCCTCAACTAATCACCTACCCTATAGAGATTCAAAGCGCTGCTCAGCCCTGTGCAAGCGTGCTCAGTAATCATTAGGGCATGCGAATGCGACGTGCCCCCGGTCGGCGGCTGCTAATTGGCGGGCAAAGTATGCGAGTGCGAGTTCTTCATTGCTGCGCCGCCTTGATTCCATGCCGCAGCCGCAGCAGAGAACATACATGATCGAGCGAGCCGCCACCGTATGTGCAGAAGGCATCGCCAGGCTGGGATGGATTGTGAAAGAAGACGCTGATTGTGACTGGCGAAGAGGACAAGATCTAGCCGCTGGGACGTGTGAAGAGGCTGACGGGGGACATGGGGCCAGGCGAGTAAGGTCTTGCCCGATGTAGGGCACTGGCATGTTTTTGGAGGATTTGGAGGGAGTAGTGGAGGCTGTGAGGGGTGGCTTGGTTTGGACTATGGATATGATGGAGGAGAAAGACAAAACATATGAAGCATGTGGTATTGGTACATTGATCGAGCTACGACGAAGATGGTGACACCCATCTAATTGATTCCTCCGAACAGACCATTGAAGCGTGATGAACGACAAGATGGCAACGCCCCATCGAACTGCCTCATCCGAACAGAGAGCTGAAGCTCGAGGAACGACGAGACGAGCCTCGCCTCGACTCTGAGGTTGAGCCTGAGCGCGACGCAGCGATCGACCCGAGACGCTGTGGCCCCCACTCACCATCCGCACCTTTGTCAGGGTACGCCGACCCGAGCGCATCAAGCACCTCGCGCCCCTTCTCCTGCACAGCATACGAACGAGCATAGTCGATCACGTCAGCCTTGTCATCGTCGCTCGTTCGGCTTGCCCTTACCCAGTCTTGGTACTCGCCGTGGGACAGGTAGGCCCTGAGCTGCGAGCGGAATCTGTAGATGCAGTATTTGCTGCAAGCGATGAGGTCGGGCATGCGCGGGAGGCCGGGCCAGCCACGCTGAGACTCGGTGATGGCGAGGGCGAGGATGTGGAATCGATCGCCGTGCTTGTCCCTGTCTTGTGCGTTGAGTGGAGAGTAGCTGGCGTGCGACTTGTACGTCTGCATTGCGCTGAAGGCATCGAAGATTGTCGTGGGCGGATTGTTGCCAGGGTGCCTCCACACCCTTTGCGACGACATGGTGAGGGAAGGTTGACGTGGCGTGAGAAAAGGAGACTGGACGAGCGACATGGACTCTGCATATATACATTCTCGAGACAAAGTGAATAATGGATTGTTTGGGGGGCTATAATTGGCACAAAGACTTGCAGTGAAGTACAAGAGAGTGAAGAGTTGACGGTGAAGAACAATAGAGCAAGGCATGACAAAGCCACGAGGGCGAAGGAGATGGAAAGAGTGAATAGGAACAAAGAACATTCACCATGGTGGAAGGACAATGCACCACACAGAACGTCCATACCCTCATTCGCACAATAACCCGTGAATCTCAGCCTTCATCACTCACTCGTATCTTGAATCCCACCCGGGTCAATGTCCGTCCAATTCACACTAGTCATTCTCATGCTTCATCACTCTAGCATCGTGCTTCTCCCCGGGCGTCTCCAAGTGCAACCTCGAACTTGACAGATCCTGCACCGTAGCCCCCGTATTCTTCTTCGTAGTACTCAACACAGCGGGATATTGGTCCCGGAACTTCTTCATCGCAATTCCTTGCTCGGCCGTGGCTTTGTTGGTCTTGTCGGGCGGAGAGAGGTAAGGCTGCTGCCACTTGAGCTGGAGTTGTTTTTGTTGCCGTTGTTGTTGCTCTTGTTGCTGTTCTTGATGTTGCTGTTGCAGCTGCTGCTGTTGCTGACACTGTTCCTTCTGCTTCTTGAGCTGCTCATATTTCCGGTACTCGGGATTGCCTGCGAGGATGTTATTACTGTCATGGTGGAGCATCATCAGGGTCATTGCCGCCGAAGTCTCCTCTCTGCTAACCATCAGGACAGTGTCAGAATCGAAGCCTGAGGGAAGCACACACCTCTTCTCAGCCATGCGTTTGAGCTGGGCCTGAGTCTCCGCCGACTCCTCCACCTGCTTCTTCCTCTCCTGAAGCTGGGCAATTTCCTCTGCTGTCTTTGAACCGTCAAGCAAACCCTGGCCGCACGAGTCAATGAGGTCCTTCACGGCATTGCCCACGCTACCATCGTGGCGCCTCACGAGAGTCTTCATTATGTGTGCACTCTCAACCCGCAAGGCCAGCAGGGTGTGCGCAGCCTCGCGATCCTCAACAGTGACCTGAGCGCGGGGGACAGCAGCAGCCTCGCGGCTCCTCTGGGCAGAAGCAATGCGCTGAGCCATTCCAGTGCTCTGCATCAGCTGTGCCTCGTCAGCGGCGCTTTCGTTCATTGTACGGATGAAGTCGTCCATAGGGTGGGCGTCCACTTTCTCCTTTTCTTTGTTCGAAGGATTTTCTTTGAAGTTCAACGTTCCCCTGCTCAACATCAACAGGCCCTCAGCAGCGGCGATCTCATTCCGGGTATACGTGCGCTCTGCGTGGTGGGAAATGGGGGCTGGACGTGGGATGGGCTGCAGAGGCTTGCCCTTGATGTCGGCTGGCCCGACCCCTAGCATAAGCAACCCCTCCGCTGCGGCGATTTCATCGCGGGAGAAATTTGGCTGGGAGGCGGCGGGTGTCGTCCTTCCCGTGCTGAGAGAAGGTGTGGATTGACGAGATGACTTTCCATTCTTTCCAAGACCGAGCAGTGCTTCAGCCTCGGCAAGGCGAGCAGTAGTGGGGGAGGGAGCCGTTGGAAAGGGCACTCGGGCTGTGTCGTTTGAGGAGAGGGTGGAAGTGCTCAGGCGACGAGGAGTGCCCTTGACTCCCGAATTGTGCAACTCCTCGGAGCCGGTGAGATCGATGACAGTGCGACGGACAGGTGGTGACACGAATGCTGGAGTGCGGTTGTCCGGAGTCAGGAGTGTCTTGCGTGAGCGCCAGATTTCATATTCACATTGGGCACGGCGAGTGCACCTGCCGTGCTGGAGACAGATGCTGGGCCGCGGACTGGGGTGTAGTTGTACGGGGTCAGCAGAGAGCTGATGCGGCATTTAGCAACGCCCATCTCACCCGAGTTGAGCAACGCCTCGTTCCCGGCGAGCTCATCGACGGGAAGCTGATGGGTGTTGTTGCCTGAATCCTTGCTTGGAGACTGGGTTCGAGGACGTTTGCGGCCACCGCCTGCAGTCTTTGAAGGCTCCATTCAGACCGGATGAGACGAGGCTGATGCGGGACTCAGAGATGTTTGCAAACACGCGGTGCGATGGTGTGGTGACAGGAGGGCGCAGATGGAGCAGCTCAGAGAAAGTTTTTCGGGCGGTGTTATTGCTATGACATGTTGTGCGACGTCCAGGCGACTTGCAAACGGCCGCATGAAGAAGGAGCGAGATTGAGTTCAGACGGCTGCCTGTGCTCGAGCATTCACAGAAGAGAATCAAGAAAATCATTCAATGATGAGGAACGTGACTAACGAAACGATGAGACTCGCATCCAACCTACATCAAACATCGTCCGCAATTTGTACAGACTCGTGCAATGAGATGTAACCTCTGCTGATTCCCAAGCTCTCCTCGCTCCCAAGACGGCAGCATCAAGACCAGGCGCCCAGCCATGGGTGGAAGTTCGTTCATCTATGCGCAGCGCGAAAACAGGCCTCTCACGGAAAAGAGAAGGAAGTCTGTCAATCAGTAATGTGTAAAGCTGGCACGGTTTAATGTAGATGAAGAAGAAAGAAAGGGAAGCGGAGGCGGAAGAGATGAAGTCGAATTGAATTCCCACCATCGCCGCACAGACCAGGCTTGGCAAGGGTCGGGGGGTGTTGGTGGACGACGAAGCTACGTTGCCAAAAAGTTGCCCATCACCTCGTCCCATCCCACCATCTCTCTCGCCTCTTCTGCCTGTTCAGCACTCGCACCATTCCGCCGGTGGAAAGAGAGACATATCATCCGCATGATTCACCAATAACCTCCCCCTCACCCCTGAAAACCCACCCATCATGGACTACGACGCGCTCAAGGAGCAATGGTCCGACATTGAAGATCGAGACGGCATTCGCCTGTCATGGAACACCTTTCCCTCCTCGCGCATGGAAGCGAGTCGTCTCGTCGTCCCCATCGGCGCCCTCTACACCCCGCTCAAAGAAAAGACCGATGGCACCCCTCTACTCCAATACGAGCCCGTCACATGCAAACCCCCCTGTCGAGCCGTCTTGAACCCATACTGCCAGGTCGACATGCGTGCGCGCATCTGGATCTGCCCGTTCTGTCTGCAACGAAACAACCTCCCACCACATTACAAGGACATCTCCGAGCAGCAGATCCCGCCGGAACTCCATCGAGACAGCACAACCATTGAGTACAAGCTGTCCCGACCCGCTCCCACCCCGCCCATCTTTGTCTTCGTCGTCGACACTTGCCAAGAGGAGGACTCGTTGAAGGCGCTCAAGGACAGCATCATCATGGCGTTGGGCATGCTGCCGCCTCACGCCCTGGTGGGTCTCATCACCTTCGGCACCATGGCCCACGTTCACGAGCTCGGCTACACCGAGTGTGCAAAGTCCTACGTCTTCCGAGGAAGCAAAGAGTACGCGGCCAAGCAGGTGCAAGAGATGTTGGGTTTGGCGACGGCCGCGGGTGCAAGACCGGGGATGCAGCCACAGCCCCAACCCGGCAGACCCGCTCCACTACCGACCATGGGAGGCGCACAAGCTCGATTCCTGCTCCCTGTGGAGCAATGCGAATTCCAACTCACCAACATTTTGGAAAATCTCCAAAGAGATCCGTGGCCCGTGGCCAACGACAAGCGTGCTGTGCGTTGCACGGGCGTTGCGCTTGCAGTCGCCGTGGGAATGCTCGAATCCAGCTTCCAGAACTCTGGAGCTCGCATTATGCTGTTTGCTGGCGGCCCGGCGACCGAAGGTCCTGGCCACGTGGTCAGCGCCGAGTTGAAGGAACAGATCCGCTCCCATCACGACATCGATCGAGACAACATCAAGTACTACAAGAAGGCCTTGAAGTTCTACGACACGCTCTCGAAGCGCACCGCTCACAACGGGCATATCGTTGATATCTTTGCCGGCTGTCTCGACCAAGTCGGTTTGCTGGAAATGAAGGGCTTGGCCAATAGCACCGGCGGCCACATGATCCTGACCGACTCCTTTACCTCCTCCATGTACAAGCAGTCGTTTGCCAAGATCTTCGACACTGATGCCGAAGGAAACCTTGCAATGGGATTCAATGCCAGTCTCGAAGTGCTCACCACCAAGGAGCTCAAAGTCACCGGCCTCATTGGCCATGCTGTCTCGCTGAACAAAAAGTCCGCTTCCGTCGGCGAGACAGAATGCGGTATCGGCAACACCTGCAGCTGGAAGATGTGCGCTATCGACCCTGCCTCTTCATACGGCGTATATTTTGAAATCGCCGGCCAAGGCGGCCCACAGGCATCAGCCATGCAACAAGGACCGCAAAAGGGCATGATTCAGTTCCTCACCTACTACCAACACAGCGGGGGCCAGTACCACCTCCGTGTGACCACCGTCGCACGCAACATGTCCGGCCCCTCTGGCGACCCCGCCATCGCGCAGTCCTTCGATCAAGAAGCCGCCGCAGTCCTCATGAGCCGCATCGCCGTCTTCAAAGCAGAAGTGGACGACGGGCCCGATGTCCTCCGCTGGGTCGATCGCATGCTCATCCGACTCTGCTCGCGCTTCGCCGAATACCGCAAAGACGACCCTACGTCCTTCCGGCTGGAAAAGAATTTCACCCTCTACCCGCAATTCATGTTCCATCTGCGCCGCTCACAATTCCTGCAAGTCTTCAACAACTCGCCCGACGAAACGGCGTTTTACCGCCACATCCTCAACCACGAAGACGTGTCGAACAGCCTGATCATGATCCAGCCGACGCTCGACAGTTACACCTTTGACCAGGATGGCGCCGTCCCCGTCCTGCTCGACTCGACCAGCATCCAGCCGCAGACCATCCTCCTCCTCGACTCCTTCTTCCACATCCTCATCTTCCACGGCGAGACCATGGCCGAGTGGCGCAAAGCCGGATACCAGGACATGGAAGGCTACGAGAACTTCAAAGAGCTCCTCGAGGCGCCGAAAGAAGACGCGCGCGTACGTTGCCCTGCATCTTCCCATTTTGTATCTCATACTAACACACGCCCGCAGGAACTCATCCAAGACCGCTTCCCCCTCCCGCGCTTCATCGTGTGCGACGCCGGCGGCTCCCAGGCCCGCTTCCTGCTCGCCAAGCTCAACCCGTCGACCACGCATACCACCGGCTCGTACGGCGGGGTCAGCCAGACGGCGCAGACGATTTTCACGGACGACGTCAGTTTGCAGACGTTTATGGACCATTTGATGAAGTTGGCGGTGAGCGGGACGAGCTAGATGCCTTTGCTTGGGGGATGCTTGATGGAGAGGCAACAGGAACAGAGCGTTGGCGTTTCATGATGGAAGTTGATATGCGGTATGATAGAGTGGTTTGATTAGTATGCTGCCAATCGAGAGTCTCATTACAGACTTTGAGGATGCTGCAAGAGAGATTGTCACCAAGTTGACCGTCATCTTGAGACGGGTCCTTTCTGCTTTGTTTGTCTTTTTACTTTTTTGGGCTGATACATCGACTACCTCTCTGAAGATATCAGCTACGAATCACCCACTTCTTTGCTCCACTTCCGCCTGCTTCCCCCAGCCTCCGTCTTCATCTCCATCTTCGCCTCTACTGTCTCATCTCCACCTCATCTCTCCACTTCCATTCCACATGAACTCTCAACACCCAGCTCTCCTCTCCTGTTCCCTTTCCACCTCGCCTCATGACATCAACACACTCTCCCGCCATCAGCACGAAAAATAAACAGCCAATTCCTCTCGGCCCCCATCTGCGCTTCTCGCGCGGTGTTGCGTTCCTCTGGCGAACAATTTGGTGCGCTCGATAGACTGAACGCAACGATGATGGCCTCTGTCTTCGATAGATAGTGCCTGCCGAACCGCAGCAGGGCGATAATTCCCTGCGAGTCGCGCGTTCCGCGGATTCGGTCTCGGACACGCCTTGACTTCTCACAGCCCGGCAATAGGGGTAAAAAGTTGCGCCGAGATAGGATGGTGGGAATGGCGCCCACGCTCTGTTCCCTCGTCCGAAGAATAAGGAGATCCAAAAGGCGCAAAAAGCAGCAATAATAATAGAAACCCGCCTCTTTCCACCCCCCTCTCATCCGCTCCCATCGCCCTGCCCTTGTCCTTGCTGCCCACCCGGCATTCCAGGACTAGGCTGCATAGGAGCAGAGTACTGCTGCCGCGGCGTCATATGCGGATACCCTCCCGCGCCGCCGCCGCTCGACATCTGCCTTTGCTGCATGTGGTACGGGTAGCCTTGGCCGGGGCCGGCGCTATAAGGCTGCTGCTGCTGCTGTTGCGGCGGCATCATGCCGCCCGGCTGGAAGCCTTGGTGCGAGCCGCTATGCTGCATCATGTGGCCGCGTGGACTGCCGGCGTAGCCGGGGTGTTGAATGTGGCCGGGCATGTTTTGTTGCTGTTGCTGGGGCGGCATGGGGGAGTAGGGCTGGCCGCCCGGTTGCGGAGCGTGCATGTAGGGTGATGGGGTGGAGCCTTGTTGAATCATCGGCATGCCTCCCTGCATCATTTGAGTGTTGAAGGGAGGACCGCCGCCTGGGCCGCGAGGCGGGTATTGTCCGGGCATGGGAGCCACTGTGGATGATATTAGCAAAGCACACGTAGCAGTCGTTCAGACAAGGGACAGCCTACTCTGATTATGCTGCATATTCGGCTGCATCATCATCATCTGCTGCTGAGGCGGAGGGTTCAGCTGGCGGTATGACATATTTGGACTCATCCCGTATCCCTGCATCTGCTGTCCGCCGTACGGCGGCATCGACATGCCGGGCATTTGTCCGTTGAACGAGACTTGAGCATGTGGGAATCGGGGCGAGCTTTGTACCGACCCGTTCGGCCCAAATTGCTGCATTCTAGGATCGTACATTTGTGGTCCTTGCGGCGGCGGTGGCATGTAGCCTTGTCGAGATGGGGTAGACATGGGGGTTCCTTGAAGATGCGGTGGTAATTGATGTTGATGCGGCATGTGAGCATTGGGATTAGGCGTGTGCATCGGAGACGGACCCGTGCTCATTCCCTGATTCTTGACGAGGGAGTCTTTGTAGGAAGCATTGACGTTTGCCTCGGAATATGGCCAGGTCGGAGGAGTCTGGTATGGTTTGGGTAAGCCGCCGTTGGCCGCATTGGCCTTGCGCTGCTCATTCGTGTAGTCAGCTTCGAGTGCACGCTTGACAGGGCGTTGCCTGTCCCCAATGTCCTTCCTTTCCGCCGCAGCGATCGCCTTCTTATCCTTGGCGAAGAAACTCGCTGGCGCCTTGATATTCCGTTCCGAAACCTGGGAGCGATCCATGCTGCTTTGCGCGGTACGACCAGGGCTGGGCGAGGGCCCAGCAGGTGCAAAAGTGTTCGCGGCTGGCCGGAACTCGAATGCTTTCACATTCAGCTTGGTTGCCGCGGTGGGACTCAGTGGATTTTCACCGGGTGCGGTCGCCGGACCTGTGGGAATGCGTAGATCAGACGGAGCTTGCGTGGATCGAGGGTAGGCCCGGTTGGCGCCTGTCGCTGCGCTTGGCGGGGCAACGTTTTTGCTGGGGACCTGTTGCACATTCACTCCTCGCAAGTTCTGCATCACACGTGCTCGAGAGCTTTGTTGCTGGCTGAAGGATGAGCGTGCTTCGGCGGGAGCCGGTGAAGGCGGAGCGGCCTGCGACGAGGCCGACGGCACTGGTGAAGTAGCCGCTGCAACCTTCTGAGCCTCTCGCTCCTTGACCTTCACTTCTTCCTGCTTCGCCGCCTCTTCCGCTCGATGTTGGATCTCAATCTGTTTGTGCGGATCCTTGGCCAGGATCGGGACGAGATCATCAGGAACGCGACTGCGAATCTTGAAGTTTTCCGCAAACTTTTTCAAATCATTGAGCCTCACATTCCGCTCAGCGCGCGCCGTTGAACGCCGAGCTTCTGCCGTCATCCGTGCGCGCAACTTCTGGTCGTTGGCGAACTGCTTAAAGGCATCTGCAGCATTCCGCACATGGTCTTCCGCGCTCTTCTCGCCTGCTTTCTTGGAACTCTCGGCTGTTGATGGGGGCGGGCTGGCCACGCTCTCCGTGGCGGCAGGAGTCTGTTCTCCAGAAGTGGTGCTGGGTTCGGTGGTGGTGAACGACTCCAGCACTTCCTCCGATGTAGATGGAGGGGGCGGGCTGGGTTTCGCAAGGGAGCTGGCGATGATGGCGGGATCGAAGGGGGCGCCAGGCACGGTTGGTGCGGAAGTGATGGGTCGTTTTGACGGGGGGACGTAAGCATTGAGGCTCCGCTTCGGTAGTGTCGCTGAATCACGTTTGACTCCCGAATACTTCTCCTCTTCATCAAGCCCGTCGGCGCCATCAGCATCTCGTTGCCGCTCTTCAGCTACGTGATCGTTGACAGGCGCGGATCCTTCAATCTCGCGTGCTATGCGGGCAGCTTCCGCCTCTCGAATTTTGTACAGCGGATTCGTGGTGTCAATGGCAGTGGTGTAGAAGCTCTCGTCATACGTCGACTCCACGCCATACATGCGCTCATTGACGGCGAATTGATCCCAGCCCGTCGCGCTCGAGTCTCCGAGGGATAGGTCGACGTTGGAGTCGAGGTCGGGTTCCCACCGTTGCAGCTCGCGTGCGCCACGCGGCATTGTGGGATCCCTACCGGAGATTTCGGTATCGGTGCGGAAGGAGGAGGATGCAGAGCCTGGACAAGCTGTGTTAGCGAATCGCGCAAATCAAAAAAGGATGTACAGTAACATACCATTTTGCATGGGCGCAGCAGCAGCTGCGAGCACCACATTACTCACAGCCAGACTGGCCATATCGTCGGCATCGAACGACATGGCGTGGTCCTCGCCCACACCGCCATACTCTTGTGACAGCTCGGTGTTGCCGTTGGCCTGCTGGTGGGTTGGAGCGCGTGTCTGCTTCACCATCTTGAGGAGATATTGATGAGTAGAGTTGGACTCGAAAGATCCCCCACTGAAGATGCCGGTGAATTGCGCGCCATCCTTCAGGGTGAGAGTTGCATCGTGACCCTACAAACAGTGATTAGTCCGCATTCAATGCAAAGTACATGCAGAGGGGGTGCTACACTTACGATGAAGCTAGACAGGATGAATAATGCGCGATCGTGAGCATGCTTCTCGGCATGTGGATTTGCTGCGCTCTTGCCGGGGGTGCGGGCGTTTGTGGGCAGTTTGGGAAGTGGCTTTTCCGTGCCATTGGGAGTGTGTGTGGATGCACGCTGCGTGATGGGGTTTGTACCCTGCCAGGCTCGGGGGAGGGGAGCAGATGCTTGTTTGCTGGAGGAGAGGATGTCAGCGAGAGTTCAATGGTCAGGTAGTCGGAGTGTCGCTGTCAGATGGGTAGGATAGTGAGAGGGAGATGTGGCAATAAGATCGGCTTCGAGAGAGGATTGCAATGGCAGCAGTGCGAGGGTGAGGGGGGAGGGTGTGAAAGGGAGGCAGAAGGCAGGACTCACTCTTTCTGACCGTCTACAGGACTGGCGGCATGGTTGCGAGCGGCGTCCAGAGCCTTTCCGTTGTTGTTGTTGCTGCTGCTACTCTTTCCTGGCGCTTGCTGTGACTGTTTGGCCCCATTCTCCGTTGGCGTGGTGGTGGACTTGTCGGCGTCGGAGCCATTCACTGCCGCGGCAGACATGTCTGCAACATAAGAAATGGGCATAGGCGAAGCGGGAGGTAAGAAGGGTAGCGGTGGGATGAGCTAGGGAGCGCGATCGAGTGTCGACAGTGCGCAAGAGGGTCGGAGGTGGCAGTTGGGAAGCAGAGTAGCTCTTCGCGAAGCTCGTCTGGCTTGTGCAGCTCGGAGGGTGATCGAAGCAGTACAGTGGTGTGCAGTGCTGGGGAAGAGAAAGGAGTGGGGGGAAAAGAAAAGGGCGCCGTGCGGCCTCGAGCGAAATGGTGGGTGAACTCGCAGGCCAAGATGGACTGGAGTGGTGGTGTCGGTGGGAGTGGTTGGAAAGGTCACTCGGACTGCCCGTTATGGATTTGGGTCGGGACGGGTTGTGCTGTGTACCGTACCCTGCCCTGCCCGCCGTGCTGTCGGGGTCTGTGCGCACGGGCGAAAGCGCGATGCCCGACGACTGGAGGAGGAAGGCGTGACTGTCCAGACGGGTGGAGGAGATGGGGAAGTCGTCGAGGTCGGGGGAAATGGAGGGTCAAAATACGCGAAGGAGGCCGCGGGAAGCCTCGACACAATTGAAGGGTGTCGGAGAAAAGCGAGGGACAGCGTGCCATCGCCTCGCGACTCGTCTCAGATCGCCCAAAAGCCCAAACGCCGCCGGCACGTGAGCAGGGGATGGATGCCTCAGGAGTCCACGCCGGGTTTGGCTGTGCAGCACCAATCCTCTCCACCCACTTTGCGACACATTGCAGCTGTCATTTGTTTCACGTCTAAATATCTCTTCCCACCACTCCACTATGCCTTTTCTTGCAGAGTGCAACACCTTTCTCTCTCTGGGCTGCTCGTCAATTCACGGCGGATCATTTTAGCCTCCCACGCTCGGTTGGTTCGGGACAAGCCACTCCCGAAGAGCTTAAACCCGCCCGCGTCTCTCCTAGGAATCCCTATGTCCACGGAGGTGGTCGTCCAGCAGCATCACTCTCTCGCCATCCTGCTCTCAACCTGCGCGTGTGAGTGCGTGTGTGCTCGCCACTCCGGCGCAGCAGTCTGTCTCCACTCTACCCATCATGGCCTCGACGACAACCGCGGGTCATGTATCGCAACGGAGAAATGAAGAGCCCACGGGCTACGAGGGTACTGCTACCGCGGCACCTACAGACAACGCTGCACAAGACCTTTCAAGGAGCAGTGCTGGTTCCGCACGCTCATCCAGCAACAGATCCAGAGCCAACGTACGCACCTTCGCGCACCGCTGACAACATCCCCACGCGAAAGAAAGTACTAACAATCCCCTCCCCCAGCCGCAACAGCAACTGTCGACAATCGAAAAGTCCGTCACCCACCTCCTCGTCGCCACCAAACAACTCCTCGAAACCCTGACCCTATGGTCGCGCGGCGGTGCCACCGAGACCGAAGTCTCCGATGTATACGTCCGCCTGGGCTACGAGTTCAACATAGCATGTCGCGCCTTCAGCGCCATCGGCGTCGATACCAATGATCTAGGCCCCGTGCCCGACCAGCTGCGCACCATTTTGGAAGACACGTTGAGTCAAGAGGCCAGTCAGGCAAGTTTGGACAAATACCTCCCCCGCATCCGGGATATCATCATCAATCTACTTCATGGCTTGAAAAAGAAGCAGCAGCGCTTGCGGCAGAGGGGGAGCACACGGGAAGGAGTGGTGGGTGCAGATGGGAGAGTGACAGCTCGACAGACGTCGGTGGCGAGCAATGCAAGCGCCGAATCACAACTGGCGCAGCACCTCGACGACCTCCCCACCCGAACGTCTAGTGCGAGAAGCGGTGTGGAGAGGCAGTCAAGCGCGGAGCACGGCATGCCTGGGTTTGCCCCCAGAACGAGCAGTGGTATGGGACGGTCGTCACCAAAGAAGGCGGCGGGCTTAAGCCCCCAGAGTAGCATGCGCCAATCTCCAAGCAGGGACACCATCTCCAACGACTCCGGCACATCAACATCCAGCAATGCCCTACAGAACATCCCCGTCATGGCCCCATATCTGCAACAGGACACCATACCTGCCATTCAACTAGACGACCGACCAGAGCAGCTATCCCCATCGCAGGATCCTCCTCGACCCCCACCAAAGCAGAACGATGCACTCAGCGCGCTGCAAAAGAGCGGAGATCTGGAGCGGAGAGCTTCGCGCCGCTTCTCCTCCTACCAGATCCAAAAGCACCTTGGCACGTCGATGAATGGCATGTCTGCCATCCCACCCGCCCAGCACTCTCCCATCCCGAATAGAGGACGTGATGTGCAGGAGTCGCTGAGCGCGGTACGATCTCGAGGGAGCGCAATACAGAGTCGAGCGCGATCGCGAAATAAAGACATTGCAGCAAATGCATCTCCCAGCAGAATGCAGGAAGTTCGGAGGATATCGGAGGAGCCCAGCAACATCCTGACGGGAGAGGCCCAGCCGCCAATGAAGCCTACGACGCAGGATGCCGATGAATGGAGTCCTATGGCGAAGACGCCCGAGGACAAGCTCGGAAGCTATCCGTTTCCTGAAACCACGGCGAGCCCAGAGAAACTCGGTGCTACTCTTAACGGACCCGTCCCTGAGCCGATGTATGCCGGACTTGACTCAGGCGAAGAGAGACCTAAAGCGCCCGTGCGCAGTCCTTCCCGCAAACTCGCACGGCAAAGAACACCACCACCAGCTCAATTCGTTGCGGAGGGCTCGCCACAGCCCGGCAAGGAACTTACCCTCTTCTTGCAATACAAGAGCAAGATCAAGAAATTCGTGCTGCCGGACGGTGGCGATTTGAGTCTCGCGCGACTTCAGCTGGCCTTCATCGAGAAGTTCGCATGGAACACGCAGAATAATGGTGTCGACCTCCCGGAGATTTACATTCAGGATCCGATCTCGGGAGTCAGGCATGAGTTGGAGGAGCTTACGGATATCAGGGAGAGGAGCGTGCTGGTGCTGAACGTGGAGGCGCTCGATGAAGTCAAGCGGCATTTCGATGATGGCATCGGCGGACTGCGAAGGATCGTGGAAGGCATTCGGACGAGTGTGGAAGACCAGCATACCGCGTTGCAGCGCGTTTCCGACCGGCAGCAAGAAACGGCCAAGGATCTTGCATCCATTGCCGCCGCCCCGCCGACTGCTCCGGCGCCACCCACGGGCTCGACCGGCTCGCGCTCAGTCTCTAGTCGAGATCAGGTGGCGCAGTTGTCGGAGGTCACCAAGCTACGGCGCGATCTTGCAGTCGTCCGACAGACCTACAGCTCCTTTGTGTCCGACATGAATGCCACTATGACCACCATCAAGGCCAAAGCCAGTGGGATCAAGAAAGCAGCTGCCGACAGCGTAATCCCTGATATGAATGGCGCCACCGGTCGAACATATGTCGACAATGGAAAGAAGCAATTGTCTGCGGACAGTGAAAAGATCGTCAACCGCGTTGATGACCTTCAAGACATGGTCGAAGATCTGCGCAAGGACGTCGTCAGCCGTGGCGTGCGACCACTCCCGCGGCAGCTGGAGGGTGTGAGCAAAGACATCAGTGTCGCAACGGCGGACTTGAAGAAGCTGCAGGAATTCCTGAAACGCGAAAAACCCGTGTGGACGAAGATCTGGGAGAAGGAGCTGCAGGTGGTGTGCGACGATCGCGACCTCCTGACGCTTCAGGAAGAACTCGCGGTAGATCTGGAAGACGATTTGGAGAAAGCAGCAGCGACATTCGCCCTTGTCGAGCAAGCCACCAAGCAGCAGAACCTTCACAAACCAAGCGACAGCAGCGACCAGATCTTCGTGGGGTCCATGCGCTCCGCCTCCGGCCGCAACCTCAAACCCATCGCGATGCATCAAAGCAGCGCCGACCCGCACAAAGCCAAAGACAGCGTGCTGGGCGAAGTGCGCGCTCTGCAACCCAACCACGAGAGCCGGCTGGAAGCCATTGAGCGGGCGGAGAAGGCGCGGCAAAAGGAGCTGGAGGAGCGCAAGGGCGGGGAGTTTCAGCGGGAACTCGGGACGTTTGTGGAGGAGGGCAAGTTGAAGAAGACGGGTGGGGTGGAGGAGGTGGAGAGGATGCGGAAGATGCGGGAGGAGAAGGCGAGGAGGGAGGTTTTGGAGAGGCAGGCGCAGAGGATGAGGGAGAGGAATGAGAAGGAGGCTGCTGCTGCGGCGGCGGCGGTGGCTGCGCCGGATCCGACGGATGGGAAGAAAGCGAGTGAGGCCAATGGTGCGCCGCCTGAGATCATCACCAATGGAGACGACACGACTGTGGTCAAGAGCGGAGACGAAGGGGAGAGGGAAAAGGAGAACAGCAGTCCCGAGCCGGGCTTTGTGGATGCCAAAGAGGACGTGAGCACGCCCACGGAAGCTGCTCCGTCGGCATGATGAAGGGGTGGGGGACAGATTGTCTATATCGATTTATCTAGTAGCACGATACCCATCTTGTTCTGACCTGCAGTCTTTCATTTACTCATGCCCATCATATCTTATTCTTGGCTCGCACGTGCAACCACGGGAGGTTGGACCCTGGACAGCTTCTCATGTCGCGTGATGAGGCGCAAATCCAGCCCACTCGGAATTGGGACGCAGGATGCGCTCTAGAGCTCCCCCGCCCCGTCAATGGCACCGCACCTCACTCGCTCTTTCCCAATTCCAACCAGGCGGCCAGCTTCAACCACACTCTTTCCTCCTCCACCACGACCATGCCTCCCAGCACACCCTCGCACTAACAAACATCCATACTATGTACAGCTGATCCTCACCACCACCGCATCCAATCATGGCCGACGCCAAAGTGGGCTCCGACCACTTCGACCACGCCCCACCCCCCAACCCCAATGCCCCTCCGCCCGCCGACCACCCAGACTACGAAGCGCTGCTGACGGGCGTCATTGTGCTCGCCAGCCTGTTCAGCAACTGCGTCGAGGCCTTCAACCTCATTCACCCGAGCCAGCGATGGGACAAGCAGGAGCAGCTGCTCATCACCGCCCTCGGCCTGCAGCAGGCCCGTCTGCTCATCTGGGGCGACACCGTCGGCATCTCCTCGCCCCCGCCCACCGTCACAGACCGCGCTATCCCCAAACACCCCTCTGCCGCCTACCCCGACCTCAACGAGCCTACCTTCTTCTCCGCCCGCGACCCCGCCCTCGATCAGCCCGACACCCGGCAGAAGGTTGACGAAGCCCTGTCGGCCTTAGTCGAGCGCTCGGCGCACACGTCGCGCGAAGAGATGATGGAGCTCTATGGTCTGCGGCCCCCCAAGCGCTTCACGGTCGAGTACCAGCCCGCCCTCGACGGCAATCGCCTCGAGTCCTTCCGCGAGCGCCACGAGCTGCTCAAAGAGGTCGCCGAGAGCTACGCCCACCTCAACACCCGGCGCAACAGCTCCATCGTCGCCTCCACCTGGGCCGTCTCCGACTACGCCAAGTTCGCCGACTTCATCAAACTCACGCAGGAAAAGGTGGACTACCTCATCGAGCTCACCGACAGCCAGGAGCGCGTGGACCGCGCCATGTGCATGGACATCCGCGCCCTCGGCTGGCACTTGTCCGCCGACCGCGCGCGCGTCGCCCACGACCGCTCGAAGCTCATCCTTGTCTTGGAGTACAGTCGGCAGGAGTATCCGCAGTACGTCGACGCGGTAAACATTGCTTTGCGCAACATTGAGCGCGAGCGTCAGGAGAATGCCGCGGATTACAACCCTTACACCTCCGCGCAGTATGCGCCCATCAGCACTCTCCACCCGTCGCCTTTCTCGCGCTCAGCCCGCGGCTCAATCTCGACAGGCAGCGGGTCAATCTCGACCGGCAGCGGTGCGGCAGCGAATGGAAGCAGCGCAGCGCCGGGCGCAAAGGAGCACAAGAAACACGGCATTTTCGGCGGCTTGTTCAAGCGAAAAGGCCACCTGCACCCAGCAGCAGCAGACCCCAAAGCGCGCAGTCTCAGCGTCGCCGACGCAGGCGATCCCGAGCGCTCCCTCTCAGACGTCGGCCCCATGTCTCCAACCCTCCAGACTTCCGGCACCGGCTTACCATCTCCCGCCGCGGCTGCTGCGCCCGACTCGTTGGACGTCGTGAGCTCGCCCGTGCGCTCTAAGAGTGTAGGCGACATTCTCGATGCGCCTATCAACACTTCCGACGAAGAGGAAATGCGGCTGCAGTTGGAGCAGATGCGGACGAATAATACCGTTTCGACGGTAGCAGACGACGAAGGGCCGAGCCCGACGCGCGCGCATCCCGATCATCGCTTGATTCCCGAGATTTCGAGGCATGACCAGTATCATGGCCTGGGGCGGCAGGGCACAAAGACGCAGTGGTGAGCGAGGGGTTTGTTGACTGGGTGTCTTGTTTGTGCTTGGTGGGATCTTCTTTTCTAATCATCTTCTTTCCCTTTCGTGTTGTTTGAAGTGGTCGTTTGGGATACCCGAGTGTTGTTTGATTGTTGGAGCCGATCATGTTGGGTTTGGTTTGCTGATTTGGCATAGGCGACGTTTGCGCGGGCTCGTTTGCTTGTTGGGTTTGCTGTTGGGAGTTTACTTCAATATCTTGCTCGCATCTCTTCTCTCTACCTTACGCTCACTTTGATCGTAAGTCGCTTATCATGTGCCTCTTTTGCTACTCCTTCACTGCTCTCACACTCCTGCTATTCTTTTCCTACTACTCCTTCACTGCTTTTTCACTTCTGCTATTCATTCTCATTTGCCGCCCTGACTTTTGGCGTGTCATGCGACATCATGTGAACTACATGGAATGACTGCTTCTCCCAACACACCGTCACAAAACCCAACAACTACACCCATCTCTCATCAAAACATCACACCAATCCAAACCAGCCATGGCGAAACTCTACACCATCCGCGCCTCCTCCGGCGCCGGCCTCGGAATCTTCACCACCCGCCCCATCCCCGCGGGCACCGTCCTCCAAACCAGCAAACCAATCCTCAAACTCCCCCGCAACAAACACGACACTTCGCCCACAGCACTCCAAACCGCCTTCTCCCGCCTCCCACCCGAAATGCAACAAACCTTCCTCGCCCTCCACGACAACCCCGCCCTCCCTTACACCAGCCGCCTGATGCGAATCTACAAAAGCAACTGCTTCGGCGACGAGGCGCACGCGTGGATGTGGCTTGATTTCTCGCGGTGTAATCATTCCTGCCACCCCAATGCGGAGATTGCGGAGGTGGAGGATGAGGTTGGGGGAGCGAAGTTGGTTGCTATGAGAGCGCTGGGGGTTGGGGAGGAGGTGCGCATTTCGTATTTGGGTCCTTTGGAGGATGGGCCTGGACTGGTGAGGAGGAGGTTTTTGAAGGAGACGTATGGGTTTGAGTGTGCGTGTGCTTCGTGCTGTTTGGAGGGGAATGAGAGGGGAATCAGTGATGCGCGGAGGGGGTTGATTCAGGTCCTTTCGAGGTGGCAGATGGGGTTTGAGGTGGGGGCTTTGCGGATGTTGGGGGATGTGAGTGGGGTGCAAGGTGGTGGGAAGGTACTTGGCGGTTCCAAGAGGTGGTTGAAGACGCCGCGTACGGCGAGGGAGAAGGTGGTGGGCAATTGGTTGCTTGCGAGGCTGTTGGCTGCGGAAGGGCTGGCGGGCTATCGAGTTGCGCAGGCTTGGGTGATGGCTGCCGTCGCTTTGATGGGCCAGATGCAGGAGGCTAAGCCGCTGGTTGTCATACCTCCTGCGAGGCTTCTAATGGAGTGGCTGGATGAGGCCGTGAGGGCTATGAGAGCTGTGCGGAGGCCGGAATCGAGAGATGTGCTGGAGCTGGAACAGGCTTGCGGCGTGATGCGCCGCAATTCGTACGTGCAGTTGGCCAAGGCGGTTATGGAGAGAGAGGGACGGAATGGGAAGATATTTGCTGTGATTTTCGGAGAGCCGGGCAGATGTCTGAGTCAAGTGGAATGTCTTCGCGAGATGCGGAAGACGCGTGGCTGCTGTCTGGCAGAACGCGGATAGGTGCGTGGAAGCAGCGTTCGGCAGGAGGCAACAGCAAACGCGGCGATGAGCACATTTCAATGTCTCTCATTTTTCATCCGATTCTATATGTAGCACTGCGAACCAACAACAGCGCCATCTCATGCTGCGTGGCCATGGACGACCCCCCGAGACAGGATCGGAACCACTTAGCCTACATCATCGCCATCCTCATACCCATTATGTCGACATCTGCAGGTATTTGGCTCGCATACTCGTCCACTCTCGCTACCATCGAGGTTGCAAATGCTTGCTACAACAGAAATTGCACCGTTTTTGGCTGGATAGAGCTTTTCATGACGCCCATGAATCTCTGGAAATGCTGCAACTTCTGTGTCCAGGGAGTCAGGATCATCTGTGCTCTGGCGAAGGAGTGGATCATGACTGCGTAGTGATCGCCGGGGCAGGTATCTCGCCCGGGATGCCGCTTGTTTTGCCATCGAACTGATGCGAGCAGCAGGAGGTGCATGGCCGTCCACCTTCTAAATCGGTCACGTTCAAGCCATCTTCGCACCTCGATCATCCTCCGCATAAATCTTCGCCTCCTTCACCCACGCCCCGACAGTAGGGAGAGTGAGGCGGTTCAACTCCGCCCAATCTTCTCGCTTCGCCGCCTTTCGGATCTTCGTACTACTCACGCCGCCTTCGGCATGCGGGGGGACAAGTTGAATCTGCTTCGCCCATTCCCTCTTGCCGCCTTGGTCCTCGAGCTCCCCATCTTCGATTTTCTTCAGAAACGCCTTTTGCTCCTCCTCCGAGCCGTACTCTTCGTCCGGTCGCAACGTTACGTGAAACCTGTGGCCGGCATCAAAGTACGGGTTCAGTGCTGAGAATGGTGGGTCGAATTTCGAGTAGTATTTTGCGTTGAAGAGTCTGACCAGGGTGTCGTAGCCGACCAGATGGATGTGCTTCGGTTTGGAAGGATACCACTCAGAGCCTTCCTCCTGGATGGCAGCAGTCTTGTCCGTGTAGTAAGGTACGGTGGTCACGCCAATATCGATCGGGACGACTGAGTACTCGTCTGACTTGGCTTTTAGGCTTTCTACTAGGTCTTGCGCGAAGATGCACATCAATGTCAGTCGTTGGTCGAAGGATGCGGCTGACGGAGCTTTGTCGGCGTTCATTGTTGCAAAGAGAAGTAGTAATCGATGTGATTTCGGGAATGAATCGCTGGTAGACTTTTGGAGTGCGGCCATGGAGATGTAGCGGTGGGCGATTGACGGTGGATTGAAGGATGAGTCCAGAATGAAGAGGGTCCGAGGAGATTCATTGGAGGCTGGCGACGATGGTGGCTCGGGCTTTGCGCTCTTCGGGTGAACAGTCTTAAGGACTCGGAATTTCGAGCCGGATTGCTGGAAGTTCTTCAGAGCAGAGCCGAGCTCAGCGACCAGTGGTCGGAAGTTGGCTATTCTTGTCGACATGCTGTCGTTGCTCATCGTTGCACCTTTCAAGGAACGCAGGTTCGGCCAGTCACTGTTTTGTACTACACTATGTGATAAGGACTGGCAGTTTCATCAATACCAAGGTCATTAGCAGATAATGAGGAGGATTTTTGTCAGGTAATGTGTGGTGGTGTCTAGCATTATGTGCCGTCATCGTATGTGCTTGTTCAGATGAGGTTGGTGATGCCCGAAATGGCAACTTAGCCGACCACGGTAACCCAATCGCTCCTGCTCCCTCCTCACCTCACCGCGCATCCACATCCTCGCACTCAGCAGGCCCTTGTCAAACTTCAGTCCCCGTCCTTCACAGGACCCCAAATCGATTATGGCCACCGGCAAGTCCATGACCGAGGCGTGGGCCGCAGCATCGCGAGCATCAAAGCTGTCCGGCTTCAAGGTACGCAGACTCTCTCCTCATCCGCACCACCGGCACAAAGCTAACCAGCACCAGAAATACACCGTCCAGCCCAGCGGCTTCTGGGCCCGAGTAAACGGCTGGTTCGCCATCGACCCCAATCGCTCCACCGGCGTGCCCTTGAACCCCCTCTTCCGCAACCCTCCCCCGGGCGCCAATGACCCCCTCGAGTACGAAGACCCCGTTACCGTGCCGGCCGCCGACATCGCCGGCAACCCCTACTGGAAGCGCGACAATCGGCGCTCCTACCCCAAGCTGTCGGTAGTAAGGCAACCGGATGTCGTGGCGCTGCTGACGGTCGGGTCGGCGGCGGCGCCGAAAGAGGACGTGTTACAGATTGGAGACGCGGGGACGAAGCAATTGGTGCAGGTGAAGGAAGAGGGAGAGAAGGGACTGAGTGCGTTCTTCCAGAAGGATGCGTCTGCTTCGAAGGGTGTGCTTGATTCGGATGGCTTGCCGCCTCTGCCTGTGTCGCTCCATCGGACGAGGAAGCAGTATGAGTTGAACGACAGGTCACGGCAGACGTATGGAGACAAGCCGGATGGGGTGATGTAAGTGCATCTTTGGCTGAGAAGAGGTCGCGTCCAGAAACCACTAACACTCGCGCACAGGTATCCTTGCCGAACGTTTGTATAGAGCGCCATTAGACAGGGCGCTTTCCATGGGAATTGTACATAATCTCCCTACAGAAGCTTACAACCACATTCACATTACAACAAGCTGATTTGTCGTGCTTGATTTGTGCCATGATGACAGACGACGCCCAGGTGGCCCAAAACGGTGGGTCGTGCCTTCCGTTTCTGACGGACGAAGGCAATCACGCGCTAGCTGCACCACTCCTTTCCCACTCCCGCCCACTCCATATCAGCTCTTCACATTAACTACACATCACAGCGCCGATGGCTTCATCTCCCTCCCGAACAAGCGACGATGACTTCCCCATCGAGGAGCTCGTCTTCAGCTGCACCGTTTGCCAGGCCACCATCTCCGAAGTCTACGCCACGACCGAAAGCAACAAAGGCTTCCACAGCGGCTCGGGCGACGAAGACGGCATCGTGACGAAGTTATGGATCGCCGAGTGCTCGCACATCACTTGTGCGAAACATCTGGAGGATGGCGGTGCGTACCGCTGAAGACGCATGGTCGTTAGTGATGACTCCAGTGCTAAGAAGCGGCCTCACACAGCTCCGCCCTTCCATCCCAAGGATCTGCCGCCCAAAGCGCCATGTCCAAAGTGCGTGAAGGACAAGGGTGATGACTCTCCAAAGGATCTGTACGGCATCCGCGGACTAGGCGATGGAGAGTACGATGCTATGATCCCAGCGGAATGGCGACGGTGTCCTGCTATCAAGCTTGACAGCAGTGTTCCTGGCATGTCGGCTGTTCGCGTGAGTTAGTCTGCCGGATCGTGTGTGCGCCTGCTCTGACTTTCTTCCAGTTTCAGTATATGGCGCTGTGTCAGTATGCGCGACAAGCTCGGAAACATTGGAAAGGCTCGGCGTCTAAGCTGTCTAAAGCTGAGGCTGCGTGTTCAGAGGAGCGGAGACAGCGGCGGGAGTTGCAGTCTCAAGTGCAGCAGCTGAAGAAGCAGACCGAGACTGTGCAGGACCTTGAATCGCGGCTGAAGAAGTGGGAGGCCAGGAAGCCGGTGATCAATCGTGAGCCTCTGTAATCTTTTACCCATCTGGATCTGCGCTGACAGACAGCTCCCACGGACTATCTCAGAGTTGTCAGTCTGATGGCGGAGTAAGTCATCTATCTCAACCGGCCCACACGTATCTGACCTTCAAACAGGGACATCGCAAACATGCGGAGTCAGCTCTTGTCCCTGGGTGTCCAAGTGCCAGAAATGAGGTATGCGTTTGAACCGAACCAGACCCAACGTAGCTCCGGCCACGTACCTGCCGCAGGCGACTATGCTCAGCAGCCTGTACGTCACGCTCCCGAAAACGCTTATACCGACCATCGTCATGAGTATGGCAGCCACTCAGCCTCGAGGAAGCGAAAACGAGACGATCCACTCCCAATGTCAGACGATGAGGGCCAGGAGCCGAGGCAGCACTACGACCTTGCCAGTCGCGATCTGATGCCGCCACCGCTTCACATTGCACACCCTCAGGCGCTCGCTCATTACGGTGCTACGACGTTCAATGGGTACGATGCTAATGGACGACACGCGCCTCATCAACCCGTTGTGCAGACCTATGGAAGTGACGGATGGCGAGCACCGGTTGATGGAATGTATCAATCCGGTTATGCGCCAAGTCGCCAATCGCATTCGTCATTTGTCCAAAGGCCGGTGGCGAACAACCAGAACCGCAGTCCGTTTTACATCCCATCTCGAGCGGAACCGATGAGAGATCCTTCACAGGATGTTAGACAGTCACTTCGAACTCTTCCCACCCTTCTCCAGAATCGTCAGACATTAGCGTCTTCCCGCACGCCGCGAGCCCTGGCAACACCATCCCCCCACAAAGGACAAGCCGTCTTCGAGACTTCCGTTGCCAGCCCGTTCTTCACGAGGCAAATACCTGGAGGTGACGGCTCTGTCATGCGTCCTCCCTCGCGTAGAAGCCACATTTCACAACCATATCATGCATCGCAACAACATACGAGTCGACCAAATGGCCAACAGCCATATCCGTCGCAGCACACACTACAATCCGACTTCCGGACGAACTCAGCGAGACATCCGCAATCCACTCTTCGTCCGCGCTCTCGCTCGCCTCTGCGCCAGACTTTTGCAGCTCCGCAGTACCAGCAACAACCTTTTATACCGCAGACGCCTCGGAACGCTCAAGGGCTGTTCTCGCGCCCAGATCGTCCTCCGCCGTCGACTACACAGGCATCGAATGCGATACGACCGAATGTGCACACCAATCGAGTCTTGCATCAATCGCGCCAACGCTCAACAAGACCGGGTACGATCAATCCCGATTCAGCTCTGAATCAGTTCCCAGGTGTACGAGGAGTACACTCGCAGCGCGGGATGCCGGCTTATGAGCGGCCAGGGTTTGCTCCGCAAGGCTCCTTATCCACTGCAGGAGGGAGGCGGAGTATACGCCGCTGAGAGTGCAATGGTTTACGGCACCTCCCACTCCATAGCTGATAGGCCTTGGCCTGAGTGGCTGGACTGGGGTTCAGCATGGCCTACCTGACTGAGTACTCGTCAATTTAGCCCTGTCTAAGGATGTCTCTTTGTGCCCGACAAGCCGAGCCGTAACCACAATCCAGGCCCACGAGCTGCAGGAGAGTGGGGGAGTCTAAGGGCAAAACATGTAGAGCAGAGATCAAGGTGGGAAGATTGAAGCGACATGAGCTTTATGATAAATGACCAGCTTGGCTAAAAGAGGAAAGGGGCGCAGGCGGAGCGGCCGCGCCGGCTCATCCAGACCCGCCCAAAACAGAGCTGAAAATGCAGGCTGACCCGGACAGGTTGACGTCCACCTCGCACTTTGCCTCAACCTCACGCGTCTCAAATATAAGAAACGCCTCCCCGCGGAGCCGTCATCACCTTCCACCGTGCACGCTCGGCTCATACATCCATAGATGGGCTCTGGCCATGCCCTGGTTGCATTTTCGCTCGCTCACCCCTGTCGATTTTCACTTAGTCTCGGGTGACACTCGACAGACAAATGTGGGAAGGTGAAGTCTGGCGAGACTCTCCATGCATTGTGGCTTGCACAGGACATGCAGCCAGATGCGTCGTACGGCTTGAGTACTACCTTAGAGGCCCAGGGCCGTTCAATTTACCGTAGACGTTCTCAAGGTACCCTGACCTCTCTGCCGTCTGCTTTGTTATCTCACCCTTTCCACTCACCTTCCTCTCATCATCTGCCTAATTCACTTTCCCCTTTCTCTTCATACATTCCAATGCGTTTACTATTCCTTGCGGCCTTTTGGGCCGTGGCTTGCGCCTCACCGGCTCGGCCCAGCGTCAAGACCTCGCGCGCGACCTCAACACCCACCAACGCCGCTTACCCGGCGTCTACTGCGGGCGCCAATTTTTGCACCGTAGTGGACCATTTGGTGAGATCGGCCTCTTTGCCTTCGAAGTCCCGAAGAGATGGGCATCTGACCGCATTCGATTTTACCAGGTTAGCGATGGCGGCGTCCGGAGCGAGGCAACAAAGTTCTGCTCGTCCTACCTCCACATTCCAAAAGCGACAGTTTCCTCCACGATAACAGTGGCGTCGTGAGTAAACATCAGCGATTTTGTCGAGTATCGTAATTGACCTGTACTAGTGTCAGCACAACGACAGCGACGGTCACCCCGGCCACCGTAACTGCGCAAGGAACGACGATCACAATGACTACTACAACGTGGGCCCTTTCTGCACCCTATGCTGCCTAGAAGACCATGCGCTGACAATAAGTTTCGTCTTAGGACTCTTACAGACTCGGTTGTGGTGTCAGTGAACCCAAAGCCCCCAAATATCTCAATTCTAACAAGCTTATCGGTGCAGCACGACGATTTCTAGTACCACGATGATTTCAACTTCCTCGTCTACAGTTACTGTTACCGTCAGCGGATCATGCACAGCTCCGGCCGCAGTCGCGAAACGGACTGCCAGCGCCATTGTGGCAAAGCCCAACGTGTTCTCCGCTTACTCTGGTGGCACACTCTCGTCAGCGTGCAGTTGCCTTTCTGTTCCGCCGAGCACGACGACAACAACCGTCACGCAGACAACGCCACGCAGAGTCTCTACCAAAACGTCTTCGGTGCGTTTCAAATCCCTTCGCTCCTTGGACTACGAGAAGGAAAGCGCTACACTGTTGCATGAGTCTCTAACGAGCTCGCACATAGGTCACCGCAACAATCACAAACTATCCGACAGCCACAGTTACCAGCATAGTCACTACGGTACGTACTCATAGGGAATGCCGGCAGAAGATGCTGGATCGAGCGCCCCTGCGTCCGCGCGGATATCTCGCCCAACGGCGCCAGTATGGAGAACACGCTAATATTTACGCCCTCGCAGGCTATAACGTCCACGAGCACGGGTGTAACGACTATCTCATCCGTGGTCATGACCGCTACGACCGTCACCGTCACCGCCACGCCTTCAAGTTTCTACCTCCTCGATGGCACCAATGGCCTATACGCTGCTGCCGTTAATGGTGAAGACATCGCATTCTCCTCAGATGGTGCCGTCATCTTCAATTACAATTCTAGTGATGGCACGCTCACCTTGTACGGCTACACTGTTGCATTTTTTGACGGCGAGAACAACAATCCCAATCCAGTCTTCTTCTTGCCCACAGGCGCAGTCGGTAGATATGCTATACCGCTCACATGCGCCTTATACGTAGGGACCGAAGATTGCACTTTATCGTGCGACTACTCCGGCCAGATCGAAAACAGTCTGGGTGGGAACGACCAATGGTATCTCGGTACCTCTGGGACCGAGGAAAATGCTGGGACTGAATTTACAATCTACGTCGTTGATGCTGGATCTTGACGCAAGCAACAATGGACTGACAGTCGGACACATAAATCATCGTTCCATGGGAAGCAATTCGGATGGAGTTCCCTTTCATGATTCACTGCGGGCATGCCTTCGTGTGTTGGGTTGCTGGAGAGCAAAGGAGTACTGCATGATCGGATACAGAAACGCTTCAGCAATTTCTCTCGCATCCACTTTCTCTCCGGTTACCGCATCAGTCTTCCCGCCCATTACCTCGCAATCCTCGATCCCCGGCCTCCAATTGCCTCCGATTAAAACCAGCCCGGCCTGAGAACATCATGAGAGGCCACCGGCACCGTGTTCAGCCCAAAAGCCGCACTCCCTCCTCCCCCTTTCCTCAAGCCTCATCGCCGCCCAACAACAAGCCCTGCCCACTCTCCACCCTTTCCACCTCCAACCCCGATGTCTTAGACTTATTCGTCCGAACCGAAATCAGCGACACACTGCGGAAATGGCCCTTGCGGTCGTCGATGACCGTGACAGAGGGGAAGCGGCGGATCCGCGGTGCTTCTTTCGGGTCGACCACAGTTGGAACTTGGATATCTGGGCTGCGAGGCCTGGTTGCTTCTAAAGTAAGAAGTATGTTGTCGTTGTTGCAGATGTTATTTGAAGAATTACGTGAGGGTAGTGCATCGTCGACATCTAATTTGGATAGGAGTGCCCGTTTCTCGTCGATAGCGATGTCGTCTTTCGCTGATGCTGTCGATGTCGAACGCTCAAGACAGTCTTTGTAGACATTCGACCAGAGTTCTGCCTTGGATAATGTGGCTTGCTTCTTCTTGGACAGTTGCGTGCAGGAATTGCCGTCCAGCTCGGTAACGCCATGGTGATGTGGAGTCGTGCTTGATCGGCGGGCCATATCACCTGGTCCGACCATCGTCTCGCTGCGCGGCAGACGTCCCTCATCTTGACGATGATGATGCGGTGGCTCGAAGATACTGCCCGTCCTGAACGGACTCGATTTGCGAGAAGTGCTCGAACCAGGGCGATGATGACGATGATGCGGATGAAACAACATCGCCTCCTCCTCCCCTTCGACAAAATCCCTCAACTTCCCTTCTTCTCGCTTGACAAACTCCCCAAACATCTGCTCCTCTTTCTTCACGAACCCCTCCAGCTCGTCTTCTTCTTTGCGCACAAAGCCTTCCAACACCTCTTCTTCCCTCTTCACGAAAGCATCCAACTTCCCCTCTTCGTCCTTCACAAAGGCTGTGATCTTTCCTGCATCCTCTTTAATCGAATCCCGCAGGTGCTCGATAGGATGATGGTGATGATGATGCCGCGGCAAATCCACCGCCATCTGCACCGGCAACATTTCCAGCTCGGGGTACTCCAGCGTACCTCCCGTCGTGATCGACGTACGCCTATTCTGCCCATACCAGCCTCGCGTGTGGAACAAATTGGAATAGTAGCGTACGATCCCGCCGAAAGAGCGGCTTTGCGCCAACCCGGTTCTGCGGCGACGCGGAGGGGTGATTTTGGCGCTATGCTTGCTCCCAGGCGAGTCGTCGTCGTCTTCTGCCGTGTCGCTGACGTGGATCTCCTCGGGATTGATATCGATGCCAAAGTCGCGGGCGATGATGGCGTCTGCACGTCCCGCAGAGCCGCAGCGCTCGCCACGTGTGTGGGATGGGTAGCGAGACCAGGACTCGAGATTTGTACCGATGCGGGCTTTCGGTGGGAGAGGAAGCATCTCCCGGATGGGTTGCATGTGGCTTGCCACGGTGGAGGGCGCTCGCGTGCTGGCGGCTGGACTGGAGTGGCGGGATGAGTGAGCATGGTGATGAGGGGATGGAGGCGCGAGGTAGACGTGGTCGAAGCCGCGCTCGGAATGGCTCTTGAGATGGCCTTTCTCGAGCGGGTCGAGGAGGTCGTTGTGGTTGTACAAGCTGGCAGGCGGAAGACTTGCGCCGGTTCTGCTGAAAGGCGAGGAGTCAGAAAAGGCCAGAGGATCCAGTCCGCCAGCCGATTCTCGCTGCTTGCCGGCCGAGCGAAACAGTGCCTTCTCCTGCTGATGCTTCTCCAGCGCTTGAGCCATGAGTGGGCTGGCATCATCTCTCAACGGACGAGCTCTGCTCAGTCTCTTTCGCAAGCCGCCACCCGACTCGCGACGATCTTCCTCTTGAACTTCTTTTGCTCGCTTCAAACTCACGGTCGAAGGTCGCCGACGATCGTCACCAGCAATTGTGAGACTCCGCTCGTAATCGGCGAGAGTTGGACGTCGAACAAGGGCGTATGCTGGTCCGGGGTTGGGCTCAAGATGCGTTCTGCTCGTTTCGGCGGCCGATGGGCTGAGTTGATTCATGCTCATCGATCTCGCGACGCGGCTGGGTTGTCCGTTGAGCTCGTACTCGACAGTCAACAACGCAGGATCGTCCGATTGCCCGTCAAACGCCACGGTGGTCGTCTTCGACACATTCGGAACCAGCGCAGGCGAGCTGACACACCGATTCTGCTGCTTCTGACTGCCCGGACGCAGAAACTTGAAGATGGACCGACGCTTTTGTACCGTCTTCTTCGGCGGCGAGAAGCGCTCCAGGAACCTCGAGGCTTTGCTGAGCCGGGTCAGGGTACTGGAGCTGCTCTTGCTCGGGATCGACGCCTCGCGGAGAGGGGGCGGCGGTGAAAGTAGTCTTACGGAAGCGTTGTCTGACTTGAGGGCACTCGTTTCGAAAGAAACCTTGCGAGTGACATTGTCACTTGGTACCGCTTCCGGAGGATCAGGGGGTAGAGGTTTGTTGCGCAGCTTTTTGCCCGGAGACCTCTTTGGTTCTGCTCGCAAAGCCGACTTGAGCTTTGGTTTCGAGACCTCAGGCTTCAACGGCCAGTCTTCCAAGACCTCCTCCCAGCCAACGGGGGAGGTGCGTGGCGTGTTGAAGTGCAATGCATTCGTCTGATCCTGATCGTTGGCAGCGGCACTGGCAGACCGGCTGTAAACGGATGATGTGTTGTCTCGCAGAGGAACGTGACCCCCGTTCATCGGTGATGTGAGCCCCGAAATTCTCATGTCGAGACTCGAGAGCCGACGCGAATGACGGCTCTGTGCCGATGGTGCCCCGAGATGAGCTTGCCATATCCGAGAAAGCGATGCATGTGCCGAATGAGAGGGGGTCTCATTCGCTGGTGTGTCGGACATTTGCGACATGGAGCGTAGCTGTTGCGAGATGTCCATCTTGTGCAGCGGTACAGTCTCGCTTTTGGCATGATATTCGTCGGCAATGGAGCTGGATACGCCGTTCTGCGTATTGAAATCACGGGACAAGCTGCCGGGTTTTGAAAGCCCCACGCTTGGTCCAACGTGGATCTCGGACATGGAGCGGTGTGACAGTGGCCCAGTGCGTACGATGGCTTGCAGCAGCAAAGGTGAGCTGGCAGACCTGGGTAGAGATGGAAACCCAGCGCCTCGTGGCTTAGAGGTGTCTGGAAGCTCAACAGGGGCTGCATTTCTTTTGGGGATGTTGAGCAACTGTGGACTCCCCCGAGAAGCATGTGGACTGTGCGCAGTCGTCAGCGAAACGTGATGTTCAACTCTTGGAAAACAGGACTCGCCTCGAGAGCATGGGTTCTGATCTGGCAGCAATATGCCCATCCACGGACGGCGCACTACACCAAGGATCTTGCAAATCGTCGGCAGCCTTGAGAACCTCCTGCAAAGTCATCTGCCGAGCATCATGATCGTACTCGCGATCCTCCTTCAGATTCTTCGAAGATGTCCGATGGAACTGCATTTTGATCTTGCTGGTGATGTTGGGGCTCTGCACAATCCCACCGTCGACGTCCACCTTCCGCTCGGGCACTTTGAAGGCATGTGGATGATCTTCGGGGAGAGCGGCTGCGGCGAAGATGGCGTCGATGGGCCCGAGGGGTCGTGCTGGTGGCTCGGGGGAGTCGATGCGCTGCTGGGGGAGCGTGCAGCAGAGGTTGGGGCCCGACATGGAAGTGGAGGAGTCGGGAAGAAATTACATATGTTGTGTTGATGAGATTGTGGTGGTGGTGACAGGCGATTGGGAGAAGACGGAGAGCAGAAGATGAAAGCATGATAGAGCAGTCAGGAGATACTGGATGGGATGGAAACGTGCCTACCTTTGTCTGCGCAGTTCTAAAGATGGTGAATCGGAAGGCCATGCCAACTGTTGGTTGGGAAGATATGGCAGGTGATGGCGTCTGTAGGTCCTGCCGCCAGTCTGAACCACGGCAGCTGTTTCCTTCCAGCAAGAGAACGCGGTGGAGTAGCGACATTGTGGAAGTGTTGTTGTGGAAACTGACATGTACTTGCTGACATGCAGACAGTAGAAGGCATCTTTGTAAGCAGCTGTCGTGACAGTTGAGTGCACAGATGAAGTCGTGGAGGCGTGCAAATCTCATATGCAGTGTGATGGGATGGGATCGTCGATGTTCCACGTCGTCTATTTAATAGAAAGCTGCGAGGCGGCCGTTGGAAAGATCTGCCGGGCCTTGAGCGCCGCGAAATTGCGAGGTGGCTTGAGGCCATCTGGCGGAAGGAAGGACGAGACTCGACGCGTGCGGCAACACTTGGCACGGTGGCTACGACCCAGTCAGCTGTTGTACGTGGTCGTCGTCGGTGTTCTTCTACGCGGATGTGATGGTGGCAGCACTCTTGCGACCGATGTATATGGGGGGTGCGAGGATGGATTTGTGTATCCCGGCGACTCGGATCCCAATGCGGCAAGGGTTGGAGGTCCGCGCCCCCACTTTCGGCACATCAGAGTTCAGATGCAGGGTTGTGGCTTTGACGCGACCGGGGGTTGTTTTGGTGTTCGCTTCTGACTTGGGTTCGCGTGCTCGAGCGAGTGTCGATCGTTGTCATGTCCCGTGTACACTGCAGTAAACACTGTTGCCCAACAGGGCCGCCAAAAGCAGGCCGCGCAGGCCAATGGCCATCTCAGTCATCCCTCTCGTCGAACGCAAGCAACATCCCCCTATCACCATCCATTCGTGCGCAAGGAGAGACAACTGGCCCCAATCAAGCTAGCCAGGCGCAAACCGTTTCCCCGGTTTGGTGAAGCCGTTAGGTCGCGCTCCTTTCCGCGCACTGTTCCCTGCAGCCGTGCTCGACCCCAGCACCGGGCTTGCAAAATCAACACTCCCTTCACGCGACTCGGGAGATGATCAGCGCCCACCGTCGCACTTCCTCAAACCCACCTCCTATAATCCACGTGTGATAAATTGCTGCTTCACTCCTCCTCGCACTTGTCCAAAGACACCCCCGCCGCATTATCCCCGAAAGCAGGAGGATTTCGCAGCTGGTGTGCGTGTGTTGTCATTGCCTCCCACCTGGCATAAGCTATCGCGTGAAGAGGGGAAGGCACTGCCCTTGCGTTCTTCCCTCGCCTGCATCATCGCTTCGACGACAATCCACACACCCCTCTGTTCGTCGCCACTCGCTCTTCATTCGACCTTTTGCTCTGTCAAGGATATCATTCATTACCACCAGAGGAGCGCACACGCGCAAGCGAGCGCCCGCGTCATCAGCATCTCTGTTGCTCTCGACTGACTCGCCCACGCCCACCACCTCGCCCTGCACAATCCTTCTGTTGACAGACAACAAACCCACCATCGATCGACGAGTTCGCCGGGGGAAAAGCGACCGCGTACTTTTGCCGTCGCCGCGCCCCGAAGGATCTGGGTCTTCTCCACAAGCCTCTACCAAAAACACGAACACCGGCTAATCCCGACGCTGCACATTCCACATCACAACAAATCCTCTCCCACACACCCAATTATCGCCCCCTCGCGACAGGCCCTTCTAGAACGGAATTGGAACGCGACGGCTGCACCTCTTGCATACTGCATCTGCTCTCATCGCGCTTTTGTCGACCTTTCGCGCCGACAACAAATGGACTCGTCCGCCATTCTATGCCGTTGGAGAGCGTAGCATGGTACAGCGAAATGGAAGTCAACAATTCTTCTTCCCCAAATTGGCGGCTGGACAAGGGCGAGCAGACGGCCAACTCCAATGCGCGCCTCAGCACAGCTCAAGCACACTACACACCACCCGAGTCTCCAGTGCGTTCCGCGCAACGACAGAGTTCGTACGCCGAGAATGGGTTTTTCCAAAATTACCTCCGCGCATTCTGCCACTTCGAACCGCCGACAGAGGCCGAGGCGAATGATGAGGCGCTCTTGATGACGGTGCGCATTCAGCCGGGAGACTTGATCCTCATCCACTCCGTCCATGCGAATGGCTGGGCAGACGGCACCGTTCTTACCACCAATGAACGAGGATGGCTGCCAACGAATTACTGCGAGACCTTCGACCATCCGTACATGCGGAATCTGCTCAGCGCAATGACGCACTTCTGGGATCTGCTAGGCGCAAGCAACGACGAGAATCTCTCGACCTTTGTACGACAGGACTACGTCCGTCCGCTAATCGCCGGCGTGCGCTTCCTCCTCGAGCACGCCGATTGTCTGCACAGAGATGCGCCGCTGGTTCAGCGCAGTACCGGTCTTCGCCGACTGCGCAAAGGCCTACTCGCCGATCTATCGAGCGTGGTACAGATTGCGAAACGGCTGCAAGAGGTCGTTGCCGAGCCTCTTGTCGGCGATGCGGTTCAGCACCTTCTTGACGAACTCATGGTGAAGGCTTGCAAGGCCGTGACGAGGGCGGTCGGCTTCGTGGACATGTTGCAGCAGGAAGGCGTTGGCGTTGTTCCTCTGAAACAGTCCAGTCGCAAGAGTGTCCGAGTCGCGGTCGACACTTCTGCCCGCGAGGCTCAGCATGGCAAGGCGCACGACGGTTCTGAACTTCCAGATCCGATTGACAGCGGAAAGTGCTTCACAGAGCCTGCAGAACCCAAGCAGATTTCCGAAGAGGACCAAGCGGCAGCTGGAGATCATGTACGGTCCAACTCACAGAAGAGGCTGTCGAGGGGACCCGGCAGCCTGATATCCCACCGATTATCAACAGTACGATACGACGCTGTGCACTCAGACGGCCTCGCCACGGAGCGACTGGCGCAAGCACACGACGTCTGCATCAGCCAAATCGCCGGCTTCATCGGCCTCTACCTGCACTCCTCGAACCCCGCTTCAGAACTCGCGGCAATGACTCGGCGACTTCAGAGCACCTGTGATACCATGCTCGACGTCCTCGACAGGATCGCAGCGGTGGAGCCACTGGGTTCCTGCTCGATTCGAAAGGCGCGGAGGATGTTTCAGTGGAAGTTGAACGACCTTACTGTGGAGACGGACAAGTTGTTTGCGAACGCTGTCCGGCTTGACGAGGATATCGTCATGGAGCCGAGTCATAGGGATCATCTGGTGGAGCTTAGCACCAGCCTCATCCGCGCGGCGGGCGACTGTGTGGTAAAGGTTCGCCGGATTGTTGAGCAAATTGGAGATTTCGATCTGGAGAACCCGCCCTCCACAAGGCAGGCCATACCTCATGATGAGGACGCCGTGACTGGTGCCAACAACACGGAAGGGCAGTCACACTCGTCAGACCCAAGGCCGGCGACCAGCAGCACGGACTCTCAATCGCGCTCCACGCAAAATGCCAGTCCTACCACGCGGCAGAGAGCCAAGACAACTACTGCCGTTCACGATCTTACACGAGAGTCCAGCGCAAAGACCAGCTCACGCACTCCCGACAAATCAATTTCTCTGACTATCCCCAGTTACACACCCATGGAAAGCAAAGCAGACGCCGCAGCTCCTCAGCTCTCGCCGCCGAACGCAGACACCACGAAAAGCGCCAGATCGTCTCGAACGCATTCGACAAGCCCCGTCCGCAAGTTCAGCGTCGGCGCCTCCATCTCTACCTCTACAGATACCAGGCTGAGCAGTATGCGCGATTCCGGCATCACGGCGGTGTCCGAAATCTCCACGCGAGCCACGACGCCAGATCACGCCAAGGACGCGCCGGCTTTGGTCAACAGCGTCGACAGCTTTTCCAGCATTCCGTCGACCGGTAATGTCGAGTCGAGCATTGATGCAGAGGCACAGCTGTTGCAGAAGACTTATGCGAATGAGCTCACGCTTAACAAAGATGGCCAGGTGACGGGTGGCAGTCTCCCGGCGCTCATTGAGCAACTTACTACCGGAGACACCGCGCCCGATCCACAATTTGTGGCTGCTTTCTTCGTCACCTTCCGCTCGTTTACTACTGCCCGGGAACTCGCTCAAGCGTTGATCCAGCGGTTTGATTACATCGGTGAAGATAAAGCTGTGGGCGTCCCCGTCCGGTTGCGCATCTACAACGTCTTCAAGGGCTGGCTGGATACATACTGGAAGGTGGACGGCGACCGAGAAGCCCTGGGCGACATCAGATACTTTGCGCTGCACAAGCTAAAGCCACTGATGCCCCTGGCTGGAGAGCGATTATTGGAATCCATCCGAAAGATCAGTGCGTCGTCTCAAAATGGGTCCGCCAGTGCGACTTTCGCCCCTGGGCCGAGAAAGTACAATGCGCTCTCTGTCAGCCAGGAAGAGATCGATTGTGACGCGCCCGAGCCGATGATCACGAGGAGCCAGTTGAACACTCTCAAGAAGTGTGTTGCGGATAGCACTGCTTCGTGCTCTGTGATGGATTTCGATCCCCTGGAGATGGCGCGCCAACTGACCGTACTCGGGTCTCGAATGTTCTGCGAGATTCAGGCCGATGAGTTTCTCAGCCTCGAGTGGAACAAGAAGGACTCCCTCAAGGCGGAGAATGTGCGCAACATGTGCCTGCTGAACACCGATGTGGCCCATTTCGTCGGCGACACCATCTTGACTCCCGAAGACGCGAAGAAGCGCGCACTGGTGATCAAGTACTGGTCGAAAGTGGCGACTCGCTGCCTGGAACTCAACAACTACGAGTCCCTTATGGCCATCATGTGCTCCCTCAACTCCTCCGTGGTGCAACGTCTGAAGCGCACCTGGGAACTGGTGAGCAAGAAGTCGCGCGCCCGCCTGGACGAACTCAACACGGTGGTCGACTTCTCGCGCAACCAAATGTCGCTCCGCCGCAGACTCGAAAACGCGCCCACCCCCTGCCTCCCCTTCCTCGGCGTCTACCTCACCGACCTGATCATGCTCGACGCCGGCAACGCCAAACTGCGTCAACTCCCCGGCGTGCGCACCTCGACCGGCGAAGCGCTAACCGTCATCAACTTCGACAAGCACATGCGGATGGCGCGCATCGTCGCGCACCTCCAGCACTTCCAAACGCCCTACAAATTGCAGGAAGTGCGCGACATGCAGGCCTGGCTGCACATGCACCTCGACCGCATGCGCAGCTGCAATGCGCAGATGGTCGGCGACTTCCATCGGCGGAGCTTGTATATTGAGCCGAAGCGCGATGCCGCGAGCGCGACGCATGCGATGCTCGCGCTGCCGAAGTTGCCTGAGTTTCGCCGGGCTACGGATCCGACTGCTTCGAGGGCTGGGGCTGGGAGTCGCGATGGGAGTGGTGGCGAGGAACAGCAGCAGCAGCAGTCGCAGTCGCAGCAGTTGGTGCGGCCGAAGACGGCAGGGTATGCGCCTACGTCGAAGAGCTTCAAGTCGGGTGGGCAGGCGTTTGAGTTTTTGTGGAAGACGAGGTTTGATTTCAAGGGGAGGGGAGAGGGGGTTGTTGAGGGGACGTGATGGGCAGGTGTTGATTGATTGACTGACTGGCTGACTGGCTTATACATGATACCCGTTCTTGCATAGCTTGGGGTTTACACGACAGTACACGACATGATGGTAGAGATATGAGCAATCTACAATGTTTCTGGATGAAATACGTCGACTCTCGACCGATGCTTGTATGGGATGTTGGAACACGTGACCCGGCACTCGCCACAAATCCGGGTTCCGGACGTGGCGTCCAGGTTTGACCAGCTGTCTAACCGCGTGGAAGATGCGCAGTCGATCAGATGATTTATTACTCGCCTCTAAACTTGATTCTTCCTCCTTGTAACCCCAGCATGCTTCGTCTTTCTCTGGCGTATCGTTTTGACTCGCTCGAGGAAGGACAGAGCCCAAGTGACGCAGCTGCCTGCCTCGGGGAAGCAAGCCGCGGCGTGGAGCACCCGAGCCACACGCCACACCAGGCGAACGCGGGCTGACGTTGAGGGGGATCACATGAAAGAAAGCGAAGCCGAGAACACGTGCTGCGCGATGCCGGCCGAAGCATCTTCTTCTCCTCCTCCGCCGACACCACCACTTCCACGACACTCTTCCTCTCCTACCACCCAACCAACTAAACCTCCTCATATCTCCATCTCTGCTCGGCCCTCCCATCACCATGCAAGTCTAATCCTGCCCTCTCGAAGCAGACATGCTTCCGCCGACCTTGACAGCCGTGCTGGTCTGGACTCGTCCCGTATTGTCTCCGACTATCCTTCTACCCATCGGCCCCTCAGATCAATAATCGACGACAACCGCAGAAGCATCAACCCCGCCCACGAAGTCACCGCAACTCTAAGACGAGCCTTCTTCGGCGCAGGCTCGATCCGAAGCTACTCCTACCCTCCATCTGCAGACTCGACACTCCTGGCCATGTTGAACGAGTCGATGCAACACGATCCCGCGGTGCGGGAGGAGATACAAGAGGCGAGGAAAATGGACGCAGCCCTGCCGGCCAACGACGGCATGCACGCCCTCCGCTGCAAGCTGCACGAAATCCGCAACCTCGCCCTTTCCACGGAAGAAAAGGCGAGGAGGATGCATATGCTCATGATGCAGCAATATGTCGCGCACAAGTCCCTCCACACCTCGCCTGAGTCGTTCTCGAGTGGTCAAGGGGAGCTCCACGCGGAAGAGCCTGCGGCACTCGATGTTGGTGTTGCGGCTATTCCCATCGACCCTTCTAATCCCTACAATATCCGTCCCGGCGACCTTGAACCATCTTTTAGCTCGCTGGCGGTGGCGTCAAACGAAGAGCAAGATGTTGACGAAGGCATGGAAGTCGATTACCAGCCCGCACTAGGATGCATGCACTATCTTCGCAACGTGAAAGTACAATGCTTCGACTGCCATCGCTGGTTCTCGTGCCGACATTGCCACGACCAGTCACGCGACCTCCCCTTTCCACACTCACTACGGCGCAAACTCATTCGAAACATGCTCTGCATGATCTGTCAGACGCCACAGCCGGCGGCGGAAGTGTGCTGCAATTGTGGCGAGTGGTCGGCCAACTACTACTGTGATACGTGCAAGCTTTTCGACAACGATCCCAATAAGAGCATCTACCACTGCGACGATTGCGGCATCTGTCGACTCGGTCGTGGCCTGGGCAAAGACTTTGTGCATTGCAAGAAGTGCAATGTCTGCATCTCCATCTCCACTTCTGCTGAGCACCCGTGTATCGAGGGCGCCACGGAGGGAGACTGCCCGCTGTGTTTGGAGGAGATGTTTGCGTCACGCACAAAGGTCGTCAGTCTGCCGTGCGGACATTATATGCATGCTATATGCTATAAAGACCTGATGTGTGTCACGTACAAGTGTCCGGTGTGCAGCCGAAGCGCCGTGAACATGGAGTTGCAGTGGCGAAAGCTGGACGACGAGATCGAGGCGCAACCCATGCCAGAGGACGACGAGGACGACTTGATCCTTCCGCCGGTTGAGATCCACGTTGACGAGGCTCATCCCCAACAACACGCCAGAGAGCCTATCCCGCGACAACGCAGGCCAAAGATCGTTTGGATTGGCTGCAATGATTGTGGCAGCCGCTGCTGGACCGCATTCCACTGGCTCGGGCTGAAGTGCAGGGTGTGCGACAGCTACAACACCAACCAAATGGCTCCCACCGCCGGGTACGAGACCGAAGCCGAGCGCGTGCTCCGACAGCAGCAGCAAGTCCATCGTCAACACGAGTTCACCGGTAATGCCGTCCTCCGCGATGCCGGTATTGGCGCCGAAGAGGCCATACGAGTCGACAGTGCACTCGATGTTCCATCTTCTCCTGCCCAGCTCGCTGTCCCTTCTTCGCCTGGAAGCCCCTCCAGCATTCCCTCTTCTCCGCGTCGATACTTTGTTCAAGAGGAAGAACCGCGCAGACCGTCCTTCACGGTCCCTCGCTTTTCCACTCCAACACTCCCTACGCTACGCAATCTCCCCGAGATGCCGCGTCTACCACGCATGCCGAACTTGCCCAACATGCCGAACTTACCCAACATGCCCAACCTCCCCAACATGCCCAACTTACCCAACATGCCAAATATCCCCAACCTACCAGAACTCGGCCTCCCCGAACTCGGACTTCCCCGCTTCTCAACATACGGCGTCTTCGACTCGCTGAGCCGCAGCCTGTCGCCTATGCGCTACTACTTGCAGGCCCAAGATGTGAGGGATGGCGCGATGAGGATGAGAGACGCGAATCGCTCGTCTCTGAGCGTGCATTCGGAGCCGGCGGCGGATACGCTATCGAAGCGGAGGCGGGCGGTCGATTTGGCGGGTGATGGGTGGGAGTCGGAGGGGAGGGGCTCTGGAGACGAGGAGGATGGTGAGGAGCGGCATAATCTTCATGAACGAAGGGGAGTGCCGCAAGTTGATGCTGAGGATGATGATGAGGAGGATGATGACGAGGAAGAGAGTGATAGCGAGTCTGAGGAGCAATCTGATGTTGATATGCTTGAGGACAAGGACTCGGACTTGGATATGGATCTTCCTGGACATCGGTGAGGAGGGAGCAGGAGTCGAGTCGTCCTCTGCGGTCCTGGAAAGTGTTGTGGCACGCCTAACAATATCATGAATACATACATATCGACAAACGTCTGCCCATGCATCAATTGCCTTCAATTGGTCGGGCAACATCAATCTCATCCTTCAACAACCCCCGCATTTTCTGCGCATTCTCCATCCATCGAATCCACGCCACGCCTTGCAACAAGCAATCCGCCAGATCATCGAGTTTCCCAACCGGCTCCTCCTCTGCCTCGTCCGACACACCGCCCTGCCCACCCCGTAATCTGCGCGAAGAAAGAAAGTACTCCTTTACCTTCAGCGCATCATCCCCCACCAACTCCAACCCAACCTGACCATCCTTTACCAGCGACGAAGGCTGCACAGTCTCGGCCTCAGCCAACCAGTTCTTGACAAGCGCAATCTTCTCCTTCTTCTGCACCTTCTTCCTCCCGCCGCCCTTCTCCTTCCCCTTGTCTGCAACCTCCTCCCTCCAACCTCCATCAAACAATGCCCCCTCAACAATCGTGCCCTGATGCCCTCCACACCAAAAATCCGCTACGCGAGCCGGACTCGCTTCCTCCATAGCCGGGAAGGCGCGCACATTCGATGAGGTAGCGCGCATCGTCGCCCAACAAGCCCACAGCATGGCTTCCAGCATGTTCACGCGCAGCGTCCATTCTTGCACTGCGGAGGCGCCGCCCGAGCGGAAACGCTGGCGCTCGATGAGGATGTGGGTTGGGGCGTGGCGTTGGAGGAGGGTGGTGGAGAGGTGGAGGGCTGTTTGGGAGAGGGCGGAGGAGGTGAAGAGGGGTGTTGGGGAAGCGGAGGTCAGGTGTTGGAGGACGTTGAGCTTCTGCCAGGCGATGATGTTGATGTTTTGCGTTGATGGAGTTGCGGTTTGCGGTTCCAGGAGGCAGATGCCGAGGTTTTTGATGCCCATGTCTATGCTGAGGATGCGGGGAGTCGGAGACGTAGGGGCGGACAAGGGTTGTAGGAGACGATGCCGGATTGCGGGCTCCAGGTCGGCTTTTGTGCCGGTGCTTGGGAGGCCGAGGAGGAAGGCGGCGTGTTTGAGTTGCGGGCTTTTGAGGGAGAGGAGTTTTTGCGAGAGGGCCATTGTTGGGTGGGCATTGCCGCGTGTTGAGTGAATAAAAGGATGAATTGAGGGAAACAGCAAGGCGCTCCTTCGATCAAATGGATATCGCGAGTGGATTCAAATGAGATGTGATGCAAAGGGAATCCAGACAAGAAGAGACGCCTTGGAGAAACTTAGCTTGTGTTCAGTGAGATGACGCGTGACTGTTCAATAGAAATGACAATCAGGTACCTTTTCCTACGCCAGCCATATCACAATGTCTAATGCCTTGCACGTCGCGTGTTGTACAGAGAAGGAGAAGACAAAGTCACGTTGGCCCCACGTGGCGCCCCGCGTGGAGCTGAAGCTGGCTGATGCGCGAGCCCAATGCGGCCGCCAAGTAACCTCACGCTGGAACAGACACCTCCCCATCTTCCATCTCAACAACACCATGTCTCCCTCTTGACTCCTGTCGCCGTCTCTCGCACGCATCAGAACCATCATGTTCTCCTAGGACATGATGCCATGGCCGGAGACGTTCACGAGCATAGCGATGCAGCGAACAAAGAAGTCGAGCCGACGGAGGCGGAAAGGCTATTGAACGAGCAGGGCGGGGAAGAGGACAATGCCTCCCAGAACAGCGACACGCCATCCACCGCGAACGGAGGGCAAGATCTGGCAAAGACGGGACAAGATGCGAAGAGACCGCGAGCGTCGCCGCGGAGGCAGTCCTCGTTTGCCCAGCATCGGCCTGGTGGCACTCCGCGTACACAAAACCGGGTGCGGTTTGACGTGATTGAGCCTCCGAGCGCCATGGGGCAGGAATGGCTGGACGAGGAGGACTATGTTGAAGGCGGGGGACAGCACGCGCCTCTGCTCACCAGCATCGAAGCACCCAGCGTCACGCTCGCAAACGACATTGACCTCGATCCCGCCGAATACCTCGAATCCGCACGGCCCAAGAGCGGGCTGAGAAGCGCCTTTATGAACATGGCAAACAGCATTATTGGTGCCGGGATCATTGGCCAGCCCTACGCTTTCAAGCAAGCTGGCCTCTTCACTGGCATCCTCTTATTAATATCTTTGACCGTCATCGTGGACTGGACTATCCGCCTGATCGTAACCAACTCCAAGCTCAGCGGCGCCGACTCCTTCCAGGCAACGGTGCAGAAGTGTTTCGGCAAGCCGGGGCTCATCGCCATCTCCGTCGCGCAGTGGGCATTTGCATTCGGCGGCATGGTGGCGTTTTGCGTGATCATCGGCGACACCATCCCTCGTGTGATTGCCTCTGCTTTTCCTTCGCTGTACGATAAACCGGTCCTCTGGCTGCTCACGGATAGACGGGCGATTATTGTGGTGTTTGTCATGTGCATTTCTTACCCGCTTTCTTTATACCGCGACATTGCCATGGTGAGTCGTTCCCTGCTGCCTCACGGCGAACATTCCACTGATGGCGAACAGCTCGCAAAAGCATCGACTCTAGCTCTAATCTCCATGCTCATCATCCTCATCACCATCGTCACCCAAGGACCCATTCAATCTCCCAACCTCCGTGGCCCTCTTCAAGGCAGCCTTCTGATCAACAACGGCGTCTTCCAGGCCATTGGCGTAATCTCCTTCGCTTTTGTCTGCCACCACAACTCCCTCCTGATCTACGGCTCGTTGAAAACGCCGACTATGGACCGCTTTGCCAAGGTCACGCACTACTCCACCGGCATCAGTATGCTGGCGTGCATGACGATGGCGTTGGCTGGATACCTATCTTTTGGTTCATTGACGGAAGGCAATGTGCTCAACAACTTCCCTACCGATAATGTCTTGGTCAACATTGCGAGACTGTGAGTGTTGTCGTCGTTCATTTCCTACATGTCGAGTATTATACTAATAGCAGCTAGGTGTTTTGGTCTCAACATGTTAACCACCCTCCCGCTCGAATGCTTCGTCTGCAGAGAAGTCATGGTAAGCCTTACACTCCACCTCTCTTTACTGAAACCCAGCTCACACCACCCACCCAGAACCAATACTTCCACCCCAACCAACCCCACAACACCAAACGCCACCTCATCTTCACCACCGGCCTCGTCATCAGCGCCATGAGCGTCTCCCTCATCACCTGCGACCTCGGCGTCGTCTTCGAACTCGTCGGCGCCACCTCCGCCTGCGCCCTCGCCTACATTCTGCCTCCGCTGTGTTTTGTCAAATTAACGAGTCGGCGGACGTGGGAGACGTATGCTGCGTATGCGTGTATTGCGTTTGGATGCGTGGTTATGGGGATTAGTTTGACGCTTTCTGTCATTAAGATGGTGAAGGGTGGGGGTGAGGGTGGGAGTTGTAGGTAGATGATCGATGATGATGTTATAGAGTAAATTGTACCTTTCCTGGTCGATCACCGTACTCTTTGCCTGCTTCTAATGGTTTGTTGTATTGCACCGGCGTTAGCTTTGTTCGTACAGCCTCGGCGGTTGATGACTGAGCCGCTCTTCCTTTACCCCACTCCTGATTGGTGGCTTGATTTTCGAACACCTACCCGCACCCCTCCTCACTTCATACGACTCACCTCCCTTCCAGCAATTGTCCCGCGCTGCCCATTCCCTGCCACTCGCTTCCGACAGATTTGAGAGCTCGATAATTGACACCCCGGCATCAATCGGCTGTTAGCAGCTCTCTCGCGACCTTCCCTCACCTCTACACCTCACCCCCCACCGCCACCACCACAATGTCGTGGTCAACCCTCCTGAACGACGTCACCTACCGCGACCGACCAAACAACAACGCCCCAAACACCACCTCCCCCTCCAACACAATCACCACAGCGGACGCGCGCTCGCAAATCTCGCGCGCGCGCTCCTACGCCTCCACGGCCGCCACGAGCGTCAGCATAAGCGGCGACATCTCCAGCCAGCTGCATGGAGGCTACTCGCACCCGCTGGCGCGCGCCTGGCAAGCGGAGCGCCAGCTGACGAAAGCAATGCTCATGTGGCCGCTCTTCGTCACCGACAACCCGGACGAGGAAGAGATTATCCCCTCCCTCCCCGGGCAGAAAAGAGTCGGGCTCAATAAGCTCGTTGCCCTGCTGCAGCCGCACATTGCCCGCGGGCTCAAGTCCGTCATCCTCTTCGGCGTCCCGCTCGCTCCGGGATGCAAAGACGCCCTAGGCACCGCGGCAGATGATCCGCAGGGGCCCGTCATAAGCGCCATCCGCCTGCTCCGCCGCGCCTACCCGCGCCTCTTCATCGCCGCCGACGTCTGCCTGTGCGAATACACTTCCCACGGCCACTGCGGCATCCTGCACGAAGACGGCAGCCTCAACAACGCCCTCTCCGTCGACCGCATCTCCGACGTCGCCATGGCGTACGCCGAAGCCGGCGCCCACTGCGTCGCCCCCTCCGACATGAACGACGGCCGCATCCGCGCCATCAAGCTCAAGCTCATCGAAGCGGGCATCGCGCACCGCGTCAACCTAATGAGCTACGCGGCCAAATTCTCCGGCTGCCTGTACGGCCCCTTCCGCGACGCGGCGGGCTCCGCGCCCTCCTTCGGCGACAGGAGATGCTACCAGCTCCCGCCTGGGGGCCGCGGATTAGCCCGCCGCGCCATCACGCGCGACATTGCGGAAGGCGCGGATATCATTCTCGTCAAGCCGGCGACGCAGTTCCTCGATATCATTAGTGATGCCAAGGAGATTGCGAGGGATATGCCGATTGCTGCGTACCATGTTAGCGGCGAGTATGCCATGATCCACGCGGCGGCGAAAGCCGGAGTGTTTGATTTGAAGACAATGGCTTTCGAGGCGACCGAGGGGATTTTGCGCGCCGGCGCGAATATTGTCATTTCCTACTTTACCCCGAACTTCTTGGAGTGGCTGGAGACGTGAGGGGGCGGAAGTCATTGTAATGGGAAGAGAGCAGGAGAAGGGGTTTCAATTATGCATCGCTAGGTATCATGGATCATGTAGGTTTCAAAAGACAAAATGTCCCAACTCCACGCCTGCTGGTGCTATACAGATATCGATCGCATTCGTGGTTAATGTTATTCCAAGGGAAAATTGCCGTCGCCATTCTGATCATCATCACATGCACGCCCATCTCCTGCCCTCAAAAATGCAAAGAGCACATTCCCCGCCGTCAATCAATTCAAACAACTCATAACGTAACCCCCACAATCTCAAAGCACGACCCCAACGCTCGCCTCCCCGCCCGCCTTTGCACTCTCCATAGCCTCCTTCTTCGCAGCCGCAAGCCTCTTCTGCTTCTCCGCCCACTCCCGACTCGCCGCACGCCCCCTCTCCGCAGCCTCCGCGCGCGCCTTCTTCGCCGCAGCCTCTTTGTCGAATTTGGCCTTTTCCGCCGCTGCTTTGGCTGCCGCGGGGCGATTGAAGACTTCTTTGCCTTTGGCTGTCGTTGTTGTCGGACGTTGGGTTGAGGCGGTGGGGTTGAAGGATGATGCTGGGGCGAGGGAGGGGCGGGGTCTATGTGCTGTTGATGCTGTTGATGCTGTGGAGAGTCTGCCTGCGCTTGGTTTGGAGGATGCAGTCGATGTGCCTAATCTCGACGCGGAGAGGGTGGAATGTGACACCGACACACGCGGATTCAAAGCAGTAGCCACGCTCTGAGCGCGTCTATGCGCCGCCACCGCACCCGGCGTCGTAGCCGCAGCCGTAGAAGCGCGCAGATCCTTCCCACTCATCAGGGACTCCCGCGCTTTGCTCGCATTCGTATGCCGTACGCTCGGCGCTCTGCTCAACGAAGCTGGCACAGGACGCGCTTTAAATGCCTTCTTCTGCCCCGCTTCATCCAGTTCTTTCTGCTGCCGTGCTTCCTTGGCCGCTTTCAGCTTTGCTGCTACGGCTTCGCCGGGGAGCTGGAAGGTGCTTTGTGTTGGAGCTTTGGTGGATTTCATGGGTTGCGGGGGAGTTGGGAAGGAGAGGGAGACGGGGCGGGGTTTGCTGTGAGGGATGATGACTTCTCTCTTTGCCACGACCGCAGGTGGGCTGGGCTTGACTCCGGATTGGATGGTGCCGGCGCTGGATTGTCGGACGCTAGCTGAGCGAGCGAGGGTGGTGGAAGGCCGTGGTCGACCTAGGGCTGGAGGTCGGCTGGCTGCTTCGGGGTTCTGGGCGAGTGAGATTCTTGCTTGAGAGGCTTTTGTCGCTCGCACTACTGGGGCTGCTTTCTTCACAACTTTCCTTTCGGTCGACTCGCTTGTGCGCTTTGGCTTTTCGGGGCTGGATTGAACGTCGGGGATGTCGTACTTAACGCTTTCGACTGCCTCATCGAGCGCGTCGAGGGCAGTGATGGGATCTGCAGCAGGCGCTGGAGGTGGTGTTGCAGCAGTGACAGCTGCGGTCTCTAGTGCATCGTAGGTCGACGGCTGGGGCGTTCTGACATCTTGCGGTTCGATATTCTCCTTGTTGCTCGTTGATCGTTTGGCTGGCGTCTCTGAGCGAAGGTGGGCAACGACATTGGGGACGGCAGTGGGGAGAGGCGAAGCCGGGGCATTCAAGTTCAATGCACTTGCCGTCTCCTGCTCTGCTCCAATATCGCCCATTGTGAGCCCAGGGGTTGCAATGGCAGTCGAGGAGAAGTATTCTTGGTCCAACTCTTCACGGGTCTGTCCGATTCCGTCGACCAAGCTCTTCGGTTCGAGTTGCTGAGCACCTGTCAAATCGTTGACAGCTGGACTGTGGTGCTTTGCGGTGTTTGAATTGTCAAGGGGGAGGTGGGTGATTTCCACTGCTTGGACCCCTGCATTAGCTTCCAGGGGGGTTTCGGGGTGTTTATGTGAAACGATTGGGGGGAATCAGCTTACATTGGGCTGACTCCTTGGTCAAATCTTCCGCTGCTGTTACGTTAGGAAGGCCTAATATTGGTGCGTTGCCCTTTGGGAGCACGTGCTGCTCGTCGCTCAATGGCGTCTCCGCTAGCTTGGAGGCAGTCATCGGGTCGGCGGCGAGGTTGTCCATGTTGTCTCTGGATGTCTTCTTCCCAGCTGCCCTTGTCCGTGTTGATTTCCTGAGCTCATGCAGCACCTCCTCGGGTTGAGAGTGGCTGTCGGTGCTGTTTGGCTCCAAGCTGCCCAATGGCGCTCGATCACCTTGCTGGAGCAGACGCTCTTTCACGTCTTGACGGGTGATGTCCTCCTGCATATTCAGAACGACATCTTCGTCGACGTGAAGGGCTTCGGCGACTTCGGCAGCCATCTTGCGCGTGATACGGCCTACCATGGTGGCGGTTGGTAGCGGTTGTGGCTGTCGTTATCGCTGTTGTGGTGTGTGTGTAGGATATCGAGCGGGAAACGCGCAGATCAACGGCACGGGCAGTGTCAACGCCTTCACAGCTAAGACACACGTGCCGGACGATCAGGGCAATCAAACGGTGTACTGTTCAGGGTCGGAGATCGACTGTGGGGTCTCCAAGACAGCGGTGGTGTCGCGTTTGTTTACAGAGTCACTGCGAATCGACGGCGAGAAAAGTAGTGGCACCCCTGTCCCGCTGCGACGCGCCACGCGCCTGGCGCCTTCCCCGCGAAAGCCAAACCGGCTGTGGTTGGGATCGGCACCGTTCTTGCTTCATCAATGTTCCATCCTCCAAACAGATTGTATTCATCCTGTGGTAGAGATGCACGTAGAGAAGAAAGCGATCTTGCTATGCCGACATCAGCGACAGTCCTCCAATGGCAGTCGACCATCCAGCTCTGCCTGCCACTACCTTACAACATCACCGGGTGGAAAGCTCTCAACGTACGGTTCCTTCACCAAGCTGACTGTTCGTGGCCTTCACCTCTGTGGGAAAGCACCAGAAGGACACTTTGATTGTCGAGCAAAGATGCCCTATTCTGGTATAAGCGCGTCTACACTATTGCTCACCCGGCTAATCCTACCATCCTGGAATTCCTCGAAGCACCCCAACTCTGAGCACGTGAGGGGGAACAAGGCCCGTACCGCCATCGAGATCCAGGCTTTCAGGGCCTGCTCGCTACTTGCGATCGCCTGTCACGCGGAAAGAGTGAAGGTAAGGTCGGAACAGATATGCCCCGAGGCGAGTTGTGCACAACGGCTGGCTGCAGACACGTCCATGGCCCGGACCGTTTCTGAATGCGGGGTGGAGCTGGCGCGTGGGGGTGGATGAGCCTCATGAGCATCTACTGATCATCATCATCTACGCGACAACTTGCCATAACCGAGGGCAAACACATCTCTCATCACGGGACGTAGGTTGTCCATTACGCTGGCGTCCCGCTATTCCTCCATCGAGTGTCCGGGTCATGCATGAGAAGGGCAATGGCCGCAACTGCACGTACGTAATCCTGATGGAACGCGGGCCACGCCTGACGCCATCTCCAACACTCCGGACCATCGCCCGGCCCCGCACGCCTCCTACGTGCCAAAAAGGGGGGATGGGCGAACAGCACCAGGGACCAGCAGCAGCAGACACCGCACGCATCCACCTTGGTGGTGTGCCGGCTGCACACCTCAGTGGCGTCAACCACACGTAGGCATCCCTCCTACCTCATCTGGCCAGCCGTGTGAACCAACGGGACGCGACGGCTTGTCACCGATGCGGCATCTTCCCCCCCACCCTGCGTCTGAAGCCTGCCTGCCTGCCCTGCCCTGCCCTGCCAAACCGTCAAATTACGCCAGAGCATGCGTGACCTGGCCGATCGGGGCTGGAGGGATGGTAAGGGGAAAGGTTAATAATGTACGTACAGTACATTGCCCAAGCGCTTCCCCGCTTCCATCCATGTGTCTGGTCCTTCGAATCTGTTCGATGCTCCAGCCGTGCCTGACTTGACACGCTTCACCACCACCCGCTTTTGCCTTCTTTCCACCGCCTTCTTCTTCTCTCGATCTTTGCCTCTATTGTCATTATTGGGTCTACGCCGCCCCTCCAGTCTTTTTCCACACCTTTACTTCTATAAAGTGGTCGTCACCGGACCTGCCGATAACGACTTGAAATTGTTGCATGGTGTCACGGTGCCACCGCCCGGCTGATCGCGAATCGAGCTTGTGCCCGCCCGTTTCACCATCAAGTCAGACGAGCACGCACACACGCACAACACCAGCTGCCGACTGCAAGCTCATATTCGTAAGAAGGCCTCTGTGCCTTTCGGAATCATAGCAATCATTTCTCATCCTCGCGGAACCAACCAGATGGACTGCTTTCGAGACTTTTGCCTGTTCTGCGATCGAGAGGCTCCGGATGGGCTATATGTAAGTCGAATCGTCTTCCGCACGGCGCCGACCTGACTGACGGTATGTCGCCAGTGCTCGCAGTCCTGCAGACTCCGCGACATTGAACGAGGCAGCGATCTTCAGACGTCCTCCCATCCGACAACATCAACCCAACCACGCCTTCACCATCATCATCAACAACACCACCGTCCCAGAAGCACTCCAAAATCGCAGAAAGCCCCACCAGCACACTCCTCCTCCTTACCACCATCCATCTTCGCACAGCGACCCACCGTTCCTCGATCTTCAACCTCCACCGCCCTAGCGACAGGGAGTCGCCTCACCCCATCCACTTCGCAATCCTCCACCGACTCCACCGATAGCTTCCAATCCACCGAACTCGAACGCGCCTCGACGCCCTCCTCTTCTCGCAGTTCGCCGAGCAGAGACTCGCATGCGATTTCGGAGCAGGATCAGCTGGAACTGCTGCGCTACTTTCGCTCTTTCGATCAGAGTCGGAAGGCGAAGCGGCGGCAGAGTGGATGGTAGTTTTGTATTATTCGCGGACTGTCTGTATTTGTATTATGGTGTTACGAGCGTTTGGATGGGTGAGGATGGGTGAACATGCCGAATGGCGTTCCCTCTTACGAAGTGAATGATGCATTTGGGATTGCTGGTGGTGCAGCTTGTTGTAGCAGTGTATTAACCTACCATTGACATCCGAGTCGATGCTTCCTGACAGGAGCAGACGATTCAGCTTAACGCCAGTCGTTTTCAAGTGATTGATGATGATTTCAAGTCAGATCTCAGAGAAGGGCAGTGAGAAAGGAGAGGCGGTATGAATGGCAATTGAAGCCAAGATCGCCGCCGCGCTCGAGCTCCCGTCCGAGCTCATCACACTCGCCTTCACCCCCCCGCGCAGTTGCCACTACATTTGGTACTCAACGTATAAGCCGATCTTCTTCCCTGCCGGCGCCGTCAATGTCTTCCGCGGTCGTAGCTACACAAGGAAAGATCGAACTGGATGCACATTGTTCGGTGCCTTCCATGCCTCTCGTCGACCAGAGGGTGCGGTGATGGTATAGTGACGTAAGGTAGGTAGGTAGCTGTTCGTTTTGTGACGCGCTCAACCATTCGGTAAGTGCAATGCGAGAACAGGAAAATCACATTGACCTGTCACCTTCTCATCTCTTTCTCTCCCTCTTCCCTCTCGTACTCGAGCAAAATGTCTTCAGACAAACCCCAATTCGAAATCGGTAAGACGCCCGCCTCATCTCGCAATCAGTAGCCATGGACCTGACTTCCGTATCCAGGCCATCAGCCACCCATCCAACACCAAGATGTCCCCGGCTCGCAAGCCGCCCTCGACCCGCAGCCGCAAACCGAGCACATCGCAGATGGAGAAGGCGACTACAAAAGGTACAAAGCTGCAGGCAAACTGCAAGGCAAAAAAGCCCTAATCACCGGCGGCGACTCGGGCATCGGACGCGCCACTGCCGTCCTCTTCGCTATGGAAGGCGCCGACTCCTTCATCGCGTACCTCCCCGAAGAAGAGAAGGATGCACAGCAGACGAAGGCGCTGGTGGAGAAGTATGGACAGAAGTGCCATTTGCATCCCACCGATTTGAAGAAGAGGGAGAATTGCGAGGCGGTGGTCAAGGCGGCTGTTTCTGCTATGGGGGGCATCAATATCCTGTTCAACAATCATGCGTATCAGATGATGCGGGAGAATATCCTCGAGCTCAGCGAGGAGCAGTGGTTGCATACCTTTGACACGAACATTCATCGTGAGTCGACACCACCCCTCCGTTGATATACTCAAAAGCTAACCTCTACATCTACAGCCTTCTTCTACCTCAGCAAATACACCCTCCCGCACATGTCTCAAGGCGACACCATCATCAACAACGCCTCCATCAACGCCTACATCGGCCGCCCGGACCTGCTCGACTACACCAGCACCAAAGGCGCCATCGTCTCCTTCACCCGCGGCCTCTCGAACCAGTTTGTCGGCAAGGGCATTCGCGTCAACGCCGTGGCGCCCGGGCCCGTGTGGACGCCGCTGATCCCCGCGACGATGAGCGAGGAGGCGCAGAAGCAGTTTACCAGTCCCATGGGCAGGCCGGCGCAGCCGAGCGAGATTGCCACTTGTGTAGTGTTTTTGGCGAGTACGGATTCGACGATGTTGAGTGGGCAGGTGTTGCATTGTAATGGTGGGGTGATTGTGAATGGGTAGAGGTCTGCTGCCTCGAGGGATGATGCCATGACATAGAGATAGAGCATATGAGCAATATATTCCAGTGCTGCGACATATGCACAGAAATGTCTCAAGAAGCGACCAGGCTCTTGAGTGATCGTACAGTGTATACCCCCAACCTACGTGAGCTTCTGCTTAATGAAAAACGCCCGCAAATAACTCAACTGCCACGCACACGTCGCCGCCAAAATAATCATCTGAATCACCGTCCAGCGCACCACGCGGGAATTCACCAGCTCGCTCTGATCCCGAAACTCCATCTCCCGCTCGCGCTGGAAAATCTGCTCGCGCCGCACATCCTGCAGCCGCGCGTTCAAGTCCTTCACCTTCTGCACCACCTCGCCGATCTTGTCCTTGTCGCTGCTCTCAATCTGCGACGTCTCGCCGATAACGAGGTCGAGCTCGAATTTCACGCCGCCCACTTGCGCGCCCGAGAAGAGGAAGCCTTTCGTTGAGGGCACGCCGGAGGGGACGAAGCAGATTTGGTGCTCGCCCGAGTCGGCGGCGGAGAAGGTGAATTTGCCGCTGCTGGCGCCGCGCTGGGAGACGACTTGGTGGCCGTTGTCGAATTCTTCGTCGACGAGGATGAGCATGGTCTAGCGGGGTGTGTTAGTCGAGGTCGTGCTGTGATAGAGGGAGGATGGCCGTACCATGTCGTTGTTCTCGACATATGTGCGCGCTTGCTCATTCCACAGACTCGCTTTGTAGTGTCCTGTCCATGTATATCAGCCATGCTTCTTTCTCTTCTATCTCTTTCATTGCTCTTCCATACCAACAACCAGCGTATCCTTGGGCAAGTCCTCAAAGAAGCATTTCTTCGTCACGCCGTCAATGTAGAAGTAGAGTGCCTGGGCCTGGCTGACGAGCAGCAGCAGACTCAAGCACTGCCGTAGCGACCACATCTTGACCTGTGTGATGTGTGATGGGAAGAGTGCAATGGTTTGAAGCCGGGAGGATCGGGGGGATTTTTTGAAGATGCAACGCGGCGACGTTGCGGGAGTCGCGCGACGCCAAGACCGAACCCTGAACCCCTGGATTTCAAGGTCACGTGAGATTGTGAAATGCGATTTCTGAACGAAACTGTGATATGATGCGCCTGCTCATACGGTGCCTCTCCTGGCCTGCTCGCGCTTGATCAACCCTCTCCATGCTTGCCATATCACCTTCATGCCAATACAGTCGCTAGAGAAGGGTAGAAACAGCCGCTGCAGCTGCTTCCATTTTCCAGCTTCCCAAACGACTCGTGCCTGCCCTTTTGCAGTCTCTCAATAACGCTGCAACGCTCTGCTGCCGCTCAAATCATTCGCAACTCATTCTCATCCCCACATCAAGTCGCCTGAGAAGGTAGACATGGGCAGCGCCGGCCACTTTTGTCTCCCAGTTTGCTGACAGCTGGTGCTCGCCTATCTGCAAGCTCTCAGCAAGCTGATCCGATCTCTGTTGTGGTTTCTCTTCTTTGTGCTTCGTTCTTGTCCCTTTGAAGTTGTGAGTGGCGGCCGATTGTCTTTGTTTCTCAGTCTTCTTACTTGAAAAAAAGCGCGGCTCATCTTCCTTTCCCCTTCACTCAAAACTCTTGTCCCTCACTGGCCTGGCCAGGCTCATCGTAATTCAAGTCCTGGCTCGCCTGGCTGGGCGGCTCCCAGATCTCGCCTTCTTCAAGATCGTACCACGAGGGGCACTCGCGGATACCGTTCTCCACAAGGACGCATCTGAGGACCTCCCTCTTCTCCAGATGCCCCTGATCCCGCTCGTCCTGAAGCTTTTGCGCATCTTGTTGTTGATCGGCGAGGTCTTTTCCGGCTCGCTCCGCCCTTCCCACCATATCCCAGTGATCAATTACGATCAGTCGATCCTCAATCGGCTTTCCCCGTCCTGTGAGCATCAGGGATAGACTCGAACCCCGGCGAGCCAATCCATCGGCTAATATATTGCCGAGTGAGAGATGATGCCCCTTCACCCAGAGCAGCTTGACGTCAATCCCGTGGTCCTCGAAAAGGTCGGCGTGACGATGGATACTGAGGGCGAGGCTCGGGGGGGGTGGCGGGTGCATAAGGTCATCGATCACGTCCCGGCAGTCCGTGTACACAACGATCTGGCGACAGCCGCGCAGTTGAATGCCTTCAGCGACCTCCAGGGCCTTGGCGACCGCTTGCATCTCCGCCGTTTTGCTGTCGGGAACCTTGCCGAGGGCAAATGCCGCACCCTTCCAGGCGTTTTCGAAGAAGTAGGCGACACCGCCGCCGCCGGCGCCACCTCCAGTCTGGCCGAGACGCGAACCGTCTACGAAGAATACCAGTCCGTCAGGGATCTGGCAGCGGGGGTCTTGGGGGTCTTCTTCATAGCCGTTCAGGTAGATGCCCATGGTTGCGTGTGCGCCGAGTGGTGGGTACATCGCGCCGAATTGCTCGTGCTGTTCCATGTGCTGTTTGAAGATGATTGAAAGCATGGTGAAGGAAGAAGCGCTGAACGATGGACGATTCTGGTGATGAGGAAGCGCTGAGAGATGGAGAGGGTTTGGTCAAGGGATGTGCGAAAAGGTGTTGCATGAGAAACGTCACTTGGAGAAATTGGTGCGTCCTACTACCTGGGGCTTGACGAACGCGTGCCGAAAGAGGAAGGCACGCGGTCATATTCAAACTTACTTGGAGGGGAAGGTGCGACCCAGCCAGCGCTGCGCAAGTCCCTTGACTTCACCTTCTACAAACCTCTGAACCACGGGATTACGGCTGAGCAGACGCAGACGACGACGCGTCAGGGAGTGTGTGCATTTGATAACAGCTCCCGAGAACCTCGGTGTTGTTGGAACAGCAGGAGTTGTGGAAACAGGAGGAGGACGTGGTAAGGCTGCCACGTGAAGCGCGAGGGAGGAGCTGCTGGTATCTCAACACCAAGATGTCGTTCAGCCATGCAGAAGAGGCCAACTCGGTAGCCCTGAGGACATGATATGCTCGACTCGGCTGACATCTCATGGTCGCCTCTGCTGCCATCTTGAAAGACGCGCCGGAGCACGAGGGAGCGCGTTGCTTCATTGTGGGAAAGGGGCTCCAATGTTGTCGAGGAATGCCGTGGCCTCGCCATCTCTTATTACGAGCGTGTCTTCGGCGCGTCCAGATGCTGTCAGTCTTCTGGAGTCCACGTGTGGACGTTGGCAACGGTGGCTGGGAGTGGGCTACGGGTTCTCGGGAAGTTTGCATGCGAATGCGATGGGAACAGCTGATCGCTTGTGGAAGTCTCACACACAACCCGGTCGTAAAAGCGGTAGCGCAGACCGCCTCCTGGCCGTAGCTCCCCCGACTATTGCCAAGGTTTCGCGGCTAAGGGCGGGGATGTGCCGGGCACGCAGCTGTCACGTTCTCGACAACTTGATCGGCGTTGTGAGGCCGACAGGGACAGGGCGACGTGGAATCGGAACAGTACGATGCTCGAATGATAAGAGGTCCTGAAGCACCTGGCCGAACTACTGCCGCGCTCACGCAGGGGCGTGTGGGCCAATGGTCGGAAGACGGGGCCATGTGGCGATGCAGCATCCGCCCCGTTTCGGACAGAATCCCACCCAAAGGCAGCCTAGCTGCGTTTCTCTGTTCCGAATTTAGCGTCATCCTCTCCACTCGCGCGGCCCGCCCACTTTTCTTCCAAGGTTTTGCAGTCCCGCCGCCCGTTCCTCAACACCATCGCGTCTCCTTCTCCTCTCCTTCTCACCTCTTGTATACCTTCGCCTTCCTATCTCCTCACCAATCCCCGGTGCTACTCTCGCTTGGAACCCTCACTCGCTTTTTGGCCTCGTCCTGGAACTCGATCTCGTCAACATTTACGCCGGAAGAACGATTTAGGCGGCAATCGCTACTCGCACACTCGGCTCCCACTCATAGAGCTCGCATTGGAAACAGCACCCCACCGATCCACTGCCTCACCCACCAGCAAGCTGTGCTGGTGACTCGATGCTTACTTGCATCACGAGCGTCATCATGCTCAACTTCCTCTTTGGCTTCCCGCAAATCGAGGCGGAGATTGTCCCGCACGGCATCATGCCCAAAAGACTGGTTGCCGCTACTGGCGACACGAGCACGAGTGCGTCGACACCAACATCAATATCCTCCTCCACGCAATCCAAGTCCTCCGTGACCACTGACGACAACCAAGGAACCACGTCACCTACTTCGCAAAGCACGTCCCCGACAACTTCCCCAACAACGTCCCCAACCACATCCCCAACCACATCCCCAACCACGTCTCCAACAACGACACCCTCCACCTCGTCCACCCCGAGCACCGTTCTAGTGTCGACCACCGGCTCCGACGGCACCACCTCCACCACAGCCATCTCAACAAGCTCTCTGTCATCATCCAAGTCAAGTACCAAGTCAAGTAGCCTGGTCACCCTCGGCTCGACCACCATCAATGCGGCAACACTGAAGAGCAAGACCACCGTAGAGTCTCCCCTCGTCACCGAGCACACCGGACGACGCACATTTACCTCATACTACACCGAGAACGGCGTCGTGGGAAGCTCCGCATTCACCTCGGATTTCGTGAGCAGAAGCACCACCGGCTACGCGAGGAGCACCATCTCTCCCTCCCTTGCGGAGGGCGGCGGCAATGGCAGCAACCTCAGCACCAATAACAAGGCGGTCATCGGAGGCGTCGTCGGCGGCCTTGGCGGTGCAGTCGCCATTGGAGGCCTCGTGTTCGCCCTGTGGCGCGTATGGGGCCGGAAGAAGCAGCATGCTCGCGAGCAGTACACCGACGTTCAAAGCAAGCGTGAATCGGCCATGACCTTCAACAGCGAAGGGTACAGCAATTTTGGCGGCAGGGTGAACACTGCCAGCAACTTCTAGTGAGTTGGGTGGCTGGTGCGATTGGAATGCCAATTTCTTCAATCATGTAATGTATTAGCGTAACGACCGGCACATCTGGGGTCGGGATATTCAACGACGAAACACAATATGTATAGTTAGATTCCAGCAAATCACATCAAATCCAGAACATCAAGAATCACTCAATCCGACTCGGCAAGGTCAAGCCCGTAGGCAGCTGCTTCAACCTCCACACCCTCCTATCAACCCCCATGCACGCCTCAATCGTCTCCACATTCCCGAGCCCAACATTGTCAAACGCCAACTTCTCCAACCGGTCAAACACATCCCTATACGTCCCGAACAAATCGTCCACAGACGCGGGAAAGCACAGCAGGATGTTGAACCGCAGTCTCGCTATCCGCAGCGACTCGGGCAATCGCCGCGTTCGGTTAGGAGTCAGACATGGCCCTTGGGAGACCAGCAGGTTGAACAGCGACCACAGGCCGCGATACGCGCCGGTGCTGAACTCGCTTGCGTGCCCTTTAGTCTCAAATAAGCGGAGGCTGATATTAATCACTGGGTCCAGCTCTGGTGTTGTCGGGAGGGAAATCCAGGTGGGCCAGATGGAGGAGCCGCGCACCATGATATCCAGACATGCTTGTTGGGGACCGCCGTCGACGCGTTTGGACACGCGCTTGGTCAAGATATCGGCTACTTCGGCGTGGATTTGACGATTGGTGAGTTTGAGTTGCAGGAGCGCTGGACGAGGCGAGCGGGCTTCGAAGTAGATTTTGCTTTGGTAGATGCGCTCGCCTGCGTGGTCGGGGCCTTCGGGTAGGGGGCGCGTTTCGGTTGTTAGGAGGTGGTAGATCAGGTCGCGGAGCTCTCGGGGGAGTTGGAGGAAGTGATTGGAGTATGTCGTGCTAGGCAGAGTGGGCTGGAGAGACATGATCGTCGGGATCCGCAGGATTCTATACGTCCAGACATCCACATGAGGTTGTGCTTTGGCGATATGGCTGGCCTTCGTTGATTAAGGCTGTAGGCAGACGTCCCCCAGCGGGGCGGAGTCAGCGAGTCCACGCCCCCGCCTTTCAAAGCTCGACTTCATCTCGTCCCTCGACGCTGCAGCCTACGACGACTTTCAGCCCCCGCCGACACGTCCGGTTTACGAGGAGCAATCCGTGACTCGATGTAATGACTCATGCACTATGCACAAGCATGCGCCATGAATGCCGCAACTTCGCAGCAGCAGACCCCACTCCTGTGTGGCGTGGTTGCCTTCTACTTCCCAACTGGGCAATTTGCGGACACCCCCTTCGGGCTGCAATGCGGTCTTATTGGCCAGGCAAGGTGATAGGGGCGACTATTGCAGACGGCCATGGCAGCCTTACGATCTCACGCTGAGGTATAAGTAGACCATCTGTTCATCTTCCCTTCTCTTCCTTTCACCTCTGCTCCCCACAGAACCATCACATGTCGAAAGAACAGTCGATCAAATTGGACGCTCTTCTTTCCAATCAACAAAACAACATGCCGCGCCATCTACAGACCGGCCCCAGGTGTGGACGTACCGTACGTCGGCACGTTCCAACTGCCAATGCAGACGCCGAGGTCGTCTCTAACCCTGACCTCGACGAGCAAGAGGCCATCCGGCTCAAGGAGATCGAAGAGGGGGCCATGCGTGCCGAGCTGAAGCACATCGACAAGAAATTCACCGAGCAAGGCCAGATCTACTACGCCGAGACGCTCGAGGAGGAGATTCCGGAGCAAGTCAACTGGTGGTCCAAATTTGCCCTGTGTCTCGTGCGCCACATGGCTGGCGACGTCAAGCGTCCGTGGGTGCAGAAGGTGAGCTTGCACGTCAACTCGCAGCATCTCAAGGACATCTTGAAAAAGACGATTGAGCATTACCCTGGCATTTCGTTCGCCACCAAGGACGTTGCCATCGACAGTCCCTATCATGTCCTCTTCTATTACCGTCACGAGTTGGCACACGCTGGTCGTGATCTCGAGGAAGGGTCAGAAGCATCTCAGCATCTCAATCTACTCGTCGACTTTATTGACGAGCGCTTCAAAGAAGTCATCGAGGAGTCGGAGAACCTTCTCCCACAAGGCATGGTCAGCTACAGCAATCTGTGGACCATCTTCCGCCCAGGATGCACCGTCTATGGTGCAGTCTTTGGACAGCCCCGAGCATTCACGCTCAAGAGCGTTTCCAACAGCGTTGAACCACCCGGGCTGCAGCTCAACTTGAGCTATGTCGACTTCGACGGCGACGACATGGGCACAAGAGCTACATCGCGCCTTGTCGCTGCCTTTCCTGGCGCAGAGAAGATCAGCGAGCTTTCCGCCTTCCCTATCGAGTGGCATCCACAAAAGGAGCAGGCAAAGCGGCAGCTCATCGCTCGAGGCCGACTCTGGGAGCAGTACGCCGGCATGAACCTCCGCCACTACAAAGGCATTGCTCTCGAGTATACGCAGTGTGGCATTCGGCGCTACAACATGGACGGCCGCGTGGTCGTCGACACCGCGACCTTCCATCGCCTGAACGCCAATTTCGCCTTCTCGGTAGAGGCATTCAAGGCCGACAACGAGAATCGGGCGAAGAGACGACGCATTCAGGATGAAGACGATGACGAGAACGTCGCAACGCTCGATCTCGTCCCCGAGAAGACCCTTGACCTGGACCCTCTCACGGAAGAGCAGTGTCTACTCGCAAACAGCATGGTGCGCGGCTTCTCCTTCACCGAGAAGAAATGGCTCGACTTCTTCGTCGACAGACTCGCCCCCATCAACTGGAACCCCAACTGCTTCGACGAGCTTGTCCTCCCTTCCGCACAGAAAGACCTCGTCAAAGCACTCGTGGCAACGCACATCGAGCAACGCGTCGCTTTTGACGACATTGTAGCCGGCAAAGGCAAAGGCCTCATCCTAGTGCTGCACGGCACGCCCGGCACAGGAAAAACGCTCACAGCCGAAACGGTCGCCGAATATAGCCAGCGCCCCCTCTACATGGTCTCCAGCGGCGACCTGGGCACCGACAGCGCCGGCCTCGACGAGCGCCTAACGCGCATTCTCGACATGGCCTCCACGTGGAAAGCCATCCTGCTAATCGACGAAGCAGACGTCTTCCTCGAGCGCCGCAGCCTGCACGACATGCAGCGCAACTCGCTCGTGTCCATCTTCCTGCGCGTGCTCGAGTACTACGAAGGCATCCTCTTCCTCACCTCCAACCGCGTCGCGACCTTCGACGACGCCTTCAAGTCCCGCATCCACGTCCCCCTCAAATACGCCGAACTCACGGCTCCCTCGCGCCAGCGCATCTGGAAGAACTTTCTCGGCAAGTTGGGCGCGGACGAAGTGCTGATGGGTGAGCCGGAGTACGAGCGGCTCGCTGCGGCGGAGATCAATGGGCGCCAGATTAAGAATGTTGTGCGGACGGCGAAGAGTCTGGCGAGGTTTCATGGCAAGCCGTTGAATCTGGACATGTTGGAGCAGGTGATTGAGATTCAGCGAGAGTTCGAGCTGGAGTTGGAGTCGACTTCACGTTCGGTGGAGAGAGTGGATGGGGTGAACGGGGTTTGGGCGATGCCTTGATGCATGGGCATTGAGGGAGCTGAGCGCTGGCCGTGATGCTGTGGTTTCAGATTGGGAACATGGAATGGGGAAGCCTCGAGACGGGTTTAAGATGGAGGAAGAACAGGCTCAAGACCAGTCATCATCTTTGGTCTCACACGGTACACACGAGGAATGAAATAGCAGACAGCAAGGAACTAGCACAATCCATGTTTCATCTTTCTTCTCATATCCATTCTCTGAACTTTTTCCCTCTCGTTCGAGCAGCAAATGGCCGAAAACACAAGCAAAAAAGAGCATACCATCTGCTATGCAAACACGCCCACCCTGCTTGCCCGCTTCTTCCCCGGTCCGGTGACTCCCACGCAGAATCAAAGCAGGCTGCTGGTAATCAATGCTATGCCACCTCTAGCCACCAGCAGCCGGGATATCTCTATTATGATGACGAGGTAACACCACTCGTCTACGCCTTCTCGGCTGCCGAGAGAGGGAACGTTGTGAAGTCTCACCCACACTCCTTGGAGTATGGGTTGTGCGAAAGCGTAAGTCGCATCAAGCAACCAGCTCCCTAAACCCCTCCATATCCTCCTCAACGACTCCCCCGCGCACACCCACGCTCAATTCCACATCCTCATCCAGTCACAACTCATCGTCATCGAGCTCACTCGGCTTCAGCAACCCGCCGACCTTCATCGCGCGCTCCCTCTCCGCATCCTTCGCCTCTTGCGCCGCCTTCTCGCGATCCTCCTGGTACAGTTCGGCATTATCCCCCGAGCCGGCGAATTCTTTGAGCGAGATGAGGAAGTCGCGCAAGATGAGTTTGAACTTGGGATTGTCCTCGGTGCTTTCGAACAGCTGGCGGATGAAGCTAGTGATGTGTGCAGCCTGCAGGTTGGGAAAGGCGTTGCCGAGCAGCTGCGCGACAAAGTTCTGCAAAAAGTCGCGGTTCGAAGTGCCCGCCGCGGCCTGCTCGGAGGAGTAGATGGGCCCGCGGATTTTGTCGGCGCCGACGAGCCAGAAGAGGCGCGCGAGCAGCATCGACTGGTACTTGAAGCCCGCCTTGTGGTCAGAGTCGGTGAGGACGAAGAAGACGTCTTGCAGGATGGTGGTGTAGAAGTTTTGGAAGAAGGCGTCGCATGTCTGCTGGTCGGTGTCGGCCATGTTTTGGATGAGCTCGATGCACATGTTCAGCCCTTCGCCCTCCACCGCGCGGTTGTCGTGCTTCGAGGCCCACATGCACGAGTCGATGACGAGCTTGAAGTGATGCTGGTCGAGCTTGAGGAGGGCGGGGAAGCAGCGTTGGTTGATGGCGCGGAGCAGCTTGAAGAACTCCACGCGGTGTTCGGGGTATTCGGAGAAGTCTTTGTTGATCATGTCGAGGGTGCACTCGAAGACGGCGTCTAGGATTGCCGGGACTTGCTCGGTCATCATGCCCTGTGGATTATTGTTAGTGTCGTTGTTCGGGGCGGAGTTATCTAGCGACCCGTGTGCAAGCACCGCTTGTGACATCCAACGTACCTGCAACTTGGTAATCAAGACGGTAATGACAGCCAACACCTCCGCTTCTCTCGCATCCGGAACATTCCTCTTGTAGTCCAGCAACACCGCCTCGAGCAACTGCGGCACCAGCGTCTGGTGAATCATCTCCAGATCCTCCGCCTTGTCCACGTAGGTAGTGATCAACTTGAGAATCTCCTTCTTGATCGTCCTCAGCCCGCGCACTTTCGGCATCTTGGTCGCAATGTTGCCATCCCGCTGCACCGCCTCGTCGATGAGGGATGAAGCGGCGCGGTACATGGTCAGCATGTCGTGGTAGATCCTGCCGATTTGAGGGTAGAAGTAGGGGCCGACACTGCTGCATGCCGCTACATTGGTCTTCATGATGTTTCCGATGACTTTGATGGTCTCGGCGTTTTGGAGGATGTTGGGGTCTTGATGCGCGGATTGGATGATTTGGTCCCAGGCAGAATTAGGCAGACTCATCAGATCGGCAATCAGCCTCTCCTGCGTGTTCTTGTGGCCCTGTGCGCTGATCATGTAGCCGCAGGCCTCGTAGAACGTGTGAATCTGCTGAGGGGTAAGATCGCAGGTGATCTTTCGCATCGTGCGCACAATCTCGTCAATGAAAGGCTCGCTCTCTCCCGGCTGCTCGATAACGAAATGCCGCTTGCACTTGTTCGCAATCTTGATGAAGGTGTCGCACGCCATGTCCTGAACACCCTCGTGCGTTTCGTGCATGAACTCGAACAGCTTGTTGACGACGGTCTTGAGGAATTTCCAGTGCGCTTTGAGGAACCGCGGGTACTGGCCGACGATGTACATGATGTTAGATGCCACCACAGCCTTGTTGTCCTTGCCACGCTTCATCTCCGTGAGACCCAGGAGGTCTTTGATGACGGTAACGAGGAAGCGCTTCTCCGTCTCCTCGTTCATGGCACCCGAAATGGATCCAATGGCCCAGCAGAGCGTGTTGCAGTTCGCCCAGCTCCACTCCGAGCCGTCCACTTGCCGTGCCAGTTTCTCAGACATTATCTGTTCCGTGTCCACGACATCCAGGTGGGTAAGGAAAACCAGACACTCTCTCGTGGTCTTGTAGAGTTGGATGGTGTCTGACTCTTTGACAAACTCCCGCACAATCTCGCCCTCGTCGTTTTCCACAATGAGAACTTCTTCGGGACGGACCATCTTCTCAATCATGACCTGGCGCAAATTCGAGAGCACATCCTTGTATTTATGCTTCCTCAGTGGGTACGTGGCCAGGATGTCAGGGTTGGGGGCACCGCCATTCTGCAGCCCACTCACGCCCAAGCTGACGAGAGGGTTGATGTCGGTGATGGGCAACTGCTGCATCTCGTCGTACATGCCAGTTACCAGCTTCGTCCAGTACTCCAAGCAGATCTTGAAGATTTCCCGATCGTCAATCTGGCTGATGCGGATGAGGTAGTAGTGGCCGTGGATGAGAAAGTCCTTATTCGGCAAATTCTCGATGATGTTGAGATGATTGCTGAAGAAGGTGCAGAGGAAGAGGGCGAGATTGAGCACAAACTCTTGGTCTCTGCCGTTCGATGAGGCGTAGGTGGTCTTGAGGTCGATGGTGAGGGGGATGATATCGGCGACAGTCGTCAAGGTCTCGGTGAACATTTGTACCAGCTTGTCGTGCCAATTCTGCTCGGTCTGCAAGCTGCCGATTTCCGTCAAGCATTTGAGGGTGATGTTGCGGAATTCCGGTGCCGCGAGGAAGCGACTTCGGAGGGTCTCGATGAGTGACATGCCCGTCGGCGGCGTCTCAAAGATGTAGCCGAGCGGGATCCAGTTCAAGAAGCGAAGTAATGTCTCCAGTGTCTCTTTGATAAGACTTGTCTGGTCGGCGGTGCGCAGGATTTCGGAGCAGAGATTGTATATGCTCGTGAACTCGTCACACATACTCTGCTTGAGCTGTCTCGTTTTTGTGGAAGTCATCTGGTCGGCAGAGTAGTCAAAGACTTCCTCGGAGAGCAGACGGAGGATGGCCATGTTGTTCTCGCAGATGGGCAAGCTGCTCCGACAGCTGGAGATGATCTCGTTGATGAACGTGGGCCAGTTGTGCGGCCATTCCTGCTTGAGAATGCTCACGAGGACGAGGTTCAGTTTGTTGAGCAGAGCCCTCTCTTTCCGCAGATTTTCTTCTGTACTGCTCATTTGAATGATGAAGTTGACGACGAAGTTGCGAATACCCTGGCACTGATCGCGAGGCAGCACCTTCCAGCGAGTCATGATGACGCTGTCGAGCACCTGCAGGCCCAGGTATTTGGTCTGAGGGTATTGAGCGTCTTGCAATATCTTGTCGACCATGACCCACGCATCCGGATTCTCCTTGAACTGGTTGAGAGTCGCCTGCGCTTGTTTCTGTTGCTCACCGCGACCTTCATAGAAGGCACGCACGGTGGCGTCCAACTCCTCGATGGTCATCGACATGTTGGCGGTTGTTGGGAGGAAAAAGAGATGTCGGGGTCTCGCAGACGGCTGGTCTGCGGGAGTGAGAGAGGTGAGAAGACGCGCCGACCGCTGAGAAGGTGGCTAGAAGCGCCTCATGCAGCGGTCACTCCGGTGTCGACACGTTTGTGACGATGTGCTGGCGTTGGAGTGCTTATCGTAACGAGGCGGCGGTGGAGGCGGAGAAGCGAGGGCGTTTGACGTGGCGAGAGGTCGGTGAGCGCGGAGGTTGAGCAGCAAAGGTGAAGAGTGGTGCACCCGCTACTCTTTGCTCGGCCGTTAATTCACCGCTTGCCGCGTAGGGGGAGAGAGGAGGGTGAAGGTCGGGTGTGATATGAGTTGAGGCGGCGCTGCAAACGTTCAAGCAGCTCTGAAGGCCCAAACGAACGGAGCCCTCTCAAACTCTAAAATCACACGCGCCGCAAAGAAAAGCTTGGGGGAGTGCCCCACTTGCTGACAAACGAAGGGCAGTTTGCCTGGGGCGTACGGTGGCGCATACACGCGCATACCGACAAACACCTCAACCCTTCGTCATTTAATTGTTTCACAAGGACTTTGCAGTGACGTAACAAACCTGTTGCATTCAGTACTCCTGCTCCCAGACGACAAGCACATCCATTCCATTGTTGAGCCGACATTTCAACAAAGACGCAGCGCCACAGCTCTTAAGAACAGCCCCGAAACCACCCAGTCCACTCCATCCACGTCCTCATCATGTCAAACACAAACCGACCAGCCCTTCGGACCCGACCAGCAAACTCAGGCACAGCAACTCCCACGACCACCCAGACAATCGTCCAAACCGACGCCGGCCCCAGCATACCCATCCCCGCCCTTCGCCTGCGCGCCGAGCCCGAAGAGCAGCGCCGTATCCAATGGGCGGACGATGTGGTAGACAATGAAGGGATGGGCAAGAAGTCGTCGAAAGTGTGCTGCATCTATCACAAACCCAAAGAGCCGGGCGACAGCGATTCCTCGGACAGCGATTCGTCGTCGGAGGATGATGAGCCGGATTTGAGTCGGGCGCAAAAAGCGGGTGGTGGGAAGGGGAGAGGGAGGAGACATGATCACGGGCGGGATGATGGGTGCGCGGATGGTAGTGGCAAGGGAAAGCAGAGGAAGGCCAGTCCGAATGCCTATGAGCGGCAGCCTACAACGAAATCCAAAAAGGAGGGATGAGGACAGGTGGGAGTTAGAGGGTCAATGAAGTTATGCGCCCCACGATCGAAACGGCGTGGACACCAAAGAGTACATCAGCCTGAGCACGCGGATGGCTCCGAGACGCTGCGATACTTACACAATCCCTGATGGGCTCTAACGGCAGGGGGAAATTGGGCGGTAGGGAGACGCACATATTGCCAAAGAGTTGTGCTGAGTTGGATGGCCTCTCATGCACGCGCGAAGACATCGCCTGCGTTTGAGCATGTCTGTATGAATAGAATCTAGATAAGAGCCATATGTCCAGGCCACGTCTTGCGCCACTGCTCCCTGCGTCTCATCTCTCCCAGTGGCGGTCCGCGGCGTTCGTCCCTCCTTGCCAGATCAACTCCAGTGGGTGGCGTCCGGGACTTCGCAGCCGTTCTCGTGGTGTTTCGGTGACTGCTTAATGACTCCACCCCTGGCTACCATCGGGCTCACTGCTTTTGTATGGCCTCTTCCTCCTCATGGCTTTCGAGTTCTGTGAGCCATATGGCCTCCAATGATACCCTGCATCTGTTCACTTCTTCATTTCCTCACTCCCCAGCAGCCTCAGCAGCCGCCTCGGCCTCCCTCTGCGCCTCCACAGCCTGCTGAATAGGAATCCGCACCAACGTCTGAGGCAACTCCTCTCTCTCCCCGTCCTCACCCTCACCCTCCTTCCCCACCCTCGGAATCTTCGTCGAAGCCATATGCACCGCCCTCAACACACTATTCCAATTCCCCAGCACCTCCGCCACGGCCTGGGTACCATCACTCAGCGTCGCCAATTTCTGCTCCAGCTGCTGCATTTGCCCCGCGAGGCCGGCGCTGAGGTCGCGCAGTTGGCGCAGACTTTCGAGCTCGACGCGCTTTTCGTTGATGCGTGCTTGGAGGAGGGATGCTTGGGTTGTGCTGCTGGTGCTGGTGTTGGAGTTTGCTAGGCCGGAGGAGGGGCGGATGTGGGAGGGGAGGGGTTGACGGGCGGGGTAGGACATTGTGGGTGGTGTTTCCAATGGCGTGTTGGAGTGGGATGAGATGTCATCAGCTGTCGAGAGATCACTCAAGGCGCCCGCATTCGATATTCGCACGTGAAGTGGGCGCGATAGCGGTTAGTGGGGGCGTCACAGCGTTCCAACGCGTTGGCTCGCGCTCGTTGCTCCGCCAAAAAACTTTGTTTACTTTCCGCCTTCGCTTGGGCTTTGCCTGGCCCATGCACTCCATCAACTTCAACCCGTTCCACCAAGCATTTCCACGGCATTTAGATAGCAGTCACTACCCTTTGTTGCCATTCTACACCGCAGATGCTTCTTGGGTAGCAATTGCATTCATGTCGAGGCATACATGGCACGCCTGAACGAGCCGCCCGCCGCTCCTGCTGCGAGCCTGTATGTTGCCCAGCCGGGGACGGAGAGTATTGACACACGTGAGTCTTCCACCCACTGCACACACCCCCTCTACAGTGTGGCAACGATGCGCACCAAATCGAAACTCGTGCGCGAGAAGGCCCCCGCTGATTTCGAAGAAGTGAAGCGACGATTCATCCGGCAGAACCGCGACTTGGCCAAGAGCAATTCCTTCCAGGCGCTGCGCATTCGCAACCTCGAAATCGACGTCACGAGACTACTGGACGAGAACTTGGAGCTGCGGAATCAGGTGTTGCGCTTGGAACACGATGTCTATAACGCGCAGACGCATGTGCAGAAAGTGAAGAGGGAGCTGCAGGCGAAGTTTGTGGAGTTTTTCAGTGGACTGTCGAGTACAATCGAGGAAGATGATCCCATCCTACCGGACAGTATGACGACAGGGAGGCGACCGATCGAGGGCAAATGGCGGGAGAGGCAACCTTTATCAGAGGTGATGCGCGATAGTCAAATGCCAACCATTATGGAGCACAAGCAGTATCCGCGACGGACTCTGGATGCCGGCGAAATCCATGCGGCGCGACTATCCGATCAAAGCAACAACGAATCTCCCGATCTCGGACCTCCGCCCGTTGCGCGCTTCGATTCTACAGATACAGTCAAGAATGCATCGCCGCTTTTAAACAAGACCACCTCGGAGATGCCCGCCACACAGGATGATGACGAGTTACCACCCAACCTCTCAATCAATCTTGAGACCAGACGGAAGCGCAAGGATGGCCAGCCAAAACTCGAGATCAGACGACATTCCATCCTTCCTCAGTCCCCCAGCAGAAACGAAAACGAGACTTCCGCTATTCTGCGCACCGGCGCGAAACGAAAGCTTGCTGATCGCGAGACTGAGAAACCTATTAAACCTCCGAGTCAAGGCGATTTCACGTTCAGTCGAAGAGTGAACACGGACGAGAACAGAAGTGCACTCCTCGAGAAGGCGCAGGGTGAGGGCGAAGCGCTGGACTCAGCACCGATGTCTCCCAATAAGCCCATCAGAAAGGTACTGGGTGATAAGAGTGTCAACATGTCGCCAAGAAAGCGTGCCCTGCAGTCCGAAGAGTCGAGCAAGGGTGATCCAGAAAACCGGCCTCCTCTAGACGCCGGCAGCGGAAAAGACACCGTTCCAACGAGAAGACGAAAGGCCCCCGCCATCCCGGTACTCACGCCGCAAAACGAAGTCGTCCAAACGGTCGAAATCGCTCCTGCTTCAACAGATATGCCTCCTCAAACGCCCGCAGAGCCAGACCTCTTTTCTCCGACTCCTTCTGAGCCATCTACTCTCCCTGCAGCCGGTCGAGGAGACACACCACCCCCAGGCGACCTAAGCACACTAAGTACTACATCCGATGGCGCTGGACGGCCCTCTCGCCGCGCAAGATCAGCAGTAAACTACGCCGAGCCCAGCCTGATAGCCAAAATGCGGCGACCGGACAAGAAGATGATGGATGCAGTGACCGGCCTCCAAGATCCCCGACGTGCTATGAGCATCTCAGGGGACAGGAGATCCTCATCGCAACCAGCAACAACGATCAAAAAGGAACCCCAAGACCCCGCAGACCTTTGGAAACTGAGTCTGCCCGCCGCCGACCTAATCGCGACCTCTAGTCCGCTGACGCAAAAGAGCGGCGGCGAGGAGCTCCTCGGCAGTCCAGACACCAACTCCACCACCATCGCTGCGCCTCTACATCCGCCCAAACCTTCCACCTCCTCGGCCAATATCTCCGCCCTTATGGCCGCCAGTCGCAAGCGAAGGGAGTCCAGCCACCTACCGCAGCGACCTTTGGGCACGGATATGGATGTCGCCGTCGCGACGAAGAAGATGGAGGACTTGGATGTGTACGATTTCAAGGAGTCTTCGTCGCCTTTGGATGGGGGCCTTGCACCGCGGCCGAGGGCAAAGGTTGCGCATCGGAGGCATTCTTCTGTGCCTAAGGATGCTGGGCTTCTTGTTAGCGGGACAGGGAGTGGTGCTACTATCAAAGTAGATAGTGGAAGCGGTGAGGTTGGTAGGGTTGCGAGGACTGGGACTGCGGGAAGGAGGAGGAGTATGATGGTGTAGAAGTCGTTGGCTAGAGATTGTTTGACGTTCGTTATGAGAATGCAGTGTGTTGCTCGTAAGCGAACGCATCCCAATCTTGTGGATTAGTCCCGAGTCCTACGTTATTGCTCGTCTCCAAGTTGCTGTATGCATTCATTGCATGTCCCTGATCTGGTGAAGTCAGCCAGCAAATGTAAAATGTCCCACCACTTTCCCACTCCACCCTCCCAAGCCAATGACCCCAAATTTCTCGACCTCACTTCTTCCCATCCAAGCTACCTCTTTCAAGACCCCAACACCACCCCACGATGCAACGCATCATCGAGCGCACCAAGCACGCCGAGCGACACGCCGCCCGCGCCCTCCAACGCACCAAAGAGCGCAAAGCCGTCTCCGACACCTGGACGCGCAAGCAAAACGCCCTGCGCATGCTCCGCCGCGACAGCCAACACATCGTGCAAGCGCGGCAGCGGCGGCGCGAAGACTTCGAGACCGGCTCGCTAGCTCCCCGCCGCGATGTGGGCGACAAGGCGGACACGTATGCCACGATGACGATTTTCGATCTCGCGTTGCCGGAAGTGCGGCCGGAGCGCAGGAAGGAGTGGATTCCTTTTCGGGTGGGGGATCGTGTTGTTGTGCTGAGTGGACGGGATCGGGGGCGCATTAGTGAGGTTTCGCGGATTGATGAGGATAGGAGGAGTGTGGAGGTGCAGGATGTCAATGTAACGGCTTTCAGCTTGCCGGCTTGGTTTCCGAGGGAAGAGGGGGATACGAGGAAGGTGGTGGAGACGCCTGCGCCGTTTCCGATAGAGGATGTGCGGTTGGTGTATCCGCTGCCGGATCCGAAGACGGGGATTCCGAGGGATGTGGTGATTGAGAAGCTGCTGCCGGTGTATATGGGCAAGGGCGAGACGGAGAGGTGTATACCGGGCACGAAGACTCTGATACCCTGGCCGGACGAGGCGGAGGAAGAGCATGAAGAGACTTCAAACGATACCGAGCGCAGCGCGCTGGAGGAAGTGACGTTCCAGCCTTACTTGCTGCACCCGCCCATGCCGACGTCAGTCATCGACGAGCTGCGGAACAAGCGTAGCAGGTTCCGCACGAGGCACGAGTGGGAGTTTGTCCAGGAGAAGACGAGGGAAGACGAAGAGGCGGAGAGGCGAAAGGAGCTGCCGAAGACGATGCGCACGCCGCTGAAGGAGTTGGCGGAGTTGAGGGCGAGACAGAAGGCGGTGGAGGGGGAGAAGGGCTTGAGCGTGGAGCAGCTGGCGAAGATCGGAGAAGTCATTGCACAGGAGAGGGCGAGGGCGAAGGAAACCATCAGAGCGTTGGACCGATGACAACCGTCGGCCTCGCCACTCGTGTAGATATAGAAATCTATAGACCTTGTAACATCACCCTCCCACCACACATCTATCCCGCCCGCCCACCCTGCCTCGCCCTAAACTCCTCCGCAATCTCCCCGCACGTCAAAAACTCCACCTCATCCCCAAACCCCTGCACCCAGCGCAGAAACCTCTCCACCATCCCAATCACATGCGCCATCCCCGACGTATCGGGATGCGTAATGATACTAAACACCTTCATCCCAGCCCCCTCCCCTTCCTCCCTCGCCTCCCGCCGAATCCACTCAAACCGATCCATCCACATCCGCTCCACAACCCGCACATCCACGTACCCGTGCGAATTCGGCGTGTTGGGGTAGAATTGCAGCGGCGTGGCGTCCTCTGCGTACCAGTTCCCGGGAATCTCGACGAGGTTCGATTTCGGCAGACGCTCGAAGTGAGGTGAAGGATGCATCCAGGTGTCTGCTTTCCTCCCCGGATCGAAATCGATGGGTTCAATGGGGGTGGGGTGGAGTGGGAGGAAGTAAGGGGTGGAGTCGTAGTGTGTGAGCGATGAGTCCCACAGGAAGTCGTAGGATTGGAGGAGGGCGAGCGTGCGTTCTTGCAGGAGGTACAGGGGCGCGCGGTAGCCTCGCGGTTTCTTGCCTGTCAAGTCGGTTACGAGGGCTATGCATTTGTCGATTACGTCTTTCTCCTGCTCGGCGGTCATTTGCCTCGCGGCTTCGTGCGAGTAGCCGTGCAGGGCGATTTCTGCGCCAGAGTCGACGATCGCGCGCGTTTGTTCTGGAAACGTTTCGAGCGAGTGGCCGGGGATGCACCAGGTGATCTTTTTCGAAATTCCTAGCTCGTGGAAGAGTTTGAGGAGGCGAGGCACGCCGACCAGCGCGCTGAAGTAGCCTTGCGAGTAGTCTGCTAGGCTGTTGTCAGGGTGTGCGCCGGTGCCAAGAAAGCCGGAGATGGCGTCGAAGTCGACAGACCAGGCGATTTTGATGCGATTCCGGGCTTTGGGTGGTGTGAGGGTGGGCGGGATGGTGGTGGTCAGTTGCTGAGATGGGACGGTCTTCTTTTCCCCGGCGAGGGCGGATTGGTTGCCTAGGATTTCCTCCTCTCGCCAAACGATCCTACCCTCCATCCCCCCATCAATGCTCAAAACCTGACCGGACATGTGGCCCGCAGCACGATGGCTAGCCAGGAATGCAACACCTCTAGCCACATCCTCAGGCTGCGCAATCTTCCTCAAAGCCACCGTGCCTTGCGCCTCGAGATAAAGCTCCCGCGGATCATCCAGTCGATCTCCAATCAGCTCGGTATTGACCCATCCCGGCGCGACGGCATTGATTCTCGCCCGGCGGTTGATTTTCACAATCTCATTCTTCACCGTCGGCACGAGCCCATACTGCAACCCCGCTTTGCCAGAAGCATACTCCGCATGTCCAGCCTGGCCAAATTTGCCGCATTCGGATCCCGTAACGACGATGGCGAGATTATCGAGCTCCTGGCCGCCGGCTGACTTCTGCGACTCGATTGCTGCGAGTAAGAAGTGCTTGATCGTCAGGAAGGTGCCGCGGACATTCACGGCGTACGTCTTCTCCCAGGTTTCCAGCGGGAGTTCCCAGATGTTGGGATGGGCGGATTCGTTCGTGATTCCGGCGTTGGGTACCAGGATATGGATCGGACCGAAGTGGCGGATGGCGGTGCCTATGCTTGTGGCGATGGACGCTTCGTCGGATATGTCTCCTTGGACATGGAAGAGGTTCGGGTTTCCTGGTGACTTTTCGGGTTGTTTGATGTCATGAGCTGTGACTTTGCAACCGGCGGCTTGATTGACATGTTAAAGAGGATGACTATCATTTGAGGGTGGAATAGAATAGTATAGTCACCCAAGAGTTCCTTCACAATAGCCAAGCCAATCCCACCCACAGCGCCCGTGACAAAGGCATGGCGTCCCTCGATCCCGAGAAAGGACATTGTTACGAGAATTGGAATAGAATCATACGCTCTGAACGAGGGGTTTTGCTTGGAAGTGCGAGACTAAGGTATGAGATGGTTGAGGTGAAAGCTTTGCGCATCGATGCAGCGTCTTTGTATGCCGATGGATCATCGATCGGTCGTCATCCTGGCGCACCGGCGGGCGTCATTGTGCCATTTGTAAGAATTCTGATGGGGCGTTATGCTAATTCCATGTTGGGTGTCTTTCGGTCGTCATATCGGTCGTCATTTCGGGCGTCTCCGATGGAGACTTGGAGAGGGAGGGAGGAGCGTGCACCAATGAGCGTCGAGAACTTTGGACCACATCTACACGATCTATCACGATCCATATCTACCTAGGTAGCTATGTCCGCAATCAACCCATTCTATGTCTATTGCGAGCTCTGAACAAATCTTCTCCAGATGATGGCTGTAAGTCGAGCAGCGGTAGCGAACAAGAAGCGGCGATGGGTTGAAGAAGACCGTTGAGAGCACACCAATCGCCGGCAGTGGTTTGATGAATCTTACTTCCGCCACAAACTCGCCCTGCGTCCTGGTTTTGCAACTCTCCCTCGTCTTACCACGTCGCGCGGACCCGTGTCCGCTTTGCGCACAGGCTCGCCAAAGATGTGGGCTCGAGAGCTGCCTGCTACGCCGTCCATCGCAGATTCCTCCGAGCCAGCCCCAAGCCCCTCGTCCTCCCGGCCGAAGATGTCCATGTACATCTGCTGGCCTGTCGGACGCTTCTCCAGCTCATGGTACAGCCCCGGACGAAGTCTCGGTGCGGCATTCACAGCCTCCGCAAACTCCTCACACTCCAAGAGCACCCGAGTGGTGTCGGCAAACAGCCTTCGCAACTCCGCTGACCCCACGACGTAGAGCATCGTCATGCACAGGGAGTAGACATCCACTTTGTGGCCTTGAGGGCCCCCAGAGACCACCTCTGGTGCGCGAAAGTGGCCCGAGCCGACATCCGTTTGCTCGTTGTCCACGAACTTTGCTAGTCCGAAATCGCAAAGACGCCACTGGTATTGGCCTGCTGGGCTGCGCGCGAAAAGAATACTCGCCGGCTTGATGTCTCGGTGGACGATGCTCTGCTCTGACAGGTAGATAATCCCCTTCAGCATCTGCTTGAGCAGGTCGGCGGCCAGACGGCTATCGTTCGAGAACTCGCGACCCTGCCACAGCAGACTCGAAAGGCTGCCGTCGTACAAAGTCATGAAAATCTCGATGCTCGTATCCTATATCCGGAAGCCCTGACAATGTCTGAATTCGGCAAGATTCGGATGAGACACGGCATGCAGCATTTCGACTTCGCGCCGGAACGCGGCCTTCCAGTACGCAGTGTGTCTCTGGGCTCTGGGTCTTATCCGTGCGAATGATCTTGACCGCCAGGTGGTCGCCTGCGTGCAGGTCTACGGTCTGGTACACGATACCAAAACTGCCCTGCCCGAGTTGCTTCAGTTTCCGGTGGGTGAGCCTCGTCGAATCCCAGGGGGTTTGCATTCGCATTTCGTATCGGTCGCGTTCGGTGTCTCGATCGTTGCGCGTGATTGCGAATCGTGGATTTTTGGGCAGCTCCGCGAAGTCCTGCGCAACTTGTTCTGCATTGAAACGGGCCTCATCGTCGAGCGAGGCCCACGCGAGGTCGAACTTCACCAAATCGCCGTTCACGCCTCCCATGCCGATAGTCAGGTTGTCGGGCCTGCGAATCACACGTTGGCGGGGGACACCACGAAGCAGCTGTTTCGACGACAAGCTGTTCGTCAGCAGCGTGCTTTGGTATGCTGAACGATCTCTCGAGATGATCTCGTGTGTCGTCTCGTTCAGGATGAACTGGCACTGCATGCCCGATATCCGGCTTCCCGACACGCAGACGTCTCCTTCCTTGCCAAAGCTGATGATGCACCCCGGGGTCTTCGAAGCTCTCCTGAAATCGAGCAGGATGCCGGTGCGTGAATCGTCGGATCGAGTATGGATCAGATGGGCGTTGGCTGGGTCTTCGATGCACTTCCGAGCACCATCGTTCATAGGGAAGAGGGAGAACAAGGGGGTTGGAGGCGTGTTGTCGGCGTTGACAACCTCGAGCGTGGTGAGGTTCTGGCAGAAGGAGAAGGGGCGCCGCGGCGCAGGAAAGATATTTGTACACTTGCCATTCCTTCACCAACGTGCCTCTCTCATTGACTGTATTCTGTGCTCTGAAGAAGACCGAGGTGAGTCTTCGCGATTGCGTGAAACTGGTGGCCAGTGTACTTCCCGCAAAGTCACGGTCACATATGGCCTCAGCAACTTGGAAGAGGCTTAGACAGATCTCACCCAAAGAAGGCACGTTTGAAGTGCTTACCGCAGTGATGCTTCACTTTTACAGAGGTGAACCTTCGAGACATGTGCCGTACGGGTGGCCATGATGAGTGCTAAGCGGCTGATCTCAACACTCAAGGCGACAGTGAAGGCATGCTACAGCATGGTAATGGTTTGTCGAAATGGCTCGGCCGCAGGAGATGCGGTGCTTCGCTAGCCGCACAAATGCTGAAGATACACAATGCATGCCTGTGCAACATTCCAGTGTCTCACGCAAGGGATCAGACGCTGCCGGGAAAGGTTCATCTTTTCAATTCGTGCGGGGAACATGAAACCGCGATGTTATCTTCAGACATTCCGCGGCCTCGTTATTTTAAAGGTTGAATCAGGCCCACAAGAGTGAATGTGGGACATATCGCCCCGGCTATCAATCGAGCACCACTCTCAATACCTGAAGCGAGAATTCTCGTATCTCACCTTTCCACGCTCTTTTCACCCGAGCCCAAAATGGAAGGCCAAAATACAACATCCATCCACCACCCTGCGCCAACCTAACACGAAGTAAACGCTGCAAGCGCTCGCTCCCGTCGCTCTACTGGGGGCGTAGATTCGATGGCTTCTCGCTCCGACGATCTCCTCCTCCTTACCGATCGCGGATCCCTACGCCGACGGACGATAGAGTTCAGCCGCCGGCTTACGACATAGCTCAGACGCTGGTCCACAACAGAGTCCAGGCGCCGATCGACCACAGAGCGCGGGCAGCAGCAAAAGAAAGCATCGAAGCGCTGAACCGACACTTACAAGCAGAAGCGGCGATATGCAAGCGCCTTCTTGAGGAAGACCCATACGCCTTCTACGATCCCGCTCAGCGAGCAAGCGCGATCAAATACGAGAAAAATCTCACCCGGGAGAGACTGGCGAGAGAGGCAGAAAAGAGGCGCCGGGAAGATGAGCGGCGGGCCAACATGCCTAAACCGCCTTGGAAACCGCTGTCTGCCCGGCATATCATGCCAGGCGAGCTCCAAAGAGCAAAGGCCAATCTCAAGCCCGTAAGAGTTGATGCAAGGCCACGGCGCAATATCGCCCCACCTCAGCCGGTCCTTCGACGCAGCGCGAGAATCGCCGCTCGGGCCAGGATGGAAGATGTACCAGCGGAAGCAGCGGAGAGTAAGGGGCGCAAAACTGCGAAGAAGTCAAAGCGTTCCGAGCGAAGCCGGAAATGAAGTGAACTGAAGAAGAAACGGTTGGATGTTCGATCTCTTCCATCCCAGATCCCCACAGCCTAATAGCCTACAGCCTTGCAGCAAATACACGCTGAGTCAGCGCCTCCTGTCAAGTGCACGTCCAACTTCACTTTCAACTTCACGCGACACCCTCTCTCCCTCATCACCAAATGGCATCACCCCCACCCCAAATCACAATCCGACTCCCCACACCCCAAGAGACCAACAACACGGCAACAATCAATCATCTCGACACCCTAATCAACACAGTCTACTTCACGACCGAAGGCGAATACTGGAAACCAGGGCACCACCGCTCCACGCCCGCCGACATCAAAACCTGGATCGCAGCCGGCGAGCTCTACCTCGCAATTGACTCCTCCAACCACGAAATCCTCGGCGTCGTATGTCTGCATCCCCACCACGCGCAGCGCGAGGTGTCAACGTACACCTTCGGCCCATTGGCAGTCTCTCAAACGCAAAGTCGCTCGGGTGTGGGGCGGCGGCTTGTTCTCCATGCTGAAAGTGTAGCGAGGTCGCGGGGAGCGGAGATGATGGAAATTACGCTGCTGGAACCGAAGCCGCCGGCGGTGCATCCCTACAAGGAAATGGTGCGGCGGTGGTATGTGAAGTTGGGGTATGTGGGTGTCCGGAGGGAGGCGAAGGAGGAGGTGGTGCCTGCGAGTCATTGCCCGACGTTGGCGGAGGGGATTGATTTTTTGGTGATGGAGAAGAGGTTATGGAGTGCGTTGGATAGGTGACGTTTGTAGCAGGCTACGTGCTGGATGAAGGGGCTCACTTTTTCCCGCTCGCTGGCGGCCCGGCGCTTCTCGCAATCGTCGAATGTAGAGTGTAGCAGGTCTTGCATTCACTCCGGGGCTCGGTAAGGCTGATTGTGACGGGCATGGTACATCTAGTCCACAAGCTAAGTGCTAGAGGAGGGGATTCACCCTTTCCGCTCGGTAACGGCCTGGCGGTTCTCACAAGCATCAAATGTACCGTACAGCGAGGTCTACATCGAGCCCGAAGCTCGTTGAAACTTGTTGCAAGGGAGATGGTGAATCCAATCCGCAAGCTACTTGACTTAGCATTTCTAGAGCTTATACCTCCCCGCGCCCTGCTGTCCGCCTTCGGTCCTGACTCCTCGGCCTTCGACATCAGTGACATCTCCCTTCTTCCCAATCACCTTGACACCTCCCTTCTTCAAGTCTCCAACAACCGCATCGCGTCCCTTGGGCGCCTTCTCCGCCCCTCCACCCTCCTTCTTCTTCCTCTCCTTCTCCCTCCGTCGTCGCCTCTTCTTCTCCTCTCTGCTCAACTCCTCCCGTCCAGCAGGCAGCCCACTCTTCCCCACCACCTCCTCCCGCACTCCCTTCGTCCCCTCGCCCGCACGGTACATCTCCTGCGGCGCAAGCTGACTCGCCCCCGCCACCTCGCCGCCAGCACTAGGCCGCGCATCCTCCATCGCAATCGCTGGCGCATCAACCCGGATATCAAGCTGTGGAGCCGGGGCTTTAGGCCGGAAATGCCACGAGCTGAGACCGTCCAAATCGCTGCAGACTTGCTTCCATAGTGCCTCGATTTCTTTTTCCTCTTTTTTGACTTTCTCGTCTTTTACGTCGACGAAGTTGGCGTCCGTACGGCGGAGGTGCTCCTCTTCGTACTCTTCTGCTAGTCCCTTCTTGCTTTTGCTGTCGTCGAGGACGTAGTCGAGTCTGCCTCTGCGGCCGTCTTTGCCGGTGGCGAGATCATCGGGTCGGCGGCGGACGATGTCTTGAAAGTCGTGCGCGAGGATGCGTCGTTTGATGAGGTCTTCGATGCTTTCGCTCACCTCGGCCGTGATGACGGGGACTGGCTTGCCCGCTCGCTCGAATTCTAGGTCTTCTTCTAGAAGAGAGTTCAACGGCCTGTCTGCTGCTCGCGCTTCGCCGGAGAGTGTCCACTGTCGTTTGGCGACGTTGGCTGCTTCGAGCTTGCGGATCTCTTCTGCCAAGGCGGCTTTGCGGCGTTCGTGGGCGGATTTCCTAGATCGTGGATCCGCGGGGTCGAGCTGCTTGCCCTCCTCGTCGGAAGCATCGTCTTCAGACTCTTCGTCTTCGAACAGATCTCGATGTACTGCGGCCATTGTGCGCTCCATGTCGTCTTCCCCGGGCTCATCGTCCTTGGCAGCATTCTTTTCGGGAGCGTCTGGAAAGTTATGCGGGTTCGGCCGACCTTTCTTGTTTTTCTTCTTCTTTTGCGCGGGAGGAGCGAAGAAGTCGGCATACATGACGTTGTTTGTGTTGGACATGCCGCCCATGATGTCCATTTCGTCACCGTTGAGCTCTTCGTCCTCATCTTCACTAGGAGCATCGGGGTCGCCAAATGTAGGACCGTCGTCTTCATCGTCCTCGTCGTCGGAAGCTCCCGCGGCGCCGTTCGTTGATACGTCGCCTCCAAGTTGGCCCAAGGGATTTGTGTCCCAGTCCACGTCTTCTTCGTCGCTCGCGGCGCCGTCATTCTCCCCACGGGTATCTTGCTGCTCGAGGAAGTCCGATTGTCGGTTGAAGTCATCAATGGAGAAGAAGCCATCATTGAGTCCGAACTTGTCCGCCACGAATTCATCTGCAGGCTCGTCGTTGCCAAGTGGGGCCTCCTCGTTCAGGATCATGTCCTCGTCGAAGTCGTCTTTTCCGTCAAAGTCCACGTCTTCAGAAGTGACAGATGTTTCATCCGACTCCTCATCACCGTCGTCTTCGCCTTCGACTTCATAGTCGACGCCTTCCTCTCCAAGGTCGCTTTCACTGTCGCTGTCGCTATCACTGTCGCTCACATCGTCGGAATCCACATCACCATTCGGCAAGTCAACCACAACACCGACTCGCGTCTCGGCTTCTTCCACTCCGCGCTCCGCCTCTTCGGCAGCAGCATCAATCACCCTCCTCGCCTGCTCCCAAATCTGCTCGACAGTGAAACCCTGAGTGTGGATTTGCTTGAATCGCAGCACGTCATCTTGATCTACTTTGTCCCCTCGCTTTCTCTTCTTCCTAGCTTCCTGCAATCGTTGTTGTTGAGTGGAGCTGACGTCTGCTGCTAGGGGATCAAGGGCGTGCTTCAAATACGCGAGGGTGTCGGTGTAGAGGGGGAGTGAAGGCTGGATGAAGGCGTGCGGGGAGTCGGCCAGTGTTGATACGAGGAGATCGGATGGCATGGCCATGATTGCTGGAGTATGTTGGCCACGCAAACCACCGACTGCAGATGCATGCGTGATGGCGCAGAGAAATTCCAAAGTCGGGATTCTTTTCGCCGGCGCCAGATCTAATCTAATCTAATCTGCAGATCTTGATTCTAGCAAGGCGGCCATTTCCGCGCCTTCGCATTCTCGCCGCAGCAAACACTCCGCGTTCCTCCCGAGCACGGAATTGCGCCGCCATCGCGAGACTCGTCCCGTTCGTCCACGGCTCAAAGAGCGATGATGGCGAAATATAACAAACCCGGGCATCCATAACACCATCGGGTCGAACATTCCCTTCCATTCTTTCCCTCTCGTCTTTCTTTCCTCGCTATCACACCCAACCACCATGGCATTCCTAGCCCCATTTCTAGACAACGACTTCTCTCTCTCCCCCTCCTTCGCCCAGCTACTACTCTACTCCTTCGTCTTCCTCTTCGTCGTCGGCCACCTCACATCAACATATGCAACCCATCGCAACATCCCCGGTCCCTTCTTGGCCAAATTCACCGATCTCTGGAGATTATACATTGTCTGGCGCCGCGACTCACACGACACCTACCTCCGCTTACACCAGCAATATGGAGATCTGGTTCGCATTGGACCCAACTGTATATCAATATCCGCTCCCGATCTCGTGCCCAGCATCTACGGCATCGGCAAGGGCTTCGTTAAGAGTGACTTTTACTCCGTGTGGTTCGTCGAATGACTCTGTATCTACTCATCTGACAATTTCCACTAACACTGGTATAGGCAGAACATCGTCAATGGGCAACGGGTGGCGTCAATGGTCTTCACCACGGACGAAGTGCAGCATGCCGCAATGAAGAAGCCGATTGCCAATGCCTACTCTCTTTCGACTCTGAAGGAGTTCGAACCGCTCTTGGACTCCACTACCGCCGTCTTCCTGTCCCGCCTGGACGATCTCTTCGCAAGTACCGGAAAGGTGTGCGACTTGGGCACATGGCTGCAGTGGTACGCTTTTGACGTTATCGGCGAGTTGACCTTTAGTCAACGCCTGGGATTCCTGGAGAAAGCGACAGATGTCGAGGGTATCATTGCTTCCGTGGCGAGGAACTTCGACCGCTGCTCCGTCCTCGGCCAAATGCCCTGGCTGGACCAATTCACCTACAAAAACCCCATTTACCTCAAATTCTTCGCCAAAGCCGCCGCAAACCCCATCATCGCCTTTGGGCAACGCCGCCTGCAAGAGCGTATCAAAGGGCAAGAAGCAGACGACGACGCAGCGAACGATCAACAACCCGCAACCACCATCTCCGACCCCCTTCTCGAAGCTAAAGTCCTGCACGGCACCCTCCCGAGCAAACCTGACTTCCTCTCCCGCTTCCTCACCCTGCACAAAGAGCAGCCCGAAATCGTAACCAACACGCGCCTGCTCGCCTATCTCTTCATGAACATCAACGCCGGCAGCGACACCATCGGCTCCACCATCCGCGCCCTCTTCTACCACCTGCTCAAAAACCCCGACACCCTCTCCACCCTGCGCACCGAACTGCAAACCGCGCAGAAACAAGACAACCTCTCCCTGCCCCTCCCCACCTGGACCCAATGCCAATCCCTCCCCTACCTCAACGCCGTCATCAAAGAATCCCTCCGTCTAAACCCCGCCCTCGCCCTGCCCCTAGAACGCATAATCCCCTCCAACACCCCCGGCCTCCAAATCCCGCACCACCCAACAACAAAAGAAACCATCACCCTCCCCCCAGGCACAATCGTAGGCATCAACCCCTGGATCCTGCACCGCGACACGCGCATCTTCGGCTCCGACGCCGCAAAGTGGAATCCCAGCCGCTGGCTCGACGACGACGCGGATAAAGTAAAGTACATGGAGCACCACCTGCTTGCTTTCGGCGCGGGCAAGCGCAGCTGTCTGGGGAAGAATATTGCGATGCTGGAGTTGGGCAAGTTGGTTCCGGCGCTGGTGATGCGGTATGAGATGCGGCTTGCGGAGCCGGGGAGGGAGTGGAGGGTGTGGAATGCGTGGGCGGTGAGGCAGGAGGGGTTGCAGGTGTTGTTTGACAGGAGGGGGGAGGGAAGTTGATGTTCATTTGGATTTGAGAATGGGTTCATGACTTTTACGGATTCTTTGTAGCTCTTGTTATTCTTCGACTCTGTTGGGCGTGCGTCTCCAGAGCAATCAATGGAAAGTTGGCAGCCTCATGATGTGCTTCCTCGCCGTTCTAACGTGCGAGGGCGTCGAAAAGGTGCCATTCATGCTCGTCCCTCTAGCGATCTACTCCATATCCACATCTCCATCACCATCAACCACCAAGCCATGCTCAGCATCGACTTCATCAGGCTCATAGCCCGCAACCTTCAAACCCCCACCGCCACCCACAACCCCATTCACCTTCTTACCCGCCCCCTTCCCCTCCAACCCCACCACATCCTCCCTCCTCGCCACCTCCTCGAAGGCCCGCTCCCTCTCCAACCCAGCAGCAACACGCTCAGCCTTGCCGTCCAGCTGCTTCTTCACGTCCCCCACACACATCCTGACCCACTCATCCAGCCGGCGATCCTCAACGTACGACAGCAACTGCTCGTCGTGGATTTTATTGTCCTTCAGAATCGGGTCGAGTAAGTCTGCACTCGACCAGCGGTACGCGAGGTCCTCTGCACTGCATCCCGCGCCGAGACACTCGCTGGGAAGCAGGAAACGCACGCGGTGCGACTGCGGCTGCTGCTGCTCGGTGTCGTCGTCGGGAGCCAAGAGGCCCTGATCCCGCGCAAAGTAGATGGTGCGCCACGCCGCTGTGTCCCGCACTTCGTCGCTCACCTCCCTCTCTGCATCGCCCGCTTTCTCGCCAGCGTGGATTTCAAACCAGTTGTCGTAAACGTAGCACCGCTTCCAAATCAGCTGGAGGAGCATCTCCAGCCGGCCCTGCGGGATGTAAGGCGCGATGGCGCGAAGAGCCTTGAGCGCGAGGAAGAACTCCGAGCCCTGCAGGTTGTGATCCTCGAACTCGTCGTCGGTGAAGTAGTTGTCGAGCAGCGTGAGGGCGTCGATGAGCTCGTCGGCGCTCAGGACCGTGCGGTCGAGGATGCGGTCGAGGTAGTTCTCGAGCAGTTGGCGCAGGGCGTGCAGGTCTTGATTTTTGAAGCCAAACTTCTGCATGGCGATTTCCAGCTCCGCTTGTCGGTCGATGCAGGCTTGGATTTCGGGGAGGAGGTGCGCGTATAGTTGGTCTTGGATGTCGAGGATGGCGAGCTCGCTTTGAGCGGTATGGTCTTGTTGCGCTTCTCGTGCGGTCGTCTCGTGGGGTTCGCCTTTTGCTTCGCGGTCTTCTTGGGCAGCCAGCAATGACAGCCTCGCGAGCGACAGCTCCGCCTTCTTCGCAAAGACAAAAGTCTCCTGCTCCTTTCCCACCACATCCAGGCTCTCACTCGCATGTGCAAAGTCCCGTTGCATAAGCACATCGTTGATCCAGCATAACTTGGCCCGACTGGGATCGCCACGTAAGTACTTGTTCAAAGCAGGCTCCCAATTTTCCTGCGCATTCGCAAGCATCAAACCCGCCTGACTGCCGGAAAAGCCGGTATCAAAGTACGGAGTCGCAAAGTCGTCCCCAAAGCGGTCAAAGTAGGCGCTGATTTTCGCCGTCATTCTCTCCAGATACTTTGCAATCGTGGCTTTCGCGTGAGGATCGCTGGTCTCCCTGAAGGTCTCGACAGAGAACTGCATCTCGGCAATCACCATCTCCGTGAGGGTGCGCATATCTTTGTACCTTTCCGCCAGTTGCATGCCCGCTTCCGACTGCGCGAGACCCGCCAGCTCTCGGAATTGGTTATGCCTGCTTTTGTCAAAGTGCTCTTGCAGTGTCTCGGACAGCTCACGGTCTCTCTCCGAGGGTCGCGAGGCCAGCCATTTGATGCGCTCTTGGTAAATGCGGCACATCGAGAGCAGCAGAACCGGGTTGGCGGCGCCGATGTGTTGAACGAAGGGCTGTAAAGCATCTGCCTCCTTCGCGCTGTCTTCGAACACCTCGCGCGCAAAATCGCGGGACTGGTCGGCCATGCGCACGACGGCCTTCAACATGGATGTCGTGCTGGTCCAAGGTTCCGGAAGATCGATGTACTCCGCAGGGTTGGTCAAGATGCCATCCTCGATGGTGTCGGGTAGGATGCCACAAGCTGCAGCATTCTCGTTTCTGAATTCAAACACGCTTTCCAGCGCCGTATTCCACAGATCATCTGCTTCGCTGACAAGTCGTAATTTAGTCTGCGAGCTTTTGTCCACGTCCGACCGGAGGTCTCTCAAAAACATCTCCGCCAGAGTCAAAAGCCTGTCCAAGCGATCCAGATGATGAATGAAGAAGCTGCGCACGGCATCATCACTCGCACGCTCTTCTGCGCCGCCGCTCAGGCTTTGATTCGCTATAGCGCAGATGTCACTTAGCAAGGTGGCGATGCGCTTGTTCTGATCGCAGGCCGCCACATGCTCCTGAAACATCTTCCATAACTGCTGGGCAGCGGCCACTTTCTCCGCGTCCCAGAGCAGCTGCCACATCGTACCGTTTGAGATGGCTGGATAACTTTGGCGTACGTGGTTTAGCAATGCTCGGAGCGCTTGTGCTTTGTTCGCTAGGTGAGCAGCCATGGATGCGGGTTCGGTGGAGATGAAGGGCGAGGTGGACCGGAGGATCTGGCTGCTTATGTCGAGCGCTGCTTCTTCCACCTCTTCTGGCGAAGAAGTGCTCTCGTTGGAACGCGAGAAGTCGATGATGTTCTCCTCCTGCAGGGCGCCATGGAAAACAGCTTGCTCAATCTTGGTTTTTACGGGGAGTTTGTTGGCCAAGTCGCCGTTGCTCGGATCCAGAACAGTGACTCGAACCATGCCGGCGCCTTCGACAAAAATCACAGCAGACTCGGCACTGCTCCTCTCGTCCTCTTCATACGCTCCAACGAACTTGAGACTTCTCCCCTTCTTCAGATGAACCGAGTCCTCGAATGTCACAGGCTGTATGTAGGAGGCGTGCAATTGTGCTTCCGGGCTGTTGGCATCCGATTCATCGAGCTCCTTAAGCGCAAATGCGTTCTCGAATGTCACCAATGCAGTGTGGCTGGGCTTCGGTAGCAGGAGTCGTGGCCTACTCGATGCTAACGATCGGTGATTACCATGCAACTTGAGCAATTGGGGTACTGCAACGTCGGTGCCTTCAATGACCAGATTCGCCATGACATGCTCGCAATCATCCGGTCTGCCAGCTCGGATCAACAGCAATATGTCGAGCGACAGATCTGTTCCGACCGTTGCAACCTCGAGCGAGCTCGACTTTCTCTCCCGTATAGCAAAGTCCAGTGTGGTGAGATGTTCGTGCTTGCCACGGAGCTCGGGTGCGTCGTTTTTCTGCAGTTCCTGCGCAATCACCTCCCGGAAGTCCAGTGTGCCTTTGAAAATCGACTGTCCGCTCCAATCCAGATGCCAGATCTGTAGCTCTGCCTTTTCCGTGAGCGAAATGACCTGCATTTGGCCTCTCGCACCGAGTTGTCGCGTGTGAACGGCTGATACATCTCTCTTCCAGGACCCAGCACCCAGCAAGCCTTTGATACTGCCGAAAAGCCCGGTCGATACTTGCTCGTTCGCTCGCAGGAACTCTGATAGAATCCTTGGTTTTCCTTGCGCGTCGCGCAAAGTGAGCTGTGCAATGCGACCCGAGCTGAGAGTGACGACAAACCCTGCATGATGCGCAGAGACGATGTCGGCGACGACTTCGCCTGAGAACAGGCTCCCGATTGAACCTTCAATGCCAAGACTGCGCTCCTGAAACAGCCCGAGTGACGCAGCGCGCTCGATGGATTCGTAGAAGACGACTTTGCCGGTGGTAGCAGATATCAGCACCAGGCCAATATCCGCAGTCGTACCAGTAGTAACAAGCGCTCCAAAGGGAAGGACTTCGGTCGGCTTGACGAGAAACGGAACGTCGAACAGCCTCACAGTGCCGGCGGCAGAATGTGCGGTATAGTCCCAAACGTACGCCCTCTGCCGCGTGATGGCAAGTGCATGATGACCTGCTCCCAGACTACCGCGCCATTCCAGCCCCTCTTTCCGAAGATCTTTGGGCGTGCTGGGCAGCAATTTGACGGAATACCGAGCATTCTGCGCCAATACTGTCGCGCCGTCTCCGCGTGTTGCCCTCTTGACACTATTTCGCCTGCCGCGAAGGGGGATACTCATGTCCATCGTTGTCACGCTCTCCTTCCTCGCCCTCGCTTTTCGCCGTGGAGCGCTTCCCGGATGTGCATCGCCGTTCATCAAATGTGGGACCTCGACGCTGCCGTTGACTTGCTCTTCCTCTGCGCCGTCCACCGTCTCCGCATCGTGTCTGGGAGGCACAAACGTGCTTTCACTAATCTTGCTCCGTTTCCGCCGCGGCGCCGTCTTGGGGCTCTCGGTGTCAATCTGTCGCTGTCGTCTCCGGGGGTTACGAGCTGGGCCCGACCGCAAAGAGCGCTCGGTGCCAGGTTCGACATCTGGCGACTTTGACATTTCCACCCCTCACTCTGACGGATCGATGAGGAGATGGTGATGGTGTGGTGCAGATAATCTGCGGAGGGAAGGGGGAATGCGACGGGCGTGATGGCTGCTGATGTTTATGGATGTCGCGCTGTTTACGGCGTTACAGCTTTCATCGTGGAGAGAACTTGTCCAGAGTTTACGCTAGTCTCGATGGGGAAGATACTCTACATTCACTTCACGTTGAGGTACGACCTCATTCACATCCTCAATTCCACTTTGACCCTGTGAATCATGGTTTGGAGAATGCAATGTGCGGAAACGACTTGTAGCAGTGCCAAACAAAAGATGGATAACAAATACATTAGTACGAAATGGGGACAAGCCCTCTCTTAGCAATGCACACCCCAACCTCCGTCCCAAAAACATCAGAATGTAATCCACACCTCTCAAAAGAATGCGATCAAACCCTCTCCTCAATGACCTTCTCATAAACTCCCTCATACCACCCTCCATGTCCCCTCCAATCCACCTCCCCAACCCTGCCCAAAACCTCCACAATCCCCCCCACCTGCGCCGTAAATTCGGGCATCCCACAACTCGCCAGCGCCTCCGATGCGGATGACGCAGCCCGCACGCGCTCACTAGACGTCGAAGCCGACAGGCGGGTGGCCACGTGCGTCCTCAAACGCTGAGACAGGACTTTGAGGACGGGGTCCGTGAGGCGGGCACCGGCGGCTTGAGCGAAGAAGCGGGCGATTGTGCCGGAGAGTTGGTGTTTGGTTGCGGGGGGCATGTTGTGGGCTGTTTCGAGGATGCTGAAGGCTTTTTGCGCGGGGGTGGTGGTGGTGTTGTCGGCGTTGGAGGGAAGGGCGTAGGGCTCGTTGGAGAGGAGGTGCCATAGGCGGCTTGCCTCGTTTTTCCAGAGACTGCGCGAGTCGCGTTTGAGGAGGTTCTTGGCTGTTAGTAGGATGGCGCCGATGACTGTGATGCGGAGGGCTTGCTGCCGCATATTCTGCAGCCGGCGAAGGTCAAGCATCAGCGTCTCGGGCACAAGATCTGGCTGTAGCTCGCCGTGCTCGGTGGCCAATGTAAGCAGCACGTGGGCATACACTTTCTGCGCCGAGGGCCGGTCAGAAGCATTCCGCACGCCTTCTGGATCTCTGCGATCGGCTTGCAAGGCGAGCTGTGCGTATGCTGTGCGCCAAAGCTGTTCCGTCTTCGCCAAAGTGATCACGCCGGCTTCCAGGTCCTTGGCAAACATGCGCTGCTCATAACCCGGCGCCTCGCGGATGAGCGTGGCGGAAGCGTTCATGATCATGAAATTGGTGTAGTCGAGCGACAACTTGTCCACCATACGCAGGATCTTGAACAGCTTGCCCGTCATCTCGTCCAATCCATTCTCCCCGGCATTCAGCTCGTCAGTCAGAGCCTTCATCTCGGCATCTCGATACGGCGCGCATAGCTTCGGCAGCACACTGCCCATGAATTCGAAGAATCCAGTGTACGAAAAGACGCCCTGCCGGCATTGTCGACGGATCGACTCCAGGTCCAGAGTGTCGGAAATCAGCGTATGCATCGAGTTCCCGGGCGTGAGCATCCTCAGGAGCTTCTCCCGGATATTCTCGGCGGCGGAGACGGTCCATAACACGCCGTCGCCTGCTTCAAACGCTCGCTTCATGTTCTCGCAAATCGATCGATACAGCTGATCCCGTAAGTCAGACTGCGAGTCTTCTAGGCGATACTCCTTATCGATGGCCAATTCGTGGGTCAGGACCCGGTTGCTTGGCATGGCAGTGAACAAATCCGCCAGCTCCTCGTTGCTGGGCGGGTATGCAGGAACCAGCGCTGCCGGAGAGACTTCGTCCACCGCCGATTCATCATCGGAGTCTAGAGACGGCTGAGCAGCGACAGAGCTTTCAGGCTGCACAGACTCCAGCACCCGCGGTCGAACCTCCGCAGCAGGACGTTTCTTCGGCCGCTTCCTTCTGCTCTCACGAATAGCCTTCTTGATCAAAAAGTCTGCGCGGTCAGGACCCGCCAATTTCCGGATCCGAGAGAGCAGCATCACTTGGTTGTCGCGAATGCCTTCTCGATAATCGCTGGCGACTTCGCCCCGGCTGTCGTCTTTTACCGTTTGCCAAATGGCATCGAGTTCCACGAATGAGTCCACCATGCCCTCAATGAGCACGGAGGAGTCTTGTAGTCTCCAAGCGGCGAAGGTGGAGGTATATGCAGAGTAGGCTTGCGAGAGCTGCTCGAGTTGGGTTGCGTTGGGGGTGAAATGGTTCCAGCGCGCCAAGCGCGAGACGCATGCTTCGTAATTGGTGATCAGATCCGTTGCCTTCTGGATGAGATCTTGCTCTTGGGCGCCCTTTGTGGTGTTCATGACAGCGACAGGATGGCCTGTGATCATGAAGGCGCTCAAGAACGTCCGAGTGTTGAGCGCAGCAGTGTCGTCGTTGTCCTGTAGACCCAACAGCATGAGAACGCCGGTGGTGGCCGAGATGGTACTCTCGTCGGCAACCAACTTTGTCATGTCCTCAAAGGTGTCGTGGGAAGATCGATGCAGCAGATTGAGCTGCGTGTACGCCGCCACAGTCTTCTGCCTCCTGTACAACGTCCATGCACGTCGGATTCGCCTTGCAGCCTCCACCTCACTCAGCTGCTTAGCCTTCAATGATCCCTTCAAGCCCGTCCGATCGTCCACAGCCTCTTCATCAACATCCGCAACCTCCTCCACCGTTCCCAGCTTCTTCTCCGCACTGTCCGCGCGCCGCGCACGTCTCGCCTGAAGATTCCGCTGGTACTCGGCGCGCCTCCTTTCCACCTCCGCGTGTCTCTCCTCCATCTCTAGTCGCGCGCGCACCTCCTCCGCCAGCTTTCTCTCCTTCACCTCCTCGGCAATGCGCTTTGCGCGAGCAACTTCCTCCGCACATGCCGCCGCGACTTTAGCGAGGTATTTTTCCTTGGCAAGCTGAGCGGCGAGCGCCCTCTCCTCGCTATTGGTGATACTGCCTCGTGGAGCGGCTTTGGCGAGCGCCGCGCGCAAGCGCACTTGTTCAGCATGGGCAGCGCGGTCAGCAAGACGCGCACGCCTGGATTCAATAATGGAGGCGCGACGCAGATGTTGGGCGATGTAGTTGCTCTGGCAGCCTGAGAGACTGCCATGTCGGCGAGATTGGACAGAAGAGCTGCGAGAGTGGACGGAGGAGAGGGAGTTGCGGCGGGACGAGGTTGCTGAGGACTTCCGACGCGCGCTGGGGCGGTTGCGGTAGAAGCGGGCGATGAGATGGGGCGGTGGGTCTTGAGGTGCGTCGAACATGTCGCTGTTCTCGTCTGCGTCGATTAGAGGGTCGGTGGGGTTGGTGGTATCCGGGGGAGGGAATGCGGCGCCCTCGTCCCCGTGAGGCGAAGGGAGGGGTTCTGTATCGGCGTTGGGGACACCCATGGCTGCATTTCCACTCAGGGTGAGGAGAGGAGAGAGGAGCAGGCACGAGGAATGATAAGGTCGTGTGACCGAGGGGTGTAGGTGGGGTGTTGTCAGGAAAGTGGGAGGCTGGTGGTCGATCGCGATGACGCCTCGCTGCCTTCCCAAGACGCAAACATGAAGTCGGGAAATGTTGACTAAGCACGCCTTTCGCCTTTCACCTTCCATCAACTTCGGTCTTCCTCGAGGAGATGTTGAAGGCTGGATGACGATCCCTTTGTATTGTTTAATATTCGCCATTGGTATATCTGGTATTGGCACAGAATATTGTGATATTTGACGATTCGCAATACTATGAATAGCACCACCGTCGCTTGTCCGCATGCGGAAGTGAAACGGCCAGCCTCCCCATATCGGCACCAAACAGTTACATTCCTCCGTCAACAAAGACGGCGAGAGCATGGCCTTTCCATGTCCTCGAATGCTCCATGACCACGCTATGCTTGTATTCCCGACACCACGCAATGCAAGGCCCTGGCCAGAGTTGTTCATTATAGATTCCCCGCACAGAGGCCAGGAATCTTCTCTCCCTTGATTCCTACCAGACCATCGACATACGCCAAAAAGGTGCCCACCGGAATCATGTCGAAATAGCGGAAATCCGGATGACTCGACCGCAACACCTGTCCACCCCAAAGCACCCGCAGATAATAGCACTTCATTCCCCCAGCCCGCTCGGGCTCCTTGGAGTACAGCTCGAAAATCACCTCCGCGCCCATGCCCGGCCAGACCATCTGGCTCACCTGCAGAATCGACAAGATGCGCGCAATAGAGCCGTCATGGGCGATGTTCACGCGCCACTGCATGCGCGAAGAGGTGGTGGGCTCGTCCGCGGCATCCTGCGTTTCCATCATGTGTCGTAAATTCTGCACCAGTTCGGCGAAGTAGACGCCGTAGCTGGCGACGCTGGCGCGCAGCGACTCCGGCGAGTCGCGGTAGATGTAGCTGTACTCGTATTGCCCGAGGCGGAAGACGTGGTCTGCGTCTTCCTGCGTGACGCAGTTGCTTGGGTCGTCTTTGCTGCATGGTAAGGGCTTGTGATGACAGGTGCGCGCCGCGAGATTGTCGAAGTAGTGGTCCCAGCTGTCGGACCATGCGTTATCTTTTGGATCGACGCCGGTGATGGAGTCTAGGCGTTGCTTAAGGGCCGCAGATTGGGTGAGATGCTCCTGCCATTGCGACGAATCACTGCCCGGTCCGTAAGAATCGAGGAGCCGTTTCGCTGCAGGACATGGATATCGCGGTTCCAGCGAATCGAATTGTGCAGGTTGGACCAGGATGGCGACCTGTTGTGATTCTTGCTCCCTCCACGAGCCTAAGATCATGCGAGAGGCCACTTGCGATGTGATGTGGTTGTTGGTAACCCGATAATGCATTGTGTACTGTTCATACGTTTCGGGATACCATTCCAGCAGATCCACGTAAACAGCTCTCATGTCCGTGCCGTGTCTATAACTGTCGAACAACCCGTCGGAGGTGATTTGCGGAAATTGGCAGTTGACGTTCGTACCATTTGGACTGAAAGGGTTGAAGTCAGTCGAGTAGACGGTCCAGTAGGTGCTCGCCGTGCCCCTTCTGATCGGCGCCGCGCCATAGAACATCATTTCATCATCGCAGGCCCAGGCGCCCATTTCCTCCTCCGACAGCAAGTTGGCTGCATATGGCGTCCGTTTGTGGTGGCGCGACACGACCTCGACATACTCCAAGGTATATCGTTCGCCCGGAACGCGATACGTCTCGGGGTTGGCGCGCGGCATATTGCAGAAGTTGTAGTCGTTCTTGGGCCCGTCGCTCGAGTTGAAGATGAAGCCATACACACCCTGGGAGTGAAGGACTTTGTCGAGGTCATTGACCTGGGTTTTGGGCGGGGGATGCCAATCCAGACTGACGTCCAATTTCGCGCCGCATGCTTCGTAGTCGCGGTATGCCCCGGTGTCCGGTAGAAATGAGAGGGCTAGGAGGAACTGCGGGACAGCAGTGGCGGAACTGCGCATGACGGTGGTGATGAAGGCATGCGCGAAGATGAGGCCGAGCAGCGCGAAGAACAGCAATCTGTGCCACTGCGACATGCTACATCTGGTACGCTCTTCTAACGGTCGGCATGCACGTCATTCCCCGTGAGTTGTCGTAAAGGGCGCGTGCAGAACACCAGTCGTTTCATGTCGTCAGAATCGTGGTCGTCGCATTGGGAATCGAGTCGTTGTGGTTTGGGGTGAAGGTGAAGGGACGAGTAAGGTGTAGAGATTCCATGTCCACACTAGACTCGCGCTCGAAGCTGATTGGTCGAAGATGCCACCTTCCTCGACTCTCGTGCCGTCAGAAGTGAAGAGACGCAAACATGCAACGATGATCTGGCACGTCTACCAAGAGATGTTGAAGTTCCTGAACATACAAGACGCAGAGAACGGGGCAATTATTAGGCGTCTCATCGATCATCAATAATTAACAGCCATTCTACCGCTTGCGGCTTCCGCGTTTTTGACTTTCGCATGCATTTCTAAGCTTAAATCCTCGCATCTCTCTGGACATCACATCATTCCACCTCTTCTTCCATCCGCTTGTCCATACGAAAGACACCACAGCCATACACACCCACCATGGCTCCCGGCGTCGTCATAGACACCACCTCCGACTTCGACATGCCCAACGCCCGCGCAGCGCCCGCATCCCAACGCACCCTCCTCCTCGCCCCACCCTCCCTCGCATCCCATCCCGAAGCCCTCTCGAGAGTCGCCGAGGCCTACGACCGCAATGCCACCGACATCCAAATGCTCGATAGGCTCGCGCTCGGCCTCGTCGCGCTGCCCGCCGAAACGTACGACATTGTCCTCCTGCTCGCCGACGTCGCTGGCTCTCGGCAAGATGACGCGCTGCCTCGGTTCGACCGCGACGTCATGGAGCGCATTGTCGCCTCGATCAAGGCTGGAGGCAGAGTGAAGTCGCAAGATGGGAGTTTTGGAAGAGCGGCGGGAGCGGAGCAGACGGAGGCTATTCTCGCGGGGCTTGTGAAGGATGCTGGCGACGGGATGGTGAAGCCGCTTCCGGCATCGAATCAGACGGTCTCGCTGCGCCTCGGCAAGAAGAAGGCGAATGCAGCTGCTGTGCCGGCGAACAGCGTCGAAGCGGCAAACACCATCAAGCGAAAGAGCGACGACATTTCGACTGGCAACGGCGCCCTAGCGCAAGCGAATGGCCACGCTGCCGCCCCTCTGAAGTCCACCCCTGCCGGCGTCGGCTTCATCGACACCAACGACGACTTCGACGACAACGACGGCTACGAAAGCGAAGACATGGAAATCCCAAGCAACGAAGAGTTGGCGCGAGCAGGGCAAATCGACCCCAACTCGCTCCTCAGCGAAGAAGATCTCAAGAAACCCCTCAACATCCGTACGTACTCCCCCTCTCTCAAGTATAACAGTATCCAACCCCCCTCCCAGCCGAAGCCTGCAAACCCAACACCAAACGCCGCCGAGCCTGCAAAGACTGCACCTGCGGCCTGGCACAGCGCATCCAAGCCGAAGACGCCGCCACGCGCGCCCAAGCCGACGCCAACCTCGCGAAGCTGACGACGAGCGACTTGAACGAGCTGGATTTCACTGTGCAGGGCAAGGTCGGGTCGTGCGGGAATTGCGCGCTTGGCGATGCGTTCCGCTGCGATGGGTGTCCGTATATTGGACTGCCGGCGTTCAAACCTGGGGAGGAGGTGAGGTTGTTGAATAATGATGTGCAGCTTTGATTTTGAGGGATGGATCTTGTATGCACATGAGGCGTTCTGGGGCACGATCAGGCGTTGCTGCGCTACAGTCTAATATGACGACTCGGATCGTCGTCGCGCAGGATTCTTTCCAAGGCCGGCGTTTGTATAGACTGTTTTGATACGAGACATGGAGGAGCATAGCTTCACTTGAACTTGCACCGCAAGCATTTCTCATTTTCTTATTGTTACAACACCCCTTTCCTTCATGACTGCGTATCCGAGGAGGCACATAGCATCTCCCTGCTTGTTTGGACCTTAAGCCCCCTGCACCAGCAAAACGCCATCACGCATCCTCAACCATAGCATACACTCACAGCAGAGGACGTCATGGCGAGAAAAATGAAGAAGAGACAAAACCCGCCTACTTCTTCTCCTCCGCCTCCTCCACCGTCCCAGCGGAGCTCGACGTACTCAACTTCTCCAAATCCTCCTGCTGCGGCCCATGCATCTCCTCCTCATACTCAATGACCTCGGGGTCGATGGCTTCGAACTTAGTCTTGAGGCCCGAGTGGCCGGCGGCGTGCGTGGAGCTGTTGGTGCGGCGGCGCTGCTTGTTCATGTTGTAGTCGTAGTCTTCGAGCTCCGAGACGCCTTCCACGCCCCAGTTGCCTTTGCCGCCGCCTTGCTTCTTCGTGCCCGCCGGATCGACGCCCGCGTACCCGGCTTTGGCGAAGTAGCGGGGGAGATGCTCTTCGGGGCCGGCGGTGCCGTTGGCGAGGCCGACGTGGTCACGGTCGTTGCCCTTGTGGGTGCGGGTCACTGGGTGGGGTGTTAGTTGGTATACGTTGCTTTTCAGATGGGTTATTGGATGAATGGTGATGGGTTTGGGGGTTGGGTAGCTTGTTGGCAGCGTGTATGACTAACATGCCATTGGAGGGGGATGGGGGGTGTTTGTATACCGGAAGGGAGCGGGAAACTTACTGATGGAGAGCTTGGTGGTGAGAGAAGAAGATGAGAGAGACTGGTGTTTTGATAAAGGGAAGGCAGTTGAGAGCTTTGGTGATGAAGGCTTGGATGATGAGGGTGTTGTGAGTGGCAGATAACAAAGAATGGAAGAGTCGAGAAGAGCAGCTGGCCCTGTCGTCAGTCCAGTCACTGGGGTGCTCTCGTGACTTCGCTTAATCCGGTTTAGCACGACCCGCAGAACGGCTGCAGGAACACCGCGGAGTGTGGGGAAATGTGGGTGAGGATGGGCGGTGGTTTCGATGATTCTCGTCTAAAACCTCCTTCTTCTGATGGGTTGTCGATGGCAAACAGACGGAAGACACTGAGCTCGTAAGAATTACAAGAGATGGGAGGTGGGCAGCACGCGACTCTATCTGTCCCTCCAAGGACCCTCGATCCAGAGCGCTGCAAGCTCGGGCCTTGCCCCCGCCATAGCTTGCACGACCGTCGTGTGTGGAGGGGCCCCACTCGGTTAAAGATACAGCTGCCCAGACTTCCAATGGCGTTTGCACCACTCATCAAGAGATCGACGGGTGAGAGATAGGGATAATCACACCAAAACACCATTTCATCAAGACGCAATTCAGCCTGTGTCTTCTGGTCAAAGTGCGGACTGTATGTGATGCAATCACGTCCATGACGATGCCAGTTTGCTGCGCCGGAGCTTCCCCAGAAGGTCTGAAGCCGAACCACGCGCATCCTTGCTGCTCTGATGCACACCTGACGTGAGTCTCGGGGTGAGTCGCAGTGGGAACGTCAAACGACAAAGAAAGCGAGTCGCAATGGAAGCTTCAATGAAACGAAGAGAACGAGTTCTCGTAGACTAATCTTTGCACTGTCGAATGGTCTCCCCCAGCCTCACAGCAGATATCGGTACTCCGGATTCAGATCTCCCAACGCCGTCTTTTCATGCTCGCTTAGTCCAACATTGAATGCAGATCGCTCCCGATTCCGATTCGCCATCAGACATCCAGCTCCATAGACCACGCAGGAGCAGATGGACAGCGCTGCAAACGCCAGACAGATGGAGTAGCCCGTCACGAAGAAGGGCTTCTCGGAGGCGACAAAGGCGAATGTTGCGATAATGCCGCCTGTGTTGCCGAAGCCGATTTGCCATGCACTTCCTACGGCGCGACGGTGGTGGCCTGTATGACGTGTTAGTGGATGGTTTGAGAGATGTGTTGCGACGCAAGGCTCTTGGAGTACGCACCTCCGAGGTTCATATTGAACCAACACACCACGATTGGCATCGCAGTGTACGTGCCCATCGTCACCAGGAACAGTGCCGCGTATTGCAGATCCAGTCGGTCGTGCACGGAGATCAGAATGCCAAAGCCTGTCATGGAAACGCAAATGCAGAAGATGGCAAACCCGAAGCGGTGCCCGGTGTAATCCGAGAGGGTGGCGATGAGCATGCAGAATCCAAATGCTGCAGCCCACGGCGGCACAGAGTGGAGTTGAGTTTCGATGGGGCTGTAGCCATAGGTCGCAAGGATCCCCGGGGCGAAGTAGGCATAGCCGTATGCCGGCACAATGAGGCCGAAATACATAAACGCGCCGACCATGACTTTGTAGTCTTTGAACACGTTGACAACATCACTGAACGTGATGGGGCGCTCGCGGGCCGAGTTTCCTTGATCTGCTCGAAGGCGTGCGGTCACGTAGTTTCGTTCGTCCTCTTTGAGCCATTTTGCTTCTTCGGGGAAGTCGGGCAGCAGGAAGAAGAAGAAGATGGCGACGAAGGCGGTGAGGCAGCCTTCGAGGATGAAGATCCATCTCCAGCCAGCGTAGCCCGAAAGCCCATCCATCTTGCCGATTGCGGCGGCGAGTAGACCACCAAAGGCTCCGGCCAGAGTGGTGGAGCTGAAGAAGAAGGAGTATCGCTTCTGCGCTTCCTGGCGTTTGTACCACATGCCGATGAGGTAGAAGCTGTTAAAGTGGAGGCAGGTGTCAGTCAGGCCATCCCAACGATGAGATGAGCGATAGTACTCACCATCCCGGAAACATGCCAGTCTCAAACACGCCCAGAAAGAAGCGTGTAGTCAATAGACCTCCGTAGCTCTTCACCAGCCCCTGAAAAATCGTAACCAAGCCAAACATGAACATGTTTGCCGACAGCCAGATATGCGGCCGGAACTTTTTCAAGAGGATGTTGGAAGGGATTTCAAAGAGACAGTAGGGCACGAAGAAAATCGTGAGCGCGATGTTGTAGCGCTGGCCGGTTAGGTCGAGGTCTTCAATGAGTCCATACACACTGGCGTTGCCAATATTGATGCGATCCAGGAAGGCGAGCACTGTGGGTTCTTTGTTTCAGTGCGCCTGTCTGATGGTGCTGAAATGGGGAGTCATCACTTACGGTACATTATGCACAAGAATGGGATGACATGGAAGTCGATTCGTGCGAGCAGCTTCCGTTCGGTAGTATGGGGCGGGCAGACGGTTGCGAAGTCTTCGCTGTAGCCCTCGACTGTTGGTACCACCTGGCCCTTCTCTGGGACATCTGGATAGTGTGACGGGGTGTTCACGACATCCCCCTTGCGAAAGAAGCCCATCATTAGCTTGCGGCTATCTGCCGTGGAAGTCAAGGTTGAGAGAGGGAATGAGCAGAATGAAGAGGAGAGAATGGACAGGAAAGAAGAGACGAAGCAGCGATTTCCTGCTCTGCTACCTTGTACTCTTATATATCGCACCCGTGCCACCAACCTCACCTCGGGTCGCATGACAATGTCTGGGCATTTCTGGGCAATAAATGTCGCGTGCAGATCGTTATTGGTTACGGTGAGATGGTGGTATGCACATTGCTCGTGTCGCGGTGGAATTATCGGAAATTTTTAACCAAGGGCATCACGTCTGGGACCACCCTCGTACTCGGTAACAGATTGAGTTGTAACAATGATCAGGTGAGAATTGTGTTGTACACATGCAGGCGAGGTAGCGACGGCGCCAAATTTAGCACTTTTGTCAAATATCGCGGTATTCGCACCGACTTTTGACACCGAACTCCTCGCCAAGACCAAATTCCGCACATCAAATCCTCGCTGGCAAAATCTTGAACATCCGACAGTGACGACGACACACCCTCATTAGACACCATCTGACCTTGCAACACAAGGTAAGACCATCCCGATCCATCCACAGAGGGCAGGAGATTATCGCCGGACCATTTCGCGCTGTTCCTGGAGCAGCTGAATGCGTCTCTCGCACCACTCCGCACGCCCATATCTGAACGACAAATCCATCACCACAACCGCTGCTAACAATACCTGCAGTCAAGATGGGTAAAGGAAAGCCAAGAGGCTTGAACGCCGCGCGCAAGCTGCGCAACCACCGCCGTGAGCAGCAATGGGCCGATTTGCACTACAAGAAGCGACACCTTGGAACCGCCTTCAAGTCATCACCCTTCGGAGTACGTATTCCCTCGACGACTGTCACTCATCCAGGAAGAGGAGGATAGGCGAAAGATTGTGGGAGGGTGATACTGGCATTGGAGAACTTGGAAGATGGATGGATGGGTGGCATGCGGAACAGATGAGAGAATACATTGACTGACATGATATCGCTCAGGGTTCCTCTCACGCCAAGGGCATCGTCCTCGAAAAGGTCGGCGTCGAAGCCAAACAGCCCAACTCCGCCATCCGAAAGTGTGTGCGTGTGCAGCTCATCAAGAACGGCAAGAAGGTCACAGCTTTCGGTATGTCTTTCACCTCTGCGGAGCACCCAACGCTGCCGTCTAGATGTCCAAGGACACCGCTTCCACTGCCAAACAGCACTAACATACTCCACCAGTCCCCAATGACGGTTGCTTGAACTTTGTGGATGAGAACGACGAAGTGCTCCTCGCCGGGTTCGGTCGCAAGGGCAAGGCCAAGGGTGATATTCCCGGTGTGCGATTCAAGGTCGTCAAGGTCTCTGGCGTGGGTCTGCTAGCGCTATGGAAGGAGAAGAAGGAAAAGCCCCGTTCGTAGAGGCCTGCATGTGGGAGTGGCGTTCATATGCTATGGGTAGATGAGATCTTTCCAATCAAGATCAACGCTTGTCGTGTATTCGAAGCGGACTGAAGTGTGCTATACCATCCGAAGATTCCTATCTCCATGCACGAGGTGTACTTCAACGCGCAGTATGGAAGCCTTTGCCGTCATCCATCCTTTTGCACTTGCACTGAAGGCTTGTTGAAAGTTCATGACATATTGATGCCTGAGGCCGCAATCCCCGCGTATTGCCGAACCTCGGCGCCCTCGGCTTCCACCACCGCCACCTCACTTCGACCACCTCCACACCCCGACAGCGATATCTCCTTCATCCTTTGCGGTATCCTCTCCATCTTTTGCATCTGTGCGACCTCTGATAACATCAGTCAACCACAGCGCCAAACAAGCCTCGAAATCCAACCGTCGTCCTCACCCGATCGAACCCTCAACACCCACTCCACTCCCACCACCGACGAACATCATGGCGTTGCACAAAACGAAGGCCAAGGCCCCGGTCTATGTGCTCGGTGTGGGCATGACCAAGTTCGTCAAACCGCGCGGCAAAATCGACTATACCGAGCTGGGGTTCGAAGCTGGCATCAAAGCGCTCCTCGACGCCCAAATCAACTACGACGACATCGAAACTGGCGTCGCATGCTACTGCTACGGGGATAGCACGTGTGGTACGGATTCCTAGGAAGAGCCTGCTCGTTGCCTGGAGGTCGGTTGCAGCAATGGCACCGCTGGCGGGGCTTGTGGTTGTCATCTGTCGCAACTTGATCTCTGGGCGCGGGACTTGTTCTACCAACACCTCAACATGATACCAAAGCACTGGCTAACCCTAGAAAGGCCAAAGAGTGTTCTACCAGTTCGGCATGACGCAAGTAAGTGCGCAAGAGACCGACGATGCCGTCCAGAAAACGATCGGATCGTTGGGAAGGAGTGGGAGGTCGCCAGAGAGGCCGACGCTGATATTTCTCCCAGATTCCCATCTATAACGTCAACAACAACTGCTCCACCGGCTCCACAGGGCTGCACCTCGGCCGCACGATGATTGCAGGTGGCATGGCAGACGCTGTACTCGTCGTTGGCTTTGAAAAGATGTTCCCCGGTTCGCTGCAGAGCTTCTTCAATGATCGCGCCAACCCGACCAGCACCTCGGCGGAGATGATGAAGACCACGCGCGGCGTTACCAATGCCCCCGGCGCCCCGCAAATGTTCGGCAACGCTGGCCGGGAATACATGGAACGCTATGGAGCGAAGAAGGAGGACTTTGCGGAAATTGCACGCGTCAACCACGAGCACAGCAAGAGGAACCCATACTCGCAGTTCCAGGATGAGTACACGCTGGAGCAGGTGCTCAACTCGCCCATGATCCACGAGCCTCTGACGAAGCTGCAATGTTGCCCGACTTCCGACGGTGGTGCGGCGGCCGTGCTCGTGTCGCAGGAATTCCTGGATGCCAGGCCGCATTTGAAGAGCCAGGCAGTGTTGATTGCTGGCCAGTGTTTGGCGACCGATGCACCGTCGCTCTTCAGCCGGAGTAGCATCGATCTGATGGGCTTCGAAATGTCGAAGTATGCGGCCAAGACGGCGCTGGCGGAGGCGAACGTCAATGCCAAGGACGTGAAGGTGTGTGAGCTTCACGACTGCTTCAGTGCGAACGAGATGGTCGTCATCGACGCGCTTGGATTGAGTGAGCCTGGAAAGGCGCACGAAATGGTGCGGAAGGGCGACATCACGTATGGAGGCAAGATGGTCATCAACCCGTCGGGAGGGTTGATCAGCAAGGGCCATCCCCTGGGAGCCACGGGTCTCGCACAGTGCGCTGAGCTGGTGTGGCATCTTCGGTCAGTCATCACATTATACATATATCTGGCGTGACTGCTAACGCAACAAAAATCTAGTGGCTGGGCAAACAACCGCCTCATCGACGGCACCGACGTCGCCCTGCAGCACAATCTCGGCCTCGGCGGTGCCGTCGTCGTGACGGTGTACAAGCGCGCCGACGGCAAGGTGGCCAAGGCTGTGTCGAACGAGGAGATTGGCAAGCACAACAAGCTGGGCTATAACCCGGCTGTGGAGGCCAAGGGCTTCACCAAGGCCCAGGTGGACCAGGCTAGGAGTAAGAAGATGAGGTCGGAATGGGTACGTCTTTTCTCCCTCTTCTTCTGAATATAGCTTGAGGCAATCGACTAACACGACGAACAGGCCATCCAAGATATCGAACAGAAGGTCGAGGCGAGGTTTTGAATGTGCGCGATCTGATAGTGGCAAATAGCCTTGTTTGATTTTCAGCCGTTCGCTGCAAGACATTGTGTTATGTCTCTTTACTGTGACGCTGCACAGCAGCAACCAGCGATTGCATCCCTCTCCCCTTGGCTTCCCCTTCGATCGTCAGGCTTGTAGGAATCGCTAGCGTCCCATCCGCCGTGGCGATTCCCAGCAAGACGCCATCGTTGTTCGGGCTGTCAACGAGGACGACATCTCCACTTTGAACTGTACCGCTGGAGTGCTGTACAACCATCCAGGGTCCGTGATAAGTGATTCGCTTCGCTGGTCCGCCAGGATGACACTTGGCATAGACCTCGACATCCCAGAGTCGACCGAGAACTCGGTCACGAAGCAGAATCTCTTCAGAACTCCAAGTCGTCCAGTTTACCCGGCGATCCTCTGCCGTAATCTTAGACGCATACTCACAATCACCAGCATCCACCCGCGCCTCCCCGCCATCAAAAGGCCCCAGAAACAAACCCCTCTCAATAGCTCCGCACAACAACTCTGCCCCCCGTCTCCCAAGCGCATCCACCAAACTCCCCACCGTCTCCCCCTCGACATCCACCCCCGCAGTCCGTTCCAACACAACCCCCCGATCAAACTGCGTCGGATGCATCGTCTGCAACGTCACCCCCGTCCGTTCCCTCCGCCCCAACAGCGCCCGCGGAATCGGCGCCGGACCCCGCAAATCCGGCAGCAAGGAAGGATGCACATTCAGCCCGCCATACTTCGCCGCTCCCAGTATCCGCGCCGGAACCAGCAATCCAAATGACACGGCTACGACGAGATTAGTCCGCGGCGCCGGGGACCAGCCTTTGAAGGTGTCGAGTTGGTGCAGAGGGAGCTCGAGTTCTTCCGCGATCGATTTGATGGGGACTTGGCGGACGTTTTTGAGGTTTCGACCGACGCGTTTGTCCGGGCGGCAGACGACTTCTATGCTGTGGATTGCGTGGGGTTGCGTGGTTTGCAGCGCGTGCAGGGCGCGTAGGGAGTAGATGGAGAAGGCATCGGAGCCGCAGAAGAGGATGTTTAGGGGGTCATATTGGTTTTGTGTTGGGGGTTGGGTTGATATGCGGCGGATGTAGCAGCGACTTGGTCCAAGTTTCGTTATCCGTCTTGCAAAATGGAGCATGCCACTGGTGGGGGTTGTTGGAAGCAGGCGAGGACAGGATACGAGGTTGAAGATGTGCTGCTATATTCGATACGAAGACGGAAGACGAGCAACCAATCAAAGGTCCCGCAGAGCCGTGACCAAGCTAGCCGTTTATGGCATGTCGGCGGAAATCGGCAGCGACCAGAGACCCTTTGACTTTTTCCGGCCGCCCAGACCATTTTTATTCCCCATGTCCTTCCGATGTACCAGCGTACCCCGTACCTTTTCAACTAACCCCGGCCCTACGCATCTACATTTTCGTTGTTCCATCTTCATCCATCCCTCATCTCGACCTACGACAACGCTGACGACTCTCACGGCCTACGAACCTCGCCACGAACCTTCTCCCGTCGATTGCGACGCGTTCCGGGAACCCAGCTCCTCGATTTTGCCTCCCGAACACGAAAAGTGCCAATAAGCGCACTGCATCCATCCATCCATCCACCCGAAACGATGAAGTTCTTCTCCTCGCGCCAGGAATTCGAGTACTCCTGGGAAGAAGTGAGCACCAACAACTGGCGCAAGTACTGCGACTGGAACAACCAAAGCTCGCACGTCATCGCCGTCGACACCCTCACCCGCACCCTCGATCCCAGCACACACATCCTGCGCACCGAGCGGCTCATCACCTGCAAGCAGAATGCACCACAATGGCTGCGGACCTTCATGGGCGCGCAGGACACGAGCCTCGTGTACGAAGTGTCGTACGTCGACCCGCACGCAAAAAAGGTGACGATGTGCTCGCAGAACCTGACGTGGAGCGAGTTGCTGTCCGTGCAGGAGACGGTGGTGTACACGCCCGCGGCCGGGGAGGCCGGGCGCGGCCGGACGGTGTTTGAGCAGCGGGCGAAGATTATCGCGCTCTGCGGCGGGTGGCAGAAGATTAAGAATACGATTGAGGAGTTTACGGTGGAGCGCTTCCGGCAGAATGCTGTCAAGGGGAGGGAGGGGTTTGAGCGGGTGCTGGCCATTAGCCGGGAGGTGTTTGCTGAGCAGAGGGAGCAGAGGCGGCTGGAGCAGGTGCATGGTGGGGCTGCTGTTGCGGCGTAGACTCTTTGCTTTTGCTGTCGACGTTGGAGCGTTCAAGCGTGTGCATGAGGGAAACGGTCTCAAAATCGGGTTGGCGTTTTCATGGGAAAAGGGAAGGGATGGGATGGGATGAGGACTGGTTGGGAAACCCCTCTTGCTATTTTCTACAAAGCATCGTGTCGGACAAGACGATACAATCATGAGGCTAAAACAAACTAGAGATACAGTTCATAACGACATGCATCGGATCCTTCACACACTCATTTTCGGAGGTGGAGTCCAGTCCCTCGTCCGACTTCCAGCAAGCTTCCTCTAGGCCTGCTCCGCGTGCTCGCGGCAGCACCAGCAGCACGCGGTGAAGAAAAAGCCAGCGACTAGTTGAAGCTGGAATAATCGGTCAAGATCGACGCCGGCATGCAGCGGACGAGTCACGGATGCAGGGCAGCATCAGTCCAGGGTCCTCCGACGTCCGGTAGTTGATGTGAAGGTGTTGGTTGGATAGGAGGTCGAAGTCGGGAGAGAGTAGGTGAGTCAGGCCATCAATCATAAGCAGGCAAAGCAAAAGGCACAGCAGCAGCGTCCTTGTTTCCTTGATCAAAGCGGTCTCCGGGTTTCCTCGTTCGTGTCCTTCGTCTCGTCTTTCATCCCATCCCTTTCCATCACGACTTCTTTCTTTTCGTCAATGGACGGTAGTCCCGACGACAGAATCCAGTCCCACAACACCCCTCACTGCACACCGCCCGCCACCTTCCTCACAAGCGGACAGAGAACAGGCAGCGTAGCCGAGTCCTTGCGCAGCCTCTCCCCCTCTGCCAAAGAAGCGAAAGGCTGGGCAGCAAAGGCATTCGCAGCGAAAGGAGAGGGCGAAGTTGTCGACGGGGAATGCAGAATGCCGGAAATGATTTGGCTGAGGCGGTTGGCGTGTCTGGTGGCGCGCTTGACGGCTCGGCCGGGGAAGGACATGATGCTCGTGACGCTGGCGACGCTGGAGGGGCGGCGGATTTGTTGGATGGTGGAGGTTTCGGCGTTGTTGGTGGTGGCGGTGGTTCGGGAGAAGCAGGCTAGACATGGGGATTGGGGGAAGCTGGCGCGGGGGCAGAGGTGGTCCATTGTTGTGTTGTCTTTTTGAATGTGTGTTGATTTGGGGTATTCAACAAGCAAAGGACGATTTGTTAGATGGTGTTCAAAGGAGAGCAAGAAGGGAGTTGTATTGTTGGGAGATTACCATCAAAGGCAAGTGATCGACGATGAGCGGGTGGATGGGAGGCCATACATATACACTTCCACCCATACATGGTACGCACCCCAAACATACTCCCGTACGGACGAGAGAAAAAAGGCAAAGGTAGCCTAGGGCAGCCTAGCCAGCCAGTCAGCGAGCGAAGAAAGAGCGAAACACACCCCTACCCATCATCACGAGAGCAGTACCTGAGAGCAAGTGTCAGCCGGGACGGGCGTCTCGTATCGAGCGCGCACTTTCCGGCCAGTGGGAACACGAGGCTTGCGCCAACCACAGCCCAGCGAGCCAGGCACCAACCCGCCCAGCCCGCTCTTCACTCCGCGCCACCAGACCTTGTTTTCCCTGGTACCTGCATGCGCTCCGCGGCCTTCGCGCCCTCGGCGGTTTCCCGTGTTGCACCTTGCTGCTGCTGAGTAGCTTCAGCCGTGCGAGCCGCTCGCTGCTACGAGGCCCGGGGGCCGGGACAGCTTCTCCTGCTCGTATTGTGCAGGGGAATGCGATGCCCTGGGCCATGCGCCGGAGGAAAGTCCAGGTATGTACGGTGCAAGCGAAGGGTCAGACGCAGGGCGCGCGAAAACCTGTGTGTGTGTGTGTGTGTGCGGCAGCTCTCCAACCAGGCACGGAAACGGGCGGCAGCCACATCTGTAACTGTGAGATGTCGATGCAGATTGGACCCTGCATTCGCTTCGCCCACGATCTGTGATTGATGGATGATGCTCGGTAATCCGGGCAGAAATGCTTCAATTACTGCAACGTGCATACGTTTGGGAGCCAGATTCTGCGCGGCAACCTGGTTGGAGTGCAATCTGCATCGGCGTGGGATCCTGCCAGTTCACTAATCCTTCACGCAGCCGTTGTAGTACTCAGGACAAGATGCGGGCTGGCACATCGCTAGCAATTGTCTTTGGTGATGGACACGGGCGAAGGTCGAGACCGTACGGCCGTTGGGTGATCGGCAGCGGGGGAGGCAAGCTTAAACAAGCAACTCGAGTCAAGCCACCTAACTTGAATGAACCTCACAACATCATCCATTCGCTGCGTCCTGAAGTCCCCCAAAACAACGGTCGGCAAGAAGCACGCCTCCGTGGCGCCCTTTTCAGCTCAGGACATGCGCGATGGGCGTAGCAGCCACACCGCTTGCCCACACCCAATCCGCCGCACGACTTAAACTCAAGCAAACAGCCTTGTTACTGATCATCAGGTGGGCGCTGGAACATGAGTTCGGACAAATCTCCGAAAAGGCGCCTGCGAGGCGCAGGGAGGGATCCGAGCGTCCAGCTTGCTGTAAATGCTGCTGGCGGCCATGCATGCATGCACCAAGCTCTCTCGAGACACATCGCTTGGAACGAACGCCGCCCTCCTGCGCCCGTCATCGCCTTCTTTTGCCCTGCGCTTGTCAAATCCTCCCAGGTGGAACACGGGACGGGAGGACGCGAGAGGCGGGCGGGCGTGCGTGGTTGGTTTTCCTTGGATGGCGACGCTTATACATGCGCATGCACTCCCTCTCCTATAACAGCGTCGTCTGCACCTTCCCTGTTTTCCAGCCATGCGGAGGATTTGCTGGATGGGAGAATGTAAGCTGAGATGGAATCAACGGCTTCTGCCGACCTGGTCTGGCCGGGTCTCTTTTGTTGAATGGTTGATGGTACGGGAAGGGGGATCTGCGTCCCGCGACGAGGTAATGTCCTCCACGTGCGAGGCAGGATCCTCATCACTAGAGCAAGCCAAACAACCCGACGGGATCAATTCGTTGAAGCACTCTATTGCTTATGTAAGTGACTTCAGCACTCCATGTACGGTCTGCATCCGACCTCTACTCCACCCTACTTCATCGTAACCAACTCCTCAGCAGACGTAGGATGGATGGCCACACAGCTATCAAAGTCCTTCTTCGTCGCGCCCATCTTCACCGCCACGCCAAAACCCTGCAACATCTCGTCCGACCCGATGCCGAGAATGTGCAGCCCCACCACCTTCTCCTCCTTGCCCGCGCACACCAGCTTGAACGACGTCGGCCCCTTGTCCTCCTGCTCGAACATGCTGTAGTACATGGCGGTGAAGTTGCTCTTGTAGATCTTGATGTTCTCGTCGCCGTACTTTTCGCGCGCCGCCGGCTCCGTCAGCCCGATGCTGCCCACGCACGGGTGCGAGAAGACGACCGACGGGATGTTGTCGTAGACGAGCTTGGCGTCTTTGATGCCGCCGAAGAGGCGGTCGGCGAGGCGGCGGCCCGCTGCAATGGCCACGGGCGTCAGCTCGTACCCGCGGTCGCACGCGTCGCCCAGCGAGTAGATGTGCTCGACGTTGGTGTTTTGGTACTCGTCGGTGATGACGTGCTGCTTCTCGTTGAGCTTCACCCCCGTCACGTCGAGGTTGAGCTTCTCCAGTTCTGGCGCGCGGCCCACGGCCCACAGCAGGCAGTCGACGTCCACTGAGCCCTCGCCGTTCGAGTCGCTGTACTCGACCTTCTTCTTGCCGCCGCCCAGGTCCGTCACCTTCTTCGGCGTCGACTTTTTGTGCAGGTGGATGCCCTGTCGCTCGTACTCCTCCACCACCTTGTCCTGCACCATCGGGTCGAAGGTGCGCAGGAACTTGTCGTGCCGGATGAACAGGTGCGTTTCCGTGCCGAGCGCGTTGAACATGCCCGCCAGCTCGACGGCGATGTATCCCGCGCCCACCACGGCGACTTTCTTCGGCTGCTCCGGGAGTTCAAAGAAGCCGTCCGATGTAATTCCATGCTCCGCGCCAGGAACATCCGGCACCACAGGATACCCGCCGACAGCCACGAGAATCTTCTTCGCCGTGATATTCACCTCCGTATTATCATCCAACGTCACCTTGACCTTATGCGGATCAACGAAAGCCGCCAACCCATGCAAATACTCCACCTTATCATTCACCAAATTCTTCTCGTAAATCCCGTTCAAGCGCTTGATGTACGCGGCGCGCTTGTCGCTAAAGTACTTCCAGTCAAACGGCTTGTCCTGCGTGACGCTGAAGCCGTAGTTCTTCGCCTCGTGCAGCGTCTCCTGGATCGCCGCCGCATACCACGTAATCTTCTTCGGCACGCAGCCCACGTTGACGCACGTGCCGCCGAGCCGCTTGACCTCGACGACAATGGCTTTGGCGCCGTACATGCCGCTTGCGCGGCGGGCGCAGGCGAGCCCGCCGGAGCCGCCGCCGAGGACGAGGAAGTCGCACTCCTTCTGGATGGGGGCCATGATGGAGGGCGAGGCCGAGAAGTGGCGGGTGAGGGTTTGCAGGCGGGCGGTGGGGAGGAGGCTGCTGAGTGGTGTTGTCCGCGCGGACTGCGAGAGGAGACGGAGAGGGAGTGGGGGAGACAGCTTGTCGATCGGGGTGGAGGGAGGTCTTGCTGGAAGACGCTGCTGCTGTTGGTGGTGGTGGCACTTATACAAAGGCACGGAAGCAGCAGGAAATTACTCAGCTGGCGAGCTGGTTGTCGAGCTGGATGTTGACTCAGGTGGCGTGAGGAAGTAATCGACTTGTCAGCACGTGAAGGGCAGAGCTGCAGGGCGGCGAGGAGAGAAAAATGCGGAATCTGTAGGCTAATGGGTGGATTAATAAGGCGAGCAAATCGGCTATCGATGAGGTGGATCTGATGATGTCGTGACGGCATTGGATCCAGCTTTACACTTGCCGTCATGCTTCAGCGTTTTTCTCATCATGACGTTCCCCCCGGCCGCGCTGATGTGCCTCAGGCAGTCAACTCCATTACTGCACCTAACAACATGTACACACCGCAGATCCATCGTCTCGGCCTCTAGTTCATTGTTTACCAAGCTCAAAACCCACACCACCAGCCATCTCCAACGCCATTCCGTCCGGCGCAGTCCAATTCGAGGAAGCAGGCAACACAAGGCATGATCGCCATCGCATCCATAAGTCCCATTCGATGACTACATACACACCACCATATGTAAGCAAGGTAACCCAGAACGTCCCTGATGATTCCCACAAAGCCCGGCAAATCGCTCCAAAATACCAAAGTAGTTTTCCCATAGTGCAGTCGAACTTGATAATCCTCCGAGAAATGCCCAACCCTACCTCCCGCCCAACTTAAAGGGTACTACCCAAAACCCTCATACCAGCAGCCACCATCCATCTCCCATCACTGCTGCCACTGCCAACCGCTATACTGCTGGTGCGTAGTCGGCGTCGGCGGAGGCGGCAGCGTCGTCCGGCCCGCAGCCACGCCGCCCGACTCCTCCGGCTTACCCCACTGCGCAAGCCCCTGATCTTCAAACGGCGGCGTGAAGTAGGCCGTCATCGAGGGGGTGGTAATGGAGGGCGTGACGCCCTGCGTGCCGACGGCGATGTTTTGCGTTGGGAAGGGGGTCCAGAAAGACGGCATGCGCTGCAGCGAGGGATTGCGTGCTTCCCTTTGCTGCTGCTGCTGCTGCTGCTGCTGTTGATTTTGCGGCGCTTCCATCGTCAGGTAGTTTGACGCGTAGTAAAGTGGGTACGTGACGGGAGGGAGCGCGGCTGTGGAGCGCAGAGTCCCCTGCTCGTCCCCATGGTGCTGCGGATGTTGCGGCTTAAGCGGCGGTGGACCGCCATCGTCAAACATGTCGTGTGGCTGGTGGGAAATCGATGCCGTCCACGCAGCGGAATGGATGGGAGTATCGGGGTACACTGCGCGTTGTGTGCTGCCCGGCACTACCTCGTCCGGAAGGGCAATGTTCCACTTGGCGGCGAGGGAGCGGCTAATCTCGATGCAGCGGCCGGCGAATGGATGGTTTACGGCCATGGCTTCGAGGTCGAGCATGGCTTGGTGGAGATGGGTAGATGCTGTTTCGGAGGGCAGGTGGAGGAGGTGGATGGTGGTCGCGGACAGCAACAGCGTAGGGACGAGGGAACTCGTGCGGCGCAGACCGTACATGGAGCGCAGATGCCCCGTCAATTCGGAGATTTTGTTTGCGCAGGCGGTGCATGTGTCGCGGGGAAAGAGGTTGACTGTCTGCAGATCAAGTTTGATGTATGGGCGGAAGAGGCTATCATATGTCAACCGAAGCCATTTTGGTACGTGTAGGTGACGGGTTCGACTTACTGCAATACACAGCCATGATAGTACATGTGCAGAACGACCACATGCGGTAGCGATGTGTTCTCCAACCACAGCGGACTCGGAAGGTTGTGATACCACTCCTGGAAACGGCCGTACAACATCGCCAAGCGCCTGCTGGTAAAGGGCTCGCGCGGCGCGTAGAAGCTGTTCACCATGTCGCTCGCGAGCTCGCACAGATTGCACAGCTCATTGAAGAAGAGCATGGAGTGCGCGGGCTGTCGTAGATCTTCCTCCGGCGACACATTGATGTCGATGTAGCGCTGCCAAGCCTGCTCTTCACTCCGCTCTGGGATACTCGGTCGTGGTACGTCGACCGCAGATCGGGGCAGTTGGGACATTCGGCCCACGGAGACGGCGGAGATCCTGCAGAAAGCGATACATTGTCAGTCGAGTTCCGTCTGCCGCTGCAATTCAGCCGATCATACTCACGTCTCGAGGTTGAACACGCTCCAGAACGTTGTCTTGCGCATCTCACTCTCCTCCGAGCGCTGCCCGATATTCGTCGACGAAAGGTGCAGTCCCAGCTCCAGCGCCATGCGAATGCACCTGCCGGCGTATTGGTAACCACTGCTCTCCCGCCCACACGATGTCTGCCGTACGCTCATGACGCCCAGTGCCTGCACCGTCGTAAGGCTCGGCGCGCCATTAGCGTCGAGGAGCTGTGCGGCCTCCACGAAGAATTGCTCGCCGGCTGTTGAAGTGTCGCGCTCGTCTCTCCGAGCCATTGGACGGTCGGAGTAATGGCATGCAAAAGCTAGGATGGCATTCAGCAGCAGTGGGTTGAAGCACTCACCGCCTCCACGGCTCATGTCGCGGAGGAAGAGCTCTTGCGAGAAGAAGGGGCAGAAGGGATGGACCCAGCAAAAGTAGAGATCGAGGAGGTGTTGGGTGAATTCAGGGTCAGGTGGCGTGCGCAACCACGGCGCAGCTGCGGTGGAGGATGTAATGGATGACCGCTCGCGGTCTTCTTCAGAGCCCGTCCATGCGCCTGGCTGGCTTTCATTGCCTCTTCCGTACCTTGATCCAGTTGATTGGTGACGTTCGATTCCGGCGTGAACGGGATGCTGGCCATGGCCGCTTTGTGCCAAATTGGCATTCGCTCGTAGCGTTTCAGCCAAGATAGCAGGGTCGGTGCCGGTTCGAAGGGTGTGCAAGAGTGCGATCGAGTCGGCTTCGGGGAGCTCTCGGAGAGCAGTGACGATCACGTCGACCGTATCGTTCTGTTGGTGTTGGTGTTGGTGTTGCTGTTGCACCGATTCCAAATCATCCTGTGATTGCAAGAAATCAATGTCGGATTGCAACGGGCTGCGGCGCCGAGGATCATTGGCGATGTCGTAGAAGCATTTCGATCGGTAGACGGCGGTGCAAGTCGAGCATGATGGTAAAGCGCCATCGCACTTTCGACGACGACGAACCGACTGGTCAGCATGAATCCAGTGCGCGGGGGAAATGATGCTGCAAACTCACCTTCGACTTCCGCCTTCGACAAGGAAGACATGCCGCAGATACAGCGCGTCTCTTGCCTGACTTGCTATTCACTTGCACGTCGTCATCGGCAGGAGGCTCGGTTTTCAAGCGGACTGCACGGGGAGACATTTCGACTGAAGCGACACATAGTCATTTGAGGGAGGAGGACGAGGGTTTTCAACGGCAGCGCGCGGCGAGCGACTTGTTTGTATAGGAGTGTAAGATTGGGGAAGAATGCCCAAAAAAAACCCAATCCGACTGACGTGAAAGCCAAACGCAGTGTGGGAGGAGCTTCGATCAGCAGACGATCGGGGGTGACCGCATCGATGCAGTCGAGACGTCCAAATGGGAAGCGCGCAATCGCAGGTCTGCCGAACCTCCAGTAGCATGCAAGAAGATGGGGCGAGGGGAAGAAAATAGTCGATCAGCTCGACATGCTTGAAAAGCGTGGTTGGAGGTGGAAAGGTAGGCGAGGCCCCGACGGCGCGTCAACGGATAGGTCGGGCGGGCGTGCAGGAGCAGGGCTATTGGCTTAAATGGGGATAGGCAGTCATGAAGTTTTGCGGCGACGGCGACAACGGGGTCTTTTGCCGGCGAGTAAGGCGGACGGGCACGCGAGGGCTGTGTCACCGGACCCGGCCAAGCGTGCAACGAGGATGACAGTCATCCCGGCAAGCGCGCCGACACGCTGCGCGGCGCCTGCAGGGTGGGATGAGCATTCAGGAACGCAGAGGATGTTGGGCGTTGCGGGTGGCGCCACATGCGAATCATCGATCTGGCGGGCAGGGGGACAACGAGGGCGATGGCGAGTGGAAGCTTTGCGCCTCCTGGAAGCTTGACCTCGGCCGGCACGCATATTGGCTGCAGGCTGGGAATGCCGGGTCGAGGAGGGGCATCGGGTGTCGGCGTCAACATCGCACCAGTCAGCGGCGGAAGAATACGAGGCGTTACCCAACGAGCGTTGCCCAGCCCTCGACGATTCTGCGGAGCTGCTCGTGTTCGCGCACATGATGCAAGCGGTGCGCAAACGACCGCATTGGGCAGTTAAACGTGGGCAGAAGGACCCGCATTGGGCAGGTGTGGTTGAGGTGAAGCTTCGATTTAGCCTCCCTCTCGTAAGCCGCGCCAGGCCAGTCTACCGCCCCTGCGACGCATTCAAGTGTCGAAAGAGTGGAGCCCGTATGCGCCGATGGCCTGTCCAGCGCGCTACTTGGTAACACTGGGACAGTAGGTGGCCTAGCGTGGTACGTTCAGGTGCAGCTTCAGCAAGCCTTCTTGGTCCCTGTCATCAAGGGCCCCTCCGGCGGCTTGCTCAGGCCACCGGCGCCTCGTTTTTTTGCTTGGTGTTGTCGTCATGTGCCCTGCGGAGGCCGTCGGCCACGCTCACCCGCAAGTATCTCGGCGTGTCTCGCTCGTGCACCCGACCGCCGGCGCCATGTACCGCGCGTCGATCGCTGCAGCCAGCTGTCGGCCCAGCAGATCGGCGCGCCCACGCCCACGTTCATGGGTAGGCTGTCGTCATGTAAGAGGTTCGCTGGTGCGTGCGGCTCAGGTTGGTTTGATGGCGGGGGGGGCAAGTTTGGTGGAGATCAGCTTTCCCCACTGCTGTGGAGACGTCTACCAGACCTTGAAATGTGACGGGCGAGGCAGTCTCTCTTCACGAGGCTGTGCAGTCACCGATGCTCGAATATTCACCGTCGTAAAGGAGAATGCTAAGATCGCTTCCTATCATCCATTAATTAGTCCACAACATACAAAACCGACGTGCATCGGTGATGCATGCGCAATGCATGCTCGGCCCGCATGCCCATCCCATCTCATGTCGCGGCGGGTACGCGAGATCCGATCTCATCAGGGCCTGGGCAATGATGAAAGATTCCATCCGCAAGATGCCACCCCGCGTCCGCTGCATCCCATTCGTTTACCGCTCGCCCTGCGCTTATCATCATGACTCGACCCGGCGCGAACCAAGCACAAACAGGGCAAATGGCCGTGATGGCCGCCAGCGCCAAGCCGTCTTACGGCCGTACGAGTGGAGCTCGGGCCACGCTATGGAAGCAGGAGGCTGCGCTGTACCCTAGGTCATCGGCAGGTATACAAATCATTATTTGCTCCTCCGCTCAGCAGCATACCCACTGTTGCGGTGTCGCGCGAGATCAGCAATCGGGTACCGTTGGATGCCGGCGGAATGCCAAGGTGCGGGTAAACGGTGCAGCTGCTTTTGCCGACGAACATGATGCTGTTGAGAGGAAAGATCGCCAACGCGTCCTCCTCGCTGCTCCTGGACAATCTGTCCCTGCAGGCCTCACTACACCCAGGTAACTCGGGTGATGAAGCTCACCGTCCACCAAACTTCACCCCTTTCGCAGCATCCCACCTCCCATCCACCGCGCCACCCCCCGCTCCGGCACCACCACCACCACCACCACCCTTCCCTGCGCCCGACTGTCCCGCGAACAGAATCGGCATGCCCTCCTGCCACGTTCCCGACACCACCGGGCTCGCCACACCAGCGCTCCCAGGAGCAGCAGTCGCGCTAATGACCGCAGGCGGCGGAGCAGCAGCAGCTCGCTGCGGCATAGGAGCAGGAAGTTCGCTGAGCGTCATCCTCGCCTGCGACGGCGAGACGTGCTGCTGCTGCTGCTGCTGCTGCTGCTGCTGTTTCTGATTCAACAACTCCCTCTTCGTATCCTGCTGCAACCGCAGCCCCGCCATGGCATTCGCCACATCCTCCTCCAACCCGCGCGCCTCCGAGCGCCGCGCGTAGACAAAATTGCGGCACTCATCGCGGAAGCGCGTGGTGATGTTGCTGAGGTCGTTGTAGAACTTGCGCCCCGTCTCGAGGTTGCGCATAATCTCCTTGTACGCCGTGTACGCGTTCTCCAGGCTCTGCAGCGCATGCTCGCGCTCCTTGGAGCTCGTGTCGCCCTTTTTGGCCGCTTGGAAGTGCGCGTCGGCTTCGGAGACGCGTTGCAGTAGGCGGTCTTGGTCGGTTTCTTCCGCTTTGAGAGCCTGTTGGTCGACGTCGTATTTCTTTAGTCGGTCGTTGAAGAGATCTTCAAACTGCGAGGCTACAACGGGTTGCATTGGGTTTTCGCGTTCCAGTTTCCCGGCTTCTTTGAGGAGATCCGGGTTGACGTCGTCTTCTTTCGCCTTTGTGCGCAGACTCTCCACCTTCTTCCGTCTTCGGCTCTCCAGACGACTGACTTCGTTGAGAGTGGCGCGCAGCGTGTTGGCTTGCCTTTCCACCGTCGCAGTCATGGTCGCGCGTCGACTCGACGGAACGTAGTCTTCGAGGTCCCGATCGGTGCCGCCCAGCAAACGGATCAACGTCTCATTCTCTCGCAGCCGCTCCTTAACCATCCCGTCCGACTTGGCCGCCTGCTTCAGGTAGCCGTCGATGTCGTTGACTTGGTTGTAGAGCTTGGGAAGCGCCTCCTGCCCACTCGGTCTCTTCCACCGCTCTGTACCGAACTTCCTCCGCGCGCTCTCATCCTCGCCGGCCTCTGTGCGGAGAAGATCAATGCCTTCCTGGTATAGCTGTAGATTGCTAGCCTTCAATTTCTCGGTATCCGCGATGATGGTGTGCAGCCTCTGCACTCCATTCGCTTGCCGCACTTCCTCTGCATGGCTCGCCAAGCCAGGCGGCAAGCCCAGTGGCTTCTCCAGAGCCTGCAGGCTCCCTGGGAGATTGAGGCTCGACAGCGTCTCGTACATTCGCTGCGTGAGCGCCTCCAGCTCGGCAATGATGGTATTGTTGACAAGCCTGTCCCGGCGGTCGGCGTAGATCGACGCAGCGACATGCACGCTATACGGGACGAGTCGCGCGAACAGAGGCTTGCCAAGTTCACTCGCGTGATCTCCCAGCAGCTCCTGAGAATCGCTGACTTCCTTTGGCACCTTGGCGCTGACCATTGATGCGCGGTCCAAAGGCTTGAGTTCGCTCTTTGGCGGTTCCGGGATGAGGTAGATGGTGTCGTTGTCCTTCTCCGCCCGCTTGAGATCCTCTGACACGCGGTTCTTAAGCCCCGTCAGATCAGCCAGGACGGCTTTGTTGATATACCTGCTCTCCTTCATCGCCTCGTTGACGCATTTCAGACTGTCTCGCAGCCTCGCCACTTCCTCACCGTACTTCCTCTTCTCCAAACAATCGCATGCAGCTCGATACTGCGCAGCAGCAGCAAAATGGTGATGCTTGGAGTTGATGTGATGTATCCACTCCGAACTCACACTATCGCTCTTCAACGAACAATCGCCGGCCTCCGAATACAAGTCCGAAACTTTTGCAGCGAGCTTCGCAATCGATGAATCCTTCAGTCCGTCTTTTACTGCCTTTTGCCAAAAGCACTCCTGCGCCTGCGCCAACATCAAATACTCGAGCGTGTCCAGGCTTGCGTCATCCATGTCCTCAGGCGGACTGGTCCGCAGTTCGGGAATGATGTTTGTCTTGAGGTGGCTGATCACTCCAGCCGCAAAACAGAAGTTTGCTGCCGCGTTTTTCAATCCATCTGCCGTTGCGCGATTGGAAGACAGGGCTAGCTGGGAGTACATCGCGGCGAGATTGAAGAGGACATTGGCGAGTTCGAATCGAAGGTTATTCTCGGTATGCGCACGAGACTGATGGTAGCCGAGAGAAGGATACCACGTGAAATCCGCTCCAATCTGTGCATCCTTAGCCTCTTACGTCCACACCATCTCAACTTGATGCAAACATACATCTACGGGAAACTTCCCACCCATCCACACCAACTGCGCCGCATACGCTTGCAACTTCCGCACACCACTGACGTGCGGCTCGAGCGCATTGACAGCATCTTTGCGAAGCTGGTCGACGATTTCTAAGTCGCGCGCAAACGAGTCTGGGTGCTGGTCGTACTTGGTGGAGATGTAGGATTTGATGGCGGCGAAGAGGAGCACGGGCTGGGTTCGGCGGAAGGGGATTTGGTAGAGGTTGCCGCTTTGCATCGTTTCTTGACGTCGAGCAACGGGTGCGGCGAGACGTTGCTGGAGGAGGAGGGGAGGGAGGGAGTGGTGGGCGTGGTTGGTGGGAGTTGAGCCCATGTGAAAGTGTTGTCATTTGTGTGGCGCAGGCGTCTCGCGCAGCCACACCGCGCCGCAGGCTGGGAGCAACGTCGGGCAGCCAGAGGTGGCGTGCTGCGGTGAGGGTTTGATGAAACGTGCTCACTCCTTCTCATAACACTCTCTTTCTTCCTCACACACAACTACAACACCAGACGTGAGCATCACTCACAAAAAAAAGACCCAGCCCTCGTCTTCCCCTCTCACACTTTCAAACAGGCTCCTCGTGTGCTTCTCGCGACAAGGACAAACGCCACACATCGGATTACCAATCTCATCTTCCCACGAGAACTGGCCTCTGAACACCAAACCATAGAGCACAAACTCTTGAAACCACAATGGCGGAGCACAAGTACAAATTCAACATCACCGTGAGTTCGCTATAGCATATCCAGGGCCGACCCCCCAACTAACTTTCCACCCTCCAGATGACCTGCGGCGGCTGCTCAGGTGCCGTAGAGCGAGTGCTGAAAAAGCTGGACGGTAATGCTGTGCTTATCTCTGGTGCTCTCTTCAAATTTGCTGACTGCTTGTTGCTTCCAGGCGTCAAGTCTTACGACGTATCTCTGGACACCCAGACGGCCGACATCGTGACGGAGGAGAGCGTGGACTATTCCACTGTGCTGGAGAAGATCAAGAAGACGGGCAAGAAGGTGAACTCGGGGGAGGCGGATGGGGTGGCGCAGGCTGTGTAGATGTGGTGTGAGTTGCATTCGTGCTAGACGATCGCTAAGGAATACGCTTTCAATCCCTTCCGTCTTAAGCAATCATCCCTTCGTAGTAGGGCTGTGGGTGTGTGTGCCGTGCCGGCAGAGTTTGCCGCCAGCCCCCGGCAAACCGTAGCGGTGTCTCCCTCATATCTATACCGCATTCATGCTGGTGACATCCATTCCTCGTCCTCAGTCGTAATCAAGCTGGTCCCTCACATTTCGATACCCGCCGGCACCCGTCGCCACGGCAGACATATCGACAGCCGCCACCTTGACCTTCTGCGCCTTCGGAGCCTCTTCCTCCCATTCCGTGCGGCAGAATGGGCAGGTGACCTGGCCCAATTTCGTCTTGGCCCACTGGTCGAAGCACGCTTTGTGAACGTTGTTGCCGCAAGCCGCACGACACCACACGACCTCTTCATTGTCCTCAAACTCCATACAGCAGATGGGACAGTCGTCTTCGACAGGCTTGCGCTTCCCATCGAACTCCTCCTCCGGTGCGGTAACGACTTCGGCGGGCAGAGGCGGAGCATTGGCGAAGAGCTCTTGGAGCTCGGAGGTGAGGAAAGCGTTTTGCTGCTTGAGGTGATCGGGCGCTTTCAAGACGTTGTGCAGAATGTACAAGACGTGCTTGCACACCGTCTCCGTCCCACCCTTCTGGAAGATCGTGGTCGGACAGGTGCAGCTGGGCATGTGGGTGATGGAGACGGTGTAGACGTTGCCACTCGATCCTGCGATTTGCACGGTCTCGCGCGGACAGTCTGGGTGATGAGCGTGGCAGTCCGGTTCGGTGTCGCGCGTGCGGTCAAGCACAAACATGCGCTCCTTGTTCGCCTTTGCCAGAGCTTTGTGATACGAAGGAGGCGGTGATTCGACATAGCTGCGGGGAATGTCAGAACCTGCAGAGGCAGAAGGACTGTGCAGATATGACTTACGGTCTCACTCTGCTCTCCTCCTCTCCCTCCCTGAGCCTCGGAATCTTGCTTTGATTGATGGCAATGCGATTGGCCGCTGCACTGGCATGCCAATTGTTGCCTTTGGCCCGCTGAGCCTTGGCCATCGTCTTGGGATTGACAATGAAGATGGACAGTCCGACTTTCTTCCAGCTCCAGTCGTCGTCGGCGGCACCATCGTCCTCGTCCTCGTCGTCGTCATACTTGCGCGCCTTGCCCTTTTTGCCGGCGTGTTTGGTCTTCTTTGCGGGAGCAGCGTCGACGACTTCATTGGCGTCAAAATCCTCGTCATCTTCGTCCTCAACTTTGACTCTGCTGGCCTTTTTGGTCTTCTTTGCGGGAGCTGCTTCGATGACCTCATCCTCTCCGCCCTCAACTTTGACTCTCTTGCGCTTGGGTGGCGCGGCCTTGACGGCGGGTGCTTCATCCTCAGCGGCTTGTACTGCGGCGTAGTTCTGCACAGGTTTTCTCGCTCGGGTGGAGCGTCGCAAGCCTTCGGCCGCCATGTTGGTTGATGAGAGATGGGTGAAGTGAAGTGGCGCTGAGGAGCGCAATGAAACTTTGAAGAAAGTGGAAAGTTGAAAGTGGCAGATTGTGAGAAGGAAGGAGCGATCAGGTGGTTAAAGGTGGGTCGGTGCTCCGGCTGCCTGTTGGAGCCTTGCTGCCTGATGCTGCCGCCAATCACACACGCACTCACGTGACTGTGCCACTTCTGTTTTGTACGTTCTCCCAACATGGATGTGCGAGATGTGATCGCGAGTGGAGGCGTAGTTATTGATTATCCTCACGGTTAAGGCTGATAGTAAGGCAAGGCTCTGGAAACGTCGTGGGAATGAGTACCGCCTGGGCCTCTCACCTCGCTCAATCCGTTCAATACATTGTGCGTAACATTCTGCAATTGATCCTTTGACACTTCTGATGCCTTGAGTCCTTGGAGTGTTCACGACAGAGACTTTGAAGTCACGGGAACGGAGGAGACCGCCGGCTCCGATGATGAGCGGAGCGGAGGGGAGAGAAGCTCGGACCAGTGAGATGCGAAGGTGGGGACATGAGCTTCCATCTCATCTGCACAGCTTTTGGCCCTCCAAAAGCAATCCTCCCTCTATTCTGTTCCGCCGTTTCAATCACTCCACCCGCCGGTCAATGCTGGTGTACACGCGCCAGTCGGATGTCTAGACCATAACAGCTCACCTTCGCACACCATGAATTATCTGCTCCCGCGGCACCCCTCCCCCAGCGCCATCCGCACCCTCCTCTCCCTCCCGCCTGCTCTACGCGCGGCAACATACACCTCCACATCTCCTTCCTCCACGAAACGATGGCAATCCGACTCCGCCCCCACCCGCCGCCCCCGCACCGCCATCTTCTTCCCAGGACAAGGCGTGCAGCGGGTCGGCATGCTAGATGACTGGGCGGCCGCCTTTCCCAACACCGTGAAGCCACTGATGGACGAGATCGACGAGCGCCTCAAATTCTCCCTCACCAAGATCATTGCCGAGGGCCCAAACAGCAAATTGACGGCGACGGAAAATGCGCAGCCGGCCATCATGGCTACGTCCATCGTCATCCTGCGCGTGCTGGAACGCGAGTTTGGCTTCAACACTGCGGAGCGGGTGGATGTTACACTGGGACATTCGCTGGGGGAGTTCGCGGCACTGGTGGCGGGGGGATACTTGCGGGAAGCAGACGCATTAAGACTGGTGCGCAAGCGGGCAGAGGTGATGGCGCGCTGTTCGAGAGAGGTGAACGAAGAGGTGGGCATGATTGCGCTGGTGTGCGAAGCGGATCACATGCAACCAATGATCGACGCCATCCACGGCTTCCTCGGCCTCGCCTCCGAGGGCTCCAAAGCAGACAGCCACGCCGACCAGGACATGCCAGCCGCACACCAAGTGTCCATCGCCAACATCAACGCCAAGAACCAAGTCGTGTTAGCCGGCAGTATTCGCCGCATCCGCGAGCTACTGACGCACATTCGGCAATTCGGTGGCCACGATCCCCGCGCTGTGCGGCTGTCGAGCGACTCGCCGTTCCACAGCCCGCTAATGGCGCCCGCGGCGGAGCTGATGAAGAAGCTGCTCAGCCAGCCGTCTCCGTCAGAGAAAGGGCAGGACATGATCATCTGGCCAGGTGCAATGCCGTGCATTTCCAACGTCTCCGCTCGCCCGTTCCAGAGCAAGCAGCAGCTGAAAGATTTCCTGGCGTGGGGCTGCGTGGAGACGGTGCAGTGGCACGATGCGATTGTGTACTTGCATCAAGAGGAGAAGGTGCGGAGATGGGTGGGCATTGGGCCGGGCAAGGTGGGACGGAATCTCGTGGGCAAGGAGGTGGGGATGAAGGGCGCTGTGAAGGGTGGTGGGGTTTGGGGCATTTCGTCGCCGGCTGAGGCGGAGAGGGTGTTGGAGGATCTGGAGAAGACGGAGAGTGCGGTGGAGGACTGATGGGATGGGCATGGCTTCAATGGCACTTTCCATCTGCCATTTCGTCCGTCGCTCTCTGAATGAATACTAGCTGTAGTGGACGTCGACTGCCTGTACATACATGCAATCAGTCGAGTTTACTCAATCCGAGACTCGTCACGTCCGTAAGATTAGGGTCCCAATCGAATCGTTCAAAATACAACCAGCACTATATAAATGCCTTCAAACGCCATCCATGGCCAGCTCGCAGCCTGATACAGTACAAAAGGCGGGCGAACTGGTTGGGCCAAACTAGCCGAGCCGAGCTCCACACTCCACTCCGCCGGAATCCTTCGCCTTCCCGGACCTCGACTTCATCCCTTCCTTGTGTCCTCCTTCTATACCTTCTATACGCCTCACTCCGTCCCTTTCTCGACGCCCGACCGCATGTTTGACCTTCTTTGCCCGGCTGAGGAAGCCAGTGCCGTCCTGCACGTCGAAGGAGGCTGGTATGTTTGGCGACTGCTGCGAGTTCCTTGCCTCGACGAGAGAAGATGCGGGTTGTGCGGGAGGCCAATATGGACGGTGAAAGAGCGAGATGGTACACGCGATGCGGCCTGGATATCTCGGAGAGATGGTTGTTCGAGTATGCTTGAGAAGGGGAGCCGGCTGCTATAGTGCTTCCAACTCGAGATAATCACTCTGCTGATCCTTCTCTTCGTGCCGGCTTGTGAGACGCGTAAGTCCTGCTTTGTCGGAACGTGGATGCGAGAGTGGCGCGCATGGTAGGTGTCTGGGGATGGTGATGTGGTGGTTCCGCATTGGAAGATGAGTATAAGCTCTGTGCCCAAAAGACTGTTAAGCTCGCTGCCATTCCTTTTTGCTGAAGAATCGATGATTGCACAGGTAAGGCCCGGCCTCGTTCGATTGGAGGTAAGCTCGAGGGCGCGACGCCCCATGCTGCCATTCTCGTGTGCGGTTCGAGGAGAAGTGCTGGACGCGTGACGAGTCCATCGTCACGGTCGCCCGGAAGTCTCGCTGCTGCTCTTGCCCTCCCTCCTTCGAGATGGAGCGTCTGACCTGTGGAGAGTGTCGCGTCACCGCTCGCCGTTTCCTGAGAGGCGAAGAGTGAATGCCCATCGATCGAGGTCCTGCATCTATGTGAATGGACAACCATCGCCCAGACGCGCTCAGTAAGTGCGACTCGCGTGCGCAAAGCCTGAGGCGGCGGCTCTTCCCGGATGGTGAGAGTAGAGGGGCGATGCAGGGAGTGGTGAGGAGGAGGAGGAGGCGATGCTAGCGATTGGCGAGCCGTCCTCGCGCTGCTGGTGGGTGCGTGTCAGTGCGCGTGCTTGCGCTGTGGACGCGCTGCTGGCTGTGAATGGGCTGTCTTTTCAACGGCCTGCTCTGCTGCTCGTGGCGCGTCAGTTGCGACCGAGACTCCACCTAGTCAAGACAGAAGAGCTGGTTTCGAACGCGTCGCGCTCTGGCAATGCATGGAGGCGCAGAGAAAACTGGCGTGAGTGCCTCGAAAGAAACAGGGCTACACCTTAGTGAAGGTGTGCGAGGAGGAGTGACTGCTGGGGCTTTGGGGGTCTCTGAAGGGAGGGGCTTGGCGTTAATCCGCTGAAGAGGGAGACACCAGTTCGAATGTCGTCGGTTCACGACCAACACCACCGCCAATAATCTGGACACATGTTGGGAAAAGGCTCCAGGGGGTCATCAATGAGCCCTTGATTTTTGCAAACGATTCCGTTCGAGGTGGAGGGTATTGTGGATGATGAGAGCGCCGCTGTCGCAAAAAGTTAAGCGGATTCGGGCACGATTCGAACCCTGGCCTTCACCAATCCACGCGTCACCGCGACGCGGACTACCAGCCTCACGGTCGCGCTGCCCGCAGCCCGTCGAGCAGCGTCGAGCTCCTCCCCCTCCCCGTCGCGAGTTGTCTCTTCCCAGCAAAAGGGGGAGAACGCGCTGCGAGTGCTGGATAACAGCAAGGCAAAAAGATGGAAGCCTCCACCCTAATCACTCAGGGGAGTTCCAGGGCCATTTAGCAGAACACCACCGCAAGGACCACAAAAAGTCAAAAAGAGCAGCGCACTAGAAGAGCTATTGGACTGGATCCGACTTGACAATGGTTGTCGACAGTGTGGAGGAAGGTGTAGACTGGATCCGACTTGAAGAACCGAAGGTTTGGACAAAATCCGACTTGAACAAGGTAAGGTGGACAGAATCCGACTGTAAGAAGGCAAGGTGGACCGGATCCGACTTGATTAGGAAGAGAGAAGGAAAGGTTTGAACGTACCTCCCATTTCCATCCCGCGTTCCCCCCCCAGACCAACGGTCTCGGGGGAACGAAAGCAGGGGCAAAATTATTGCATATATTCCCACCCGGCGGCACTTCGGAGCCACCCAGGGGAGCCGGCGGTGACGATGTCATGCTTGGTGTGCATCAACACACAACACTTGGAGGAGTGTTGCTTGGTGCTTGCGAGCTTCCACAATGATTTCGGCCATTATTGGGGCATTTCTGAGCATGAAATAGACTTGGAGAGGATGTTGGGCCTGCTTTGCAAGGACCTGCCGCACCTCCAAGGACGACTGCGCCGGCAGCAGGCATATGCAGGCAGCTGGAGTGCTCTTGAGATCACGGCGGAAGCTTGCTTCCTTCACTGCATGTTCTTCATTGGCATCACCACATCTTCTGGCATCACTTTTGTGCTCCATCGCGGTGATAGCACGTCTTCTTCAACCATGCCTGCTCTTGATGCGAGCTACAGGTCAGCAGACGCGCCCGTCGCACGCCCGCACCACCTCTGCGCAGCTGTGGCGACTGCTGAACGCGATGCCACAACCCGCGATGGCGCCGAGATGAGAGTTGGCCTTCGTCAAAGCACCACTGACGATCACCATGCCGGACATCGCGTCGAAGATGCCTCACTGCTGGCCATAGAAGAGCATCGTGAGCGCTCTGGCACTGGAATCGACCACAACGAGCGTCGAAGGCATCTTCGATCATCTAGGACCGAGTACGACAACATCCTGGGCCACGAACAGCTCCGTGGACGTTGTCAACGCGTCCAGTGTGGTCAAGTGTGACATTCCGCCCGCATCCCTTGCTTCGGCAATTCGCCCTCCCCGGCTGAACGGCTCAACACCTCGCAGACCACTTGTTGCGCAGTCCCCGCGCGTCATCAGCTCCCCAACAGCCTAGACAAGACGGCAACCTCGACCGTGAACGGGAACAACCACAAGATCGAGCCGGCATGCGACGAACCACAACTTCGCGCGGCACCACCCCAACTCCTTCAACCGCAAAGCCGGGAGCGCTATTGCGTCCCCGTAGGCTGGTGCAGCCCGCTCGACGGAGCGTACGCGCACGAAGCACTCGAACGGCTCGCCACGGTTGCCGTTACACCACCATCTTTCCATCAAAAAGACTCGCACCGCGATCGCTCGGAGAGAGAGGACAGAGACCAAATCACTACCGGCGAGGGCATATTCCTCAGCCAAGGCTATCAGACAAGAAATGGGCCGCTAGCATCATCGATCATCCCATCAAGAAGCATTTCAGCGGAGACCAGAGTGTAAGGAGCGGCTGTGCAGCGAAGGATGTCCCAGTCCAGAAGATGTCTGCTCTACCACGGACTTCGGTATGAAGGCTCTTCCTTCCCGGATCTGGATCGCGCACTGGATGAAAGTCATCCAGACGCGGGTGCTGGCTGGTTCCCTTCACCTCCGATCTACTTCCCGAAGTCAGAGACGAAGCAAGCACAATATCCCATTTCATGCGAAGAAGTACTGTCTCCTGGAGCCGCAGGCCTCTACCGACTCCGGGAAGTCCAGTAAGGCCTCTCGGAACGATATCTACCAGGTATGATCTGGATGGCTTGGCTGTGTGGTTGCCGTGGGGCCGAGCTGCTCGCATTCCCTTTTCGGCCGACCTTGCAATGATTGTGCGGGCTCCGCTTCCGCGGATGTTGGCCATTGTGATGGCTTCCATAGCCGTGCTCTTCCACCTCCAACTGCTTGGAATATGTCGTGGCGTCCCTCCAGCAGCCGCTAGCTCCCTCCATGTCTTCCACTTTGTCCTCCCGTCCGGCAGAGGCCGCGGAGCTTGCTGCGAGGGAAGGAAGAAACAGATCCCAGTGATAAAGCACTCGCTCCCGGTGTAGAAGGATAGCTATGGACTCCTTAGACTCCCGACGCTTGCTCTTTCTGCCTGTTCTCGCCACGGTGAAGCGAAAGGCCTGCTGTCTCGGTCTTGATGAGGGCGTGGGTGTCGTGAGGATGAACGGGCCGGCCATACTCTCACTCGTGGTCTATCTCAAGGCCATCGGCGTGCGTATGTGAGCACGCCAGGGGTATAGATCGTCTTGATGAGGCTGTGTTGCTCCATGCTGGACGGCCGAATCGTACCCTGCCTGGTTCCAGGGGGGCTTCAGGGGTAAACGGTACCGAGATGGAGAAGGTCTCCGCGCTCCTCCTGCCATCTAGATCGCAACTGGGAGGGTGCCAGCAAATGCTCCGGCTCCGTGTGATGCCTACCGATGGGCGCTGGCTCGCTGTGCTGCCCCTGAGATGCGGAGGGGGTTGAGGGTCGGAGTCGGCCTGCCCTTCTGCCGTGCCTGGGACAGACAGCCTGCGTGGCCCAGCACCTCTCGAGACAATAGGAGTGATGGAGATGCTCATCATGATGGCTTGACGAGGCGCTCTCTGCTTGTTTGGCCTGGTGAGTGGCCGTCGCGTGCTGGCGTGAGCTTCGCAGCGACGTGCTGTCAACGCCGCCACCTCCATACAGCACGGTGAACGGGCCTCACCACGGGTCATGAGAGCCTACAACATCATCAAGGATGGTCTAATCTGGCTATTCGAGCGATACAGGCAGCTATTCATCTCTGGGAGGGCCTACAGACACTGCTAAACCTCACTACACCGCCCACCTCCGCCTGCACAACAACACGCACTATCAGCATCACGACAACACACTGACGCACACCACACGCACCGCATGCACAACAAGGACAAAATAAAGTCACAAACAACTCGCTTCTTCTCCAAGCACTTGCAACAAAGGCAAGAGGCATGATGAGAAAGCAAAGGCAGCAAGGCTGGTTGAAAGCAGAACTAAAGGCCAAGGTGGTCAGCAACGACGACGACAATGCGAATAAGGATGGGCAGCGACTCACATTATGCCCTTTCGACACAAGTCGTGCCATGCTGAAGCCAGAAGGCCAGCAGAAGATTGAGGAACGTGATTGCCTCTCCTCCAAGAGCGGTCACCCCAAGGGTGAAGAAAGGAAGAAAGCAAGAAGGAGGTTTGGGGGAAACGCAAAATATTTATACCTTCTGTGGGCGGCGCGCGAGTCAGGAAATGGACGCTGCATACGTAAGCGTGCATTGCGGTGCCGTTGCGAGGGAGGCAGGCCATGTCGTCATGGGAGTCTGATTGGTCAGGGGGTTGGCGGGCGTTGTGTGACGACGGCGAGCATGCTCGAAAGACGGCGAGCCAGGTCTCGCTGGCCGTTGGAGGAGGTTGTTGGTGGTAAGAGCGAGGTCAGCCGGGTGTTGAGAGAGCCATCATGGATCTTAACAACACATGGCGACCGTGGGAGGATGCGAGGAGGGCAGGCGTGTGGTCCTGCTCGCAGACTGGCCGCGTTCCGCTCGCTGGCTTTCGCCCTCGGCGCTCGGTCTCAGTTGAGAGATTTAACAATGCTCGCCAGAGAATTGCAGTGAAAGAGAGTGCCACAAGGGCAAATGACTTTTCGTAGCTCTGCAGAAGCTATCAACACAACCACACAACATTGGAGCAAGCATACCTCCTCAAGCCGGCAGAGGAGTGGAAGTCTTGCTCTTATCAAGCGCCGCAGCAGAGTCAGCAACCTCAGCCGCGGTTTCAGCGACCTTCTTCTCCTCCGTCGCCTTATGCACGCCATTTGTGTCTCCGCCTCCAACCTTCCCGCCCATCTGCTCCACGATCTCCCGCACCACTGCAACCGTACGGCCTGGACTTCCGGGCTCGGCAGCAAGCACTTTGCCGTCCTTGTTCACCACAAATACACCTCGAGCAGTTCCATTCGGTGCTTTCTTCAATCCAATTGCTTCAATAAGCGTCTTCTCCGGGTCGCAGAGGAGTGTATACGGCAGAATCTGCCTGTTCTTGAACGATGTATTGGCCTTGGGCGGGTCGTTGCTGAGGCCGTAGATGTCGAGGCCAGTGGCGGTGAGTGGGGTGAACTCGTCGCGGAACATACACGCTTGGGTCGTGCCTTTAATCACACAATCAGTCCACGCACACAACGTGAGTCGCATAGATGCGGTCTGGAGCATGCTTACATCCGGGAGTGCTGGCTTTGGGGTACGTGAACAGCACCACCCCGGCCTTGCTTTTCTCAACCAGCTGCGCGAGCGTCACCTTCTTCTCATCATGCGTCTGTATCTCCCCTCCGAAGCCTTCGAGCGACAGTGTATAGCCCAGCAAGATCTTGGGCGCATCCGGATTCGGCTTGGGGATGAGAGCGGCGGCGGCGGACTCTTTGGCTTTCTTCGGCTCCGCTTTTGGCTCTGCTTTGGCCGCCGCCTTCGCTTTGGGCGTGGCCTTCTTCTTGGCGGGTGGCGGTGGTGGAGGAGGGGGAGCTTTACGCTTGCGGAGCTCGACCATGATTGCTGAAGCGTGAGGGATGACGGATGGAGAAGCTGCGGATTTCCAGCGGTGGAGTAACGATGCAAGAAGAAAGGGCCGAAGAGGAAGTTTATATTACTTCAGAGCGCTCGCTACACATGTGCGACGTGAACAACGGGTAATTCAGGGGGCGTGGATGAGTCCAAAGGTGCCAGCCATCTCCCGCTTTCCTCGACGACTTGAGGAGCAGATGCGGTGGCCGAGTGGGGTCACCACCCCCGGTCTCGGCAACTGCTAGGCGCGGTCCGCGGAAGGCTACGCGCAAATGGGGTTAGTGTGATATGTCTTTGTGTGGAGACTGTCTGCCTTCATTCCCATCGCGACAGCATGACCTCCCGCTCTTCATCTTGCAGGTGAGAAGTCGCTTGAGGCCTAGAGCAAGTGCTGGAGCAGCTCCGGTCGGAAGAGTGCACTGTCTTCGGCGGCACGGAAGTCCTGGCCTGATCCACCTTGGCAGCATCTTGCGGAAGACATGAAGACGAAGGTAGGGCGAATGATGGGTGGGAGCTCTACATGATCGATGGAGCCGCATGCAGCAGCAGGCCACGCTTGGCACCCTCATCCCTACGCGTTTTGGTCGTCTGGAAGTACCGGCGGTTTGGACCAGCCCCAGAAGCCGAATATGGAAGATCAATTGCCCCATCTTCCGCCACTGCTAGTCGCCTCGTCCCCATCCTCAAGCCTTCATTCAGCTAAGGCTTTTTTATGAAGAATATTGACAGCACTGCCGAGTGGGCCCGTCATTCTCCCGCCTGGATCAATATGTCACACCCGAGTCTTCGTCCAACAGCAGAGCAGTCGCGAGCTGTGTAAAGGTCAGCAAAAGCACTCCACTTTGTCCTCATCCCATTCTGTCAATTTGCCTTCACATTTGATCCATCGGACGCACGATAAAATGCGCCTGATATCTTCTTTATCTTCCAACTTACTCTTCTTCAGCACTTCACAACCTGCACTCTTCTACTGATCACTGGCATTCAACATCGCTTCGCATCTCCTTCAGTCAGCTTCGCTACTACTCACCATCTTCAATCAGCATCGCAGCTACTTCTCCCCTTCAATCATCACCGTTGCCTCGTATCATCTTCATCGGCCAACATGGGCAATTCTACTTCCAAAGGCGACAACTCGAGCACCACAGAGACGGTCAGCATCCCCATTCCCATGCCCATGCGCATGCTCAACGCCATCCGCGGTCAGAAGCAAATCGTTGTCCGAGAGGAGGCCGCTGTTGTCGACGAGGCTTCGCAGACAGCTTCAACCCATCATGGGTTGAAGTGGTGGCAGGCTGCTTTCAGTACGTTGCTCGTCTTTCATCCCAGACCGACTGTTATCTAACAACATGTGCGCAGTCATCACCGCCTCCACCAACTCCCTCGGGGTCCTCTCGCTGCCAAAAGCGATCGCACCAATTGGGATTGTTGCGGCCCTCTTGGTGATTCCCTTCATAGGACTGTTGCAATGGTACACCGGCTTCGTAATCTGGCAGCTCGTCTCCAGATATCCGGGAGTAACCTCCTTTCCGGAACTGATGGGCGTGTTCCTCGGCACGTGGGGCCGTCGCATCGGCGTTGTCATGCAGACGCTTGTCCTCGTCTGCATCATGGCCGCGCATGTGGTGGGATTCAGCATCGCCTTTGATGTTGTGTCAGGCTACCGGTTGTGCTCGGTGCTCTGCACGGTCATCGGAGTCCTCATGATGGTTCCTTTTTCGCTTGTGCGTAGTCTGCGCGACACGTGGAAGATCTCTGTTCTGGGTGAGTCTATCTGCACGTGTGCCGCAAGTCTCCTGATACTGATCATGCAATAGCCTGCATCTCAATCATGGCCGCCGTTGTCATCGCCCTCGTGTCAGTGGCAATAAACCGGGTTCCCTACCCTGACGACTACCTGATTCCCCCGGAAAGCGTCACGTCATTCTACAAAGGCTTCCAAACGGTGAACAGCATCCTGTTCGTCTTCATGGCACACATCGCCTACCCGTCGCTCATCTCCGAAATGCGACAATCAGAAGACTTTCCCCGCGCTCTTCGCATCCAGGCCCTTTTCACCATCGCCTTCTCGCTGTTCGTCGCCCTCGCCTTCTACGCCATCATCGGATCGAGTGTCGGCTCCCCAGTCCTGTCATCTGCGCACCACACCCTGCGTCTGGTAGCATATGTGATCGCCTGGCCGACCATCGGCGTCGCCGCCATTCTGTCCTGCGTCGTGGCCGGCACACATATCTACCGAAGCATCTGGGAAAAGACAAAGCCTCGCATCGGCAGCAATGGCGCTCCAGTCAGCAGATGGCGCAAGAACCTCTCCTGGGTCGGCATCATCTCCGCCCTCTGGACAGCAGCAACGCTGATGGCGCTCGGAATCCCGGCGTTCGAACACATCATACCGCTCGTGGGAGCACTCTTCGGCCCGGCGTACATCCTGATCATGCCGTCAGTCTTCTTCGTCCAGCACGCTGCTCGGGGGTTTGATTGCAAGATCTGGCAGGTGCCGCGACGCATGCCGTTCTTCTTTGCGCTGAATGTCGTCATCTTGTGTCTGGGGATTGCGCAGTGTACGATGGGCTTGAAGGGCACGGTTGAGGCGATCGTCGCTTATTTCCCTGACGGCGGCTTTTCCAGGCCCTTCTCATGCGCAGCACCGGCGGCGTAGGCGGTCTGGATGCACTGTGAGAGGTGAATCGGCATGCGTGGGTGAGGGGAGATGGAGGAGCATACCAGCCACGGGCGGCTTCATGAAATCACTTGCAAGCCTGGGGAAAGGCGCGACTACATGCCGCTTCTCCAGAAGAATAACGGCAGTGAGGGGTTCGATGCTGGAGCGAGATGAATTCCCTTGACGGCGGAGTGGCTGAGATGAGCAAGGCCAGCGCCCATCGATGTCGGAGGCATAGGCCTGTTCTCAAAGAGAAGAACGGCGATCAAGCATTTGCTATCGGAGCGAGAGCATTGTCTTGGCTGGAGAAAGTCGATGAGATGCGCCAGCCTGGCGTCGATCCGAGATTGGAGGGATACACAGGTTCTCGAGAAGGACATCTGTAAAGGCCGCAGTCTGTAAGCCAAGCCGTCATTCTAATGAAAAGAATGACCGAGAAGTAGCCAGACAGGCATGCTACACATCTATTCCGCAAACTTGACCGTCATCGTGCCCAACTCGCCATAATCCCCCTCCAGCGTATCCCCCGGCTTGACAGGAATAGGGATAATACACGTGCCCGTGGTAACATACTCGCCCCCCCGCAGCGTCAGCCCATACTCATTCAACTCATTCACCAACCACGTCAACGCCACCTTCGGATCCCCCAGCACCGCCGCCCCATTCCCCTCATGCACCTCGCCCACCTTCGCGCCAGTCCCATCCACCGCCCACCCCCTCACGCGATGCGCAGGCAAATCCATCGCCCGCCAATCCCCCTTCGCCTCCGGCCCGAGCACAAAGCGGTCCGCACACGCATTATCCGCAATAAGCTGCGCGGGCCCAACAGCAGTGAAATCCTCGAATCGCGAGTCGGGCAGTTCGCTGCCGAGGTACAGGCCCTGCACGGCGGCCATGACTTGGGAGAGGTCGTATTGCTCGCCGCTGCCGCGGGGCGGCAGGTCGTAGGCCATTTTGAAGACGAATTCGAGCTCGGCGACGAGCATGCGGTTGGCGCCTAGGGGGACTGTTGGGGGCGTGGAGGCGGAGGTCCAGCGCTCTACACGCTCTTCGAGGATGCGGCCTGCGAGGGGGCGGGGGGAGTTGATGTGCTTTTGGCCTGCAGCGGAGGTGGCGGCGATCTTCCAGCCGAAGAGGGGTTGTTCTGGTGTTTGTGTTAGATGGAGTTGTGATCTTGACGGGTAGGATGACTTACCTGTGATTCTTTCGACATGTCTTTGGATGTCGTAGCCTGTTTTGTAATCTGTAGTCGACGGGCGGACGGATTGGACGAGTTCTTTCAGCGTGGTTCCTTTCTGCCAATGTTCGATCAGAGTATCGGAGGCTTGAGTCGTGGTGTCTGCCATTCTCGAGTGTTGAATATTGAACGGCGTTGAGCGGCCAATGGTTATGTGAGGGATCGGTCGTGAGGAAACAGAGACTTGACGAAAGAGAGAAAAGGAAAGGGAGACTGGTCTATGGATTATGTGCATTTATTGCAAATCGTTCACTTCAATGCATGAAACGGCATAGTTGCCGAGGAGCAGCATTTGATAGTCCGCCGGATGGAGGCATTACGTCGTGACCCTGACGCCAACGGCGGAGGAAGGTTTGGCGGAGCCAGAAATGTTCATGACTAATCAAAGAGAGTTCACGCCCTTCCGAACAACAAGTGGTGGGACTTGAAGATCAAAGCTCGTGTGCCTTTTTTCCCCGAAGCCTTACCGCTTCACCTTGCCGTGTCGACTGGCTACACACTCTCCATCATGTCGGCCGCTAGTCCCGAGGAGGCCATGGCCGAGCTCAAATTGAACGGCACAAATGGCATTCCCAAACAGCAAGGTTCCACAGGCCCCGAGCCCACCTCTGGCGATTTAATAAATAACGACTCGGACGATGATGAAGCCGATGATGGAGACGAAGGCAACGGCAACGGGACGGCGGAAGGCGCCGCGAAGAAAAAGAAGAAGAGAAAGCCACGCAAGAAGAAGAAGGCTGGCGTGAGCGCCAAGGGACAGACGGCTCCGCCTCGAGTCAAGGTGTCTGATTTGTTCCCGCAAGACACCTATCCCATCGGCGAGGAGGTGGCGTACAAGGATGAGAACTCCTACCGCACCACCAGCGAGGAGAAGAGGCATCTGGATCAGATCAATTCGGATTTCCTGGCGGACTACCGCCAGGCTGCAGAGGTGCATCGCCAGGTGAGGAAGTATGCGCAGAGCGTCATCAAGCCTGGCATGTCTTTGACGGAAATTTGTGAGACGATCGAGGATGGAACAAGGCATTTGACAGGACATATGGGATTGGAGGAGGGAGACAATTTGATTGCGGGCGTTGCCTTCCCCACCGGGGTCAACCTCAATCACTGCGCGGCGCATTACTCTCCCAATGCGGGCAACAAGATGGTGTTGGGCGAGAAGGATGTAATGAAGGTCGATTTCGGCGTGCACGTCAACGGCCGTATCGTCGACAGCGCCTTTACCGTCGCCTTCGACCCGCAATACGACAATCTCCTGGCCGCAGTCAAGGATGCAACCAACACCGGTATCCGTCTGGCAGGCATCGACGCCCGGCTCTCGGAGATCGGCGAGGGCATCCAAGAAGCAATGGAGAGCTACGAAGTCAACATCAACGGGCAAACATACCCCGTCAAAGCCATCCGCAACCTCAACGGCCACACCATCACGCAGTACAGCATCCACGGCGGCAGCAGCGGCAAGAGCGTGCCCATTGTCAAGGGCAGCGGCACGTCGGATCGGATGGAGGAAGGCGAGACGTACGCCATTGAGACGTTCGGCAGCACGGGCAAGGGCATCGTGCGCGACGACATGGAATGCTCTCACTACGCGAAGATCGAGGATGCGCCGAAAGTCGCGCTGCGAGTCGCGTCCGCCAAGTCTTTGCTCCGAACGATCGACAAGAATTTTGGCACGCTGCCGTTTTGCAGGCGGTACTTAGATCGCCTGGGCCATGAGAAGTACCTGCTCGGCCTGAACAATCTCGTCCAGGCGGGCATTGTGCAGGACTACCCGCCTCTGTGCGACATCAAGGGGAGTTATACGGCGCAATTCGAACACACGATTCTGCTGCGCCCAACGGTGAAGGAGGTCATTAGCCGCGGAGATGATTATTAGACGGTGTTTTCTTAACCAGTACGAAGCCAATGAAACCCAATGCCCTCAAATGTACCCCAATAACGCCCCCGCGATCCCCAAACTCACCGGCGCGAAACCCCAATGCTTCCACTCCCCCCGTCCGTTCACCCACCGACTAACCAACCCATCCATCACCACCAATCCCGCAGCCACCAACATCGCCGTCCCTAGCGTCGCATATCCCTCCCGCTTCCCACCTCGGCACCCATGATACCAGATCGCCAACGTAGTGACTCCCACCGCGATGTCCCGGGCGGCGAACAGGCGGATGAAGCCGTCGAGGAGCTTGTGGTCTTGCGCTGTGGCTGTGGAGGAGAGAGGCGCGGATTCGAAGATTCCGAGGATGGCGGAGGGGTTGCGGAGGCCGATGATGCCGACTGCAGTGGGGACGCAAGCTATGAGTGCCGCAGTGTTGGCTAGGTAGGGATGGTAGGTTGGGGGGATTAGAGTGGGCATTTTCGATTGTTAATTGTTGAGTTTGGTTTTGTTTGATGTGGTTTCGTTGATGTCTTTGGAAATGGGGAAGTTGGGTGCTGAAAGCTGCCTTTGCAAGATGTACCTCACCTGACCGTCAGCTTACAGGACGAGGTCCGAAATGGCCGTTGCTCTGAAGAACCGTCCTAAGGTATAAGTAATAAAGCCTTGCATTTCCTAAGACATAGGCGCTCTACACAGAATCCGGCAATCCCGGAAGCAAGACATTTAATAAACGCCCATCAACCCCAATCCCAAAGCCGTCACAACAGGTAAGAAGCCCCAATGCTCCCACTCCCCCTCACCAGCAACATCCTTAACAACCCACCCATCCGCCGCCACCAAAGTCCCCATCGTCAGCAATGCCACAGACCCAAACGTCGAATACCCCACCTCGCCCCTCCGCACCTTCCACCAGAGCAGCAAGTTCGCGAGGCCGACGGCGAGGTTGCGGGCGCCGACGAGGCGTGTGACGCCGTTGGTCACGGCGTGGTCGGCTTGCACGCGTGGGAATCTGAGGCGCGCGAGGGCCGAGGGGGGGTTGAGGAGGGAGGCTATCCCGAGCGCGGTGGGGATGATGGCGACTGCTGCTGTTGTGTTTGCGAGGTAGGGGAGGTAGGAGGGGGGGATTAGAGAGGCGGGGCGGGCGGTGGACATTGTGGCGTTGGTTGATGGCGTCGATGATTCTGGACTCACGTTTGGTGTCTGCAAGGTCGATGAATATGGTTGAATCAATTCGGGTGGGTGTGAAAGGTAGAAGGGGTCTTGACATGCAGGCTGCGCGGCTTTATCAGCTGAGACTGAGCTGACGTGAGGTCTGACGCAATATTTTAATCCAGCGATGATTGACCACTGCCTATCGTGTTCATCATCCGCGCATGATACACATCGATCGAACGTATGGTGGACACTGTCGTGATCTCGCCGGAGCATTCAGAGTCAATTATCAACAGCAGCAGCTGATCGGTCGTTTGCTTGCTATAAAACACTGCAAGCTTCCTTTGGAACGTTGCCTGCCGTCGATCGCTTTGACGCGGCAATCCCATGCCAAAAGCTCGCCAAATTGCTTAATCGCAGGCTCGAATGGTAGGCGTGAGGTCCTATTCCCCATTCGAGTCATCCGAGTAGTGCCCCCTCCAAACGCCGTCGCTAAGAGCAAACACACAACCAACCCCCCAACCTACCCCTCAACTCCATCCTCTCCCGCCGCCGCAGCAGCAGCCCTCTTCCGCTTCTTCCTCCTCTTTCTCTCCTTCAACTCACTCCCCTTCACCCCTCCCACCCCCGCAATACTCTCCAACGCCTCCACCGCCTCCCCACCCCCCCTCCCCACATCATCAAACCCATCCATCTTCCGCTTCTCCTTCATATACCGCTCCTTCCACATCTGCTCCAGCACGCGGCCCAGCATGCGCTCATCCTTGCGCAACACCCACTTGAAGTCGTCGACTTTGATCTTCTGCCGCCGGCTGTAGGAGGCGCTGAGGGCCGCCGCGTGGCACGTTTCGATCACGAAGTCGGTGAGGATTTCGTCGAGCGCGCTGATTGTGGTGGGCAGCGAGGTTTGGCTTGCGGGGGTGCGCGTGTGGTCGCCGAAGGCGTAGAGGAAGTCGGAGAGGTCGGAGGTGCTGAAGACTTGGCCTTTGTTGCGCACCCGGGCCCGCGGTTCTGTCATGGTTGGGTAAGGTTGGTGTTGGGAGAGTGCCGATTTGGCTGGTAGTGTTGGAGGGTGTCAACACTTCATTCGGCTGGCGTAGTCGCAGTGAGCGAACGGTAGTTGGTAAGTGTGTGTGAATGTATAGCAGGCGCAAGTTCACTTCAGGCTCGTGAAAGAATGCTGACTGAGCATCCCCGTCCCAGCAGTTTTGCACACCAGATCACCGCTTGGCACTCAACCTCACCCCAAAGACCACATATGCACATCAACGACTGCTGAGACTTCAGACAAGCCTCCCAGCTTTTAATCACCCTTGAAACTACAAGTTCTTTTCATCTGAAGCACCTCGCCATTCACCACCCCAAAGTCCCACGATCGCGATGTTCGGCATCCTCAAATTCCAGACCTTCCTCCTCGTCGTCCTCCTCTTCATCTGCTCCTGCACCTATCTCCACGGCGTGAGTCTCTTCTAACCCCCATTAAGCATCCAACAAATCTAATCTCAGGACAGGTCTTCCCCGCATGGCTCGATCGAAACAAGTCAGGGTGAGGAATCCCGCCTAAACATTCCCCTTAATGCATCATCTAACCACCCCATCCAGCCCTCTCGGCACATTCTGGCGAGCAGCGAGGATAGGCGAGCGTCTTAGTCCCTACGTGAGCTTGTGCTGCATAGCCATGGCCGTAAGTCCAGATTCGCCCTTGAATGTGGTTCTGCAATGTACTGATGACCTTTGTAGGTCAGCTTGATAATGGGGCAGTAATGCCAACGCCAATTCAGAGATGCGATCAAGCGAAGGCGTTGGGAGTCTTGAGGCGATCTAGTCGCAAACACAGCTGGGCGCTGATCTACCGCCTTCGAGAGTCGGCACATTATGTGAGCGGGGTTCTTCCAAACGTCTTCTCGCAAGGGGAAGCACCGGGGGATCAGTAGTGGACCGCGACCGTTTCGAATTGCTCAGGAGACACAAAGTTGAGTCCGCTGGAGGTGGATGGGAAGACCCAGGCGCCTGCCATGACGTGCCCGCGGAGCGAAACAGGGATAGGAGTATTCAACGCGAGGTGTACGGCTACGACCGCTCACAGCCCACGACAAACAGACAAGGAGAAATAGGAGCAGCGCACTGCCAAAAAGCAAAAGATAAGAATACCAGCCAAGCCCTCCATATACGAGAGCCATGCTACCTGTCCTGTCTGCCTGCCAGCCTCTTCTTTCCCCGTTCCGTACAACGCGTACATACATCCATACATACATCGCAAACCCCACGACCAACCCCATCAACAAACCAGCATCACCAACCAGTATGTACCCGACGCGTCTCGCCCTCGCACCGTGAAACCCTGTGCAGCGCGCTTCCATCCATCCGTATTCTTTCGAAGCCCTGCCGAAATGATGTAATTTTTGGGTCTCAAAGGCCCGCCCTCAATCCCATTTCATCCCTGTCTCTGATCCTCGCAGTCTCCAGTTCCGTATCCGTCGGACATCCACATGGAAGAAAAGTAAAAAGAACCGTACCCGGGTCCAAATGTTCCAACTTAAAGCACAAGTCGGAAAAGAAGCAAGAAAAAAGGGAGTCTCGCGCCGGGTGTATATGCGCCGCCATGCCAGGCCGTGAGAAAACGCGCGCGGTCCCGAAAGAAGAAAGAGTCTATCAGTACAGCCGGAGGGGAGTAAGGCCGGGAAGAATGATGAAAAGTACACGCGAAAAGGCGCGGGGAGGATGGGTATCTCGTCGGTGGTGTGGCGTGGAGTAATAAGCGGCCGTTTCTCTTTCTTTGACAAGCAAGGCTTCACTCATCGTTCGTCTTTTGCGTCGCCGTCGTCCGCAAGAAGTCCGACCTTCTTCATAGTATTGCTACTCCCACTCCGACTCGTCTTCTTCTTCCCCATTTGCGAAGCGGGCCGGTCGCGCGGGGAGGAGGGAGAGTCGACATCGTCATCAGCAGCAAGAGCAGCGGCCGCCGCAGCCGCCGCAACAGCCTTCGAAGCAGAAGACTTCCGACGCGACATGACCAAGCCCCCATCACTATCGGAGGAATCGTCATAGTCGTCTTCGGACCCGGACTCTTCGACAGCCTCGGTGGGGAATCTGTCTTCGAGGCTGGCGCCCGCGGCAAACGCAGCCGCGTTGGCATCGTCGGGATTCACGGTGTCGCCGGAGGACATGAGGTCTGACTTCTCGGTGTGCTGCTTGTCTTCTTCCGGCGCGGCGGCAGCCACGGAGCCCATGGACGAGGACTCGGAGATGACGGACGGGATGGAAGGGTTAGACATCGAGGCCGAGACCGCCGAGCCGAGGTCTGACGTGCTGGATGTCATACCCGGCGGCAGGTGCGCGTGGCCCGTGGGACTCGTTTCGAGCGAGGAGTCGGCGGGAGTGGCGATGTCGAGGTGCGAGATGGAGTCGGAGCGTGGCTGCTGCATGCGTCTGGAGCGTTGGTCGTCGGGACTCGGAGGGCAGGTGCGGTCGACGAAGGGGCTGAGCGTCGTGCTCTCCTGGCCGGCTTCAGCTTCGGCTTCGCCTTCGCGGATGAGCTTGCGGATGTGCTCGTCCTCTGCGCGCTGCCACTCTTCGACCGTGGAGCCGGTGACTGGGGGCATCGGTTTGGTGTTGGCGACAGGACTGCGGGTGAGGTTGCTGTTTTGAAGGGCGAGCCGTGCGAGCGAGGATACGGATGCGACGGATGCGGCAGAGCTTCTTCGGGAGAGGGAAACGCTGTCGTACGGGTGAAGTCGATCATAGGATGGAGAGCTGATGGAAGAAGGCGGACGCGATGCGGTTGGACTATTCCGAAGACTCGAGGCGGCAGACGCCGCTGCTGATTCATCTAAGGCGCCGGGTGAAAGCACATGGCCGGTGGCAGTCGCATGACTTGCTGCTAGACTGGGCTCGGCGTGCGTGGTGTCGAGTGGAGGTAGGGAGCCTCTATCGCTGGACGAGGCTCTACTCCTCGACGAGCGAGAGGCGCTCTTTTCCCGCACCGTGCGGAGGATGCGTCGTGCCCACTGGCGAGAGCTGCTTGAGGATGAGTCGAGTGACGTCGGCGTTTCGGGAATACTCGGCGATCGCGAGATTCCGATCTCCTCCCGGCGGCTCATCTGGTGGTACTCGGAAGGCGTAACGGTGCGCATCGACTCGGATGGCGCGGTGCTGTGATTGAAGGATGCTGAATGCGGGTTCTCCGAAGACGGCTCGCTGCCAGAAGTTGATTCTGTCATGGTGCGCGAAACCTTCCAGAGCGTGTCGCGGGCGTCTTGGTCAGGGGCCACACCAACGCCGCCCACAAACGGTCGCTCGATTGTCATGGGAAGCGGTTCTTCTTTGCCAGCCGCAGCAGACAGGTCGTCTTGGCTGGGGTGAGTGCTGGCGGTTGTAGAGGTGGAGGGTGACTCCTCGGTCACGCCGCCAATGATCGATTGCGTCCGGCCTCTCGTGGGTGGTCGCGAGCCGAACCCGAGCCTCTCACCCACTTTCTTGATCCCAGACCGCACACGATCCAGGAATTGCAGAGGCACGACAGCAGCGTTGACATCCTCCTTTGAGACCTCAATCTTCTTCCCGAGACTCTGTCGGGAAGAGTCCGTCTCCTCGAGCCATTTAACTTTGTCATGAATGTCCGCGACCACCCAAGGATGATGTCGTACTTCCTCTAGCGTAATTCGTTTCCGCGGATCCTTGACGAGCATGCGTTTCAAGAGATCGTACAAGTCGTCGCTAATCTCTTCGTACGTCAATTCGAGGTCGTTTCGGCGGCCAGAAGTGACCGGCGCATACGCGCGGGCCTTCGAACTAGGACGAGATCTGGACGTTCCTTCCACGGGTTGCAATCGTTTGCGGGGGATGTAGATCTCTTCCTCTGCAATCTGCCGCATCACGACGTATTCGCTATCCACGAAAGGCGTGCGGGCGAACAGCATACAGAAGAGGGTGACGCCAAGTGCCCAGACGTCGATTGCCTTGGTGATGGGAGGCGCGTCTTCAACGACCTCTGTGATGCAGAGTTCAGGAGCGTAGAAAGCGGGCGTTCCGACCGTCTTCGCCAACTCCTTCGCGCCATCATCCAAATCCTGCGTTTCATGCTCACTGACTCCTTCGCTCACCTCACCTTCTCCCATAGGCCGCCCAAGGTATGAGACGCCGAAATCGGAGATCTTGACCCGACCTTCTTTAGTGGAGAGTAGGTTGGGTGGCTTGATGTCGCGGTGAATGATGCCTTGGTAGTGCAAGTACTGCAGGCCCAGGAGGGTGTCTCGAAAAGCGACGCGCGTCTGTTGATGAGACATGGTCGGGACATACTCCAACTCATCGTTCATGTCATCATCCAGAAAGTCGGCCGCCCATTGCGCTAGATTTTCTGAGCCGGTCTTGCCCGTTGACCCGTTTGTCGTGGGGTGGTCGGTGGGCAGGGCTGTCAAGTCCCCAGAAGCGTAGGGGCTTGGCGCATACGCCCCGTACATGGTGCCTTCCAGGTCTGCGCATTCCACTGGGGACGAAGATCTTGGTGTCGGCGTTTGTACCTCACCCGAAATCCATTGATATTTGGCGGGTGCATCGGTTGACGTTGCGGCATCGCCAGCGGGTGGCGGCAAGGGTAATGCGGTCCGTGACGGTCGTCGCGCAGCTTCCATTTGAAGATATCGGCTGCTGAAAGACTCGGACGAGATTCGTGACAGCTTATCGTCATCGGAAATCTCGCTCTCGTCATCTCCCACCAGCTCCATACTCCAAGCTTCGGGAGCGTCACGACGAACGCGACGAAAGGTGCGCACTTTGCGCTGCCGCTGCTTGGTCAAACGCCGCTGTGCTTCGACCAGAAGCGCTGCATCCTCGGCTACGAGTCGGGGGTCTTGATCGCCGCTCTTTTCTCGTTCGTAGCGTCGCGCCTCAACCATGGCAACCTCCTTCGACCCCTTGACCCGCCACTCAATCTGTCCGCGTTCCACCCATTCAAGCACAATGTACACTTTCTTTCGTGAGGGATCGTCAATGACTTCGAGCAGGGCGGTTACGTGGGGATGGCGGACTTGTTTCAGGATGGCAACTTCCTTCTTGACTTTGTCCTCGGTGGTCCCGAGCTTGCCCAGCTTGCGTCGCTTGGAATAACGCTCAACAATCTTGATGGCGACATATCTCCCTTCGGGACTCTGGAGGTCGCGGCCTAGTTTGACCTTGCCATGCGTTCCACGCCCGAGTTCGTCGATGATTTCGTAATGATTGATGAGTTTGCGCCCGGAGATGGGATCGACGTCGACGTCGGCAACATGCGTCTCTTTCGGCGGGACTCTTTGGGTGAAGTGGAGGAAGGGGCTCGCGTATGTGCCAGTAGTTTCAGAGGACTCCCAATCGGGGGTGAGAGGGAGGGGCTTGATGAAGAGACCGGCACCAGGAGTAACAGGTGCCGAGCCGACGGCGCCTGTTCGAAGGTTGTTTTGATGAAGTGAAGCGAGGGCAGATGTAAAGGTAAAGATCTGGCCGGGCTGGGTAGTGCGCTGCCTCTGGAAAGTCGATGATCGCGGGACGGGGTATCTCTGCGATTGCAGCGCCGAGTATGCTTGATTTGGGAACTCGGGGCGCGGCTGAGATGAGGCAAAAGAAGCAATGGGTGCCCGGGGAACAACGGTCGCATCGCTGTCGATACTCCGTATGCTGATGTCCGACTGGGTGGTGACAGCGGGTGGCCGCAGGAGCTTGGTCGGGTCTGATATCTGGGCAAGGCCGGCGGAGCTCGGATCGGAGGTGGGAGCGGGAGGCAACGGGGAGTGGTCGTTCTTCAAGACGGGATGTCGTTCCAACTCCGTTGCAGCGGGGAAGCTGGTGAAGTAGCCGCCATCTCCTCCTGCTCCGCCTCGCGGCGTTGTAACCTCGTCGGCGACAGGTGGTGGGCCCTCGGCGGTGGGTGTGCTGTCGGCATCTCTTTGCAAATCTGCTATTGAGGTGCGAGGGGTGTCCTCGGCCGCATCGTGATTGACATGGCTATCGGTTGACATGGCCTGTGCGGCCGCGGCGGCCAGCAAGGATGCGGGGTGCAGCGCGAGTGGAGGGTGTTGGGGGGCGTCGTGGTAGCCAGCTTTGCAACTGGTTGGTGTGCGGTGCGACAGGACATCGGAGCGTCGTGCAGCGAGACGGCTAATTGGAAGCTGTCATCGTGACGAGATGGCCTCCAAGGCGTATATGGGGATAGTGTTGGTCGCGGGACTCGAGGAGGGGCGCGGAGGTGGGTGGCGGCGGGGTGTAGGTAGGAGGGCGGGCGTCTACGGTATCATGATGAGGTGTTTCGCACGAGACAAATGAGCGGGCGGATGCAATGATCAGGTGGGAGAGAGATTGAGCAGGGCGAGATAGAGAATGTGGAGACCGGGACGGAGTAGAGGCCGGGCGAGGTGGGTGCGGTCTGGGATGATGGATGGATGGATGGGTGGGTGAATGAATGATAGCATGGTGGGTGCGGAGCCTAATTCGGCGGGCGTCAATGGCCAACCGCCGGCGCCGGCGCGCGCCCGGCTTTTCTCAACCATTTCGGGAATTGGGAGGGATGCGAGACGGCGCGTGGTTGGGCGGCATGCCCCAAACCGGCATCCCGATCCTCTCACTTGCATGCATCCGTCTTGCATGAGGTGGCCCTTCATTCATTCATCTCATCTCATGCGAGTGAGAAGTGCATGTCATAGAAACGTTCATCGTGTCATCGAGATCGTTGGTGCATGCCCCGGCGCAGCCTCTCGTTGGCTCTTGCATGCATGGGTCGACACGACTACATGGCCAAAAGTCTTGGGGGGGTTATCACTTGGCTCGACTCTACTCGGCTTCACTTGACTTGAGTATCACCAGCCAATCTCATCCTCGCGAGCGCCCTGCAGCCGAGCATCTCATCAAACTGACGGCTGCACATGATGTGTAACGTTATCAGCTGATCCCCCGTCTCAAGCAAAGGGTGAGCGCCGACACCTCACCACCTCCCCCCATCACTTCAGCCGATCGTCTCAGCCTGGCCCGTGCTTTCGTTTGGGAAACCGCCAGGCTACTGCACCTCGCTCTTTACGCAATGCTCATGCGTCAGGCTAGCCGGGCTACTGTGCTGGTGATAGGTCTGGGCGGAACGGCGCACGCTCATCCTCCCCGTCTAATTAATGAATACTGTCAACACTGTGCGCTCAACGGGATCGGCACCCTTCTCCACCTACCACATCACCCTTCATGCCACGGGGATTGGTGAGATGCCTGATAAAAGTACCTAGTAACGTTACATCTTGGCGACTCTCGGCATTCGCAGCATGAACAAGTGCTGTGCCATCAATTTTGACATATGAGGTCGCTGATCCGCAGGGGACAAGCAGGTACAATTGCGTAACGTTATGTCACAGCCTGGGTGCGATTCCCTACGCCTGCGTGGCTGCAGCATATGCATCTGCTAGATGGGTGGGGTTCATTATGGTACAGAGTCGGCCAACACCTCCTGTGATGATCGAGTACTTTACTGCTGTACTCTGAAACCCACGCGCTTGGACGCGGCTGAAAGTTGACGGCGTTGCTTGCTTGCTGCATATGCTTGCACACATATCACAGCTGCCCGCGGACACCTGCATACGAGCTCTTAGCCCGACCCTGCTGCCGCCCCTTTGCGTGTCGCACAAACTATGCCGACGCCGGGGAAGGTGCATCGCTCCCCCGCGAACCCTTGGCGGCCTTGCGGCCTCGAGGCCGACGCCGATCTCCTTCTCGTGTGGTGTGCCACCATCGTAACGTGGCCTGGCCCGGCCATCAGATTCTCGTGCCTGCGGCGTCAACCTTCAGAGCTGAGCATGCACTGTCCATTTCGGGGTGTGACAGCATAGGCGCTGCAGTAGGTGGAATGCTCAGACTGCCGCCGGTCATCTTCCCCCCGACGCCACAGACACTTCGTGGGCCATTCCTGATTGCGAGGGATGTAACGCTTCGGAGAGATCCTGCAGTAATCAGAGTACCTCCCTCACGTCTCCTCCAAAAGCGCCTCGTCCTCTTCCCTCTCTCTCCGCGCTTCCTCCGCATCCTCACGCTCCCGCACGTGTGTCGCCTCGACCAGCGTCGCCCCTTCTATGCCCGCAGCCTCCGCGTCCCCACTCCCACTTCCATTCACACTCGCGCCCCTGGCTTGTGCAGCACTCCGCTGATTTGAGATCCTCTCCCTCACCATCTTCGCAATCGCATTATCCGTCCGCACATTCAGAATCTCCAACTTGCGGTCCAAATCTCGCTTGAGGTCCCAATTGGGCTTCTTCGGCTGTAGCTTGAACAAATCAAGCGGCTTGTCTGCCTTCTCCTCCTCTTCCGCTTGCCGTTTGGTCTCGGCTGCTAGTGCTGCAGCTTGCTTTTCAAGCGTGTTCTTCCCCTCCGACGGCGCAGCCTCGAAGCCTAGCTTTGCTCCTTTCGTTTCGATGTCGTAATTCCTGCCGGACAGATACTTGTTCGTGGACGGGGCTATCTGCTGTGGCTCTTCGTCCTGTGCGGCGGACTGTTGATTTGCATCCGTGGGTCCGGAGTCCTCTTCCTGCGCCTCCTCTGGTTGCTTGCGCTTGAGTGATTTGAGCTGTGCTAGACGCGCTTTTCTGTCTTGTGCAGCGGCGCTAAGCGCTTGTACGGAGGCCATGTTGCTTGCTGGCCTAGAGGTGAGGTGCCGGAGCTGTTCAGACGAGTTGTTCAGTCCATCGATTGGCGTAGCGACACGTAGCAATGTTGGAAAGCGTGAAGCTCGAGTTTACATGCTGAAGGGCAATTTTCGATCGCCAGCTGAGTCAGCACTTTTGCTCCAAGTTCATGTCCAACGTTCTCACGTCTGATCGTTCGCATCGCAACCCGATTTCGCTCTCCTTACACCCACATTCCTTGAGCTTGCCCTCAATGCTCGCCTATGCAGTCATGGACGGCTGCGTTGCGCCTGCCAGCGTATAGGTGTGCCGCTTCGCGACTAAGCCGTTCTTCAGCATTACCGGCTCCAGGATGGCAGCTTGCGCGAGCGGCGCGGAGGAGCTACGGCGCGGCCTTGCAACAATCGCGGGCAGATGAGCAGCCTACGTTGCCCGTCGTGCCCGTGTCCTACGAACGAAGTCCTGTGCGTGTACCTCTGGTGAGGTCTACAGAAGATGGCGCTGCAATTTGGGTGGAGCAGCCGCCAGTTCAGAAGAACGAAGGCTCTGAAAAGCCCAAGAAGCGGAGACGCTACAGAAACCGTACATGGACTCCGAGTCCCGAAAAGATTAAGGAGAGTTTAGCGGAAGGCAAGAGACGGGGATTTTACACAAGATTAAGAATTGAAAGCCGGCGAAGACAGAAAGCGAGGGGCAGCAATAGATTGGAGCAGAACGGGTCTTCAAGAGAGAGCGAGACACCGAGACAGACGCGTGAGTTGCGTCCCGGCAAGACATCGAGGCCGGACCTGCGACCGAAGCACTTCATCAACCCTCAAGAATATAAGCGCCTCTTCAGGCCATTGGCGAGAATTGAAAATTATGATACTGTGTGGTCGTCGGGGAAATTTGCCCGGCGAAGACGAAAACACGACTCTTCAAACCACCGGCCTTTAGCTGCCGCCAGTCGAAGATTGCCCGCATGGGCCTTCTGGCAACGACAGATCGCAAAGGTTGATCTCAATTACAGAAGGATCGCCCGGGAAGATGTTGCTGAGGCGAGGATTGTCACAGACCCGCGAGCACCTGCATGGGTGGACGACATTCTCGATCAGCTGGATCATGGGCGGACACTACTGGACGTCGACGCCCTCGTTGACATTTCTCTCGATGACAGTCCGGTGGAGCTAGGCGGGTTGTATGTCTGGGCGCAGGCGGCGCTCTGGTTGCTGGCATACGATCCCAGGAACGTGATAGCCTTTCTGGATGCCACTCACGTCCGTCCATACGTACCAGCGGTCTATGTGCAAGAAGTCTTCCAATGCCTGGCCGGCTTTTGGTGGCACGGTAACCAAGACGATCGTCTAGAAAAGATGGGGCACCTGACCAGCATCTTCTGCACTCTTGCCGATCGTGACAGTGACGGGCCGTTGCGATTGATCCATCCTTGTGTCCGTTGGCTTATGAAAGAAGGTACACATGAGCAGATCATGGGCATGTACCAGGCGATCGAGCGACATCAGGTCACGCTGCACTGGAACACCCATCTTCACTTCGCCACTCATTTCGCCAAACACGATCTTTTCGAAGAAGCGTACGGAGCACTCCAAACCGCGCGAACCTGTGACGCCGATGTCAACAGTCGCGCATTCTTGTCCAATTGTGCAACTTTGCTTCGCAAATCCAGCGCCCGGCCTGATGGACTGCGGGTATGTTTGCGCCTGGTCTCGGAGCTGGTCGACATGGGCATGAAGCCCAACATCCAGATCTGCAACATCATCATGCTGAACGCTATTGAAGCCGGCGATCGAAGTACGGCGCTTTCGGTGTATCGTTCGCTGGTGCAGAGGGAACTAAAGCCCGACGAATTCACCTTTGCGATATTGCTGAAGGCGTGCAAGATGAACATTGACGATGCGGAACTTCTCAATCAGATCATTCGCGATGCGATTGAGAGCGTGAACCTGCGGAAGGCGGAGGTGGTCGCGTTCGAGATTCTGTACTGTCTGATCCTACACCATACCAAGCACAACCGCAGGACGGCGTTGGCCACGGTGACCGACGCCTGCGCCCAACTCTTCGACCTTCAGCCCCTGGAGAAGCTCGGCCTGCCCATTCCCAAGCGACAGCAGCAGCAGTCCGACAGAATCATGCCGCTCTGGCCACCCGCCGCAAATCTTCTGATCACCATGAGCATTGAGCACGTCCTCTCGTCCCAATCGGACGTGGAAGCCGTCGCAGCACTGTATGTGCGCTGGCGCGAGCTCGTCGACGCAGGCGACCCCTGTTTATCCCACCTAGCGACTGATGACTACACCGCCAACATCTTCCTGATGGCATTTATCAAGCACTCCAACGGACTTCTGCACGCCTCGCGCGTCATTCGCGACATGCAACGGCCCCTTCCCCCTTCCGCCAGAGTAACACAATGCAAGCCCACAGTGCAATCCTGGTCCATCTTCCTGCACGGCTTCACGCGCCACGGCAAACCCAAGCTGGCCGAGCAGATCCTCGCGTACATGCGCGGGCAAGGCATCGAGCCCAACCACGTCACCTGGTCTACGCTTCTGACGGGGTACGCGCGTGCGCAGGACGAGGAGGGCGTGCTGGAGGGACTGCGACAGGTGCATGAGAGTGGGTTTGTGTGGGAGGAGTGGATGGAGGGGGCGACGAAGAGTTTGAAGCAGAAGGCGAGGGTGGAGGAGGAGTTGCAGAAGGCGAAGCTGGTGAAGCGGTTGAATTTCATGGAGGAGTTGAAGAGGGAGTTGGAGGGGCGGTTGAGTGCTGCGGCGGATGTTGCTCAGGAGGATTCATATCGTTCTTCCTAGCATCTATGCCCTTCATAGAGATACTTGACATATCTTTACCACATTGTGTATTTCTAATGCCTGAGGCATGCAGCATCACCACGCTAGTCCATCCGCTTCCCGGCTCAAGCTCCCGAAGGCTAACGCGTGCCAAACCCGCGCGCGCGTCATTCCCATCACACCTCAAAGCCCAACCCACCACACCATCTTCCATCTCCCATCCTTCATCCCACCCTCATTGCTACCGCCTAGAGGGGGAAACACCAGAATGCTTGCAACCACTACCTTCTTCCCTCCATCCACAGCCGCAAATCTCTCCCACACAGCCTACCTGCCCAAAACGCCGTCCCCGCTCTCGCCACGCAGCGCAAACATCTATGGCCGCTCCCACTTCGCCGCTTTCCCTTCGATGTCAGATCTCAACGCCTCGGCCTCCTCTTCGCCGAAAATACTCGCAATAGAGCAGGGGGAGAATGTGGTGGAGCCAGTTATGGCGAAGAGTGCAGGTGGAGCAGCAGCGGCGAAGACATCCGTTCCGTTCTCGCAACGCGCTGTGAAGCGCGCGCCGAGCCCGAGGGCGGATGAGTTGAAGGAGAGACGGAGGAGTTTGTTTCTCAAGAAGGTGCAGGAAGGGAGGGAGGAGAGGAGGTTCGAGGGGAGGGGAGAGGATGTGAGTTTTTTGCTGTGCTTGGTTTCTTTTCGCGTTCGTTTGTGGAATGGAGTCGTTAACGTGATGAGTCTTTAGATTATGCGACTGGATTTCGTGCAAAGGCGGAAACAATGGGAGGCGCAGCTGGCGCGCGAAGCGCCTACTTTCTCGCCTTTTGAGTTGATGGACGATATTGCGGAGGAAGTGGATGAGTCGTGGTTTGAGTTGCCGAACTCGAGTGATGTGATGCACATGTCGGCACCTTCGACACAGCAGCAGGCGGCGCCACTTGTGGAACAAGAAGCGGAAGAGGTTCTGCGACGCGAGCATGAAGAACTGGAGGCTTTGCTGTCGTACATGCCGGAGGAGCAGAAACAGGGGGTGATGGATGAAGGCCGATCGGAGCATTTGTACAGCGATGATGACGACTACGATGCGCTCTTCTCCGAACTGATGGAGCAAGATGCGAGTGGAGAGATGTCGGGCCTGACGGCGGTGCACGAACAAGGCGAGGCGATGGACATGTCGTGAACGGAGAGCAGAACGTGATACTGAGGCACTCCATGGGTTGACGACTTTGGACTTAGCGTAGGCGTTAAAGGCGTAGACGAGTGGCATGGGAGGCAACGGATTGCTCAAGAGTCGCTCAGCAAGAGGCTCCAAGGATAGCCATCATGAATGAAATTTGATCAACGTATGCGCGTTTCTTGCATCACCCTCTCTATGCGTTGACAACGTTATTGAGTCGGACAGCCGGCATCGAGATCGCCCAAGGCTTCCTGTGCAGCGCTCATATCCCCCACGAGATCCGGTGGCGGTGATCCTGCCGCTTGCATCTGCGAACAGCGACGTTAGCATGGCGAGACAATATAAAGATCTCAAGTAGCAACCAACCTTCTGCATCCTCTCGACAATATACTCCCGATCCTCCTCGTTGTCATCACTATATCCCTTCCTCTCAAACCGCGCGACAATCTCCTCGACCAACTGCTGCTGTTCGCGATACCGCGCAAGATCCTCCCCCTTCGTGCCCGCCGCATTCTTCTCCATCCACGCGGGGAACTTATCATGCAGCTCCTTCATCGGCTCATACAAAATCTCCTTGTTCGTCAGCTGTGTCATCATATTCAGCAGCATGGAATTGAAGTCCTCCTCGCCACCCTCGTCTAGCCCACCCTCGCCGCCGCCCAGGCTCTTCAGCATCTCCATCAGCATCTCCTCCTCGCTCTTCGCCGCCGTCGCGGACGTCGAGGCCGCGGTGTCGGATTGCTGCATGCGCTCCATCGTCTTGCGGATGCTGTCTTGGAAGCGGTCTTCTTTTTTGCTAGTCCCTGTCCCTGCCACCCCTCTGCTACTCCCACTCTCCGCCTCTTTGGGCATGCTTTCGCTCGCGCGCTTTACGTGCTCCGCTGCCTGCGCGTCCGTCCCTGCTGCGCCGGCGTTCATGAGCTCCGCCATCATCGCTTCAAACTGCTTTTGCATTTCCGGGTTCTCGCCGAGTTCGGAGATGAGGTTCGACATGCCGGCTTGCAGCTGCGCGGCGAAGTCTTCTTCGCTTGCTGCCGGCGCTGCATCTTCGAGTGCGACTTCGGGGGCGGATTTGGTGGTTGTTGCGGTGGCGGGGTTGGGGGGTGCTGCTGCGGGTCTGCCGGGGCCTGAGGCGGTGGGCTTAGGGGAGGAGGGGAGGATTGGTTTGGGGTTGAATTCGTCGAGGACATCTGAGGGGTTTGTTAGCCAGTGGGATTGTTGGAGGGAAGGGACAGAAGGGAGGAGGTGGTACCGTCGAGATCGCTCAAGTCGTCCTCCTCGGGATCGGGAGCAGTCTCTATTATCTGTTCCGGCTTGTCGGCCATCTTGTGTGATTGAGGAGATCTATGTCATCAGTCGCTGAGGGCGAATAGTATGGGTGACATGAATGAGTATAGCGCAAATCGTGGAAGAATGTGAGGGGTGAAGTGAGGCTGGCCGGAGAGCACAACAGCATGTGGGATCCCGAGGCATGCGAGGCATTAGCCTTTACCGGAAACCGACTTTACCTGTTCTTATCGATTAGTTAACCCTAAGCGAAAGCGCGCGCATAGTGCACCGCGAACCTTCGTCCACGCCACGCCTAGAATCTTTGAGACACGTCAGAATCCGAGGGCGAGGCGCCGTAACTTTTGTGCCACCGAGTTCACTTTCATACATTCACTTGCCACACTTTGTACTACCCTTCCTTCCGTCACTCTTTGGTGATTGTGCATACCACCCTCTCTCCGACATCCCCGCCTCCGCAGAGCCCTGCTTTTCTTTCACTTGGCTGCAAGCACTCGTGAAACGCCAAACCTCCACCAACTGCAGAGTCTGCGTCGCCCAACATGTCCCTCACGCAGACTCGGCTTCAAGAAGAGCGGTAAGGCAGTCTCCGCCTAGAGACGAAGCATGGAACACCACTGACACCCACACAGCAAAGCGTGGCGCAAAGATCATCCCTTCGGCTTTGTCGCGCGCCCAGTGAAGACGGCCAACGGCGGGCTCGATCTCAAGAAATGGGAGTGTGCGGTGCCGGGCAAGGAGAACACCATCTGGGCGGGCGGGTTGTTCAAACTGGAAGTCACGTTTCCTGACGGTATGTCCTGCATGGGGAAAGTGCACACCTGCTGTGATGGATTGAAGAGCTGACATGATGATTGCAGAATACCCGACCAAGCCTCCCAAATGTGAGTCCCACTCCCTTCAATCCACACACCTCCACGTCCTGTCGCTGACTGGTGCATCACAGGCAAATTCGTCCCTCCCCTCTTCCACCCCAACGTCTACCCCTCCGGCACCGTCTGCCTCAGCATCCTTAACGAAGACGAAGGCTGGAAGCCCGCCATCACCGTCAAAGAGATCCTCATCGGCATTCAGTTCCTGCTGAACGAAGTCAACCCGGAATCGCCGGCGCAGGCGGACGCATACAATCTGTACAAGAAGGATCGCCCGGCGTACGAGAAGAAGATTCGGCAGGTGGTCAAGGAGAATCAGGCGCCGTGATTGCATGGATTAAGAGGAGAACAAGAGGCTAGGGAGATGGGGAGGATGGAGAGTGCTTGAACTTAGCGTTGGCGTTGCCGGCGTGCATGCATGATGGAGGCCTGCTTTCGATGGGTTGGAACGGCTTTGCTTCCTCTAGCCAGTTCGGAGACATTCACCGTCTCTCCAGTAAATGACCCCTTCAGATCTGTGATGCGCTTCTCGACCATTGCCATTTCTTTATTACTCAACTCATATCCTTCCATTTATGGAATCTCCAATGGCGTCGCTCCGGCCCGCGGAAGCAAGTGCTAGCTCCGAGTGAATTTGTTGTAGAACGATGATGACATGGCAACTTTTCCGCACAACACATCTTCGCGTCCCTCTCACACCCACCGCTTCTCGTCCTCATGCCTTGCTAACCACTCGCCAATTTTTGCGCGCGTAGCTCCTCAGCGCTCCCTCGAATTATACAGCATGCAATGCGACCTCTAATTTCCCCATGGGCGGCAACCTCCCTCACCACCGCCTTCCGATCTCCCGCCCGTCCTCTCGCCCGGACATGGACCTGTACCCAATGTCTGCGCACTCAACCTGCAATCGCAAGCAAAAGCACCTTTTCTAGAACACAGCAACAGGCCTACGAGCAAGCGAGACTTTTCCGGCAGCGCATCTTCTCCCGCCGCCATCGCAAGACTGCCATCACCGCTGCCGTGCTCTTCGTAACAGCATGCGCAGGTCTAGCTTTCAGCGAGCGCATTCGCTACCTTTATATTGCGGCGGAGAGGAGCGGGCGCGTGGGTGCCGTGCTCGCGCTGAGCGTCAATGATTACCGCGTGGTGCTGAAGAAGAGCGAGGATCCTAATTACGATGAGCTGTTGAAGGCGTGTCACAAGCGGTGTGCGGAGAGGACATTGGAGGCGATGAAGAAGAACGGCAGCATCTTTATCAAACTCGGCCAGCATTTGACGAGTCTGAACTACCTGCTGCCAGAGGAGTGGTGCGACACCTTCATCCCTTTGCAAAACGCATGCCCCGTAACCGGCTTCTCCAAAATGGACGAAATGATCCGCAAAGACACCGGCCACTCGCTCGACGACCTCTTCGCCGACTTCCAGCGCGAGCCCATAGGCGCCGCAAGCCTCGCGCAAGTCCACCTCGCCACCATCAAAGAGACCGGCGACCGCGTAGCCGTCAAACTCCAGCACCCGAGCCTCGACGACTGGTCGCAGCTCGACCTCGCCCTCACCCGCTTCACCTTCAACACCCTCAAGCGCTTCTTCCCCGAATACGACCTCACGTGGCTCAGCGACGAAATGCAAGTGTCCCTGCCGAAAGAACTCGACTTCCGCGAAGAGGCGCGCAACGCCGTGCGCGCAAAGGAGTATTTCGCCCGCAGCGTGCCCAACTCCCCGCTCGTCATCCCCGACGTCCTCTGGGCCCGCCGCCGCATCGTCGTAATGGAGTACATCACCGGCCACCGGGTCGACGACCTCGCCTTCCTAGACGCAAATGGCATCGACCGCGACGAAGTCGCCGCCGCGCTCGCGCGCATCTTCAACGAGATGATTTTCGGCTCCGGCGCACCTTTGCACTGCGATCCGCACGCCGGCAATCTCGCCATCCGCCTCAACAACTCCAAACGCCGGCCCCGCAATTTTGACATTGTTCTCTACGACCACGGCCTGTACCGCGACATCCCCACGAAGCTGCGCAGGAGCTACGCGCATCTCTGGCTAGCCGTCATCGACGTCGACGAGGCAAAGATGCGGCACTACGCGTACGAAGTAGCGGGGATAGGCGACGATGAGTTCCCCATTTTCGCCGCGGCCATTACAGGGCGGGACTTCGACGTCGTGCGCTCCGACGTCTCCACGCCGCGCAACAAGCAGGAGAAAAAGAACATCTCCGACGCGCTGGGGTCCGGCGAACTCCTCGAGCAGCTCGTGCAGCTGCTAGGCAAAGTGCCGCGCATCATCCTCCTGATCCTCAAAACGAACGACTTGACGCGGAGCCTAGACGAGGGTTTGGAGACGCGGCAAGGCCCCGTGCGCAGCTTCATGATCCTCGCGCGCTTCGCGGCCCGCGCGGTGTTTGAGGAGAGCGTCGAGGGGATTCGGGGGAGTTTGCTGTGGCCGCCGAATTTGTGGTCGTATGGGCTTGCGTTTGCCGCGTATGCGAAGATTGCGGTCAAGTTGCGGGTGTATGAGGTTTATCTTAGTGCTAGGCGGAGACTGGGGTTGCGGAAAGGGGGGGAGGGCGAGGGGGGAATGGAGGCGTTGCAGGAGATGATGTGAGGGTGCATGTTGTATTTTGAGCGGATTCCTAAAGCGACGACTACCACATGAACCTCTGTATCTTGCCCGGCTCTTGCGGCCAGGCGAACCCCCAGTTGAGGAAAATGTAGCACGTCGCGGCATTGACGACGAGGAACCACGCCGTCTCGAGGTAGAGCCGGTAATCCAGACGATTACGCGTTTTGGCGCTTGAATTGGGTCCTTCAGTTGCGGTGTACTGTTGTAGTGGAACGTGCATACGCCAGAAAATCCAGGGCAGGATGAGGTAGCGCGGTTCGACGAGGGGCGCGGTGATGAGCTGGAGGGTGGTTGTGGCGAGCCAGACGAGGACGAAGGAGATGTTGGCGGATGTTTGGCCGGTCGGGATGAGATGGCGGTCTGGTTGGTAGGATTGTTTTTGTGGTGGTTTGGTTTTTGATGAGGTTGGTTGTGCGGACGGTGTATCGAATGGCCTGGCGCCAAGTGCTTGCATAGTTGCCCAGCCGCAGACGACGTAGATGGGAGTGACTGCGTACTTCACCCACCAGCGCCGGGTTAGCAGCCGGAAGACGTAGAAGGTGTAATGTCGATTATCCGCCAATAAGAAAGGGTGGACGATAGTATTGAAGCGAACAACAAGGCAGGCTAGGCTGACGGAGGCAAGCATGAGCCAAAATCGAGGTACCAGGTGTCGGCGTTTGAAGACGAGCATGGATTCCAGTGGGGCGAATTGGGATATCTTTGCCACGATCCCGAGGGGAAGCGTGGAGAGATAGGGTAAGAGGATGGGCCAGGAGAAGAAGGTGAAGTAGGGCCAGATGTAGAGCATTTGCGGGAGGTGGAGGGTGGCGACGTGGTTGGATTTGTCGCCGAGTACGACGCCGCCGTTCCAGATGATAAAGGCTGCAAAGGCGGCGATGATGGCCAGATAGTGGACCAGGGCGAGCAGAACGTTGACGAGCCGTCGAGGCTGAGTGGCAAGTCTGATCAAACACACTGCGAGAGAAATCACGGTTTTGAAGTAGTCTGGGTAGACGCAGTCAGTAAGATACTTTTGGTGTGAGGCGAGGAGTGCAGCCAACCAACCTTCGAGCCAAGCATCTCGCACGGAAGGGTCGTAAACGACATTCATCCTCCAACTTGTCCTTAGCACACTGATGAAGCTGTCGCCGAAGCCATCGGCTCGTTTGTACATTGAGTTTCGAGCGACATCAGGACCTTGATCGAGTAGACGGACAAGAGACAAGCCAGCGGGAAAGAGAGCCACCCAAAAGATGTTGGTCTGGCGGAAGAGGAGGCTGGCAAGGCCGAGGAGGATCAACATAGGATATTTCCACCATGTCAATTGCTGGTCGGCAGAAAGAAAGGCGGAATAGAACACAAGGACGGAGAGAGTCGACGGGACGTCCGTATAGTAAAGAGCGGAGAAGAAAAAGAGTGGGGGCATCAGAGCGATATTGACGGCGTTGTGGGTCTTTGCCCATGGCTCTCGTCTGCCACGCTGCCTCTGCGTGTAGGAAAGGATGACGATGCCGGGGATAATGAGTAAACAGACCAGACCCAGGGCCCGGAGTGTCCTCAAGGAGCTGTCGGCGGGAGAGACGGCGTAGGAGAGTAGATAGAGGCCGGGAGGTGTGGTAATTTTGGGGTCCCACACCCTCAATCGGCCCGCCAGGTAATGTCTCACTTGACCGACATGGAACACCTCGTCCTAGATTGTGAAAATTAGTAGACAGTTCGTATTGAGAAGAGGCAGGGGGACCAGGCTGCGCACGAGGTAGGGATCGGGAAGTTTACGCGAAACCTGTTCCCACCAGCCCGCCAACAGGATGGCTGCTGGAACGAGAGCCATTGTCGAGAGGACATCCAACGGGGATGTGTTTGAATCAAGGAACTGCCATGGTCGACTCGAGATGAGGCGAAGAGGGAGGAGGTGAGGTTGAAAGGACAGCAATAAATGGCAACAAGCTTTGCCCCACCAGCCAATGGCTTGCCGCGACGCGCGACTTCGCGTGGACTCGAAATATCAAAGGACGACTTCTGGCAACTGAACATTGATTCATCTTATTACAGCGCAGCTGCTGCTGAGGCAATGCACAACGATTCCCAATGGCCCTACTCCTCCCTCCTGGCCTCACCCCGGCCGAAGTGGGCTTTCTCTGCGAAATGGAACTCGTCACGGTAATCCCACGCCAAAGACTGGACGAATTACAACTTCTGGGAGTGGGTTGGCCATTATAACCCAGATCCAAACCTATGCTGATGAAATGCAAGGGCCCAACACAACCATTGAATCCTCCATTTCCAACTCCGCTTCCCCTCTGGCTTGCCCTGCTCCTTAAGCGGCAGAAACGAGCCAATATCTCTCCACCTCCCTGGCTCAGCGTAGAATGTCTAACCAGCATCCTCGACTTCGAAACCGACGTTCGCACAGCAGAAGTCTTATCACCTCCGCCCAAACTTCCACGACCCACTGGCGTGGCCTTAGAAGACGAGCCCTATCTGTCCCACGAATCTTCAGAACTCTCTCCTCCTTTTCTCCCAGAATCCTCGACCAGCCAAGCGCAAAGCGATGCTCTGCCATACCACTGGCTGGAACTGGGCCATCTCCTCCTCACCCACGCGGCCGATGACTTTGACGATGCGAATGCCATTCGCAGGCTGCTGAGGGATCTCCAGGAAGTGCGGATGAGTAAGTTGCGCAAAGGCTTTCGAGTCCTCGGCCCTGGTGCTGGGGTCAAGATGAATGGGGTTGGCGGCATGGAAGTTGCAGAGATTCGAGGGTTTGTGAGTGGGGTCGTGGACGGCTTGAGGTGAGTGCAGTTGCTATCTGGAATGTCGGCAGGAACTAATATGATGTGCAGGAGGATCAACCGCCCCAACGAAGAAAACCAGAAGGAGCGCGAAGCTAATGAAAGAGAGAATGGCTTTGGCGGCGACGACTACCAAGATGACGAAGATGACATGCAGTTATGAGGCAGGCTTCTCCCACACTTGTCAGTGTACGCTTCCTATATCGTGGATGTTCGGCCGGAACGACAACACAACACACTCTCCATTCCCTCCCTCGCCGATATCACCAACTCAAGCCATCGTAACTCTTCATACACCACCACAGCACCGACATATCCACATCTCAATATCAACAATCACTCTATCACAAGCATGGATCCCACCAACGTCGCACAACCCGAGGCACCCACCTGGAAATTGGTCATCATTCGCTCCCTCAAACTCATCATACTCGGCAGCGTGGTGATGCACCTGCATCCACACACCGGCACACAACCCGAAACGCCCGGCTTGGGAACATGGGAGATTCTTTACCTCCTCAAAGTTAGCCTCATCACCACTACAATGATCTTCTTGGCGGTATATGTACGACGAGTCGCCTCCGCCTATCGCCAACTCATCATCGATGAGCTCCAGCGTGGCGATGAGCTTCAACCCTCGCCAGCCCTGCAGCCATCAACCCCACCTGTTCCCCTCGCGGACATACAGTATGGCGATGCGTCTCATTCCTGGGCAATCCCGCCGCAATCAACCCTATCTACCATCCCCGAGGAGACACATCACAGCGATGAGGCTGGATCCTCGGCAACCGCGGAACAATCAACCCCATCCGAGCCCCGCCAGGCCGATCGTTCAGACTCCATAGTCGACAACGACCCGGAGAACACGAACGACCGGGAGCCAACGCCATCCACTGACGAATCTGAGGTTATCGAATATCAACCAAGGCATGAACCGCACATTTGAAGCGGATGAAAATTTCCATTGACATGTTCGCAGTCCCAAGCGCCGCCAGAACAAGTCGCGGAAACGGAAGGCGAACCGCTCAGGCTGATGACGATGTGGTATTATTGCTCGTCTGTCCTCTGCGAAGAGAACGCTGCGCCAATCGTTGTTGCTGAAAGTGGACCACGATCGCATCGACAGACAATCGTTCTGCAGTATCAAACATTACATGGATTGCCTTATCTCAAGCCGTCGTCTCCAGTCTGAATCATTGCAGCAATCACAGGATCCGCATTTGACACGTCCACCTTAACCGGACTCTGCGGCTTCATCTTTCCTTCGTTTTATGCCCCGATCTCGAATTTGGCCCTCCCAAGGAGGCAGCAACAATGGACTCTCGAACGCGGCTTCCCATGTCGTGTTACGCCTTCCGAGAAAGCTAATAAAAGTGAAGTACTCCATCCTCCCTCGAGGTCATACGATCGTCACTACTCTCACAATTCGCATCGTAATGCCGCTGCCCACGAGCGAAGAGATGCCCGGTCAACCTGGCCCGCCTACGCCCTCCGACATGACACCCCCTTCCGCGAACATCAGGATCTCGCCAGGGCTCTCTCCTTCTGCCGCCGATCCCCCCGGTTCGCAATGCAGCGACTCTCCCTGTTCCTCGACGCACTTCTTCTTCTACTTCTCCGGCGCTGGACGATCCATGTTGTGTCTACTACGCACGAATGCCCTCGGTCTGCACGATGCTTCGCATCCCCGCCTCTCGCATCGATCTCACCCGAGACGATCTAGAGGCTTTCCACCTTCGCCAGGCAGCTCGGCAGTCCGCAAGGCAGGCTAGACCCAGCAGCTCGTATGTCCGACTGAGCCCAGGACCGAGCCACCCTACCCGGCTCTCACTCATCTCCCCAAATCAAAATCTGGGCCAGCGGAAGGCTTTGTGCTCTGCTTCGTCTGAAGTTGATGACGGTCGTGCGGCTGACGAGGAGCTTGGAGAGCGTGCTACGACTGCGGGTGAGTTCGAGCCCTATGGTGATCATGAGCGTGTCGGGGACCGGCATGGTTTGCATGACCAGGCGAGAGGGGCACCGGGACGCATCTCCCTCCGCCCTTTGCATGACAAGAGGTCCTCGCCGCGCCATCCTAGCGGCAGGACACTTGATGCCCATCAACACGGAGACGAAGCAGGCTTGTCTCCTTACACTGAATTGGTAGATGGTGCTCAAGGACAACGGAACGCATTCGCCGAGCTTCCCACAGCGGTCCTGCAACGAGGATGTCCGGTTGGAGGGGCCACGCATGCGAGTGCACTTTCGCCCATCGGTCCAGCCTCTGCGCCTCAATTTCCGCCATCTCTGACATCTTCCAACACGAGAGCTTGGCTCTTGCATTCGACAGGCGGCGATGTCCAACAGAATGTGCCTTTCCCACGCCCAATTGATATCCCGGACCGCCATCGGCCGGAGCTTTTTTTGCACGATTCGAGAACTACCTCGACAGATCGGCAACCCGTACCTTTCGTAATACTATCTGATGACAGTACTCAGACCATCTCCAATCCTGTCTTGGATCCAGGTGCACCAGTCTTCGTCCCCCGAACTCGCTTTGGGACTACTCTGCATTCGTCAGCGGATGGCACGGCTCTGACGCACCTCCAGCCTCATTGGGGAAACTCGAGCAATACTTATGTTGGATCGGACCTCCGATTGCAGTCTTCGTCGGAGCGCAATGCGGATTCACTAGTCGGATATCATCATCGGGGCCGTCCGAGCAGAGAGGTTGGGAGAGAGCCCAGTCATCACACTCAGCGCACCCAAAGCGAGCAGACGAATGATGGATGGACCCAAAACGCCGCAATGCCACCAAGGCCGTGGCATCTGGAGCGCCGCCCCTTGATGCGTTACTCTTCTAGCACAAGTTCCCAGCGTCTCCCGAGCAGCAGTCTCCGCCATTCGTCCAGCCAAGCAGACGACGGCAGACTGCTATCCTTCACATCGCACACACGCCCGCCACATCGCAACTTTTCCCAGCACGACTTCCGCATCAATCATGCTCGCATAGGCAGCTACAGCCCGTTGGAAGGCCTTTACTCGCGCACTCGCTCCGCGTCTCCGGCCGTGTCGCTACACAGTCGGTCAACGCCGAACCTCCTGCGCCTCCCTCGCTCAGCACCTCACATCGGGAGTCGTGAGAGCTCGTTATCATGGCGAAGTACCGACTCCCGCTTGTCAGGCTCCAGACGCTATCCCAGCATGGTCAGCGCGGTGAGCGATGGCGAAGAGGGGCCAGGTGGTGCTGCATCTCGACGCTGCTCGGAAAGAGAACTCGATGCGACGGAAGAGTTCCTGCGGCGCCGGAACTCCCCTTTGGACGAGTTGACGGAGCGGATCAGTCGGATGCGCTCGGTTGGCAGGTCCTGGGAGAGGCCGCCTGGGAATCGTCGGAGAGTGTCTTTGCTTACCGGAGATCCATTTCGACAAGATTCGTCACTCCATCAGCCAACTCCTGCTATGCCTCACAGCACTCCTGTTTCGTCCTCCACTCGCGAACGGCTCGAGGGTGAAATCGCCGAGGAAGAAGCAGAAAGCCTGGTCGAAGATGTCGCTGCACTGTCCCTTGCTCTCCCGCCTTCAACGCCACTGGCACCCAGCCTGGAGAGCGTAGCAAGTAGTCCGCCGATTGGTTGCAATCCCGCAACGGACACGAGTCGATCCGCTCTGTCCCAACTATCTCCTTCAAAGCCCTCAACATCGTCCGAAAGCCACGGAAAGCGCAAAAGCGCTGCGAAAGCGGTGCCAGCAACTCCAAAAGTCGGCGTTTACAACGATAGTCTGCCTCCGAATACCCAGCCGCAGACACCAGCCGACATTATGAGATCCACACGAGCGAAAAATCGCTCCGACGCAGCTACCATGGCCCCGCAGTCGCCGATATATGTAGGCCGGGCGATTCTGGGACAAGCGACACCTGCTATTCCAGAACGAAGGATGCATGTTACCGCTTATCCGCCTCCCGCAACAGCTACTGGTAGGACACCGTCTGCAACACATGCCTCTGCTGCTCCTGCTTTGCACGCTACGGATGGGGGACGGGAAGTTCAGCGGTCTCAGCGCCATCGCCGTCCTACGCACCGTCAGGCTCGTCACGAGGAGGTTGAGAACGAACTTGAGGGACATCTTGATGGGCTGGAAGAGGATCGACGCTTGTGGATGGATAGGCGTGAGGTTGGTGGTGGGTTGGAAAGTACGCCGCCGAGGGAGGGGCGGTTTGAGCGGTATCTGTCTTGAGGGATGCATCGATTCACGGAGTGTGCGAATCGAGTAATGGACAGAAGAGGGGGAGGAGAAGCTGTACAGCCACTACCATCTATCAACCTACTGCACAAACTTCATCGTATTCACCAGCCTCCCAATGCCCTCAATCTCCACCGCCACCTCATCGCCATCCTTCAAATAAGTCTGCGGCTTCATCGCCACGCCCACCCCACCCGGCGTGCCCGTCATAATCAAACTCCCCTTCTGCAACGTCTGCCCCTGACTAAACCAGCTCACCAACTTGCGCACCCCAAAGCACAAATCCGACGTGTCGGAATTCTGCCTCTCCTCCCCATTCACCCACGTGCGCAACTTCAGCTTCCCGCCGTCGCCCAGCAGGCGCGAGGAAACAAGACACGGGCCGAGCGGGGCGTAGTTGTCGAAGGACTTGGAGAAGCTCCACTGCGGCATCATGCCCGCTTTCTCCTTGTCCATTTGCCAGTCGCGGCACGAGACGTCGTTGCCGGTGACGTAGCCGGCGACGTAGTTGAGGGCGTCGGCTTCGCTGACGTTTTTCGCGTCGGCGCCGATGAGCACGGTGAGTTCGCCTTCGTAGTCGCATTGCGGTTGGCCGAGGGGCGGGATGGGGACCGGGGCGCGCGTGTCGCCTACTGCTGGGCTGGCTTTGATGAAGAGGGTTGGGTTCTTGGGGAGGTCGAAGCCCGTTTCGAGGACTGGGGTGGGGGATTAGTTGGGGTTCGTGTAGCGTGAGGGATGCAGGGACATACTATGCGTCTTATAATTCAACCCTACGCAGCGGATGATAGGCACGTCCTTGACGGTCAACGGCCCAAGCAACTTCTTCACTTTATCCTGCTCGCCCGTGCGCTTGGCATCGATCGGGTGCGCGCCTTCGAGGACGTGCACTTCGAGCTTGCCGTCTTGCGCCAACTGGTCGATGTCGGGCTTCTCGTCGGACACAATGGGCTCGCCGTACCGGATCTTGCCGTCCTTTTCGGAGACGTAGCGCACCAGGCGGTCCCAGGAGGTTAGTTGGGATGACATGGTTGCGTAGTGTCGATGGATGGAGATGTGCCGAGTGAGTTGAGCTGCGCGGGTGATTGATCTGGCGGAGGCGCGCAGATGGAGCATGTGAAGGATGGAGGTGATTGGGGTTAAACGGAGAGGTGAAGTGGTAATATTTAAATCCACTGGGCCTCCCGCAATTGCCGTGCAGGGTAGAGATGTTGTCCAGCCCGGTGTGGGGATGGGCAAGTGTGGGGACGACGAAGCAGTGTTCGGCAGATTGAGTCGGTGGCCATGCTGCCTCCCCACTGTCGTTGTCTCCTCCACGATATTCATAGCTCAACACGAGTCATTGATGGGCATGATTTATCTTCAATGAGGACATATATCCTCTTTGACAGACTTAAGACAAGGATGGCGCGAGAGTAAATCGCTATCTCAAGCCAATACCATAATGCATATGTACACCTTTTGACTCCCAACAATCTCGCACCTTCGCTACCCGCTCACTTCCTGTACCACATCCTCGTAATCTTGGTATGTCTCATCTTCTTCTGCAGCTGGAAAATGCCGTACATCAACGCCTCCGACGTCGGCGGGCAGCCGGGCACGTAAATATCCACGGGCACAATACGATCACATCCCCTCGTCACGCTGTACGAGTAGTGGTAGTAGCCGCCTCCGTTCGCGCACGAGCCCATGCTAATCACCCATCGGGGATCGGGCATCTGGTCGTAGACTTGTCGTAGCGCCGGCGCCATCTTGTTTGTGAGGGTGCCGGCCACGATCATCACGTCGGATTGACGCGGCGAGGCGCGGAAGATTATGCCGAGGCGGTCTTGGTCGTAGCGCGGGGTGGACAGGTGCATCATTTCTACGGCGCAGCAGGCGAGGCCGAAGGTCATGGGCCAGAGGGAGCCTTGTCGTGCCCAGTTGGCGATGCTGTCGAGGGTGGTGCTGTGTGTGATGTAATCAGCATGATGAAGACGCGCTTCGTCGCTGTATCGTGCCGCGCTGTACTCACAGTGCGTATTGCACCACGCCCTTCGTCCCCTCTTGACTCGGTAGCGGCACTTGTGTTTGGTTCGAGAGCGACTTCATAGGCGGGGGTGGAGCCGGTCCTCCTTTCACGATACCCGGCTTGCCCATGATCGGCTCTGCCGGTTTCGAGGAGGTGGATGATATGAAGGCGGCGTTCGCAGCTCGGAAGGGCTGTATTGCGGTCATGGGTTTGGCTACATCGTGCATCCATTAGACCGTGCCGCGCACTTGCTGCGTGTGTTGAGGGGCCAGTGCTTACCGCGCAGCGCCATTGCTGTCGCCTGCCGTGCTCGTGGAAGCATGGCTGCGATGTAGTGAGGATGAAGGGAGAGTGGAGAGAAGGGAGGGAGAGTGTTCGTAGGAGGGGGCGAGAGCAGTGGCAATGGGAGAAGTCGAGTGTATGATGACCTCGCCAATCCGCTCTGCGCTGATTGGCCCGGAGCGGGAGAAGCTTGGCATCCGAGCTTAGTCACCTCGTCACTGCTATCAAACTCAATGTCCAGCACAACCACCTCCACATCTGGACTGAAGAATATGCAACGATGGACAGCAGAAGTCCTTCAATCGCCTGCATAGGCGTGATAGGGCGAAGCAACAACCCACTACACATATCGCTCTTCCCCGCAACAGGACCCGGCTACGAAGCTGAACGCGACCGACTGGAGTTCTCCTTCATGCTCAACACCTGTCTGGACATCTTCGAAGCCCGCCTGCCCTCCAAAGGTCTCACCCACGATTTCGGCCTGCTTCATGCTTTAGACGAGCGGATAGCCATGTACGGCTGGATGACGAACACCGGGGTCAAGTTCGTGATTGTCATTGACATAGAAGGCACCGTGGCTGAGGGAGGGAGGATTACTGCGGGTATGGGATTGAGGAATAGCGACCTGACGCCGGTACGATCTGACATGAAAGCCTCCGGTGACTCATACATGTGTTAACGTTGTGCCAGGCTTTTCAAGCATTGCAGCATGCGTATATCAAGCTCCTGCGCAATCCGTTCTACGAGCCTGATGATCACGATCCAAAGCTCACCAAAGGCCCCACTGGCTCGCTTCAAATCGCGAGTCCGAACTTCATCAGGGAAGTCGAGCGCATCGGGAAGGCCTGGTATCCGGGCATTCGGTCGGATGAGATGCTCAAATGATTGTCGCCGAGTTCTCGAGTTCGAATGCACCTGGCCTCCCCGCAATGGCGTACGAATAACGCGAAGGCACCTTCATAAATGAGACAGTCACCATGGCAGCAGACCCGGACCTTTGGATCGAACGCTCAGGTCCGCTCAAGGATGTGTCGAAAATGCGGAGCAGGTGGGGACTATCTGGAGCTTCCTTTCCTCTACAGAATGCTGCTGTGGGTGTATCCGCACAGGTTCTGTGCATTACAAATGCGATATATACGGCTGCGGAGACGCCACGTCCCTCTATCTTCGACAATCAGGCTCGGTCGTACGCAGTGACGGCGAGCCGCGTCCATTCTGATTTGCATCCTCAAGCAGATAGGTCGATGCCATCATGCATTTTGGCGCTGCACTTCAGGGCACGCTTGACGGGGCCCCTGGCTGAGGAGATAGCGGCGGCCGTGAGCTGCTATCGAGCTCTTGACGCGTAGCTAGACGCTTTCTGCAAGCCGAGCACTCTTTGCGCAGGATCTCCCTGCGCTCCTCGACCCGTTCCATGCACGACCGGCGGGCAGATATAGTAGATAGCTGGCATATAGATGCCAAACAAGCACTTTCATCTCAATCACCGACTCCTCGGCAAATCTGGGTAGACGCGCTTCTTCACCACCTCTTGCACCCCCGCATCACCCTCCGCCGCCAAATTCTGAAACTTGGCCACCATGTCGTCCAAATCCTGCTCAGCATTCGGTCGAAACTGCGTGACTTTGCGGATGTTGGCAGCCGTCATGTCGTTGATATCGTGGCCATTGTCTCGCACTCTCGCAATCGTTTTCGCAGTAAGAGCGAAGCGCATGTCTTTCGGGCCGTCGACGAGTTCGAGGATGGCAGAGGGGGCTTGATCTTCTTTTATGGGCTCGAGACGGAGGACACGAGTATAACCACCCGGTCGATTGAGGTAGCGTTCCCGAAGAGGGCCGAAGAGTTTGGGCATGAGGCGCTCGGGGTACTGGAGGGCAAGTCAGTAGGCATTACCACGGCTGCCATATACAGAGACTGTGTTTCACGCACGAAAAGGTCTTTCTGGACCTGAATCTTGCTCGCAGACGTGTTCTTCTTGGCGTGCGTGATGATCTTCTCCGCCATCCTTTGCGCCTCCTTCGCTTTGGGCCAGGTGGTGGTTATGCTCTCGTGCTCGAGCAGCGAGGTGACGAGATTTCGGAGGAGGGCGCGGCGGTGCGCCGAATTGCGCGACAGGTGCCGGTACTTCACCAGACCGCCTGCCATGGTAGACAGCAGGTGAGGAGGAGAGGGTTGAAGCGGCGGGAGGGCAGATTGGGTGCTGGTGGTGGAGGATGAATGGAAAAAGAATGGTCGAGAGTAGCATCCTTCTCCTTTGGGAAATCGTGAAAGGTGCGGGCCGAGGAATCCCTGCAGTGCAATTCCAGCTGTTGAACGTCACCGACAACATCAACTTTATCCCTCGTCCGAAACCCATTCGAAACAGTCTCCCAAGCTCACGAATACCTGAAACCACCTCTTCGTTCACTGGCCTACCTGGAAGAGAGCTCTTCGGTGCCGCGATGGGCTTCACAACCGGCCTGGTAAGTCCTCAGTCCACACGCAAGCACAAAGTCCTCAAGCAACCCACGATGGCTAATCATCCCACGCACTCTCCCAGCTCGGCGGCTTCACCCTCACAACCACACTCCTATACCTCTCATTATCCCTCCACGCGCGGAATCGAGTCCACCAAGCCGCACTCCTCCACCAACAAAGTCTCATCCTAACGAACCTCGTCGACCCACAACCCGCACTCCCTCCACCAGCCAGCAGAGAAGTACGCGTGGGAATTTGGGAGACGGCGAAAGACAAATGGAATGCGCGGTTAGAAAGCGAGGTGCGCAGGTTGCAGCACATGGACTGGAACGAGGTGCGGGAGAGGATGGAGGAGGGCGTGAGCTCGGTGTATCGGCGGGCCTTTGAGAAGGGGAGGGAGGTTATCCCGGATCCACCTAAATGATGAAACTCGTGGGATGCTACTGGAGCATGCATTCGACGACGAAGGTTCCCTTCTTATCCTAGAGTTCACATGAAGACACACCCGCTGTACGGCTTGGCCTGCATCTGTCCCGACGAATTCGCTCGCTTGCCACTCCGAATCTGGTAACACACGACATGGCAACGAACCTCACATTCACGAACCAGTCAGGTGAATTTCATATCTCATTTGTCTTCAAGGTGAGGATATTCGCTCCTCTGCGCGTCAAAGATGTTCTCCTCTCCTCTCCTTTCTTCTTCCCAGTACTTTCAATCCAAACTCACTTCACAACATATCTCAAACTACATTCACAAACCAAAATGGCGCTTTGCCCAGCGACTGCTGAGACGTTCGAGAAGCTCCTGCAATACAGCAAAGAAGATCACGATATCGAAAAATGCCCCTGTCACATCTGTAAGAACATCGCCGCCGACCGCGCACGCACCGGCCCCCTTGCAGAGGCGGAGGAGGAGGAGACCTTCAAAAGAACGGAAAACGACATTGAAAGCATCAAACGCCTCAATCGGGAACTATACCGAGCTGCTCACCCTCCTATTTTCGGCTCACCTTTCAACTCATCCGAGGAGTCGGCCAACTCGTCCAACTCGGTCAACTCATCCAACTCGTCCAAGTCGTCCAGCTCACCCAACTCATCCCACTCACCCAACGCGGAAGAGGAAACGACATCGCGCACCATCAACGGCATCGCAATCCACAAGGACGACCGCCTCAACCTCGCGCAACTCAACAAAGTCGTCGGCGAACTCGAGCAGCACTCCGTGAACCACGCCTTCCCCCTCGCCAAGGAAATCTACAACCGCTGGAAAGCCCTCGTCGACGCCCGCACCGACGCCTTCCTCTCCGGCTGGCTGCTCGTCGATCTCGCGGACTACGGCGTCTACACCACCAAAGCCGATCCCGTCATCCCTGCTCTCCTGGATCGGAAGCACAAGGTTGATGCCGACGATTTGGTCTTGACGCTTGAACATGGCTGGATGAAGGAGTTTGTTGGGGCGAGTCGGGCAGGGCTCGTTGAGGCATCTGCATCGTCGTCGGCGTCATCGTCACGAACAAACAACCATAGCGTTACCAGCAGACAGGAGAAGCGGCAGCGGAGTAACTCTTCGGCGTTGTCGTCTAGCACCGATTCCGACTCGGCGGTATCGATCTCATCAACCATTAACACCTTGAACATCAACGACACGAACACCAACGATACAAACATCAACGACACGAACACCAACCACACGAACACTACGCAAGCGAAAAAGAAACCCCTAACCTGCGCCTGCCACCCCCTCGCCACCCTCATCCGCAAAGAAATAGTCAAAGCCCTCACGCCGCTTAACAACGAAACACTAACCGTCTGGGCCCTGCAAAAGATCATCGACGACGCGTTCGCCAAGTCCGAGCTGTTCTGGACGCTGCATCGTTCGGATCGACAGGGCGTGTACCCGCATGGCTTCTTCATCTACCAGTCACGGTTGAGGGAGGTGGTGTTGAGACGGTTTGCGGGGATACCGCCGCTTTTGAGAGGGGAGGAGAATGGGAGGGCTGGGGTTGGACAGAGACGGGGTGGCGGGGGGAGGAATGGACATGTGAGGGTGAATGGGCATCGGAGGGGTGTTGGGAGGGGGAGGAGAGTGGCGTGAGGGGTATTTGATGGCTGGTGGGAGGCTAGGATAGGAGAGATATCGAGCTGAATCGACATTGAAAATGCGATCGCCTCTAATACGTACCTGTGCGTAAAAGGAAGCAGCAACCCAGACTCGAACCCAGGCCAGCAGGCCAAAAAAAACGAAGCACCTTCCTCGCTTCCTTTCTCAACGGAAATGTCGTGTCACGGAAAGGCCGTTGTTAACGAAGGCTGAAGCAGAAACTCGACCGCATTGGGCGTGGTTTTATGTCTTGCGCCAATATCCGACGACGTTGACAATTTGGTCTTTGAAGTCATTGGTTAGAGGGTGTCCTTGAAACAACCGAGATATAGATCTCATGTTATTATTCTCGCCGTGGCAACATTTCGGGTTCTCAGCAGGCTACGTGCCAGAAGAAGTGATTCACCACGAGATTCTTCCAGCACTCCATATACCTCAACTAATGAACTAAGTGTACCATCTCCCTTGCAACAAGCCTTAACGAGCCTCGGACTCGGTCTAGGACGCGCCGTACTGGCATATTCAACGCTTGAGAGATCCGCCAGGCCGTCGGCGAGCGGAAGTAAGTGAACCACTTCTTCTGGCACGTAGCCTGTCAGTTGCCTGATGTACTTGATGCGGACTCCTGCAACGAGACGCGGTCCGTGCGCAGCCGAGGGTGCCGGAGTCTCTATCTCGCGATCACTCACTTCCCATCTACCTCAAACTCATCTCTCAGGCCAAGAGGCCATTTCCCGGAGTCGCAAAGAGTGACCAGTCGTCTACATCCATGGAGTTCAACATTCTCATAATCTCAGACACCATCTGCCCATGGTGCTTCATCGGCTACCGCAGGCTACGCCTCGCCATATCCCAGCACCTCGCAACTCACCCCAATGACACTTTCTCCGTCTCCTGGCATCCATTTCAGCTGAATCCTAATGCGCCCAAAGGCCAGACCAGCGACAAAAGGGCTGTGTATGAGCGCAATTACGGCGCTGAGCAGACGGAGCTGATCTTCGAACGGCTACGAACCGCTGCGAAAGGGACGGGGATTAACTTTAGCTTTGAAGGACAAACAGGAAGTACGTTGGATAGCCATCGCTTGCTGGAGTATGCTGCGGCAAAGGACACGGCGGGCGCTGGTAGACGTAAAGGGTCGTTGAGCGGTATGCAAACTCGGCTTGCGGAGGAGCTGTTCGGCGATTATTTCGAACGGGAAAGGGATATCACTTCTCACGACGTCCTGGTCAACGCTGCTAAGAGAGCGGGACTTGATGGCGTCGAGGCGAGAAAATTCCTCGAGAGCGATGCGCTGGCCAAGGAGGTGGCAGAGAAGGCTAGGATGCCGCGTGAGAATGGGATCAATGGTGTGCCGCATTTCAGCATCAACGACACCTTTACGGTTGAAGGTGCTCAGGAGCCTGCGGCATTCTTAATGTTATTCCGTAGACTGAGGAAGAGACAGATGAAAATGTAGTCGGGTTTGCATAGAGCGAGACGGCAAGGCTGAAGTGGCTCGAACGGCCAAAAGTCTTGACCGCGAAGTCGAGTCTTTTTGGCATGGCAACTTTGCTGCAACTTTTGTTCATCCATTCCCCCATTGCACATCTCCAATTTCAGCACTACATCCTCGACCATGCCACCCAAACCAACACAGAGGCTATTCAGCCTCCCGCCGCGCTTCCTGTGTCCCTCCATCCCACGCACCCTCATCCGCACCTTCCGCACCTTCGCCCCCATCGTGCCCGGCAAGCAAAGCAGATTCAACTACGGCCACAACCTCCCCCTCCTCGGCGCCTCCAAACAAGCCGCCTTTCTCCGCAAAGAGAACAACCTCCCCCTTCGAACAGGCGCGCTCACCATCAAGAAAGGCATGACGGGCGTGTACGATCCGGAGACGGGCAAGCGCACCCCCTGCACCGTGTTGCAGCTCGACCGCTGCCAGGTCATCAGTCACAAGCGGCGAGACAAGCATGGCTACTGGGCTGTGCAAGTTGGGTCTGGCACGAAAGAAGCGAGGAATGTCACTCGTCCTGAGCGTGGACATTTTGCTGCGCATGAAGTGCCGCTTAAACGCCATTTGGCGGAGTTCAGGGTCAAGAACGAGGAGGGCTTGCCGGCAGTTGGAAGTGTGATCACAGCCGATCTATTTCAAGAAGGACAGTTCGTCGACGTGCGAGCGGTGACGCGAGGAATGGGCTTCGCGGGCGGCATGAAGCGATGGGGATGGGGCGGGCAGCCGGCGTCACACGGTACGTCGCTCACGCATCGCGCCATGGGTTCGGCAGGAGGCAGTCAAGGGAGTGGATCGCGAGTACACCCGGGCAAACACATGGCTGGGAGGATGGGAGGGGAGATGCACACGGTGCAGAATTTGAAGGTGATGAAGGTGGATGCGGCGAATGGGATTGTGGTTGTGCATGGCGCCGTGCCGGGGCCGAAGTACTCGATTGTGAAGGTTCAGGATGCGCTGAAGAAGCCTTGGCCGGAGGCTGATGCGCTCGCGGGACTGTCTGTCGGTGGTGGCGGTGCTGGGCTGGCGGCGGCGGCGGCGGCTGAAGCGTGATGGCAGACATCGTGGATACCGAGACAGGAGAAGAAAGGTAGCATACGCCGCCTTGGACGTCAGGCATTGCGCCACGAGGTCATCAGATCTGCTAAAGCAGGCATGTGGCGGGGTCGCACGCGATGCAATGAAGGAAGTGACCTGATCGCGAGCCGCACAGCTCTCTGACGTACACAAGGCTTCGCCAAACGTGGACACTATTGTGTAGTGAACGCAACTTGGACAGCCACCGTGCCTGCGAGCGACGAGTCAGACCGCGCTCGCGTCCGCCAGATGACGTTGTCGCAGCATCTCATCATATATCTGATTCTATCCCATTCCCCGCCACATATATTATCATACCCAGTACCCGCCGTCAAGACCAACGCCTCTTAGCCAGGCATTGTCTCGGCACAAGTGTCTAACCCAAGGCGTGCAGGTGAAACACGTCCCCCCATCATCAATCCTTGGTTGTCGGTGCAGGCCGGCTTGACGACATGCACAACCCGCATATCGAAATTGACACTACCACAAAATTCACAACCGCACGCACCCAATGCCCACACCCACAATTGCCGGCTCAGCATTTCGCGCATTCGGCAAACAGGAAACGGGCGATGGAAAAAGGTGGAATTGATGCACGCCCACACCCGCCTCCTGACAAGACTCCCCTTTCTATTCGTCTGGTACGCTCACGTGCCGAGCCCGTGGCGTGGCCCCGCCGTCATTGGCTGGAGGCGCAGACGTCTGCTACACAGGGGCGCGCATACCACTGCCCCTCCGCCCGCACGCACCGGCGCTGTAGCTGCGTGCGCTTTTCGCTGGAAGCGGCGCGGATCTTGCACGCGGTGGGCTTGGGGCTGCATCTTGCTGCGCAATGGATCCGTGGGTGCTGTGTGGTTCCAAGGCTGCAGTGGTGCCGGGCTTTGAGTGTGCCCCTCGGGCATGGGCGAGGTATGCGTGCCCTTCAAGTACCTACTCCCTGCTGTGTCCTCTTGTGGTACTCTTTTTCCTTTTCTTTCTTCCTGCTCCTTACGCTTCACCGGTTTGAAGAAGTCTGGTCTCGTTGTTGCCTGTTGTTCATTCTTTCATTCCTTTCTGGCTTTGGTCCATTACGCTCATTGAGTATCATTGGCATACGACTTGCTTCCGTAGACTGCTTCCACACAATCGATCCTCACACAACGACACCGAAGAAGAGACATTTCGCTAGACGACTTGCACAATCCTTCTTGAACGGACAGACCACCACTACAACCACACGAGGCCCACGCTCCCATTCTTCTACAAGAACCATGCGTCTTCCCAGCCTCTTCGCCGCAGGCGGCGCCTTCATCTCCCTCGCCGCCGCAGTCCCAATGCAAGAGAACAAACGAGACGTCGTCTGGACGACGAAGCTCAATATCGTGTACGAAACGGTGTGGGTGACTACCACCCTTCCCGGCGTGGCTCCATCTCCGGCAGCTCAAGCTCCCGCACAAGGTGGTGGAGGCGGCCAACCCTCCCCCAACACCCACACGGTCACGGTGGAGGTGTCGCGCGCTCCGGTCCAGACGGAAGGCGCGGCGAGCGAGGCTAGCCGGGTCAACTCTCCTGCGCCGACGCCTACGTCTAGCGTTCAGACTCATCACCGCCATCATCATCACCACCACCAGGCTGCTTCACCCAGCAGCACGGGAGATGACACTCCTACCCGGTCATTCCCCACTCCTACTCCTGTTCCCATCCAAACTACCAGCAGCGACTCCACTCCCACCCGTACGCAGGCGACCACGACGGCTGGAAACGCCGGCGGCTCCTCTCCCACCAGCCCGAGCGGCAGCATACACACCGGCGACATCACCTACTACGCCCCCGGCCTGGGCTCATGCGGCATCACGAACAGCGCCAGCGACCACATCGTCGCCCTCGCGGCGGACATGATGACGCCCATGAACCCGCCGAACCCCAACGACAACCCGCTGTGCGGCCGCTCGATTACCATCAGCTACGGAGGCAAGACGGCCGTCGCGACGATTGAGGATACTTGTCCCGGGTGTTCGGGCGCGAGTTTGGACTTGACGCCCAGCTTGTTCCAGATCTTTGAGCCGCTGGCGGTGGGCAGGGTCAGTGGGGTTGAGTGGTGGTATAACTAGATGGGATGGAGAGATGGGGAGGAGGTTTGCGGCGGGCACTGGATGCTTTGCAGATGATATCACGAATGCAATGGAGTACTGTTAGAGTAAGGGAGTCTTTTGATTGGTGATTTGTCGGAGTAGTGATGAGCTTAGCAAGCCGAGTCTCTAGCTACCCGGTCAGACGTTCGCATCACACCACCGTCCCGGCATGCCATGGATGCATGGCCCCGCGCAGGGTTCAGCCCGTCGTTCACCCAAGGAATACGAGGTCGTTCCGCCTCTGATTCGCTGCATCCGGCTCCTCCCCGCGGAGAGCCGCAAAGTCTACCGGCGGCGGTGAGACAGCGTCGCAAGATCTAGACACCTCGTTATCTCTGCGGGGAAAGTCAACGTTGCAGTGGTTGATGAGGGGGAAAATGTGCGGAATCCCGCGGGCAGAGAGGCCGAGGGGACGAATGAAGCTTTTCGTCTTCGCGCATGCGGGTGGGTGTGTAAGGCGACGGATGCGTCAATGACCTGCACAACAGCTCGACCCTACCCAGCGAGCCAGCTCGGACATGCGGGGACCCCTGTCCATCAAGGTTCCAACGGCCTGGGCATCGCAGTTGAGGATGGCGCGATGTCGACAACTCGTTTGCTGTAGTGGTGAGTAGAGGGAATAACGGCATTTTGCCTAGACAGCCACAGCTACGCGGCATATGCGCAGCACGAGAGTTTGGCGCAGGCAAGCAGGTGGAGCGGCGGGTGGACCATGGGAATACGAGTTCGTTTCTATACCTGGCTCGTTTCCGCGAAAGTTTGCAAAGGAAAAGGCTAAACGCCCAACACGGCAAGGCCGGCGACGCTTTGTTGCCTGACGAGAGATAATAATGGGAGCGGTAAGACGGGCAGCTCTGGGCATTCTGGGCGCTTTATCGTGTCTCGCGCTGCAATATCTTTCTCCTTCTCACCTTCACCGACACACCTCCATCTCTCTCCTCACCAAACACTGCCCAATTCCCGCGTTTCCTGGAGGGCTGAGGAAGCGCGTCCGGACCCCGGCCCTTGGTTGCACGTGAGAGCGGGTGCGTGCGCGTTTCATTCATCAGCGCCCGGCCAAGGAAAGAGCAATCGCTCTCCACCCGTTGCTGACCTTCCACCCTCTTCTGCCGCCCAACCGCTGCATCAACGACCTCACCTCTCGGCCATGACGCATCTGTGAGCATTCTTTGCCGCCATCCATACCCATTCGACTCGCTGCCTCGCTTGAGCCCCCCGTCTGTCGCCTGCCGCAGCGGACCGCGCGCCCTCGGCCCAATCTCGCTCCGCCGCCAGTCGGTCCAATCACGACTCGCCCACGCAGGCTAACGCCCTGAACTCCCCGAAATCATGTCCAATTCCACCAGCTGTACGTCTCCCCCATTCCTCCTCCCCAATCCATCCCCACCACCGCCAACATCCCCATCTCCATCTCTTTCCGTCATCGAGTCTCGGCGGCCCACACGCCCGCGACGGCGCCAAAATGACGACTGTTAACCACGCCGCTGCAGCTTCCGGGGCCGCGACGACGAGCCCGACGAGCAGCTCGTCCTCCTCGATCTCCTCCTCCACCGCCTCCTCGACCCCGACCTCCTCCTCCTCCAGCTCTTCCAGCATCATCAGCACCCCCAGCAGCACCTCCTCCCGGAGCAACGTCGCCACCTCCACCACTTCCCTCCCGACGAGTACGAGCACCAGCCGCTTCACACAGACCACCACGCAGAGCTCGACGATCCAAGACACCACCATCATCCACACCGTCACGCGCCATGGCACCACCTCAGTACAGACGAGTACCTCCTCCTTCCCCACCAGCGGCAGCACGACAAGCACCGCGTCCAGCTCCTCCTCGGTCATCACCCACGGCACCACCAACAACGGCCGTAATGGCGGCCTGAGCACCGGCGGCATCGCCGCCATCGCCGTCGTCGTCCCCGTCGCCGTCATCGCGCTTCTCATCGGCCTCGGAATCGTCTTCTGGCGCCGGCGAAAGCAGAAGAAGGAGGACGAGGACATGCGGCGCAAGGAAGTGGAGGACTACAACTACAACCCCAACGGCGATCCCACCCTCCCCGCCATCGGCTCCGATGCAGGCGGCGCGCAAATGACCGAAGACCACAGCAGCGGCTACCGAGGCTGGGGCGCCACGGCCGCCAGTCGCGGAATGTCCACCACCATGTCAGGCGGTCACACGCAGCAGCTCTCCGAATCCGGCAACTCGTACGGGCACCAAGCCGATGGCCTCGGCGGCGACCCGAACGGCATGGGAGACCGCGACACAATGGGAAGTGATGACCTCGCCGCCCTCCCGGCAATGGCCGGCGGCGCCGCAGCAGGCCGTCACGCAAACCTCCGCCGCGGCCCCAGCAATGCCTCCTCCGCCTACTCCGCCGGCGACCGCTCCGAGTCGGAAGAGCGGCCGCCGATGCCCATTGGGCAGGCCTACGACTACACTCCCTCCAACACCTACGGCTACGGCCAACACGGCCCGTACGGCGACGCGTCGTATGGTGGTGGTGGTGCTGCTGGCGCGCAGCAGCCGACGAGCAACGGCATGCCGGTTGTGCGGGATTTGAACGCGCGCCGTGACACGCGCATCCAGCCTGGCGGGTCGTATCAGCAGGGGAACTCGGGGATTGCGCAGAACTTTTAAGTATGAAATAAAGAAATCCGAGGGGGAGTTGGATACGGCTGAGACTGGAGGCGAGACAGCATGAAGAGTGAAGTGATGATGCGGCCACCGAATGTACTGCCGCATTTAGGCCTCGCGGAGACTGCAGTGGGGCTTTGGATGCTTCAGGAACGGCTTTCGACCGGAACCATGGCGTTGCGACAGTGCTTTTCTCATCCACTCATTCGCTCAGACCGCCACTACAACACCACTTCTGGATCTTCACGGCTGCTTGCTTCAACGGATCGTTGGGTTTTGGCTGCTTATGCGCGAATACCGCTCCATTCAATCATGTTACTGGCGTAGATGGACATACGGCGTTTGGGATCGATGAGGGTGGCTCGCGTTGGCTTCGCACAAAAGGGAACCGCTGGGGAGGTTAGCCGGACGCGGAGGAGGGGAGAGAGGGGAATTGGTCTCCGATGTGGTGGAAATGCTCTCCGATATGATGGGAGTCTCAACGACGGACGTGTAGGGGCAGATAATCGGCAGTGCTTTATTATAGCAGAAAGTGCAAGTCTAGTCTTTTTTCTCGATGCTCTCGGTGTGCCTTGTACCTGGGCCTTGGCCTTGGGGGAGTTGGTGGGAAAGAGGGCGTAGTGCTCTACTGTAGTGGTTGACATGCTGCCCTTCATATATGGGGGGTAATTGGGGAGATTGTCACACGTTTCTGATGTCCTCTCTTTCACATGCCAGCGATGCGATTCCCTAAGCTTCAGGGTAGTGTGGGGTCACTCGCTTTAAAGTGCACTTCCATCCCTCCTCCTCTTGTTCCCTTCAGCACCGTCCACAGCCCTCTGAATTCCCACACACACACGCATGTCGAAAGCAGACACAATGGAGGTGAGTCGACCTCTCCATCTACACAGCTACCAGACGCAGCCGGACAAATCAGACTAATAACCCAAACAGAGACCAACCCCCCTCTCCTCCTCCACGACTCGCTCGCGCCGCTCCAACCTCAACCTCGCCAACCTCCGCCTCTCCCCGCTCTCCCCGAAATTCACGGGGGAAATCCACACATCATCGACAGATGCACTCGCGGCCGACGACGCAGTAGCCGCACAAGCACACCGCGGCAGTGCGGTCCCGGCTTTCCGCCGGAGTCACTCGTCTTACATCCAGGGCCAATCGGCACCTACGACGCCGGGGATTCTGAGTCGCAGCTCGAGTCGGAGGCGTTTGGGCGGGGGCTTGAGTCGGAGGGGATCAGTGGGGGAGCGCGAGGGTGGGGAAGTAGGAGGAGGAGGGTATGAGTATGCTGGATTGGTAGTGACGGGGGACAGTGGGAGTTCCCGAGCGCCGGTTGGCAGCGGGCTGATTCCGAAAGCGAAGAGCGAGGCGGCGCTGGTGGTCGAGCGGAGTCATCACTTGGGCTCGACGAAGGGGGCGAAGAAGAGGGTGACTCCGGGTGCTCTTCGCGGCAGTCGGACTGGAGGTGCGAATACGCCGCGTTTCCTTACTGTGCGGAGCGCGGGGCAGGATGACTGGCTTACGCGCACGGGGGCTGCGGCTAGCGCGGTGCGGCAGGAGGGGAAAGGGCAGAGTTGGATGGCTTCGCGCGCGTCGTCTACTTCTTTGGTGGGGCTGGGGCAGGACACGACGGACGAGGAAGAGGAGGATGAGGATGAGGGGTACGAGGAGTTGGCTGCGCAGAGTGCCAACGGAGAATCGGGGGAGTGGAGTGCGCGGGCGAACCGATGGGGCAGTCGGTACGGGAGTCGGACGGGGAGTCGACGGACGTCGAGGCGGGGGAGCGTGACGTTGACGACGGGTTCGCGGACGCCTTTGGCTTCGGTGCAGTTGCACATGGGGGAGTACTTTGATCTACCCGGCGGAGGGTCGTCGTCTTTGAACATGTCGCCTGATTTCGTGGATGGGGACGAAGAGGATGAGGATGGAGATGGAGATGGGGAGAGTGAAGCGACGCTCAATCGACTCGCGCAGACGCGGTCGTTTGGGATGGGCGGGATTTTGGATCGCATTATGAATTTCGGTCTATTTGATGTGGAAGAGGGGTGGGAGGGGGAGGAGGGAGGAGGGAGGAGTGCCGGGGACGGGGAGACGGAGGCGCAGGCGATGGAACGAAGGGAGGCGGAGAGGAAGAGGCGAAGAGAGGAGAAGGAGAATCTGCTTAGGAGGGGTGGAGGGGTGGATGGACTGGACGACGAGGGCGGTGAAGGGAGGGGCGGCGGTGCTGCTGGAGGGGCGTGGGCGGATGCGGCGTGGCTGTTGAGTGTCGCGTCGAAGGCGATGTTCTGACGTGCAGACATGCAGCACATCGCATCGCATTACTCAATCGATTCATCAGGAAGTGCATTGCCTCGATTCTCTGCGGTCGCCTCACAAGGCAATGTCCGATCGTGGACACATCCACGCACATCCCATTACTCCATCCTTTCGTCAGGAATTGCCTCGATTTCTTGGAAGCTGAAAAATTCAATTTTCCATGCTTATTGCGCGAGCCAGTTGGGTGGGCATGCGTGCAGCGTAGCGGCTGTCGCGGCTGCAGGTCAGGATTCGTATACCCAAAACGTCGAAGAAACGTGGAGCCCTGGCGGGAAAGTTTGGTGGCCATGCTGCCCCCTCTTGTGGCGCGATTGGGCGGTGGACACGCAATCGAGACGGGGCCCAGCTCGCGGACGGACTGCATGGTGGTGAGATGTGAATGCGGTGTGGGTGAAGAAGATGGGACAGAGACAGAGTGAAGGGAGCGGGGAAGTTGCGTTGCTGCTTTTGCCGACGGCGTGCAGACGGGGAAGGCACGATGCAGCTCCAGCCCTACGAGCAACTGCCCGCTCTGACAAAGCAAAGCCTGGGGGACATCTGGACATTCCCCCCCGTGATGAAGGCAAACTTTTTGCCGGTAGTGGATGCCTTGGGGATCGTCGGGCGCTCCGCCAATCAATTGCGCCACTAAGCGACAGTGGCTGCTGGCCAGCGCCGAGTCGAGACCACTCACGATGAAGGTGAGGTAAGGAAGACGGCCACTGCACACCACGCGCGGAGCGCCATTTTTTTCCTGACCTCATCGGCTGACCTCTCTATTCTGCCGCTGCCTTCTTGTCTTGCTCATCCTTGTTGTTCATCACCATCTGCCAAGTGTTTGCCGAGAGGACTGCGACGGTCGACACAAGGCTACGCTTGCCTGCTTCCTCCCATCACACCTCACCGACCGCATGCTCTGTAGATGACACTACAAGAATGAGCCGCAAGAGAAGGAGAAGTGGGTAACAAGCACGCAAACCAGCACGCAACTACCCGCCTACCCTCGCATATGGAGCTCGGAGGCCGCAAATTGCTGCCACGTCTCCCCCCGACCCCCTCCGACCTCTCTCCCGTCCGACATGACCAGCCTCACCTAGAAGTCGACGAGCAACCATGGCTTTCACCCATGGAAGAGCAGCCGGGCCAGAAGCGCAAAAGACAGCGCTGCGACGACAATGACCTCCTCCAACCTGCCCCTCAGGCACTGCCTAGCGTCCGACATCTATTGACAGGCAGTCGACCGGCCACCCCCTCCCGACCCAACACCCCGAGCAACACTCCGCGCCTCGTGCGCACGAGCAAGAATGTCTACGTCCACGATGGCCCCTACCTCTTCCTCGCCCCGCATCCGCAACGCGACTTCCCCGTCAGCGTAGCAGAGGATACGCGGCCTTTGAGTTTCGCCGCCGTCGAGCCGGAGCTTATGCATGTCTTTCGTCGTGCTTGGTATCTCCGGCAATACATCCGGCTCAAGCAGATGCGCAGCGAGACCTGGCTCGATCACATCTTCTTCAACGACTGTTTCGGCGTGGAGAATACGCTGCACACCTGGATTGCTCGCTACGAGCCTGGCACGTTACAATACCCCGCTAGTCTCCTATACTTTCGTTGTCTCTGGCTGCTGTTCAATCGGTCCGTCCAAGCCTCCCACCCCTCCCCGGCGTATGCGCAGGTTGTCGACGATGGGTTGCATCACGCCAAGACCATCGAAAAGGCTCTGGGCGCCTCCGGCGACCGATCCATCTTGCTCCTGCCTCTCTTCCTTCTAGGCGTCTCCGCCTTTTACGTCGAACAGAGACGCGACGTCTGGGATGCTCTCGACCGCATCGATCCCTCGCCCAACAACGATGCTGTCAATCATGCCGCCAAGACACTCGAGCGACTCTGGACTATGATGGACGATGGCCGAGTCTCCTCCACCTGGGATTGGGAGCGCTACCAGGCCCACGAGTACACCGCGTCGGCACGAGACCGCTCGCTGATCGATCTCCTGCTCGATCCACTTGCCGCCGCTCCCGTGGCACAGCCCACTCATCTCCGCTCTCCAGAAACGCACGCTTTCGACCATTCACGCTTCCGCGCCGTCCAGCCTCCCGCCGCCCCTTATCCACAAGCTGCCCTGCAATCCGTGCTCCCTGTCGACTCCTCCCGACTCAGGCAAGATGTCAACATGTACACTCCGCCGCCGAATTCCCGCTCCCCACACCGCAACCACTCGGTGACTTCTCTTGAGCTTCCTGACGCGCCCCGAATGGATATCATTCAAGAACTCGCGACATCCCGGCAGCACGCAAGCACTCCTCGGCCTGCGCAACCCACCACGCGCACTTCCTCGCCTCCCTTGCAGCGCACATCGTCGCCCCATCAGCCTCAACCCGTCAACGGCACCGACGCCCTCCACCAGCGCAAACAACCCAAATCCAAGTCTTCTGTACCCCCCTGTCCCACCTGCGGAAAAGAGCTCAAAAACCCCTCCGACGCCCAGTATGTCCTTCCCACGCCCTTCACGTCTCTCCATGCGCTCCGCTAACATGACTACCCCAGAAAACACCAACTCCAGCACTCCAAGCCCTTCCGCTGCCGCGAACCCGGCTGCACGCGCGCCCAAGGCTTCGCCACGGAAAACGACCTGCAACGCCACCGCAAATCCGTGCACGGCGCCTCGCCGCGCATCGGCAACAAAATCGGGTACGTGTGTGCTGCTTGTCCGGATCCCGGCGACGGCACGTCGCGCAAGTGGTGGCCGCGCTTGGACAACTTCAAGGCGCATATTCGTCGCAAGCACGTCGATCGCGAGGAGGAGGGGTTGATTCTCGCTTCGGCGAGTGCGGAGAAGCCCGGGGATGGAGTAGGGTTGCAGCAGCATGGGGGGTCTGCGGTGAGGTTCGAGGGGGATGGTACGCAGCGCCAAGAAGGAGACGATGAGGAGCTGGGCCGCGCTTCTTCTTCCTCTTCGTCGCAGCGTGTGGCGTATGATTATGATGACGAGGAGGAGGATGTTTTGCTGCACCAGACTCGTCCGGCGGAGCGCGAGGCTGAGATTGCGCAGAGCGCTTCTTCTGATGGGGGAGGTGCTGAGCTGGACGCTCCTGCTTCTGCGGACCCGGCGGCTGCGGATGGTGCTGAGGGGTCTGTGGAGGGGAAGGAGTAGGGAGAGACGGCGAGATCGACTACTTTTCGGTATTCTTGATGCATGAGGGCTTGGACGCGATGGTCTGTGATGGGGCGTGAACTTGGCGATATTGTGGCTGATTTGAGCTACGTAGAAGTTCATTCAACATCTGCTTGAAGCAGCATTCTTTCAAGTCCCCTTTGAGGGTTTGTTGCTTTATCGATTCAGTGGATATGTCCTGTTGCTACACCGCTGGTACTGGCGAGGATGGGGATCCTGGCTTCGCTCCACGCACTTGCGGGCGTTTTCCTCGACGCCGACATCCGTATACCGCAGGTCCTGGCGAAATGGAGGACGCCGGCTTCTCTATGCCCTACGTCAACGTCTCGAAGCAAAGCGCAGGTCAGAGAATGATGTTGTCAGTGCTACAATGCACAAAAGCTACGGACTCGTGCTGAAAGCCTCCTTTCTATAGCCTAGCCACCCACCCCAAGAGCTACTCAGTTCCCGTGCTGTCAACTCCGCCAATGCTCCATCTACCCTTCTTGGGCGTGCAGTGATAGCCGTACTCCAACAACTGCCACAACAAACCGTCTACAAAGATATATCGGACGAGTTCGTCCGAGGGTTCCCTCACGATGCAGGAACGAGACCAATCTCCTTCTGCCCGACTCTCACCTTTGTCGACAAGGTTGACCTCATTCGCCGAGCCCGAAATGGCCAGCCGGCGCAGATTGTGCAAAATATAGCGTACAACGACACGCTCGCAGAAGGATGCAAGCTAGAGTTGCTGAAGCGTTTCAATCTCTACCTGCTCAGTCCCGCTCGACGGCGAAGCATGGTGTCCTAGAGCCACCTCCTCGGCCTTAACAGCATCGTTAGACGCCCACGCACAGCTATCGAGTACCTTAATCTCTGCCTACTCAGTCTCGCTCAATACCTGTGCATATTCATAGAATGCCTCCTTCTCTGCCCACTCAGTCCTGCCTGACGGCGAAGCACGATGCTTCGGAGCCACCTTCTCGGCCTTGACAGCAACAACAGACGCATCTCCATAGCTGGCTCGCGCCGTCCCTACAGCAGCGTCAGACGGATCTGCACGGTCATGAAGCCAGCTCCTGCCGATTACTGGGCCGGCCGGCCAGTTCATTGACTGAGCATTTCCCGAATATGTCGACACCTCGCAAGAATTACAGTCAGAACAGAGGAGATGAGGACAGACCTCAGTGTCAATCCCCACGTCACGTGAATATTATTCCCGCTCCAGTAACCACCTTCCTCTTTCAGACTCTCCCAGCACGTGGAACAGATCGCAGCAACCATGGTCGTCACCACCGCCACAACCTACTTTTCGTAAACTCTTCCCCATTATTACCCCCGAGCGTGCGCGGGAAACCCCCCCGATACAGCGCCGCCGGGCCGGCGCTCGTATAAAAAAAGACACACACCAGCAGGTCGAGGAGTGGAAACGCGCCTAAAGTTCCTCTGACCAGTGTTGCGGGTGGGTGTAGGTTTTGCGGCTTTGCTCGCGTTGTTCGGGCGAGGACCACGCTGCACGACCCAAACAATGTGGCGGATGGAGCGATGAGGCTGAGTTGAGTGGTGGAAGGGCTAGAACGTGCGATGTCGAGATGGAGGGTTTTTTCCCGAGGACGCAGTATCGGGATGGCCGTCGAGTGTCCTCTAGATTTTAATTTCTCCTCTCGTCGGTGTGTATTCTGCCGCCCGCTCGGCAAGTTTTGCACTTGACGTTTTGCTGCGGTTGACGAGGTGGCGCACTGTTCGGGAAGGCTAGGCCACTCGCCACGTGTCGACTAGGATGTTAAGAAACGTCTAGACCGGGGCCTGCGTGCAGCCACAGTGGAGGCTTGGCGTGCCGGATGGATTTTTGAGTCGCGCCCCATGTTTCGGTGGGTTTTAGGAGGATAGCCACGGTGGTATACGATGGTTACATGTCTCGATGAGAGTCAGGCAGTAACGAGCAATGTTCTTGGCGACTCGCGGAGGGGAGATGAGCTGGTTGGCGACATATGTCGGTACTGGTGGGAGTCAAGGCAGGAACGGCAAGCATGGCTGACACTTCTCGTCAGCTCTCTTTCACGCGCCAAGGCCTGCCGAGAGACTTGGCTTGCCTGAACTCCTTCATGCTGTCCTGAGCCGCAACCAGCCTGGTCGTTGTGAATACGAGGAGACGTGGCTTGACTCATGTCTTGCAGCGGACGGGTGCATATGCCGGGCAAGTAAAGCAGAGTCCGTGACACGTAGGCAGAGCTCCGAAAATCGGAGACATGGTTTGTAGGCAGCAGTGCAGGTGGAACGCGCGGATTACTCAACAGCGAAAGCAAGCAGGAAGGTCAACCTTGCCCGTCGGATTTTGCGGGAAACCCCCCGGCACCGCCACGCCGTGCACACGCAGCAACGAGGAACGAGTCATTCCAGGCCAGGATCCCTTGCTTCGTTACGTAGGCGTTCGCCGGCGACTGATGCTTGACTGATGAAAGCGCGGCGGGCGGTTTGCGCAAAAAAGCAGCCTTACCTAACCCCGCTTGGCACTCGACGGCCGGAGATGATGCTGGAAAGGAACAGCGGTGTGTCCTCGTTGGATTCCTCCCAATTCCTCGCCTTGCGCATCTTCATTTCCCCCGGTCAAAACAGGGAGAGACATGGATGATGGAGTAAGAGGGGCAAGGGAATGTCATCATGTCGGGAATGCGGGCGAAGCGAGCAGTGTCTGGTGCGACACCGCCCGGGCGCGGCAGAGGCTCGCCTGATTCGCTTAAGCCACGCTGCGCCATGCTTTGGGCAAACACGTGGAAGGACTCCACCCAAATCCTGCGCGAGGCCGGGGGCTGGCATCGAACGCATGCAGCGTGGATGGACAGAAGTCCTGGCCAGATGCGATCGGGCGGGTGATGATGATCGATGGACGGGCGACGGGCATGCCCACCGGCTTGGGACCGATCGACGGCCATGCTGCTTGCATGGGGTATTTGCGCATCACCAATTGAGCATTACCTCAGATCTTGCTTGTCTCGTAAGTTGATGCAGGGAAGCATGTGACGCCGTGTTGCGCATCGTCGCCACACCAAAGGACCCATCCATCCACAGAGTGCCGGTGCAGGCCGGCGGAGGATTGCAAGGATGACACAGGCACGACTTCGGCGAGTTGGGAATCGCGGGCATGCGCACCAGCACGTGGATCTTGCTGGTGGGCGCGTGTGTGGTGGTACAGGCGGGAGCCATGGTTGTGCAAACACCGCTGCCCTCTCGCCATGGTAGCACAGCGTGCTGCGCAAGGCCAGACAGACGGCGACGCCATCCTTGCCTCTCACTCTCAGCGCATGCCCCAAAGAGGAAGGCCGGAAGGATTTCCCGCTCGGTGTCAACGAAACACTCGGCGGCAAAAGTGCTGGCATCAGAGATCGCGCACAAGTGGGGGCGCCAGGCTCCACTTCACCAACTTGGGCAGAGCGCCGAAAAATAGATCGTCACGCTCCTCGTGGCCCAGCTCGACGCCCTCGCACCGCTGGAAGCGAAGAGAGTTCCTCGATGCTAATGCCCGCTTCGGGAATTATCTCCTTCAAGCCTTCTCTCCAAACCCTCGCGGTCCAGCGGTACGCAGGCGTGGCTTGCGTTCCCAATCGCACCTGCCCAAACCGTCATTCTCCATCCCTCCCTCCGGCTCGCTGGTAAATCCCGGGATGGCTGCCACGCGCGATATGCATTAGTCCCCTGCAAGCCCCATCGAATGCTGGGCTAGCATACCCGGCGGCCCACTTGTCGTTCCCAATCCTGCCTAACCTAACTTCTCATTTACTGTCATCACCTCCGCCGTCGCCGCCGCCGCTGCTGACCTTCTCACTGCCGCCCACCATCACCATCCCAGTCGCCTGTTGCATTCCTCTCCTCACGCCCACAACACCCCTCTCCTCCGTCAACGATCGACCACAACGCCGACACATGCTCGACACGCAGATGACATAACATCCCGTTAAGACTCCACATTCACCGTGCTCGTTCCGTCAAACGATCACCACCTCCCGTCGCCCGACCGTCCGCGAGGCATTCGCTTCGTCCACCGACAAAGTGGATCCTCACACCTCCTCCGCCTCGTCCGCGCCAGGCGTCAAGCTGCGCACCCTCTCTCGCCTATCATCCTTCACCCGTCCACGACCCAGACCGAACGTCCGCCAGCAGCAGCCGGGCTCGCCGTCTCTCCCCACTTCGCCGGCGTCACTGGGCGAGACATACCCGGGAGCAGTACTGCAGCCTGTCTCGCCTTCCGACGCTGGCAGCCGCAAACGCTCCGAATCCTCCTCTCGCTCCAGCCATAGCTCCAAGACGACGCTGTCGGACGACATCTCCTCCACCGACTCCAAAGACGCGGACGAGCAACAGCAGCCGTCGTTCCTCCTCGCCCCCGCTCGCATTCCTACCCATCTTTCTTCAACGCGCAGGGATAGTGAACAACATATTCGATCACCGCCGTCCTCGGGTTGCACCATGCATCAGACGTCGTCGAAGCTGCTCCGCATGACGGGCGATGACCGGCCATACACAAGAGTGCGTACCAACATGACGCTTGAAGTGAGAGTGAGTTGTCCAGCTAACACGCAATCAATTGTATAGGATTTCAAAGATCTCTTCGCTACCCTCATGGTCAGCCTACCGCTCAGCCCGCATCGCGTTCGCTTCACCAAGATCGAGCATACCTTCACCACCGAAGAGGCATTGACCAACCTTGGCTCGCTCAAATTCTCCCAGTCGAACCGCATGCCTGATCCCAAAGACCCATCCCGGATAGTGACGACGACCACCACCACCACTTTCTCCATGGCCAAGGAAATGGCACGGTCCATCTGCCAACGCTTCCTCGACGCCCGCTTGGTAGAATCCGTAGAGGGCAAGATCGACTTCACGTCTAGGAGCTCCGTCTGGCAACTCACTCCCAAAGGCATGCACGTTCTGGCTCGATTCTGTCAACGAAACGGCATCTACCAACGTCACGTCAACGATGTCCTCGACTCGCCCCGCAACATGATGCAATTGGTCATCCTGGAACGCGAGCCGCAAAGCGACAAGATTAACGACGACCCCGCGACCGTCAATGTCATTTTCCGGCGATTCGTAGGCGACACCGGCCCGAACTTGCGAACTAACTCTTCCGTCTCCGAGCACGATTCGATCAACGAATACGCCACGGGATTAGTAGGCGTGCGCATGCAACGATTACGGCGGCAGGAAGGAGTGATTCCCTACGCATTCACCGGCAAGGCAGGCTTCGACTGGTTGATGGACTGTTGCTCATTGGTCGACAAGCGGGAGGTGTTTGAGCTGGCGAACTTGTTCCTGACATACAGCCTTGTCGAGATGATCGGCGACGAGAAGCACCCGGCGTCGGCAAACGCAAAGTACTCGGCGTCCAAGAACGTCTTGTACTCAGTGACACCCAAAGGCATGCGTGTGGCCGGCTGGATCACCAGTCCCAATGGCTCGGTCAACGGCGAGGCGACGACTCAGCAGCGCGCCCCTAACGGCGTGACGCGCGACTCCAACACCAGCCGCATGACCGTCATCATCCGCGACCCGGCGCTGCGCCTGCTCTTCCGCGAGTACCTGCGCGAAACGCACTGCGAAGAGAATCTCGCCTTTTACGTGGAGGTGAAGGCGTTCCTGTCGGACTACGAGCACGCCAAGAGCAACGCCACGCCTCCGCAGCTCGATGTGATCCGCGAGACGCTGGCTTCCGCTTACAGCCTCTACAACGCCTTCTTGGCCCCGGGTTCGCCGTGCGAACTCAACATCGACCACAACCTTCGCAATGCCTTGGCTGCGCGCATGACGCGGGCGATTGGTGATGATGAGCAGATGATTCAGAGTTTGGACGAGGTGGCGACGCTCTTCGATCAGGCGCAGAGCAGTGTGTTCAAGCTGATGGCTAGTGTGAGTTCATCTGCCCTTCCCCTTTTATTAATGCTGACTACTGACGGTGAACACAGGACTCGGTACCCAAGTTCTCCCGAGAGCCCAAGTACGCCGCCATTCTGCGCGAACGCAATCTGGAACACGCACTCGCCGCTGGCAGCAGCAGCAGCAGCTCCGCTTGATTGTGCGGAATTCATGAAACGGCAATTCGCGACTTAATCAATAACAATAACTCGACAACTACCCCTGTGCTTGCGAGGCTTCCCGACGACAAGGGCGCTTCGCGGTCTGGGCTGATTACACGGCTCTCCTACTACGATCCAGCACGGCGATGCTAGCTGAGCTGGCTTGTTGGAGGAGAGCAACGGGCGGACAATCCATCCGTCCACTTTTTTTTGTTTTCACGAAACGTACACTACGCATCAGGGGCATCAAATCACGGCGCGTTGTTTTTGCATGCGTTTCGTTACCTCATCGGATCCAAGCATCGGAGCTTTGCCTTCTTTTGCTTTCTTGCTTTTCTGTCAACCAGCAGGGATACCCAGCACTACTTTTTACTACTACTACGGCCAGAGAAACGAAGATGGGGCGGCGGGGGCGTGGGATTTGTTTGCACGCACGCACGTGTGGACCAGGGGAGGCAAAGGGAAAACCACCATTGTGTCCGAGCGGATCGAGAGGCATCCGAGGATCCGGAGATGCAGGGAGGGAGGGTGGAGAGATGAGGCAAAGACCGTTTACTTGCGATTGTGTGATGATGACGAGAGGGGAGAAGCAAGCGTTGCTTGCGTCAGTCTGTCGGCTTGTGCTCGTTAGACCGCTTGCACGCACGCACGCACACACGCACGTCTAGTATCCATAATCCCACCATCCCCTCCAAACTACCTCCCTTCCTAGGCAAGGCGTGCTCTCCTCGGCTCCATCGCGGACCTCGACCGAGTGTCCTTCATCCCAAAGTGCCGGGCCCACCCCGCCCCAACCTGGGCCCTGTTCGCCTCATGCCTCCCTCCGGTTTTACGCCGGCGATGTCTTTCTCCAGCGTCGATTGCCGCGCTTTGCTGAATTAGGAAGGTCGGAAGAGACTCGGCGAAGGGGTGCGTGTGGATCGTCACGCGCGCAAGCGCGCCTTTCGGGGATGGGAGGTGGGGGGCCCGCCTCTCCCAACGAGGGCGCGCTAGGTGAGGTGGAATTGCCGGTGGAGAGAGAGAAGCGCGGCGGCTGTTGCGTTCGGAGTTGGGAGTTTTGGGGGAGTGGGAGGTTTGGTGTGCCGTAAAGCTTGGCGAGGATGGTGGTGACGGATTATGTAAGGTGTGATGGCTCGAGCGCTCTATTTACTACTGCCTGATTGGGACTAGGCTTGAGTTTTAATTGAGTGCAACGAGAGCGCGACTTCACGCTCTCATCTCGTGTTGGCTTAACTCTCCGAAGACTACTTTCACTGGAGCTACGTATGTGTGTGGATGTTGTTGGGACCTAGGAAGCTTCTTGGGTGACTTGTGTTGGTTCTTTCACGATGGGAGGCCCTCCGAATGTATGTCGTTCATGGAAGACAATCTCGGATGGATGCTGTGCTAATCATAACGTCTCCAGTCCCAAGCTGTGTCTCTCCCCACCAACCTCCCCTTCCGCCTCGTCTCCAAAACCATAGGATCTGGTGCATATGCATCGTAAGTCCAGCGTCCAGCCTCGCCGTCCCATAACGACTTCCTAACCCCGCCAAAGCATCAAAAAAGCCACCCCCTTCCACGCCCCCTCCCCCGTCATCGCCGTCAAATTCATCAACAAAGACCACGCCTTCCGCACCGGCCACCTGCGCCCCAAACAAATCCAGCTCGAAATCACCCACCACGCCTCCGTCTGCCCGCACGACAACATCATCCGCTTCCTCTCCTGGGGCGAAGACGCAGCCTGGATCTGGCTGTCCCTCGAACTCGCCGATGGAGGCGACTTGTTCGACAAGATTGAAGCCGACGAAGGCGTGGGAGAGGACGTGGCGCACTTTTACTTTGCGCAGCTGAGCAGTGCTATTTCTTGGTGTCATGGGAAAGGGGTGGCGCATCGCGATGTCAAGCCGGAGAATATGCTGCTGAGTGCTAGTGGGGATCTCAAGCTTGCGGACTTTGGACTCGCGACGCGGTTTCTTCTCCCGCGTACGGGAGAGCGCAAGAGCTGTGGAATGGTGTGTGGGAGTCCGCCGTACATTGCACCTGAGATCCTGGCGGTGGGAAACGCGAATTGCAAGCGCAAGAAAGATGAGGAGAAGTCGGGGTACGACCCGCAGGTTTCCGACGTATGGTCTTGCGCTATTGTGCTCTTTGTGCTGCTGGCCGGCAACACGCCTTGGGACTCGCCGGTGGCGGAGGAGAGTTACGAGTACTACGATTATGTGCGCACGCATGGGCGTCCGACGGACGAGCTGTGGGCGAAGATTCCCGCCGAGGCGATGAGTCTGGTGCGAGGGATGTTGAAGGTGGAGCCGCGCGAGCGCTTCACGATGCAGGACGTGCGGAAGCACCTGTGGTTTACACGCGCGAATCCGCATCTCAATGCAAAGGGCAAAGTCGCAAATCCCGTCAGTCTGGCGACACAAATGCTCGAGAGTCTACGCATCGACTTCTCCGCCGAAATCCCAGTCTCCCAACCCAGCGGCGAAGCAATGGACGTCGACTCGCAGCTGCATCACCACCAACTCGCCTCCACGCAACCCGAAAGCCCCCTCGCCGAACTCCCCGGCTTCGACTGGGAAGCCACCCGGCCCTCCCTAGCCCGCACAACCCTCCTCTCCGCCTCCCAACCCATCCACACAACCTCAATCACCATAACAACACACCTCTCCTCCCTCCTCGACACCCTCTCCCAAGACCCCAGCATGTCGCAATTCCACCCCACCCCCTCTGTCCCTCTAACCCTAACCCAACAAGCCCGCCAATTCACCGACATCGTCCCCTCGCACTCCCTCACCCGCTTCCTCTCCCTGCTACCCCCCTCGCAGCTCCTCCCCATGCTCACAGCCTCGCTGCACAGACTCAACGTCCCCGTTGCGGAGCCCGCTTCTCTCGCTGCCATCGAGGGCACCGGGAGCGGTAGTGTGCGGCTGAGGGTGAAGACGCGCGACGCGCGGAAGCAGGAGTTGCAGGGGGAGATTGTGGTGGAGCGGTTGGGGGGCGAGGTGTTGGAGGTGCGGTTTTTGAAGGCCAAGGGCGATCCCGTTGGGTGGAGGCGGTTGTTTAAGCAGATGGCGGTGCTTTGTAAGGAGGGGATTGTGAAGCCTTCGGCGGGGTGAGGGTGGACTGAGATGGAATTGGATTGATGTTTTTCGCATAGCTGGGGCGTTTTGGGCAATGGATAAAGCAGGGGAACGGGAGATGTACATGATGTATCGATTTCGGGTTTTTGCATTGGTCACAGCTTGCATCCGTCTCTATCTATCATCCCTCCTTTCTTCCAGTAATTAAACTACCTCACCCTCATCCGTTTTGGCCCCCAAGAGACAAGCACCAACTCCTCGCGCAAACAATAAAGGGCTGCCCGACACACGTACCATGTACACCAATCGCTCCTCTTTTCCCGCCAAACCTGCGAATGACAAGGTTGCGAAACAGCAGAGAAAACAAGAAGCGCGAGCGGTGAGGTGTGGATCCATTGCATTCCGTTCAGCTGCCCTGCACTCAAATCGACCCCACTCACCATCACATTAATACTGCTCCCTTTTCATTTTCCCCCTCCACCCTCCACCCTCTTCCCTCGTTCTCTCCTCTTCTATCTCTGGTACAAGGAATAAGCGGTTCGCGTTCGTTGCACGTTCCGGCTGTTGGTGATGCCAGTGGTATGGCTCGAGAGCGAAGTCCAAACGCCCCGCCCGTCAAATGCGACCCACGCGAATATGGCCTTGCGAGTCCCAGTCCAGAGAATCATCTGCTCCACAGTAGCCGGGTGACGTCTCGCCACTTGAGGGGCCTTCCTCACACCCACCCCAGAAGTAAGCGGCGGCGAATCCGCAAGGAAACTCACCGCCTCGCATCCGTACCCGCCAGCTCGAAAATGGGCGTCGCACTCGCAGCGACAACCGACAGCCGCTGCGACGACGAAGTAGCAGCTTGCGGCGCAGAGCGGCGGGAAGGAGAAGCAGAAGCAGAGGAAGAAGAACCGAAGAAACAGCGGTGCTTGCGACCCTATCCACAGCACAGCACTTTCAGCAGCTTCTGCATCGCGCCGCCTCGCTCCTCATCTGCGCCGTTATGCTGCTGCTGTGCGTTGTTCGTCGCTTGCTGGCCTGCTGGGCGCTGGGTGTTGGGCGCTGCGATGCCGGATGGCTGGCGCGAGTTGACGGCTGCGGTGCTCATGCGTCCCGGCAGATTGGGGGTGCTATTCGCAAAGTGCGGCGTGGTGGACGCTTGGTCGCCTCCTTGGCCGGCGGCATCGAGGATCTGGCCATTGCTGCCGCGCTTCGCCAGGTCGCTGTTGGGGTTGCGGCGCACTTGCGGTTTGCTGCCGTTTTGCCCTTGTGGTGTCCGCGCTGCGCCGGGTTTGGGGAGTTCGGCGTTGAGGCGGTCCTGAGAGACTTGTGCGCGGGATGCGCGCTGGCCGCCCGGGGGCGCGACGCCGACGACTGCGGCGCGCGATGGATCGGCTCCATCGCCGCGGCCGGCGTGAGACTGGGATGCTCGCGATGGCATGTCCCAGCCCTTGCCGTTGTTCAACTTCATCCAGTCGTACTCGCCGTCTTCCACTTCTCCGGTGCTGGCCAGGGCCTTGGTGAAGAGGTCGCGGAGGTAGTCGTAGTCTGGCGTGTCCTCGAAGCCGAGATTTCGCACGTAGGAGAGGTATTTGTTAAACTCCTCGGGGAAGGTCTCGCACAAGTCCTTGATGGCGGTCGTCTGCTTCTTCTCGCCAATCTTCTCGTACTTTTGCTTGTTCGTCGCAGCTTTGAGGCCTTGCCAGGGAAGGCCGCCGCGTAGAAAGTACATGAACACGTGACCCAATGCTTCCAAATCATCACGGCGGGATTGCTCTCGTCCGAGATGGGTGTTGATGCTCATGTATCTTGCAGTGCCTGATAGAGACTTGCGCTCTCGGTAGGGGATATGTTGCTTGGTCTTGGGGTCTCGGTACTGTTTGGCCATGCCAAAGTCGACAACGTGAATGACATTCTGACCTTTGGTGCCCTGGCGTCCAATGAGGAAGTTGTCGGGCTTGATGTCGCGATAGATGAGGTTCTTCTCGTGAATGGTCTGCACGCGAGACAGCATCTGCTTGGCGACCATAACAACCGTCTTGATGGAGAAGCGTCGGGAGCAGAGATCAAACAGATCTTCCAAGCTGGGGCCGAGGAGGTCAATGACGAGGATGTTGTGCAGGCCTTCTTGGCCAAAGTAGTATACATTCGGGATGCCGGCTAGGCATGCGTCAGCACAGACTTTCTGTGTGTGTTTGATGGGCAATACTCACGACATCCCACCAGAATCTTGTAGGTGCGGTACTCGTCGCGCAGCTGGGGAGCATCGCTCTTACGCGGCTCAAACTTGATGGCGACCTGGGTGTTGTTGAGCAGGTTCGTGCCCTCGAAGATGACGCCGAAGCTGCCCTCGCCAATCTTCTTGCCGACGCGGTAGTGCACGCCGACGACGTTGCTGCTGGACGACGCCATGTTGCTGGTGTTAGTGGTGGTGGTGCCGCCGCCGCCGGGCTGAGTCTGACTCTGCCCGGGCTCCTTGGAGTTGAATACGACCGCCGTGGTGGTGGTGGAGGAGGAGACGAGGAGGAGGCCAAGGCGGAGCGGAGCGGCGCGGGGAGGAGGCGGATGGGGGGGACGCGGCGGGCTAGCGTGCGATGCACGACGCGGCGAGGACGGGCAGGGACATATACGGCGGAGAGCACGCCCGTCGGGGAGGGTGGAATGCGGTGCGGTGCGGTGCGCAGAGCAGAGCAGTGCCTGAGGGGGGATTTGAAGAAACGAATGGGTCAGGCAACAGAAAGGGCGGAGAAGCGGCCGATCTGCGGGCGGGTGGCCCGAGCTGCGAAAAAAGGCTAAAAATCGGGCAGGCGCAGGCAGATTTGGCAGGAACGAGTGAGTAACAAGGTAAAGCCTCGCGCAACCGATGGACGGAGGAGAATGTCGTGATTGCGATCTATTATATGTTGTGCCACCGTGGCAATGGACCGTCCAGCATGCATTGTGCATGCCCGTACAATTCCAGTTCCCATTTCTCTCACGGCACAGGCTGAGCTGCCTTTGCCTCATCTCCTCCTCCGCCAGTCTAGAACTTAAAGCCAACGCCCGCTACTGCAGTGCCGGCCGATTCCAAAGCAGGCGATCGGAGTTGCATTCGAGCTGCTATTCTCACACCGCCGAACGGGAGCCTTGAGCTCCGTGTGCTTTCTACATCGCTCTCCATGCTTCCACATCGCATTAATAGTCACTTATTGGATTCAATTGGTAGTCTTGGAATGGAATCAACTGGTCGTCTCTAGCCAGTCAAGACAGTCTCTCATCAGGTCAAACAAAATCAAACACATCTCCCTTGCCAGCAATCATCTTCTTCACCCTTCCACTCCCCACAACACGTTCCAGCTTCAACGCATCCCACCGCGAAAACACCACTCGCGATCCCGTCTCCTCCACCCCCACCCTACCCTCCTCCACACTCGTCCCCAAAAACCCTCCCACCACTTCCTCGTAGAAGCGCGCATCATCCGGAACTCCGTACATCACCACTCGCTTCACGCCCCTCACCTTCAAACGATAGAAGTGGTGCGCTCGTTGCGTGTAGACCAGAATGCTGTGTCGGCCGCTGAGGAAGTGAGAGCGAGCACGCCGCTGCGATGATACGTCGGAGTAGTCGTGAATCGCGCCAAAGGAGAGATTGGCGGTGAGTGTGCTGGTGGCGAAGAAGTTGCGCAGACGCAGGAAGTCGTAGTACGAAGGGATGAAGATCAGTATCCCCTTCGCTCCATCCGCTGGTTTGGGCAGTCGCAGGAGCGTAGGCAAGACGGTGGTGGTGAAAAACTGGAACCGGGCGTCGGGGTCTGTCGCAGCCGCGGAGGCGTCGAAGCGAGAAAAGGTTTGCTTGATGGAGAGGCCGCCGGTCGTTGCTATCGCTCCTTCTGTATAAGAAGGGACCAGCTTGGCTTTTCCGGCGACGTTCAACATATTGCCATTGAACAATCTGTTCATCTCGGGTGTGATGTATGCGCTAAAGACGAGCGTTTGCCGTAGGTGCTTCGCGTGCCCATCGAGACACCAAGATCGCACCCGGCTGAAATCGCAGCCGTGCGCTTCTTGAAGCGGACCGTTGATATGGCGGAAGACGGACTCGACATTCTCCCAATTTTGCATCTGCATCGCATCTGCTTGATCCACGACCACCACCTCGATGGACGACAGAAAGTCGGCATCCCGCTTCTTGACGTCTTCATTCTCGAGGATGCGGCGCAGACCGAGAGGCGAGGCCAGGATGATATCGGAGCCGTAGAAGGGGGAATAGAATTTGATCGTTTTGCGGGTGAACTTCAAGGCCGTCATGAAGTTGTTATCATTGTTACCTTCAAAAAGCTCACGGAAGTCTTCAGGCATGTTTTCCCGGTCCTCAATTTCCGATGCAAAGGCCGTTTCAAATCGCAGCTTGTTTTCTTGCTGTTCCGGCTTGAAAAGGTCCACGATGCTTTCGGCGTATTTGAAGCACATCTGTCGCGTTTCCAGCAAGATGAGTACTTTGGGCCGCGTGAAGCCTTGGTCGCGAAGATCTAGCTCTTGCTGTTGATCGTTATGATTCATCCGGGCGTTGTTCTTCAATATCTTATCACGGCCTTTGAGGACGTGATTCAACACATGCAAGCACGCCAGCTTCCTAAGCCTCGTTGCATTCTGGGGCGTTCGATTTCCCAGCATGACATCCATGTAGTTGAACATGTATGGGGCGACTGCTTGTTGCAAGAGATCAAGCTGGCCCAAGCCTGCTTGTGCGGCTGGGATCAGGCGCTGCTTCAATGGAAGGGCATTTGTTGTAAGCAGATTTGCCTTTCGAATGGCCGTGCTTTGGTGGCTTTCCGGCACCATGATCGTCAAATTGCCCACGCCCGGGTATGCTTGCTTGTCTGGCTTCCACGTTTGAGCTTGGACATCTTTCAGACGTCTAGACAGCTCGTTGTCGTCCGGATGCGCAAAATGGACCTGGAAGGGGTCGGCGGTATCCTCGTCATCGTCGGCATCGACCACGTCTTCAGCAACCAGTGGCTCTTCTGGTGCTTCATCAGACTCTTCGTTCAAATCCGCTTCAGCATCCTGCTCTAAGTCGCTGTGTGCGCTCAAAGCCTCCTCGTCCTCCTCCTCCGCCTCCACTTGTATCTTCCTCCTCTTGCGACTCCTGCCTTCATGCTCTGTCGGTTGGTGGAAACCCTGCAACAACGTGTTATATGCTCGAGCCGTTGGCACATCATCCTGACTTTCATCATCGTTGGAAAGTTCCTCTTCAATCCGCGTGGTATCCTCGCCTTCTTGCCCGTCAGACTGGTCACCCTCACTGTCTGAGGGCTCAACATCCTGCACTCGCTGGCTGTCAAACTTGCGGTAACCTGCTCTTGTCCGGATGCCGCTCCTCGCAAGCTTGCCTCCTCTTGCGCCGCCTCGTTGGCCGCCTCTTTGACCGCCTCTCTGACCTCCTCGACTTCCTCGACCTCCTCGGCCTCCTCGGCCTCCTCTAAATGGAGCCATGGCGCATATGTTGATCGCACGGAAGTCCGAACAAAAAAGTTACGAATGGATGATGTCCTTATCGATAAGAAATCTGGTGTCCACTAATTTTCGCGCTGCAAATTGAAATCTTGGCAGAACATCCATCGCCATCAAGCGGCTTGAAATTCAACCACACCTCCTACTCCCACCTTTCGCACCTCCACCCCTCTCCAAACGCCACCGCAATCATGGCGAACAACTACCTCCACCTCGCCCGCCCCCTCGCGCCCGCCACCGTCTCTTCCCAATCCCTCTCCACCGCGCCCGTAGCCGTCACCATCCAACCCCAAGCCCTGTTCAGCATCCTCGACCACGCCTCGCGCCGCCCCGCAGACCAAGACCGCGTAATCGGCACCCTCCTCGGCGTGCGCAGCGAAGATGGCACCGAAGTGGAAATCCGCAACTGCTACGCCGTCCCGCACACCGAGACGACGGAGCAGGTCGAGGTCGACATGGACTACCAGAAGCAGATGTTGGCGCTGCACCTGCGCTCCGCGCCGAAAGAGGTGCTCGTCGGGTGGTATGCGACGAGCAGGGAGCTGAATACCTTTAGCGCGCTCATTCAGAACTTTTATGGGCAGCAGGGCGAGGGCACGTGGCCGTTTCCTGCTGTGCATCTCACCGCGAGCACCACCGCGGGCCAGGATGTGCAGGTGGACACGTACATCAGCGCGCCGATTGGTGTGACGGCTGAGCGGGCGGCGGACAGCTGTGTCTTCATTCCTGTGCCGCATGAGATCAAGTATGGCGACGCGGAGAAGAGCGGGCTGGAGTTGATTGCAGGCGCGAGAGATCGGGAAGACCGATCGCAACTGATTCCATCGGATGTCGAGACGCTGGAGCGCGCTGTCGAGTCAGTGTTGGAAATGCTGGAGCGGGTGTCAAACTACGTGTCGAATGTGTTGGACGAGGAGGCCGAGCCGTCTTCCGCGCTCGGGCAGTATCTGATGAACACACTGAGTCTGGCGCCCAAGGTGCAGCCCGAGGAGATTGAGAAGGACTTCAACAATCACATCCAGGACGTCTTGCTGGTGTCGTATCTGGCCAACACCATTCGCACGCAAATCGATCTTTCGAATCGTCTGGCTACCGCGACATTGACGATGGGCGGTGGAGAGGGAACATCGAACACGACTGGTGGGGAGCAGAAGCCGCGGAGAGATGGGCAGCAGCAGCAAAGGTCAGGCGGGCAAAGATCATGAGAGATTACGGAAGCGGGATGGGAGTTTTGGGCGTTCGTGGTAGCATTGTTGAATGGCTACTATGCGATGGAGTAGCCATGCGAGCGGAGCATAGCCAATGACATGCCGTCAGAGAACGTATTGACCGCCCACAAAACTCGGCACAAGACTCTTTGCAGGAAAGACTCGATGCAGCTCAAACTTGCTCCGCCAACCCGTGCAATGTCCCGGGAGTAGCACCGAGATGCCTAGGGCTTTCAAGTCCTGCGCCGTGTCCTCGATCTGCTTGTCCTCCGCATCCGCCAAGTGGAAGCCGCCCATCACTGCGTAGAGCGGCGTGCCCTTGCCCAGATCAATAGCGTGTCTCGAGCAGTTCACAACGCCGCCGTGACTGCAGCCCGTGAAAACGACAATCCCACGATCTTTCAGCTTGCACATGAGGAAGCGCTCGTCGGTAATCGTCGTGTCCGTCTGCCACTTGCCCACCGCTTCATCGTATCGCACTCCAGCTCTCAGACCTTTCTCGTACGGCATGACTCGCGGAATCTCTCCGGAAATCAAGAAGTAGTCGTCAAGCACGGTATGCGATTGATCACTCTTGTGCACTAAGCCACCCGCTTCCTCGACTTCGCGAAAGGTAGGATCAGGTTCGAAGGAGATTATCGACGCATCTGAAGGCTGCATCCCTCGTAGATCCGGTCTAGCGGGATGCAAGTCAACTCGAACAGCGGGTAACGTGGCGTGCGTAGAGTCCCCATTCCTTCGAGCCTCGTCAATCATCCGCAGTACTCTCAACATACCCCCAGAATGATCGCGATGCCAATGACTCAACTGAATCGCCTCAATCTTCGCAATATCCGCTCTCAAGCGCGTAGCATTTCGCTCCCACGCCGACTCCTCGGGCCCCGTATCAAATAAGATGGTGTGCTCTTTCCCGTCCTTGACACCGGTGATCATGAGCGAGAGGCCGTGGGCGCTGCAGCAGATGTTGTCCATTCGCAGGACATGGCGATCTGGGTTGGACGCAGTAGGGCCGTTGAGGCCGATGGTTTTGAGGTTGCGGGTTTGTTGCACGGCGGCGTTTTGAGAGGGGGTGATGGGGTCGAGTTCGTTGTCGATTATTGCGAGGATTGAGAGCGAGTCCAGCTCGATTAGGTTGCTCATTTTGGGGTTTGTTGGGTGAGTTCCGGAGTGGGGGGAGATGCTGCTATCAGAGAATGCTCGTATACATTCCGTTGGAAGTGCTGTCGATGGTACGGTGATTGGCCCAACTACGTTGGACTCCGTGATGCAAACCCGCTACTCATGCGAGTTCCAGATCTTCTCGAGAGTGTTTGATGCGAACCATAAACCTTCGTATCCGTCGACTGGTCCAAAACTTACATGCATACATGATAGATCTCATCCAGGCGGCGGAGGAGGAGGTGGTTGGACGTAGCTGGCCGCGCTCGGACCGAGTCATCGCCGACGCGGACGACGAACCTCCTGTCGTCGACGGCTCCCGCTTCTACAACAACGAGCACCACATTCCAATGCGCCCGCCAACATGAAATGACAATCAAGGTAGCGCGTACCTATGCCAAAGAATGACGCCGTCGAGCTGGAAGATATGCGCCCCGCAGACGACTCCACCGCAGCCAATGCGCCGCTACTCGCAGACCCCAGCGATGGCCAGGACACACGGACGCGCAGAACGCGAAGCACTCAAACCAAGATAACCCTACGAACAGCCGGCAAGACCGTCTGGCTTCTGACTTGCACGGCGGGCATATCTGGTCTGCTCTTCGGGTACGATACGGGAGTCATCTCCTCCACTCTCGTCTCCATTCGTTCCGATTTGTCTGGACGTGCGCTCACCACCGCCGACAAGAGTCTGGTCACTGCTGCGACGTCGCTCTTTGCTCTCTTATCCGCCCCTACGACTGGCATCTTTGCTGACAAATATGGCCGGCGCTCGGTGATTGTTATCGCATCTACTTTATTCATCATCGGTGCTTTGGTACAGGCTGTGGCGACCTATGTGTGGATTATGGTTGTCGGGCGCGCGGTCGTGGGTGCTGCAATAGGACTTGCGTCTGCGGCTACGCCTTTGTATATTACGGAGCTCTCACCGGCCGAGTTGAGAGGAAGGCTGGTGACGATCCAAAGTTTGTTTATTACCGGCGCTCAAGTGATCGCATATCTTGCCGGCTGGGGTTTGGCTTCTGTTCCGGCTGGATGGAGGTGGATGGTCGGACTGGGTGCCGCTCCCGCCATTGCGCAGCTCTTCTTGTTGGGCCTTTTGTACGAGACGCCGAGATGGTTGGTGAAGAACGGCAGAACGGAGAGAGCACGAACCGTGCTGCACAAAGTGTATGGCGGTCTAACGGAGCAGGAAGGTCGAGAAGCCGCGGTCGAGAACGTCCTCGTAGACATCCAGGACGAAATCGCAACCGAAGCCAAGCTAGGCCTGGACGATTCAAGCACAACAACCCTACAAACCACCTTCAAATCTCTTACCACGCGACCCCCTCATCGCCGCGCTCTGACAATCGCCTGCATGCTCCACGCCCTCCAACAACTCTGTGGCTTCAACAGCCTAATGTACTTCTCCGCCACCATTTTCGCGCTCGTCGGCTTCGTCTACCCCATCGGCACCTCTCTAACCGTCGCGGGCACGAACTTCCTCTTCACCATCGCCGCATTCGCCTTCATCGATACCGTCGGGCGGAGGAATATGCTCCTTTTTAGCATTCCTTTCATGGTCATCGGCCTGGGCGTGTGCAGTTTCAGCTTCAGCTTCATGGATGTTTGGAGAGGAAGCTCAATCCCAGCACCAGGCGTCAACGCAGCCGATTCAACCCCATGGTCCGGCGTCCTCATTGCCGCAATGATGCTCTACGTCGCCGCCTACGCCACCGGCCTCGGCTGCGTCCCATGGCAGCAAAGCGAGCTATTCCCCCTTCAAGTGCGATCACTGGGTTCAGGGATTGCGACTGCGGCGAACTGGTCGTCGAACTTTATTATTGGAGTATCGTTCTTGCCTCTTATGGAGTGGCTTGGGGCGACGGTGACTTTTGCGCTGTATGCGGCTATTTGTGCTGTTGGTTGGGGCGTGGTGTGGATGATTTATCCCGAGACGGCGGGATTGGAGCTCGAAGGTGCGAGGGAATTGTTGGAGGATGGGTTTGGGGTGAAGAAGAGTGTTGAACGATTCAAGGCGGGGAAGAAACGGGTGCGAGGTTCGGCTTATCCAAGTGTCACGAGTGAAGATGAGGATATAGATGAATGATATGCGTTCTATCTCCCCATTACTGCACAATGTCTCCCATACGCACCCCCTCATTTCAGTCCACCCGAAATGGTAATGCTCTGTCCCGTCATGTACCCCGTCCGACACAACATGGTAACCACGTTCGCACACTCCTGCGGCCTCCCACTCCTGCCCACAGGAATATTCTTCACATCCCCCGGCGTCCCCTTCAACATCTCCTCATCCCTAATCATGCCCGTCTCCGTAATCATCGCCGGCGCAACATCATTAAACGTAATCCCCGTCTTGCCCATCTTGGCCGCCAAATTCTTACACATGCCCTGCACCCCCGCTTTACTCGCGGAGTAATGGCACCCATTAATGCTCGTCCCCTGCGCCGCAATAGACGAAATGTACACCACGCGCCCCCACCCTCGCTCCAGCATGTGCGGCACCGCAAGCTTCGTCAGCACGAACGAACTGCGCAGATTCACGTCCATTGTGTAGTCCCAGTCGTCGAGCCCGATTTCGAGAATGTTGGTGATGCGCTTGCCGAACCCCGCGTTCACGACGGCGATGTCCGCGCCTTTTTGGCCGTGCTCCGAGGCCAGTTCGGCGTACAGGCGCTCCAGCTCGCCGGGTTTGGCGACGTCGCATTGGTGCACGGAGATTTTGCGGGTGCCGGCGTCGGATGATTTGAGGAGTTCGGTGCGCAGGTCGTCTGCCGGGGCTTTGTTGGAGTTGTAGGTTATGGCTAGGGAGGCGCCGTTGGCCCAGAGGTCGCGGGCGCATGCTGCGCCGATGCTGCAAGCAGTGTGAGTCAATCTGTTCTCGCATTGGAAGGGGTGGGTGGTGCTACCCGCCGGAGGCTCCTGTTACAAGGGCCAGTTTGCCCTTGATCTCGTTATCAATGGGTTGAGACATGATTTGGTTGGAGTTGGATGTGGGTAAAGAAATTGATGCGGTGATGTTTGTCAGTCTTTCTATCGCATTTGACATTGACAAGAATGGCAAGATGGAGAAATATGACGGCAGTGGATGAAGTGAAGTGACAGCCGAGTGGGGGAGGAGTCGAGTCCGTTGCCGCCAGAAGCCGACTGCAGCGTCCGACACCGCTCTGCCTCGTTGAATGCACGGGCAGTAGTTGAACAGTAGCACAATCTCTCCATTGATTGAAGATGCGAGTCTATTTGTGATGGCTGAATAATAACGCCCTCCAAGCACATGGCAATCACACTGTCCAGCGAATCTTCAGATTGCATCCGTCCCTCAGCCTCGTATTGAACCATTCTCCCAATCGCACCTCCTCGCACACCACTTGCGCACCAGTCAGCACTTCGCTCTCGGCAAGTCGTCTGATTACAACGAACATCTCCTCCATCGCTAGGTTCTGCGCTATGCACTGTCTGGACCCGGCGCCAAAAGCGAATAGATCGCGATTCATCTCCCTTGTGGCTATGCTTTGCCCGTTCTCCACCCACCTTCTGGGATTGAACTCGTGAGGTGATGGGAAAGTGGTCTCGTTTAGATGGAGCGAGTAGGCGGAGATCCCTACCGCTGTGCCTGCTGGGACATGGTAGGATTTCTTCCCACCGGCTGAGGGAGTGTACGTCCATCCTTGGGGGGGAACGATGCGTGGGAGGCGAACGGGGTTTGCGAGCGACGTTCGATTGCCCTCTTGAACGGTAGCTCGGAGTAGTGACATGTTGCCCATAGGACCGTCGGTGAGCTCGTGGCGCAGACCCCGAATACTAGAGACTGTCAGCTACGTATGGCGGTATTGTTTCCAACCAGCTTTGGGTGTCTTACTACTCAGGCTGCTTGACCAAATTCCACACGAGGAGGCCCAGAGTCGTGCCCGGAGCATCCGTACCAGCGAAAATGGCGTCTTCGCACTGAACCATCGTCTCAGCCTCGGAGATGCCGACGTCTAGCAGTCTCTTCTGGAAAGTGTCCTTGCCGCCGCCCTGCTTCGCTTCGTCGACCAGGCTCTGGACGTAGGAGGTGACTTTCTCTGTGGACGTCTCGAATTCCTGGTTGGGATATACTGAGCCTAGGAAGGCGAGCAGGTATCCCAAAATCCAGTTCGGGACCAGGAAGAAGCGGGTAAAGGCCTGGATGAAATTGACGTATGGGGTCGCGGAGAGCGTCTCGGTCCCAGTGTAGTCGGTGAATGCGCCATACCGTTTTCCAAACACATATCCCGACATGGCATCGAGGGAGTAGCGTCTCGCGAGATCAATCAGATCAATCTCATGTACCCCATTCTTGGCCTTCTTCAGTGCAGCTACAAAATCGTCTGCACAGTCGTGCAAGATCCGAGCGCCGTCACTCTGGATCTTACTGGTGGCGAATATGGGCGCTACAGCTTTGGCTCGCACAGCACGATACTCCGGGTCTGTGGTGCTGAAAATGGTCTGCAGCCCGTCGATGTCGGTGCTGTGGTAATACGGAGCCTTGCGGAAGCCGCCCTTTTCAACGTAGATGGGCGCAATAGCACCGCCGTCGTTGATGTGGACGTCATTGGGTCCTAGCAGAACAATGGGGCCGTATTTGGCGTGAAGGCTGGCTGCTTGGCTGGATTCTGTGCCGCGATAATTGGATACGAGGAGCGGGATGGAGGAGAGCCGTCGGTGGAGAGGCCCCGGGATATGAGAGAGTGGATGGGAGAATAGAGCGTAGCATAGATACGCTAGGAGCAGCGTGAGTGACAAGATAACGATAGAGGAAGTCGCATTGGCGATGAGAGGCTGCAGGACGCCGTCGAGCATGTTGATGCAATTGGTTGAAGAGTGCAAACGACTGCTGAACACTTTGCAAATGCTCTACCGGACCCACTCTTGAGCTGCATGAAGTCAAATGGATCGAGCTCTCCACGTGATGGGAACGGCGTATTATTGACGGGACGCCCATTGGCGCCATGCATACGACGAAACCTCTGTTGCGAAATGCTCGAACGAAGATCGAGAAGTTCTGCCGACCGTACAATCACATCTCGTGGATGTAGAGCATTCGGGTGAAAGCATTATCGCGGCATTGAGTATCTTTGAACAAAGATGACACACACAGCCATTGAGAGACGAACACGAAGGGGACTTCATGGCCGCCGCTAGTCCTGTCAGCCGAGATTCGATGAAGTCTTGATACGATCGTGGCCAAAGGTGAGGTGTGGCTGTTCGGGAGTGAAGAACCGAGCGCCGCGGAGTTGTGGAGTGGCGGGGCAGCTGCCTCGGCTGAATCAGACCCCAGCTTTCGGCTTTGATGTACCGCAACCTCCACTCTCTCCCCATTCAACCTCTCATGCTACATACCCTATCTAACATCGATCACAATGGCGGAACAACTTAGATACGACAACCAGGTGGTGGTGGTGACGGGCGCAGGTAATGGCCTTGGCAAGATCTTTGCCAAGTTCTTCGCCTCGCGCGGGGCCAAGGTGGTGGTAGGTTTCGGGAGTATATGTACCACCCCATCGTCCATCATTAACGGTCTTAGGTCAATGACCTCGGCGGAACATTCAACGGGAAGCCCGGCGGCAAGAGCGGCAACGCTGCTGCGGTGGCCGACGTCGTCGTCAGGGAAATCAAGGACGCCGGAGGCGAAGCCGTGGCCAACTACAATGGCGTCCAGGAGGGTGAGAAGATCATCAAAACCGCCATCGATGCGTATGGCCGGGTCGACATCCTCATCAACAATGCCGGCATCCTTCGTGATATCACCCTGCGCAACATGAAGGACGAGGACTGGGACGCGATCATGGAGGTCCATGTGCATGGAAGCATGCGCACCGCCCGTGCAGCTTGGCCGCATTTCCGGAAGCAGCGCTATGGTCGGATCATCAACACTTCCTCCTCTGCAGGCCTCTTTGGCAACTTTGGCCAGTCCAATTACGCTTCCGCCAAATTTGCCTTGATTGGTTTCACCGAAACGCTGGCCAAGGAGGGTGCGAAATATAACATCCTCGCCAATGTCTACGCCCCCGGAGCGGCTAGTCGACTGACGCAGACCGTCTGGCCACCGGAGATGATGGAGGCGATGAAGCCCGACTACGTCGTCCCCCTCGTCGCGATCCTTGCCCACTCATCTTGCAAGGAGTCCGGCAGTATCTTCGAGGCGGCAGCCGGCCATTTTTCGAAGATTCGCTGGGAGCGATCCAAGGGTTTCCTTGCAAAGCCCGATGAGAGTCTGACCGCTGATGTGGTCTTGAGAAACTGGGACAAAGTCGTCGACTTCAGGAATGCCGAGCATCCTTCGGCTGTCTTTGACGGCGTTGCTTTGTTGGAGCAGGCGAACAAGCTTCCAGCGAACACAGGGGGAGAGCGGTTGAACTTCAAGGGTCGAGTTGCTCTTGTCACTGGAGCTGGTGCCGGACTCGGACGCGCCTATGCCATGGACTTTGCCAAGCTGGGCGCGAAGGTCGTGGTGAACGATCTGAAGGGCGCAGAGGAAGTGGCACAGGAAATCCGCGATGCCAAGGGCGACGCGATTGCAGTCAGCAAGTCGGTCGAGGATGGTGATGCGATTGTGAAGGCGGTCATTGACGCCTACGGCCGGATTGATATTGTCGTCAACAACGCGGGCATCCTGAGGGACAAGGCTTTCCAGAACATGACGGATGAGCTCTGGTATCCCGTGTTCAACATCCATTTGAGGGGAGTGTACAAGATTCAAAAGGCTGCGTGGCCCCATTTTTTGAAGCAGAAATACGGTCGTGTGGTCAACATCACGTCCACTTCGGGTGAGTTGCACTATGTCTGGTGCCGACACCGTTGTTCTGACGATCCACAGGTGTTTACGGCAATTTCGGACAAGCCAACTACTCTACAGCGGTAAGCTGCCACCCCATGAAAGGCTTGCGTCAGAGCCGAGACTAATGACGCCCCAGAAATCCGGCATCGTGGGCTTCACCAAATCCACTGCGCGAGAAGGAGCCAAGTACAACATCACGGTCAACGTCGTGGCGCCATCAGCTGGCACCAACATGACCCGCACGGTCTGGGCGGACGAGATGGTGTCTTCCATCCGCCCCGAGTTCGTTGCACCCCTGGTCACTGCTTTGTGCTCGGAGAAGCCACCGGCGAGTGGACAGCTCTTCGAAGCTGGAAGCGGCTGCTTTGCCGCGACGCGCTGGCAACGAGCCCGGGGCTATGACTTTGAGCATGAGAAGGGTGTGCCTGAGGTTGAGGCTGTCGCGAAGGTATGCGGAGGACACGGTTTGAGGAATAAGAGCGTGGGCTGCTGCTAATTCACCTACCAGGTCTTCAACCAGATCATCGACTTTGACAATGGACAGGCAGACAACCCGGACACTCCCGCTGAGGGCAGCAAATACACGATTGGCAACGTCTTGAAGAATCCCAAGCTCGTAAGTCAACCACGACGACACTCTCGCTTACAGTGACGCTGATATCTGACAGAAAGCACTGTTGTCGGACGAGAACAAGGAGAACCGCCGCTATCTGTCCAAACAACAGCAAGTCAAGGACATGGAAAAGAAATACGTCGACTACTCGTACACCGTGCGAGACTGCATCCTCTACAACCTCGGAGTCGGCGCCAAACACACCGAACTCCCCCTGGTCTTCGAGGGCGCAAACGACTTCGCAGTCCTACCCACATTCGGCGTGGTGCCCGCGTACTTCGCCAAGCCACCATTCGAAGTCAAAGATCTCGTGCCAAACTACGACCAGAGGCAGGTCCTGCACGGCGAGCAATATCTGGAGATCAAACAGTTCCCCATCCCCACGTCGGGCAATCTGCGCACCGAAACGCATCTCATCGAAGTCGTGGACAAGGGCAATGCGGCTCTGGTCCGCCGCGGCAACACCACCGTCGACGCATCCAACAAACCCGTCTTCTACAGCGAAAGCGTCTCCTTTATCCGCAAATCCGGCGGCTTCGGCGGCGCAAAGCAAGGCTCTGAACGCGGCGCAGCCACAGCCGCCAACAATCCGCCCAAGCGCTCCCCGGACAAAGTGATCGAGGAGAAGACAGACGAAGGCCTTGCAGCCATCTACCGCCTCATGGGCGACTACAATCCCCTCCACATCGACCCCTCCTTCTCCAAGGTCGGCGGCTTCGACATCCCCATCCTGCACGGCCTCGCCTCGTTTGGCATCTCCGGCAAGCACGTCTTTCAGACGTATGGCATGTTTAAGAATATCAAGGTCCGGTTTTCCGGCGTCGTCCTGCCCGGCCAGACGATTGTGACGGAGATGTGGAAGGAGGGAGGCAAGGTGATTTTCGCGGCCAAGGTGAAGGAGACGGGCAAGCCTTGTTTGAGCAGTGCTGCGGTGGAGTTGGTGGGGGAGAAGGCGAATTTGTAGGCTGTGTCTAGTTGTTTATATCACACGTATCTAGCTGTGTTGCATTGTGGACGTTCATCGTTCTGTTCGGTAGTTGTCTCTGCCAAGGCTTCAATGCGCCCAAGCTTCGTCAAGGCTGACGACGTCAGCGCTTGATTTCCCTGGGGAGAGCAGCCATTGCTCTTGGCGAAACAACCCTCTCCCCTGACATCTCTCGAACCCGTAAACGGCCCTTCTTTCCACCTTTGCCTCCTCCTCCGCCTTCTCCTCACAAGCGAACGCACCAGCTTATTTCCCCCCTCAATGTGCGCCGCCACACCCTCCCCGCGCGCATCCCCATGAGCGCACCCGCATGGCCCCCGGCACCTCATGGTTTGCCCCGCGAACCAACAAGCGCCGCCGCACCACCTCCTCCTCCGCCTACGATGCCGAGAAGAAGCGCACAATGAGCAACGACTTCGCCGAACCGATGGGACCCCTGCTCGGCCAACCCGAGCCGCCTCCGCGCACGCGGCGAGGCGCTTGGAGGTGTCCGCGTCTGCCGCGGACTCGGAACCTTGCGCTTGTCCTTGCTGTGACTGTGCTTGCTGTTTATCTGCTTTGGGGGGATCGGATTGCCACTCGGCCTGTGCAGCATGCGCCGCCTCCGCCCGATGCGCCGCTTGAGTGGGAGCGGTTTCCTTTGCTCAAGAGGTATTATGGCGGGGTGTTGTCTGTTGTGCCGAAGAGGGAGAATACACCTGAGTTTCCGCGCCCCGGGGACGACGTGGAGTCGTTGCAGGAAATCTTGGCAGATGGAGATGCGGACGATGGAAGTACGGCGCAGCTTCCTAAGGGCAAGATGCCGGCGGGTGTTCGATTCGATCCCTACGAGCCGTTGGGGATCAATACCATCTACGAAGAAAGAGTGCCGTGTTTCTTGAATGCATCTAATAAGGCGGAAATACCCCAATTACTCGTCTATCCTGGTGTTCCCAGGGGCTTTGCGGAACCGGCGTATGGCTCGCACGATTTGTTTGGCTTGCGGAATGATATTTGCTTTGATCGGTTCGGGCGCTATGGGCCGTATGGCTATGGATATAGTCGGAGTTCTGGTGGGCTCGGCGCAGGCATAAATGGTCATCGAGATGGGGCGCAGGAGGTCTGGGGTGGGAGTTTGGAAGTCGATTACTCGAAGGTGAAGTGGGCGGATGCGCAGCAGAGGTGTATTGAGGCGAATGCGCATCGTTTTCGCGCGCCGACTGGAGATGAAGCAATCAACTCGCCGACCGGCATGGGTTCCGGGCGGGCTCCCGAGAGTGCAACGGAGACTGCAGAGAAAACCACTGGACCGAACGGCAAACGTCTTGTTCCGCGGACGGCTGTTGTCATTCGAACTTGGCGCGATTTTCACTACGACGAGGAAGACATCCTCTACCTCCGTGCAATCATCAATGAGCTTGCGCTACAGTCCGGAGGGCAATATGTGGTGCACTTCCTGATCCACGTCAAGAACAACGACTTGCAACTCTGGTCGGACGAAGAAACCTACCAGCAGGTACTTGATAGTGCGCTGCCTGCCGAATTCCACGGGATGGGAACACTCTGGACCGAGCGGCAGATGGAGCTGATCTACGGCGGCGTCCCTCAAACGGTGTTCCGCGACCTGCCGGTATTTGGCGTGTATCGCAGCACCAATATGCCGCTCCAGTATTTCGCTCACAGGCATCCCGAATACGACTTTTTCTGGCACTGGGAGATGGACATACGATATACCGGCCACTTCCACCATCTCTTCGACAAGATCAGCCAATGGGCGAAGCAGCAACCGCGCAAGGAATTGTGGGAGCGGAACGGTCGCTTCTATGTCCCCGGCCACCACGGCAGCTGGCAAGAGTTCTCCAAGATGGTGCACAACCAAACTGCAGTGCCGAGCAAGCAAGACCTCGACACACAGGCGCCATCGGACCTCCCTCGGCCCATTTGGGGCCCCTTACGGCCCACCGGCAAAGGCGACAAAACCGCCCGTCCAGAACAAGACCCCATCGCACCTCACGACCAATTCCACGACAACTACGACTGGGGCGTCGGCGAAGAAGCAGACCTCATCACCTTCAACCCCCTCTTCGACCCCGACGGCACAAACTGGATCCTCGCCGAAGACGTCACAGGCTACAACACGACGGAGACATTCCCGCCGCGCCGCACAGCCATCATCACCGCCGCGCGCCTCAGCCGACGCCTACTGGAGACCATGCACCGCGAAACGTCCCTCGAGCGGCACACCATGTTCTCCGAAATGTGGCCTGCGAGCGTGGCGTTGCAGCACGGGCTGAAGGCTGTGTATGCTCCTCATCCGGTGTACATGGACCGGCGCTGGCCGCTGGGCTACCTGACGGGGATTTTCAATAATGGGGTTAACGGGGCTACCGGAGGCAGGTTGCAGGCTGTCTTCAGCGACGAAAATCAGCATAACTTTTACCCTTCGACGTGGTATTATCATGCGCGGTTTGCGGAGAAATTGTGGAAGCGGTGGTTGGGGGTGAAGGTGGATGGGGTGGGTGGGAAGGAGTGGGAGTTGGATCCGAGTCCGGATGGCTTGGGTAGGGGGGAGGGGAGGATGTGTTTGCCTGCTATGCTTTTGCATCCGGTTAAGCAGGTGGATTTGGCGGTTGACGGGAGATGAGATGAATTGGGAATCGCCAATGGCTCATGGGCGTTTGTGCGCGTTCGAGCGGATTGGAAAATGGGTGGGTTATGGGAACAGATTGTAATATGTACTCGATATACCCAAGTTTGTCTCCTTTTGCTAATATGCGTTGCTCCATGCACAGAATGCAGTGCTGTTGTGTCAGACCAGTGACGTGGGTGGAAGTGAAGTCGACGCAGCTGGTCCAAGCTCCATTGTCTTTCCACGCCGACTTCGCATCTCCAACTGTTCTCTCCTCCACTCGCAACACCAGCTCTCTCGAATTCCCAGTCCTCGGCAGGCAGAGAAACAATATCCTCCTCGTCGCCATAATGCCGTCCAGCCGGTAACATCCCTACGCCGCCGCCGTCAACCGCCGCCGAAGCCAAACCATCACAGCAGCAACCCCAACCCGCCACACCCAGCACATCACCACCCACCATGCGCCTCACACGCATACTCTGGCAACACCGCCAACCCTCCATCCGCTTCATAGGCAAGCGATCCATCCCTAAACGTATCTCTCCCCTCCTTCCTTACACATCCATAGATCACCATACTAACCACTCTCCAGAAATCGACCACTCCCCCCACGCCCACCCCGCAGCTCCCGACTCCTCCCTCCCCGAATCCTTCGCCCAATACCGCGGCCGTGCAATTCAACACGGCCCCCTCGCAGGGCAACAACAGCAACAGCAGAAGTCTACCTCGAAATCCGGTTCGTCAGGTTCGAGCTCGGCTTCGGCCGCTGTGGCTCCTTATGGGGCTATTGGAGGGCATAGCGGGAAGCAGTTGGGGAGTGTGCAGCCTGCCCATGGCGAGTTCTGGGATCGCGAGGAGTTGCCTGCGAGGTTTCGACGGAGGGTGTGGAGTGAGGATGAGATTGAGGCGGTGGATAGTGCGGGGGCGAGTATGTGGGGGTGAGGCGGATTGTCGGGGGGTGGATATGAGAGAGACGGTGTATATAGTATGGGTTATGGATGGCATAGATAAGATGAGTCCTAGGTTTGGGTTTACCGTTGAGGCTCAAGACGTTTAGCACTCTGCCTGATAGAGACTCGATCGTACCTAGTCTTCAAATGGTCGTCCTTCGTCGGTGCTGAGTGATCGCTCGAGTATCATCGTTGCCACTCTTCCAATCTCCATGTTCGTGCATGCATATAGGTACATCCAGAGCGTGTGCTAGGTACTGCAGTACGCCTTCGCCCGTGTAGCCTTGCGCTTAGTCAACGCTCATCCAAACTCCAATCCAGCCAGTCCCCACCGCACGTTACATTCACCAGCAGTCCAACGACAAAACCTACATTTCCTTGCCCGTTCTGGAATCCCATAACAGGAACAACAGTGACGATGTATGAATACATCCTCCACTCCCAAATCCCCGCCGCGCAACATGACCTCGTGCTCAATATCCTTGCCGGGGTGACGGCTATGCAACCCGCGCCATTCTACGAGCGAAACATCATCTACCAGCAGCTGAGGAGTGAGGAGGGCCAGACACAGCAGCGACTTCGGTGAGACTTCCCCTGTATTCTACGAACCGCAGCCGAAGGAAACAGTCTGGGCATGATTTTACTGACTGGAGGCGAATCTATAACAGCTACCACAGACTCCAAACCACCCCCGACACGCACCAGCACAAACTCCTCATCGAAGAGACGCCCGACGCCGGCATTAAGGATGTCGCTGCGCGGAAAGTCAGCGAGCGCCTCCTTGTTGCCGATGAGTTGCCCAAGTTTCGCTCGGGCTCGCAGGTGTACAGGTATGTGTGACTGTGCTGTACTGGACTGGGAGCAAGCAGGAACTAATGCCTTGGATGTGTCGCAGCTATGTAGGACAGTATGTGCTTAAAGGCTACCGCTTTGTGCAAGGGCATGTTGGCATACGGGTGTTTCGGGTTTATGAGGTGACGGTGGCGGGGGATGGGGAGGTTGTTGATGCTCCGGTGCGTGTTTACTCCTGTCTTGAATACGATGTGGAAGACGTCAATTATCGCTAAACCCATGCTAACTACGAATCCAGACGCCCTCCAAGGACGAGCTCAACCTCATCGACAAAAGTGGCGCCTACATCATCGAAGCAAATATCCGAACTGAAGACAACGTGAGCCAGGAGAGTCGAGATGCTGCCAAGGAGAAATTATTGCAGCTTGCGAAGAGTCTGGAGGGCAGTGCGATTGATCTTCGGCCAGCGGATAGACTGGCATTGAGTACGAATGTGAAGAGTGTTTAGGTGAAGGGGGTAGTTCGAGTAGTTGATCAGATCTAGCTGGCCGCCCTCGCGCGTTGACGAGCAAGCTGGGATAACGCTGATGCGAAGGTGGTGCGCTCTTATGCATCGGCGGATCTCAGAACAGACGACTACGAGATATTGAGGCCAAGGCCATGAGATCTGCGTCTAGATGCACCCATTGAACCACGTTAGGGTTTCAAGTGCAGTCGTTGGACATCATGGTGCTTGCTTGGCGTGTGTAGGTCAATCGAAACCTAGAGCAATAGCACGACGCTGCCAGCCTTTCTACGTTGTTCATCCAATTGAATTCCAAAGTCATCGAATCCATCTACATTCGTGGCAGATCTGAACGTGTTTGCATGTTTGTCGCCACCAGAGCGTTCATCGGCCCCAGATTCATCTCCCTTCGTTCAGCAGCCACAATGGCGACTATCCACGGCTCGTGGAGGCAAAGACTCGACTCGAGCGAGATCCGTCGCTCTTCGCAGATCGCAGCGGTCGTCAATGAGAGTTTGGTTGTCTTCGGAGGCGAGCTCAAGCCTCGCCAGCCCGTCGATAACAAGCTCTACCGCATTCCGTTGAACGCATCGTCGAAACCAGACGACATCAGCCCGCAGGAAATCACAGCCGCTCCATCTCCCCGAGTAGGGTCTGCATCCACTGTACTAAATGGGAGAATCTATCTATTCTCTGGCCGTGGCGGGGAAGCCATGGCTCCGATTGAAGAACACGGCGTACTGCACGTCCTCAACGAGAGTGGCAACGGTTGGTCAACGATCAAGCCATCCGACGCTCAAGCGCCCATCCCGCCGGCGAGATCTTATCATGCCATGACGAGCAACGACGACAACACCATCTTCCTGCACGCCGGATGTCCTGAAAAAGGCCGTCTCTCGGATCTCTGGTCGTTCGACCTCAGCACAAACAAATGGACTCAGCACGCCGATGCGCCTGGCCCGGCGAGAGGAGGTACCAGCATCGCATGGCTCAATGGCAAGCTATACCGCATGAACGGCTTCGACGGAGAACACGAGCAGGGCTTCGCCCTCGACGTCTACAACTTGCAGAGCGACCGCTGGACGACAAAGACCTGGGACACGCAATCGGGCCCTGCGGCTCGGAGTGTGAGTACGCTGCTTGCACTCCAGATTGGAGGCAAGGATATGCTGCTTACTATGTTTGGGGAGTGTGATCCGAGTAGTCTGGGCCATCAGGGGGCGGGCAGGATGCTGGGTGATGTTTGGGCTTATGATGTTGCGAATGACGAGTGGAGGCGGGTGGAGGCTGAAGGAAGTACGCCGGCGTCGAGAGGATGGTTTGCTGCGGATAGGACGGCGGGGAAGAATGGTGTGGTTGTTCAGGGAGGGTTGGCGGAGGATAACACGCGCATGGGAGATGTCTGGGTGTTGGCGTTCTAGAATGTGTATGATGTATGGAACTGCTGATCCCTCATGCAACAGGTCCTACCCGCACCTTCTCACTCATCAAGTCCACTCCCTTGTTAAATCGATTCTGCGGATCATACTTTCGCTTCACCTCCTGCAATCTAGGCAGGTTCTCGCCATACACTTCATCCAAGTCATTCCACTCCTGCAGGAAACCGGCGTGATACTCCTTCGGGAATTCATGCGGTCCAGAGATATGAGCTCCCGCTTTCGCGAGCTGCTTCATCGCGATCTCCCGGATGTTGGCCGGGGCGGCCTCAGGCTTGCACCCGAGGACGATTTGCATCACATGTCGTCGTCCATGATGGGGCCATCCGGTTTTCGACCGGCCGCCGGAGCTGCACATGGCGGCCTGAGATACGATATCGAGTCAGCATGCCGCGCTCGTTCTACCTGCACCCATGATCAAAGCCCGCCATCACTCACCTCCTGCATAAACTCCAGAATCACCGTCGAACCCTCCTGGAAGCCCTCGCAAAGCCGGAAAGACTCCTCCCACCACTCCCACGCCCGAAGCAGCGTCTGCTCGTCAATCTCCGCAATCAGCGGCGCCGAGGACCAATGGAACAGACTCGTGTCCCGCCACTCGAGGAAGCTGTTGGCCATCGCGTGCATCTCGCGCAAACTGCGCACTCCCACCGTCGCGCCCTCCGCGCCCGCGATGCGGAACACCCACGCGAATCCCGCCTCCGACCGCCCGTGCGCTTCCCCGTTCGCGTCGTACATGTAGATTGCGATGCCGGGTTTGCCGCCCTGCGCCGCCTCGCCCAGGCCGGAGCCGCGTTTTGTGACGTGCATGGCGAGTTTGGGGTCGGCGGGCCGGGCGGCCATCATTGCTACCGCTTTGGATACTTCGTGCAGTGCGCTGTAGGGGAGGAAGACGCGGCCGGTGAAGATTTGGGTGGTGTAGCGACGGGCTTGGAGCTGGAGCGCCGTGACGACTGTCGTGCACAGTCAGTCGTATCCGTTCAACGTGCCAGAACGACGGGGAAGCGGGATGGCCTTGCCTCCGAAGTTCCCTCCGCCGCCTCGCAGCGCCCACATCAGCTCCTTGTCTGCCTCGCCCGCCCACACTGCCCTCCCATCCCGCAACACAATCTGCATATCGAGCAGATTTTCCGGATCGGAAATCAGGCCAAACTCATGGCTCAGCCAACTCAGTCCTCCCACGAGCGCACTCCCCGTCACGCCCACCCATCCACATCGTGCCCCGACAACCGCATACCCGGGTGCATGCTCCTCCATCAAAGCATCCACTTCACCCCACGAGAACCCCGAGCCCAGCGTGACCGTTTCATCGGCAGGATTGAAGACAAAGCCTTTCAAGCCTTGCGTGGAGAGGATGACGTCCCGCGCGGAAACGGAGCCGGTGCCTGTGTTGCGCACTGCAAAGTCTAGGTTCGAGGCGTACAGGGCGGGCACGAGGCGGGTGAGGGTTTCGAGGGTGCTGGGTTGGAGGACGAGCGTTGGATGGCGGTCTTCGTGGGTTGACCATGGGGCTGAAGAGGCGTGGTAGGAGGGGTGCGATTCGTCGAAGACTTCGTTGGGAGGAACCAGGGTGCGGAGGTGTGTGAGGGACTTTTCTTTGTCTTGGGTTTGCGACGCCATTGAGGAGATGGGGAACGGTGGAGAGGAAGAGAGAAAGAGGAAATCGGGGATTGAGTTGAGGAGAGTACTTATTATAAATTTTGTGGTGAGGCTGACGTTGGACGCTCTCCAGCCGTGCTTGACGAATTGGAATTCCTTGAGCCGATAGCGCATCGACAGATCAGAGGGTAAGGTAATTGAAAGGGTAAGTTCATGAGGTGCATATTGATAATGGTGGTCCGTCAGCCGGAGGGTGGTAAAGCCGACCGAAAAGCTTAGTAGCTCCGCGGCAGCTGCAGCGCCTTCTCCCCGATGAAGTTCAAAATCATTTCCTAAAAGGACACAGGCAATTAGCAAATCGCGTCACGGCAGATCAAAGAATCCCCGAGTTTCAAGTCACTCACCCGACTAACAGGCGCCAATCGCGGCACAAAACATTCTCGCATGTACCGCTCCACGTGATACTCTGCTGCATACCCCATGCCGCCCATGCTCATCACCGCCGTCTCACACGCTTTGAAACTCGCCTCCGCCGCAAGGTACTTGGCCGCATTGCACGCCACGCCGACGGCGTACTGCGTGATGCTCTCGTCGTAGTCCGGATGGTCGGGATTGCTCCGATCGTAGAGCCGGGCGGCATGGTACGCAGTGTGCTTTGCCGCTTCCAGGTTCATGTAAGCGGCGGCGAGAGGGTGTTGGATGGCTTGGTTCTTGCCAATCGGGCGGCCGAACACCACGCGCTCGCGTGCGTACTTGACCGCTTTCTCGAGCGCGCCGTACCCGATTCCCAGGGCTTCGCCGGCGAGCAGGGAGCGCTCGGCGTTCATGCCGTGCAGTATGATTTTGAAGCCTTGGCCCTCCTTGCCGATCAGCGAGTCGGCGGGGATGTAGTAGTTGTCGAAGAAGACCTGGTTGGCGTCAATCGCGCGGCCGCCCATTTTCTTGATGGGTTTGGCTTCGAAGCCGCTGCCCGGAGATCGATCGAGGTCGATGTAGAAGAGACTGAGACCGTCGCTGCTCTTCTTGACATCCTCGAGGGGTGTAGTGCGGGCGAGCAGCACCATTTTCTGCGCGATCTGCGCGTTCGTGATCCAGATTTTCTGCCCGGTGATGCGGTAGCCATCGCCGTCGCGCGTGGCTTTGGTCTTGAGTTTCAATGTCTCGAGACCAGTCTCTGGCTCCGTCACGCCGAAACACGTGCGCCACTCGCCGGAAATGATTTTGCTGAGAAACCGCTTCCGCTGATCAGGCGTGCAGAATTTGGCAAGCGGTTGGGTGGCGTAGATGTTGGCGTGGATGCTCTGAGCACCTGCAAGGGCGCCACCTGCTTCGGCAATGGTGTGAAGCATCATGGTCGCCTCAGCAATGCCCAAACCACCACCGCCAATGTCTGACGGCAAGGCAATGCCAATCCAACCATCTTTTGCCAACGCTGCGTGCAGCTCGTGGGGGTATGTTTGGGTCTGATCCCGCTCGGTCCAGTATTCATCGGGGAACTGCTCCATGACTTTGAAGATGGCTTCGCGGACCGTCAATTCTTCTTCCGTGAAGCCTGTCGTCTCCATCAGACTGCGGGTTGCGCTGGACGCGGAGAAGGCGCGAGTGGCACATGCCGCGGGGAGTTGGGAGCGACATGATGTTATGGAGGGTGTGGAAAGGAAGGACGATCTGGCTATGGGGGAGGAGGTGAGGCGCGAGACGGTGCGCAGGGACGAGACGATCGATTTCGCCATGATGTTGTGGGAATGGGGAGGTGTGAGGGAAGAAGGAGAGATTGCACGACAACGGCCGGGCTGCTCATATAAAAAGTATCGAAAGGGTGATATCAATGACAACCCCAGGCGAGGCAGCTCCGATCTCGCCGTGGTTATTGCCACGGCCGTTCCCCGCCAACCTCGGGAATAAGGTGAAGGTGAGGAGATGATGAAAGGCGCGGCCCGTAACTTAATGGATTTAAACGTGATAGCCTGAGCCTCAGGCACCTCACCCCGCAGCACGAGGTGAATGGTGGGGGTGGGGTACTTCCACCACACACCTCGCCCAGTAGCATCGATGTTGTCTTCGACCGCGGTCTGGCGCCGTCGTCGATGCCGTGTCCATTGTCCGTCCGTCAGAGATGGCATCTTTGATCGCCTCGCCTGCGAACGGTGTCGCGCCTCGCGCGGTGCGACGACAGTACCAGAGCTGCGACACGTGCCGGCAGAAGCGCAAGGCGTGCGATGCTGGACGACTCGGCATTCTGGACGATGCACTGAATGAGCAACACGCGCGCAGACCGTCCTGCTCGCCTTGTTTGAAGTACGGCAGAAGCTGCACTTTCTCCTGGCTTGCCCAGCAATCCCGCCAGGCGCGCACGCTGCCTCGCCATGCTCGTCCGAGTACTGGCAGTACCCGCTATCGACCGAAGGATCCCTTCAAGACGCCGCGAGATCAGGCACCTTTCTTGGATCCTCTTTGGACACTGGAACTGTCTCAGGATGATGCAGCGGGCGTGACCTTTCCGCCCGGCTGGCAAGATGAAGTCTTCCACGGGCTCTATGCCGCCACAGACGTTGCTGCTTCGTACTCCATCCCGCAGGAGTCTTCTCCTTCTTCTGGCATGTTGCCGACCAGCGGAGCCACGCAGTCGGTCTTATGTTCGCCCAGTCTAAGCCAGACGCTTTTCACCCCACACGACCTATCTCAGTCGACTGACGACCTCTTCGATCCGAGTATTTCTGGAAACCAAGGAGATGTCCATCATCGAGCTGCCTCCTTCCATCACGCAGACGACGCACTAGCCATGGGTACGCAAAAGACTGGCATCACCAACATATTGGTCAGCATCTACCGGAACCATCTCGAGCATGCCTTGTCGTGCTGGTCTACCGCCATCAACTGCCCATACAACAACCCTGCCCAGACTGCGAGGGGACAATCGAATCAAATGGCACTTCTCTATAGATGCACATCGTATTACGAGCGTGCTCGTCGATTGGACCGTGCTGTGCTGAGCCTTGGCCTCAAAAGTCATCCACCGATCTCTTCGGGTCAAAGCGAGCTGGCTGCGCAGGTACTTCACAAAGTCATTCTCGCGTTTTCGAGCCAGTGGAGTAGCACCGATCATGCGACATCTGCTGGTGCGCGGAGCCCATCGACAGCGGACCCACTGTCGCTACATCTGTTGTCCACACTACAAAAAACATTGTGGCATGACGCGAAGCTCGCGCTTCATGCCGCCGCCGGGATCGCCTCTTTCCAGGTGGCTTTTGCCCAGCTCATATTCTCGTTCATTCGCAGCCCCCTGGATGATCAAGCAATGCCCGGGCGCCGCCATTCCTCCGTCAGTTCACAGCAGGGGCGTCACGACACGAACACATCGGAGGAATCAGATCCGTGTCTTGAGGTGCTGCGATTGGATGAGCCACCGACACACCTGGAAAATGCGCTCCGCCAGTTGCTCCATTGGCGCCGTTGGCTGTACTCGGAGCTGAGACGGAATGCTCAAGGCAGTGCGAGCCTGAACCTCAAGCAGAAGACGTTCCTCAACGAGTTCAATATGCTGTTCTGGCTCGCGGTCATGTGCGACACGACGTCGTCGGCCGTGAACGGTCGCAGCATTGTCATCTCGGACGAGGACACCGCCATCGAGAATATTGGCCCATCCCGCACGACCCACGCAACACTGACATCTCCAGGTATTGGTGAAATTCCTGGATCCCAGCAAACCGAGAAGCCCGTCCCGCTCTGGAACGAGAGGATACTTGATCGAAGCGCAGCTGCGGATGAAGCATGCCACAATTGGCCGCTCCCAGAGTCTGAAGTTGAACGGATATTGCAGGAAGCCATCCCGACCAAGGTCTTGCTTTTCCGCCGCGTTGCGAACCTGCAGACCCTTGTCCACCAAAACGCATCAAACCATAGAATTGAGAACGCCATTCAGGATGCGTTGATTGTCTATCAGCACTGGCAGGCAAAGTACGCTGATTTCATGTCGAACTGCACGCAGCGCTGCAGCCACCTCTCTCCCTCCGTGCGCTCTTGGCATGTCATTCTGGCCGTGCACTGGCACTACGGTGCGATTCTTCTCGCGGAAGCCATCGATCGCATCGACGGAGCGTGGTCGAGCGACGAGCGACGCCGGTCGAAGCGCCAATCGCTCTACAGTCCGACGGCTCTGGCGCTCGAGAACTCTGTAGCGATCACGAGGCTCGCGGTGGGTTGTAGTCTGGTACGGGACACGAGCACTTGGCACGACTCCCCGCAGGACGACGGTGCGGACGCCATGATGAGCGAGCCGTGGTGTGAGATTATGATTCGCTCGCTGAGCAAAGCCGCTGCTACCATTTTGGCGGCCTGCTCGAATGGCGCCACGGCAGAGCAGTGTCTCTGGCTGGAAGAGCATGGTCTGGATGCTGCTGAGCTGCGGCATGGGGTGCAAGGGTGTATTGCGGTTTTGCGTGAGCTCAGCCGCCGATGCCAGTCGGCGGAATTGGTGGCGGCCGCGCTGGATCGCAGGCTCTCCACCCTGTCACTTTTCGCCTCGTACTAAGTGCATCACGAACCGGCTCACCTTTGAGCAGCATTCAAGAGAAGCTTGCGGGCTTTCGACGGTTGGTTTGAATCGCTAGTGAGACAGTGGGACTTCTCGGCTTTGGCATTGCTGCAAATAGCTCTAACTGGCGTCCGTTGATCCACCACAGAACATGGGGAGGTGTTCTGTATTGTAGTGCTTCTATGTCAGTCGCTGTGCACTTGCGCTCTTCCCTCGCGCCACTTGACGCCGCTCCGCTTCACCCTGTCGCATTCTCCATCCTCCCGAACCAATCCGTGTCTCTCGACGGGCGGATCCGATGGTGATCAGATGCGCGGCGGTGCCGACGGATGACTTGTCGGATCCGCCACGCTTGAGACGGTCACTATGTATACCCCGCCACGGCACCCCGACACCACCTCACTCCCCCCTCCATCACATTTGATCAGCAGAACGCACGATGCCGCAAAAAGACGTAGAATTCCAAACCATCGACGGCGTCACCCTGCGGGGCTGGCTCTTCACCCCCAACGCCACGACCCGCGGCGCGCCCTGCCTCGTCATGGCGCACGGCTGGACGGCGCTGAAGGAAATGGATCTCGACGCGTTCGCAGCCTACTTTGTGCAGGCCCTGCCTATCACTTGCCTGGTGTACGACAACCGCGGCTTTGGCACGAGCGATACCCTCGCCGGCGCGCCGCGCCACGAAATCGTGCCGAGTCAGCAGCAGAGCGATTACTCTGATGCCATCACTTATGCCCAATCCTTGCCTGAGGTCGATCCCGAGAAGATTGCCATCTGGGGCAGCTCGTATAGTGGTGGCCATGTTCTGTATGTTGGCGCGGTGGACCGGCGTGTTAAAGCGGTTTTGTGCCAGGTGTATGACCCTTTGCCCCATGGATTCATTTGATGATTTGTTGCTGATTGAATGGCAGGCCGTTGACCGATGGCTGGTCGAATTTCCACCGGCTCATCCGTCCTGATTTCGTCGCAAGCATGAACCAGGCTTTTCAGGCTGGTATGTTCCTCCCTCTCTAGTTGCCGAGCTCTCGTGCTGATAGAACGTCGTGTAGACCGACAGGCACGAGCCGCGGGCAAAGAGGCAACGCGGATTCCCGTCGTCGACGAAGATCCTCTGATCGTCCCTCCCAACTCCAGACAGCTGGCAATTCTTCTCCGCTTGGGGGAAGAAGAGCAGCTGGACAAACGACGTTACCATCCGAAGGTGAGTGCCATGCCAACGGGAGCACAGCATAGCCATCGTCACTGACTAGTCCACTCAGCGTGGAATTGCTCCGCGGGCATGACCCCTCGCACATGGTGCACCGCATCTCGCCCACACCGCTGTTGATGACGATCGCAGACAACGACGTCCTCACCCCGACTGACATCGCGCTGGAGACGTACCAGCGCGCGCGGGAGCCAAAGGAGCTGCATATCCTTCCCGGCGGCCATTTCGATGGGTATACGGGTCCGAATTTTGAGAAGAATGCTGGCAGGCAGGCGAAGTTTTTGAGGGATCACCTTTGCTCGTAGGCTGGCGTGCGTTATGTGTGTTCATGTACCTCCCGGGTGAACTATGCCATTCCTCGTCTCCGTATTCGAAAGGGTTAATTGGTGTGGCGTGGAATTCACGTGTCCCAAAAAGCTGCAAGTCAGACGGGACATGACTGGAATGGCGGCTGTCTGTATCTGCGCGGGCCTTCCTTGACCCCGACAGTGCACTTGCGGTTCCGCGAGTGAGCAGCGGCTCCAACCTCTCGCCCATTGCCCTCCTCTGACGCCTTTCTACCCCGGCATCTACAGATGCCTTGGTGCAACTCAGCACGTACTTCTGTGCGGCTGCTCATGAGATGTTTCGGTTTGGACTCCTCGTCATTTGGTAGATTGTAGTGGGTTTGAAAGAGAACGTAAGAAGCGCGGCCTATACACGCGCAGCCCAAGTCTAATCACGTGACTGGGCGCCAGAAGCGTGAGATGGCCCAAGCTCGGCCGGCAAGTCTTCCCGCCAAAGCTTCACCTCAGCACGTCAAGCAAAACAAAGCCATCAACAGACGCGACGATAACGCCCTTCCGAGCCCTACACGACTCCATTGGACTCGAATACCATCTTGGTACATGTTGAGATAAGAAATCCGGGTACTGACTCGCTTCGGCACCCCGGAAGCGGTCTATTTTGGTTGTTTGGGAGGAGGTCAACAGAGCAGGCGCAATGGCTCTCGCTCGCTCTAAGACGGCGAACGTTGGCACAGCCGAATGGCTGCAGACTGAGAGGCAGCATGCCGATGATAAGATCAGGGAGGAGGTGGAGGAGTTTGGCTATGCCGTCAAGAACGAGCTGGAATGGCTGAACGCGCACTTGGGCGAGGTGTTCAGCCAGAGTCAGGTGTACGCATCATCTTGCACTTCTCAAGCGCGCTCACCACTAACGCTCGTACAGAAACTTCACAGACATCTTCAAGACGCCGGGGAAGTTACGCGGCAAGACTCCACGAACCCTACGCAAACAAAATGCCTTGTCCGTGAGACAGCCGCTTACCGATGTCTTCGCCGAGAATGCCCCTGCCCCTGCATCGGCGTACAAGACCACCTTCTTCGACAAAGTCGCCCAATTCCAAATCGCCGAGGATGTTCCAGATAAAGCACAAGCGACACGCCCGAGGAGTCGTGCAAACAGCCCGCAGCGCGCAGGACAGCCTGGCTACACCGACTCGGGATACCACGGCATGATGACGGAGGATGAGATGGAGCTGGATTACAGGACTGATACCGCGACGCAGAAAGTGCCGCTGCGTGAGAACCAGCCACCGCCTCAGCGTCTGCCGGATATTATTGCAGAGGCGCGAGACAGTGGCAGTGAGTCGTTTGCCTCTGCCAAAGAAGATTTGACGGGGCGAAGTATGTCCAAGGAGCCGACTGTGGAGGCGCCCGTGGTTGCGAACACTGCCACAGAAGATACTGAAGAGAAGGCCGACGAAAAGATGCTGGACGCACCCGCTGCCGAGCCAGTCGATGTCGCCTCAGCGGACCAGCCACTCGATGAAGAATCATCCCGATCAGACGCATCGAGTCCAGCTCGTCTGATACAAAGAAAGAGCAGTTTCGTCTTTACAGCTCTACCCGCTCGTGAGCCGTTCACGGCGCAACGCAGCTTGGGAGTGCGTGACAGTCAAGTCGACATGCATACCAGCCGAGACAGTGCTCTAGCACGCCCTTCTGAGGCTAAAGTCAGTGCTGCCAATGATGACGAGGATGCTTTTATGCCAGAGCAGTCCGAGACATCCAAGGCACATAACAAGACCTCGACACAGCTCTTACACGAGCGCATTACAATGCTCGGCAAGACCAAGGAGCCTCGCGCATCAAAGAGCATTCCACAGAATGTGCTCGCTGCGCAGCCTACGTACCCTCAGCTACCTACTGCGGATCCCGTCAAGGCTGTCCACACCGAGGATGACTCTGATGACGACTGGATCGCGCCCACTAATCCTGCCCCACGCACTGCTCCTTCGATGGAGACGGCAGCTAGGCAAGGATCACCGGCGAGACCACCGATGCATCAAAAGGCAGCCTCGACAACACAGATCCCATCGCCCTCTAGGCAGGAGGAGCGACAACAAAAAGCCATTTCCGTCTCTAATCCGAGCACGTACTACGCTCCAGCCGAAAGTACTACTCCTGCTGGTTCGCCTCCGCGCAAGAAAAGCCACGACGGACCGCTCAGCGCATCGAAGAACAAATTCTACTCCGTGTTGAAGTCCGCAAAGAGCATGTTTGCCTCGTCCACCAGCGCCAGCGCAGCAGCAAAGCTGGAAGCCCACAACAACTCTCCTTCACGCTCCCCCACGCGTGATATATCCAACGACTCCAAGATGGCAGCCGTGTTCAATATGCCTGGCGCGCTCTACTCGGAGAAGGAGCTGCCTCGGAGTCCTTCCAGGCCCATCAGCATGCTTTCTGCTAGTCCTAGTAAAAAGAGCAGAAAATCGGACGAAAGTGAACGGAAGCGAGAGAAGGAGCTCAAGGCACAACAGAAGTCGGGTGATGATTTGGAGAAGGCGAGGGAAAAGGAGCGACAGAAGGCAGCGAAAGCTAGAGACGAAAAGGATCGAGCTGAACAGCAACAAGCAGCACGCTCGGCGACAGCGGACACCGACTCAGCAAGGGACGTTGATATCGCGCCTCCGCCACCCCCCAAGAGCGGACCTACGACGGGCAAACTGAGGGCTCCTGTGAGACTCGGCAAGCCGATCAGAGAGCAAACAGCCGCTGCTAAGCCCGCCCCGGTGTCTGTTCGCGTCCTCTCGCAATCGCAAAGGCTCGGGCCGAATCTGTCAAAGTCACAACATGAGGCTTTCGCACCTCCTCCAGTGCCGCCGAAGCAGAATGTCACCCGTCCTGGCTCCGCTCAAGGGAGTGTTAGGAGCTCTACTGCCCCTGCCAATTCGCGAGTGCGGGCTCTGGAGGCGGCGGCGAGGAAGAAAGAAGCAGATGAGAGGGCGGCTCAGGAAAAAGCGGAGAAGAAGCGAGAGCTGGAACGTAAACGCGCCGCCAAAGCGGAGGAGGACCGCAAGATGGAGGAGGAGCGCAAAGCCGCGGAGCAACAGCGGGTCCAGGAAGCGAAGATGGCGGCACAGAGACTGGCTGAGAAGCAAGCTGCGGACGCTAAGAAGCGTGAAGCGCAGCGAGCTGAACAGATCCGACTGCAAGAGGAGGCTGCGCAAAGGGAGAAGGCCAGGGCTGCGCATGAACTCGCGGAAGCCATTAAGCGCGAACGTGCTCAGCAGGCACCGGCTCCTCCTCGTGGCGATGTGGGAGGAACTTTGAGACAGCTGGCGAAGAATACCATTGTCGACTCGGCGCAAGGTCGACCACAGGTGCAGCCGAATGCAGCCAAACCGGCGCCGAAGCGGGTCTGGCAGGGAGAGGAAGGTGATGAGCCGCAGCGTCCGACGACGCAACCGCCGCAGATCCAGAGACCTGGTCTGCCGAGGGCTCCACCGAGTTACCAACAACATGAAGCAAAGAGGCGGCGGACGAACGAAGAGGAGCAGGATGGCGTGGAGCGACACTCGGTCATGGCGCCGCCAAAGAGAGCGTCGAATATGCGCAAGGTGAGTCGAAAGTCTTCCAAGCAACTGTACTCGATGACTGACATCCAACAGGAGTCGACGCTCTCCAAGTTCGCCCACGGCTACGCTCACGCTCCTCCTCCACCTACCCATCTCGGCACAGCCATGTTCAAAGCGGCCGTCACCAGCCAGCATCCACCCCACCTTACCTCCTCCAAACCAGGAATGCCCACCCATCCTAGCCAGATGGTCCAGATCTCCAACGCGAGGATCCCGTTCGCAGAGAACGCCAACCCTCCTGCCGCCGCCGCCGGATCTCAACACCACCACGCCCCAAGCCAACACCCGCACCCCGGCATGGAAAACATGCACCCCTCCAACCAAGCCAAGCACAAAACCCCCGCCCGCCCACCCCACATGGCCGCAGCAACAACAGGCAAATCCGCCGCCAAATCCTCCCCCCTCTACCCCAACGGCGATGCAATTCAACTCCCCGAAATCGCCACCGACAGCGAAGAAGAGGACTCCGACGAAGAAGGCGACACAGGCGGGTTCCGCGCCCCGTCGTGGGTTGCATCGCCTGCTCTTCGCGACTTGCTTACGCAGCAGCAGCTCGTGGACCCCGAGACGGTGTTTGGGCCTATTGCGGAGCTGCGCATGGATGAGGTGTTTAAGAATGCGAAGAACCCGGATCGTTTGAAAAGGTTGCGCGAGAGGGGGAGTAGTGCAAGGTGGGTGGAGAGTGGGGATGCGGTGACGAGTGCGGAGAAGAGAAGGGATATGGAGTTGAGAGAGAGGGTTGTGCGCGAGGGGGGGTGGAGGTATGAGCCTAATGTTTGAGTTGTTTCTTCTTGGGGATGTTGGTTTTGGGGGGGTGGGAAGTGAGGGCATGCATGGAGTTTGATGGATGCTTTCCTTCTTCTTTCTTTCAACTCTTATACTATTGAGCGAGGCATTCGCATGCGATGGGGTTGTTCGATCCTGTAGATATCCATCCAAAACTGTTGGGGCTTCTTTCTAGCCGATCCCAACTTGCATGCCGACTATTCTAGATTTCTTTTCTGCACCTCTCAATTATGGCTCTATGCTCGTAAAGCGATGCTCTCTGCTCGACGACACCTGCCTTGAAAAGCGCACGTCTCATCTGTCAGCCATGCGAAGGCAAGGGGCGAGTGGTGCCATCACCATGAGCATAAAGCTGACAACTCATCCGGCAAAGAAGTCAATGGAGCGTCTCAAATCTCACGCCTCCTCCTTCTCCTCCTCCTCCTCCGCCGTCGCAGCAGGGGTAGTAGCCCTCGGCGGCCCACCCTTAGGCGGAGGCGGCGGCAGATTCCCAGCCCCAGCAGCAGGCTTAGGAGTCGAACCCCCGTCCAGCTCTCGCGACTTCTGCTCGCCTTCCGCAAAGTAGTCGTCCAGTCCCGCCGGCTGCGCGGCCGTGTTGTGGTGCGCGCGCTGCTTTCTGCCTTTACTTGAAGACGGGGGTGGAGGTTGGGAAGTCCCTGTCGCCGAAGTGGAGGTATTGGTTGCAAGAGCAGCAGGTGGAGGAGATGGGTGGTCCATGTTCGCTGGTAGGAAGAAGGTAGGTTGCTCTGCTTCGGTTGTGGTGAGGCCAGTTGCGGCGGGCACTTTGAAGTCCTCTGTGCTTTCGAATAATGTTTCGCCTGGTGCTTGGGAGGGCTCGTTCAGCGGCGCTGGAACGCGATGTAGGGCTCCGTACCCCAACACGCAGCCTAGTGCGCCATCGCCGCCCCATGTCCGCGAAGGCGTGATGGTCAGCGTGCGCAGCACATCGTACTCGTGGTTGTAGACGTAGAGGCGTAACGGGCGATCCTGGAATTCCTCTACAAGTTCGCCAAGCGCCGCTTCGCCATACAGAGCATCCCGATCCGGACTGCCAACCACGTAATCCCCATACGGCAGTAAGCCAGCAACATCAGCAGGCGAATTCGGCATCACGTCAAGAATATGCCACACATTCTCCGCCGCAGCGTTCAACGGCATCCACTGCAACTGCACACCCAGCGCCGCCCCATCGGCGGGAATAGGCACGTAAATCTCCCGAATTGCGTGCCCTTTGACGCAATACACGCCCAGACTTATGGTCGAGCCGGCGCAGTTGCGCAGCTCGGTGGAGAACAGGTGCGGGTCCGCGGAGTCGATGGGGTGGTTGTTGATGCCGATGATGAAGTCGAAGTAGGGCTCCAGCGGGAGATTGGCCTGGGTGTTGGAGAGGACTTGGAAGCCGTGGGCGTTGGGGTTGAGTGCGGTGTTGCTGTTGCTGGCGTTGAGGGGGAATTTGCTGGGGGTGTAGGGCGTTGGCGCCGTGTATTCCGAGGAGTCGAGGCGGGAGATGAAGCGGTTGAGGGCGCCGAACATGTTTGCCATTTTGGCGGGTGGGCATACGCCTTTGGGTATGGTTTGAGTGGATTCCTGGTGGGAGTTGGTGGTCGTAGAAGGGATGAAGTTGGGTGGACGGTGGTGGACTAGGGTTAGGGTTGAGGTCGGTTAGCCGGCGGATGGATGAACGACAATACTTCATCTGCTCGAGTCGAGATTAGCGAGAAGATGAATGATAGTGGTAGCAGTCGTTTGAGTCAATAGCTTTTGGACACATACTCGTGACCAATGCAGCACAAGAGATTGGAGAGCCTTACTATCTACATACAACCCATCCTGTAATGTTACACCCATAATCCCGCTCCGTTCCCTATGCCCCAAGCCGCGCTATGCGAAAGACCATGCCCCCGAAGACGCCATCACCATGCGAGTCAACGACGCTAGCAAATCAATCCAACCACCCCACGCCTAAAGACGGAACGGGTCATCCTGAGGCGGCCGAGATGATCGCGGGGGCGCATCTCGCGAGTATCGACCTCCTCCACCTCCACCGCGGCTTCCAGCACCGAAGCCACCACCTCTTCCACCTCCGAAGCCGCCACCTCGTCCACCGCCGAAGCCGCCGCCGCGTCCGCCAGATGCATCACCCGAGCTTCCAAACGGATCGTCTCGGCCGCCAGATCGGTCGTCTCGACCACCAAAACTTCTGCCGCCTCGATCACCACCATACCCACCTCGGCCACCACCTCGATCACCACCATACCCGCCTCGGTCCCCACCTCGACCCCCACGGCTATCATAGCCACTTCGCTGCGCCATGGGATCGTTACCAATATTCACGCCGGGAATATGCATGAGTTTTAACCGTTGCGCCAACACGGGCGATATGAATGGCGGCTGCGCCATGCCCCAGCCGAATTTGGCGAGGTTGTTCATTCGCTGAAGGAGTAGGGACTTGTCGTGCAGCCAGCCGTAGACGCCCAGTTGCGCTTTGTATACCGCCGCCTTCTCCTCGGTCGACACGCGGCGCATGGCGTTTTGGTACATGCTGAGCAGTTTGCCTGCGGCCACGGGGACTTGCCCTTCCTTGGTGAGATCCAGAGCGGCGGTTTCCAGGCTGGCGTCTCGCTGCACGGGAAGTCCGCGGAGTCTTGAGCGCGCTTCTTGCGCTTCAATCTGGTTGAGGAGGAGCCAGGCTTCACCTTCCTTGCCCGCGCGGGCTGTACGGCCGACACGGTGGATGTACTGCTCACGAGAAGTGGGCAGGCCGACTTGGATGACGTGGGTGACGTTGGGGAAGTCCATGCCTCGCGCCGTGACGTCGGAGCTCAACAGCACGCCGGACTCGGCTCTCCTGAACGACTCGGCTGCCGCGGTCCTTTGCGACTGGCTGAGTCGGGAGTGAATCTCCGACACGCGCGCGGGAGCCCAAGGATGCGGGGAGATGCGATTGCTTCGCTCCTCAACGGGGAGCTCGAGGGTGCTGAGAGCGGCACGGGCGAGATTGACTTCTGCGGTGCTGTTGAAGTAAACCAGAGCCTTGAAGGGTCTGGCGCCGGGCTCTTTGGCAGCCTCGAAGCACTTGGAGCAAAGCTCGCTCAAGGCAGGCAAGGCGTTTTCGAAGCCCAGCACGGTGACGACCTTTTGTGAAACGTGCGCGTGGGTGGGATCATCGTCCTCGCGCACGCAACGCACGAATTGAAAGCCCGGCTTCAGCGTGCTGCGCACCAGCTCGACGACTTCCTGCGGGACGGTGGCGGAGAACAGCAACGTTTGTCGGTCCTTCTCTTGTGGGGTGGGCAAGTAGCGCATGATTTCTTGAATCTCAGGCCAGAAGCCTTGATCCAGCAACCGATCGGCCTCGTCCATGACGAACGCGCTGAGATCGGGGGCCTGAACTCGCGAGTAGGGATCGGAGAGGATGTCCTTCAGCCGGCCCGGCGTGCCCACGAGGATGTGACAGCCTCGTTGCTGAATAGCCGCAAGCCCTGCTCTCTTCTGCGTTCCACCAACAGCCGTCTGCACAATCAGCCCAGTATGCGCAACCACCTTCCGCGCCTCCACCGCAATCTGCTCTGCCAATTCTCGAGTCGGGGAGATAATCAGTGCGCGAATATCATCGGCAGTCGTGCGCGGGCCGCGACGGTCGTGGGATGGTTGCGCAAGATACGGGTCGTCATTGAGGATGCGCTGCAAAACGGGAATGAGGAACGCAAGCGTCTTGCCGGTACCCGTCTTCGCCTGCGCAATGACATCGTCGCCGCGCAAAGCCTCGTTGATCGTGCGCTGCTGCACCTCCGTCATCGTCTCCAGCCCCATGCCTCGCGTGAGCGAGCGGATGACATTGGGATGCACGAGGTTGCGCGATTGCAGCTCGTCGAACCGCGTGACGGCGCCGGTGTCGATGTGTGGGGCTTCGGAGCCATCTTCTGCGACTGCCGCGGCGGATTGGGGTCGGAGGGAGGATTGGTGTATGAGGCGAATGGTGTTAGGTTGTGTGAGGAGGCATGATGGCGCAGGTGTGGTTCTTCTCAGGCATTGAATGCTAGATGTCTGTCGGATGGGGATGGAGGCGAGGCTGCGAGGAATAGCGGCCGAGTAGCGCTGAAGCGCGCGACGCATGATGGAAGAGCGCCGAGGGAGAGAGGCTCAGACAAGAAACGAAGGAGGATATGGGCGCGATGAAAAGAAGGAAAGGCACGTTCGCCGCTCAACGTGATGCGATTGCAGGTCTGTCGATGATCTCCTCGAACATTTTCTTCTGGGAGATTTTTAGGCTTTGCGCTAGACGGCGGCGCTAGCTCTTTCCCAAACCAGGAAGTGCTCGAGCACGTGACACGTCAACAACCACTTTGAATGTACACATTGACCTTTAAGAATTTGAATCGATCCGTTCGCGATTTACAGATGACGCTATACAGCTTGACATTATATTTACATGACTAGATTATCATCACCCACAAGCCGCTCAATCATTCGACAGGCTTCATTCATCCAACTCATAAACATTACAATCGCGCCCCTATCAAGCACAAACCGTATTAGCCACCACCGCAAATGCATTTCCCAGTAATGAGATGGATCAAAACTCACTCGTATACCAGCTAAACCCCGAATCCGCATACCCGCGCATCCAAGCCTGCATCTCATCCTGCTGCCGCTGAATCTGCGCGCTGCACCGCCGGCCCGCGTTCGATTTGGTGATGCGTCGGATGACTTTGGCCGGGTTGCCGGCGACGACGGTGTACTCTTCGACGTCCTGGAGACATTGCAGTCAGCGGGGCCGCGAACGAGAGCGGAGTGGGGAGGAGTAGAGTCTCACCTTCGTCACCACAGATCCCGCACCGACATGCGCGCCTCTTCCCACCGTCACAAAAGGCATAATGATCGCTTCGCCTCCAATGAAAACATCGTCTTCAATCCGAATTGCGCCGGCCAGTACCCGTCCATGACTACCACCCCTCGTCCCCGCCTCTAACCCGGGAACCGTAACACAGTACAGCTTCACGCCCGGCCCGAGCGTAACCCCATGTCCCAAACTGATGTCCGCCGCGTCTTGAAAGTAGCACCCGGCATCCACCACGCATTCCCGCCCGATATGCACGTTATACCCGAACTCGCATTTGAAAGGCGATTCAATGAGCGAGTGGTCCTCTACCGAGCCGACGGGGGCGGTGTGCGCGTATTGCCGCCCAGGGGCTTCAGGACGCTTGTGGGGTTTGAGGATCTGGTCGAACAGGCGGCCGCGGTCGAGACTGCTGCTGGTGTTGCCGTTGCTGGTGGAGAGGGAGGAGGCGCTGGCGTTGTAGCGGTCGCAGGCTGCGTGGCATTCTTTGCGGTCTTGGAGGAGGACGGGGTCGAAGTAGTGCTGGTAGGGCTGGCTGCGGAGCATTTTGTCTTTTTCGGCAAAGGCGGTGTGTGTCAGTGGGAGGGTGTTAGGCGGGGGTTGGGAGGTGCCGGTGATTTTTGTTGTCGTGCTTGCGCGGCGGGAAATCGGGTTCAGGACGGAGGTGGTGTATGAAGATGGTTGGTAAGGGGGATGGATGGTACTGTTGGGAGGCGGTTGATGCCAGACTTCCACAGGCGTTGATATTGGCTGCGGTGGGAGCTGGTGTTGAAGAGGGGGAGGCGGTTGGAGCGGCGTCGTGGGTGGTCGTGGGGTCGGAATGGAAAGCTGCGGATACGGCGGCATGGAGTGAGACGTGCGGGCGTCGTGCAGGCTGTGTGGGGAGTGAAGAGGGACGGTGCTTGGGAAGCCGGGCGGAGGGGGAAGCTCAACCTGGCGCGACGTAGTATCGTGATGTCGAAAGGCGAAATTCGGCCAGGCTTCGGAGGTGGTCATCTGTTTGGAGCTTGGTGGGGCGCCGCGGACATAGGCACGTGGAAGTTCGGGTTCGGGAGGAGGCAGCAGAGTCGGCGGGAGAGGAGCAGGAGCGCGAGCGGCGGAGAATGAAGTAGGTTGTGGCAGGGCAGCTGCACCTGGTGGCGATATGCGGCCCCAATGCGAATAACTTCGCCCCTCCGCCGTACCCATGGATGGTTCATCTCTTCGACGAGCGACGTGCGGCGATGTAGCCGGTTTCGATGGGGGTGAGTTGGCCGCGAGGACGCGAGTGGACACCTTGAAATTCGATGGCTTCGCTCCGTAGCCCTCGCAGGCATAGGCCCCGCGCTCGCAGTTTATACACGTTGGTTTCCGCTCATCACATTTCTTCTTCCTTCTCCTGCAGGTATGACAGCCTGTTTTGGTGCGGTTACTGAAGTTGCGTTTTCGTCGCTTGGGGTCCATGTAGTCGCCGCTGTTGGGAGTGTCGTCTGACTGCGCGGGCACGCTTGTGCGGTCGTCTCTTTCGCCTGGAATCGAAGGCGCGCGAGGCGTTGTGGGTGAGCTTCGCCTCACGTCCTGCGTCTGCTGGGATTGCTGTTGAAACTGTTGCAGGGATGCAGATATGCTGGCCTCTGTCTCGGGACGAGGCTTGGGTGGAGGCGCGCCTTGGTTCCATCTCTCTTTCGGCGACCTTGCCCGTTGCGTGGAAAGTCGGGCAGAGGAGTCGCTGAAGGGTGAGCCGGAACTGCGACTTGGATCGCGAAATTGAGCAGAGGTCAGGTCGATGGCAGAGTCCAAGGTCGGTAGCGCGTGACGAGGTGGAGAGCCAGGCGCATCATCCTGTCCATTGATTGCGCGCGCAGCGTCATGAGACGGCACGTCTGTCTGAAGTTGACCTTCCCTCTTCCGCTTGCCCGTCATCGGTGGTGAATCCCTTTCGCCAGACGGACGTACAGGCGAATACTGGTCAGTCGTAGCAGCGGCATTCGCAAACGAAGCAGGGCGATCGATGGACGTCAACGAGGCCTCGCGTGGTCGGAACAACGCAGAGGAGTGAATGGCGCCATTGACGGCCGTGAATGCAGCAGACGATGGATTGGCAGACGGCGACTGCGCAAGTCCGTGCTGGTCTTTCTCACTTCCATTGACAACGGACGAATTGGTGGCGAGCTCCTGCATTGGCAACATCAAAGGATTGAAGAGTGCTCAATAACACGGCCAGATGAGTCGAGTTGAGAACCTTGCCAGGGCTGCCGTGTGCAGAAGAGGCAAACCCCACTTGCCAGACTGCGTGCGACTCGTCTCGTTCACTGGGGTAGGAAAGTGATTTCTAAACGAACATTGAGCTCTCCGACAGCAACGAGCGTTGAGGAGACGAGAAGGATGGTCGAGTAGGGCGGCGGATATGTAGCATCCGCATCATCTACCATCCAGCGGCAGGTGCAGGGGGGACGTCGCAATGCTACTCCACCGTCAAAGCGGATACATTATGAAAGACGCCGGTGTGCGGCGCAAGCGGGTTGGGCGCGTGGAGAAGCGGTCGAATGTGGGGTGGATGGGACCTAGACTGAGACAAGAAGCGACAGAAGGGATTGATTGCGAGAGGGGGAACCCTTGCTGGCCGTAGATGGGAGGAGAAGGGGGAGGGGAAGGGAGGAGAAGCGCGCGGCTGGCAAAGACGCCGGAGCGGGCAAGGCATGGTACAGGGTGGGCATGGCGGCGGCATGGCAGGCATGCGATGCGATGGGCATGATGCTTAGATTGAAGCTGGGCCCTAGCAAGGGTGTGTGCAGCCGCCGGGGCGGCCAAAGGCACGCACGGCACGCCCGTCCGCACCCACACGAGCCGAAGCGGAGGGCGCGATGGTGGGTGGGAGGTGACGCTATCCCGCGACTGTAACGAGAGGCTTATGTGAAATGCGGCCCACACGATGAAGACGTCAGCCGTGCGGAAGGGCGAGCCCGAAGCCTAAACCGCCTTCCCCGGCCGCGCATTGGTGGGAGGGGGAGTGGCTCCGGGCGTTTAAAAACTGGGCCGGCAGATGAGAATCCAAGCGTAGCATCGCCTTCCTTTGTTGGCATGCTTGGTGCTGCTGGCTTCCATATCGGGGTACGCGCTGGGGGTGGACGGTCCAATTATTGATAGCCGCTTCGCTGCACGGCCCTGGCCCGTGTCATTGCTCGGTCTTGTTGCTCGGCGCGTGCGAGGTGATTCCAGAGGCGGACGGAGGGATTGATTAGCCGCCAGCTGTCACACGGTAGGCGATCTGGCGAGGGGATTAGCAATCGTTCATCAGCCGCAGCGGCACACGTCTCGCTGCTTCGCGAAATTTAACCGGTGGATTCCCGCGGGTGATCGTCGTTCGCAGGGTCTAGAAGCGGCAGTGCCGACGGCGGTTTGGTTGGCGGATGGGTGCAGACAGGCCATCGCTTACGTGCATTGGCGCCCGCTTTCTCAGGAGCTAGATCCACATCATTTGGCTAGAGGCTCGGGGTGGCTTTCCGCGATAGGGTAGGCTAAGTTGGACGTTGCTCGTCGTCGATATTGAATCCGATCAATACGAGCGATGCTGGCAGACGAATGACAGGCATGAGCGGCCGCGGGCAGGGACGTGCAGGGAACTCAGCGGCAAGCGGCAGGGGTGGCGAGGGCGTGTGCATCGGGCGTGCGCGTGTTGTGGTGGTGACATCCCTGCTCTCAGCAGCGTGCCGCCCACGATCCGATTAGGTTTCGTCGCGTCGACATGCATAAAGCTGTGGCTTCGGAAGTTAATGCAGCGGCGCTCGCCCGTGGATGGGAATAAGAATAGTACAGCTCATCAAGGAAGAATGGCCACGGCGGCCGGCTCCGAGACCAGTCCAATCGATGGCGTTGACGCCCGCAGTGCGAATGCGAGAGCGTGTGCTCGGGGTTGGAGAAGGCTCACTCGTCTGGCTCAAGCATCGGCTGGGCGCTTGTTTAAAGGAGCGATGGGCGGCGATGGCGCTTGGAAGCGTGGAAGTGCAGGAGGGGCACGTGCTCGCATGCTTTTTGCCCCACGCAGCAACTGACGAGCACGGACGGGGGGTCACGATGAGGTGCAGACTGACGAGAGGATGTCTCTGGGAATATATCCTGCCTTTCCTTGATGGACAACGTGAACTGTCTGTGGTGGACGAGATGAACTGCAGTGAAGACGGGCACCGGCACGAGCTGTGGGGCGACGCCGAGACCACGTGCATCATCGTGGGCGTCAGCCTCTCATGACGTAGCCAATTCGGTGCAATTTCTGCCAACCACATGCTCACGGCTCCTCTCTCACGTCTCGTATGTCACCCAAGACTCCAAGCAGACGGCAAACACGGGAGCGGCGACACACTGACAGTCTCGTGAGTGACGCAACGTTGCGAGACCGTCGGCCTTTTAAAATTCTCCCGCCTCCCACTGCCATTTTGCGCTCTTGTGCAGCCTTGTCGACGTCTCACGGTCCATCGATCGAATCACCATCATGGCCATTCCCAGTGTGCTCCGTGGCCGCGAAAGCACGAGTAGCGACAAATCCAAAGACTCCGCCGCCGCGCCCCATCTCGCCAACGATCAGTTCCCCGTGACGGCATCCTCTGGCCAACAGTATGGCAAGGCCCAGGTCGTCTCCGTGCGGACTATCTCCATGCTGGTCATCGTCTCCCTCGGTGGCCTGATTTTCGGCTTCGTATGTCGCACCCACTGCCCTGCAATTTCCTCTCACTAACTCATTCAAAATTGTAGGATACTGGTCAGATCTCCGGTTTCGTTGCCATGCCCAACTTTGTCAAGAACTTTGCGAACAACGGCACCAAATTCTCCAATGTCCGCGAGGGCACCATCGTCGGCCTTCTCTCCATCGGCACTCTGGTCGGCTCGGTTGCAGCAGGTCCGATTGCGGACGCCTTTGGTCGGAAAAAGTCCATCATCACCTGGTGTGTCGTCTTCATCATCGGCGTCATCATCCAGATTGCAACCATGACCAGCTGGATTCAGATTGCCGTGGGCCGCTTGGTTGCCGGCTTTGGGGTTGGCGGGCTCTCCGTCTTGACTCCCATGTATCAGTCCGAGACCGCACCCCGCCAAGTTCGAGGCGCAATGATTTCGGCCTACCAGCTCTTCATCACCTTTGGCATCTTCCTCGCGTATTGTGTTAGTAGTGCCAATCAACATCCGTGATATTCGGCTTACTGACGTGACGGAAACAGATTAACTACGGCACCGAAGCCATCCAAAGCAGAGCATCCTGGCGCATCACCATGGGCATCGGATTCATCTTCCCCACCGTCATGATTGCCGGCATCATGTTCCTGCCCGAATCACCGCGCTGGGAGTACCGCAAAGGCCGAATCGACTCATGCCGCACCACCATTGCCAAATCTTACGGCGTGCCGGAAGATCACCCGGAAGTGGTCAAGGAGTTGCACGACATCAAAGAGAAATTCGACGCCGAGATGGTCAACGGTGTGAAGGCGCCCTGGTACGAAGTCTTCACCGGTCCTCGCATGGCTTATCGCACGCTCCTCGGTATTACGCTTCAGGCCCTGCAGCAGCTCACCGGAGCAAACTTCTTCTTCTACTACGGCACATCGATTTTCACGTCCATCGGCCTGTCGAATTCCTGTAAGTCCTCCACCACTTCTTGGCCCTTCCTTCCACTAACCCATCCTTTCCAGTCGTCACGAGCATGATTCTCGGCGGCATCAATTTCGGCAGCACCTTCCCCGGCCTCTACGTCGTCGAGCACTTTGGTCGCCGCAAAGCCCTAATCACCGGCGGCCTCTGCATGTTCGTGTGCTTCATGATCTTTGCCTCTGTGGGTAGCTTCTCGCTGCAACCAACAGCCACAACCGACGCCGCCGGCACCATCACCTACCACAACAAGACGGCCGGGACGGTCATGATTGTCTTTACATGCCTCTTCATCGTCTCCTACGCCATGACGTGGGGACCAATCGTTTGGGTACGTGTTTCCCTACCATTGTCGCTGCCATGCACCAACTAACACTTCTGATACAGGCCCTCGTCGCCGAAATCTACCCCTCGCAATACCGCGCCCGCAGCATGGGCTTCGCCACCGCCTCCAACTGGATCTGGAACTTCCTCATCTCCTTCTTCACCCCCTTCATCGTGTCCGACATCAACTTCCGGTACGGGTACATTTTCGCCGCGTGCTGCTTCGCCGGCGCCGTCATCGTGTACCTGTTTGTGTGCGAGAGCCAGGGCCGCCGCTTGGAGGAGATTGATACCATGTATGTGACCAAGGTGCCGCCGTGGAGGAGTAGTAAGTGGGTGCCGCCGGCGGATTTGTTGGAGGGTGATAAGAAGGTTGAGGGGGAGCAGCGTGATGGGGATATGGAGAGGGTGGAGAAGGTGTGATGCATTCTTTGGTGTTGTTGGTAGATTTTGTACAGGCATTTATTCGGCAGTTTTTGGACGACCAGTCTATTGTGTTCCTATTTTTCCATGATCTCTCGGCTGGAGAGCTTCCAGGGCGCATTTGTGCCGTTTTCAGTCTGCATGTTCTCGACCTTCTAAGAGGACGAACGACAGGGCGCGAGAACCCCAACCTAAACCAACCAACAACCCCCATCCCTCACCATCTACCGCGGCCCGCCCTTCTTCCTCCCCCCAAGCATATCATCCACCATATCATTCCAAAGCTGCTTCATCAAACTCGCCTGCTCCTCAGCAGGCACCTCGCGATCCTTAATCTTCTTCAACCCCGCCGCAACCCGATCCGCCATCGCATGGAAATCAATATTCAGTCCATGCCCGTCGCTCAAATCCGCTAGAGGAGTGAAGACCGCGTCGGCAGACATGGTGCTGATTTCGGGCTTCATGACTTGTTCTGTCGTAGCGGTTTGCGATAGCTCGGGGTGCGAGGTTGTGGTTGTTGTGGAGCCTGTGAAGATTATGGGGACTCGGAGGGGGGGTTCGACGTAGGGGTCTACGTTTGCTGAGGGGAGGTAGGCGAAGTCTATTGTGCTGTTGTCTCGGACGGCTTTGAGGGAGTGGGTTGTTGTGAAGGGTCGTGCGGTAGGAGGGAGTGGGATTTGGCGGTGGCGGAGTTGATGGTTTCGTCGACAGGCGAGGCGGAGCGCGAGCTGAGATGTGCTTCTTGAAGCAGCCATGGTGAGTCCTGGCTGCTGGGAGAGACGGTCGAACGGTGAAGGGGTGCGTGCTATCTGCGATGCATGATGCAAGTAAGTGATGATGGCGGCGGCATTGGCTTGAAGTGGAAGAAAGCTCGGAGCTGGCTTTGCTGCCTCAGGCATACATAAAATTACTGGTGCTGACTTCACTTCACTTCACACAACGATATCCATCCATCATCCTTCTGCTCTTTCGGAGCATTATTCCGTGCTTCAAGTGCCATCTATATGTCATCCTGTCTGATCGAGAGAGCATGACATCGAGCCATCCCGCCGGAGTCATGGTGGGCACCGAGGACCAGTCGCTCTTCGTGAGCGGGAGTCTGCACTGTGCCTCATCCACGCGATGGCGAGCTGTTACGGCACGGGCCCCATTTGTCGTATCCCAACAGCTTGAATGGTCGTCCATCTATATTCAGCAGACAGCCTAAGATGTGACGCCATGGCCGAAACACCTCCGTCCGCTTCGAATGGCTCGTACTCCGTGCAAATACCGATCAGGCTCGGGTGTCCGCATGCCCTCCGCCGTTTGACCCTAAATCACGATGAAAGTGACGTGTTGCCTGTACTGATGGCGAGACTCCCAGACGGCAACTTATCTCACTGGTGGAATCATCTCGGCCCAGCACTCTGCCGATGCAATGGCGATGCAGCTGGCCGTGGAGAACGACGTTATGAAACATGCCCAGACGATCGTCAAGTGGATATCCCGCGGCAATGGACGATTCTTTGCAGAAGGCTGCTCGTTGTGATACCAACACCGACTAGCAACTCACTGCATGACCGTGAATGATGCATGTGACGTTGGCTCACACTTCCCTCGTTCCTGCCTAATCTGGAAAGTACGATCACGTCACCCTATGTCTTGTACCACCGTGAACAAGCCCGGCAATCTCCGAGCCGTCACTCTGTTGCGCTCTGAAGTTTGTTGCATTTCACTTGCATGACCAGAGTTTGCTTGGCGTTTCTTCACTGCAACAACAAGCTCAACCTTTCCTTGTCTTCTCCAACTTCCTTCAATCCTCCCCTTCCATCCCACATTCGCAAAGTCTTTCATCACTCTATTGTCACAGATTCTGCATGTCGGATCATACATCCAAGAAGAAAAGCAAGAAGGGCAGAGTGCCGGGACCGCCTCACCCCAACCTTCCCTACCCTCCACCTTCTCCACCACTCCAGGCCTCTTCGCCACCAATGGAACCCCTGTCACCCCAAATCAAAGCTGAAATGGACGATGCCATCAAGCAAGAGCTGCCAGCCGATGCCAAGAATGTCACCACCACCTCGCTTGGCTCTCTTCAGAACAAAGACTCTCGTCAGGTCATGGACATTGTCGACCGCCTCCGCCGCAGTGGCCTCAGCGGTGAGCTCCAGCTCCCTCAGCTCGTTGTCTGTGGTGACCAGTCCTCCGGCAAGAGCTCCGTCCTCGAAGCCATCACCGAAATCCCCTTCCCCCGCAAAGAGAACTTGTGTACTCGCTTCGCCACAGAAATCATCCTGCGTCGTGCCACCTCACCCTCCATCTCAACAAAGATCATTCCAGACAAATTCCGCGCTGCCACCGAAAAGACACGGCTGGAAGGGTTCAAGGCTTCCATCGTCGACTTCAGCGAGCTGCCGAACCTCATCGATGAAGCTACAAAGCTCATGGAAGCCGGAAGGGATGAGGGATCTGGACAGCGAGCCTTCTTCCGTGACGTGCTGAGCATCGAGATTGCTGGGCCTGGACGTCCTCACCTCACTCTCGTCGACTTGCCCGGTCTGATTCACACCGACACCCAGTACCAGTCGAAGGAGGATGTCGAGCTCATTCACGGTCTCGTGCAGGATTACATCTCAGAGGTGAGTTTCTTCGCCAATCCCACGGCTTCCTCTGCCGGCCATATTATGCAATGACGACCCAGCTGACAACCCTCACCCACAGAAACGCACCATCATGCTGGCTGTTGTGTCTGCCAAGAATGACTACGCCAATCAAGTAATTCTCAAGAAGTGCCGCGATGTCGATCCAAAGGGCCTTCGCACCTTGGGGATCATCACAAAACCTGACTATCTGGAAGCGGGCTCCGCTGGCGAGCAGGCGTTCATCGACCTGGCCAACAACCGCGATGTCACCTTGTCTCTTGGCTGGCACATGCTCAAGAACCGTTCGGCGAAAGAGATAAACAACACCTTCGGCGAACGCAACGCTTCGGAAGCCGCTTTCCTCAGCAAAGGAAGTTATCGCGATCTTCCTGCCGACTCACTTGGAATCGAAGCGCTTCGCACTCGCCTCAGCCACCTCCTGTACAAGCATCTGAAGACGGAATTGCCGGCCCTTCAGAAAGAGCTCAACGAGAAGCTCATTGAGGTGACGCATGGCCTTGAGTTGCTCGGTGACAAACGCTCCACCCCTCAAGAACAGCGTCGCTTCCTCATGACTGTCGGCACGAACTACCAGGACATCGTCAACGCCGCCGTCAAAGGACACTACGAAGACACCTTCTTCGGCAGCCTCGCGCCCAACGAATCCGTCGATCATGAGAAGAATATGCGTCGCTTGCGCGCAGTGGTCCAATATCTCAACCAGCAGTTCGCTCAGGTTATGCGAGAGTATGGGCAGGCCTCCAAGATCACACTGAAAGCCAACTTCCTTCGGAGCCTTGCTTTCTTTGACGAGGAAGTGCCAAAGCCGAGCACACTTGATGATGGATATGCCGAATTCGCGCAATACCAAGAGGAGATCACTTGCGCCGATGCCATCCAACGTGTCAGCAGTATCCTTGTTCGATCCCGTGGACGTGAGCTGCCATGCACCTTCAATCCGTTGCTCATCAGCCAGCTGTTCTGGGAGGAGTCTCGGAATTGGAAGCTCATTGCCGAATATCACATCGACCGCGTCGCCGAAATCTGCTCTGCATTCGTCCGCACTGCCATCGCATTCACAGTCAGTCCTGACGTCGGAGACAACTTGCTGTCGCTCAAAGTTGACACCGCCCTTCAAACCCGACTTTCTGCTGCCAAGAAGGAGTTGACGAACATCATCAATGACACCAAACGCCATCCAATCACTTACGATCCCGCCTACGTCGACACAGTCCAACAGCGCCGGAACGATGTGTATGCTGCAAGGATGAAGCAATTGGCCGATGAGTTCGAGACAACTAGCTTCACTGCGCGAGAGAAAGGCGCGTGCCTGCAGAGCAATGTCATCAACGCAGATGCGCTCAAGGCTGCCCTGGCCGAGCGTCGCAATCTTGACATGGAGAAGGCGTCTGCCGAAGAGGCCCTGGATGACTCTCTTGCATACTACGAAGTAAGTCATCACATCTCCCCCTGGCAAGCTTGTTGTGTCTAACACCCATCCTCAGGAAGAAGTGAAGTACTTCATCGCCGCGGTCACCAAGCAGGTCATCGAGCGTTACCTCCTCACCGATCTCGCCGCCGATACCATCTCTCCCATCATCGTTGGTGAAATGAGCGATGACGAGGTTGGCTTCGTTGCGGCCGAGCCGGAAGAGACAACGCGCCAGCGTCAATCTCTGGAAGCTCGCAAGGCTACGCTGGAGAAGGGTCGGCAGACTTTCAAGTCGGCTCTGGGATTGATGGGGCGTGCCGGGGTGCGTTGATGGGGAGAGGGCAGGATGGATGCGCACTACGGGCGAGCGAGTGATCGGGAAAGGTGGTTGATGTCTATGGTGAAAGGATGCGAGGCGAGAGGCAAAGCATCAGGCGCAATTCTGGTAGTATTAGGTTCATCAGTGTTTTGATATGACTCTCCGCCGTGATGTTTCTGCCATTTCTGTCATCTTGCCAACAGTCTCCTCTGTCGACGAGAATCTCCCGACAGAAAAAGCCAGATTTACAGCATTGATCGTGCTGTCAATCTGGTGATGCATGCATGCAGCATCCCCATCGAGCCTTCCCCTTTCGGGGCGGGGCCGAGCTTGAAGTCTGACCACATCACAACTCCGTCATACATTTCGAATACGCGCCGACTCGACACATCGCAAGCTTAACACAAGTCAAACCACACGTCGAAATGTCGGCGTCCATTGTTCCGGGATGGTATCCGCCATCAAGAGAGAACTGGGAGCTCATAGTGCAGGTGTTCAAATATTTCCCACTGGTGAGTAGCGAAGACGCGCCGCATCCGCAACAGCCCGCCGCCTGCGCAGACCACTGACAACCACTGCCGTAGGTCGCGATTTCCCAACTATTCATGACCTGGTACCCGCAAGGCAAAACGTCCGTGGAAAGCAGATGGAACCTCAACGGCCGCTTGGCATGGGCGATCATGGAATCCCCGGGCTTCCTCACCCTCCTCTACTGCATGTGGACCATCCCGCAACAGCAAGGCATCGCCACCCTGCCCTGGGCCAACTGGACGATGGCGGGCATGTTCACGATCCACTATGTCTACCGCGGCTTGCTGTCGGCCCTCTGGCTCAACCCCAGCATGTCGCCCATCCACATCTTCGTCTTCCTCATGGCCTTTGCCTTCAACACCGTCAACGGGCTCTCGCTCGGCGGTTGGCTGGGCGGCTATGGACCGACGACGGTACATGATTGGAGCGGCCGGCTGTACGAGATTGAAATCGGCCTCGTCATCTGGGGTTGGGGCCTGATGGCAAACATCTTCCACGACGACGATTTGCGCGAAATCCGCCGCGCAGCTATGCGGCGGCAAAAGGCGCAAGCGGAAAAGGACGGCAAGCCGCTAGAAGGGGTGAAGAAGTACTACATGATGCCGAAGAATGGGCTGTTCCACTTTGTGCTGTACCCCCATTACTTGTGCGAGTGGTTTGAGTGGGCGGGCTTTTGGTGCGTGGGAGGGTGGCATTGCGTGCCGGCGCGCACGTTTCTGATCAATGAGATTGCCACCATGACGCCCAGGGCGATTCAGGGGAGGAGGTGGTACATTGAAAAGTTTGGGAAGGAGAAGGTGGGGAACCGAAAGGCCGTCATTCCTGGTTTGCTGTGAGCACCCGTCTCTTGGCGTGGGAGTGCGATCTGCGGTTGAGCATCCACGATTGCCACTGGTGCGGATGGGGGCGAGGGGGGCATCCCGGACGGACTGCCGATTGGGACTTATGATGACTGCTCCGATATTGCATGGTGTTACAATCATCCACATAGCGTATGTCTACTTTGTGAGAGGTGAAAAGAGGATCAGTATCACAGATATTAATGAGGTGGCACGCTTTGAAAAGGAGGGCTCGGCGATATTTTACCTGAGACAAACCGCTGAGAACCAGCAAAGATTGGCCTTGCATTTTGCGGCAATCCCAGCGGTCGGGCGCTAGCATGTTTTACTAAGCTCCAGCAATGCTCCGACGGGCACAACGGCGAGAGCGGTGACGAAAATGTACCAAGCAACGGTACTTCATCATGATCTACACCGCCGGGAGACGCGGAATGCTGCATCAGCACTTCATCCAGTCACCTCCCCCTCTCCAGCTGAGTAGCACATCCTTCGCGCTGCTGGTGTGACACGACACGAGCGCACGCGAGACAGCAGGTTACAGGATTTATTTTGGCTGTCGCGCGCGCGCGCTCTGCTGCAGGGCGCGTCACCCGTCGTTCGTTTGCATCATGCTGCACCTCACGCTGCCGAGCCCCGCTGAGCCAGGTACCGGAGATTATCACGTCTCGCCTCTATCAGCAAAAGGCCTCGTCGCAGAATATTCCATCGCAGCAGCGTGCAATTTGGCCGAGGCAGCCAGCGAGAATTCGCAGATCAACAGAGCGAGCGGCGTGAAGGACGATGGTCTCATCATCACCACGGCAATCTTAATCCAAAAGGCGCGGCGCCTTCTCAAATTAAAAGCAGACGTCGAGATGCGCGGGCGAGTGGTTGGCTTAAGGGAGGGTACCTGCGCCGGCCCGTCCCCGTCCACCAATCAGAAGCAGCAAAAGCGAGGCTTGGCTCCGAAGCCTCCGATAGCCTTTGCGCTATCACCTCCTCCTCCCCCTTAAATCGCCAATCGTCGCCCCGACCGCCGCCGCAGTGGGGCATTCGCCGTTATGACACGAAATTGCAGGTCGGCATTAGTTCACAGGGGGATGATGAGCAGTGCTCGATGCGATGCGCTGGGCGGCGAGGCGCAGATGCCACGCCCAGCTAGCTGGCCCTTCCTCTCCCTCCACCACACCACCCTCTCTTTTCCCTCTGTCAACGGCTCTCTCGCGTTTGCTCTCCTTCTCCTCCCTTCTGCTTCACCACGCCGTCGCTTTGTCTCTCTTAGGGACAGTCCACTCCTTCACCCCAGTCACTCCTTTGTCGTCGTGGTCCAGCTCTTTCGTCGCTCCTTTTCGTCAACGAACCGCATCTCCCCCCTCAACCCACCCCCGATTTTGATCAAACCAACGAAGCACATTCAAGAGTCGGAACATCGACAATGCAGTACCTCAGCAAGCTCGCCGTCGTCGCGGCTCTTGCCTCCTTTGCCCTTGCGCAGTCCAACCCGGCCTATGGCTCGCCGCCTTCATCAGCTTCCACTGCCGGAGCAGTAGCAGACCCGACTGCGGCCGCGTCCACCCCCGTCAGCAACCCCAGCTACGGAGAGCCGTCTTCCTCCTCCCTCGCAGACCCAACTGATACCGCCTCCACCCCCGTCGCGGACCCGAGCTATCCCACCACCGCTTCGTCTTCCGTCGCAGACCCGATCAACACCAGCTCCACCACTTGCACTGATGAAGTGGACCCTACGTCGACTGCCACCGGCTGGGCTGACCCTTCATACCCGTCGTCCAGCTCGTCGGATGTTGTTGGCCCGACTTTCACCTCGACCACGACTGCCACCGGCTGGGCTGACCCGTCTTACCCTACCCCCAGCTCCTCTGACCCCGTCGGGCCTCAATCCAACGCCGGCCCGGCGCCCGGTGCACAGGCGCAACCGACGACCACTTCCACCATCTACAGCTCGTCGACAAGCACCATCACCCTGTGAGTAGCTCTGCAACTGCCGCAGTATGTTTCCCACCCGGCATCGACTGACCCTTGAACAGCACGAGCACTGTCTGGTCCGGCGACGCGGCAGACCCCACCGCTGCGCCCAGCGAGGTGACGGTTGATCTGACGACCACCTCCACCACCATCATCACCCTCGACCTGGCTGCTGCCGCTGCTGCTGCTGCGACCACGACGTGCGGCTCAGGTGAGTACCACACATCGATGGAATTCCGTCAACGACAACACTAACGCGAACCAGGCGCAACGACCACCATCACCGAGACCGAGACCGTTACTGTCACCCCTGGCCTTCTTGCCTCCTATCCCAGTTCGTACCCCCATTTCTCCACCTCCCCTTGACCCTCGTCTAACGCAACGCAACAGAGTGGGCAACCTCCGCCGAAGCCTGGGGCAGCGCGAGCACCTTCGCCAGCGCCGTCAAAGCCACCGCAGCCGCCGCTCCCTTCGACCCCAGCAACGCAAGCCCCGGCTCAACCGGCTGGCCCGCCAACTCCCCCGCCACCAGCGCCGCCTCGCCCGTCGGCCCCGTCTCGACCGCGCAGTCGCAGCCCTGGTACCCGCAAGGCAACGAAACCGACCCTACCGGCGCATGGCCCACGGGCGGCTGGTACCCCAGCTCCAGCGACCCCGTCGGGCCGGCGTCGACCTCGTCTTCCCAGCCTTGGAGCAACCCGGGCTACGGCGCTCCCACCTCGGCCTCCAGCGACCCCGTTGGCCCTGCGTCGACATCGTCCTCCCAGCTTTGGAGTAACCCCGTCTACGGCGCTCCCAGCTCCAGCTCCTACGCGCCCGCTTCCAGCTCCGCGCCCGCTTCCAGCTCCGCGCCCGCTTCCAGCTCCGCGCCCGCCCGTCCCACCAGATCTACATAGTAGACTGGCTTTCAGGATTTAGAGAGCTGTCGGGCACGGGTCGTCGCGCGGCTAGACCGCGACGCTTGCCCTTTGATTTCGTTTATTCGCCTTCATGACTTTTGGATCTACGACGCCTTGAGGGCGTTGGCTGGCGAGTCTTGAGGGTGTTGCTTGCTTGCATCTTTTGTTGTCCTGTCCTGGCTGGAAGGAAGGAAGGAAGGATGGGAAGAGGGGAGCGAAGGGGGAGCCTTTCCATGGATGGATGGGGTTTTCGATCGAGTATTCCCACAACGTCTTTTTTTTTCGTCGACGATTGAAGATGGGGGATTGCTGTTGTGGATGTGGATGTGGATGTAGAGAGTTTAGCTGACGAAAGAGGTCATTGATTACTACGTCTTCACTGTGCTCGTTCGTTTGCGTTCTTAATCATGATGACTTGCGCTCGAGTGCATAAGGTATGCTGCTTCAACCGCCGCCGCTGATTGGCCGGCGTCTCAACCCTCAAAGCCTCGTCTCCCCGCAGCCTCGCGCATCACTACCGTCCCGTCCCTCCTCCTCCACTCCCCCTCCCCGAGCACGCGACGCAAAGCGTCTCGGCCCACACGACGACTTTGTACACCACGCAACGGCGGCCTTGGCGACGGTTTTCGCACTCCTCCACGTTGAGGGGGAAGGGGAAGTCGTGGCCGCAGCGGAAGCGCTTGACGGTGTGGATGCACATTTTGTTTGGTTGTTTTTGGTGGAGGGTTGATTAGTTGGGAGTTGAATGTGGTTGAAGGTGGTTGGGTTTGGGGGGGGGATATAGAGGAGGATGGAGCGGCATTTTATGTATTTGGGATTGGGGGAGATGGTCGTGGTGAATGACAGGCGTAGCAGTTAATGCTGTGAGGGACGTCGGTGAAGGAAGTAGGATTTGGTGAATGGACCAGGGTGACGGGAGGGGGCCATTGGATGTTTGCTGTTTGACTTCGAGAGAATCTGCCTGTTGAAAGGACTATCGGCTACCCAGTCTCGGACGGTGGAGTGACGGGGAATTCGTTCTCATTGTCTTGCGCTCGAGTACATAAGGTATGCTACCTGCACTCAGGCCCAAAGCCTCGTCTCTCATCGCAGCAACCCAGCGCCCAGCTAGTCCCGCTCTCTCAACACCCCGCCCCTCCTCCGGACCCGCCAGACCCACGGCGAGGCATGCAGAGGTAGCAAAGCTCGCTGATCCGCTCGGGGATTCTGCAGATAATGCAAGGTCGGCCTGCGCGATTGTCTTCGCATCGTTCGATGAGAGTTACGTAGCTGGATTCATGGTCACAGCGGTAGCGGCGGACGAGGTAGGTGCACATTGTGTTTTTGATTGGAGGACTGATCAGGTGGCTGTGTGTTGAGGTTTGAGATTGGTGATGAGGTTGGGAATAGACGGTGTATATGGAGGATGGAGCGGCATTTTTATAGATTTGGGGTCGTGGAACGACGGTTGTGGTGAAGACGGGCAGAGGTGAAGGGGATGCGGTGAATGAGGGACAGGTGCAGAAGAAGCAGTAGTAAATGTGTGGCGTGACGGATGGAATGTTTGCTGTTCACCTTCTTGTACGTCTTCGCCACGAGCTTGGCGGAGCCTTACAGGCTTGCCTTTTCGCTACAACATAGCACCACTGACTTTCTTACGAAGAGACATGGGCTCTTTTAGGACATGTGCTCATTGGATGCCGTGCTGCTCGTCGCTTGTTGAGCGTCCGTTCGCCGACGCGTATACTGGGCTGGGGGTGTTGGTGCTTTCATTGCCGATCCGGCTTAGACGGCCACTGCTTCGGTTTATGCTTGAGGGAGTTGAAATCATGGGGTTGGAGTGTGGTTGCGGTTTGGCGATACATATATGCGTCGAGTGCACGGTCCTCACGGTGGAGCAGCTCGTGTGTGGGGAAAGTGAACATCGGCAGTTCCAGCCCGAGCCACGCCTGCATCCTCCTTCCTCACGGGCATTACCCATACGTCAGATACACATGCATTCGCTCCTCCGGCCCGCAGCAAGACTCTCGTCGCAAGCAATTGGACGACGGACCTTCACCTCCACCCGAGCAGTCATGGCCGCGAAACCCGAATGGCTCGTCCTCCTCCCCGACTTTGAGGGAGCATTGGACAAGAGGATGGAAGTGCGACCGTAGGCTTGTCCGTGGCTTCATCCTCTTGACAATATGCTGACCAGTATCAGGAAGCATCTCGAAGCCATCAAGCCGAATGTGAGCTCCGGGAAAATCACCCTCGGCGGTGCAACACTGGACGAGCAGCCGCGCGAAGGCCAGCCGATGAAGATTAATGGCAGCGCCATGCTCGTGTCCGCCGATTCAAAGGAGGATGTGATGAAGCTTGTGGAGAGCGATGTCTACTACGAGAGCCGCGTGTGGGATCCGAGTAAGGTGAGCAGATGACTGCATCTCGTGTTTCCTCACAATCTGCTAATCGAGTGAACGCTTGTGCTGCTTAGATTCAAGTCTTCCCTTTCAAGTCTGCGGTGCGAACTGCTCTATAGCTCAAGACTTCAATCGACGTGCATTGACTATGCTATATTCTACCGTGATAAGATATCCATCGCGGGATGCACTTGATGCGTGCCTGTTTCGCCGACTCGTCTTGTGCTCGATACTATTCTGCCACTCGCCAGAGTCAGAGACCAAATGCCTGTATCTTTCTTACCGTGATTCTGCCTCACCCGTCAACAACCAGTATTATCTGTTCGAACATTGCGCGTTGTTGCTGCGCTGCTGGGCAAAGCGCATTTGTCATCAGCGCTGTGGGCCACTCTTCTCTTTCTACATTCGGAAGGAGCCAGCCGCACCACCAACTACCGTCATCACTTTTTCCACCACCACGGAACCGTTTATCGACATCAAACCTGCCGCATATAATTCAGATCCACCAAGTAAATATCCTCACAACGTGCGCAACCCTAAAGACTTCTCTGCTCATCTGGATGTTCCCATCGTCCCTCCTCCGCAAAAGTCTCAAACCAACACCCACCACATTCCACACACTCACCCACCGCACCATGGCATCCACCACCTCCAATCTTCCCAAAGCAACCTACCGCCAATTAGGCCAGAGCGGTCTGCGCGTCAGCAACCCCATCCTGGGCGCCATGTCCATCGGCGACGCCCGCTGGCAACCCTGGGTCATCGAAGAAGCCGACGCACTCCCGCTCCTCAAAGCCGCGTACGACCGCGGCATCAACACCTGGGACACGGCGAACGTGTACTCCAACGGCGTGTCGGAAATTCTGATCGCGAAGGCTATCAAGAAGTACGCCATTCCGCGGCACAAACTCGTCATCGCGACGAAGTGCTGCGGCACCGTGCGAGAGGGGAATGATGCCGAGACGCTTGCGTTGAAGGACGTCGATAAGACGGTTGACTACGTTAACCAGCGCGGCTTATCTCGACAGGGAATCTTCAATGCGGTGAATGCGAGTTTGCAGCGTCTTGAGACGGATTATATCGACTTGCTGCAGATCCATCGCTTTGATGCGACGGTTCCCGTGGAGGAGACGATGAAGGCGCTGCATGATTTGGTGCAGAGCGGGAAGGTGCGGTATTTGGGGGCGTCGTCCATGTGGGCCGTGCAGTTTGCTAAGATGCAGTGGGTGGCGGAGAGGCATGGGTGGACGAAGTTTGTGAGTATGCAGGGGTATTATAATTTGCTCTATCGGGAGGAGGAGAGGTATGTGGTGGTGGCGGAGAGTCGAACTTGAGGAATCGGCTCGCTGACAGGTCGTTACAGAGAGATGAATCGCTTCTGCTATGAGACTGGGGTTGGACTGATACCGGTATGAGTGCGAAGACGACTTCTCCGACGTTGGCAGCAATGCTAACACTTCGTCTCTAGTGGGGCCCGCTTTCACAAGGCTCTCTCGCTCGCCCAGTGGCAGAAACAGGGCAAACGACTCGATCGCAAGGCAAGGAAATCACCACGGAAGCCGACAAGGCCATCATCCAACGTGTACAAGAGCTGGCGGAGAAGAAGGGCTGGCCCATGGCGCACGTTGCTTTGGCTTGGATCAATGCGCGCATCAGCAGTCCCATCATTGGCTTCTCGAGCGCCAAACGTATGGATGAAGCTGTTGAAGCGGGTGGCAAGGCTCTCAGCGAGGAGGAAGAGCGGTATCTTGAGGAGCCGTATTTGCCGAAGCAGGTTGCGGGCTTCGATACTTCGCTGAAGATCGTACGTCGCTATGGATGGCACTTGACTTGAGATTCGTGCTGACATTGACTCTAGCCTAAGCCAACTTGATTGACAAGGGGCAAGAAGGAGGGCGAAGGGGGTGAACACGGGAATGTCGTAACATGGTCTGAAAGTCGATCGGCAGGCGCCAAAGTGGTCACAGCATGTCCCGGCGGCTGCGGCCAACCTTGTCGGTCAGCAGTAAAGGAAGGTAGGCAAAGCAAGACGTCGCAGCATATCACAACCTTGGAAAAGTATTCTGCCAATGGTCGGTCGGATTTCCGAAAGGAAGCGCCGAGAGTAGCTTGCTCAGCGAGTGTGATGTGATGTGGCGGAAGCTTCTCACCTTTGGAGCTCGAGACTCGAGCCGACCGCGTGGCGCACATGCAGGACCTCACTGTGATGGGAGGGATTGTGCGAGGCTTGATCCTAGTCGACTGACCGATCCAGAACGCCATGGTGGTGTTCGGATCATGCTGATTGTTCCTGTTTCAGTCTCGACGCAGGGACGAGCAATCAGCTTGCACCGATTTCGAGTGAAGCCCTGCGTCTGATAGTGTCGATCTCCGTTGAGACCAACAGCGATAAGACGATCATCTGCAATGGAGACAAATGCCGGCAAACAAGCACATCTGGAGATACAATGCCAATTGCCGAAGTTCCCGACAAGCCATTGACCTATGTGGTGACCAAGTGGAAATGAACCAACTCCTTTCCGTCAACCTCACCACTGCATTCCGTCGGAGACTCGGAGTCGATCAACAGAAAGAGGAGAGCAGTGTTTCAATCGAGGTCTAGCCGGAGAGCCAGAGGCAGCGAGGTGAATTAAGCTCGGAGCCATTCTCGCGACGCCCCGCCCTCCCCGCCAATCAGCGGCCAGCCCCGCGAAAGCTTAAGTCTGTGACACTGGCGATCGACGGAGTGGTTGGATGGGAGCCTCGCGCCAACCGCCCAGGGCGACGTTGGGTGACGAGGAGCGCATGCAGGGCGGAGGATGTGGCCCATTCCTCGAGATAGGCGGAGGGGGAGGTTGCTCGATGCTGCTTGCTACCGTGGTCGTCTCGTCTGCCAAGGTTACTTATGTATGTCCCAGGCGTTTCATCTCGTCTCGAGTCTTTTGTCTCGTTTCTACCTCGAGGTATCCTTCCCGTCTGCTACGTCCGCCGTATCTGGTGTCTGACGGACTGCGACCTTCAGTTTTGAATAGCTGGTCTGCGCTGACGACGGCAAACATGCGCTCTTTCACTTGGACACTGCTCTTCCTCCTCCTGCGGCTGACGGGCATCGAAGCCTACTACGGCATCGACTACAACGCCAAAGCGGCCTACTTCAACTTCGCCAACGCCAAGCAGGAAAGCCTGTATGTATTTGCGCTCAACATCGTGCCCGACACGGGCGACGTCTACTTCCACATGTCGGGGCCGATCCGGCACTCGTGGATCGGGGTCGGGTTCGGCGACTCCATGATCGACGCCTTCATGATGATCGCCTATCCCTCCGCCGACGGGCTGAAGACGATCATCAGCCCGCGGATATCGGACGGCCACTATGAGCCTGTGTGGGACCCTTACTCCACCGTCGACGGGGTGTACAACGACACCTACGCGCCCAACGCCAACAGCGTCACCGACAACGGCACGGCGACCATCATCGCCCATTCGGTCTGCAGGAACTGCACAACCTGGATGACGAAGAATGGGCCTCGCTCGCTCGACATCACCAGCAAGTCGTACCCCTTCATCTTCGCGCTGGGCCCCAACGTCACTTTCCGCTCCGACTCGCTGGAAGCCAACATCCCTCGTCACGCCTTTGTCGGCAGCTTCAACATGAACCTGGTGGCGGCGACGAATGCTTCGGGGTGGTATGGGCGAGTCCCGGCGCCGAATGTGCCGCATTTCCCGTTCCCGCCCAACGATACTGCTTTTGCCAATTTTGCTTCCACGCCTGCTTATGATACGAGGCTGTTCAACGACCCCTTGCCTGGTGCACATGGGGCGTTGATGCTGGTCGCCTTTGTGCTCCTATTCCCATTTGGTGCGCTGGTCATGGGCTTCTTGAGAAGAGTGCTGTGGCATGCGGCAATTCAAGGCGTGGGCTTCGTCTTAGCTTTTGCTGGATTCGGAGTCGCCCTGCACTTTTCCTACCAATACAACAAGGTACGTTTGTGAGTATGCCGTGGTGGTATGCGCTTTTCTGACACCCTCACAGTCCAGATACTACAACTCACCGCATCAAATTATTGGCTTCATCGTTCTTGGTGGTCTGCTAATCCAGCTCGGACTTGGCCTCGTGCATCACACTCTTTACCGCGCCAGCCATGCTCCGACGCCATTCGGTCGGATACACATGCTGCTCGGTCCGCTGGTGATGATCGGAGGGCTGGTCAACGGCGGACTTGGATTCCACTTTGCAGGTGAGCAATCCCCTTACAAAATTCATCCTCGCAATTCAGCTGACATCGAGTCCAAGACAACCATCAGTACATCGTCCCCTACGCCATTGTCGTGGCCATCATCGGCTTCATCTTCCTCCTCACCATCAGCTGCGTCATCTGGCTGCGAAACAGACGGAAATACAAGCCGGAGGAAGACAAAGACGCGTCGATCGTACAGTCGTCCGCGGACAGCGACAGCGGGTACGAAATGTCGGTCTCCAAGGCGTTTGGAGAGGAGCCGCCGGCGCCGTACGAGGTGCCGACGACTCCTTACTCGGCCTCCTTTTTGCCCATGGTCCCCGCCCCGTACTCGCCTGCGGTGCCGTACACGCCTATTTCGGCGTATACGCCGAGTTCGTGGAAGAAGGAGGAGATGAGCAGTTGGCCGCCGGATTACTTTGCGCAGCAGCACCATTTTAAGGATCGGTGGACGTGAATCCAACGTTCTGAGGAGGAGTTTGTTCTGCAGACTTGCGCTTCTCTGGCCTCGACTTTCCACGGAGTTGGAGGAATGGGGTTGGCTACTGAACTTGACTTGCCATCGTTGGAGGCACGACAATCTCGTGGACTGCGCACGTGACAGGTGAGAAGCTCCGACCACCTGGCGACGAGGCTCAGTCATGTTGGCCAAGTGGCTTCCGACGAGCACGACCCGGCTTTCGGTGGCATTCGTCATGTTATGAGAAGGCTGAGAAGAGCAATCCTTGAGGATGCGGCTGAAAGGGAGCCAAGAATGTCTCGGATTTGCTTGTGAAGGGGGGTCATCAATCAGCATATAGAGGAACAGTCTTGACAATGCCGCTGCTTCCACTTCTCCGTTCGCACGTCAAGGATGAGATGATTCCAAAGTTGAAAGGCTTCTATGAATGAAAAGAACATCAGGAGTGGTCGCGTGTAAGGAACAGGTTATATTTCGTTGAAGTCAGACGGAAACACGTGCTTCGGAGAGATTGGTATGGTTCGAGAACGGCGAGCTGTGATTGGCCGATGGATTGCGTCACTCAAGCTGACTTTTTTTCTTCCCACCACCCTCAATGCCAACCGTGACGAGACCCTGCTCTTCTCCCTCTTCTTCCCCACCTCCGCCTTACATTATCCTCCTCCTCCCCCAACCCATTCCCCCTCTCTCACCCACCCAACATCCTCAAATACCGATCAATCAGCACCATGGTGCAGTCCTCCATCCTCGGCTTCCCCCGCATGGGCAAGCTGCGTGACCTCAAAAAGGCCACCGAAGCGTACTGGGGCGGTAAGCTGTCCGCCGACGAGCTGCTCGCCGAGGGCAAGCGTCTCCGTCTCGAGCACTGGAAGATTCAGAAAGCCGCCGGCGTCGACATCATCCCCAGCAATGACTTCGCCTACTACGACCAGGTCCTCGACCACATCCAGATGTTCGGCGCCGTGCCCGAGCGGTACAGCAAGCACAACCTCTCCACCCTCGACGAGTACTTCGCCATGGGCCGTGGCCACCAAAAGGACGGCGTCGACGTGCAGAGTCTCGAGATGGTCAAGTGGTTTGACTCCAACTACCACTACGTCAAGCCTACTCTTCAAGACAACCAGACCTTCAAGCTGAACGCCGACCCCAAGGCCGTGCGTCACTACCTCGAGGCCAAAGAGGCCGGCATCAACACCCGCCCCGTCATCCTCGGCCCCGTCTCCTTCCTCCACCTTGGAAAGGCGGACCGAGGACAGAGCGTCGACCCCATCTCCCTCCTCGACAAGCTGCTCCCCGTCTACGAAGAGCTCCTCAAGAAGCTCAAGCAGGCTGGCGCCGAGACGGTGCAGATTGACGAGCCCGTCCTCGTCTTCGACCTCCCCTCCAAGACCCGCAACGCCTTCAAGCCTGCATACGAGAAGTTGACCGCCCTGCAAGGCAACAGTGGCCCGCAGCTCGTGCTGGCCACCTACTTCGGCGATATCGTGCACAACTTTGACACCGTCGATGCCGCCCTCAAGAACCTGCACGGTCTGCATGTCGACCTTGTGCGCCACCCCGAACAGCTTGGCCCGGTCATTGAGCACCTCGGCCCCAATCAAATCCTCTCCGCTGGTGTTGTTGACGGACGTAACATCTGGAAGACCAACTTCAAGAACGCCATCGAGCTCATCGAGACCGCCGTTCAGAAGCTCGGCAAGGACCGCGTCATTGTTGCCACGTCCAGCTCCCTCCTGCACACCCCGCACACCCTCGAGAGCGAGAAGAACCTGGACGCCGAAGTCCGCGACTGGTTCTCCTTTGCTGTTGAGAAGGCCACCGAGGTTGCCATTCTTGCCAAGGCCGTCACCGAGGGCCCGGCGTCTGTCCGTGAGCAGCTCGAGGCCAACGCAAAGAGCATGCAAGCCCGTGCATCCTCCAAGCGCACCAACAACCCCGAGGTGAAGAAGCGACAACAGGCCGTCACCAAGGAAATGTACAGCCGCAAGCACGAGTTCCCCGCGCGATACGAACAGCAGAAGAAGCATCTCAACCTCCCCATCTTCCCCACCACCACCATCGGCTCTTTCCCCCAGACCAAGGACATCCGTGTTGCGCGCAACAAGTTCACCAAGGGCGAGATCACCGCCCAGGAGTACGAGAAGTTCATTGAGAAGGAGATTCGCGACTCCATTGCCATTCAGGACGAGCTGCAGCTCGATGTCTACGTGCACGGCGAGCCCGAGCGCAACGACATGGTGCAGTACTTTGGCGAGCGTCTGGACGGGTATGTATTCACCACCCACGCCTGGGTCCAGTCCTACGGCTCGCGATGCGTGCGACCGCCCATTGTCGTCGGCGACATCTCCCGTCCCGGCCCGATGACGGTCAAGGAGAGCAAGTACGCCGTCAGCGTCAGCAAGAAGCCCATGAAGGGCATGTTGACTGGACCGATCACCTGCCTCCGATGGTCCTTCCCGCGTGACGACGTGCACCAGTCCGTGCAAGCCGAGCAGCTTGCCCTGGCGCTCCGTGACGAGGTCGTCGACCTCGAAGAGGCCGGTGTCCTCGTCATCCAAGTCGACGAGCCCGCGTTGCGTGAGGGTCTTCCCCTCCGCGCCGGCGCCGAGCGCGAGAAGTACCTTAGCTGGGCTGTCGACAGCTTCAAGCTGTCCACCGCGGGCGTGCAAGACTCGACGCAGATCCACTCCCACTTCTGCTACTCCGAGTTCCAGGACTTCTTCCACGCCATCGCCGCCCTCGACGCTGACGTACTCTCCATCGAGAACAGCAAGTCGGACGCCAAGCTGCTCAAGGTGTTCATCGACGAGGCCTACCCGCGCCACATCGGCCCGGGCGTGTACGACATCCACTCGCCGCGTGTGCCGGGCGAGCAGGAGATCAAGGATCGCATTGAGGAGATGCTCAAGTACCTCAAGCCCGAGCAGCTGTGGATCAACCCCGACTGCGGCTTGAAGACGCGTGGCTGGGACGAGACGAAGAAGAGCTTGACCAACATGGTGCAGGCTGCGCAGTATTACCGCCAAAAGTACAACAAGTAAAGAGGATATGATTTGATAAGGAGTATTGATCGAGGGAAAGAAAAGAGGGGGAACAAAGGGAGAGCAGCAGCGCTTTTCAACTTGCTTGCTTGGCTCGAGTGGGGTGGCGTGGAGTGGAGGGATGGAATGACTTGTGATGAATGATTCAACATGTGATACCCGAGAATCTTATCTTCTTTCAACTTGTGTGTCTTTTCACTCTTCACCCTGGCGTGACCGCGTTGTTTACCGTTGTAGTATGGAGGGACATGGGCGGGGTGGGCAAGTCGAGCACTTTCGTGCTGATTTTCCATCACCATTGGCCATCAATGTCCTCGCACACAGCCTTCATCTCCTTCCGTGGGCTTCGCATGACCTCTCAATCAGGCCCCTCCTCATCCTCATCCTCACTCCCCCTCTTCCTCTTCCCTCCCTTCCCAACCGCACCGACCCCTTTCCGCCTAAAAACATACGTCCTCGCCCCCCTCTCCTCCCCCCTCCACCCCCCCTCCCCAACTAAATTCCCCAACGTCCTCGCATGCCTATACCCCGGATACAACCCCGCATCGAATTTGAAACTCCGCTCCACCTCAAGGCCAGAATGCCGGGCTAAATCGCGGATGTTCCAGAGGGTGTAAGGGGCGCCGTCGAAGAGGGTGATGAGAATTTGGCCGCTGCGGGGGGCGAGGAGGGGAGGGGAGGTGTTTGAGGTGCAGGAGGCGAAGAAGGAGACCAAGAGTTCTTGGTTTGCGCGCACTTGACGGTTCACGTCGGTGGATTTGCCGCCTATGTGCGGGAAGTTGAAGAGGATTTTGTCGAAGCCGTGCGCCGCCGCTTCGCCATGGTTGCCGGCGGCTGCTGCTGCTGCTGCTTTGATGACCGCTTTGTTGCGCTCTAGTTTTGTTGCGTCGACGTTGTGTAGCACTGTTTGTCCTGCTTCTTCGAGCGCGCGGATGTGCTCTTCTGCTTGCGGGGCGTATTTTGCTAGGAGCTCTGTGCGGGTGTCGAGACTTGTTGCTGTGAGGTTGTGGCAGGCGTGGTGCTCGACTAGGCTTGCGGCGAAGGAGAAGTCGCCTTCGCCTACGAGGAGGATGCGGTCGGAGGGGTCGAAGGGGATGGAATTGCCGGCTTGGTGAGATGATGGAGCTGTTGAGGCTGTACTGCCGAGTTTGGCCTTCTTCTTCTGCTGCTGCTGCGCGGGTGGATGAGCTCTCCGATGCGCATCATCTTTCCCTCTCTTCCTCTTCGCCATTGGCGCTACTCATTCCTAGCCCCTCCTTCCCTCCTCGTCTGCTCCCGCCGCGGCGGTCAGCTTCTTCGTCATCCGCGGTGCGGGATGGTGTGGTGTGGTGCACGACTCAGTTCCAACCTCAGCGGGACCAGGGTCAGCCACGTGCTACGCGCAAACACGCAACCAAACCCTGCGCGAGCTGTTGCATGGCCGCCACAGCCGTGACACAACCGGCTCGCGCGTGCTCGCTTCTACACTTCATCCAAACCTTAAATCCAAGAAGGGTAAATGGGGCAGCTGATCAATCGCCTCGGATCGGCGCGGAATTCCTGGGTAGTTCTATGAAGAAGGATGGGCGGGCCGCTTGGCACGTCATTGGGAGGAGGCCAGTGCCCCACCTTCTCTCTTTTCCCTTTTGCTTTCTCCGGGTAAACTTGGGACGCTGGTTGGTGCGTGGGCGCGCGCCGCCCCGCCAGATAAGGGACGACGGAAAGAACGGATTTGGTGTGTATCTTTGTAGCGGTGACGGCGCGTATCATGTAACGCCAACTGGTGGGGAGGTGGGGCCTTTTTTCGTTTGATACAGTATGGCACACCGGAGATGAAGGGATGGGAAATTGTTTGGGTGTGTGTGTGTGTGTGTGTGTGTGTGTGTGTGTGTAGCAGGATGAGTGCCATTGCTCTCTGTACTGTAGGTAGGTAGGTAGGTACTGGGAATCCAAAACGCTATCAAAATCATTTCCAAGGGATACTCTGCTCTAGAGTTCGCCTTGTTTTCCTCCCGGGTGACGCCTTGCTGGAACGCTTGCAATTGTAGTGGATGGTTTGAGTTGGTGTAGGTTGCGGAAGATGGCCTTGGATGGATCCCTCGACGGCATTGTAAACGGACGGGTTAGAGTGTAGTCCGTTGTCCATCTTGTGGACGGCAATGTCATCGTCGACGAGGTTGAGGCGGTTATTTGGGTAGTCGGTAGATTGTCGAGATTGTCCTTCATCCGATCATATCCACCGACACCGACCGATCCGACATGGCCGACGTGGGCGACGACGACGGCGATACGCTGTCGAAGCTGTCGCCGAGCGTAAAGACCTTGCGCTGATACTCGATCGCCTTCTTCCGCGCGTACTCGTCCGCCGACATGTTCATATCGACGTCGTCGGCGCCGAAAACGGGGAAGTTGCGCCAGTCGCGACACCCCTTGCACGCCTTCATGTCGGCCACTAGGTTCCCGTAGATGCGCGGGTGGCTGATGCGCAGGCAGCGCGAGGGGCGCGCGTCGAGCGGCACGGGCATCATCATGGCCTCGATTTTGGGATCGGAGGCGCGGGAGCAGCGGGGGAGTTGGCTGATGCTGGCATTGGAGGTGGTCGAGACGGCGCTGATGGTCGAGCCGCCGCTGGCTTGTCGGCGGATGCGGAGGGATTTCTTGGTGTGCAGCACTGGTCGCGGTCGGTCGTCGTCGAGCTCGATGCTGTTGCCCCGCGATGAGCGGAAGCAGTTGAGAGGCATTGTGGTGGGAGTGTGTTGTTGATTGCACGTCGATAGGTCGACGTTGCGAAGTCGATGAGCGTGGAGGGTTGACTTTATGAGGAGTGCTGGATGGGTGTGTCGATCGTTCTATTCGAGGGCCGTTGGGGCAGTGACGGACGGGCTGCGACGGGCGGCAACGAGGCTGGCGGTTACTGGCACACGCTCCTCGAGCAAGACGTTGCAGACATCGATGCGAGGGAGCAGGGCATCGGATGTATGTGTGTGTGTGCTGGGGCGCGCTGCGGAGAATATATGTGATGGGTACGGGCGAGGGTGGAAGAGAAGAGAGCGCCGAAGATGATTATGTATGCGATCCCGTCCGCGCCGACGGCCGGAGATGATTTGAAGCCGCCAGCGGCAGGGCGAAAGACAGTTTGGGGGTGGGCGGGGCCCGAGCGTGCGACGAGTGGCCACGGCAGGGCGGCTAGCGAGGATGGAGAAGGTTGAGACGGATGTTCGGGCAAAGCTTAAACTGGCAGAGAGGTGTGGGAGCGGCGGGGGCCCAGGGATCGATCGCTCGCTCACGCTCTTGTCCTGTGCCGAGCATGGGAATAGACGGGCCAATCAGCGCGCGGGATGACTTCATGCGTGAGCGGACAAAGAGCGGTGGTGGGTGGTCGGGGCTTGCCTGCTGCCGCAAAAACCCGACCGTTCTCCCTCTGCCCTCCCAAACCACCCCCCGCCACTCGTGTCTTTATTGCGTGCGTGGCTAATTGCGGCCCTCCGCTCCGCTTACACGGTTACAGCGGCACATGACGACACTTCGAGGTGACGAGGAGGAGGAGGATTGTGTTTGAGAGCGCGCACGGAGACTGTTTGACGTCCGTCCGTTCGCCTGCCCTCGCGCTCTGCTGACACAATAATCTCCAAGCGCCTCCGTCGTCTCAGCATTCTTCCTCCCAAGCCACGCCGAGCTGCTCCATTTCCCACACCCAAGCAAGCCCCCTCGGCGGCCAAGTCTAGCCATTGGGTGGGGTAAATCGCGCAAGGTAGGTAGGCAAGTCGTGAAACCCGGCCGCACAAGAATAGAGCCGGTCATTTCTTTTGGCAGGCAGTGTGTGTGAAGTAGCGTTCAAGCTGACTTCATGCCTGAGGCATCAATCCGCTTACTAAAACCCGAGCAACATGAACGTTCGACAAAACAATGCACCATCTTGCTTCCACGACGAGTATGTTTAGGTCATAGAGCGACCGGGATTGCCAATGTCATCAGACGTCGTGTCCAAAACTTAAAGTATCGAGCGCCTGTCGAGGCCTCACAGATTAGTGTTATGTCGCCGGGGCGTGGAAGAGACGAGACAAGGCTGCGTCAACCTCCTCCAACTCTAAACACCTAAACTCCCATCCACCCGTCGACGTTCGGACAGTTGCTGCGATGGAAGAAACCTTCACCCTTGAAACAATGTTACTTCACCGTGCCTTCCAGAGCCACGGGCTTCGTCGGCAAATCCTTCACCCAAGCCATCTCACACAAGCCCGTTCACGAAACACTCGTCGCCGCCAAGGATGCTCCCAAGGCCAAGCTGCTGATCCATCTTACCCGAGCGGCCACTTTTGTCGATGGCGGGCAGATGGCAAGTTTAACCTGGAGAGCGAAGAGTGGATTTACCATGGACTTGCTCCGTAATGGTCAGCAATGGCTTCTTGGTTTCGTGTTGGCGCAGAAGGGTATTCCGGAGCAGATCCATGGCAATCAGGGGGATGCTAACTCGTATAGCTCGCTGCTGTCTACTCTACATAGTCATAGAGTTTCTTGGGAATTGCCAGTCCTTCAGGTTCAAAACACATCCGACACGATCGCTCAATTTCCCTTGGCAGTGTGTGACATCTCGTCACAACGTGAGGCTGGTTCGCAATGCCGGTAGCCTGTAGCATGCCCCTACGGAGTGGTGTGTCTCTTTCGACTATGCCGATAATAAATATGTTGGATGGTGACGGCGCTCTCCTGGACTTCATCCGGCATACATCGCCCGCTTTACCCCTCCCGCTTCCGACGGATCGTACAGCTGCCCGAGTTGTTAGCACACAATGCATCTAGAAGTCGAGGACGCATGGCTTACAGCGATATGTTCTCCCTCGCATAGGACTCCCTATCCGGATCGTCGTCCACGTCTTCCACCAGAAAATCCTTCTTCACCTTTCGCATGAAATGCTGATCCGCGCGCCGTCTCCTTTTGTAGCAGAAGTAGCATGTTGTCGAGGGGCCGATTAGATCTCGCAAGGTTTGTTGGAGTAATGGGAAGGCGGGCTCGAAGTACACGCAATCGGCTGTCAATGCGTCAGTTGATTGAAGGGTACCGGCGGCCCTGGTGTTCTCACCTGCAAGGACTACATCTGGATGCTTCGGGATGGCCGATGGTGTTGCTTCTCCCCAGTTGTACACGCTCGCGCTGATTTGTCCTTCGAGATTGTTCAATGCGATGTTTTGTCGCATCAGAGCCAGCATGGATTCTTGGTCGGTGATGTGCAGCGTATGCTTCGGTCGGCAACCCATGGCCACGGCAAGGCTGCGCACATTCATTGTCAGCACAGACAACCGTCCACATACACCACTCGACTCAGTCTCACCCTACAAGGCCACCACCAGCACCCAGCCTGATCAGAAGCCAAGCAGTCAGCACACCCCCACTCCCCAGTATGCATAAAGGGTCACATACTCCACACTAAAACCCCAGACAGCGTCAGCATGCATCCCAAACCCCCCATTCACCCAATGGCGTGCTCAAACCCACATGGACAGCTCCTTCAAGGCCTCCCGCTTTCTGCGTAGCAGGTACGTGGCTAAAGTCATCCCGGCCGGCCAGGTAGTACCCCCATTCCCTTTGGTGAGATCAATGTGCACCCGCAGCGGCGGCTGAAGGAGACCGTCGAAATCGAAGCTGCCGGTGTGCGCGGCGGAGCGCTCGCGGGATTGGACGAGGTCCTCGCTCACGCCGAATACGAGGCCGTCTCCTTCTTCTTCGCCTTCGGCCGAGTCGTGCTGCCGCTGCTGCTGCTCCTCCGTCATCTTCGGCAGAACCAATACTTGTGTCCACGCCTCTTGCGGGACTACTGCACGAAAGATTGCGGAGGGAGGTCAGCTCGACGCGCCACCGACTCCTCCAGACCTTTCTCGCTCTCCGCGCTAGCCTGCCGGCGATCGATTGGGGAAAGGGCGTGCGAAGCTTGTTTTTATCCCCGGCAAACAACAGATACCTTTGGTGATGTAGATAGATTACGGGCGTAGGCCAGGTCTTCCGCGGCTAATGTGTATGCGGACTGCTGTCCAGGGCCGGGTAAAGTGACGATGGCGCTGGTGTTACGTGTACTTTGTGATGGCGTGCTGATAAGAGGTGAGGCCGACGTCAGTTGGCCCCCGCCCCACTCGAAGCACATGGCCAATGGATTGATCGTCGTGATCATCACACGTCACACGTGGTGATCTACCTCTTACCCCTCGTCTGTTCGACGGGAGATAGACTTTCAGGGTGGGATGCGGTCGTATCGGCTGGGCTGACTGACGTCGGCAAATCGCACCTGCCTTGATGCACGTCACTGGCACGGCAGCGACAATCGGCCGCAACACATCTCACCCTCAATTACGTGGACTCGACAGTCCACGGGGTGAACTATCACCGCTGCGCGTCTGCCCGATGCGCAATCTGTCATCTGTCAGCCGCAGCTGGCCGCTCAGCTACTCCCACCGCGCACCGAACTACCAACTTCCTCCACGCCATGCTCGCACTCCGTGATATTCGCCATCACCAGGAACACTGTCGACGCCGTCTACATATGTCGTCTGACATGTCATACGACTGCAAGAATGTAGGTCGAGTAATGTGGCGCGGTCTCCTTCTAGCCATCTCTGTCTCTCTCTCCCTTGCTGCATCTTTCCCATTCCTCCAGCCATCTGCCTTCGGCAAGGGCTCATCATGACCACTTTACGCGTGCACCGCGACATCTCGCGTTCTCCTTCCATCTCCTTGACAATGTTCACAGTCGACGTTAGTGAAGAGTTTATGCAGGACAATTGCACAGCGTGAGTGACTTCCGCAACCCCCCCCCGACCCCCCCTCCATTCTAACATCAAGCTATCAGGCGCGAATGGCCAGAAGAGGGCTCCGGCTGCGCGACCTCGTCCAGTATGGCTGCATCTTACTTCAGACCACGTCGGCCATCCCGGAGATCGCTTTCCCTTTCAACGCCCAGGTGCCGACGGTAGCGCGCGTCGGCCAAGACTACTCCTTCCAATTCTCCTCCTCGACCTTCTCCGGCGACTCGTCGAACTTGACGTACAGCCTTTCGAGCCAATCGTCATGGCTCTCCCTCGACGGCGCGACTCGTACGCTGTCCGGTGTGCCGACTCAGCAAAATGTCGGCGCCACCACTTTTACCCTCACGGCAGCAGACACAACAGGCGCCGCACAAATGCCCTGCACCCTCGTTGTCTCCTCCGACCCAGCACCACAGATCGGCGGCGATATCAGCAAAGAACTCTCCCGAACAGCGAACCTGTCTAGCGCAGACCCTCCAGTCGTCACCCTGCTGCCCTCCACGCCTATCGATTTCCAATTCGCGCAGAGCTCGTTCATCGATATCGTGAAGCGGAAACTCTACTACTACGCCACGTTGACGAACCATACTCCCTTGCCGTCATGGCTGCTCTTCGATTCGCAGACGCTCACTTTCTCTGGCACTGTTCCGGACTTGAGTGCCTTTCCACAATCGTGGGGCATTGAGTTGATTGTGTCGGATGTTGCGGGCTTCGCGGGGGCGAGTGTGTCATTCACAATCGCCATCGCTACCGAGCAGCTGGTGTTTGTGCCTGCGCAACAGACGGTGACAGTCAAGCCCGGCTCGGCGGTCAATCTCACCGACCTGCAGAACAGCCTGTTCAGGAACGGACAGACACTGCTCGCCGGCGAGATTGAAATCGCTGAAGCTACAGTACCTCCGTGGTTGACGTTCGACGCGAAGACATTAGCGATCAGTGGTACTGCGCCAGCAAACGTTCAAGATGCGAATGCAACGGTCGTGGTGAGGGACAAACTGGGCGATCGTGCCACGGCTTTGATACTATTCACCACTGCCAATAGCAGTGCCTCGAGCAGTATAGGCATCCTGGTGGCGCACTCCGGCCAAACGTTCGACTATCATCTTCCGGACGGCTTGTTCGATGCCCAGGATGAGCAGCTCGTCTTGACTCTCCCTCCATCCGCCAGCTGGCTGCATTTCGATGCCGATGCTCGCGAGCTGAGTGGCAAAGTCCCGGTTCAGACGACCTCGTCTTCCATCCACGCCACGCTGGCTGCCAGAGCTGCTCCAGCTGCATCAACACAACCACAAGCACAAACGTTTGTGATTGATATTATGCCATTTGCTTCTTCTACAATAACGCAATCATCCAGTGCAACTAGCACTCATGCTGGTGCAGGTCATGCGACAAACCACACCGCTGCACGCAACCATTTGAGCAGCGGCATCGTCGCGGCCGTCATTTTGGGCCTCTTGCTCGCAGCTGCTCTGTTAGCAGCATGTCTCTACCTCATTCGAAGGCGCAAAAAGCGCAGAGATGAAGCGGACCCCGACAGTCCGGAGAAGCGCGCCATTTCCCGTCCACTACCTTCCACGGATGCAGGCGGTATTATCGTTGCGACGGAGATACATCGAGATGTGGAAAAGATAGGAGACGGAGGAGATGGCGGAGGTGGCGAGGAGACCGCCGGCGACCCGCCACCTCAGATCGCGCTGGACTTACCGTCGAACGACCGGAGTCGCGGATTCAAGTGGAGCAAACGCTTCTCGCGCATCAGCCAGGTATCTTCGCTCGGCCAAGGCGAAGACGCCATCCGCGCCGACTCCAACATCCCCGTTTGGGGCCGCGGATCAGCTGCGCTGCACAATACGCCGCATGACAGCTTCTCTGTACCAATGGAGATTGCGAGGCGCTCGAAACAGCCTGCTGAGCAGCAACCCTCGCCGACCAAGCGCGCTCTGAGGCGGTTTCGAGGGAAGAGGAGGCAGGCGACTACGCAGAGTTTGGGGTTGGGGATCAATACGGGCCCGGCGGATTTCTTGCCTCGTCATTCCTCTCTTCATGCCAGGAATCATTTGCGGGGTGCGAGTAGTTCGCGAGCATCCGGATTGGATGACGGAAGCAGCATGGCTTCGCTCAGCACAAGAGGGACAAGCGTGCTCTCTACGCGGCCCTCGGACTTCCCACGTCCGCCTACACGCACGAGATATGACGGAATCTCCAGAAGCGGACAGCCTTCGATCGATGCCATGAATCGCAAGAGCATACGGTTGGTAGAGCGCAGCGACAGCACAACCGACGAGCGCTCAATGGAGGAGAAGCGCCGGTCTTACATTCGCAATCGCGCGAGTACAACCTTTGCCAGTCCGCTTTTCGCTCACAGACCGATCTCATGGACCTCGCGACCGAAAAGTCGAGGCTCGACTGCTATGCTGCAGCGGTCAATGCGGGGCAACAGTACGGCTTTGACGACGTGCTCGGAGTCTTCGTCCGTGGGAGAGCCCGCGATTCGTGGGGAGCGGAAAAGAATGAGCCAGCGGTTTCGCGCGGCGTTTCCGCCAAATTTCCCTCGGGCTGTGACGGAATCTACGATCGGAGCTGCGGACGACCAGTCCGGGCCCGTGGGGCGTCGTAATGTCGGGGACACAAGCTCATTCTACACCACCGACGAGGAAATCAGCGATGACGATTTCCTGGCGGAAATGGCCAAGCCACGGCATGAGAGGACTTGGGTTGTGCCGGGCGAGGCATCGCCTACCCCTCCGCCTTGTCCTCCGACTTCGCGACAGGCGTCATCGAGTACTAGGCAAAGTACGCCGCCGTCGGCTGCTATAATTCATCGTCAACGAATTGTGCGACCGAAATGGAAAGACTCAAACGTCGCGACGAGTGCAATCCAAGGCGGTAAAGCTCCTCTTGCACGCCGCTCGCGCCTTACCGGTCCCATGAGCCTGCTCAGCAACGATAGTCTCAATCGCGCGACATCGAAGAAGACTGCAGAGGGCGAGCAGAAGCAGAAGAAGGGCGCGCCTCGTCTGGTGCAGGCATCTTTGCAGAAGCGGCGTATAAGCGTGGAGCGACCACAGCGATGGAGCAGTTTCCAAGCGGAGACAATGGAGGGGGCGCAGACGAGGCCCGGAAGTGAGATGTTTGAAGCGCTGGAGGAGGCCGGGCTGATGATGCCACCTCCGCCACTAACGCCGAGTGGGAGCGGCGGTGTCGGCTCGCAGAAGTCGGGATATAGCGGCCCAGCGTTTCTGTAATGTGGTGGGAGAGATGATGGAAGCAAGTGAGGTTGATTTGAATAAGAAGCTTACTCGTCTTAGCCGGCGGGAGGAAGCGCGAGCTAATGCAGCGGAGCGCGCGCTGGACAACGTGCATCTTCCGCCGCCTGTCATTCGCTCTGCGCTTTCTGCTGCCGCGACTTTGGCGAAAAGCGACTGCACATGCGACTGCCGGGGCCCTGTTTCTTCGCCCTTCCCTGCTTTTTCGCTGCCCTTCGCTGCCCCTCGTCAGATTGATGGGTTCCTGATTTAGCGGGTGCTTTTCACTGCTGTCTTATCGATAACCCAAGCAGGCGAGGCGGGCACGTGGATTTTCTCGATTCCGGCACCTCACTTCATCAACATCCATCCATCACTTCTCTTTCCTTCCCTTTAGACGGATTCTGACGAGATAAGAAGTGGTGGCGAACCATTCCCTCTCGCCAAATGACTTCTTAATCCTCTCCTTTCTCGCACACCTCCCAGAATGCCGCACTCCACTCCCAACCACTGCCCGAGCCGAGTCCAGATTTCCTCGAACATTTCGACTCAGCGATAGCAGGACCATCCATCGAACCAAATCTGAAGGTCTGATCAGACCTTTGGATCTTCCACAATGTACGACATGCTTCTCGGTTGGACCAGGGAATCGCATGCTGACAGCACACCAGGAAGTATGGAAAGTTCATCCAGAAGACGCAGCTCGACATTCCCGAGTATGCGGCGAGCTTTGTGGATTACAAGGCGCTGAAGAAGGTATGCGCGACTGATGGACTAATCAGTGCGTTCATGCGCTTACAATATTGTACAGCTCATCAAGAAGCTGAGCGGCACGCCTACCATCCTTGCGCAAAATACAGAGCGTGGCGAGCCCACTGCGGATCCTCAAACCACTCTACAAGCCAACAAGGCTACCTTTTTCTTCCGATTAGAGCGCGAATTGGAGAAAGTGAATACCTTCTATCTCCAGAAGGAGGCTGAGGTTGGTTCACCCTAGTTGTGCCTATTCCTGGACCCACGTCTAACCCTGCGCAGCTGAATCTTCGTCTTCGCACATTACTCGACAAGAAAAGATCTCTGCAGTCTCGCGCCACCCCCGCTTCCAAGCTCTCCTCATCATACCTCACCCTCGACGAAGGCTTTCGGCTGTTTGGTAATGATCTCGACAAATTGCAGCAATTCGTTGAAGTCAATCAGACTGCGTTTTCCAAGATTCTAAAGAAGGTTGGCTTGCTCTTTGCTGCATGATTCATCAATGAAGGCTAACAACTGGCAGTGGGACAAAACGTCAAAGGTGCATATCTTTTGGTTTGTTGTTATTCCGTCGAGGACAAATCACTAATGCGATGTAGTCTCGAACGAAAGAGCTATATCTCTCTCGTGCCGTCGACGTCCAGCCTTGCTTCAACCGAGACGTCATCAGCGCGCTGTCCGATCAAGCGACTACCGGATTGCTGGAGTTGCAAGCATGGACGGAAGGCGAAAAGATCAACTATACCCCGGCAGTGGAACTCGAGCAGAGAGCAGCTTCAGCCGGCCAAGATGACGTGGAAGTCGAAACGCAAGTGCTGCAAGCGGTAAACACGGGCAATGTTGGCCTGGTCAAAGACTGGATCTCCCGAGCGGCATCATCGGAAGAGGCTCTCGAACGCTCGAGTCGCATCTTCCTCAACACCGTCAACACCGCGCCTCCAAGCGTGCAGCAATACCTGTACGACTCAAAACTCGTCAACTTCAACTATGCCGATCAGATCAACGAGCGCAATGCCATCCACGAGGCTGCCATAACCGGGAAGCTTGACGTGTTGAGAGCAGCTTTGGGAAGCGGGGCGGACATCCGCCTCCCTGATGTCTATGGAAGAATCCCTCTGCACTATGCTTGTATGCATGGGCGAATCGATATGATCCAAGCACTTGTGGCAGCTGCGCCGGACACTGTCAACGCAAAGGACCTCGACAACTTCACGCCACTGATCCATGGAATCGTGCACTCGCATGCTGGCAGTGTGCAGACGATGCTTGAACTGGGAGCGATTGTCAATCAAGCTGGGCCTGGAGACCATATCCCTCTGAATCTCGCATGTCAGTATGGATCGAAAGAGGTCGTCCAGCAGATACTGCGCTACTCTCCGCAGATCCTCCCAGACGCCGAAGGTCTCTTCCCACAACACATCGTCGCTCGTTTTGGAGGCTCTCCTGAAGTTCTTCAAATGCTAAAGGCATTCAACGTCAATATGGACCAACAGGACAAGCTGTACCAATGGACCCCACTCTTCCATGCGGCGAGCGAAGGCCATCAACTCTGCTTGGAGCAGCTGCTGCAATTTCATGCGGATGCAGCTGTCAAAGATGAAAAAGGTCTGTCCGCCATGTACTACGCTGCATGGGAAGGGCATTTGGATTGCATGCAACGGCTGGCCGAAGAGAGAATCAGCGACAAGATGCAAGGCCAATCTATCGCGCCCATGGCTCCTCCTCCCATGAGTAGCACAATGACGATGGGTCAATTGGATCCCGAAGCCATTCCCGACCTCAGTCTGCCACCTCCGATCATCCCTCTCCGACGCTACGGCCATAACTTCCTCGACACCACCAAGACTTTTATCTTGCTGGCCTTTGACGAGCTTGGTTCGGATGCGATTGAGTTCTACGGCGACAGCAAATATCCCGCGGCTCGACTCACCATCTCCTCCAAATCTTCCGACCTCATCCCGCGAAACGTCCCGCTGCCGGTACAGGACGATTTCAAGAACGTTTCGTTCCAGATCGAAAACCTCGCCACTTTTAGCATCGACTTCGACATCTTCCCCACTTTCGGCAGCAAAGTCATTGCGCGCGCCGCAGCCTCGAGTCGCGTCTTCACTGGCAAGGCTAGCAGCTCCGGCAAATGGCATCTCGAGCTCTTCGATCCACGCCTGCGCGCCATTGGCCGCATCAACTTCCGCTTCCAGGTCGTCACACCCTTCCACGGCGTGCCTCTGGAAATCACGCATTTCGCCACGTACTGGAAAGCCACGAGCCAGGACGATAGCCACCCGAGCAATCTCATTACCGGTAGCAGCTTGTCGGGAGATTTTATGCGGCTCTTTGTTCAAGTGACGAGAGATGGCGTGCCAGTTCTCTTCAGCCAATGGGCATTACCGAGCAGCAAAAACGACCTCGTCAGCAGGCTCACATACTCCGAATTCGCCGCCGCAGGTCTAGACGTTGGCCGCGGGAAAGGCGTGGTGCAAGGTCTCGTCGGCTCGGGTATCGACCGCTCCAACCTGGCAGCAGCACAGCGACAGATTGCATCTTCGTATGCCTCTCTGGCCGATGCTCTAGCCATTCTCCCGCCGGACCTCAACTTGGAAATCCACCTCTGCTACCCCACGCGGACCGAAGAGGCGGCGCTGAACCTCAGTCCGACGCTTAATATCAACACCGTGGTCGACGCTGTCTTGACGGTGGTATTTGAACATGCGCGCCGCTTACGCGAGACAAAGGATGCGGCGCTGCGGAACTTCGTCTTTTCCAGTTATAATTCGAGCGTGTGCACGGCGTTGAACTGGAAGCAGCCGAACTGTGAGTCTTCGTCCTTCCATTCGTGAATCTCCTATAGCTAACATGATCCTCTCTAGACCCCGTCCTCCTCTGCAACGACCTCGGCGTCGCCCGCGACCCGCCAAACCGCGTCCAATCCAACCACATCGTCGCCAGTGCTGGGCGAACGGACATGTCCATCAAAGAAAGCGTGCGCATTGCGCAGTCGAACAACTTCATGGGCCTCGTGTGCTCGTCGCGCCTCCTCGATCTCGTCCCCGCTTTGGTGCCGTCCATCAAAGAAGCGGGTTTGGTGTTGATTTCGGATTACTCTTGCGATGCTGGGGCTGGTGGTGTGAGAGGTGCGCAGAAGCCGCCCAGTGTGCTTGATGTGGCGAGTGGGGTTGATGGGCTGTTGTTTGGGAATGCGGTTTTGCGGTTCAAGGATGCTATTGAGCAGTGAGGGATAGATGGTACTGGGAGGCGGTTGGCATGCATGGTAGGCTGGTCTTTTGAGATGTGCATTGGAAAGTCGATAGAAGCAGCTAATCTCGGTATCGTGAATTCATGAAATGCCGTGTGGCTGTGAAGACTTTGACTTCTCACGCGCCTTTGTACTCGTATCTCGCTTGTCGGAGTTCTTCCAGATCCAGCGGCCGTAGTTGTCGTTGTACCACCATCGTCAACCCGAAAACAACTGTTCGTCGTTCGTTAGCCCCAACATCAAGACGACCGTAGAAAGGGGAAGAGAACAATACTCACTACCAGGCAACGCCTCCCTCCACGCATCCTCCACCCATCCCCTCCTCCAACTAACCCAAGCAGCAAGCCCCAAAACCCCAGCCAACACTGCATTCAACAAAACCAAATACCTCTCCACCGGCCCCCTCTCCATCTCAACTTTATACACCGCCTTCTTCCCCTTCCGATCCGGCGGCGCAGAAGGCATGAAGTGTAAATGGTATGCTGTGCATGCTAAGCTGGACACGCTTAGGAGGGAGAGGAGTTTATTCCGTGCGGATGTGGAGGGTGAGAGAAGGTGGTAGGTTGCGTAGAGGAGGGAGAGGAGTGGGATGGCGAGGAAGAGGGTGCGGTAGAGGTGGGTTTTGCGGGCGTCTTCGGTTTGCAGGGTGGTTATTAGGCGTTCTTGGTGTTCTTCGTCTATGTGGTCTCCTTCGTCGGAGTCGGAGGAGGGGTAGTGGATTGCTTTGCGGAGGCGGGTGGTTGTCATGATTGGGTTTGTTGGTGGGAGGGATTGAAGGGACAGGTGCTGGAGCTTCACATTTCTTCTTGCGAGAGCTGGAGGTTGGACGGGGTGAGTGGAAGGAGAGAATGAATGAAAGGTGGTGGGGTGTAGTCACCCAAGGCTGCAGTCAAGCTCAACCCTACCTAACCCTAAGCACATGACGCTTTCTTTCTCGACTGCACCTCACCATTCGAATCTCCTTCCACATACCAGCACCGCCGAAATGCTCTCCCGAGCCCGCATACGGCCAAATGGCCTCTCCAGCCTCCTCAAACAAAACACCTCCCTCCGAAGAACCCTCATCGCCGCCCCAAAAGACGGCTCTGGCCCCCTAATGGAACGGCGCGCCGACCGCGCCCTCCCCAACCTCCGCCCCCCTCGCCGCTGGCTCAAAACCCTACCCATCTTCCTCAGCATCATGGTCGCCAGCACGCTCGCCATCTTCAACTACCAGAAATCCTCCTCCTCCGTTGTCAGCTCCGCGCTCTACGCGCTGCGAACAAACCCTGAGGCGAGAAGAGTGCTCGGCGATGAGATTTACTTTGCGCATCGCATTCCGTGGATTTGGGGGGAGATGAATCAGTTGCATGGCAGGATTGATATTTCGTTTTGGGTCAAGGGGACGAAGGCTAAGGGGCTCATGCGGTTTCGAAGTGAGAGGAAGACGAGGATGGGGTTGGTGAGTGTTATACACGGCTGAGAAAGACTGGAAGATGTGCTGATGCTAACTGCTTCTTTGTAGTTCGAGACGATGGAGTGGAGCTTGGAGCCGGAGGATGGACAGAAGTTTTCTCTCATGGATGCTGAGGGCAGGGATCCAATGAGTAATCGATGAGATGGTGCTGGACACTACGATCTTGCTGTGCAGCGCAAGCTCGCGTATTGCTATCGCCATGAAACCTACCAGTTTGGCGGCGAACGCTTGCCAAGCGAGTGGTCGGAGAGATTGTATCTGCTCGAAGCAAACAGCGGCTGGCCCAACGCGATGAGCTCGACGCTGCGCCCCCTGGCATCCACGCCGGACTTCTGTCTAGAGAATGGCAAATCGCGTGGTGGATGACCGCCCCTCGATTGCCCATCAGCAAAATACAGATGAGTGCACAAGCATCGGGTTCCGTCAACGTACGTGTGGCGAGAGCAGTCTGTTGCAAGCATTATCTGATTATCGCCCAAAACTACCTCAAAGTTCTTCGCAATACCATAGGGCAGCCCAGTCCCAATTGTCTGGTTCCGACGGGTCGAGAACTGCGCCGTGTTGTGTGAGCATCCTCGCTAACTTCCAGTGCCGCCTCTTGCTTGCAATGCTCAAGGCACTCCCATATTCCCCTCCTAGAGCGTTGACATCTGCTCCTCGCTCGACTAGCATTTCGGCCACCTTCTCGTGATCGTACTGTATTGCCGCCTGTAGCGCACTGCCATAACGGCCTCCTAGACCGTTAACATATGCCCCTTGCTCTAATAGCACCATAGCCATCTGCTCGTTGCCTCCCGCGATTGCCAGCGTCAGGGCACTCCCGAAGTGCCCTCCTCGAGCGTTCACATCCGCCCCTCGCTCGATTAGTATTTCCGCTAGCCTCGCGTGATTGTACCGTATTGCAGCCTGTAACACACTGCCATAGGGGCCACCCTGAGCGTTGACATCTGCCCCTCGGTCGATGAGTGTCAATATCACCTTTTCGTGACGACCCCGTCCTGCTGCCTGTAGCGCACCACCCCAAGAGCCTTGAGCATTGACATGAGCACCTGCATCTAACAGCCTCTTCACGAGCTCGTCGTGGCCTTCAAGTGATGCCCACTCTAATGCGGCAGTGTGCCGCTTGCCATCTTCTCCTACATTCACATCCGCACCCCACTTGATCAGAAGGGCCGCAACTTCTTCGTGGCCTCCATACGACGCCGCGCCTAGTGCGGTATCGAACGGTCCACCAAAGGCATGAACATCTGCCCCACTGTCTAACAATACCTCTGCCACCTTCAAGTGACCCCTGTACGATGCCGCTTGCAGAGCACTACCATAATAGCCTTCCTGGGCATTGACATTCGCCCCCTTTTCAATCAAGAGTTTCACGATCTCCTCGTGGTCCCCATACAAAGCCGCCTGCAGAGCGTTGCCATATTCGCCACCCTCGGCATCGACATCGCAACCGGCGTCGAGAAGTGCATCCACAACCATTTGGAGTCCAAGCAGACTGGCGTAGTAGAATCCGGATCCAATCGGCCGCCGATCCTCGACATATCTAAATGGTTTCCCCCAAGGCACGTCCGGGTCATGTACGCGAAACAAGTCATGTTTGGTAGCGTCCGAGCTAAGAAGACGTATCTCGCGACTGACGTCCTTCGATTGCTGGAAGGAAGAATGGTAGTACCATGATTTTGCCGCGTATTCGAGCAGAGGGAAGGCCACTAGGTCTCTCTTTGTCGACTTCTTTTCCGCGCTGCTGCTGTAATGAAAAAGATATGTCAAGCAGCTTTGCGCAAGGAAGTGGTGCTCCATGGTTTTGTTGAGTTCAAAGTGCTTAGCGCTGCTTGCACCGATCCTTTCCGATTCCAGGTACTCCTGGACAGAGAAATGGGCCAGTCGGACATAGCTGTCGCCGTCGGTCCGTTGGCGAGGCACGGGCTTTGAGTCGGCGAGGGGCTCATTATTCATGCCAGCAAGCTCGTCACCTTTCGAGTCCTCAACAACGACAAGGCCCGCGAGCATGTCCAATACGCCTTCTAAATCATTAACACGATCATCCGTATCCACCGCTCCATCGCCAGATGGATCTATGATGGTAGCCTCGACCAGCTCACGCGGTCTCAGAGGTCGCTGTGCATATAGCAACCAACGGAGGAGCACAAGTGCGTCATTGCGACATATGTCATCGATCCCAGTCAAGATCCGCTCGTACGTCTCGTCTAATGTGGGAGGCAATGCGAGGAGGGCCGTCCGAATATGACTGGGCTTGGTGAACTTGAGCTTCTTCAACTCAAGAAGCTGGCAAAATGCCCAGCGGAACCTATGCAGTGGCACACGTCAGTACATTCCTGGTTTAACATGACCGGGTGGCTCACATCCCGTCTGCCTTTTGTGCAAACGTGTCCATGATCAGCGCCTTTGTGCGACCGTCCAATTTGTTCAGCTTTCGGTCACGCGACAATTCATTCGCCACGTATAGCCCAATGTCACCATCTACCGGGCGGGTGCTGGTCTGCACTACCATCACTTCCAGCAGATCCATGCTCTCTCTGATCTCACTCAGCTCGCGGCTGGTGGCAAAGAACTTCAGATTTAATGCCTTTTCGGAAAGTCGTTGGAGACAGTCCAGCATACTGCGCCGAGCTTCTCCAATCTCCGGACACTCGTCCAAGGCGTCAAGCACAAGGAATATTTGTCCAGATTGTGCGATGCATGAGAGCAGAATCTCCTCCAGAGCTGCGGGTGCTGGTAAGCTTCGATTCGGCTTGTCATACTCTCGTTGAAGCCTTGACCATCCAGGCTCTTCGCATCCCAGCTGACGAACGAGCGAGAGCAGAAGACTTTCAAACGTCTGCTTGCGATTGTCCGAGAATGTGAAGTAGAAAATGGCGAGACGAGAGTCTGTGTCGGTATCGCAATGCAGATTCAAATCTTCAATCACGGTTGAACTGAGCACCGTCTTACCACACCCAGCTTTTCCATAAAACCACATGTGACGGACATCGCCACGTTTCCACTGCTGGTATTGACCTGATTGCAGCAACCATTTGCCGGTGTGAGGTTCGTGGAGTTTACGTGCAGAGGCGTGATTCGTCCATGGGTCGGGCGGCGACAACCAATCGATGACCTCCTGGAATCGAGCTGCTTGCTGTCCCGTGACCAGCTGCTGAACATCTGTCGCAACGCTTTTCAGAGTATCGTGCGTTTCAGTGCTGACGTCAAGCTGGAGCACTTGAAGCGCCACAGAAAGTCGCTCCCGAAGATCACCCACTTCCTCTCGCAGTTTTGCGAGCGTACTCTCTTTGAATGGATACGACAATCGTTGGAGCTCGGCCAAAACCTTCTGCCGAGACCCGCTTGGCTCGGCGTGGGACCGTATTTTTTGCAGCTTCTTCTGGAGCTTCCCAAGGCCTTGGACGCAAGACTCGAGGCATGCTTGTACCCGTGCTACGCTCGGTTGATCGACGTTAGATCGGACGAGGAACTCCTCGAGAAGTGTGAGCGTCTGGTACAGATCCTTGATACAGTCGTGTGCGGTGGCGATATCTGTCTTGAACCCAATCCAGCTGTTGTAGTAATTCAATAGACCCTGACAGACCTGAATACCAAGGGAAACGATGCCCAATGCTGCCGATACATTCGATACACCATCCATAGCTGTTGAGGACCGTCAAAGCGTTTACAATTGGGCGGGAAGGAGGCCGCGAGCTCATGGGCCGCACTGCACATCGTGATGTGCAGATGGGCGACCGAGAAGAGGTTGTAGGCAGGCAGCTCAACCTACCCCGCTTGGGCATCGCCCTCCATCACACCACTTCTAGCTTGTATGCAGCATCCTGCATGTATCTTCCAACCACATGAGGTGGCGTCGCTGCACATGCACGGCCTTCCCAATGAGGAAACTCGGCGGAAGCTCGGGCCTCCGAGCTATCTTCAACACTTCATGTTCTTGACTCGCAGATGAGTCAATCACCGAGCTCTTCAATGCTCCCAGTCCCATTTACTCGTGACGAACAACCTCCGATCTGACCATTGAAGAAGCCAGAGCACACAATGGCAACCGTGCGCCTCCTCCGCCCCGCAACCAATTGCCTCCGAGCAATCCCCTCCACCACTCGCACATATGCCTCCGCCGCCAGCAAAACCTCCCCCTTCGCCCCGCGCCACCTCCTCTCCATTGCAGACCTCACGCCACAAGAACTCGTCACCCTCGTCCGTAATGCCGCCGCACACAAAACCGCCATCAAATCCGGCGAAACCTCCCCTGCTCTAAGCAATGCCTTGCTCGGCCAAACCATTGCCCTCATGTTCACCAAACGGTCGACCCGCACTCGTGTTAGCACAGAAGGTGCTATTGCCCGATTAGGGGGACACGCTATGTTCCTCGGCTCGCAGGATATTCAACTCGGCGTCAATGAAACCCTTTACGATACCTCTGTCGTTATCTCAAGCATGGTCTCTGGAATCGTAGCGCGAGTCAACCAGCACGCTGAAGTTGCTGATCTAGCGCAACACAGCTCTGTTCCTGTCATAAACGCCCTCTCCGACCTCTATCATCCTATGCAAACTCTCGCAGACTTTTTGACGATTCACGAGGCCTTCCCTACCAATCAGACTATGCCTTCAACCAATCTGAGTTTGGGATTGGAAGGGTTGAAGATTGCCTGGGTAGGCGACGCGAATAACGTGCTCTTCGACCTCGCCATTGGCGCCGCGAAACTCGGCGTTCACGTCTCCGTCGCCACGCCACCAGGCTACGGCATTCCAGATACCATGCGAAAGACCATCGCAGCCTCCGCTCCCTCGCAGTCCCCCCTCTCCCTTACAGAAACAAACGTACCCGAAGAAGCAGTCAAAGACGCAGACATCATTGTCACAGACACGTGGGTGAGCATGGGACAGGAAGAGGAGAAGCAGAAGCGGCTCAAGGCCTTTGCGGGGTTTCAAGTCACGCATGATCTGGCAAAGAGAGGGGGTGCGAAGGAGGGATGGAAGTTTATGCATTGCTTGCCGCGACACCCGGAGGAGGTGAGCGATGAGGTTTTTTACAGTCCCGCGAGTCTGGTGTTTCAGGAGGCGGAGAATCGGCTTTGGAGTGCGCTTGCGGCGCTCGAGGGGTTTGTGGTGAACAAGGGCAAGATCGTGTGAGCTGTGAATGATGGAACAACGATGAATATCGATTCTGCACAAGAAATTTCCCGCGGACGTATATCAATTTGCACAGCAGAACGCTACACGAGAAGCAAAAGGCGGACAATGCGTAGCGATCAGCTGGGCGGCAGGGCGCTCTGGTCCACCACGTCCTCCGCCTCCTTCACCTCGATATCGGGACCGTGTAGTGGCGAACGCGGAAGAGCCATGAGGCCTGGGCAAATAAGTTAGCCGATCTGACTGATATCCAGAATAGATAATAGACCTACCCGTTCTCGCGCTCTCGAGAATGCCAAAAGGCGCAATGAGCTTCATGAAGCTGTCGATTCTTACTGGCTTCGCGCTGAGTTCCACAATGCAGTTGTTGGTGCTGATGTCCAGCACTTTGCCGCCAAATTGGTGAGTCAGGTAGGTGATGGTCTCGAGATGCTTGTGCTTCATCCGCAACGCCTCCGACGGCGCCACAGCAGCGGGATGGAAGTCCGCCGCCGCCATGTCGACATCCACGCGCTCTTCGCGTGCCCCTTCAAGTTGTTCGGGCGAAAGGTCTTCTCGCGGCCGCGCGAGTACCTCGGCATCTGTCATTTCGCGATGGTGGGCCAATAGCTCTTCAAAGTACTCCGGTCCGAGGATACAGATCTTCGCGAGCAGCAGTTCGCGCTGTACGAGAGGGGCGGCAGTATAGTCCAGCACGGCCCACACGGGCACCAAGTCCTCGAGCTGGCGACGTGCTTGCTCCACCACACCATCCTGCCCCTGCAGCACGATCGTCATGCGACTGAGGTCGGGCACTTCAGTGGAGCACACCACAAGACTGTCGATATTGAAGCCGCGCGCGGCGAGAATACCGGAGATGCGAGACAACACACCAGGCTCGTTCTGCACGAGACAATTCAGCACGTGGGGTTTCGGGGGCTCGGTGGAGGGCAGCGGGGTTTCGTAGAGAATGTTGGATACTGCAGCAGCGGGGGAGAAGGTTGCGGTGATGGTCGATGCGGGCAGGGGGGAGACGCGGCGGTGCAGGTTTTTGTAATTCATCGGTGCCGTCGAGTCGGAGTTGTGTCGGGACTGCTGGCGGAGCCATTGTTGTGCGGTGCGAGTGGATCGGACGGTGTGCTGGGGTGGGGAGAAGTGGGTGGAGAAGAGGGAACGAATGGCTCTTTTGGAAGCCATTGTGAAGTGGAGCTGGAGGTGAGGTGGGAGGAAGATGTCAATGGCTTTCAGTAGTGTCTGCCTCGGGTTGAAGGAGGTGCGGTTGTGACTCGGTGGAGGTCTCGTTCGGTCAAAGCTTCACTGAGCAAACGCCGCGGAGAAAAAGCCCGGGGGAGCTGATTACCTAAGCCAACGATCGGCGTGCACGGTTGCCTGAGCTTTCGACCTCGACACATTTCATTTCTTTGCGAACTTCCTACCTTGTCTTGTCACATTACTTGTTCCCATCATTCACCCCCCGCCATGTCGGACGATCGCAGGAAGCGCTCCCGCTTCGATCAGACCGAGGCGGAAGCGGCCAGGCCGTCTCGCTTTGACCGCCGCTCTCGTTCCCCCAAGCGTGAGGATGCCGAACCTCGCAGGTCGCGCAGCCCCGTGCAGCAAGATGAGGGCCGGCGCAGCAGTGACGCCAGAAGACAAGCTGCCGCCGCCGCTGCAGCAGCTGCGGCAGCCAAGATCAACGAGCAGCTGAACTTGAAGAAGGCCAGCCAACGTGTCGATGTCCCTCCGATCCGCTCGGTGAGTCTAGACAGCGTGCCGTGTGAGAAACGGCTTCAACTCATCACTTGGCTATTACAGACTCAAAGCCCTGCCAACGCTGGAGCAACGCAGTCTCCCGACTCCTCTGCCACGCTCACTGCCGAAGTCTACCAGCAGGATGGCGACTTTATCCGCGACATTGAAGTCAATGACTTGCGCAACCGCTACACCATGACCAAGGGCGCGACACAGAAGATGGTAAATATCCCACACGTTGTTCACTCAACTGATCCCTCCAGCCCCGCACTCTCTTGCATTCACACACACACTTGGGTTTGTAGGATGGAATGGAAACGTTAGAGGGGATTGAACATTAGCTCACTCTAGCTTCTGCGCAGCTTCGAGCGAGCATCGCACCGATTTGCATCTGCTGACCTTCACTGCCATTTTAGATCAAAGAGAAAACTGGCGCTGGTACGCTTCCTCGCTCATGCCGAATCCCTAACGTTTTAGTTGCACCCTTTCGCTCACGTGTTCAAAGATGTTACCACCCGTGGCGAATACTACCCGGACAAGAGCATGGCCACGCCCGCCGTTCGTCTCCGTCCTATGTCTACCTCTTTGGACTATTGATATGCTGATGATGTGCCAGAATCCTCCTCTCTACCTTCACATTACCAGCACCACCAAAGACGGCCTCGAGAAAGCGGTCAAGGAGATTGAAGAGCTGATGAAGCAGGACTTGCCCAACTTGATTGATGAGCGTCGTTTCCGCCGTAACCGCGAGCCCGAACAACAGCAAGTTGAGCGCGATTCCATGGGTCGTCGTAAGTGGCCTGAAGAGCGTATCCCCATCGATCTCGAACCTATTCCTGGCTTCAATCTTCGTGCGCAAGTGGTCGGGGCGGGCGGCAGCTATGTGAAGCATATCCAGCAGGAGACGGGTTGTCGTGTACAGATCAAGGGGCGTGGAAGTGGGTTCTATGAGCATGATACGGGGGTGGAGAGTGATGAGCAGATGTATCTGCATGTTGCGTACGTCTAGCACGGTTGGGGCGAGTGATGTTGTACTGTACTGATGCTGGCCTTTCACAGCGGGCCCGATCCCAACCAAGTCGAGGTGGCCAAACAGCAATGCATCGATCTTCTCGACACCGTCAAAGGAAACTACCAGGAGTTCAAGGAACGTGGCCCTCGTGGTGGGAGCGGAGGTGGTCGTGGTGGGGGTTACGACGACCGTCGCGGAGGAGGATATGAACAACGCGAGCGCAATAACGGATCGGGAACGTACGGCGGGAACGGGCAGGCCTACAATTACCAGCAGCCCCAGCAAGCAGCCTACGGCGGCGTTGCGCAGTCCCCGCCAGCCGCCCTACAACAACCGGATCAGCAGGCGCAAGCTGCCAACATGGATCCCGCGGTGCTCGCTGCGTGGGTTCAGTACTACCAAGAGCATCCCGATCAGGATCCGTACGCAGCATACGGCGGGTATGCGGCGATGATGGCGCAGTACTACCAGGCGCAACCCCAACAGCCGCAATACCCTGGCTACGCTGGCAGTCCCGTGCAGCAGCAGTACCCCGGCTATGCTGGACAGAACGGCGCGGCTCCTCCGCCTCCGCCGCCACCTGGGGTGTGAGTACCGCCTATGTTGCGTGAGTGGCCAAGCGGGGGAAGCTTTTGTGACCGCTGGCGCGGACCTTTCTTGTAGGTGAGGGTCTGCTTTGCCTGGGCTGGGGATGATGCATGAGGGTGGGTTTGGTGTTGCTGGTGCGTGGGAAGGAGGCGTTTCGTACTCCATGCTTTGACGTCATGGTCTCAACAACTGGAGTGGAATAGGAATGGATGGATCAGGGTAGCGAGAGAGTGTGATTACGCCATGAGACACATGAGCTTGTATCCGAATTCCAATGTGCATCCTTGTTCTTGTTCACTTGCAGCCTGGAAAAGTGAAAGTGGCGCACCGAATTTCCAAGATGTGGCGTCCCAGGTGTGGCTTGCCCATCACGCTTTCCACCACCTCGCATCTTCAACTCGCGATTCCCTTCTTCTCTCTCCCTCTCTTTCTTATTTATTTCCATCCATCGCCTTCCACCCCCTTCACCATGCCATCACTCTTTTCCCTCGACATCCATACGCGCCGCGTGGGCCAGCGGCAGCATGGTCATTGAACTCGTCGTCTTGACCGTCATCGGCAGCACCACCGCCATCCTGCTCTCCAACGTGTTTGAGCGGCGGAATCTGAGGAAATCGCTGTACGTCTGCCTTCCCTGAGGAGTTCTTTTCAGCCACTTTCGCGTGTTGTGCTGCGCTGCGCGAGATGGTGATTGAATCTGTCATTTTTGGCGCGCTGGCTGGCGTTACTGCTATGAATGTCACTGCGGCGCTGGAGCGGCAGAGGCATGCGAGAGCTCTGTATGTTGTTTTTGACTGCGAGGTCTTGCTGTCTCTAATCACATGCCGTGCGATTGCGTCCCGTAGCGCTGTCTGACACTCACTTGAACGCGAAAGGTTATGGAAGACGTCCCCGGCTAACGTACTCCTGATAGACACCCACCTGAGCGCGGACGAAAACGCAACTTGCTTCGCGCGAGATTCAACCTACGACAAAAGGAATACCCTCGTCGTGAGGCCGTCGACTACGCCAACCCTGATTGCGTGGACCCCTTTTGCACGCATCCACCTCACGCGCTCAACTTCAAAGCTCCCATCCTCCCACCTCCAGGCTCCATCATTACACCCGGTCTCGAGGCTGTTCCTCCGCCTTCACCTATTCCTGAGCCACATCAGAAACCTCATCCCACCCCGCCACACGGCCTACTGACGCCTACTCCCGCCCCACGCACGGCATCCATTCGCTCGCATCAAAGCACCATCATCAACATCTCAGGCTCCCCGCAAGATATTGTCGACTTTTTCGATGGCATCGGGCTCCGATATTCGGTCCATCATGGACCTGGACCCCGCTCCGTCGCCCGCAGCCAGTGCGTTTGCCCTTTATATCATTTTATTGGCTGCCATATACTGACGCTTTGCTAGATGGGGGAGCACTACCCACCGCGGCCTCAGCAGCACGCCCTTCGACCTGTACGTGACCCAGACCCCCATACTCGATGGATGTGAAGCTGACTTGGTACAGTGCGAGAAGTCCGCAAGCCCAAACCTACCCGTTGGAAGAAGTCGGCTATCATGAGTCGAACGAGGCCACGCTGGGTATCTCAGGCTTTCCCAGCAAATCCCGACCGATCCGACGACCTTCAGTTACAAAGGTGGGCACGCGCCGCTACAGCGGCCTCAGCCCCCTCCGATACTCCGCCGTCTTCTAGATTCGCTCGCTACAACGTGCAAGTCGAAGCACCCACCTACGATGACGAGACGTACGAGAAGCACCTCACCCACTCGGAGTGGACAAAAGAGGAGACTGACTACCTCGTTGACGTGTACCGGGAATGCAACGGCAAATGGCCGGTCATTGTCGACCATTATTCCTACTCCGACGCCTCCACTCGCTCCATGGAGGACCTCAAGGCTCGTTTCTACAGCATCTCCGCTTCTGTGTTGCAGCAAAACACTCCCATCACCTCGATGACGGCTCCGGAGTACAGCCTGTTTGAGATGCTGCAAAACTTCAATCCTCAGCAAGAAGCGGCGCGCAAGGAGCTGGCGGAGAAGCACCTCAACCGACGGCAAGACGAGGTGGACGAAGAGAGCGCGTTGCTTGCCGAATTGCAGCGCATCATGATGAGCCAAGCTGCGGTTGATACTGAGCGGGAGGAACTGCGACGACGCCTGGACTACCCCCACGCTAACAACGGCTATCAGTACACAACTTCTCAAGCACTCACCGGCTTGTGGCAGCAAATGCTCACGGCCGATCGGATGAGGAAGAATCAGCGATTGCGACCTACGGGGAACCCGACGTACGACGGCTTCGGTGCTACACCCACAAATGCCCGTCCCCGCGATTCCAACGCCGGTCTGTCAGAGGCCGGGGGAAACAGCCAAGCGCGACGTCCAACGCGCGACTCTCTCCTCCCGGCCACGCCGCAAAGCACACTGCCCGTCGACCTGTCTGCCGCCGACATGCTTCGCTTCGGCGTAGTTGCCAACCAGGACAAACTTCCCAGCGGCGTGACATTTGTCAGTGATCGCCTGGCCAAACCGCGCATTGCCAAGTCCACCATTCAGACGGAGAAGATTGCAGCCATTCTGCAGCACGCCGGCGTGCCGGAATTGATCCCCATTGCGACGGCGAAGGTGCTGTCCATGTTTGAGACGGTGATGATGAAGGTGAATGGGATCCTGGATCTGAGGAAGTTGAAGGAGAAGGATGAGCAGGAGATGCGGGTGAGGGATGCGGAGGCGGGGCAGTGAGGTTGGGTGTGTTTTGCGTATTACCTACGATTCGTATAGCGAGGCGTTGGCTTGTATCCTATCTGAACTCCGTGCTTCGAGCAGATCGGTGGAGACGAATGGTTGGTCATGTCACGCGTGGCCCACGTCCATTGAAGGCGCGGCGCAGCCAATCGGAGTTCACGATTGTGGCGGGGTGCTGACTGACACGCCGGGCTCCACCTCTCAAAGAAGCACTGCATCAGCCCATCGCATCACCTCTCCACCTCCAGGCACCACCATACACCTCATCCACCCTTATCGCTTCCTCCCAGCCTTCGGTCGCGCCTGTCACCCTCCTATGCGCTCATGACTCTCCCTCACCCACGATAGCGCACAACCCCAGCCCACCCCGAGAGGCCTACGTCATCATGGCCGCCAACGGCTCGCCAGCCCCCAACCGGCAATACGACACAGAAGAGCAGCGCGACGCAGCAGGAGCAACAGAAGCCACTCCCCTCCTCGCACGAGAAGCAAGCGGCGACCAAAGCCAACCGCAGCGCGAACGCTCCGCCGAATCCCTCCTGCAATCCATCCAGAATGGCGGCAGCGGCGGCAGCGGCAAGAAGTCGTTCGCGAAAGCCCGATGGCCTAGCATTCTTGCGCTGCTACTGCTTTGCATTGCTGCGGTGCTGATTATGGTGTTTGCCTTCTTTGCGCCGAGTGTGGTCGAGCAGTATGCGGCGGAAGCGGCGGTCTTCGAACCTACGAGTTTGAGTATCGACTCCTTCACTACGACTGGGGTGCGCGCGAGAGTGCAGGGAAACTTCTACATGGATGCTGCAAGGGTGCAGAAGAAGAGTGTGAGGGATCTGGGCCGCTTTGGCACATGGATCGCAAGAGAGGTCGAGAGTGGGGACAGTGAGGTGGAGGTCAGTCTGCCGGAGTACGGGAATGTGGTACTCGGCACGGCGGTTTTGCCATCTATCAAAGTGGATGTGCGCAACGGACACACCACCCATGTTGACTTTTTGAGCGATCTGGCTCCGGGGAGTAAAGAGGGGATCCGCCGAATTGCGAGGGACTGGATCGATGGGCGGCTCGGGCAGCTGAGGGTCGTGGGCAAGGCGCGCGTACCGATCAAGAGCGGCGTCTTCAGTCTCGGCACGCAGTCGTTGACGCATGAGGTGTTGTTCGATAAGAAGGAGATCCCGAGCATTCCGGCGTACGATATCCAGCGTCTGAACTTCCACGATCAAGAGGGGGCGCGAGGCATGCAGGCGGATGTGTCGCTTGCGGTGGCCAATCCCTACCCCGTCGATTTTGCTGTGCCGCCGCTGGGATTCCAGATGCTTGTGCAGAGCTGCGAAAAGACGGATCCGTATATCAAGGTTGCCGATGCCGCCACTGACGACATGCACGTTCGGCCGAAGCATGATTTGGAACTGAATGTGACGGGCGTGGTGCACAAGCTCCCGGAACCGTTGACGCAGAACTGCCCCGGCGCGGACCGATCGCCTCTGGACAGGTTCTTGGGCAGGTACATTGAGGGCAAGGAGAACACCGTCTATGTACGCGGTGCGAAATCTCCTTCCGACAAGACTCCACAGTGGGTGGAAGATCTCATGTCTGATATCGTTGTCCCTGTTCCTCTTCCTGGCCGTGGAGAAGGCCATCTCATCAAGGAGTTTGCCCTCGCCGACACCAACTTCCATCTTCCGGATCCCTTCGCCGACCCGAGCAAGGTCGAGTCGAAACCGCGAATTAGCGCCAAAGTCAAGGCCTTGGTGGCGCTTCCGGAAGAAATGAACTTCAATCTGTCGGCAAATCGTGTCCGCGCTAACGCCGACGTCTACTACAAGGGCGACAAGTTCGGCACGCTGGATCTGAACAAGTGGCAGAAGGCCAACAGCACGCGCATCGAAGCCACCAAGCACGAAGGCCCGGGATTGCTGGTGGAGAGCTTTGTCGACAAGGCGCCACTCAATATCGAAGACGAAGAGATCTTTGCCTCTGTGTTGCAAGATCTGGTGTTCGGGGGCAAGAAGGTGGTCTTGCACATCAAGGCCAGCGTGGACGTGCAAGTTGAGACGGCGCTGGGCGAGTTCAAGGTGCAGCGCATCCCTGCGGAGGGCGAGGTGCCCGTCAAGCGTACGTGATGCCACCCTTCTCTTTTCGTCTGTTCGTAACTCACCCATCCGCAATAGAATAGAGAGCTGAACCTCTTTTGTCTCCAATAGCGATCACGAGGGGCAGCGGCGCCATGGACCCCAAGCTCGCGCCCAAGATCTCCGACCTGCAAATTGTCGACACCACCCCGTCGAGCCTTACGATCGCGGCCTGGATCAACATCACCAATCCCACCAACTACTCTGCCTCTGTGCCGTATGTGGATATTCACATTGTCAAGAATGGCTCCGTCCTCGGCCGCGCGACTGCACGAGATCTCCACATTCGACCAGGGCGGAATGACAATCTGCTCATCCAAGCAGTCTACGACCCTCTATCTTTTGGTGGACGCAAAGCCAAAGACATCGGCCGCGAACTCCTCTCACAGTACATTTCCGGCTGGAACACCACACTATCCGTGCAAACCCACCGCGGCACCATCCCCTCGCAGCCGAAACTAGGCGAAGCACTTTCGAAATTCATAATAGAGATTCCCGCCCCTCGCCTAAAAGCTCCCTCCCCACCCGACGACGGTGACAACCCACCCGACGACTCCCCCGACGACGGCAAAGGCCACTTCATCCGCGACGCAACCATGCACCTCTTCTCCTCCACCGCAACCTTCACCCTCTTCTCCCCGCTGCGCCACTCAACCCTCTACATCGAAGACCTCGACGCCACGGCGCTCTACAAAGGAGACGATGTAGGTCGCATCGAGTACGATCTCCCCTTTGCCGTGCCGCCTGTGGATCGAGATGGTAAGGGCGTGACGACGCCGCGATTGCCTGTGCAGTGGAATTTGGGTTCGGTGGGATATGAGGCTGTCAAGGGGGCGCTGGGGGGGACGCTGAGGTTGGCTGCTAATGCGGAGGTGGGGGTGAGGCTGGGGCGGTTTAGGGAGAGGATTTGGTTTCGGGGGGGTGGGATTGGGGTGAGGATTAGTTGGTAGTGTGAGGGAGTGGTTTTTTCTTCCCTTTGCTTTACAGCGTTGCTGGGTTCGAGGACTGATAGAACCTTGTACAGATGGCACGGTTGTGCAATATACACCTGACTAATGAGATGTCCTATCAGACACTGCCTCGTGAAGTCCCTCCTCTCCATCAACCACATGGCGAACATCTCCCCTGGTACGCGTGCTCCTTTCGCATGCTTGGCGACCGTGAGCTTCACGGATAGGTCGGGAACAGCAGACCCTCAACCAGCGATCACGGAGCACTCAAAGCACTCTACTTGCCTACAGTCTGAAGTGCTGGCGACGTTTCGCAACTGCAGGAGTCATTGCGTGATTGAGGGCTTGCAGTGCCCGGTTCGTCGCCAATGCGGGCTTCGGCGCGTCGGCTCCCGGCGCGGACTTCATGTGAGGCATGCTTTATAAGGCTGTGGGTGCATTCCATTCTGCATTTCGTCTATACCTTCTCTATTACACATCCGGCGAGACTGCTCTTCAATATGGCGACTGTTACTGCGACGTCTACGACTACCGAACACACGATTCTCGCTGCTGCACCGCCTGCGCATAAGGAGCCTTTGAAGCTCAGCGGAGTGCTGGAGAAGGAGAAGTGGTCTGATGTCACGCCGGTGATTGGAAGAGAGGTATGCAGTCTTATCGTCTTTGAACGGGAATGTCTTTGATACGAGCCACGTGCAGTTTCCCGAAGTCAACCTCAAGGAATGGCTCGAAGCTCCCAACTCCGATGAGTTGTTGCGGGATTTGGCTATTACCAGTAAGTGACGCCTGATTGCAACCGGACCGTAAAGACTAACAGAAGCCCCCAGTCTCCCGCCGCGGCGTCGTCTTCTTCCGCAAACAAGACGACCTCACCAACGACCACATGAAAACGCTGGCCCAACGCCTCGGCGAACTGAGCGGCAAGCCGGCCGACTCGAAGCTGCACATCCACCCCGTCAGCAACGCCGGGCGCAAGCTGGGCGGCTCCGACAACGAAATCTCCGTCATTTCGTCGGAGCAGGTCAAGCAGATTTACGCGGATCGCTTTCAGTACAATCAGACGCAGACGCTGAAGAATGCGTGGCATTCGGATATCACGTTTGAGCCCGTGCCGAGTGATTATGCCATGTTGCGGTTGACGGAGTTGCCGGAGACGGGTGGGGATACGTTGTGTGAGTGGCCATATTCTTGGTGGATGGGCAACTTGTTCTGACGAGCGATTCATCACAGGGGCCTCCGGCTACGAAGTCTTCGACCGCATCTCCCCCGCCTACCAGCGATTCCTCGAAGGCTTGACAGCCACCTATGCCCAACCAGTCTTCAACCAAAGCGCTGCAGCCAACGGCTTCGAAATCTACAGCGCCGAGCGCGGCTCGCCTTACAACGTCGGCACCGACCTAACCGCCATCCACCCCGTCGTCCGCACCAACCCGGTGACAGGCTGGAAGTCCGTCTTCGCCGTCGGCCACCACTGCAAGCGCATCAACGAAGTGACGGAGGCAGAGAGCCAGCACTTGCTCGACTGGTTTCTGCAGCTTGTTACCGAGAACCACGATTTGCAGGTGCGGCATCGCTGGCAGAATGTGAATGACTTGGCCATTTGGGATAATCGGAGTATGTACCATGCTGCGACGTTTGATTATGCGGAGTCCCGGACTGGGCAGCGGGCGGTGAGTTTGGGGGAGAGGCCGTACTTTGATCCCAGGAGTACGTCGAGGCGGGAGGGGTTGAGGGCTGAGGGGGCCAAGGCGTGATGATCATGGTTCATGCGGATAAATGTCTTCGTATCGATTCACGTTGATCTATCGTTATCATGAAACGAATTGGAAATCCAATCGACGACTACCAGCGTCCGTGGTGTTTTGTCGATAGACTTCTTGCTCTTCGGGCGACAGAGCATTCCACTGTTTTCGCTTCTGCTGGTTGCGCTTCGTGTAGTACTAAGAAAAGTCCGTTAGAATAGAGGAGATCAGCGATGGCCACAGGCAAGACTCACCACTTTCACCAGCAAATAAATAACAATATTCATCCCTCCAATACAAGCAAGCACCGAATTCCCCCTCCGATAAAGCGGCCGATCATCCTCGCGATACACATTCGCCGCAATGATATACTGCAACTGCACCGCCATATTATACAGCGCAGCGGAGACGGCACGAGTAGAGACGGCGTTGGAGATGCGACTGCACCACGCAACCTGCACGGGATGCGGGTAGGGATAGCTGATCAGCAGGCCGGTGACGATGTACGTGGTCCAACGGCCGGCGTCGGCGGGGAGGAAGCGCAGGCCGAGGACGCAGGCGAGGAGCCAGATTTGGGCGAGGGCGCCGAAGATGGCGCGTTGGTTGAAGCGCTCTGCTAGAGGGGTGAAGATGAGCATCTGGATGAGGCGTGTTAGTTATGAGCAAGTGGATGTTGGATTAATGTTTCCCTTACCGTTACCGAGGTGAGGAGGAAGATGGGAATGCAGAGCAGATTAGATGCGTAGACGCCAAATTGCAGTCGGCGCAGGGTGAGCGTAAGGTACGCTTCCGGGGGCTGCACGGGGATGCCAAAAGTCAGGCCAATGAGGTAGAGGGGCCAGAGATCAAAGTCGCGCAAAGTGCGCCAGAGCAGTCTGAGAGAAATGCCCTCCCGGTTATGCATGTCGCCTTTAGAGGGATCGTCGCGAAGCACTCGGTTGACGGCAATCACTTCTTCTCGCTCCGTGAACCAGCCTGGAGGGCGCCAGCGTGCTTTTGTCTCGGTGATGGATGGCACCATGCAGAAGAAGCTCCAGCAGCCAATAGCAAAGGTGATGGCACCTTCTATCATAAACAGCCAGCGCCAACCCTCACGGCCCGCCACGCCTTCGAGGTGGAGAAGGCCGAAGGCAAAGAGGGGGGAAATGACGTTGGTGATGCGGTTTGACAGCCAGAAGAGAGCGAGTCGAAAAGGAAGCTCGGAGCTCTTGAAGAAGTAAGAGAGATATAGGATCAAGTCGGGGATGAAGCCTCCCTGGAGCGTGCCGATCAGGACCCGACAGAAGAGATACGAGCGCCTGCCGCGTAGCCAGAATTGCGATGCGGATACAAAGGACCACATAATCATCTGCGCAGGAATCCAGACATCCGGTCCAAGGCGCTTGCTTAGAAGCTGCGAGGGCAGTTCGGCGAGGAGGAAGCCGACGCGGAAGAGCGAGTTACCCAGATTGAAGTCGTTGGTGGTGAGGCCCAGATCATCGAGGAAGTTGTCGGTGTTGGCGCTGCTGACGTTGCTTCGGGGGAGGTCGAGAGCGAAGAAGGCAAGACATGCCCATAGGGTGACTTTGTAGTCGAGCTTGCGAATCAAGGGGAGCTCTTCGGCCCACGTCCAGCGGGCGGAGGGATCGAAGCGGTGGAGATTTTCATACTGCGCGGAGGGGCGGAAGTGGTGTGCGAGTTTGGGATTGTCGAAGACGCTTGGCTGGGTGGCGATGTCTTCGAGGTTGGTGTCTGTCTTGCTGTCCCGTCTCCAAAGCCGCGTTACTCCGGAGAGGATGGACAGTTGAGAAGAAGGCTTCTCGTCGGGAGTAGGACTGCTCGTGCCTGGTTGGAGGAGGGGCGATATCTCGGTCTCGTCGACGACACTGGAGCCTGACGAGGATCCCATCTCCGCCACAGTCCAGCCGAATCGCTTCTTGTCGGGAGTAGACATGGCGGCCGTCGGGGTGAGTGGTCCTAGTCCATCATCCAGGGGAGAAGGGTATACGACAGCCTGCCACAGTTGCGTGGAGTGGAAAAGTTCGATGAAACGCGTTGAGAGCGTATCTGTTGATCATTTGGAAAGCTCGTGTAGTAAGGTCACAGTAAGGTGAAGTCAAATGGGTGATGGCGTGCGTAGCGAAAGCACGACATTCCGCCTCACCCCTCCACCAATCCTACTGGCCTGCCATTCCACCGCCCACAGGATTCAGTTCATCGATAAGAGTCTAGACAGTCACAGACCAGGTACAGCGATGAGCCGGTCCGACCGCCATGTCCATCCTGTCTGCACCTCATTGAAGGCGTCGTCGTTCACCATCCCTCCACGACCGCGTCTCCTGATTGGTGCACTGCCCAGCTCTTGCCTCCTTCCCAACTCGTCTGGCTTTGCTGGACGCAATCCTCCCTCCCGATTGCGCCACAGCTCTCATTACCTGTACCTGACACTCTGCACATCACACTGTTGATCCACTCCGCGACGACCCTGATATCCTCTCTCGTCCTGGTATCCGACTTTGCCGACCAAGCGACGCATGGACGATATCGGACTCCACGTAGCCATGTGTACATAGGTGCATGCAGGCCTCGTGGACTCCATCTGGCATTGGATAAATAAGTATCGACTTCTTTCGTAACTCTCCCGATCAAGTTCACTAAATCCTTTCCGTCATGTCCCGAACAAGCACAACTACCAAAGTTGGTGATGCACCAGGCACAATCACTCTCAAGTCAGCCTACAGCGAATCCACCCATTTCGACTACAAGTACGCAGCATATCTCCCCGTCTACGATGAAACGACCAAGTTCCCTCCGACAGAACCCTTTGATGTTCGTGATCGTGGTCTAGACGCAGACCCCAAGAAGCCCAATCTACTCGGTAGTCCCGGCGCCGAGATCACTCGATTGACCCCCCGAGTGGGAACGGAGATTAAGGGAATCCAGCTGTCGCAGCTCAACGATGCTCAAAAGAATGAGCTTGCCCTGCTCGTCGCTGAACGAGGTGTCGTGGTATTCAGAGATCAAGACTTTAAGGATATCGGCCCTCAGAAGCAGAAGGAGTTTGGCGAGTCTTTCGGGAGGCTGCACGTTCATGTACGCGGACCTTGATCGATGTCCATTTCGACCTCTGCTAACGATATGCGATTTGTAGCCCGTTGGCGCTCATGTCAAAGATTTTATCGAGTTTCACAACATCTATCTCGGCGCGGGTAAGCAGATCAGCAAGCACCCACAGAGACACACGGGCTAATTCGCCGTTACCAACAGACAACATCTACCGTCTGCAAGTCCGTTCATCCAAGCTGACAACCACCGGCTACCACTCCGATGTCTCCTACGAGCACCAACCCCCTGCCCTCACCATCTTGACTCTACTCGAGGTCCCAGCAACGGGCGGCGATACCGCCTGGGTGTCCCAAGTCGCTGCATACGAAAGGCTGTCTGCGCCCATTCAGAAGCTGCTGGAAGGTCTCACTGCCGAGCATGATGGCTTCAGGCAAGCAGAAGGCGCCAGACGCGATGGGAAGTTTGTTCGCCGGGAGCCGGTGACGTCGGAGCATCCTATCGTTCGCGTGCATCCGGTTAGTGGATAATCCCTCGCCATCGATGGGCTCTCTGTTCTCCACGCTAACGAGGATGTCGTAGGTCACTGGGCAAAAAGCCTTGTTCGTCCAGCCAGGCTTCACAAGACGCATCATTGGTTTGAAAGACGAGGAGTCGGAGGCGATCTTGAAGCTCCTCTTCACCGTAAGCACGACAGTCAACCCATTGCTCAACGTGTTTCTAACCGCATTGCACAAACAGCACATAGCCCATTCAGCCGACTGCCAGGTGCGAGTAAAGTGGGACAACCGCACCGTCTCGATCTGGGACAACCGCGTGACAGCACACACCGCCATCTCCGACTACGATGTGCACAACCCCGAGGAGGGGCTGAGGCATGGCTTCCGCATTACGACGTTGGGAGAGGTGCCTATTCCTGCTGGTGGAAAGGCGTAGGCGGGTATCCGTGGATGAGTCGGACCTGGTTACACGAGACTCATCCCTTCTGACTCACTTGTTCTCTCTTGCCTGTTTCATGTGCTGTCGCTTGCCGTTCTTCATGTGATGACGCCCGGATAATCCTCGCTGCTACCTGGGGGTGGAGGTATTTGATGATCTTCTGCAGTCTTGTCGTAACGGACAGGCGCTGTGGTGTAGTGGAATCATTCCTGCTTTGGGTTACACAAATGCAGGAGGTAAGACTGTCCAGGGAGTTGCATGAAGCCGTCTCATCAGTCTCTAACGATTTCCCAGGTCTCCGGTTCGAACCCGGACAGCGCCCGTTGTTTTCTTTTGCTCTTCATATGGGACAAGGTGTGATGGGGAGTGGCGTTTTGTTCGTTGATATCGACCGTTTGCACGTTTGCACATCCGGCGATGTCTCGGCTGACGGAGAAGGCTGGCACGGCGCACGGTTAGTAAGCGAACGGCTTCCACGCGTGTCCTCGCCACGAGGCTGCGACCGGCAGCTGCAAAGGGCATGGTTGGAATAGTACAATTCATTACCGAGGGCTAGAACATTATTGCAAGCATGATCCATGTCCGACGTGGATCCCTACATCAATCGTAAACAATCTCCACTGAGGAACGGCAAATGCTTGATTGAGATGGATGGCCTCGGGCATGCCCTGCTTGATCTCGGCCGATGAAAGCCAGACGCCAAGGAGTGGATTAATAGATGTTATTATGGAGAGAGTAAGAAAACCCGGACATGACCAAGCAGATTCAAGGGTTGGCGAGTTACAAAAGCAGAGTCGCGCGGGTGGAGAAGAAGGGGTGATTGGGATGGGGCCGGAGATTGCTCATGGCGCTCTCTTGCCCGATTCGGCTGGGTGAAGCAATCCATGACCAGCACCGCCAAGAAGTCCTATCGAGGCTTGCATCGCATCTCCCTCCATTCATTTGCAGCTCATCTGTATTGTCGATGAGGGGCGGGAGGTGCCATGTGTTTAGTGAAAATCACCGAACGGCAGTAGCAGTCTGGAACGAGGCATTTCCTTTGCACAACAGCCCTCGCGTGCAGAAAAGAAACGTCGAGCTCCCGTGTTTTGGTTAAGGTCGGGCTGGAAGCGGGGGCTTTCATTGGTGGCGTACCTGACGCTAACGGCCGTCGCCTCTTATGTAACCCGCCAGCAAAACTCAATGCACGACACGTCGAGGAGAATGAAGGGAGAGGGATGGGGCCTCCTATACCGCAGATATGTAATACATGATGATGATATGGACAGGAGATGGACAGCGCAGAGCCAACGCATGCGTCAGCGACAATATTGCGCTGTTATTGGCCGAGGTGTTGATTGTATCGCCTGCAATTTGAACGACCCCCCGGCTAGACGCAGCCGTCAAAAGCGGGAGCGGCCCGTGCTGCAAGCGTGCCTCGCCCGCGCCTGCTTCTTTATGCATTCCTTCCCTCCCTTTCGGGGCAGCGTGCAGCCATCCCCCATCCACATCCACATCCTCCACCACCTCGCACCGCCTTTGCCAGGCCGAGATCCTCGCGAGCCTGCATTCACCAGCCTTCTCGGCGCGTCCCTCTTTTTCTGCCCACGCTCCGCACTCACTCACCGCAGTCATTCCTTGTACATACTCTGCCCGCGTCGCCCTCGCTGCCCCCCCTTTCACCCTCCGTCGAACAACCTCCTGAAACGCCGATGAAGTCACGCTGAAGCACTTGCTGTCCTCCGCCCGGTCGAGAACACGTCGAATACTTACATATCCGCCTTGTTGTCTCGCTCTCGAGGCAATACTTGTCTGAGACCACTCCGGCTGCTGGTCTCGGACGGTCAGGCAACACCCTCGCCGGATCATGAAACTTCCCGTTGCTCAAAATGTGGCCGACGTCTACACGCGCTGGCTCTCCGATGATGTCCCGGTATTGGCACAAAGAGGCACCGCGGTAGTCCGCAATGTCACCCGCACCGTCGTCATCCGCTCCTACTCGGAGAGCAGCACCTGCTCGCCCGGTGACAACTCGCCGAGATGTCAGAAGCCCGTCGGCGGCACCAACGACCAGACCTTACCCATTGTCCTTGGCGTGGTGTAAGTCTTGACTTTTTCATGCCTTGAAAGCCTCCCTAATATCCGTCTAGCATCCCAATCTCCTGCGCCATCATCACCTTCCTCTTCCTTCACCGCCGAAACAAGAAAAGACAGGCATTAGAAGACATCAATGACCCCCACAAGTCCCTCGACTTTGGTCTGGACATTGATGGGCCTTTGCCCGCGTCCAGCAAACCGAAGCGTGGCAGAGGAGATAAGAAAGGGGCGCCGGAGATGATCATCACCGACCTAGGCCCTTCATCGGGACAGCGCCACAAAGGTCGAGGCCTCTCGATGGATATGCTGGGCAGTCCGTACATGCTTCCGGCGGGGCTGGCTGGCTCGCGCGAGTCGTTGCATAGCATGACACGCTCTCAGCGCGAACACGACCCCTACCGGCCCGTCACCTTTGTTCGCAACTCTGGCGAGACGGGGAGGCGTCCTTTCCACGAAACCGGCTCCATGTACTCCGCATCCACCAACCGATCCTTCAACGACCGCTCCAACCTGGTCCCTAATGCGCAGAGAATGTCGCAGTCTTATATCCCAGAGAGGAGCGATGTCCTGTCCAAAATCGAGACCAAGGCTTCAGGAAGTCCGCTAGCTTCGCCCGCCCTTTTCCCGGTGGAGAACACTCTCAGTGTCCCCACCAGTCGGAGAGCCAGTGAGGCGTCATCCACTGCACAGCTTCCGGAAACGTTGTCCAGCCCGGTTGGCCTCCCTCGCGTGGAATCACCCAAGGAGACATCCCCGGAGGAGATGCCGTCTTTTCCTCAACCGCCCGAACGCACTGCGCAGCCTCAACGACCCCCCAGATCATCATCCGTCTATGCCTCTGCCTTGCCCCCACGCCAGTCCTCCATTGCCCCGGGTTTCCAATTCTCCCTCGAGCGGCCTATGAGTGAAAGCAGCCATTATGACGAGGAAGAGTCTGCGCCACCGCCGCCGCCAAAGCATGAGTCTGTCGCAGAGCCTATCGCGGAGGCCGGATACTACGAAGATACCGACTTCAATTACGACATTGACCCCAGCGCCATCTACACCGGCCGACACTCCATCGACGCTGGCGCAGCATCTCATGAGTTCCCCCAAGATTACTCCAACGAACACGCCATGCCCAACAATCGTTTATCTTACATGGGCGTGCGTCCGTTGCCCCTCGACAACCCCGAAGAGAATGCGGAGCAGCGCGCAAACAGGATAAGATCCTTCTACAAGGAGTACTTTGACACCAGCCGACCCAACCCCACTGACGCCTATTACGAAGACTTTGATGCCGAGTACGTGGCAGATTACTACGGTGACGAGGGCTGGTACGACCCGGAGACGGGTGACTACTACGGCGCTCCTCAGGCACAATACGCTCAACCAATGGGCCGTCGTGCTATGACGCCTCCACCACGAGGTGCTGCGCGTGCTCCACGATTCCCCGGTCCGTACGACCGCCACTTCTCCACCATGTCTGGCGGCCGACCCGCGTTCCGAGGTCGACCACCGCCAAAGAAGAGGCTGCCACCTCCCAAGGCCCTCACAAGTCTTCCCACCCCTCACATGCTGAGGACTGACTCGGCATTGTTGAACACCATGGACTTTGCCCCTCCGTCCTCCTTCCGCGAGCAACAGAATGGAAGAGTGCCCGACAGCCCAACGGGAACCTCTCGACCCTTCAGTCCGTCTGTGCGCGCGTACAACCCGCTCTTGTCATCTTTTGACACTCTCGCCCCCATCCCGTCACCGCACGCCCTACGCAAATCCGGCACCTTTACCTCTCTCGACTTCTCCCCTCAAGTCCCTCGCTTCCTCGGACGCGATGGCGGGAGCCGCACGGGCAGCGACGCCGGCAGCATTCGCAGCGCGCGATCCGGCATTTCTGCTCTGCAGATGGACGCCGTCCGCTCAGGTGCCTATCGCGTGTCGCGCATCCCCAAGGAGTTTGTGACGTCGCGAGAAGATCTGACCAAGCAACTGCGGCCGAAGATGGATCTCATCTCCCCGGCGTAGACGCGTCGTCGGACGACCGACCTTCTTCTTCTTCTTCACTCTTGATTCTGTACAGTGACGCAAACAAAAAGCTTTGCAACTCTTCATGGCATACTACTAGGGCCGGGCACATCGATCATCCCGCGGCCACGGGCATGCGGCGTTTTCTTTCGTTTGACAACATAATAGACGCGAGGGGTTAATGTTTTCAAGGGACGAGGGAATACTTTTCATTTCATGACTGTGGTATAGGGAGGGCGGCAATTGGGGGATGGGATGGGCTGCGGTAGACATGGCTCTGGGCAACGAGGAGGACTTTTCTGGCTCGGGCTTGCGTAGTCTGGGTCGGGGAGATTCATAGTGATGAGATGAATGCATTCATCCGTCGTACGTCTTGTCTTTCTGCTATCACTGCTGCCATCATCGATACCCACTGAACGTCGCATCGGTATTCATCCCCCCAGCACCAGTCGTATGCCCCTTCGCCGACGCCGATCCAGCCCCTGCATCCTCCATCCTCTCCCTCCCTTTCCCTTTTCCTTGCTCCGCCATCTGCCTCTCCCTTGCCGCCCTCTCGTCCCTCCATTCATACCACTGCACCAGCGCGACCAATTCATTGCGACTCAGCTTGGTAACGACCTGCTTCCGCAGACCAGACATGGCTGCCGCGTCGCGGTAGTCGGGCAGTATACCGCCTGCGCACAGACTGTCGATGCCGCGGTAGTGCATGATTATGGTGCCTATGAGCTTCGTGCGGTGGATGGGCAGGGCGGAAGTGCTGGTGATGAGAGACAGGACTTGCGCGTCGGGCACGGGCGCGATCCTGCGGATTTCACCCTTGGTCAGCCTGGCTTTCCTGACTGACATTTGGTGCTGCGCATGGTATAGGCAGAGGGCGGGCCGGGGGGGGCGACAAACGCAGTCCGATGCGTCTGGCCGTGCGTCACGAAGCGCCGCGGAATCCTCTCCACCCAGCGCAAAGGCGGCGCAACCGGCGCATCCAGCACCTCCTGCGCTCACCCGCGGATCTCACTCAACGGGCCCGGTTCAGGCGGCGCTGTCCGGCCCCAAACATGCGACACGTGCACCACGACAGACCCGAACTCGGGATTCTGGTAAGTCTGCTCGCCCCCGCCGCGCTGCAAAAGCTCCTCCTCGCCTTCCTCGCCGTCCTCGCGCACGTCCAGTGCGACGAACGCGAACATGCGTCCGCCTACCTTCTCCCCCGCCAGCACGCCGGGGACGACGTAGACCGCATTGGGATACGGGGTCGGGTAGTTGCCGTAGACCACGCGCGCGACTTCGTGGCCGTCAATCAGGACGTCGAAGACGATGGCCTCGCCTTCGAAGTCGGCTCCGTGTACGCGAGTGCGAGTTTCACGCCGAATTGGACGGGGGGTCTGCGGGTGGGGGGTGGAGCTGTCGAAGAGGCGCTGCAGGCTGGCGGGGGTGGAGGTGGGCGCTCGGGGGCTGGTGGCAAGGCTACGCAGCACTCGGTGCAGTTCGGGTCGCGGAGTTGCCGGTCGAGGTCGAATTCGGGGAGGTCGGGGAAGTCGTGGAGGGAAGCGGGGTTGTTTGGGTTGTTGGGATCGATGACTGTCATTTTGGGCTTAGCAAGTATTTTGGTCTCGGTTCGAGAGTGTTGCTTGCTTACTGATGAGGGAGACGTGGATGGGAAAGCAGTGACGGAGAAGGGGCATCGTAGATGGTGGGTATGAGTGATGGTGGACCGGGTGATGAGTGTGAATGTCGGAATAGTGATGGCGTTGGTATTCTGAAGCGGTTGGTCGAGTATGAAGCGTGAGAGTACGAATCGTGATGGGGAACGATCGTTGCTAGGCAGTACAGACATCGTATGTGAAAGGCATGTCGAAGGCGCAACCTGCAAACAACGTGAATGGAAGGCGGCATCGCACAAGCCTTCCACCTTCGCCACTCGAAATCAGTAGTGAGAGTGAAGAAAGAAACGAGCATCAAGAAAGAACTGAATTCGCTAGACGTACAACTAATCCTTCACACCATCCCATCCTCACTCATCATGGAAGAAGGTCGTAATCGCTTTTGGAAAAGAAGCTCCACCCGCATCCAGCCCTACATCCTGCGAGACTGCATGCCCTGCCCTTGCGCTCCATACCCACCCAGCATCTGAGGAGGAGGCATGGAGCCGAAACTCGGGAGGGGGTTGTGTGGAGGAGGGCGCACAGCAGACACGGGAGGCGGCTGCGACTGCATGAATCTCGCCGCGTCTACTGGCTCGTTGGCGGGAGGGGGTTTTGCGGGTAGGGAGGCCGGCATGCCCCATTTGGCGATGCTGCCGCTTGGTCCTTGGGTGGTGGAAACGTTGCCTGCCATCGCTGCTGAGCCAGTGTTGGATCTGTCTTGTGGCCGTGGCGGGGTTGCGGTTGGTTTGACGGGGAGTGGCAGGTTCGGCGATGGCTGCTTCGGAACCACGGGCTGGGGTAGGGGGTGTGTCATGGGGTGCGTTGGCGTGCGCATCTGATGGCTGGTGGGAAGCGGGGATGTGTATGCCGGCGCGACCGGGGGCCCATTCGGCCTCGGAGGCATGTGGGAAAGGCCAAGCCCCGCGCCAAACACACCAGGGAGCATTGGGCTCGTGGGGGACTGATGTTGCATGGGACTCCCGCCATTGGCGTGGCCGGGGACGAAGCTTTGACTCTGCGGGTTGAAGTGCTTGCCTTTGTAGCTGCCGGGAAGTGGATGCTCGAGTTTGCTGGGCGGACGACCGGGGAACGTTTGGCTCGGCAGCTGGCCGTAGGCATATGGCTGGCGCTCGTGGCCTTGGTGGGATGCCGGACTACCACCGGAAGCAAAGCCCTGTGGGCTGGCCATCATCGTCTGGGGTGCATAGTTGGGCATGTGCATCCCCTGCTGCGGCCATGGCTGCTGCTGCGTTGAACCCGGCTGCTGGCTGTACTGCATGTTGAAGCCTGGCTGCTGCATGCTCGAGTTGGGCGACTGCATAGGAGGGCTTTGGAACGACATGGACTGCTGGAACTCTCGAGACAAGTCGTAGCCAGATGGCTGAGGCGGGGTCCAATTAGGCATGGTCGGCTGAGAATACACGGTCGCCGTGCTCCAAGCGTGGTTGGTAGGGTCACCGTACTGTTGATGGCCACCGGGTCCAGCCGGGTAAGGATAGGCTGAGTGGGAGGGCTGGTGCATGTATGGAGGCACGCCGTTGGAGACAGTGTAGGGAGCTCCAGTCGAAGCGCTCGGAGTCATGGCTGCGGGATAGTACGCACTATACGCAGACCTCGCTTCGAAGTCATCATCATCATCCGCACGTTGCTTTTTCCGTCCGCCCTTCTTTCCCGTGGCTGAACTTGAGCGGGAGTTGGCCTTTTCGATGGACGCTTCAAGGGAGTCCGACGGGCGCTCAGAGCCCATGATACGCTTCCTCGCAGCTTCATACCTAGCTTCCCGCTCTTCGCGCGACTGCGGCAAGGTGATTCGCTTGTCGTCTTCGTTTCCGCTTTCACCATTTTCCGAGGTGGTCTTGGAGGTCATGTGAGATCCGTTTGCAATGGTCGGTCCCCCATCGAGCATTCCGCGGCGTAATATCTTCATCTGGTGAGCGGCGGGCGGCGGTGTACTTGCAGCAGTCGACGGCGTGGCGATGCCAGTAAGTGGTGGGGGGAGCCGACAAGTCAGTGTTTTGAAGATGCGCACAGCCGTGGTAGAGTCGTCAACCGCATGGCCAAGCATATAGTAGTCGGCCAATTTGTGCGCCAGCATTCTGTAAAAGGCATTGGTCTGCGGTAGGGTGAGTGATGTCTCCTTGGCATCCTTGACGAAATCCACAATGTCCTGCTCGAGCTTGAGGACCATGATGCGGTCCTTGGGGCTGTCGAGCGCTTCAAGCAGCTTTGGGTCGGGTGGGACATCTACCCCGGCATCTGCACCTGGGGGTGGACGTAGCGATCCCGGAACATGGCCGATACCTGGACCGTCTGGTGGAATGTACAGCATGCCGTGTCCGGAGTGACCGTTGTGACCAAAGGCATGCGGCAGACCAGGCTGCCTCGCCGGGTCCATGTCGGAGATCTCCCGCAGCTGATTGGAGAAAGCTTGCAAATCATCGTGATTGCTTGAGCGAGCACTACTCGACGCGGCGCCGGGGAGGGCAAGGACTTCCTCATCGTCCTGCGCCATGACGCTCGCACTGTCATCGGGGCGCAAGGACTCTTTCTCGTCAAGGGCGAAGGTGGTACCCGAAGCAACACTCTTGCCATCAAGGCTTGGTACTTTGACTGAGCCATTGGAGGAAATTTGCGTACCAGCTTCATCCGAAGCAGCAGGCAGCACCATCACCTCCGGCGTCTGAATATTGGAAGGCGTGGAAGCTGTTGGTTCGTTGACAAGTACACCAGGTGTTGGTAGATCCCCCAGTATCGTCTCTTTCCCATCAACCAGTAAAGCGCCGTGTGAAATTGTCAATGGCGAAGTGAATGTGGGTTGAGAGGGCTGGTTTTGGGGAGAGTTGTCACGAACAGGTGACGTGATGGCACGGTTTGATGCGTTTTCGGCCGTGAGAATCTTTGACTGGACATTGGAAGACTTGATTCCGGCCGCCAGGATCTGTAGCTGACATTAGCAAGAGGTTAGTAGGCCGGAATGGGCAGGCTCTCACTTTCGCAAAGGAAGGCTTCTCAACCTTTGCTGCTGCGGCAGATGCCATTAGTATGGGTGGTGGTGGTGGACACGAGGCCACCGTGCTGGATCGAAAAGAGTCAAAAAGAGTGACGAGGGGCGTGCGAGCCGCTGTTTCTTGAGCCGGCGAGGGTGCGAAGCTCAGCCGAAACGGTAGGAGGGTGTTGACTGGAGGAGGCTACCGGGGAAAGCAGAAAGCTCAAGAAACAGACGGCTCAAGGAAAAACACCAGCGCCACGACTGAGGGTGTAGGCATGGTGATGCCCAGTGCGCATTTGGAGGGTGTCAGGGTGGAGGGCGGGAGGAGGTGAAGGTTGGCGATCGTGGAAGAGTGTCGGTGGTGTTGGGTAGGAGGCTCGAAGAGAGCGGTGGTTGAGAGGGTTTCCGTCGTCTTCAGTCGCCCATCTGAGGGGAGATGATCGAAAGGCGTGAGAAGGAGGTCGTGGGAGATGTGGGTGGTCAGCAGGAGCGCGCGTTTGCAGCAGAGTGGGATGTTGGATGGACAGACGTCGCTTGCGCCGTATTTTCCTCGACGTCGGCAGGCGGAAAGCGGGCCGTGCCGCTGCGCGTGTGGAGAGATGGCGCGCATTTCAAGTGTCTGCATGGGCGTGGGACATGGTTTACAAAAGTACACCATTTGACGACCAAGGATGAATCGCTATAGATCAGCCGGTGCTTCAAAGGCGACGGCTACCACATTGTGTCAGAAATGTCTCAAAAGAGGTGAGTTAGTTGTGTTAGTCTTGGATGACACGCACTGACTGTCGATTGCAGGTCATTATAGCTACGAATGCACGGCATCTCAGCAGGACAGGCCATATGCTTCACGGCCGTCTCGAACACAACAATTGGCAAATCCTAAACTCGCGCCTAAGATTGTAGAAGCAACTTCGAAGGAACAGGATGCGGAGTACGTTGTTGAATGAGGGGCCGCACAGATGAACAAGCTGACAAGACGTGAACGACAGGCGAGAGCGAAAGCAGCAATTGGATGTGTCTAGGCATGGCAAGGACCGACACTCGCGGTCTCCATCAAGCAGCAGCTCGGACTCGGTGTCGACCATCTCTACCAATCGATCCCGCTCGCCATCCCGTTCACCGGTGCGTGATCGACGCAGTGCCGGAGCGAATGGACAACATGACAGTGCTACACGTGATGCGAAACGGCGGCGGCGGTCTCGGTCACGATCGCGATCGCCGTATCGTGAGGGTGAGCGAGAGCGAAGACTGCGAGCGGAGAGCGGAAGTCGGGAACGACAAAACACGAGAGCGTCTGTTGGGGAGGGTCGTGCGTCGTATCGAGAGCGAAGTCCAAGTCCGTACAGCAAACGGCGGGCGCATTCATGAGCTGTGGTGGGCATGAAGGTTATGATCACAAATCATCATCAGATATGAGAGGGGCCTATCCGGCATCTTCCCGGTCGGAGTGGAGTGCAGATGGTTGCCGGGAGTTGATAAATAAAGGCAATGGCCGGCTAATGAAAACCCAATGATCAGAGACGGGCAGAAGAATGCTACGTGCTGTTGATAAGGTTTTCTTGGATGTACAACGGCAGGACATGCGTGGAGTCAAGTCCGATGCACCTCGACTCCACCCCTCGTAAATTCCAGTTCTGGAGGAATAAGCACGGGAGAGGTCCACATCCGCCTTCATCACAGATGGTCACGGTGTGATGCCTGACAAGGGAGTTGGATATCTCCAGGACGTGCATTGGATGGATGCGGCCCGTTGCTACTGATGTGCATGTGGATGGTTCACAATCAATGGCAGGTGCAAGTGTGGTCCCGACGCGGTTATTAGAGTTTTAAGGTTCGGCAGTGAATCCTGCTGGCGGCGATCGCGGTTCACGCCAAACCAATGGCCGTCGCCGCGTCACGCAATCCCTCGGACCAGACTCCACCGGGTTGGGGAACAAGGTTGGGTGCCGGCTATGCGCACTGCCGGGTAATGAGCAGATAAAAAGAGCAGTGCAAACCTCCTCACCCGTCGAGCCGGGCGACACCACGCCCGTCGCACGGTGAGCACGTGAAGAATTGCCAAAAGTGGGTGGGACGGGGGCAAAAGTTGAATTGGTGACGCTCGGCGAACGGTAGGGAAGAGACAAGTGGGAACGAACCGATCTTTTTCCCGTGCCCTCCACCAGCCACACGCCAGAGCCAAGCTGCACAGACCGGCATTGATCTTCTGGTTGTCATCGCCTACGCTTATCGTCTCTACCTCACCTCACCTCGTCTCGTTTCCCGAACATCTCTCCCCTCCTTCCCCCGACATGCTGCCATCCCACATACGCTGACGTGGGGATGAAGTACGGCGACACGCTGCGGCAGAGATCCATACCTGCTTGGAGCCATCACAACATCGACTATGACGAGATTAAGCACTTTATCAAAGACAACACCACCCCCGGCAAGGGCAAGAGCATTTCCATTCCCGGCAAGAGCGACGCAAAATTGCTGCGCTTCGAAAATGACCTCTTTGACATTCTGCTCGAGCAACACACTCGCATCAGTCTTTTTGTAACGAGCAAAGCTGGCGAGATTCGCCGTCGACTCGGTAAAATATATTGTCCTAGTCCGACGTTGCTATCCGCTGACATCCGCTAGACCACGCGCATAGCAAATTCACCCGCTTATCTACTCATGTGACCAACACATCCGACCAAGGCATCCCCATCGGTCGGCTGGAACGGTACAGTAAGCTCGAAAATGACCTGCTCAAGACGGGCGACGAGATTAAATCTCTCGCCCGCTTCGTCGCCACTCAACGCACCGCCTTTCGCAAACTGCTGAAGAAGTACAAGAAATGGACGGGCTCGGCGGAGTTGGAGGCTCGCTTTCACGCCGACGTCCTCGCTTCCCCCAACAGCTTCACCCATCTTGATCTTGGCCCTCTTCTCGACGACTACTCGGACGCTTTGCAGCATATTCGAAGTTTGTACGAAGCTCGATTACAGAACCCCGACTCCCGCGCATGCGTCTCATCACTGCCGCAAGAACTCGAACAAACTTCTGCCAATCAACTACGCACCGCGTACGGCACCGGATCCAAAGTAGAGCTCGACACCGCCATTGCCGCCGTTCCATTCGATGAAGCGGGCTCCTTGGCCACTTACTTTGTCCATCCCGACAGCATCGTCGAGCTTCGCGTCCTTCTGTTACAGCACTTTGAACATCACAAAGCTCACATCAGATCTGACTCTCTTACTTCGTCTTCACCCTCGCGAAAGACGAGCAATGTCAACATCGCCGAGCCTGATTCCTTCATGCTGGTTGCAGACCAGGTCGAGCGACTTGCACGCGAGCAGAATGCCGTCACCATTGATGAGAGGGAACATCTGACTGGGCAACGACCGCAAAGAGCACAGGCGGCCATTCGATGGACTACCGATGAAGATGCCATTTTGACTGCACGCCACGGCCGATCCAAATTAGAGACGGTTCCCGTCCAAAGGAAGGATGTTGACATGGTATTTGAGCCGGCGTCAATGCCCGCAGCTGAAGCGGAAGAAGTCAGATCTGCCAAACGCAGGCAATCAGTAGCTGCCATTCGCAGTAAGGTGCAGGAGCGCTCTGGGATGCGTGCTCTCTACACCATCTCTACTTGTCGCTCGCGCTTTGTGGGCATCAACAGTGGACCAAACGGCGTGCTCTTGGCGACGCTCGATACGAATATTGTCATGCAAAAAGCCGGGCACAACGATGACACACCAACATCGACTTTTCCCTTTGCAGTCTTGCAAATCCGGCAGGAAGGCTCCAGTGGCACGGACCTGCTCTCCCTCCTCGATCACAACCATCTCGTGGAGAGAGTCCGCGGCTTCTCCCTCGAATACCACGCGCTGTGGGAACTCTTCCGACCCGTCGGCTTCGCCCCTCCCTTCTGGCTCCCCATGCTTTCCGAAGACATTCGAAAATTGCCTCCACCTGCGCTCACCGCTAGAGGGAGTAGTCTGGCTGTAGGGGGCAGCTCCGGCTCAGCCACGCACAGATCCAACTCCACTGCCGAGGGCACCACAGCCGTAGAGACGGGGCGATCGTCAAGCGCCATCCCCGACCAACTCGAGACCCCACCCCTCCGATCCTTCCGCAAGAAGCGCCGACGTACATATGCCGAAAGCCCGCCGCCGACGGCTCGGCAGAATGTATACTGGAACGAATACGACGATCCAGAAGATGGCGGGGACGGCGCATACATCATCTACATCGACCCGAACGCCAAATCCGCTCTCGACACCTTTTTCGAAAAGCTGACGGCCGTCTTTCGTCGTGGCGGCAAAACTCAGACCGACAATGAACACGGTTCCCTCCTCTCCCCCCACGTAGACGACGACGACGATCTCTCCTCCGACGACCAAACCCCTCCCTCGACGAAATACGGCACCCTATCCACCTCGACCAATACCCACCGCTCCTCCCAAATCCCCTCTCACTGGACCACACAAGCTCCGCCCGCGCCCGCCCCCGCCGCCGCCGCCTTCCCCCGCATCACAGCCATCTGCCTCTCCGCCTCCGTCGCCATCCTCATCGTAGCCTACATCCTCGCCTCGACGGCCAAACACAAGTACGCGACGGAGGTGGATGCGGGCGTGCTGTTCGCGGTGGTGTGTAGTTTGGTGTTTGCCGTTGTGGGCTTCATGACTGTTCGTTCTGGGGGGCGGGATGATGGGGGAGAGGGAATTGCGTTGGGGGTGGCGGTTGTAGTGCTGGTGTTGGATGTGGTGTGCTCGAGTGCGCTTTTGGCGTGGATGGTTGGGTGAGTGGGAGACGGTGGGTATGTAGATGAATGGAAGTGGACGAAGCGTGGGACTGTTCCAATTCTCGATACTAGTAGGTATCTGTACTACTCATCATTCCTCAAGCCGGGGAACACAAAATCCACTTCCACCTCCGTCGCCATGCTACCAATGCCTTCTCAATCACCGCACTCAAAAACCATTGCTATACTTCGATCCCGTCACCGACTCCAGCGCCTGCAGCTTCGCCAATCGATTCTCCTCCTCCATCCTGCGTCGCCGCTGTGCCTCGCTGTTCGCTTGAGAAGACACCGGCTTAAGTTTCGCCGGCGTGCCATTAGAAACCGGGCGATTGACGGCAGCAAAGGTGGGAAAATCGCGCTGCACTTGTTGCGGCACGAGGGAATCAACATCGGCAAAGTCCTCTGCATCCTCCTCCGCACCACCTTCATCCTTGCTCTGCAGATAAGAAGGCAAGCTCCGGCGGTCTCGTGCGGCAGTCTTCGATACCGAAGGCGCGGTCCCGCGAACACCAGGCTCGTCTTCTTCACTGCCGATATCCACCTCTTCGTACTCGACGTGCGCCGCACTTCGTCTTGCAGGCTTCTTCCTCTCCGCTGCCCCGTCGCCGGGTTTGCCTTTTGGCTTCGCCTTGCCGTCTCCGCGGTAACTGCCGTCCTTTTCAACCGGGATGAGGGCCTTCTTGCTTGCGCTGCTGATGACGTAGCCTTCCTTTTGTCGCTGCTGGTAGTACGCTTTCTGGTCGCGGGCTTTCTTGGGCGCGATATCGCTCTTCAGGAGAATGGTGTCGGCATCGTCTTCAAGCTCTGCCTCAAGTTGCTGCGCAGCGCCATCGCCCGCTTCAGCCTCGTGTTCCACCTTGCCGGCATCGAGGGCCGCTCGGGCTGCTTGCTGTGCCGAGACTTGTCGCAGTTTTTGCGGATCGATGGGTAGTTTGACGATCCTGCGTTTCCCTTTCAACGCGGCTTGCAGCATGATGAAGCGGCCATCGGACTTGGCCTTTTCCACTGCCTGGCGCTCTTTCTCCTTTTCAAATTGCCGCTGCGCTTCGCTTTTATTCGCTCTCAATGCAGTAGTAGCTAGCTCGCTTGTGCCAAGATCGCTCGATCTGAAGCCTGCGGCGGACAGTCGTGGGACCTTGTTCTTGCCCTGCTTCATGCTGATGGTGCCATCCTCATCGTCGTCTTCGGGCCGCGGGCGCTTGAACGGGCGCAGTCCAGCTATCAGTGGGTCCTGATTACTGTCGTCGGTCACTGGCGCTGGTTGTGTGTAGGTAGGGTAGCTGTAGCTGGTTTGCTCATCGGGTTGGGGATACATGTTTGCTGCGGGTGGAACGTATCCGCCGTGATTGACAGGAGCGTAGCCTTCGGGCGCTGAACCGCGCATGCCGCTGGGTGGAGAGACAGCTTCCATGCTCGCGTTCGCCTGCTGTAGCCTGTGAGCGAGCGAAGCCTCCTCGTCGTAAGCCTCGGCGCCTGCCGCAGCTCCAGAAAGCGCGGGGTCGATAGGCGTGGCCAGGTCTGGAGTGCCATCTTCAAACTCCACCACACCACTCTCGTCTGCATCGCCATCCAGGGTAGGCTCAATCTCCTTCGTCTTCTTTGCCTCTTCACCAGCCCGCCGCAATGGCGTTCCCGGCTCGATGCGATCATCCTTCAGCCAGTTCAGATTGCTCACGCTGAAATCCACGAGCGCTTCGACGGATCTCGCATCTGCTACCTTCTTCGTGTCGTGACCTAACAGTGTGCCCTTTGGCTCGTAGGGCTTCATCTTTCCTTCCCGTCTGCATCCGCCAGCAAAGCAAATACCGAGACAGTGTGGGCAGCTCCACTTCGGGTCCTCCATGATCGTGATGGGCATTTTGTCCCAGCCGCGGAAGAGCGTGCCATAACACCACATGCGGTCACATGTCGTACATTGAGCCATCTTCCAGTTCGGGTGGCGTTTGCAGCAGACATGGCAGTTGGTGTTGTTCTTCAGCCAAGCCTTTGATCGCTTCTTTTGAATCTTCTTGACAGTTCCGTTGTCGTCGACAATAATTTCTTCCTCTTCATTTTCGTCCTTTTCCTCCTCCTCGACATCCTTGCGAACGTCCTTCCACGGCCGCTTCTTCAATTGCTCTTTGCAGACCTCGGCCAACGACTTCTTGCCCAGCCGCTTCTTTTCTTCCGGCAGGCTGAGACGGCTCTTCTCGGTGATGTTGCCACCATCCAGTTGGATGATCATCTGCCGCCAAGTGTCGTACTTTGCCGCCAACTCCTTCCAGCGAAACTGCTCGACCCATCGCAAGCCGCTGATGCACGAACAGCTTCGGCCCATAGCGTAGCAATCTATGCACACGTCGTACGGATCGCCCTCTGCTTCGTTGGTGTGACCGAGGAGGTTTTTGCACGCGGCCGATGGACACGTGAGGAAGCGGTTGAAGATGTTGCCTCGGCAGTACGCGCAGGTGACGTTGGAGTCGAATGGGAGGTATTCAATGCCTTTGGGTGTGTCTTCCGGATTGAACATTTCGGACAGTAGGATTTGTTTGTAGAGGTTGAACAAGCGCTTGAAGTCTTTTGCGAGCTGTTTGACCTTTGGAGTGGCCAGAACACGCTCTCCAGATTTGAGAGCGAGGGCGAGCAGAGAGCTGTATTTCTGCAAGGTGTAGTAGATGATGGCTTTGTTCTTGTATTGTTCGTCACGGCATACGATGCGACTTCGAGGCAATGCTTCGTTGAGCGCCATCTCGAGGGTCTCGACGGTGGTGCGATTCCAGGCCACTTTCATTGTGCGGGTGCCACGATTCCACACTTGATGTGGAGCTAACGGAGGAATCAAGATGAAGTCGCCAGGGCGCTGCTCGACGACGTACACTGTGAACGGCGCCTTCTTCCACGCCACCACCTGCGCGAAATGGTTCTCAACCTCGATATCATGACCCAACACGCTGAGCCAGTACTCGCTCACGGTATGGCGGTCTTTCGACTCGGTCATGAACCAGATTGAGGAGCCAGGCTTTTCAGGCTTGCCGTCGGCGGATGAAGGGAGGGTGGAGGATGCTTCGACCATGATGTTGTGTCCCAGACTTGCGCACATTTCACGATGGGCTGGGGTGTAGGTGCCTTCGTGTCCGATGTAGCACATTAGATTCTCTGCGCGCATATCGGGCGGCAGTGAGCTCATCAGATCGCCCGCACGTGCGATTCCCTTGCCCAGCCTGCGATTTGAATCTGGTTGTGCGCCAGGGCCGCCAAAGTCGCCCGTGCTTTCGTTCAGGTAGAAGAGCAGGCTCGGAATGTGTTCTCTGAGCTTGTCCTGCCACACATCCGGGCAGTCGATGTCTTTCAAGTATACTCTTTGCCGCTTCTGCTCTTTGTGTGCGCCGGGTTTGGAGAAGAATTGGTTGGTGAGCATGCCCATGTTGCGCAAGTAGTGGCCCATTGTGAGGGGTAGGTTCTCCTTGCTCGTGAGGTTGCGCGCATTCTCGGCCTTTTCGCCACAGTTGTCTCGTAGCCACTGAGGCGTGAAGGTCCAGGGGTCAAGGCGATCTTCGAAGCCGTCAATGACCAGCGGCTTCCCGCCGATAATGACATGCAAGAGGATAAGTTTCTCGAATGCGGGTAAGCCTTGTTGATCAATCATGTCACAGGAGATGCGATCGACGTAGGAGAAGTTGGGCGTCGACTCCACCAACGCCTTGAGGTCGAAGTCGGGCGCGATGGGCTCGAAGGTGGCCCGAGGGCGGATTGCAGGCATCGTGGAGGAGAGGAGGGAGGGCGCGTTCTCTCGTGGTGGGTGGCAGAGAAGGCGCCCGGCTCGGCGGTCACAGTTTGCGCATTCTCAATCACGTCTTCACTCAGTGCTGCGGAGACGGAAGGCTTTCATGGCGCGGTCAGGCGGTGTCGACATGGAGTTGGAGGTCCGAATGAGAAGGCGACGTGATATGAGAAGCGCGAAGTGAGCCCCACGAAGATCTGGGGAAGGCACAGAGCTCAGGCGGGATTATGTAAGCCTCCGCGGCGCCAGCATCAAAAGTTGACTCCAGCCAGATCAGCAACCTGGACTCTGCGCGATAGCTGGGCAGGAGTACCATCTTGGGATATAACGCGGTAAGTTGGCCTCGTATGCACAGCGAAAGACATTATGTTGAGGTGCGGTAGGTCTTCTTCTCATGTCGACATCCTTGGTCACTGCGCCTCTGCGCGCTGCAGCGTTTCGTCTCTCGCGGCCATCCTCGTTCGCGAAGACTTCGATTCAGCTTCGGCAGCGGAGTGTCAGCTGTAGAGTATCTCGAGGGAGCTCATCACATCGTGATTCAAACTCTTTCGCGATCGTCACCAATGCGGCAATCACCCCAGCACATGCATGGCCACGAACCGCCAGTGTCAGCACAACCATTCGTCTAGCAACGTCACCTCCATCCTCTTCTGCATCAGATCCGCCAAAGCCCGCAATCTACCAGCCACCCACCACCGGCCTCATCTCTCACCTTCCCTCCGCCTTCATCCCGTATGCGGAACTCATCCGCCTCGACAAGCCCACGGGAACTTACTACCTCTTCTTACCCTGTTTGTTCAGCACACTCCTCGCCGCTCCACTCGCTACACCAATCGCCTCGGCGTCCACGGTTGTCACCACCAGCGCTCTCTTCTTCCTGGGCGCATTGATTATGCGAGGTGCCGGGTGCACAATCAATGACCTCTGGGATCGCAATCTCGATCCTCACGTGGAAAGGACGCGGCTTCGGCCGATTGCCCGAGGAGCAGTGAGCGTGCAGCAAGCAATTCCCTTCCTCGGAGCGCAGTTGCTGGCAGGGTTGGGCGTGCTGTTGAGCTTACCCACCCAGTGTCTCTGGTATGGGATTCCAAGCCTACTACTCGTAACCACCTATCCTCTGGCCAAACGCGTAACCAACTACCCACAATTCATCCTTGGACTGACCTTTTCATGGGGCGCTTTCATGGGCTTCCCAGCGCTAGGCATCGACCTCTTGGCCCCCGAGAATCTCCATCTGACGCTATCTGCCGGATGCTTATATGCAAGCTGTGTGGCGTGGACGGTGGTGTACGACATGATCTACGCCTACCAGGACATTCGCGACGACGTCGCTGCAGGCATCAAGTCCATTGCACTGGCGCAGCAAGCGCAAGCCAAAGCCTTTTTGAGTGCGGTGGCGGTGTTGCAGGTGGGACTCTTGGCAGGTGCGGGTGTATTTGCGGGCGCAGGACCGGTATTCTTTGTCGGCAGCTGTGGCGGTGCAGCTGCTACGCTAGCTTATATGATCCGCACGGTGGATCTGCATAGCGTGCAGGACTGCTGGCGATGGTTCAAGAACGGAGCGTGGGTCACTGGTGGCGCCATCACCGTAGGACTACTGGGTGAATATTGGGTAAGATGCGAGCAATTGGGGGAGATGGAGAGGACGCTGATTGATGAGTGAGTGCGTGTGCGAGTGAGGATGATTGATGATGCGGAGATGATGCGGAGATGAATGCTGGTGGCGAACGATGCTTCGATGAAAGCATGCCCGGGTGTCTGGTGGAGGATGCATCTTGGTGTGCATCAGGCGTCACTCTTGCCGGCCTTGCACGCATCTGCACGAACGCACCCTGTCAACGTCAGGTTCAGCATGTTGCAGATCACACGCAGCACACTCCGACCTACCAAAAATGTAGGTACATGGCGTATGTCATTGCGGCCCGTCCCTTCCCCGCCGACTTCTTTTGACTACTAGCCTGCTCGCCCAGCTCCCGCCCTCGTCATGCCAGACAACACTCCGCTGTTTCTCCTTCGTACCTCCGCTACATCGCCATGTTCCGCTTTCCTTGCCCGTCATGTTGGCAAAAGAAGGGTCTTTGTGACGAGCGGTGTGTGGAGGGGCCGTCATGCCATGCCCGCCCCTCCCCTGACCCGGCCGATTTAGTGGAGCCTTGGAGGGGACTTTGTGGCGTCTGCCTTTGCCTCCCCACCTCTCGAGATTGCACGAATAATTATTGCCATCTTCGCCGTGGGAAGCTGTCGACAAGGATGGCATCAAGATTTCTCCCTGCTTGGACGGCCGAAAAACGCTTGACATAAGGGTTGAATGCATCAGCCTCGTTTGTACGTCGCTCAACACGGCTAGGCAAGGCTTGGTAGTTGGCTCGTCATTCGCAAATGTCAGCAACAATTCTCTGTGTCGCAAATTGGTGGTTGTGTGCGGTGAGAAGTGGTGTTCCTTCATTGACCTTGCCTCTGAAGACGATATAGCTTACTGACATCCGCGACAGCCCGCGGAGGCTTAAGCGCGTCGTAAGGGTCAACTTCAGCTATAGAATGTCCTTCCACTCCCTCCATCTCGTCCACGCTGGGCCTGCTCGCCAGCTCTCGGGAGCTCGGACTTTGCCCTCTGCCAAGGCGGGAATTTCCAAGTCTCACCACGGGATCTCTGTTCCCTTGCGCCCCTCAAACCTCCGAGCCTCCTCGCACGCGTCATTTGTGTGAAAAAGAGTCGCCCGCGTTGCCTGTGATCTGTGGTGGCGACACTCCCGCCGTGCAGCTTGTGCAGCAGTCGTTGAGTCGTTATGTATACGCGCTCGAGGTAAGATCTTTGCAATGAACTTCCGCTCGCGCGTTGAAGAGATACATGCCCCTTCACATTCGCCATTTCCGCGCCCTTTCCGCCCTGAAATTCGGTCGTTATTCGACATGATCAAACGCCTGCATGATGTAGTACTTCCGGCCCGATGTGTGAATTGGGGCTCGAGCGCCCAAAAATGCGTGTCTCTGCGTGTCTCTGCCTGCCGCCTTGGCCATGTCTGTAAATTGGCATGACCAAAAAGCGTGGCGTCTTGCGTTATAATGGCCCTGGGGAAAGCTGGGTCGTGGCGTCAAGGATATTCTCCAGTTTGCCTTTTGCCGCCATTTTCATCGCCGCCTCCGTAAGCGCCTTGATGCGGGAGTGGTTGGTCTAGTCGTCGCCAGACTCCGATGTAACAGTCCACCAGTATCGCGTAATGGCCTCAATGGCCAGGGCGTTGCCCTCGAAGCGTTGCACGAAGAAGTTGAAGACGGCAAACTCGGCCTTGGTCAGGAGACACGTGGTGGGCTCGGTGCAGATGCGAGTCCAGATGATGGCGAGCGGGTCTTCGAGGTAGTTGCTTATGGAAACATTCAAGTCGCCTTCGGTGTTGCGGGCAATGTCCAGCGCGCGCTGGTAGGTGAGCGTGCCGATTCCGTCGACGTGCTTCGCCCCGGCCGCGCTGGTGCTCATGTTGCCGAGGGAGCTGGTAGCGTGTAATTGTGGGTTGTTGTGGCTGGCATAGTGCTGCTGTCAGAAGAGAGGGGGGTGAGCATGCATGGTGGCGAAGTCCTGGAGGAGACAGTGAAGAAGCGTCTGGAAGGTAAAGCGGTCTGAACCAACGAGCTGGCGCGCGACGATCCTTCCGCCGGTCTGCAGGTGGGCCGGCGAGCAAAGATGCCGGGCAGGGGCAACTACACCTTTGTCTCCCCAGCTGGTATGCCCAGCTACACGCCTGGCCTTTGATCTGGCAAAGAAATTCGATATCTACATTCGAGGAGGTTTGCCCGACTCCGCAACCTCAACGCCCTGTTCGTCGTGCGCGTGGACCGTGTGCCGAGCTTGCTGCTGTTAGCAACGCGTGTGTACATACGGTGCGGTACATAAGATATATATGTGCAAGGTTGAATAGGCGTGGCAGATCTCTTGCGCGGATGTAGTCTGCATTAGATACCGATCTGACGCATTGTGGAGCACGAATGACACCGACGCCACAAATGCTACACACCAACGGTCCACGGAGCTTGCTCCAGACATGCGCAGTCGGGCGTATAAGGCAACTCGTGCCAGACGCTAGGGGGGCCGGCACAAGAGCCGCATCATAATGAGGGACAAGGGCATCGCGTATCGAACGACAAACGCTCGCCTAATTGTGGTGACACGGTACTTGATATTGACATCGGGGTCTGTTGTGCTGGCAGCTGGCGAGGCTTGGGCGCGTTGTCTTCGGCTTTCGCCCTCCCTAGTAGCATGATAGGCTCCAGTCCCGAGGACATCTGCTACGTCCTCGAAAAGAGGAAGCATGCTATGTCCGCAGGTCAAAACGCGACAAAATCCGATGGATTGTCGATGAGACGTCGCAAGGTGAGGGGCGACGTAGGAGGATGGACTGGGAGCAAGATCAGCAGAGCCGCACCAGGGGGGCGAATCATCCATGCCACGACTTTTGACACCGGGGCGGTGCCAGCCGCATGACGCGCGAAGGGTCAACTTCTTTCATCTGACAATCCACGGCAGAGCTCGAGACCAAGCGACCTCGCCCTACAGCCCACGCCCCTTGACGCGTCTGTTGTGCTTCCTCTCAAAGGAGATGCTCAGCATTCGATCCCTCTCAGCACATCTCGGCCATCTCCCTCCGAGGACTGGCGTGTTTCGCGCACTTTCGCCACGATCTTCTCCTCTACGCCAGAGCCTTGCGCAACGACGACAGCCACTTTCAACTCGCACAAGACCTACATTATCGCCCTCACAGCAGATACGATGGCGCGCGACGCGCTGGCAACAACCATGCAAGCCTCGCCACAATTCTGGAAAAAGCAGTCCACCCGCTGCACAAGAAGCCGGTAGCCAAGCGTCACTCTCCCTCTCCGGTCGTTTCAAAGAGCTGTCGCGAAAATATGGGTGGGCAGCGGTGGGAGTCTACTTTGGACTCTCTGTGCTCGACTTTCCCTTTTGTTTCCTCGCCGTGCAGTTGATTGGCCCCGACCGGATAGGAGAGGCCGAACACGCGGTCGTGGACTGGTTCTGGAATACCGTGGGCGTCGTATTCCCGAGCATGCAGGCAGAGGATAGAGCTCTGCAGGATGCCGTTGTCGAAGCGGAGGGCAGAGAGGGAGTTGTTGGAAAGGCCGGGCATCACAAAGAGAATGCCAGTATGTGTGGTCGTAAAGAGCAACTCAACAAGCAGCCGCTGACACTGATGACAGGCATCTGGACCCAACTTCTCCTCGCATACGGCGTCCACAAGTCCCTCATCTTCTTCCGAGTGCCCCTCACGGCTGCCGTTACCCCCAAAGTCGTCAAGACGCTTCGAAGCTGGGGTTGGAACATTGGAAGGGCGGAGAAGAAGATCAAGGCCAAGGTGTGAGCATACCTGAGAGTCGCCCTGGACTGCGCATTTGTACGATATGACTACACTCAACCGAAAGTATAAAGATAGATTTGAGCGTCCTACGCGGGATGTCAAGGAAGTGAGAGTGATGCGTTGTGTGAGAGCCCGGAGATTGTTGGGGTCACATGATTGCAGGCGGGCATCCGAAACGAGCTCAGTCACTCGCTCCTTCCTCGATTGTCTCTTGACATGCAACACGCTACGTAAGCTGCTCATTTCCAGTCCCTCTTTCCTTCTTCCCACCACTCCTTTTGTTTTCATTCTTCTGCCTCCCAAACATTCAGTCACTTCATCCCACGGTTCATTCATTACCTCCTCCTCCTCCATCATGGCCGTCACCGATCCGGATGTCCTCCGCATGATGGCCGACTTGGGCCTGGACCGTCGTGATCGTGTGTCTGCCCCAGCCGACGATGCGAAAGCGAGGGCCCGCGGTGCAGATCCGCGTGAATCTGCTGCTATCGCGGCTCAGTTTGACGCCCGAAAGACCAAAATCAACACCAGTCTCACCGAAGGCGAAGATCCTCGTGCCATTCGCTTGCGTGCCTGGAACAGTTTGTGCTCTTCGTTCACTTGATGTAACGACGGCTAACTCGTTTGGTAGATCAATCATCGTTTGAGCAAGACGAGGTTACGGAGCAGCTTGAGAATCGATGGAGCGGGCAAGGTCACCGTGCTGCGCTCAATCGGAACATACACCGCGAGGAAAGTGAAGACGTCATCGAGAACCGCTTCGGAGAGGAACGCAGCCAATTCCTCCGCGAAAGGGCCAATGGATTCAGCGTCCAGTTCCGTGTCACTACTCCGCCTCGCCTCCCCGGAGCCAATGGGCATGGCGGTCGTGGTCTTGTTACCACGCCTTCACGCAACCCAGGACACAACCGTGCATCGTCCCCAAGCCGCCATGGTACCGTCATCTTTGGGCCAGGCGGGCGGCGCCAGGTCGCAACCTCTGGCCAAACGAATGTGCTTCGCCAATCGTTCGCGGTCCAGCCTGTCCGCCCGATCACAGCCCACCCAAGGCCGGCTGTCAACGGCAACACCACATTCTCTTCTACCACAATCCAACCCCAGCCTACTCAGGCCGGCCAAAACACTCCCAAGCACACCAGCACGCAGGCCCAGCAATACCATAACCAGGCGTTGTGGTACGCCGCGAATCCTGGGACGCTCTGCGACGAGTACCACGAAAGGTTCCCCGACCGCAAGATCTACCTGGGTCCGGCTCGGGACAAACTCATCAGAGAGGCAGTCGTTTTGGCGGATTCTGGCGACGATGAGCAGATGGCGGATTACGTTGACACGCACCAGGACCGCCAGTGGATGATTGAGTGTGCGAAGATTGCCAAGTCACAAATTGAAGCGGGTGACGAGGCGGCAATCGAGGAGTACTGTGTCGATCATCCACGGCATAGATTCTTCTTGCGTATCGCAAAGGCCTTTTATGCGCGGAAGAATGGACCTGCTGTCGTCAATCAAGAGGAGAATGGCAGCGACGAGGTATCTTCTTTGCCCGTACAGCCAGCTCCACAGCAATCATCGACCTCTTTGAGCGCTACATCAACGGCCCACAAACACGTCTCCTCCGACGCGTCCAGCAGTGATACACGCGGCCACAGCAGCGACATTGTTGACGACGGCGACACCAACACGGCTCCCTCAACACCTCCCACACCACTGGGGCTCATCGCGACAACCTTCTTCGATGCCGCCGGCAAGTTCCTTGGTTTCTACCACGTTGACACATCCGCTCCCATCCAGATGACCGTCAACCTCAACTCTCGCGATGCCGACTTCAACCCATGCGACCTTATCGTTCACCTCGATGCATTGGCGGAGAGCATGAAGGCAATGTCGAGGGGGTCTGCAGACAATCCCCTCCGCCGGATTGACTCTTTGGCTGGGAATATGGTGGATGTCACTCGTGGGTCAAAGACGAACTGCAAGTTGGAAGGAGCGACGTTGGGGGAGGATGGGCTTTGGGTAATGGATGAGTTGTAGGTGGGCGGGGTTGGAAATCTCGGACGTGTTGAAGATGGCCAGGGAGACGGTGAAGCGGATCGGCCAGCCAGGCCCAAGGTCCAACTACGAGCGTTGAAATGCAACAAACAGCGAGGCGGAAAGTGGTTTTCTTGCTCTAGATTGCGGTGCCTGTTGAGTCGTAGCTATCGTGCGGCCAACATAGCGAGGTCTAAAATGCGTCTGCAAAATCAACTCCAAAATCACCGCAGATTTATAGAAAAGCCGCAGCCACACCACCAATCACAACCGGCACAGCAGCAGCAGCATAACCCCCACCCATCACCCTGCCCGCAGCACCCGTCGAGCTCGAGCCAGCAGCACCACTCGTCACGCTCGCCAACTCATTCTGGCCGGCCGTGATGGTCAACGGCACGTAGTAGATCTGCGACGCCGACAGCGTGGAAACGGTGGCGAGGGACAGACCACTATTGACCGATGCGGCTGTGCATGTTGCTGCGGTGGCCGTTGCGCCGCCCGCGAGCTCGCAGGAGAGAGAGATGGTTCCGGCGCCGCGGCCGCTGTGGGATGTGTTAGGGGGACGAGGAGATGGAGAGAGAGGGTGAGAGGAACGTACAGGAGGGACGCTGGAGCTGCGACGGCAAACAGGTCACTGCCTTCTGTGATTGAGATTGCGCTGTTGACGGGGCAGTTCGAGACGGATGCTGCGCAGCTGACGGCGTAGACGGTGGATGATGGGGCCTTGGAGCGTTATTAGTTGGGATATTGCGGGGCTGATTGGTGATTACATACTGCTGTCACCACCGAGGCGGCGAGTTGCTCGGTAAGGCTGATGGGCAGGAAGACGGAGCGAGTCGAGTAAGAGCCTGAGGCTGCGCCTGAGCTTGTTGATGCGGCGGAGGAGGCGGAAGCGGTGCTTGCTGGGCTTGGGGCGGCGGTGGGGAGGGAAGTGATTGTTGCTGCGAAGGCGTGGCAGGCCAAAGAAAGCAGAAGGAAAGAGGACTGCATTTTGTAGATGATGATATGGAGAGGAAGTGGTGAAGGTGGTGGTGGTATGTGTGAGGATGATGAAGGAAAGGCGACTTATTATATGGCGTGGGAAGAGAGTGGCCACGCGGACGGCGTGCGTAGATTTAATTGTAATGGAACACGCGGCAGAGCAGACGTCTTTGCTTGTTTGACGTATTGGGTTTCTGCTGTTTCATGTGCTTCCATTTGGATCAATGGAGGTGGCGAAGTGGCTGACGTGGATTCGTTGCTTGTTCGGTTGCAGATCCACACTTGAGGCTGGGCTCCTTCCATTTTTAGCCTTTTGATTTCTGCCTTATTATTTCATACCGTCTTGCCATGTATGCGCTGTAGACGGGCCGGAGTGTTGACACTGCAATCTACATGACACATTCATTCCTCCGCCTCCTCTTCATCATACTCTTCCTCCACCTCTTCGTCAGCATACTCCTCCTCCTCCTCACTACTGCCCCCTTCTCCCTCACTTTCGCCACCTGACACCTCATAATCCTCCTCCTCCTCATCCTCCTCATCCTGCAATTGCTGCTCCGCCTTCTGCAACTCCGTCTGCACATCCACTTCGTCCCCCTCCACCGCCCCATTCTCCACATCGCCATTCGCCTCCGCCCTCTTCTCTTTGTTGACATTGTACGCCTTTGCCCGTCGCTGCGCAGCCATTGACGCGTCATTCAGCCCGTGTCGTTTGACATATGCATCGATGCCTGCAAAGTCTTCTTGATCCAGCATGCTGAACTCCACTTCTTTCACTTCCGCGCTCGCGCTGTCGGCCGCGGCGATGACGAGGTTGAAGGTGCGTTGCAGGACGGAGGTATAGCTGATGGAATCGATGTTGGAGAAGGGGAAGAAGGCCAGGGGCTTCTTGAAGCCGAATACCACGCCGTTTTCGAGGAAGAAGAGGTAGCCTTGTATCATCTGTTAGCCATGCGTTGTGAACGTCGTAGAGTGCTGCTCTACCTTCTTTCGACCCTCGATGTGCCTTGACGTGATATGCCTTTTCACCTTTGCGGTGAGACTGTGGTATGCTGCTCGCAAACTCGGCAGCATTCGGAGTGATGACATGCTTGCCGTGCGGTGAGAGCCATTTGTCGAGAGCGCGGTGTGTGACGGACACATAAGTATCGTCCTCTTTCACAGCTTCACCAGATATTGTGCCTGCCCCCGGGGTGGTCTCATTTGTGACGAATAGCACGGGCTCGGCTGGATGTCCTTGCATATCCACAGCGCCGGGCTTGGGGAAAAGCAGAAAGTTGGCCTGTCGAGCCTGCTTCTCTGGCACAGGCAGGCGGAATGCTTGTTCCACATCCTTCGCTTCCATCCCCCACTCCACTTCGCCAGTGCTTGCATTGCTGAGATGTATCTGGCCCTCCTCTTTTGCTGCAGAGTCGTAAAGCAACGCCACCTTCAACTTCTTTCGCAACGGCGCCTGGACGCTGACATCACTGCATTCGAAAAGGGTCGACAAGGGCTTGGTTTCCCTCTTGGGGAGTGCACTCTCCGTAGTTGTGAACGCGTGATTGTCCTCGAGCTTGCGCTTCTTCGACAAGGGCTGGGTATCTTGAGCGGTGGAGGGTGTGTGTAGTGACAAGACGTGCTGTGCAATATCCTCGAATAGTTGCGGGAGAGTGACGGGGTGGAGTGTGGGAGCAAGGATGATTCTTCGGGCTAGATCGTCGGGAAATGCGGCTTGCACATTGCGTGTCCATTGTTCTAGCTCTTGATTCGACATGGCGGCGACGACAAAGAATGCGAGGTGTATGGAGAACAGAGGTGAGCCTGAGGGTTAGAGGTCAGGAAAGGCACGCCAATATATCAACGCGTCGCGACCAATCTTATCTTATCTTATCGATAGCGCGCCCATCTTTTCTACGTTATCGGTGACAGTTGAGGCATTGCCCTGACTCACGACTGCCATTGAGATCACTTCAAACTCCCACGATCCGTCTGACAACAACATGGCATCTTCAAATGGCGCCCCAACGGCGGGCAAGCTATGGGGTGGACGATTCACTGGTGGCCAGGACCCGATCATGACGCAGTACAACGAGTCCATCTACTTCGACCGCAAGTTCTACTCTCAAGACATTCGCGGCAGCATTGCATACGCGCGAGCAAACACGAAGACGGGCATCTTGACGTCCGCCGAGTTTGCCGAGATTGAACGTGGCCTGCAGCAAATCCACCAAGAATGGGAATCTGGCTCCTTCCACATTCATCCCGGCGTGGACGAAGACATCCACACGGCCAATGAGCGCCGTCTGGCCGAGGTGATTGGCAAGGATATCGCCGGAAAGCTTCACACCGGACGCAGTCGGAATGATCAAGTCGCCACCGACATGCGGCTCTGGTTGCGCGAGCAGATTGAGCAGCTGGAGAGGTATCTCGTCGACTTTCTCAAGGTCATCACCGCCCGCGCCGAAAAGGAGATTGAGCATGTCATGCCAGGATACACTCATCTGCAGCGAGCGCAGCCCATCCGCTGGTCGCATTGGATGCTCATGTACGGATCCTTCTTTGCTTCCGATCTCCAACGCCTGCGTGAGGTGAAGGCTCGAGTCAATCGCTCTCCGCTTGGCGCAGGTGCGTTGGCGGGCAACCCGTTCAACATCGACCGTGATGCCGTTGCAGAAGAATTGGGATTCGAGAGCGTGCTCATGAACTCCATGGCCGCTGTCGCCGACCGGGATTTCGTCGTCGAGACGATGCAATGGGGCAGCATGTTGATGACGCATCTCTCTCGATGGGCGGAAGATCTGATCATCTACTCGTCTGGAGAGTTTTCTTTTGTGCGACTGGCCGACGCCTACTCTACTGGCTCCTCTATCATGCCACAAAAGAAGAATCCCGATTCCCTCGAGCTGCTGAGAGGCAAGGCAGGACGGGCGTTTGGACAGATGGCGGGGTTGATGATGAGTGTCAAAGGCATTCCATCGACGTACAACAAGGATCTTCAGGAATCAGTCGAGCCGCTACTCGATCACGTCAAGACGGTTGGCGACAGTTTGCAGATCGCTACTGGCGTCATCTCCACTCTCGACATCTTGCCCGAGAACATGCACAAGTCGCTGACACCTGATATGCTGGCCACCGATCTAGCAGAGTACCTCGTTCGCAAAGGCGTGCCGTTCAGGGAGACGCATCACATTTCGGGGCGGGTCGTGGCGTTGGCGGAGAAGGAGAAGAAGCCCATGGACCAGCTCAGCTTTGCGCAACTACAGGGTGTCGACAAGCGGTTTGATGAGGATGTGCTGGCGGTGTTTGACTACCAGAAGAGTGTGGAGATGCGTTCGGCCAAGGGGGGGACGAGCAGGAGTGCGGTGATGGAGCAGATTGAGGCCGTCAAGAAGGCTCTGGCGGGGGAGAAGTAGACGCAGCATTGTAGCTTCTTTTCTGATGCGTTGAAGCGATGTAGACTACTTTCATGGCAGGTCCGACTAGACATTAGAACCTGAAATGCCCTTATTTCTTAATACAGTCCATGGACACAGTTTGAATGCCGGGCCTCACCTCGCTTCGCAAAGCCACCTCACCTCGTCTTTCTCCATTCCAAACAACCACAATCATCCACCACCACTTGGTCTACGGGCCCTCTACCATTCCAATGGTGAAGGAGCGCCTCGAAATCATCGAGACTGATGAGGCCGGCAATGTGACTGCAACTTACGTTCAATCGTCCACCGACCGCGAGGGCATAAGTAGGATTGATTCAATTGTGCGCCGTATCTCCACAATGCCAACTGTACCAGCTTGCTGATGATGTGGTAGTCTCCCAAAACAGTCAAATCGACATGGCAAAAGACGCTGGACGTCTTTTTACCCGCTGGCTATCCTCACAGTGTGACGAGTGATTATACGGAGTGAGTGGAACTCCCGCCTGCTTTCCCGCTTCCAGGGTCGAATACTGATGACGGTGTTAGATATCAGATATATGTACGACCCGCAGTTGATATTAGGAAGTGATAGAGGCTAATACCCGTCCCCAGGATTCTGTCCAAGCCTTCTCCAGCAGCATTGCCGGCCTCCTCTCCTCCCGCGCCGTCCTCTCCAGCGTAGGCGTAGGAGACGCCACCGCCTCGCCCACCGCCGCCCTCTTCCTCTCCATCTTCCAGGAATCCGTCGGCCGCATCGCCACCATCCTCTTCGCCCATCGCCTCGGCACCGCCTTTGAGCCGGAATGCAAAATGTATCGCTTGCTGGCGGACATCCTCAACGACATTGCGTTCGTTCTCGACTGTCTTTCGCCTGTGCTTCCTAAACCCCTGCGGATTGCGGTCTTGAGCTTCAGCAGTGTTCTCCGAGCGCTGTGTGGTGTTGCTGCGGGCTCGGCAAAGGCGAGTCTCAGTGCGCATTTTGCTCGCTGGGGCAATTTGGGGGAGTTGAATGCAAAGGATTCCAGCCAGGAGACTGTCATTTCTCTCCTGGGTATGCTGGTAGGTACGCTGGTTGTTTCGAGAATTTCTACGCCGACTGCGACTTGGACCACGCTCATTATCCTCCTGGCGGTGCATCTGGAGACGAATCGAAGGGCTGTGCGGGCGGTAGTGATGAAAACGTTGAATCGGCAGCGGGCTACGCTCGTTTACCATCACTTGAAGCAAGGGAAGGTTCCCACGCCGGAGACGATTGCAAATGAGGAGATCATCTTTGAGCGGGACGGTGTGCTCAGGCATGCAGACGGGCGGCTACTCGGGCATTGTGTTGTTGGAGCGTCAATGTCGCAACTGTTGAGCGGCATCGCCCAGGAGACCGCCCGCACAGGATCAAGCAAGGTGGACACCAACACCCTGTCGCAGCTACTTCATCTCTTTCGGCACGAAAAGTACCTACTTTGGTACACTGTGACTGGTAGACGGGTGCACGTGATTATCATTATCAAAAAGGACGCTGTCGTTGCCGACATCATCACTGCCTGGTGGCAAGCGCTCGCGGTGGCCGAGGAAGTGGCAAAGCCCGGCGCTGAGACGGACAGACTCGATCTTCTACAACGATCGATCAAGACTGCAGTGACATGCCGCTCCACGTACGAAGATGGGCTGCGACTGGAGGGATGGGATCTGACTACCTCTGCTTTGGAGACAACTTCTAACACCCGAGTGAAGATGGAATGAATCATGTATTTCACATCCGACATTTCAACGCAGCAAATGGTATCACAATAAAGCAAGTCATAGAATCGCCTCGTCTAAAATCACGACTCCATCGCTCGAAATGTCGGACACCCACATGGTCGCATCGTTCGAGTTGTTCTGGAACGCAACCAATGCGCCACCATCGACCCACGCCGCCGCCAGCTTGCTTCCGGGGATGGCTGCCTGCCGCTGCTCATTCGCCTCCCAGTTGTCCGCGTTCGGGTTCGCGATGCCAAGCAGGATTGTATCGTTCACGGCTTGGTAGAAGAGGTATGCGGTGTCGTTTTCGTCGTTGCAGATGGCGATGTCGGACCCCGCGGCGGCCGGGTAGTTTGTGTAGGAGCCTTGTCGTACAATGACGGTTAACGGGTGCAAGGGCGGGTGGTGGAGTGGTTACCTTACCTGAGTTCCAGCCGGTATCGCCGTTGTTGTAATCCCAGAACTGTTGTAGGATGAGGCCGTTGGAGGCGTTGCGAAAGTAGACATTCATCCACTGCGTCCCTCCGACGCTGTACGGCTGAGAAGACACGCATGCTGTTAGCATTGCGCATGACGAGGAGAGGGTATGGACACTCACGGCGCATGCGACGCCAGAGTTGGGATCGCTGCCCGCGAACCATGAATAGTCGTTCCATGCACTGCCGTTGAAGTAGCCGCCAATCTCCTGGATGTATCTTTGCAGAGCCAAGTCAGCTGGGCTGTCGAGGGAAGCTCTGTTGAGCGGACTGTCACTTACCCCCACTGCGATGCGTAGTAGATTCGGAGACCATACAGATCCTGGTTATCCCAGCATGCGGCGAGTGCTATACTGCCCGGTTGCACAATGTTGCCACTTATTGCCGTCGGCGGGCTCCAACTTCCGCTCTCCGTTCGGTTTGTGGTACTGACCTACAACATCATGTGGGAGTCAGTCACTCATGTACCAAGGACCGCGACGTGAGGAGTCCATACCAGCCCGCCCTGATTGACGAAAAAGACCTGTCGATATGTCTGGCCGTTGTATGGGTATATTATGGCGGAGAGAGGAGAGCCTAGACCGGCTTGCGAGGTGACGATCGCGTTCGTATCCTCGGTGACCAGCGGTAATGACCACTTGCCGTTGGAGTAGGAGTTCTCCATGATGTCGCCGTTCTGAGCTTGGAAGTAGTGGTACATGGTGTCGCCAGATGTCACGGTCGCAAGACCGGTGTTTGCCACTGCTTGTAAGGGCTTGTTGTTGCTTTTGCTGTATGCACGTCAGGATGGATGGCTCCAAGATTAATCGCTGTGTCCTACCTCGCGTCGGACAGAGATATCCCAACCCCGACCCCAACCCCCACGCCGATGATTACCATGGAGAGTATCACAACGACTGCAATCATGACTCCTCTCCGCATTCCGCAGTATCGCCGCGGGCCTTGCTTCTGCCCTTCGCGTACTTTATCCGTCTCCTCGTGACTCCCGTAGCTCGACGCTACGCTCTCGGGATCCTCCGATCCATGAAAGACTTCCTTGTCATGGACTGAGCGACGTGCAGCGGGCTGGGGAAAGTTTTCGGAGAAGTGGCTTGACTCGTGCCTGGCCGACTCGAAAGGGACGACCTCTGGCGCATCTTGGTGCGGCACCACCTCTGGAGCGCTGTGTTGCAGCGCGGAGTAGCCTTTGGTGTAGTTTTTGGGGTAGCCTTTGGAATCCATGCTGGCCACCAAGGGCCGGCGAAGAGTGAAAAAGGCAGTGACGGCAAAGAAGATGAATCAGAGTAGACAATGTCAGCAGAGATGCAGGAAAGGAAAGACGGAGTGGAGCGGGAGGAGCTCGCAACGGGAAGGCAAATGATGGGGAAATGCCCCGAGGGAATCCTTGCAGCACTGCCTGATGATGGACGTCCGCCGCCGGATGGACAGACTTTGGTGCTTGTCTCATCAGGGACAGGTAGATTGATAGAGGGCTGAACGTGAGCCCTAATAATAGCTCGTCACGCCTACAACATCTTATTGCAAGAGCATATCGGGCAAGAATCAGCCGTAGAGGGTTCAACGGACATCCACCTGGTCGAATTCCGTTGTCTCTAACTATTACACGAGTCCCGACTTGAGGCCGATCGGATGTCAGCAGTGGTTCGGGTCAGCTCGCTGTTGCCTTGCGGGAGGGGAAGTCGAGATGTCAACGATGGATTCGTGAAGTTACGGGACATCTAGCCTGATTGGGCGGGAGGTATGCCTGGCCCCTGAACTCTAAGGCAGCTGAAACTCTCAGAACTCTGTTTGGGAGATTGTTGCGAAGAACAACGCTGTTGGCGTGTTGTTAATAGTCGGCTCCAAGCACTGGCAGCCATGGCGGGCGCGATGGGATGCCATCGCTGTCTGTGGATGAGAGGCATCGAGTGCAGTCACCTGCGCCTCTCCTCAGCCTTGTCCTGCTTGGCCCTTGCGTTGGAGATGAAAGCCATACACCGGTGAATGACAGGCGGGCGCCAAGGGCCGGCAACCTCCTACTTTCCACCCGGGGTACTGTCCGAGGCTTGGAGGCGGCATGCTTCACGAGCTAATGCGAGGCCTGTCAAAGGTTTGAGGGTGAGGAGTGATGCCGCACTGTCCTCCCAGCCAATCTGAGTCTTCGGGAGCGCTTGTCAATGTCGTGAACGCCTATGCCATATCTAGCCTTTGGGCTACGATGACCCGTCATTCGCATCAACAGCTCGGCTGGAGTCTGTCAACGACACGCTTTCTCCAGCGAGTCACAGATCCAGAGTACGTAAGCACACGGTTATACATGCGCGGTGGACATGAGCAGCTCGACCTGACGAGCCCGGTGGATCGACTGTGGCGCAGGTCAAGTCTGGGGTATGGGGTATGGGGCTTCGCATGTCTCGACGATGCTTCGATCAATCCTCCGCATCACCGGCCGTCAGACGTCTTCCGCCAACGGCTTTAACGTTGGAGGATGTGTAACTGAGATATCCGAGACGCATCCGCCAGGTCGATCCAGGTGGGAGAACGACATGTGTGCCGCAGATCTGGCCGGAAGTCTATCAGCCCTTGAAGCGTCCGTATCAGTACGCTGCCATCAGCCTACGCCGTGGTGAATCTCCTGTGTCGTAGAAGGGCCAGTTGATCCCAATGAAGTCAGATATCAAATGTAGATGGCTGGGTGCTGTCTGGTGCTTCCCCGGTGTTAGTCAGCGCACTTCCAAGCGGCGTGCAGTCGCTACCTGATCTGAGAAAATCATGAACCCGTCTTTTCTCCGCCATTCTACACTACTAGAGCGTCGTTGCATCGAGCTCATGCCGACTGCATACTGTACTCCGACGATCACTATTACATGCATTTCAATCTCCCCACACGGCACGCATTCTAGCTTGTTCGACTGCATGCTAACCCCCGAGCTAGCCCCTATACACACCTACCGCAATCTCACTTCATCACCTCACTTCCGAACATCCGTACTGGCTCGCCGGAAACAAGATTGCCCTGGTCTGCTTTCTTTCCATAAAGACCACTATGCAGCGCATCAATCTCGTTGGCTTTCGATAAAGGCCGCTATGCAGCGCATCAATTTCGCTAAGGCACGCTCTCCGCGTGTGCCGACCGTCTCCGCCACCTCGTGACAACCTTCTGGCGCCCATGTGCCGGACATGAGCCCATTTTCGGGCTTTGGGCTGCCACAGCCTTGCCTGGAAGTGGTTGAAGATCGTCGGGCATCAAAGAGTCTTGAATGCCATACGACAATGTGCTGCAACATCGCGACAATAATGTGCCCCCGAAACGTGCAGGAGGTAGGTGCTCTTTTTGTATTTATATCCTGCTCTTGTCCCGGCATTCCCAGCACTTCACGATTGAACGCATCCATCTCTTACGCTTCTCATATTTCAACATGCTCAGCGTCATCCTTGCAGGGCTAGCCGGCTCGGTCGCCGCCATTCCTGCCTTGGCCCCTCGACAATCTTCAAGTCAAGCCTACGCATCAAACAACGGACTCTCTCTCGCGCTCTCCTCCATCCAAGGCCCCGTCCTCGGTGGGGGTGGTGCGAATGGAGAATCAACATGGAGTCTCTCCATCGATGATACCTCGAGTGGATACAAGCAGACCATTACGGGATTCGGAGGCGCCGTCACCGACTCCACCGTCACCACGTTCAATATGTTGGACAGCGACACGCTATCGCAGTTATTAAACGACCTTATGACTTCCCAGGGTGCGAGCTTCAGTCTCCTTCGGCACACCATTGGTGCCTCGGATTTGTCGGGAGACCCTGCCTACACCTACGATGACAGTGGATCTGCGTCCAATCCGAACCTCAACGGATTCAACCTTGGAGGCCGGGGCAACGCCATGGCCAACATGCTCGCGAGTATGAAGAATTTGAACGGCAATACGAAGATTCTCGGATCCCCGTGGAGCCCACCGGGATGGATGAAGCTCAACGGCGACATCGACGGCAACACCACTTGCAACAATCTGAACGATGGCTATCTCACCTCTTGCCCAGCCACCGGCCCTGATGTCGCATCGTACTTTGCCCAGTACTTTGTGGACTACATCAATGCGTACAATAACATTGGCGCGACCATTGACGCCATTACCATTCAAAACGAGCCCTTGAACAGCCAAGCGGGCTACCCGACCATGTACGTTTATGCCGACGAATCTGCGGATCTGATTCAAAATTACGTTGGTCCCGCCCTGTCCAACGCAGGTCTGGGCAGCGTGCAGATCTGGGCGCTTGACCACAACACACGTAAGTCGAGGCGACATTCAAACACACCTGGACTTCTTACTAACCCGCATAGAATACGAATCGTACGCTCAAACCGTCCTCGACAACGCCGGACAATACGTAAACACCGTCGCCTGGCATTGTTACGACGGCCCAGACTGGTCGGTGTTGACCGATATCAAGAACCAATACGGAAACGTCGAACAGTACATGACGGAATGCTACACCCCCCCAGCAAGCGCCGGAGCAGACGGAGCGTGGAACGCGCCGGCCAACTTCGTCATCGGGCCACTGCAAAATTGGGCATCGGGGGCCATGTCATGGAACATTGGTGCCCAAGAGGAGTCCGACGGCACCTTTGGCCCACACCTAGACGGCGGCTGCACCGATTGCCAAGGCCTCGTGACGATCAACAGCGCCTCCTCCTACACCCTCAACAACGCCTACTATCAAATTGCGCAGTTCAGCAAGTTTATGCCCACCGGCGCGACGGTGCTGAATGGGACGGGAAGCTACACTTATTCCGATGGTACGGGCGTCCAGTCCGTGGCGACGCTGAACCCGGATGGCACGCGCTCGGTGGCGATTGTGAATAACTTCAGCAATGCCATTTATGTTACCTTGGATACGGCGAGTGGGGAGACTTGGGGCGGCAATGTGCCGGAGCAGTCGACTACGACTTGGATTTTGCCTGCTTCCAATTAGTTTGAAGAGTAGCGAATGTACAACGACTGTTAACATCATCCTCCCATAACATCCTATTGTACGTCTTCAGCGTCGCCGGAGGTGGGGTATTGTTAATCAAGAGACACTGTACACGTTGCTCCGTACACTCTGTCACTCTGGTCCCGATGACTCATGCAATCGTCGCATTCAAAATCGTCCCACCGGTGCCCGACAAGTCCGAAACCCACATGGTGGATGAATCTGGATCGCCTTGAAAGGCGACGAGCGCGCCGCCATTGACGTACGCCGCGGCCAGCTTCGAACCCGTGATGCTCGTCTGACGCTGTGTGAATGTCTCGTAGTCTGTGTTCTGCGCGTTGAGCGTGCCAAGCATGATTTCGTTGTCCTGCGACTGGAAAAAGACATATTGCGCGCCGGAAGGATCGCTACAGGCAGCGATGTCAGCGCCGGCGAGGGCAGTGTAGGCTGTGAGTGGGCCTGTTGCGCAGAATGGTCAGCAAGAGCGTAAGATGTGATGATGCGATGCTTGCACAACTATCTTACCGCCGTTCCAGTCTGTGTAATTATTGTCCACGGCGTAGTTGTAGTGCTCTTGTACAACCGTGCCGGATTCCTTGTCGCGAAAGTACAGATTCAATGTCTGCCCGTGCGTCTGACGCGGTTGCATTTGTGTGAGCCATGCTCCTTGTGGAAACCAGGGCAGGGAAGACTCACTACGCACGCAACGCCAGAACTGAGGTCAGCGGCAGGGAACAATGCATGACCAATCCATTCGCTGCCATTGAAGTACCCGCCGAGCTCCTGAATGCCGCTGCGCATCATCAAGTCAGCCAGCCGTCAGACTTCGGTCCTAGACCAATTACCTACCCAGCCTGAGATGCATAATAGACTCGAAACCCGTACAGGTCGTTGTCGTTCCAGCATGCTGCCAGCGCTATACTGTTTGGCGTGACTACCTCGCTCGTGATCGTCGTTGACGTGCTCCACCTTCCGTCCTGCGTTCTATTGGTTGTGGCGACCTGCCCAACATCGTTGAGGTAGAAGACCTGTCGATACGTCTGCCCAGCAAAAGGATACACGATTGCGGCGAGGGGCGAGGCAGGACCGGCTCTGGTAGTGACCAATGCGTCGGTACCTGTAGTGCCCTGTAACGACCACTGTCCGTTGGAATAGGAATTCTCGAGAATGCTGCCGTTAGGGGCTTGGAAGTACTCGTACATGATATCGCCGGATGACACCGTTGCAAGTCCTGTCATTGACATTGCCTGCAGCGCCTGGGTACTGCCACTGTCTCTGCATGTATTCAGCCTCTTGGGAGTGGTTGTCGATTGCGAGTCACCTACTTTTTGCCGGATAGAGATATTCCAACTCCAACGCCGACCGCCACACCGATAATGATGAAGGACAGTAGCACTACGACGGCGATGAAGACAGCCTTCCGCATGCGACAGTATCGCCGTCCTTCGTGCTTCCGTCGCATGCCATTCCAATCACCCCTCTGCATTTGAGGTGTGGTCCTCTTGATCTCATGAGGATGATGGCTGGAGCCGACACTTTCAGGATCCTCGTATACATTGATCGCTTCCTTGGCAGAGGTCGAGTGTCTCTGGTCGAACTCGGGGTAGTTTTCCGAGTGTTGCCCATGCTGGAAAGACTCGTGAGGGACGACTTCAGGAGCTTCGCGTTTGTGCACCACCTCGGGGCCATCGTGGAGCAACGCGGAGTACTTCTGGAGCGTCATTTGGATGGAAAGTGTTGCGCAGAGAAAAGCCGATTGGAAAAGAATGACACGACAACGGATTCACGAAGAGAAAGACGAAGGGCAAGGAAATTAGCAGCGGTTGATGGAAAGAGAAGGGGAATCGACGAGAGCAGCCTCTCAATCCGATTCTTTCAGCGCCGACCTCAGCCTCAACGGACCATGTGCATGTGCCATTGGCGAGTTGAGCCATAGATGGTCCTATGGAAGGGTTGGGGCCAATATGATACCCTGTCTGGTCGTCAGGCTTCCCACGCGCCATGCTGCAAGGGCGTATCGGGAGCCGAACATCCTGGGACCGTCTATTATCAGCGCCACACGAGCCTAATCGAGCCTGTGGAAGGGGTTTGAGCGAATGAGGTTCGTGCCTCAGTCGTCAAAGGCGAGTTTACTGTCTCGTTGCCGGAGGCGGAGCTGCCAAGGTGAGGGCTGTACGGGCAACGCCATGTGTGCCCTGAAGTCAGCCCTTGTTATTTCCGCCGGGCATTACCAGGCTGGCAGCGAGCCTCCAGATCATCGACGCTTCCTCCGTGGACGCAGTTTGACGTTCCTCCTGCGTGTTTCCAAGGCAGATCTGAGCGAATCAGGACCACATCTTAATTCCGGGTCAGCTCACTGCCTCGTCGGGAAAGATGGAGTTGCCGAATTCGATGCTGTGCGGGCAAGGCGTGCATGTGCCCGGAAGTGAGCCCTTCAATGCCTTGCTGCCCGCCAGTGAAACTCGCGATCAGCGCGTCCTCCATGGATCCACTCGGCGTACACGTCGCTGCTCTGCGCCGTCTGCCGGATGCATTGTCCGTCTGGCGGATCAAGATTGCCCGGCGGTGACATAAGCTTTGAGGACGACAGTGAAGCTTCGACGCCTCCTCCCCAGCCTTGCTGAGCCAGACCTTGGGCCGGAAGTTGATGTCCGTATGCAATGCGCTCTTTCAAGGCACGCGGGTGTGCATCTCCTCTAGCGAACGGATCACCACGTTTCCGTACACGATACTTCTGTAGCCTACCTGCAGACGACGATTGTGGAGTCTGCTCATTGGCTTGCCCTTGATACGACAACGAGTACCTCGCGTAACACAGGAGCTAATGTGATCGCTCTATTACAAACCGATGTGCGTGTAAGGCCTCCAAGGGTCATCTTGCGAGGCGGGGTAAAAGCATGCTGGCACGATGGATGGTAAGGGGGGCAGGTATAAAGGTATCGTCGTAGAAGCCATTGGACACGGTGCTCCTCCAGTTCAATCTCATCATGTTGTCTTCTAAAATCACTACCGCTCTTCTTGCCCTCGTCGGGTCTGCTGCAGCCGTGTGTCCCGCGGCTACACGCCAGGCTTCCGCCGAGCAGGTCATCTACTCTTACAATCTGAACAGCGACACGGCTGCCGCTGCAGGGTTCGCCAAAGTTCCTTGGGGGGATCCAGACACTGCTGGTGGATGCTATACCGTCATGTAAGTTGGGAATGGAAGAAACTGCCGGGGCCTATCAATGCTGATTACACATAGCATCGCCGACGGAGCCTGCCCGATTCCGGTTGCAACGACGGGCACTGGTACTTACGAGTTTGCCGTTGAATCGTGAGTCGGACGGCATAACATTGGAAGAATGACACTGATGACGACGCCAGACGACAAGTATTCAGCCATCTGACTGGCCAATACACCAACTTTGACAATGGGACGACTCTAATCACCACCGTTGTTGTAAGGCTTCATGCATCCCTTTCATCGCCTTGCAAGATGTGCTGACGATTCAAACAGACTCTGGGCCATCAAACGACGGTCGGAACCGTCCCGATTCCCGTGTCCTTTATCGGATATGTGTATATGGACTACGACGACAACTGCCGCATCTACCAGGCTCGTGCCTATGCTCGGGTCCCCTACCAGGTGTTGCAGGAGACGTTTGCAGCTGTGAACCTCAACCTGCCGGCGCCGGTTTGTGGGGCGGAGCCATAGAATAGCGACAACTACACGAGATGAAAGAGAAGTGAACAAGGTTGCCGGACGGAGAGATGCGAGTGTGAATTGAATTATATAATGTCACTGCCTTGACTTGCAACACATTGTACAGCACTCGTCGTCAATCACTCTCGACACATGCTTCCCCTCAGACATCTTCCATCAACGTCTTGAGCGCGGCCTCAAACTTGCGTTTCTCATCCTGGTCTTCCTTGCGAGCGAGCTCGAATTCCTTCCGAGTAGTTTCCTTTGCTGCAAGAATTTCTTTCTTCAGTTCGGCAAGCGATGCGTCGAGTTCCTCCCGGGCCAATTGCTCCGCTGCGGCGTCCGAAACCAAGATCTCTTGCTTGGCTGTCGCCATGTCGACTTCGACCTGATGCAATTCTTCGAGGATGGTGGTCATCTCTTGTCGTTTCTCCTGCAAAAGCTTCTCGAATGCGTGCACGGTGTCGCCTAGGCGGACTTCATTGGTCACGGTCTTGCCGTTCGGGAGCGTCGTCTGCAGCACCATGATCTCGTCGTCGAGAGACCGCGACATGTCGGCTTCCTCGTTGGCCAGGGCTTCGACGGAGGCCGCATCTTCATCGACGGTGGTGATGTCTACTCGGGCAATGAGCTCGGCATAGACTGGTTCCAGCAGGTGAGACTTTTGCAGGGCCACCCCTTTTCGGTACGAGTCGGTAGCGGCTGGGAAGGATTAGATGTGATGGGACAAGTGCGGGAAGGTGTGTACCATTGAAGCTGCGGCTGATTTCTTTGCCAGGTCCCGTTTTTCTTGATGCCAGAAGGGATTGGCTGCGGGAAACGGTGACACTGAGATTGAGACCAGGCGCAGCGAGGCGGCGGTCACTTTTGTGCACACGGTTGGAGATCTTGCTCGGAGTGAACAGCGTCGAAACCGAGATGGTGCGCTTGACCTTCTTCGGGGGCAGGTTTTCTTTTTCGGCGGCACGAAAGCCTCTTTCACGCGCCATCGTTGTATTGTGGGAGTCTGTAGATGAAACGAGGAACACTGGGGATGAATGAATGGCCCGGGTGGGATGGAAGTGAGAGGAAGAGTGAAGAGGTGAAGTTGGAATAGACTCGACTTGCCGCCATCTTGCAAGGAAGGCACGACCGGGACAGCGCTGTCATGTGCCAAGAAGACGATCTCATATGTCCATCTGCCTTACTCTGCCTCCGCCGCAACCAACACATCCTTCTCTTCCAACAGCTTCGCCAAGCTACCGTCCTGATGCATCGACATGAGAATGTCGGTCCCGCCCACAAACTCCTTGTCGACGTAAAGCTGAGGAATCGTCGGCCACTCGGAGTACTCTTTGATCCCTGCAGAATCATCAGTGCGTCGTCCTCGTATCGCGCATGATATCACCCTACCTTGTCGCAGCTCCTCATCCTCCAGCACGTTGAACGCCGTGAACTTTTGCGGATTCACGCCCTGCAGCCCCAAAATCTGGATGCTGGCGCGCGAGAAGCCACATTGCGGTGTTTCCGGCGTGCCCTTCATGAAGAGCACCACCGGCGCCGATCCCACCGCTTTGTCTATCGCTGCGCGAGTCTCGGTGGAGAGGCAGGCCTTTTGCAGGACGGCGAATCGCGGGGAGAGGAAGGGGTTGCGTCGCGGGCGGATGGCCTGGCTGGCGACCTGGATTTCGTTAGCAGTGGCGGGTGGATAAAGCGGCGAGGTTCCGTACGGTTCGGAGCGCTGATCTGGAAATCATTTTGATGTTGTTGTTGTTGTAGGTGGAGTGTCTGCGGGAAGCTTTGGAGCGCAAGATATTTGGCTGTTCAATGCAGGGTGGCGTCGCATGACGCAAGGGTTGCTGACAGATCCTCACTTCACCCGGAGGTGCTTTCGATATAATGCAGAACATTCACCGACGATGATGAATAACAAGCAGTAGAGCAAAACACGATGACCTCCATTCCACCAAACGACTCTACACAACAACCACTCAAAGCATCCGACCACTTCAACGACGGCAAATACCATCTCCTTCTCGCAGCAACCGGCTCAGTAGCAACCATCAAAATCCCCAACATCCTCACCGCCCTCTCGCACCACCCCAACCTCTCCATCCGCTTGCTCCTCTCCGAATCCGCTGTGGAATTCCTCCAAAACCAATCCCGAGAGCAGCCATCCCTCCAGGATCTCACCACCATCCCCAACGTCGACGGCATCTACCGCGACGCAGACGAATGGCGCAAACCGTGGGTGCGAGGTGATAGCATCGCGCACATTGAGCTCCGCCGCTGGGCAGATCTCATGCTCATCGCTCCGCTCTCGGCCAACAGTCTGGCGAAAATCGCCCTCGGCTTGTCCGACAATCTCGTCACTTCTGTTGTGCGCGCGTGGGATACGACGGGCATGATTGATGCGCCGAGACCGGGAATCCGGCATGCGTGGGGCGAGAGGAAGGTGATTGTTGTTGCGCCGGCGATGAATACGGCCATGTGGAATCATCCCGTCACGGCGAAGCATTTGAAGGTGTTGGGGGAGGAATGGGGGGTGGAGGCTGGAGGGTGGATTGATGTTTTGCGGCCGGTGGAAAAGGAACTCGCGTGTGGCGACACGGGATCCGGAGCCATGCGGGACTGGAAGGAGATTGTTGCTCACGTCGAATCAAAGCTTGGACTATCGACAGTGAACGGAGGGTGAAGGAGTTCATTACGATATGCGCTATCTGCCGTATCAACGAGCGTGAGCCATGCGGGTATCTCTGCAACAATAAGAAAGACGGGAAGGAACGAAACATCTCGCCACCGACTTCATCAACTGTACCGATCCTCCCTACGACGCCCGCCATCGAAACGCCTCGCCCTCGCCTCCTGATCTGCTGGGATGCAACGCGCTGTCCGGCCTCTGCACGAGATGAGCGAATTGCGGGTTGATGCCCATTGGCGACGAAATCTCCATCGGCCGGTGGGATGGGTTGATGGGAAGCGGCGGAGCGATGCTGTTTCGGTTGTTTCTGCTGATGATGCCAAACACCTTTTTCTTGGTGCACGCGGTGGCGCGCGAGTATCGGCTGGATGGGGAGATGGGGTCTCTGGCGGGGTACGGCGGCGCACTGTCGACTTTGGGAGAGGAAGCGTGATAGGAGGGGAGAGTTGATTGGCGGCGCTCGACGGTCAGGATGCGGAACGGATTGGATTTGGTCGGTGTGCTTGGATCCTTCATGTAGGATGACGCCAATTCCGGAGCGGTGGGTGTTCGACTCCCGGTGCTTGGGCTTTTGAGAGCGGCGACTGCGCCGTGAGCACGCACTTGACGAGCGGTGATGCCTGCGTTGCGGTCGCGGAAGACGTAGCTTGCAATCAGATTGACCCAGCCCATGATGAAGATGACGATCCCGCCGGCGATGACGATGCGCCAGAATGGGAGGCCGAGAGATTTCTGGCTCGTAGCGGGCTTGTTGAGGTTGCCGAGCATGTCGACTCCAATCACAACCATGGCCAGGGCGAGGGAGACGAAGCCGTGGGAGGGGCTGAGGAGCGGCCAGTTGCGGGAGAAGTAGCCGCGGAAAAGCGATAGTTCGGATACCATGAGGAACACTACGTGGATTAGCAGACGTCTGAGCTGATGCACGGATGGAATACTTACTGCTTGTGACTGCGGTGAGAACATGACTGACGGCGTCGAAGAAGAAGAACTTTGTGGCGACGGAAGTCTTGATGAGCATGACCACACTGCCGGTAATCACCGCTAGAAAGCTGATGATGTTGAGCACACGGATGCCGTTGAGGATGATGTAGCCCGGTCCGGCGAGTGATTTGCGGGAGAGGGCCATCTTGGATGTTGCTTGTTTGCTATGTGACTGGATAGCTTGGAAGCGGGTGGTGACTTGGGCAATGTGGTGGGGTTCGATGGGGATGTAGAGTAGTCTTCACTGTGGGTAAGCATTTGCCGGGCGTGAATGAGGGCGTGACGAACTTTTCAGTAGGATAGAGTCGTAAGAACATGGGGTGACAATGACGGAGTGGCTGTCCAGCAGTCTTGAGGTGTTGAAAAATGTCGTTGGGACTGTGAGGATTGGAAGATCAAAGAAAGCAAGCGATGGAAGATGCTGGAGGGAATAGGGAAGGGAGGAGAAGTTCAAAGCCGTAAAGGCCTTGAATTCTCGTGGATTCTCGCGAGGAATAGATCAACAATAGAAACACGACGGACAATAGGGAAGGGGGAAGTTCACTTGAAGGCCATTTCTCACATTGAACGTGATCAGTGGCGCGAGTCTGTCACACACGCGACAATCCATCTTTCGGTGGATGTGTCGTCGATCGTGAGCCCGACAGCAGTCCTGAAACCCAGACACCGTCCTGGCTATTGGAGGACCGGCGTGAAGTGCATCGGGTCGGAGATCGGAGATGAGCTCCACTGGCTCTGATCCTTTCCAGAGCATGCTACATGTAGGGAGATGATGAGGAGAGACGCAATCATTGGCCAGCATTGCTGCATCCACCGAAGCGCGAGCTCTTCCGTCTTTGACGCTGCTGCGTGTTTCAGATGTGGTGAAGTCGGCCGAAACCGTCGGGCTGCGACAAGCTCTCGGCTCGGACCGCGAGGGTGGGGCGTGTCGGCGGCAGGTTGTCTCGACAAAGTTTTGACCGCATCTCCCACCCGACCCCTTCCTCTCACCACGGTTCTATTGGACAGCAATCAAGCACAAGCAGCCTTACGCCCCTCCGTATCGTACCTTTGAGGCAAATCGAAACCCTGAACCATGGCTCGAGGCAATCAACGTGACAAGGCGCGCGAAAAGGCGCAGAAGGCTGCGGGCGGAGTGGTAGGCTCTTGGACTTGCTGTTTGGGAGGCTATAGACGCTGGTGCTGATTGCATGTAGAAACACAAGACCACTGGAACTGGTCCGGAGCAGCAGCGCGCCAAGGAGTCTGCGGCCGAGATTATGAGACAAAAGCAGGCTGCTGGTAGGCGCTCCATATCTCATGACACCCCTGTACCTCTATACTCACTCCTCGATGCTAGCCGATGCGAAGAAGGCCGAAGTGAAGAAGTGAATGGAAGAAACGTGAAGAGCAGTGGACGTTGGATCGTGCCTTGACGAATATATACCCACACAACGTGCTCGTTCTCCCTCGGCCTCCCTCCACTGCATCATCAACTCCCACGCTATGCGAAAGTCATCTCCTCTGCAATGCTACCGAACAATCAACGCGGCGCTAGGCACCAGACCGGCCTCCTTGAGAGTCATGCCAAAGTCGTCCTGATCAAAGATCTTCTTTGGGAAGTTTTGCGTGAATGAACTGGCCTGGATCCCACTCTCTTGCTCCAGTGCGTGTGCCACTTCGAATAGTGTAGTCTCGGCGGGGAAATTCTTCATGACGTTGCCACTTGGTGTTTGTAGACGTAATCTGGCTTCGGAGTGGTTCGCTGTGACTTTCGCCGGTGCTGCCGCTGCCACCGTCGCTGCACCACCCGGTGCCGCAGTAGGAGCGCCGGGGTTGAAGGCTTCGGGGTTGTCACGCATCGCTTTTTCCTCCTCTGCCTTCCTCCGGCGTTCCGCCTTGTCGGCCTCGATCTTCTCCTTGATGCGCTTCTTCGCTGCAATGTCATCAATCTTCTCCTGCTTCTTGCGCTGCGCGTCTTTAATCTGCTCCTTCCGCGCCAGCTCCTCCTTGAGATCTTCCGTCTCTTTGGTGTGCTTCTTCTTGATCTCCTCATTCCGCTTGTTCGCCTTTTGATCCTCCTCTGCCTGCGCTGCCCGCTTCGCTACCAGTCGTTCCCGCATCTCCGCCAACTTTGCCTTTTTCTCCTCCTCCGTCAACGGTGCAAGCTCTTCTGTCGATTCGGCAAAATCATCGTGCCCGCTCTTCTCTGCGTGGAACTGCGCTTGCGCCATCCCGCGGAACTTCTTGCCGCAGTCATTGCACACAAAGCTGCGCGCTTCCATGCTGGCCTCGAGCTTGGCGGAGGTGTCGGCGGTGGATTCCTCTTCTTGCAGCTCTTCGAGTGATTTGTCGGCGTTCTTGTCGAGCCAGTCGATGGCGCCGGTCAGGTTTCCGCCTTTTTTGAGGGCAATCTGGGACTTTTGCCGGTCGAAGCCCATGTCGACGAGTTGGTCCAGGTCGGTGGCCATGATGACGGGAGGTGATGGTGTGAGGGAGGGAGGGTAGAAGGTGAGCGTCTTGTTTGATGAAAGTGGTGTTTAATTCACCCCAGATTTGGAGAATGCCGTGAGTGCACGTGTGGAAGTGGTGGTTTGGTGACGTACGGCCCGAGCGGGTCCGAGCTTGCGCAATTCCAGGCTTCGTCCAGGGACGGAGACTTGGCTTACTCCCGACCTCTCCATCATCCACACGACATCACCAGCATCCCCGCCTCTCTTCCCATCATCCACTCCTCGCCCTCACTGTCCTGTACTTTACTGCGTGTACGCCCGGCGTTGTCTCTTCCCTGTCCCATCACATCACCCCACGAGCAACGGCATTGCACCTCCTTCGGCGCCCCTCAAACGAATACATTGATAACGAGCGGCCTGCTTAACAATCATCACCATGTCTGTCGAATTGGACCCGGCGGAACTCGGCTTCCGACGTGAGTGGGATCATGAGATATACCGAGGAAGCATATGCGCTGACACCTCCGTCCAGGCCCCTTTACTCAAGAAGTCTCGCAAACCCTGCGCCTTTCCAACCCCAACAGCGACCCGGTTGCGTTCAAGGTCAAGACTACTGCGCCCAAACAGTTCGTCTGCCTCATTCCAAGCCTCACTACGGCCACTGACTCCGTCATAGGTACTGTGTCCGGCCCAACTCCGGCCGCATCGAAAGTGGCCAGCATGTCGAGGTGCAAGTCCTCCTCCAAGCCATGAAAGAAGACCTTCCTCCCGATGCCAAGTGCCGCGACAAGTTCCTCGTCCAATCCGTCGCCGTCAAAGCCGATAACGAGACCAACGTGTCCCAGATCTGGAGCAATATCGAGCAGAATGCGAAGAGCAGTATTCAGGAGAAGAAGATTCGCGTCATCTTCCTACCCGCAGATGGCGACGCTGCTGCTGGGGGTCTGTCTCCTACCACTGCAGCCGGTGGAGCGGCTGTTGCTGCCGGAGCGGGCGCTGCTGCAACTGCATCCGCCGCGACGAATGGCGTCAAGGGTCATGATGAAGAGCCTGCCTCCTACTCTTCCCCCAACGCCTCCACCGTGACACCACAAAAGTCGGGCGCTGCCGAACACATGTCCACCCCTGGGACCTCTTCCATCCCGACCACGCAGGATGATATAAAGCGACAGCTGGAAGAGGCCAAGGCACAAATCTCACGATTACAAGGGCAGGTGCAGGAAGGACTCCGACAGCGGAAACCGCAGGAAGCGGCAGAAAAGGCGGTCAATTCGGTGCAACGGAGCCTTCAAAATGCTCCTGCTCCCGGCGGCGTTCCGGTGCAGATTGTTGCCGCCTTGTGCTTGCTGGTGTTTTTGATCGCGTGGTTGTTCTTCTAGACCGACGAGCATGCCGGAGGGGAGATTGTAAGAGGAAAGGAGTGTTGCTGCCGGAGGACAGGGTTGAGAGCGGAAAAGGGGCTGGATGGGAGTGTTACGTAATTCGCGGTGTCTGTCTGGGATGGACTTATCGATGATGGATGGCATACACGCGAACTACTGTCCTGTTTATGTATCAACCGGTTTTAGACCATTCTCTTCATTTGCCTCTTGATTGACAAAGTGGGCGCTAGTCACTCTATTTCTTGGCCTTCTTGACCACTTTCTTGGTCTCAGTCTTGCCTCTCGCCGAACGTTTCTTCTGCACGACTTCCGCCTCGGCGACATGCTCAATGGACGGTGTTTCCTCCGCAACGACTGCTGCTGGTTCTTCTCCAACCCCAATCATCTTTTGCTTCACGGGAACCTCACCCACATCCTTGACAACCGGCATATCAAACTCGTAACCCATGCCCTTCAACTTCTCGGCCTTTTCCGCACGTCGCATATTCTCCTTCTCCACCCTCTGCGCCCACACCTCTCGGGCCGCGCCTCTCTTCAACTTGCTCCCCTCCAACCGATTGCGTGGCGCAGGCTTCCTCTTCCTGCCTGACCCCTGAAACATGCTCTCCTTGACCTGCTCCCGCGGCACTCTTCGCACCTGCAACAGATGTCCAAACAGCAAATACTTGTCCATGGTCTTGACGACAATCTCCGCCACGGCGGCACTCGCAAACTCAATAAACCCATGATGCTGGCTCTTGCCCGTCTTGCGATTCCGCCCCAGACGCAGGTTGATAATCTCGCCAAACTGCGAAAAGTAGGCCTTCATCTGCGCCTCGTAGAAGCCGTGCGGGATGCGGCCGATGTAGATGACGCCCGGCGTGGTCTCGGGGTCGACTTGGTCGGCGATGGCTTGGTTGATGCGCTTCTTGATCAGGCCCTTTGTCGGGGGTTTGGGGAGGGTGGAGATGGAGATGCCGGCTTCGTCTTCGGAGTCGTCGGCGTCGCCGCCTTCGTCTTCGCTGCTGGAGAAGCCGGCGAGGAGGGCGGCGGTTTGGTCGGGTGTGAGCTCTTCGGCGTCGTTGTCGTCGGCGATGATGGGCTGCGCAGTCGAAGAGGTGTCTGGTTTCTTGCTCTTTGTCGTGCGTGAAGGTAGCTTCTTCTCCGTCTTGGGTGCGGGTGCTTCTGCCGGTGCAGTTTTCGCCTTTTTGAGTGCAGACTTGAGTGGTGCCGTCTTTTCCGCAGACTTGGCCACTTTCACTCTCTTGACGGCATCTCCAGTGTCGCCTGCGCTCTTGCGCTTCTTCGTCGTCTGTGCGGCCATGTTTGCTGGTGTGTAGAAGGATGAAGTCGTCAAAAGATTGAATCCGAAATTTTTGAGAGAGCAAGTGCAGCCCGCGTTGCCGAGAAATCTCCGAACGACTTCAACTGGTCGGTGGCCCTTGAACTTCCATCCACCTTCAGCCTTGTCAACGTGAATGCCAGGAAGCGTGGCCTGCCATGGCGGATTACAATACTTCGCAAGCGGAGGTGTGGGATGATTCTGCGCTGTTGGAGTCGTGGAATGATGCTCTGGAGGAGTACAAGGTGAGTCTGCTCTTCCAAACGAAGCAGGAATGTCGGCGCTCACGATTCGTAGAAGTATCACAGTCTCGCGGCGAAGGGCGAGAAAGTAGCCAGGCCAATCAAAGCAAGCGACGACGCTGTCAACGGCGGGAAAGCGATCGACTCCGTTCAGGATCTGGAAGCCGATGTGGACGCCACCGACGGAGACGTTGCTGCTCAGGCCAATGCGCAGACGACCACCATCCCTGTACCCCCGGCGGCGATGATGCCACAGAGCTTGATTGGAGGTCGGTAGCCTTCTCAACCCCTTGGTTGTCAATTGAATCCTTGCTGACAGAGTTTGCAGGCCAGGATGAAGATCTCAAGAAGCTCATGATGTCGTGGTACTACGCCGGGTATTACACGGGACTGCATGAAGGCAAGCAACAAGGGTATGCGAGTGCTATGCAAGGCGGTGGCAAGGGTTGAAAGCTGGATGGATGTAGCACTCTCAACGCCTCGCGCAGAGATGACCACGGGCGAGATGGATTCCAGGGCCAGCAGATGGAGATGATGCTGAGGCCCCTTACCCGGTCATGAGCGCGCTCCAAGGGAGCTTGATATCAGTGGAGGATTTCATGAAGGATGCGAGGCCGAATATACTGTCACAGAAGCAGTGCACCGGCGATCGGCGCGCAGGCTATGTGGTATGTAGACCAGCTCCAGCCCAGGTACTTGCCACTGCCTGGTCTTCACTACTTTCTGCGCTCAAAGCACGATAGATTCCAATTGTGTAGCCTGTCCATGGACTAATTATTCAGATCTGACGCTTTTGATAGCACGTGAAGGCCTGCAACACGGCAGAAGCTCGCTATTCAGGCCGCTCAAGTTTTTATATCAATCCGTGGCAACGGAAGCATCATCAAAGTCCGATATGGTCTAGTGGTTAGGATATCTCGCTCTCACTGGGCATTCACGAGCAGCCGAGATGGCCGGGGTGTGAGTTCGAGCACGTCCACGCTGGACAGCGTTCAGTTGCTGACACGATGCAGTCGATTCCGTAAGTCAATCCTACTGCGAGTCTTGATGCACTCAACTGATGATCCTGCAGCCGTGTCGGAAGTGCATTACTTTTTGTTCGCAGCGCGTCAACTCCATTTTTTGCACCCGGGCGAGTGCGCTTCCGTTGAGCGAAGTTGGGTTGAGATGCGGCGAGCAAGCAAAGGGACATGGAGGATGATGAAGTTGATTTCGGTTTTGAACGCAGTGACAGCACTACAGAAGCCTTGAATGTACATCTCGCCATGCTCGTGATACTTCTCAGCAGCAAGGTTCCTTGATACCTCTCGTGATTAGAAAGTAATTCATGGGAATCGCGGTGGCAAATCCCAGCGCCATGCCGATTTGCATCATCCTGGTGCCTCTCGTCAGCAGAGATCTTAAAGTCGAAGTAAGTGAAGGCTTGATGACTCACCACCAATACGTCCAAGTGTCCATGCTCAGCTGGTAGTTAAAGATCCCAACCTGGTAGATGATCATCCATCCAAAGGCACCAACCTCAAAACTGGTCAGGCTGAGGATATCCGCTTTGGCCGCTCTCCATACCGTCTTGGGGCCGTACTCGCCGCTCATGGGAGCGATGGAGAAGTACTGAAAGGCAATGCCGAAGAGCAAGGCAAATGCGTAGTCGATGAGGAGTTCGGCCCAGATGGAGTGGCCGTTGATTTTGGCGCCGGTGCCGTAGACCAGCCATTCGCCGACGAGGTCGCCCAGGATGCAGCCGGCGCCGCAGTGGGAGACGCCGACAAGGAGCGTGATGATCATGGGTCGGGAGGCGTCGTGGTGATGGCAGTGTGCGTCGGAATCATCTGGGGTTGCTTTTTCGAGGTCGGAATGGCAAGCGGGAGGGTGGTCGGGGAGATCTAGTTGTTCATCTTTCTCTTTGGTGGAAGGAGCATGGCAGGGCGGAGGAGATGCTGAATCTTGATCGGTTGGAGCTTGCTTCGATGAGCAATGCCCAGTCTTCGAATCATCTGCGTACGCTTGTGCTTTCGACATGGGTTTGGCAGCTCTTCCATACTTGAAGTAGACGTAGAGGGTGACGGGCATCATGTAGGCAGCGTTGATTGGGTATACAGGCTGGAGATGGGTCAGTTTGTGGGATGAAAAGACGAGTGGCTCGATATTTCGCTTACCACCATGATGCCCATCATACTGCGCCAACCTCGACGCCAGATGATGTCGACAGTGACGATGAGGAAGCATATTGCTCCGAGAATGAGGAAGATGCCACTCAGGATGGTGAGGGCGAGAGGGGGATGGTAATCGCTATTCATCTTGTTTTCGCGATGTGGCTTGGGTGGGTGGAGTGGAAGACAGGGAGAAGAGCAAGACTTGCCGTGTGTTCATTGTACTACATTTGAGGAGATGGGATGGGGTGAGTGAAGTGGACAGTGAGGTGCGCGGTTTGTGCGTCGTTTTGGCTTTTGTGCGGCATGCGGTGGCAAGTGCAGATGGCCCGACGGATTTGCGGCAAATTTGCCGAAATGGCATTATCATTGCATCTCCTGTCCCTTGCGTGACGAATGGGCAGGAGAGATGGTCCTTAGCAATGCAGCACTCATGGGAATCAAACAATGCAAGCAGCGAGGTGGCAGTCATCATGTCAAGCATGTGTGAGGTTGAATGCTTAGTCACACGACCGCCGGCCGGGTTCCGAGACGGAGCTCGCCACACGGAGAAGGTACGGACAAGGAGCTCACCTCACCTCACATGCCCCGGTAAGCATTACGTCCGACGACAAAGGTGCATACAGAGCGGATGGAGCGGGTGGAAGAGCAGGGCAGAGCGGCAACAATTTATGCACTTGTCCGCCGTGTGTTGTGTGGACCAACCGCGTGGTTGTCGTCGATCAAATCTCAATCATTGCCGAGCGCCCCATCCGTTCCGACTTCCGCTTACAAATGATGTCAAACGTCAACAAAAAACTCTTGAGTCTTGGGCCCGCGAAACTGTGGACCGTTTGGAGCGTGTGTCGCCGTTCAACGTCTTTTGGCTGCTGGAGTTAGGAGCTTCGTCCGCGATTATGTCCGGCGCATGGCATGAGGCGTTCTTGGCTGTGTGCGTAATGGCTGGGCCCGATAGCGATGGATTTAAAATAGCCGTTATGCGAGAGACATCGGCATGCCACAATGACGTCTGACCCAAAGCCTACCGTGGATATACTTTTCTCCCATCCGACCTCTCCCATCGCGTCAATCCTCCCTCTCGTCTAATCGCCCTCCCACCGTCTTTGCTCCTCCTCGGAATTCATCCATCTCTCCGAGCGAAGAGTCAAGATGTGGGCGCACTCGGTCAATCGCGACAGGCTGCAGCGCGTCGACAGCAGCACTGTGCCGAGTCAATGGCATCGCGTCGGAGCGCCCACGGATGAGCGGTTCGCCGCGGAAAGCACGCTGCATCCCACCGAAGAGGTCGAAGAGCCCGACAAGGACTACTCTGGCACGTTTGGCGAGCGCGACGTCGGAGGCTTCAACGAACAAGAGGCCGTCGAGCAGTTTGAAGCGCTTAGAAGGGACCTCACCCAGCTTAGCAAGACGCGTTCTGGAGAGTCGCCGGCTTCCGTCCGGAGATCGAGCACCATTCGCAGCGGTCTGACGCGCACCAAGACTAAAGAAAGCACTCTATCCCGCACCAAGTCTCGCACCTCCGCCGACAGGCCCCAGAATGAACGCACGCGTACCCGATCCACCACCGATGGGGATGCCGTGGAAGAAGAGGAAGAGCATCGATCCGATGACGCCGATCTCGAAGCAGGTCCTGACGAGAAGAAGGATGACGAGGGCGATGAAGACGAGCTGGACCTTGGGGAATTTATGCGTGAGGGTCATTTCGAGCGTCGATCTGACGGATCCTCTGAAAAGAAGGTCGGTGTCATTTACAAGGACCTCACCGTCAAGGGCACTGGTGCCACTGCCACCTTTGCAAGGACCTTGCCCGATGCCATTATTGGTACGTTTGGCCCGGACTTGTATCGCAATCTTTGCCATTTCTTCCCCGTTTTTGCCGCGAAACAGGGCAACTTGCGTACCTTGATCAACGGCTTCAGCGGGTGTGTCCGTGATGGCGAAATGATGCTTGTGCTTGGTCGACCCGGCTCGGGATGCAGCACTTTCCTCAAGGCCGTTGCCAACAACCGCGAATCGTATGCAGAAGTCTCCGGCGAGGTGACGTACGGTGGTATTCCCGCGGAGAAGCAGAAGAAGATGTATCGTGGAGAAGTGGTGAGTGTTGGCTGTAATTTGAGGGGATGTTCTCTCGCTAACGTCGACAGAACTACAACTACGAAGATGACATCCATTTTGCCCGCCTGAACGTATGGCAGACCTTCATCTTCGCCCTCCTCACCAAAACGAGAAAGAAGTCGAAAGCGGAAATTCCCATTATTGCGAATGCTTTGATGAAAATCTTTGGCATCTCCCATACCAAATACACGCTGGTGGGAGATGAATATACCCGGGGAGTGTCTGGTGGAGAGCGGAAGCGTGTCTCTATTGCTGAGACTCTGGCTTCCAAAGCTGCGGTTATTGCGTGGGATAATTCCACGCGTGGCCTTGATGCGTCCACTGCGTTGGATTACGCCCGTTCCCTCCGGATCATGACTGACATTAGCAACCGGACCACTCTCGTCACCTTGTACCAGGCTGGTGAGGGCATTTACCAGCTGTTTGACAAAGTCCTCGTCATCGATGAAGGCCGCGAAGTCTTCTCCGGCCCGGCCAAGGATGCAAAGCAGTACTTTATCGATCTCGGCTACGAATGCCCGGAACGCCAGACGACGTCCGACTTCCTCACTGCCTGCACGGACCCGGTCGAGAGGAGATTCCGCCCTGGCTGCGAAGACAGCACGCCCAAGACACCCGAAGAGCGCGAAAAGGCGTTCCGAGCCTCGCCAAACTATCAAAAGGTCCTTCAAGACGTGGAAGAGTACGACAAATATCTGAAGGAGTCCAACTTTGCCGATGCAAAGCGCTTCGAAAACGCCGTGCAAGAGGACAAATCGAAGCGAGTGCCCAAGAAATCCTCCTACACCGTGTCATTCCCCCGACAAGTCATGGCTTGCACCAAACGCGAGTTCTGGCTCTTCTTTGGCGACCCCACAACACTCTACACCAAGGCCTTTGTCATCATCTCCAACGGTCTGATTGTCGGATCGCTCTTCTACGGCGAGCCCCTGTCTACTGCCGGCGCCTTTTCGCGTGGCGGCGCCATCTTCTTCTCGATTCTGTTTCTGGGTTGGCTGCAACTGACTGAGCTCATCAAGGCCGTGTCCGGACGCGTGGTTGTGGCCCGTCACCGAGATTACGCCTTTTACCGTCCATCGGCCGTCAATATCGCACGAGTCATTGTCGACTTTCCCGTCATTTTCGTCCAGGTCGTCATCTTCAGTGTGGTATGTATTCATCGATTCGTTCCTTTCCCCTCTTGCTGATCAATTGTGCTCCAGATCATGTACTTCATGTGTGAGCTCGACCTCGTGGCGAGTAAATTCTTCATTTACTTGCTCTTCGTCTACACAACGACCATTATGATCACCTCACTGTACCGGATGTTCGCCTCACTCTCTCCGGAAATCGATACGGCTGTCAGATTCTCAGGATTGGCTTTGTAAGACCCCTAGGCAGGGGGAGCATTAGACTTGTTCTCCCCGACATACTTGAAGTGAGACAGAGCAGTTGCTAATGCGAAGAAATTTAGGAACTTGCTGGTGGTGTTTACTGGTTACGTGATTCATAAACCACAGCTACTCTCGAGATACATCTGGTTCGGCTGGCTATACTACATCAACCCCATCGCCTACTCCTTCGAGGCCGTCCTCGCAAACGAGTTTCATGGACGCTCAATGCAGTGCGCCAATGAACAGCTGGTTCCTCAGGGCCCGGGAATCGATCCAGCATACCAAGGCTGCGCTCTAACGGGAGCCGCGGTCGATGCACACTCGGTCAACGGTCCCACGTACCTCCAGACGACATTCAACTACACCTACTCACACGTCTGGCGGAACTTCGGTGTCATCATCGCCTTTGCGGTGCTCTACATCCTGGTCACCGTCTTTGCGACCGAGTTTGTCTCTTTTGCCTCTGCCGGTGGCGGCGCTCTCATTTTCAAAAAGACCAAGCGAGCCAAGCGACAGGTCAAGGAGGCCGCACCACCGCCAGCAGATGAGGAGAAGGGAAGCAGTGGGTCTAGCAACGGCTCGGCAAGCAAGACTCAGACCATGGACGACGACGCTGCTGTTGATGGCGAAACTCAAGAGGGTGCTATGAAAGGAATCACCAAGAGTGAAAGCATCTTCACCTGGCGAGATGTCCACTATACTGTCCCATACCTCGGCGGCGAACGCCAACTTCTCAATTCCGTCAATGGATACGCGAAACCGGGCAAGATGGTTGCTTTGATGGGTGCCTCTGGAGCGGGAAAGACCACTCTACTCAACACTTTGTCTCAGCGCCAAGTCATGGGGCGTGTCGAGGGAGAAATGTTTGTGGATGGCCGCCCGCTTGGCATCTCTTTCCAGAGGAATACCGGTTTCTGTTTGCAAGGCGATCTTCACGACGGCACGGCCAGCATTCGTGAGGCTCTGGAATTCTCTGCCATTCTGCGACAGGATGCCAGCGTGCCGCGTTCGGAGAAGCTTGCCTACGTTGACACCATCATCGACCTGCTCGAGCTCAACGATCTCCAGGATGCACTCATTATGAGTCTTGGAGTCGAACAGCGCAAGCGTGTGACGATTGGAGTGGAATTGGCCGCCAAGCCATCTTTGCTTTTGTTCCTCGACGAGCCTACCTCTGGCCTGGACTCTCAGGGTGCTTATTCGATCGTCCGCTTCTTGAAGAAGCTGTCTCAAGCCGGACAAGCCATTGTTTGCACCATCCATCAGCCGTCGTCCGTTCTCATTCAGGAATTCGATATGATACTCGCACTCAATCCTGGAGGTAAGAAAATCTAGGAAGAACTTGAAGATGCCTGCCTCGAGATCGGTTGCAGCGATAATCTTGCCGGTGGTGCTTCCAGTTGCCACCCAGCGGGATTTCGCGTGTTCGACCTCTGAGCGCAGCACTTGTTCTACCCAATACCCATAGATTGACACGGGCACTTGCTAACCCTCAAAATAGGCAATACCTTCTATTTTGGAAACGTCGGAGAGAATGGTCAAACTGTCATTGACTATTTCGCCGCTCGTGGGACGCATTGCCCACCCGAAAAGAACGTGGCCGAGTTCATCCTCGAGACCGCCGCGCGCCCTGGCAAACGCGAAGACGGAAGCCGTATCGACTGGAACGAAGAATGGAGAAACTCCAAGGAGGCGGCAGCCGTCATCGAGGAAATCGAAGGCTTGAAACTCACCCGGAGCCAAACGGTCCCCGAAAAGAAGAAGAAGGAACAGGAGAAGGCATTTGCCGCTTCCACCTGGCTACAGACGACGGAGCTCACTCGAAGGACCTTTAAGCAGCACTGGAGAGACCCCAGCTACATCTACGGCAAGCTATTCGTCGCTGTCCTTGTGGGGATCTTTAATGGATTCACCTTCTTCCAGTTGGGCAATTCCGTCCAAGACTTCCAGAACCGACTCTTCACGGCATTCCTCATCGTCACGATCCCGCCTACCGTCGTCAATGCCGTCGTCCCCAAGTTCTTCCAAAACATGGCTCTCTGGCAAGCTCGTGAACTGCCCTCTCGAATCTACGGCTGGTTCGCGTTTTGCACTGCCCAGGTTGTTGCAGAGATCCCTGCCGCGGTGGTCAGCGCCTTTCTATACTTCACCCTCTGGTACTGGGCTACTGGTCTCCCCACGGAAAGCTCGGTGTCTGGCTACGTCTTCCTGATGACCATGCTCTTTTTCCTCTTCATGTCGAGCTGGGGTCAGTGGATTTGTGCCTTTGCACCCTCATTCACTGTGATCTCGAATTTACTGCCCTTCTTCTTCGTCATGGTGTGAGTATAACCCCAAATATTCGACAGATGAGCCCAAGCACTTGCTAACGAAATTTTCAGCTCCCTTTTCAACGGAATTGTCCGCCCGTACGCCCAGATTCCGGTTTTTTGGAGATACTGGATGTATTATGTCAATCCAGCGACCTACTGGATCTCAGGCGTGCTCGCCGCTACATTGAATGGCATTCCCGTCCGGTGTCAACCAGACGAGACTGCTCGGTTCAATCCACCTCCCGGACGGACGTGCGCCGAGTACGCGGGCGACTTTGCCAAATCCGCCGGTGGCTACCTGCTCAACCCCTCCGCCACTTCGGTCTGCGAGTACTGTCAGTACAGTTCCGGGAATGACTATTTGACGGGCCTGAACATTCAGGCCAGTGAGAAGTGGAGAGACTTTGGCATATTTTTGGTGTTTGTGTGCACCAACTACATGCTGGTGTATTTCTTCATCTACACCGTGCGTATCAAGGGGTGGAGCTTCGGGTTTGGCTACATCTTCGGCGGGCTGGGTAAGATTGTTGGTGCGGTGAAGAAGCCTTTTGCGAAGATGTTTGCTGGGAAGAAGGGGAAGCAGGAGGAGTGAAACGTGTTGAAGGGATGAGGTGGAGTTGGCGAGATGGAGCTTGACGTTCTGATACACTAGACTGGATGGGTATACAATAAGTAGGATACTAATATTGGAACTTTGCTTTTCATTATGAAGCGGAATTCTCGCAGCCTTGTTCGAACGGCGTTGCAAATTTCCGTTTCGGGAAGGTACCTCATCGCCCGCCAAACTTCACCCCTCCATCCACCGCTCCGACCCCCGCACCAACGGTAGCAACAACCCTTTCCAATGCCTGGCTGTCCCGTGAAACGAGTCGATATGTCGTCTTGCCACGCCACCGCTCGGAGTCGCAGCAGTGTTGATTCACGTCGGCGAGACGCAGAGGGGCAAGCAGGAGGTGGGAAGTGACATTCAAACACAATACCTGAGAGCTAAGTAGAATACTACTGATGGCCTTTTTGGACGGTCTCCTTCAGTCTCAACCGCGTGAAGGACTGCTTGGAGGTTCGAGCACGCTGAGCAAAAGGGAGAGAGGGAGAGAGATGGTCCAATTCAGCTGCATTGCTAGATCATTCTCGAGACCTTTACCTTTCTTCCTACAAGGACTTGCCACCGACGGCAAATTCAAACACCCAACGCCGTGTACTCGTCTTAGCTGGTTTGGTAGACGGGGAAAGTGTCCTGGGACTGCACTAGAAGGATGAGGGCGGCGATTAACAACGCCAGCGAGGAGGAGAAGTGTTTGAACGCCATGTTGAACGAGTAAATGTCAAGAGATGTCGAGAGGAAGAGTCGAGATCAAAATGGTATCTCACGCCCATATTTATATCCTACACGGTACAACTGGCGGGGGAGATTGAACGATGTCGACTATGCAGATCATCGTGAATGATTATTGAATTGTAGGCACATTTGAACAAGGACGTTGGTTTTGCAAACTCTACAGAGGTGTATGTAGAAGGAGGTGTGTAGATCATGATCGTCGTGCGGTCGGATGACCAGGTTCGGTCGGTATCTGCCGAGGGGCCCCCCGGAGCCTACCGACTTGTTGCGTGGAAACCCCCCGGAAGCGGAGAAGGGACCCCGTGGGGTAGACGGTAAATGCGCCGCCGAGACCATTTTCAGCCTAATGAGAACGTGCATCCAAGCGCCGGCTGAATTGCATCGATTCGAGGAGGGTCGTCCATTCGCCACCACCCCAGCACCCTTGATGGCGAAGAAGGTCTACCCCTTTGCCGAGAATCCGGGGTGGCGCTCCGGGGGCAAAGACTTCGCCTACGCCGCTCATGAATGGTCGCATGGCGGTGCCGTTGCGAACAAAGGCTTGCACAAGCTCGTCGTCGGTCGGCCGATCCAATAAAATAATATCGCCACTTTCGGTAGAGTCGAGATGTTTATCTGGAGCATCGGGGCCGACGGCGAGGGAGGGGTCGGCCGGGTTTGGCAAGGCTGGAGTCGTCCGGACGGAGTTTGACTTTCTGCTGGTGAAGAATGAAAATGCCCAGAGGACCAGCGTTGCCAGTCCCAAAGCGGGGGCTTCATGGAATGCGTCAGTCCCGTGGCGACGAATGTGCCAGAATGTGGTTCCGGCATGGATGGCGGCTAGACGGGCCTTGGGTTGGTGATGTACGGCCCATCGACGAACCAGATTCGTCGCCTTGTTCACTTCATCCCGGCTGATTGCCGTGTGCGATGTGTTGGTCGAGGTCAAGTGACGCGCGAGGGCGATGATGTCGTGAGTAGGGCATAGCAGGACGACGCGTGCAAAGTGGAGATGGAGGACCGTGGGGTGCTCGAGGCCTCGCATTTGTCCGATTGTACTGTTGGCTTGCCAGTGTAAGACGTCCAAGGCGTCGCAGCTGGAATTCTGCCAGGTTTTGAAGGCGGCGACGGCTGGTAGCCACGGGGAGACTTTGGCAAAGGGGGGAGCGCCGGATTGGCGGGCAGATGACGGCTCCCAGTGGGATAGAGTTCCGGAGTAGTAGCGCTCGACTTCCCACAGTCGGTGGAATAGTCCATGTATCGTCAGGACGCGCACAAACTCGGTATGCTTAATGGAGAATCGTTTGTTGTAGTAAAGCTTCTGCAGCGTATCCATGAGTGTCGTTGGGGACTGCTGGGCTTTGTACAGCTTCTCCCACGTATCTGCATTCTCACATTGCCAAAGTGCATCGGCGCAGGGCAGGGAGAAGGGGACGGATTCCAGGCGGAATGTGGGGGAGGAGTCGCAGTGGGTGACGAGCATGGTATCGACGAGCCAGATTGAAAATGCGAGACGCGTGCACGATTCTTGCACGATCCACGCCCGCCATTTGCTCGTCGAATCGGAAAAGTTCGACTCTACCAGCGATTGTTCAATTTGCCCTCGAAGCCGGTCGAAATGAAAGGTGAGTTTACTTCGAGTCTGCAAGGCATAACGGCGCAGTCTGAGATCCCCACAATATGTTCCTCCGATGATGTTGAGGAGGAGTGCAGCTGCGAGATCCGTTTCCGGTCCTGTGGGAGTGCTGGGGTCTTCTTCGCTCATGAGTAAACATCGCCGGGTGAATTCATGCATCGACACGCTCAGGGAGGCATTGCCGGTGTATTGACTTCCGATCGCGGCCAAGGCCAGGTCGAGCAAATAGTGCCTGTCACTGTTGCTGATTGTGGTCGAGTGTAGAAATGGGAGGTGAGGGACAAACTTTTCGCAGCAGAGCGCGGCCAATGCTTCAAAGGCGGACTTGGAGGGAAGGTCATGATCGGCAAAAGTGACTCCCAGGGGGCTATCCAGACGACAGAGGCGGTTATAAAAGCCCAGGATCCAGCGGTAGTTGTTGTCTGATATGGGATATGACCCCGCAATGTCTGTCGGGATGATGTCGTCGGGAAGGTGGAGGGTGAAGGCTCCGGCCCACGTGGGTTGCGCGGGTGCGGTGCTGGCTTTGCGCTCGACTCGTCGTCTCACCCTGGGTAAGCGTGCAGACTCGCCGTCGACATAGTACTCTCCGCTGCGCGTCGTTTCTGCGGCGACATCCTCTTCCGAAGCCGTGCGCTCTTCTTCACCCTCGGCTTCAACGGGAGGCTGAACCTCTTCAGCGCTGGCATGAGTGAGAGACGCATCTTCAAAAGAGCCTGTTGCTTCGGAGTATGATAAGAATATTGATGATAATGGCGATAGATTGACGTCGGATCCTATTGTCGGCGCCTCCAACCAGTTTGTCTCGTGAAAGAAGCCGGCATCCCAATCGTGATACAGATAACCGTCGACACCAGTCATCCCAGTCATGAAATCCTCCAGGGGAAGCGGAGGGGCCAGTGGCATCGTCAGGTCATTCCTGGCGGGCTCGTTTTGCGGCGTCTGCATCACCTCCGGGGCTCCACTGGAAGGGTAGACGCAGCCAAAGCCGCGCTCATGACACCGCTTGCATGGCAATCCGCCGGAGCATCGAGTCTTGGCGTTGGCGCATAGGGTACAGGCTCGACTGCCCTGTTGGAGAAGGGTTGGCGTGTCGAGATGCGACTGCTCGTGCCGGGTTAGGGCGTCACTAAAATGGTTAGCAAAAACCGTGGTGGAGGCAGGGTTGGCCACGCGACATACCGGCGGGAAAAGGTGCGGGAACACTTGGGGCAGGCGTACGGACGACTGCTGGAGTGCGCAGTGCGTTCATGCCGCTTCAAATGACCCACGCGGCCAAAGGTGCGATGACAAATGCGACACTGGAGGGCGTGTGGAGTGCTTTCGGACGCTGGGATGGGATCGGGGTGGGATTCCATGCCGGAGGATATGCAGTCGCGTGCGTTCGACACACCGGCGGGTGGGCAGGAGTCGAACGAGAGGCTGCTCCGGCGGGTGCAGGGCGAGGTGAAGTCTTTGATGGAAGTGCTTGGCGTGTATGGATCCCGGGAATGCCGCTGCGAACCGGCCTGGCCTAGACCCTTCGGTCGCCGTTGGCGGAGATTGTAGTTTTTTCCCGGAGGGACGCCGCCACGCGAATGGCCCACGCACACGTGATGGGCATTCGCTAGACTCGCCACTGTGATTTGATGGTACAGTACGACGGTTGATTCCGCATGCAGTGATGCCGTGCGCGCCGGCAGAAATGGGTAAACGGCAGCATCGCTCCTTCCCTGACTCTTTGAGATAGCCGCCCCACCACCCTCCCCGCTTCACCCCGACCCCACACCCCAGCCTGGGCTCCGGTGGGTGCACCGCATCCCCTTCACACCTCGTGCTGGTATAACTAGTCCACTGCCGATCTACCACATGGCTCGACATCCAAGCTTCTCCAACTTCCCCAGTCCCCCGCTCTCGAGTCTTCTTTGCCCCATACGCCAGCATGGCACCCAAGACCGTCGCCATCACCAATGATGGCGTGCAGGCCATCAAGGACAGTGTCGACCATGTCGACAACTTGATTGCACAGGCGCGCGCCAGTGATGAAGCCGATCAACGTCTTACCATTCGTGGGGCTCTCGCACACCACAAGACGGCCGTAAGTCGGCGCGAGGACAAATTGGGCAGAGACGTCGATGCTGACTTGAAGTAGGTCTTCTGGTCGATGGTTCTGTCGCTCTCCCTCGTAATGGAAGGATACGATCTCGTCATTATCAACTCCTTCTACGGCCAAGAGCAATTCCAACGCCGTTTCGGAACTCCCGTCCCCTCCAAGCCTGGCACGTACGGCATCACCCCGTCGTGGCAATCCGGTCTTTCCAACTCGGCCCTGGTCGGCCAGCTCACCGGTCTGTTGATCAACACATGGGCACAAGATCGCTTTGGTTGCCGCAAGACCATGATGTTCTTCATGGTTTGGATGGTCTGCGCAATCTTCATCCCCTTCTTTTCGCCCTCCCTCGGCGTCTTGGCTTTCGGTGAAGTCATGTGCGGTATTCCATGGGGTGTCTTCCAGGTTGGTGTCCTCTCTGCATCATCAACCGCAACCACTGACCAGGCTGTATAGACCCTCTCCACCACCTACGCCTCCGAAGTCGTGCCTACCATCCTGCGCCCGTACGCCACCTCCTGGGTGTGCATGTGCTGGGGCTTGGGAATCTTGATTTCGTCGGGTGTCGTTCGTGGTGTGGCCGAGATTGATGGCAACCTTGCGTGGCGCCTCCCCTTTGCGCTGCAGTGGGTCTGGCCCGTCCCTCTCTTCATCGCCGCCTACTTTGCGCCTGAATCTCCTTGGAATGCCGTCCGCCGCGAGAAACCTGACGAGGCACGCCAAAGCTTGAACCGTCTGCTCCCAGATGGCGAAGATAAGCCCCAGAGGGTCGAGGCAAGCCTCGCATACATCCAGTACACCACAGAACTCGAAAAAGCAGAGACAGCCGGAGCCACCTTCGCTGACTGTTTCCGCGGGACCAATTTGCGTCGCACGGAGATTAATTGCGTTGTTTGGGCCGCCCAGATCTTGTGCGGCAACGCCTTGCTCGGATTTTCGGTCGAATTCCTCGAGGCGGCCGGTTTCAGTGCCACCAGGGCCGACGACGTCAACATTGCCCTCTCCGCCTGCTACATCATCGGAGGAGTCGTCTGCTGGTTCCTCATGCCTCATTTCGGTCGGGCCACCATCTACATTGCTGGTTGTTCGATCATGTTCATGTTCCTCATCGTTATTGGTGGATTGGGCTTCGCCGATTCTGCCAGCGCAAAGACGGCCATTGCGATCTTGTTTGTCATTACGACACTCGTCAATATGATTACAACCGGACCCGCATGCTATCCCATCGTCGCCGAAACCCCATCTGGACGACTCCGATACAAGACGGTGACCATTGGACGCTTCGTCTACAACCTGACGGGCATCTTCTCCAACTCCGTCACCCCTCGCATGGTGTCTCCTCTGGGATGGAACTGGGGAGCCAAGGCCGCCCTCTTCTACGCCGGTACTGATCTCCTTTGCATCATCTGGTGCTGGTTCCGCCTTCCCGAGACCAAAGACCGACCGTTTGGCGAGATTGACATTTTGTTCGACAATAAAGTCCCCGCCCGTGCCTTTAAATACACCTCTGTCGTCCAATTCGAAGGGCTTGGATCCGAGACTGGCAGCTTGTCGTCTGGAAAGGATGACAAGACGGCGGCTATTCACAATGTTGAGAAGATTGATTTGTAAAGGGGGGATTTTATGCTGGGGGGGAGTGAAGGAGGGTGATGTGCGCAGTGTTCCGGGGGTGTCTATACTGTTTACACTGCCATGTTGCTCAATATCAGGCACGTAGAGAATTGCAAATTGCACTCCACCATGTTATAGCCTGAACCACGGAGTTGAATCCGCGAGGAGCAGATTGCCACGCCGGCGAACCCACCACCGCGATAGTCCGTGCGGTGGTGCGCACACCCACACTTGCGGGCCGGAGGGGCTGCCACTTCATCCGGTATCGCGCAGACATACATAGAGGGCGAATCGACGGGTGGAAAAAAAGTATTGCAGAGTGCAGTATCGTGGAACAATCTTTTTCGACGCTTCTTCAACACAGCAGCCATGGCGTACCCTCAAACCTCCTTCGTCAACACGCACATCCACCCGGAATGCCTCATCGGGAGACGGAGAGAAGTGGTAATGGCCCACACCCTTCGATACCAACTTGATGTGCTCAAGCAGACGGGTCGCTACGACGCATTCAAGCTGAAATGGCATCCCGTGTATGATGAAGAGCCTCTGGTCTGGCCCATTCCCAACCATCTCTTCTGGGACTCGGATGTGGGCAAATGGATTGAAGGCGCTTGCTATTTCTTGCGCCAGCACCCCATGCCCGACATTGATGCCGCCGTTCAGGAGTTGGTGGAGATGATTGAGAAAGCTCAGCAGCCCGATGGCTACCTCAATATTCACTACACCGTCGTTGCTCCGGGGAAGCGATTTACCAATGTGAAGGACATGCATGAAATGTATGGTTTCTGCGGCTTTTATTTCATCGCAAGCTGACACAAAACAGGTACAATGCTGGACACTTGATCGAGGCAGCCCTGGCTCACGAAGGAGTGTACAAAAACGGCAAGCTTCTCAACGTCATGCTCAAGTACGTCGATTTGATCGACAAAACCTTTGGCCCCGGCGAAGGCCAATTGCATGGATATCCCGGCCATCCCGAAATCGAGCTGTCACTTATGCGCCTCTACGACCACACTCACGATCCCAAGCATCTCGCTCTCGCACGCTATTTTCTGACGGAACGCGGCAATCCCACCGGCATGGAAGGCATGCATTACTACGAATGGGAAGCGAAGAAGCGCGGCGATGATCCCGCCTTCAAGCCGGCATTCTATCCCGACACTCGAGCGCATTGGTATCATCAAGCTCACGAACCGATCGTTTCTCAACCAACCATTGAAGGCCACTCCGTCCGAGCTACGTATCTCTTTGCTGCCTACACGGATATGCTGAGAGTTGCATCGAAGGATGACATCACCCCCAAGCATGGTGCTGCGATGTATCGATTGTGGCACAATATGGTGGACCGTAAGATGTATGTTACTGGTGGCATTGGGGCTGTCCGGCAGTGGGAAGGCTTTGGCGCCGAGTACTTTCTCCCGCAGAGCCTTGACGATGGTGGATGCTATTCCGAAACGTGTGCCGCCATTGGAGTGATGATGTGGGCGTCCCAAATGCTGAAGGTAAGCATATCTCCGCGTCTGACCGTCTCGCAGAGGCTAACGAGCTGCCAGCTGCAACAAGAAGCGAATCAGCTGGATGGGAAGATTGCCGACGTGATGGAGTTGTGTCTTTACAATTCCGTGCTCACTTCCATGTCCGCCAACGGGAAGGAGTTTACGTATCACAATCAGCTGGCCTCGTCCCATAATGACGTCGACAAGCGGTGCGCCTGGTTTACTGTTGCATGCTGCCCGCCGAATATCATGAGGCTGCTCGGCCAGATTGGAGGCTACGTCTGGGGTTCCGAAAACCACAACACTAGCTCCCCAAGCATTGCTGTCCACTTATTTGTTTCCAGCACACACGAGACTTTAATCGGCAACGAGAAGACCACCATTTCACAAACGACTCAATGGCCATGGGAGGACACGGTTCAATTTTCCATCGAGGGCTCGAAGAACTTTGACTTGAAGATTCGCATTCCCGGCTGGGCGACGCAGCACGTGTTACAGCCGGAGTGCCGGGAGGCGGTCTTGCAGAGCGGGTATTTGACAATCCCCGCCGCATGGCTCGCATCGAACCCCAAGTTCTCCCTCAAGATTCCCATGAAGCCGCGATGGGTGGCTCCTCCCCTTCAAACCGGCCAGGATGTCGTTGCACTGGCCAGAGGCTCGGTGATTTACTGCGTGGAAGACTTTGATAACGAATGGGTGGAGGATCATTTCAAGGCGAGATCGTACGCTGTGTAATGGAAGACTTTTCGCTGACTTGACCTCCAGACAACATTTATCGACACCATAGCACCGGTGGAGGTGCATAATACCACGAAATCATCCACTGGAGAGACCTGGCCTGCTCTGGTATTGAAGGACGGGTGTCGGGTTCTTTCGAAGCAGCTGGAGGATGGGTCGCCCTTTACAAACTACTCGACCGTTCGAGATCAGCTCCGGGGCGCAAAGGCGATTCCCGCGCTGAAATTCGTCCCCTACAGTCTACGATCGAATCGGGGAGGAAAGGGACATATGCGGGTGTGTTTGCGAAAGCAGCCGCGAGAAGCTGCACACACACAACTCCAGAATGGTCATGCGTCTTAGGCAAAGTTATGTAGATTGAATAGAGTAGATGTATTGTAGCAAACATGAGAACGAGGCGACGTCCCCTGCTCCTCTGTCCGCAATCGACAAAGGCCGCCGCTGAATTCGATCCCGAAAAGCTGCGGGGAGTGGCCATTGCCTCCATCACGAACCCTTCTTCCTACGAACCCCCAAGCGTGCCAGTCGAGCCTATCGATGCACCTCTCACGATAGGCGGATTTGAAAGTGGAGGTCGGATTTCGAGCGGATTGCTATCCTCCGCCAAGCTTGTGCCCGGAGTTCCACCCATCTTGACGGTGGACTCGAAGCAGGAGGTGGAACAGGCAAAGCGTGATTGTTGTTGACTTCTTTTCCAGCACAAATGAATCGCATCATAACCATCCTTTTAGCGGGGTTCGAAACGTCGCTTCCCATTGGAACGATTTCAATTGCTGTACTCGCCATCTTCCTATCATACTTCGTATGGCATCAGTACGGGTGTCCGCGCATCTCATGCATCAACTCGTATGCTGGGGATTGGTCACGAAAACGCGCAAGACAGGCCTTTCTTGAACGCGGACAGCAACTTCTGGCAGAGGGGGCGAAGAGATATGGCGATGAGCCCTTCCGGATCATCACTACGCTTGGGGAGAGGATTATCCTCCCAAAGTCATGTATCCATTGGGTGGAGGGACATTCAGATCTTGACCATCAAGCGCAGGTGGCGGAGGTCCGTTTGGCATTCTTCCAATATGCCCTTCACAACTAATGGAGATTGGCAGGAGTTCATGGGCGCCTATCCCGGCTTCGAGGGGATCGGAGCGTTCAATGATCCAAATCGATTTGTGATTGATCTCGTCAAGAAGAAGATGTCGTCGTTGACCGCGCCCATGTTGTCGACCTTTTATGAAGAGGCGATTGCCGTGCTGGACGAGGAATTCGGCGATTCCAATGGTATGTTCAAGGCAACGAGCAGCTTCACCAGCTAACGCATTCATTGGCAGAGTTTCGTCGGATCGATTGGGCGGTCATTTGCTCACGACTGACATCTCGCATATCTGCGGCAATCTTCGCCGGGGGGATCCTTGCCAAAGATCCGCGATGGCAGAATGTGACACAAACGTATACCTCCAACCTCTTTCAAGCGTGCCGGGCACTGCGTGCATGGCCCGCGCCGTTACGCCCGATAGTCGTGTGGTACTTGAAGGAGTGCAAGGTCTGCCGCGACCAGATTGCAGAAGCACGAAAGATCTTGGCGGAGCACCAGTTTGGCACGGCCGAGCGTGACACCGCCTTTACCTGGATGGATCCGCGTGCTGATCCTGTGATTGTCCAGCTTGCACTGGCGGCGGGTGCCCTTCACACCACGTCACAGCTCCTGAATCAGGCTCTCCTGGACCTTGCGTATGCCGCAAGCGATGGTCAGTCCGTGGTGGATCAGCTCCAAAAGGAATTCGGTACATGCTTGGAAGCATCGGGAGGCAAGATTCTACCCTCAACGCTTCCGAAGATGAACATTATGGAGGCTTGCATCAAGGAGACTCAGCGATTGAAACCTCAGACACTTACAAACCTTGACCGGCTGGCCTTGAAAGCGGTGGTGCTTCCCAATGGTGTCCGGGTTCCCAAAGGAACGATGATATCTGTCAATCAGGCGACCATGTGGGATGCTGACACCTGGGGAGAAGATGCCCTGGTGTGGGATCCAATGAGGTGGTTTGAGCCTGGCACGACGGAGCTCGGTCGGGAGAGATTGGTCAACAGCAGTGACAGGCATTTTGCGTTTGGCAAAGGTCGCTTCATCTGTCCCGGTCGACTTCTAGTCAATGGGGAGCTCAAAGTTGCTCTGGGGGTGATATTAGACGGATGGGAGGTTAGATTATGCAAGGAAGATTATGAAGAGGCGAAGAAGAAAGGCAGGGGGAGGGTAGACTGGGTTCCGTTTGGGTTTGAAATGCTGGCAGATGGAAGGGCAGGTGTCGAAGTGAGGAGGAGGTGAATCAGTCAATCATTGCATAAACTAAGCCAACGTGCATTCCCATCCTCAGTTGCCTCCCACCACATCGTCCACCGGCTGCTTGCGCGCGTCGGCAACGGCATTCTTGATGGCGTCCCTCAAGTTGCGGAGAATCTGCGTCATCCTCTCCTCGCCCGTCATGAAAAGTTGAAGGAGAACCAGTGCGGCTGCCGTGAGGACCACCAATGTCTGCATGCTCCAGAGTTTGATGTACAGCTTGACAAGACGCCATCGGCTGGCGCGGTCAAAGGATCGCCAGGCTTGCTTGAAGAGGGGACGAGCGCTGCCGCGAGCGGTGACGTCAATGTCTCCAACGACTGCGAGCTTGTCAAAGGGTACAATGGTAGTCTGGTCCTCGGATAGCAGCACGGCCTCGATGCGGGTCAGGGTGACGGATGCAGGGAGGACCAGGGCGATTGCCACGAAGGCATAGGTTGCTGGAACGGCGAGATGGCGGAGGGCGAGGACCATGATTGCGCGGGGGCAGCCGGATTGCAAGACCTCTGCGTTGTGCGAGGCAGAGTCGGGGCCGTACAGGCGGAGGGCGAACGCGACGCCGAGAGGAAGGGCAGCGCTGGCTTGCTCCGCCAAAGCGTACACCGTGGCGGGCAGTAAGAGGGTTCGAAAGTCTGTCGACCGACCTCCACGAGGAAACCATGGCTGCCTGGTAGTGGAGATCATGGCGTGGGTCCACGACATGTGCAAGCGGCAGAGGAGCAGCGAGACGAAGGTGGAGACCATCATTGCACCGAGCAGCCCCAGGCCGAGGAGGTGGGTCAAGGCGTTGGACACGACGCTGTGGCTGCTGTAGTACAAGATGGCGTACCATGCGCCGCGCCACCTGCCACCAAATCCCCCAACTTGTCGAAGTCGTCGGCGTGTGCGGAGAATGCTGGCGGTGATGACTGTAGGTTTGTTCTCTAGCGTCTCCGGGACGGCGGGCTCGTCGGCAGGTATCAACTCCACTTCGTCGGTGTACGGTGGGGGAGCCTTGGAGTCGATGAGGGTGGTGGATGGCGACTCGATCATGGCCAGAGAGGACATGAGTTGGCCTACGGTGTAGTCGAGCTGGTGGGGTTAGCCGGGGTGTTTCGACTGGGGACGATTGTTTGTACTCACCGAAATCATGATCAAGACTGCGACCATGAACGTGCAGAAGAACAGGGCGGCCTCTGGGGGCATGCCGGGCTGTCCAGGCTCGAGAGAGTCATCGCGTTTGGAGAGAGCATGTTCCGCCCCGCGACGGAGGATGTCGAGATGGAGAGACATGGTGTAGACGAGGTGATTCGGGGGATGAGATGATGAGAAGAGGAGAGGGAGACGAGGGAGAGGAGGAGGGATAAAGTAAGGAGGGGAGGATTGTGGTTGCCTGGTGCTCAGCCGGCACGGCATCATCGCTGCATCCGCCCCGTCTTTACGAAGCTGCGCCACAAAGGATTTAGGCAGAAACAATGAACTTCGGGCGGAATGTCTTAAGGTCACGTGACTCTCAACCTCCTTCCATTTGAACATTCATCTGCCATCAACCAACCAGAGTCATGGCCGTCCAGGGCGCGTTCAAGGAGGAAACACCTTTGAACGCTTCTTGATGATTCAAATCACTGCCATCTCACACCCCTCCCGCCGGAACTCGGCAAAATCTATGTGAGTGGCGATTGCCGAGGGCACCAGACGACGTCTTTATATACTCTGCTCTGGCATCGATCACGTTTATTGACAGTCACAAATCACAATGTCTCCTTTCAATGGGCACCAGGAGAATGGCACAGCTCACGCCAACGGAGTCAATCCATTCAACATCCCACTCAACCCCGACTACGCCTTTACTCCTCGAAAGCTCCGTGTCGTCACCATCGGCGCGGGATTCTCCGGCCTCATGATTGCCCACAAGTTCCAACATCGATTCCCCGAGATGCAGGAGTATGTCGAACATGTCATTTTCGAACGAAACCACGACATTGGAGGCACCTGGCTCGCAAATACCTATCCGGGAGTTCAGTGTGACGTTCCCAGCCACATCTATGCATTTCCGTTTGATCCAAACCCGGATTGGTCACGATTTTATGCCAGCGGTGGCGAGATCCAAGAATACATCAAGCGTACGACGCGGAAGTGGAACTTGGATCGAGACGTGAGGCTGAATCACGAGGTTGTCGAAGCACGGTGGATGGAGGAGGATGGCCACTGGCGACTGACAGTGCAGCATAACGGGCAGCAGGAAGTTCACTATGCGGATGTACTTTTGAGCGGCCAAGGCGTGCTTGTGTGAGTACCCTTTCCCCATCACGCACCTCCTCTAACACTGTGAAGACACTACAAATGGCCAACAATCCCGGGCCTCGACTCCTTCAAAGGCCACATGACTCACTCTGCGAATTGGGAACACGACTACGATTATAGCAATAAGCGGATAGCTGTTATTGGCAATGGCTCATCCGGAATTCAGATTGTCCCTAAAATGCAGAAATTGCCCGGCACCACCGTCACCAACTTCATCCGCGGGCCCACCTGGGTCTACTACCGAGTCCCGCCTTCAAAGCATCTGGGCCGGGAGACAGACGACCCCAATCCTGCTTACACGGAGGAGGAGAAGCGGAATTGGCGAGAAAATCCCGAAGCGCTAAAGCAATACCGAAAAGGCATGATTCACCGGACGAACAAAGCCTTTTCAATGTTTGTCAAGGGTTCAAAAGGAGCCGACGATGCCATGGCGTTCGCAGCAGAGCAAATGGGCGCCAAACTCGGCCACGATTCCGACCTCTGCCGCATGCTGATTCCCGACTGGGAGGTGGGATGTCGTCGAATTACGCCCGGCCCCGGCTATCTCGAATCCTTTACGCAGCCAAATTGCCACGTCACCAACAGTCGAATCACTCGGATTTCGGAAAATGCTGTCCACACGGAGGATGGCAAGGCCCATGAAGTAGATGTGGTAGTATGTGCGACGGGCTTTGATGTATCACATCGCCCGCACTACCCCATCATTGGCCGGAACGGTGTCAGCCTGGCCGATGCCTGGAGCGTGGAACCCGAGTCGTACATGTCCGTTGCCGCCGGGGATATGCCCAACATGTTCATCATGATGGGACCGAATGCTGTCGTGGGCCATGGCTCGCTGATGGAGGCGTTGAACTGGACGGCGGATTACTTTTGCATGTGGATTCGAAAGATTGCCACGGAAGATATCAAATCCATCGCCCCGAAGCGATCCGCGGTGGAGGCTTTTGTACGGTACGGCGATGCCATTCACGAGAAGCTCGTCTGGACAGGCAATTGTGTGAGTTGGTATAAAAATGGGAGGAAAGATGGGCGGGTTACGGCGTTGTTTGGCGGGAGTGCGGTGTTGTACCGACGACTGATTGAGAAGATCCGGGCGGAAGACTTTGACATTGAGTATCGCTCGGCGAATCCGTTCAAATTCTTGGGCAACGGCTTTACTGCGGAGGAGTTTGATGATGTGAGCGATTTGTCATGGTATATCGAGCATTAAATAAAGAATCAGCTCAAATCAGATCAGATCAAATTCCTCGTCGCCCTCCACATTGCCCATGGCGTCTCTCGTTGCGCCACGCGCTTCCAGTCCTTTGTTTCGTTGCTTGAAGTGTCGACAACAGTGATCAGACCCCCCATGGAAAAGGAGCCACCACAGCACGCAAACAAATCCCCATAGGCAAAGCCAATCTTCATTTCGATGAGTGGAATCTTCCTCTCGACATCCTGCGTGGGAACATCGGCGTACAACAAGCTCATGTGCGGGCGGTATTCGTCTTTTGCCCAGGCTTGCGCTTGCTCCGCCGAGACTGAATGAGTCTGCTGTCGGCAGGAGGCTGCCAGTTTCTTCAGATTCTCATTTTCCTTGACGGATATGTTCATCTTGCGGAACTTTGGATCCTCTGCGGTGACCGTGTCGAGCTCGATGAGGACCTCATGATGTTGCGGTTTGTAGTCCTCTCCGAACTGCAACGAGTCCAGCCATTCTTGGGGCGACTTGCCACCCAGGTCGACGTCTGAAGTCAGCGTGACATGCGGAGGGAATGCCTGGTAGTCTTTTTCGGCCAGGAACTGACGGGGCACGGTGTCGTTGATCAGTTCTTGGGTGGTTTTGGTGAACGGGCTGTCGTCGTACGGCACGAGCCAGAGGGAGTAAGGCATGCTGGGAGTGAGAGTGTGTGGATGGCTTCGAGAGTGTGGAATGCGATGATGATGATGATTGGAGGTGCAGATGGCGGTGGAGATGACGACCCCGGACGTGCGGGGCAGCGCTAACCGTTTTTGGAACCCCGCCACTTCACCTCCGCTCTTCCGTGATTGCAGCCTCTGGCACAATCATGAATGAGGAACGGTCTGTCCGGTCGTTTGTCTTTGACTGGACCCTCGTCTTCATCGTTTCTGCCATATCCTTGGCTTGTATTCGATTCCCTCCTGACTCGCACTACTTTTCACTGCTCGATCTTTCCATCTCTCACGCTCACCGCGAGCAGGTCAAAGTCCGGCTGTGGCTGTTCATCTTGCTTACCGTCGTTGCGCCGATTCTGATCATCACGACTGTTTCATTCCGGCAGTCTCGAGTCAGAGCGCACACGCTCAACAATGGCCTCTTGGGGCTGGGAATCAGCCTTGGAACTGCCACGGTGGTGTTGAATATTAAGAATCTCGCCGGGAAGCCTCGCCCTGACTTTCTCGACATTTGCCAGCCTGACCTGAGCACGATCGAGGCACATACCGTTGGCGGGTTCGGACAGACCTTGTCACCTCTATGGGTCATGGTCGAGCGTGGGATCTGCCAACAAGGAGATCAAGCCTTGCTCAATGATGCATTTAGATCGTTTCCGAGCGGCTACGCCACAGGTAAGGCTGCAGCGAAAGGCATCCGGCTCAGCATTGACTTTTCACAGTCGCGTTTGCTGGCCTCTGGTATCTTTCACTCTGGCTTTGTGAGCAATTCGGCCTTTATCCTTTTGTGTCAACTGCTGGACCGGAACCACTCGAGATTGGCGAAAGCTCAGAGCCATTGCTTTCCGAAAGCGAGATGAGACGACCTGCTTCACGACAACTTCCACTGTACTACCTCTTCCTACCCTACCTGCCGTTGGGCGTTGCAATCTTCATCGCTGGAACTCGCTTCTTTGACTTTCGAAATCACGGGATTGACGTTGTCGCCGGCTCTGCAGCGGGAATGGCAGTTGGCCATGTAGGGTGGAAATGGCGTTTACCAAAGTAGATACCTCGCCTTTGTCATCCCACCGTCAAGAGCTGTTCCATGAATCCACCAATCTGCAGCGATGTATCCACCAGATGCACTTCGAGCTGGAAAAAAGTCAGTATTGCTGTCTGCAGCGACTTAATGGCGACTCACAATCCAATGCCTCTTCAATCCATTCTTATCCACCTGCTCCATGGACCCTTTGTTGCCCTCGGTGATGTAAAAGGTGATTTTGTCCTGCTCAGGTTAGTAGACGTGGCGTTGTCGTGCGTGATAATCTCACATTCGGGATACGCTCGTGTGGGAAATTTCCCACGAGATGTCCGGAATGTGGACCTCCAAACTCGTAGCCCGCCTTTTTGGCCTCTTCACAAACGATGGCGTAGAGCTCCTCGCCAGTCATGTCGGGGCGCTGATCGAATTGCGCCTTTGTCGTGTTCCATACGGGTTCCAAAGAATCGCGCAGCTTGAGCTTCACCGGGTCATTGCCTGAGATCTGAAATCAGCTCGTGCTTGTCTCGCTTGGAGTCTATTCTTACCCAAGACAAAGGTCCGTCCAAAATCAGCCTCCCATTTCTCGAATACAGGCCCGAGATCAACAAACATGATGTCGTCCTCCTCAATCATGCGGTCTGGTGTAATGTGAGCATTTCGTTGCCGGCAGAAGGACGGAGTACCCACCTGGAGGATCTTCGGCATAAGGCTTCAGCGTATTCGGACCACTTCGAATCACCCGTTTATGCCAATGAGTCCGGACATCGTGTCGCTTGGCACCCAAATCGAGAATCTCCTGGTTGATGGTGGATTCCAGGACGCCAGGGCGGATAAGAGTCCGCTCAATCTCTTCAAACATCGAGGCCGCTTTGTCTTGCGCCTCCAAGAGGTACGTAGCACGCTCTTTTTCTTCCGTGCTCGACATGTTGGTGGTGCGGAGGATGTTGCTTATGTGTAAGAGTGGATGCAAGTGGAGGTCGAGATGTGAACAGCCGCGGCCTTGGCACGACTTCAGCCTTTGACTACGACAATGCTGCGACTCTTCTCGCGTGAGAGGGCCATGCCGCTGGTTACCGAGAGGATTGCATTGGTCGATCTTCGAGTTGCAGTCCTTCAGCCTCACACTCGTTCCCTGCATCAGTCAGCCGTCGCTGAAGTGGCCGCGAAGTTAAGGGCCTAAGTCCGCAAACACCGAAGCGGTTGATTCGAAGATATTGCATATAAGGACCGTTCATTGCTCCGATCAGCATTAGAAATCCCGTCAAGATGCTCCCACCAACCCATAAAGCGCTTGTACAAGAAGTTTACGCAGAGCCGCTGGTGGTCAAAGAAATCGCAACGCCTCAGCCAGACCCCGGCTCCGTCGTCATCAAAATCATCGCAGTACCCATCATTAGCTACGCGCGAGAAGTCTACAATGGGTGGGTGTGACAGTTCAGAGCGGGTGAATGACATCTAATGATTCATCAAGCAATCGAAAGTACTCGTATCCAACTCCTCTGGTCGTAGGCACCAGCGCAATTGGCAGGGTTGCTGCGGTGGGAGTCGACACTGTGAAACTCAAGGAAGGAGATTTGGTCTATACTGACTGCGTTGTTCGTGGGAGGGACGATGAAGAAGGTGAGTTTGTTTGACGGCGTGGACTATTCCCGCTGACTGATGACAGCGATAATCTTGACGGGATTGGTATGCTGACAATGTCCGCCTGAAACAATCCACACTGACCTCAACAGGCCGACGGATCGACAGATGGCAGCCGTAAGCTGTTTGCTCAAGCTTGGAAGGATTCTACTTGTGCAGAATACGCTCGAGTTCCACTGGAGAACACCTTTGCGTTGGATGAGGCAAGACTTTGCGGATCTCCCGACACTGGCGGCCTGGGCTATTCCCGGGAGCAGCTCTGCTGGATTCTTCAGGCATTGGTTCCGTATGGAGGGCTGAGGAGTATCGATCTACAAGCAGGGGAGACGATTTTGATCGCTCCATCGACGGGCGGGTTTGGATCTGCTGCCGTTGTTGTCGCCTTGGCCATGGGCGCGAGGGTTGTTGCTGCCGGAAGAAATGCAGAGGCACTGGCAAAGACCAAGGCGCTGAATGACAGAGTCGAAACGGTGCAAATCACAGGCGATGTAGAGGAAGAAGTCGCGGCAATCAAAAAAGCGGCCAGAGGCAATATCGATGCCTTTCTCGATATTTCCCCCCCGGAGGCACAGCATTCGACTCACCTGAAAGCGGGCATTATGAGTCTGCGGCAGGCTGGGAGAGTGAGCTTGATGGGCGGGCTATTGGAGGACGTGCCTTTTCCCCACCGCTTCATCATGAGGAGAAACATTACGCTCAAGGGGCAGTGGATGTATTCCCGAGAGGAAATCCTGGCTTTCCTACGCTTGGTGACGAGCGGTGTGTTGAATTTCCGGGATATCGTCAAGGTGCAGGGCAAGTTTGCGCTGGAAGCTTGGGGAAAGGCATTTGACGTTGCGTGGGAGTCTGGCCGTCTCGGTGAGCTGGTAGTGCTGACGCCGTGAGTGAGATCATTCAGCTCGGCCGAGTCATGCGAGAGCTTCTGCTTGGAAGAGGTAGAAGGTGTTTCCACATTCAGCCATGCCGAGTACTGTAGCCGTCCATCTATACGACCAAACTCTCCTGCGCGATAGAATGCACGCTCCACGTGCCGCCCCACTGCAACGTTACATCTCACATATAGACGGCGGTAAAGTTAAATGAACGCCATGGGATCGGGGATAAAAGGTGCTGTTGCCTGCCGATAGTGCTGACAATGACCTTGATATAAACCAGAGCAGAGTCCATTGATTTGATTGCATCAATCTCCTCGCGACAAAATGGCCCGAAATCTACTGATCTCGTCCCTCGCCCTCTGCAGCCTTGTGCATGGCGCCTCGTTCAACATCCCCGCGCGGCATGAGTCTGGCCGCCATCCAGTCGGCAAGAGGTCGACTGCCACCGATCCCGCTGGTTTAGACAGTGCGTTATATTGGTACAGCAGCTTTTCCGTCGGTGATTCCGGACCGCTTTCCCTCCTGGTGGACACTGGCTCGAGCGACATTTTGATCGACCCTGGGTATTACAAACCATCGACCAACGTCAAGCCATACATCACCAAGAAGTATGCGATTGAATACGAGGGCGTCACCAAAGCGGGTGAAGGCTTCGAGTTGATCAATGGCACCGCTTTATTGGATAATGTGACGGTGGGCGGCTTGACGGTCAAGCATCAGGCTCTTGCGAACATTACCGCATACAAATTCTTCGACCTTGACGGAGCACAGGCACCTCATCGGGCACTCGCAAGAGATGGAATTATCGGATTTGGCAGTCAGAACGGCAGCACTTTTACGCCTCAGGCTGAGTCGTGGTTCTACAATCTGTGCGCGCAAAAGTCTGTCGATGAATGTCGATTTGGTCTGGCCTTTGGTGAGTGTCTTTGCGGTTCTGAATAGCTTTGTTTGCTGATGTTTGGTTAGGGACGAATCGCACCGGACAGGTCGTGCTGGGAAAGTTTGACAGCGCGCTGACCGAGGGCACTGTTGTTCCGGTGAAGCAAGTCCCGTCCGATGGAATTCAGTACCTCACGACGGGGGATGTGACTCTGGACAACAAGATTGTCTCCAAGAATCAGACCTTTGTCATGGACGTCGGCACCAACAATATTCAAGGGTATGAAGTTTGACGAGTTTGGCAGAGACAAGGCTGACATCGAAGCAGCCCCATTGGACCTAGCCAACATATATTCGATCTACTCGGATATGCCACCCAGTTGTCGACCTCCAACCAAACGGGAACAGTAAACAAAGTTGTGAATGCGTCATTTCCATGCGCAAAGCCTCCAGTACTTGGCTGTGCGTCTCGCCATCCCCGATCGCCGATGCACCGCTGACTTGCTTACAGTCAGCTTCCCCGCCGAATCTCAGCTGAAAAAGGGCGAAAAGGCCACCATCTTTAATGTTTCGCCGACAGTGTGGGACACTGAGCCGGTGGGCCATGGCAACTGCACTTCCGTTCTCGTCGGGACCAACTTTCTTACCAACGAATCGGCGCCGATCCCCACGATGTGGCTGCTGGGGGCGGCCTTTTTCGCCGGACATTACATTGATTTTGACATTGCTAGTTCGACGGTGTCGTATGCTAATTTGAAGAACCCTGCCACGGGGATGTAGGGAGATGAGATTTGAACGAGGGGTTGTTGTAGAGTGATAGACACGTAGAGCTTCCTCAGTGACGGCTTTGACCACGCCTCAAAGCTTCCAACTCGGCTTCGAGGGCACCGCCGCTTTGGTATGCTCGCAGGTCGCTACAATCACCCCATCCTCCGCACGTTTCAGCAACCCACGCGTGTACGCAAGATTCTTTCCCAGTGAAATGACTTCTGCCTCGAGTTCCTAGCATGTCTTAGTATCAGAATAACGGCGCTGTCAGTCGACCTTACCAGTTCCATTCCCTCTGGCGCCGGGCGGAGATAATTGACAATCAGTGTTCGACTCACTCCGGCATTGAGCCAGAAATCCTTCTTTCCCAAGGCCATCACCGGCAAGCTGGTGCAAAGATCGAAAATCATGGACGACGCCCCGCCGTGCAAATTCCCCGTGGCATTGCAGTAGAACCTCGCCACCTTGAACGTAAACACTGCCTTTGCCGACTTTGGCGAGAGGATGTCGATTGATTTGAGCTTGCACTCCCTCACAAACTGCGAGGTCAGTCGTTGTTGACCGGGTGGTTCGCCGAATGCCAGTAGCGATTCGATGCGGTCCCGGGGAGAAAGGCTCTCGAAATGCTCCGCGGAAAACTTGGCTTGTCGCTCCTGGGCGGGCATGTTGTGCTGATATCGCGATGGGTTGTCTCTTGCTTGCCAATGCGATGCATGAGGTTGAACAAGACCCGACTGCCCGGCACCGGCTAACCAGACGCGTGCGGCCTCGGCGGAAAGCCAAAAACTCTAAATCAATCTCGATGTGCCAGGCATGCGGACTGTCTTTGATGATGGTCTTAGACGAATGTTGATGGCAGTGAGGTAAGAGATGCTTGATGATACTGCCAGGAATGCGGTTCTGGGCTTCACATCCAAAGTTGCACGCCTCTCGGCGCACAACGCAAACAATCACGGCCGCCGATTCCGGCTGCACTACCCGGCTAGGCATGCGCGTCAATTGGAGCGTAGGGCGGATGAATGTGGGTCAATGGACGGAAAGGGCAGGCCCAGTCATCTCGATGAGACGTACAAGAGGCAGGCCAGGCGCTCGTTCAATGTCACGTCCTCCATCTCGACGAACTGCATTCATTTGGCACCGCATTCCGCTGACTTGCTGGTAACTCATGACTACTCTCTTTGAGTCCGCATTCCTCTCATTTCATGCAAGCGGCATAGTATGACTGCAGACGAACACGATGAGGATCAAGCAAGTCTTTCCACGCTGAGCGCACGACGCCGGGAGAGTGCGCCCGCTGCCTCACCCAATCTCGAGAAGCGGAGTGATAGTCACAATGGCTTCCTCGCTGCTCCACGGCCCTCGGCTCCAATTCGCCCCATGTCCCCCGACACCCTCTCCATCTTTTCGCTGGATGAGTTTGAACAGCTCAGCCGCACGTTTTCTGGGAATCCTTCCGGCACAGCATCTGTCCCGCCGCCGCCGTCGAAACCCCGACCCGGTCTGAGGGGTAAACTCGATCGCTTCTGGATTCGAAATAAGGGATTGGGGTACATGCTCTTTGGGCAGGTTTTTGGCGTGCTGATGAATGTACGTTGCATCATTCGTCGTGCAATGAATATGCTGACACCCTCCAGGTCACCGTCCGCTATCTCGAGATTGAAGGCAACAAAGGCAAAGGCCTCCACCCATTTCAAATCCTCTTTGCTCGAATGAGCATCACATTCTTCCTGGCCACCGCGTACATGTGGTACGCAAAGACGCCTTACTTTCCATTTGGAATGCCCGAGGTGCGCTGGCTTCTCATAGCTCGAGGGCTCGCAGGGTTTTGGGGCATTTGGGGGATGTAGTGAGTTGGAGGAATTCCTTGAGACTGAGCTCGCTGACCCTTTTAGCTACTCCATCTTGTACCTACCCATAGCCGATGCCACGGCCATTACATACCTGAGTCCTTCACTCGCATGCTACGCCTGTGCCATTCTCTTAAAAGAGCCATTTACTCGAAAGGAACAGCTTGCCGGGTTGATTTCCTTGTGTGGCGTCGTGCTCATTGCCCGCCCGACAACACTCTTCGCCGGCCTCAGTGACAGTCCAGCGGGATTATCAGGAGACAATGTATCCACGAATAGTACCGCGCCGGCAGTATCGGATGCAAGCAGCTACGCCGACATCACCACCATCCAGCGCCTGACCGCAGTCGGAGTGGCACTCTTGGGCGTCATTGGTAGTGCCGCCGTCTACACCGTCCTTCGATGGGTGGGACAGCGAGCTCATCCTTTGATTACCGTCAATTACTTTGCTGCCTGGTGTTTCTTTGTCAGCTCCGTCGCCATGTCGGTCCTTCCGGAAGTCGGCTGGCTGCTTCCCGCAGATTTGAAAGAATGGGGCTATCTGTTGTTCTTGGGCGTGTGCGGGTTCATCATGGTGGGTTTTGTGATCATCACTGTCGTTCCGCCGCTAACCTTGACAGCAATTCCTCATGGCTGCCGGCCTCGCATACGAAAAGTCCTCCCGCGCCACCAACATGGCATACTCATCCATGATCTTCGCCCTGTTTGCCGACAAGATCTTCTTTGACCATTCCCCGGGGGTCATGTCGATTCTGGGGTGTAGCTTAATCTTTGGTTCTGCGATTGTGGTCGCTACACAGCAGGGTCCGGTGAAAGCCGAGGGCAAGGATGAGGTGATGGATGATGAAAGTCGAGTGGGATTGATGAACGGAGGCGAGGATCATCAGCTACGCACGTTACGATAGACATGAGCCCAGAACATCAGCATTATTGCAATTGGCTGCCTCGTTTGTGCAGATGCCGTCGGGGGGATGTTGCAACCGCGAAATTCAGCCCCGCGGGCCAACATTCTTTCCGTCTCCGCTTACCTCCGGGTTTGACAGGCCAAACTCCGACCCCAGTGAAGGACAGGTATCACAGTGAAATGGTATATATTGAGGCGATGGAATGCTGTAATTCACTGAATATCTGTCAATACATCCACTCCGCCCAACATGACCGAGTCAACGCAGCCTTTGGGCAAAATCTTCGAATCATACCCCTTCATCGCGCCGGAGAAGTATACGGGCACCTTGAAAGGGAAAGTGGTCATTGTGACGGGAGCATCAGCAGGAATAGGCAAGGCGATTGCTACAGCATTTGCCAGAGCAGGTGCTTCTGTCGCTGCGGTGGCTCGTCGAGAGGACAATCTCAATACGCTCGTCAAAGAAACTACAGCCGATGGTGGTCATGCTATTGCCGTCGTTGGAGACGTCTCCAAACGAGGAGGGCCAAAGGAAATCGTGGCCAAAGTCGAAGCAACACTCGGACCCATCGACATCCTCGTCAACAACGCCGGCATTGCGCGGCTTGGACCGTTGGAAATGGAAGATGAAGATCTCGACATTTGGTGGCGAGTGCATGAGGTCAACGTGCGCGCGCCCGTCACTCTGATCCGTGCCGTCCTGCCGGGGATGATGGAGCGGAAGAGTGGCATTGTGATGACCGTCAGTTCGAACGTGGCCACACTAGACCTACCGACCATGTCCGCATACAACTCCTCCAAGGCTGCCGTGTCGAAATTCCACGAGGCCATCACTCATGAGCTCGAGGGGTCGGGCATTACTTCTTTTGCCGTTCATCCCGGCCAGATCCCGTCGGAATTGGGTCAGGCAGACGGCGCAATCAACACTGCATCCTTGAATCACTTTGCCGTGAAGCGTTTCATGGCTGGAATCCAGGACGGTGGTCCCCGGCAAACACCAGAGTCTGCGGCAGACACCATGGTGGCTTTGGCAGCGGATCCCAGGTCCAAGGTCTTGCATGGCCATCACGTCAATGCAGATCAAGATTTGGAGGCGGTGCTGAAAGAGGCGGAGAAGGAGGGCAAGGGTCGGATTGGCAAGGAGCAGCTGTATAAAGTGAGGATTGGACAGCTGTAGAACTTCCGGCTCGCCCTCCGAAAGCGGGGCATCAAGTGACGTCCCAAATCCAACGCTCCTTCCTCCATTCCACTTTCCTTTCCACAGCACAACATGAGTGAACTCAGCGATATCAAAGTCACCGATCGCTTCAGCCTGACCGGCAAAGCTTTTGTCATTACGGGCGGAGGTGAGTTGGGTCGGACTGACATGCATTCAGTACTGACATCCAGCAGCACGAGGCATTGGCTTCGCAACGGCAAAAGCAATTGCTCAACTCGGGGGCAGTGTCGCACTCATTGATGTCTTGGATAAGCCCGTCGACGAGTTTGACACCCTGACCAAACGCTTCAATGTCAAAGCCTCGTATCAGCGTGCGGATATCACGGATCAAAAGTCGCTGGAGACGGCGTTCGACGAGTCTGTCAAAGCCATGGGCGGGCAGATTCATGGAGGAGTCTGCGGCGCAGGCATCAACATTAACCAGCCACTGATCGAAGCGGACTGGGACTACAGCTTGAAACTACTCCAGGTCAATCTAATGGGAACGTACTGGACGGCCAAGCTGATTGCAAAGCATTTGGCGGAGACGAAGACGCCAGGAAGTATCGTCTGCATCGCCAGCTTGTCCGGGCAAGGCATTCACATCCCCGTCCAAGATGCGGCGATTTACAATGCGTCGAAAGCGGGCATCAAAGGCATGATGGGGCCACTCGCGGTGGAGCTTGGAAAGTATGGCATTCGGATTAATAGTGTCTCGCCAGGTGAGGATTTGCTGCATCAGGAGTGAGGTTGTTGCTAATGAAACCACAGGAGCCATTCACAGCCCCATGACGGCATCGCTCGAGCAAGATGCTCCTCAATTGCTGAAATGGTTCAAGGATGCCGCGCCGGTCCAGCGTATGGGCGTGCCCGAAGACATCACTCCAACCATCTGCCTCTTGTTGAGCGACGCTGGTGCCTTTACCACCGGTGCCGATATGGTCATCACGGGTGGGATCCACGCCGGCAGGAATGATTTTGTACTGCCTGGTGAAGGTGCTCAATGGTTGCAGTCTGCGACAAAGTAGCGGCGTCATCCAAACATCCTCATTTTCACACCCTCCCAGCTGTTCAACTTTGGTCGAACGTCGAGGTAGAAGCTCAAATTCCCTCCAGGCTGTCCATCGTTCTTGCCAGAGTAGAAATCGATAATGTAGTCCACCCTCTTTCCGCATCGATCAACCACCCAGTCGTGGCGGTCAAAGGGCTTCTGATATCCCACCAAGACATTCCATCTTGCTCGTGGACTCAGTTTAGAGCTATCACCACTGAAACTGACCAACTTTGGGCCTCCACAAGCCTCCGAGCCACGTCCAGCTTCCCATGCTTGAATCTCCCTCCATGCGCGCTCGTTGACGGCATTATGAATCGGCACAATGGTCGCCATGTCGGCAGCCTGCGGATCATGACCCTTGCGCTTCATTGCGTTGAAAAACATCTCTTGCGAGGGGTACACCCAATTGCCGCTGTCTCTGTCATGTCCAGTGTCTTGTTCGCGGTTCGGAGGGATGGCCGCTCGTTCGGCGGAGTTTTGGGTTGAGGGATCACCAGCCGCTCGAGGGATGGTGGAGATTTCGCGCTCTGCGTTGAGATGACTTGGTGAAGGCCTCACCACGACCCTGGAGGTATCAATCTCCCATTTGCCGGTATCGAGGGAGTATTTCGTGGCGCCATGCCGATGGAGCAGTCGAATGGCATCGGTTGGTGAGACGGGGGTGGGCTTTTGTTCGGCTTGCGCTGCTTGCAACCACTTGGCTCGACTCTCATGATCGACGGGACATTGTTCGGGCATGTCTTTTGCTTGATGGTGATGTTCAAGTCATCGAGAATGTCAAGCGGCTCTGCTTTGCTGGTCCCTGCGTCTGTCCCCAAACCTAATGCGGATGCCCGATTTTTGAACATTCCATTTCATCACCTGCACACCCCAGCATGGCGGCAGAGGAGATCCACCGAGCCAGCACTCATGCTCCCGTCAATATCGCAGTGATCAAGTAGGGACTCTTTCATCGACAGGCCGAAGCTTCACTAACCGCAACAGATACTGGGGAAAACGCGATCCCAAGCTCAACCTCCCCACCAATGGCTCCATCTCGGTGACATTGTCTCAAGATGACCTCCGCTCACACACCACCGCCTCATGCGCCCCCTCCTTCACCGGCGATAGCCTCACTTTGAATGGACAAGCCGAGGATATCTCAGGAGCCAGGACACAAGCATGTCTGCGTGAATTGCGGCAACTGCGGAGGGAAGTGGAGGCACAAGACTCGCATGCTCCCAAGCTAGCAGACATGAAGCTCAAGATTGTCAGCGAAAACAACTTTCCCACTGCCGCTGGCCTGGCATCCTCAGCGGCAGGCTTTGCAGCACTGGTCCGAGCCATTGCCTTTCTCTACCAACTCCCCACCTCCCCCACCGATCTATCACGCATCGCTCGCCAAGGCTCAGGATCGGCATGTCGCAGTCTACAAGGAGGATATGTTGCTTGGAATAAAGGAGAAAAGGATGATGGGAGTGATTCCGTGGCTTACGAAGTCGCCCCAGCCTCCCACTGGCCCGACATGCGGGCGCTCATCCTCGTCGCCTCCTCCGACAAAAAAGACGTCGGCAGCACCGCAGGAATGCAGCAGACCGTCGCCTCCTCCACCCTCTTCCAGCACCGCGCAAACGAAGTCGTCCCCAAACGCATGCACGCCATGGAAAAGGCCATTCACGACCGCGACTTTGAAGCCTTTGCCGCCCTGTCCACCAAAGACTCCAACAACTTTCACGCCTGCTGTCTCGACACCGACCCGCCCATCTTCTACCTCAACGACACCTCTCGCGCTGCTATTCGGCTGTGTGAGATGATCAACTCGAGGCACGATCGGAGCGTCTGCGCCTACACTTTCGACGCCGGTCCCAACGCCGTGGTCTACTACCTCGCCAACGACGAGGAGGCAGTCGCGGGCTATTTCAAGGCATTGGTGGGTGATAAGCCCGGCTGGGAGGGTAAACGGGGGCAGGCGATCCAGGCGGCGCAGAAAAGTGTGTTGGCGGGCGGTGAAGAAGTGGCCGCCAAGCTGTTGCAGACCGGCATCAGTCGTGTCATCTTGACGGGAGTGGGAGATGGCCCGCGGAGGGTGGAGGAGCATCTTTGTTGAGCTGGGAGTGATCTTCCAATTCGTTGACCCGTCTCTGATTCAGACGTTGGTATTCACAAAGCCGCCATTCTGTTGCCCGTCAAACTCACCGCTCCTCTTCCGCCCCGGCGCATCAAATCCCGACGAATTAAACCATCTACTTCGCTTGTTGATTTCGTTGCATTTGAACTCACAATCTACCGGAAGCGGCAGTGACGTAAGCGCTGACGGACGTCACATCTCCGAGTGACCACTTAAGTCCGAGGGGCTGGTAGACTCCTCCGAGACAACAGATCAGTCACATCTCCTCCTTCACGCAAGCATGAATAAAGAAACCACGAGGGCTAGGGCTGGCGGCCCTTTAATCATCGGCACCGGACTCCCACGCACAGGAACCACCTCATTGTACGAGGCTCTCGAAACTCTCGGATTTACACCTTGCCATCACTTCCGCTCAATGATAGCAGGCGATTGGTTTCCGTACCGTCACTCTCGACTCTGGAGCAAAGCAGCCAAGACTCAAGACAAGGATACTCGACAGGAAATACTGCACCACCTCTTGACCGAGCGGGGATGTAAGGCTGCGGTGGATTATCCAACCTCTTGTTTCGTCGACGATCTGGTCGAAATGTATCCAAATGCAAAGGTACGTCGTCAGTCCTCGCTTTACTGCTTTGCCTAAGTAGCACAGTTCATCCACGGCGAACGCTCCTCCCCCGAAGTGTGGCGCAAATCGTTCAATGAAACCATCGGCCGCCTCCAACAAGACAAAGTCGCGTACTATGCAGCCTACCTGATCCCCCTCTTTCGTTTTGCCCTCGTACCCATATACAGTGCGATGGACGAGCGGAATGTGAGGATCTTCAGCGCAAGTATCTTCAACCCCGACAGCCAGATCGAACTATACCACCGCCATAACGCATTCATGCGTCAAGTCGTGCCCAAGGACAAACTGCTCGAATACGATCCTAAGCAAGGCTATGAGCAGCTCTGCAAATTCCTCAACGTTCCTGTTCCGACGGATGAGCGAGGTAACAAACTCGACTTTCCGCATGCGAATGACAGCGAACGATTCAAACGAGGGTGGACGTTTGCAATCGTCTTGGGGTGCACGACTTGGTTGGGTGTGGTTGGCGGAGCATATTACATGGCTAGGAGCATTGCGCGTGCCACGAGCTAGACTCGCTCGATAATCCAATTCTCTCCGCTCTACGTATGACGCCGTCTTGTCAAAAGTACCGTAGACGGCTCGAGCAAGATTTGAAGCTGACGACTACAGAGCGCGACTAGCCAGCGTGCTCGAGGAAGCCAGCGGGAGACGGAGGGGATGGCGCAGTAAGTGTGAAGACAGAGGAAGAATGGTGCGCGTGAGCTTCATAGGCCTGCCTCTGCCGACGTGCCGTGCCTCGTCCTTTTGGGCCGTCGAGTCGATCTCCCCGACAGTGCGCTGTTCGATCGAGGTCAAGATCCTCCTTGACAACGCGCGCATGTTTGAAGGCGGGCCCGAGAAGCGACAACCGCTTCGACCTGCTGAGCCCACTGAACTTGGTTTGAGCCTCGCTACGACGGGCCGTTGAGTCAATCTCGCTGACAGTGCGCTATGCAGTCGAGGTCAACATCCGCCTGAACAACGCGTGCGTGCTTGAAGCTGGGCCTGAGAAGCGACCACCTCGTTGACATACTGAGGATCGCTGGCGGAAGTAGCTCGACGTTCTACCAGCCCTAATCTCCAAGCTATACTCATACTCTTCCGCCTGCTCGTCCGTTCTCCGCCGCTTTACGCTACTCTTCCGCCTTGCGCTCAAGACGTCTCTCGACCTCTTCCTTCTCCTTCTCTCCGAGAGTGCGCGGCTCGCGCTCGCTCTCTGAAAACGGATGCAATCTGGCGTCCATTGACGAGCCCATCAACGAGGCATCCTCGTCCTTGAATCCGCTCTCTGCAACTCCTCTGCACGGAAAGAATCACCGCTCCCTCCTCGTCCGCGCCCAGCCACCGCTCCCTTTTCCTTCACCACCAATCACTGCTCCCTTTTTCTTCATCATCAATCATCGCTCCCTCCTCCTTCGGGACCCTCCGCCGCCTCCTTCCCCTCCCGTTCTGCTTCATCTGAGTTAGAAGTGAGCGCCTTCACCGCCAGGCAGTGAGCTGTACAGACTGATCGACAGTACGAGGCTTGGCGCACATGATTGCACGTGCCCGCATCCACCACTGCCTCACATCTTCGCCCTCACTTCTTCGTCCTCACGTCTTCGCCCTCAATTCTTACACTCCCTTACTCTTCAAACACCCCCCATCACTGCTTCAACCATACCTATCTCCGGCATCAGCTCGCTCACACTCACCCACCGGCGTCGGATCTTTGGGTAGACTACGAACTTCACAGCGAAGGTGTGTCTCGCCCTGTTCAATCTGCTTCGGAGTACTAACAGCAATACTCAAGTTCCTACCATCTACCATCATGGCCGACCCGGAGCCCATGCCGACGCAGCAAGAACTTGACAAAGCCGTTCTCATCTGGGGCGACTGGTTCTCGATCGGATACATGCAGGTGGGGAACGAACGCAAGCGCGTGTGGATCAAGATCAACTTCAAGGTCAACAGCAAGACAAACACCCGCTACCAGCAATTCGTATGTCGCCTTGAATCTGGTCCCGCTTCGATCGAAGTTTTGGAGCTGCTTCCACATTTGGAGGCAAAATGGGACGGTGAAGCGGCATACATGCTAGATCCCTGCTGGAAGGAGTCGGAGCGCCGCGAGAGGAACCATGCGGTCGACGTGATCATCAAGTCCACCATCATACGGAACCGGGAATTCGTCGCCTATCAAAAGAACGCAGAAAGAATTCATTCCCCAGCTTGAGCGATGGGGCACTTGGGTTCCGGGGACCGTGGGAGGATACTTCAGAAGCGTCGAAGCGTGGAAAAAGGTGTGATCTCCATTCCTACGACTCGCCGAACAATCTAATGAAGACCAGTTTGCTACCAGCCTCATTCGGAGCTGTCGCACTCGTGATACGAAGACGCCGTTCTTGAACACTGTTCTGACCGGTGCGGATGCTTTCCTGGGGAGGCCGTTGACGGATTCGGAGCTCGCGGAGGAGAGCATGGGCGGGATGTTCGGTGGGAGTGGCACTACTGCCAACACGCTGACGTATCTCCTGTGGGCAATGTTGAGACAGCCGGAGTTGGTGAAGAGGTTGCGAGCGGAGTTGGAGGCGGCGTTCGAGAGGGATGGCGGTGCAGTTCCCGCAGCAGCAGCAAGTGGATCGGCCCTCGCTCGGGGTCAACGAGATGCTGAATGGCATCCAGACGTGCGCAAACCTCCCCTTCCTCCAAGCGGTGATCAACGAGACCCTGCGGCTCTATCCCACCATCATCGCCACGCTTCCCCGGAAAGCTCTTCGCGACACCGTGGTCGGAGGCATGCATATTCCAGCGGGAGTGAGTTCAAGGTGAGCTGGAACGTTGCAGAAACGCTGACACTTCACAGACGATAGTGGGAACGCAAAATTACACCATCCACCAGAACGAGACTGCTTTCCCCGACGCAACCTCTTTCTTGCCCGAGCGGTGGCTTGATGTGAAGAACGAGGAAGCAATGAAGGAAGCTTTTGTGCCCTTTTCCATTGGCGCGAGAGCCTGCATCGGCATCAAGTAAGTGTTCAGATGGCAGCACCTCGGCGACACCACTAACTTATATTTTCCAGTCTGGCGAAGATGGAGATCAGCAAGACGGCGTCTGCCTTCTTCCTTCGCTTCGATGCAGAGGTGGATGGCTCGATGACCCCCAAACAAATGGAGATGTATGATGTATTCAGCGCCAGTCCTCGGGGAGCGAGACTGCTGTTGAATTTGAGGGATCTTGGTGGCGGTGAGTGATAGCACAATGGCGCCCTTGGAGATTCATGTGGAGGAGCACTCGTGGTGAACGCAATCTGCTGGCGCGCCGTGCCTCATCCTCTTGGGCCATTCAATTCAGGGCAAGATCCGTCTTTAACAACGCGTACATGTTTGAAGACGGGGCTGAGAAGCAACCACCTGCTAAGGATCGATGGGGGAAGTAGTTTGACACTCTGTCAGCCCTACATAATCTCTGCGACCCTGCCCACTCAGTCTATTTCCATTTCTTCGCCGTTATCCAACGCCTCGCGCTCCAGACGCCTCTTCGCCTCCTCCTTCTCCGCCTCCCTGAGAGTCCCAGGCCCGCGATCACCATCTGCAAGCGAACGCGATCTGGCAGGGCCCTTGCCATAGGGTGTGGCGCCCATTAACGAGCCGACCAACGAAGCGTCCTCGTCTTTGAGCCCAATCTCACCCGCTCTCTGCAGCTCCTCCACCCGGATACAGCCACCCATAGACGCGATGTTTACATCCTGCTTGCGGTAGATCGTGACTTCGTATTCCGCAGTGAAGCTGTCTTCTTGGACGTAGCGGATGACGACTTGCTCTTCAGTCTGCCTTGAAGCCGGCCATGTTCAGAGAGTGAGTGGAGATGAGGACGTCGAAAGTGTCCTTGTCGTTGAACTCATTGATTGTACGACCGCGGTCTCGAGGAGTCTGCTTGCTGGTGAGGAGCTTGCAGCGGACGCCCATGAAGGACAGAATGGTGTAGAAGTAGTGCGCGTTCTTGGGCATGTTGAAGAACGCCAGGGTCTTCTTCTTCTTTTGCCCTCCGCCGAATGATACACGATCCTGTCAATGTCCTGGATCGCTGCGCGGAAGATGGGCGATCCGTCGAGCAGATGCTCGAGCGCCTTCTCCGGCGTATCGTGCGGCTCGTTGATACTTTGCCGCCACACCGCCTGTTGCCTTAAGCGTGTCGAGAAGCCTGACCACCCCTTCGTAGTTCTGCACGAAGCTTGTAGGGATGCGCACAAGGCCTGAGCCTGCCTGGTAAGTAGAGACGCAGAACTCCTGCTGGAACCGCGATCCGGCCGTCAACGATGTCGCTGCCACAGCGCACCTCGTTCCCGTTCATGTCAATCACCTTGGACTCGGAGTTGCGAGAAAGCACGAGCTGCTCGAGAATGGGATACATTCGTGACCGTAGTTTCTCGCGGTTGGGGTCTTCGGGGTACCGATTAATCCCGCCATGCGGCTGGATCCACCAGACGAATGCCGCCACCAGCAAACATCGCTTCTTGTTTGCGTTGCTGACGTGGTATTCTTCAAAAAAATTGGCAAACTTGGGCCGCGGCGGCAGCTTGTTGAACTTTTTGCCGGGGTAAAGGCGACGCCACAGGTCGCGGAGTTGCTCTTTGAAGATTGGATCCCAGCCGCGGTTCTTGTGGGTGATGCTCTCTTAGCTCTAGCGCCTCACTTTGGCCTTGGCCGGCCAGTTGGAGCAGGCATTGTCCGCCTCGGTCAAAGAGCCGTTGCCATCGTACTATGCACCAGGATCTCCCTCATGGCTCTTATCGTTCCTACATATCTAACTACTAAGATAAAACTAAGTTTTACTTAGAAAAAAAAATGTTTTTATTTTAGTTTATATAGAAAGAATAGAAGTAATAGAATA